GTGTTGTTGGCGTCGTCCGATGTTGCCCGAGACATCCCGAGACACTCCGGTCCTCACCGTACTCACCGGCCGCCACACAGTTCTTTCAAGGTGGCGTAATTGTGTTGTCACCCACGATTATGGGTGTACACACCATTGAAAATATATCGTTCTCAGCGTCCTCCGAATACAAGGTACGCTTGCAAGTATTGCGAGACCCACAACATATTACCATGAGAGATCCACCAATTTTTCCCAATGGGTTTTTATACGGTCATTGCTCTCTCTGGCTAAGTCATGTTGTATGGTCTCGTAGTACTTACAGTAGGTTCTGGAACCCGTGAGAGGCCCGATGTTATCTAGTAGATACAATTATATCACAGTTCATTGTGGGTATCACAGCGGTAAAGGATACCGCGCTGTTTCGTAGTGTATATTTGTACATGTATTCCTGCGGATAAGGGTATTGGTCCTTAAGGGCCCATTTTGTACCCCGAATAAACTTACCTTACCTTACCTTACCCGTCGTCGGACCTGTTCTTGCCGCTCGAAGCTTGGGAACTCAAGTACCCACGGCATGTGCTACATCACTGCTCTGTGACAGCTTTAACCCCTCGCTTCCTCACCACGAAAAGGCCGTCCTTATCTCAACACCAGTCGGGAACTTTCGACTTCTTAAGCATCAGCATCATCAACTTACTGTTCACATCCAAGGCGACGCGCGCCGGATCGCTCGTCTCTCTTGATACATCTATCTGTCCTGTTCTGTTCTGTCTGATCCTTCAGTTACAGTGAGACGCTGAGAACGCCTCTGGGTTGCTCGGGTCGTATACTGCGTATGAGTCTCCTCCTTCTAGGTAACGGTTGCTCTCGTCGTCTACTGTGCGTGATTGTCGCGATTCAGGGAACTTACGGAAACACTGGACCTGCGCTTTGACGACTCGAATTCCTGACTCGGAGGCGCCCAAGTGTATAATAACGGTACAGTTGCTCGGGTCGTTCTACTGTGTATTAGGCCTGCTTCAATCTGGGTAACGGCTGCTCTCGTTGTCTACTGTGTATAATTGTAGCGATCTTTGGGACTTATGGAGACGCTGTACCTGCGCTCTGACGACTCGGATTCCTGACATGGAGGTGCCCAAGGACACAATAACGGTCCAGTTGCTCAGATCGTCTAATGTGTATGCTAATCGTCGCGATTTAGGGAACTTACAGAGACACCGTACCTGCGCTTTGACAACTCGGATTCCTAACTCGAAGGCGCCCAAGAATATAAACTCTTTCATCAACATCAAGCTCCCGTTTCACCCTCCGACTAGTATCCACTCCACCAAACTCCCCGCTAATCTGAGGACTTGTCTCTAGTGCATCTCCACATCCACACATGTCTCATGTTCACCAATAGCTCCACATCATGATCACAGTGTATTACTAGTAGCATTCCAGCACATCACGCCTCCGACTTTCCTGTTCGAATCTTAACCTTGTTCCTTGTGTCAGCCAAGTACTTAGACTTAGACTGAAAGGATCGAAAATTTAACACATTGTTTCAGTTGCGACTGTAATTCTCCTTCATGTGGCCGTGGATGCCATCGCCTCGAAAGCGCATTACAGCGATAAATTTCTCGGTTTGCAGCCTACAGCGGCTGAACTCAATAATCATATCAAACAATATATGATCCATGGACCATGATGTATCCCCGCTAACTTTGCTCCGCGACTGCGTAGCTCAGTGGTTAGAGCATGCGATTGCAGATCGCAGGGTCTCGTGTTCAAATCACGACGTGGTCTTCCCAAGTACACTGTATCGTAGAGTTTTTCTTCTCGTTCTACATACATCGATCTTCTCCAGATACTTATCTGCCCTTTTTGTATTACCTACACAACAATGTAATCCGTCTATGCCAGATCCGAATACTATGATACATGATCAGGCGGAATCAAAAAACAAACTGCTTCATACTCGTATGTATCAGGGAACAACATGCGGGAAGAAAGACGGGTGGCGAGAAGCTTGAACATAGGTATATCAAACAATCAAGTGAGGAACACACACGACCAGCCATGGAACCATGAACGGGAAAAAGAGTCGAGTCTAAAGGATAACCAATTAGGGAAACTCAAGGGAGCCCGTAACACGCAGTAGAGGAAACAATACTATTACTATTGGAAAGAGGGGAGCGTCGAAGGGCAGACAAACCAGACACGATGGATGTTGGAGGGTGAATATACTGGAAGGATAATGTATGAGGAGGGCATTATACAGTGGGTGGCGAGTGGTGGATATCGGAGAAACAAGGCCTTTTGGATGTAACGCAAAGAAGAAAAGAGAAAACGAAAAGATGCGATTTGAGGAGCCGGATGAGAGTTGAAGATGCCAGTGATACCAGTGAGACTTTTCTACGACGCAAACTAGAATAGGGGGCCCCGTCAGCGCTCGTCCGTTGATTCACTGCCTCAAAACGAGTTCGACATACCTCAGAAATAACCATTGGCAGAGTAGGTTCGGCCTCGATTGAAAGGCTTCATCGGCAACAAAGGCTCACGACCACCCATCACCTCCGAGTCGCGGCCGTGCCCCTCGACCTTGCCAAAGGGGTAGATTGAGCCCGGAGCCCCCGCCACACCAATAGTTGAACCCATAGCCAAGTTTTTGTTCGGGGCGGAACCAGCGTCAGCTTGTACTGGGAGGATAGACCAAGACGTAAGCTGCGTGACAGGCCCCTCCATCCGCATAGCGTCGTCCTCGGGGAGGTTGATCAGAGGATATGAGAGCGAGTGGTGCATCGAAGAGATGGAGGTCGGAACGTTGAGGGAACCCGTAGAGGCGCCACTCTGTCTGGAGGCGAGTCTGCTTTCATGACGTGTAGCGGGTGACGGCGAAGGGACCAGTCTTTGTGGGACAAACGAGCCGGAGCTCTTGATCCAACCGCGGAAGGGTTCGACAGATGGCGTCCGGAGGTGGGCAAGGCTGGGTCGAGGCGCCTCGGAGAAGAAAGAGTCCAGGTAGGAGTGTCGTTGACGTTCCATGTACGCGTGGTAGCTTCCTACGCTCTCTTGGACACCTCGGGCTGGACCGATGACTCTATCGAACCACTGATAAGTCCCCTTGCGATCGTCCTGTGAGAGAGACGGCGTATCAAATTCTGGATGGAAAGTGTACGGATCCCAGAGTTGGTCGAGATCAAGATCAGGTCTGTCGCAAAGGGACGAGACGGTATCGAGCCAGAGGTCGTGTGCAGACTTATCGCAAGGGTACAACGAGTCGGCGAAAGATTTCCAGGCAAGTATGGTGGCGGGGTCAGGGGGAGAGGGAGTCTCCTTCCTAGATAAAGAGTCTGTGGTTTTGGTCGACTTTTCGGTCTCCATCGGTTCGACTGAGTCGTCAGAGTCAGAGTCGGAGGAAGAGTCGGAGGAAGACGAAGAGCTGCTAGGTGACGGAGAAAGAGCAGGCTGGACCGAGCGCATGATACCGATCTGAGCACGAGTCGGACGAGGAGGTTTGATGAGAACTGCTTCAGCGAGAACAGCCGCTGCGCGTCGCCTCTTCTGTGGATACGGCTTTGGGCTGGTAGGAGGAGTAGGGATGGCGTTTCGTACGAGTCGCCCGCGCTACACATGAGCATGAGTACGAGGTACAAGCAGATAATGATGGTGAGCATGCCTCGGCGAAGCTGGTGGCCTTCGCAGGCACTTTTTCGTCTTTTAAGCATCGCAAGCCTTTGCTGTGGTAGAAGTCATAGATGTGACGCCGATCGATGCTGAATTTGACCTGGACAGCGCGCCTGACGGCGAAAGAAGGCATCTCGATGTTTCCGGGTTCAATGTGTTTCTCGAGCTCGGCGACGACCTCTGGACCGAGACGAGCAGCAAGAGACTCGGGGTTGACACGACGGCGCTGGGTAGAGACAGGGGCAGAGGGTATTTCGGCGCGGTGTGAAGCCGGGAGCGCAAAAGGAGACGGAGGACGAGATTGCGTCGGAGAGGGTAGACCAGTTTTGCTGAATGAAGATGTACCGACGTCGTCGCCGTTAGTAGATACAGAGGAACGAGAGCCAGCCGAGGAGCGCTTCCGACGAATGGCTGGCATGTCGTTTATTAGAGAGAGAGTGGGTGAGTGGGTGAGAGATGAAAGATGTAAAAGAAGGTAGACGATGAGAGCGATGTCAAGAGATGACTACGGTGAGGTTTGTGGGGAGGAGGACGGTGGGAATGACGAGGGGACTTTGGTCGTCTTATGAATGGATTTGGACGAGGAAGCATTAGAGTTCACGGAGATGGGGAGCAGGTCTCGGAGAGAAGGAAGTGGCCCAGAAGAATAGAAGATGACGCGGAAGACAAACCGACGCTGTTCAAACGTGAATCGACCGTCCGCTTCAGTGTCTGCTCGCCTGCTTACTCGCTTCCGAGGGTGGCGCCGTGTGGCGTGCGCTCCCGTCAGACCTGATCGACGGAGGAGCACGTCTCATCGGTCCCGAGGCTCCCTGCAGCCCATCGTGAATAGGCTTCATTTTGGCCACATAACGCTACACTGGATGCTCAGTCCTAGGATACATTTAGAAATACAAGCTAGCAGCGAATACAACTGCATCAAGCCCGTTAGTATTACACCAACAGTACAAAAAAAAAAGGAGACGGGACTCACTGTCCCTCTTGATCTTGATCTGCGCTTCTTCCATCTTCTTCATCAAGTCTGCGTCTCCAATCACCCGCGCCGCGTCCCGCACTTCCCTGCACGTCTCGTCCAAGCGCGTGATCACACGCACCACCGTTCCCTCTGCCACATCCGTCAGAGCCGTGATTTGTTCAAATGGCTGCACATCGGCATTCAAAACGGTCAGCAAACCGTTCGTCACGATGACAAGAGTGGTGTCGGAGCGCAAAGAAGCACTGACCATGCCCTTTGCCCACTCATACACGACTTCCATCAATCCAAACTTCAGACTCGATCGGAAGTCGTCCGCTGGGACCTTGTGTCGGTCCTGCACCGCTCCAACCCGGTCCGCGATCGCGAGGATCTTGTCCCGTCCTTCGCCCAGTTTGGGTGGGAAGACCGCCTCGACTTCTGTCTTTTCCTGGAACACGAAGCAGGAGAGCAGCGCGACGACCTCTTCCGGCTCGTATGCGGCCAGTGTGTTTTCCAGGATGAGCTCCGTGAGGATGAGCTCGTTCGCAGAGTTGATCTGTGGCGGTATTAGCATGTATGCGTGGTGGTAGGAAATGAACCACACCACAAACCTCACATGCCACCCTTCCCTTCAAAAGCACCGTTGAGTTCTGGTCAATGAATTGAAGCTCCTGCAGCACCCCTATCCGTTGCTCGTAATCCGGTATCAACTCCAAATTCTGGTCCGATATGGCCAGCTTCAGGTTAGCAATGTTTGCCCGGAGCACCTTCTCTGCATGAAGAATAGTGTACTGTCCCTCTCGTCAGTCAGTCCGCCTCGTTTAACAGGGGAACGAGTACAAGAACACGTACATGATGGTTAAAGTCCGCACACAACAGACAAGCCGGGTTCTCAACTCGTCTGAGCAACCTGTCTTTTTCTCGTAGCATCTGCTGGAAATCAAAAGAACGTATTCGCCAGTCCACTTCGGGAACAGCACCGGATGAGATCCATTCTTTGACTATAGTGTCGAGTGCGAGTATGGCGTCCGTCATTCTGGTCTTCGAATGTTTCTCCACGATGCCGTCCACGTCGACCTTAATCATTCGACTGGTGACCATGGATATACTCGTGAGAGGGATAAATCTCAGGTCGTAGACGCCATCTTGGACCGCGAGCGATTGAGGTGTGGGAAGCACCCGAGGAGGTACACTTTGGAGATCGAGGTCTGTAACGAGGAGTCTGCGCATGTTGCATACCAACCCAACCATAATCTGAACACGTACCATGCTTGCCCTCCTTCGTTTCCTGATCCACCAAAGCTAGAACACAATACGTCTTTACCTTATTACTCCCCGGTATCGACTTCAACAAAACAGCCGCGCTGAAGCGGAAGTGCTATGACACTCTCAGCTCGTATGTGATGTAATATCGATAGAGAGGTTAGAAGGACTCACTCCGTCGCGTAGGATGACGACCCGTCCTGCCGACAATGATTTGATACCCTGAGGATGCCCAGAGGCTGTGGAAATCAACTCCTGGTTTATATAGACCAGATCGGCTGAAACGTCGTAGTAGGTGCTGATATCCTCTAAACAGATGTCACACTCGAGCTTAGGCATCTTCTGTAGCACCTTCTCGTTCTGTTGATGCCATATCGAGTCAGACAGCACCCCCAGCAGCAGAGATAGCAGACTCACTTCGATCACCTGCTTCTGCTGGTCAGGCAACAGCTTCTGCGACGCATTTTCCGAAAAACTCCGCTTGATCATCTCCTCCACCTTGAGAGCCTCCACTCGCAGCAGGTTCAGTATCATATTATACGTCAACCGGAACTGCGAGTTGAGTTTCCCAGGCGTGCCGAGGATCATGGTGTTCAACGTCGTTTGCTAGTTATGATAAACCGCGATCAGACTTATGAGGGTGACGTTCACGACCTGTGAATGAGAAACGAGGAGACGTACCTCGGGGAGGTTATCATTCGTTACGATGATCACTGTCCCGGTTGGGTCTAACCCTCGACGACCTGCTCGGCCGGCCATTTGGGTGTATTCTCCGGGGAGAATGTCGCGGAAGCTCTTTCCATCGTGTTTTCGGATACCAGAGAAGACAACGCATTTGGCTGGCATGTTAACGCCCTGAGCGGAGCGAATGAAATTGAGGAAGAGTGTTGTGAATCAATATGGGAAATTGAAGCGGGGCTTACCATGGCGAACGTTTCGGTTGCAAATAGAACTTTGACGAGTCCTCTGGCGAACAGAATCTCTACGACCTATAGACCCGTCAGTAAGGAAGGGGGGTGAATGCGACACCAGAAGACTAAGACTCTACCTCTTTAACGATCGGCAGTAATCCACCATGGTGCACACCAATCCCTCTCGACAGCAAATCCCTCATCCTCCCGATCTGTGGTAGCTTTCTATCCGACCCTAGATAACCACCAACCCATCTCAAAAATGAAAACAACAGGAACAAAAAGGTAGTCATCACTCACCCTTCAACCTCGAAACCGCCTTCTCAATCGCCACATGCACCTCACTCCTCTCTACCGCAGTCGACAAATCCACATTCGAAAGCGTCCCTGCATTCTCCTCGCACCGTTTCTTCGACAGCGTGAACACGACCACAGGGAGCAACGACTTTTTCCGCAGATGTCCCAGCAGGTGGACATACAGACTTTTGTCTACCGCATTGAACGTCCTAGTGAAACCACCTCCACCTCCACCGCCACCTTCTCGCGGACCTCCTCGAGCAGGGCCTCCCCGGCCAGTGGGAGCTCCTCTCCCACCGCCACGTTGACCGCCTCCTCTTTGAGGTGCAGCCCCGCGTGCGCCTACACGTTGGACGGGAGGCATCCCGGCTGCTTCACGCTCCTTGTCCTGTTTTCGACGGAGTGCTTCGCCCGCTTCTTTGTACCTTTAGTGTCCCATCCGTTTCAGTAGGTCAGATTTACATGGGAGAGAGGTTGCAAGGTGGAAAGGACGAACCCTAGGCCCAGGAAATTTCGGTCTGCGTCGACGATCTTGTGCATCTCGCGTCCGGCCCAGAGGTAGTGTTCGAGAGGGACGGGACGTTTAGCGGTGTAGATGACGTATATGTCCTTTTTCTTCGTCCGGCTGTAGTGTAATGGGTAACGCGAATATCAGTCGATTGAGGGGTGAATTGGATGTCAAAGATACGCACCCGACCCAATCTGCGAATTCTTTTGCGTTGGGCACAGTTGCGGAGAGTAGGATGATGTTGACGTGGTCTGGTAGCATGATGATGACCTCTTCCCATACTACACCGCGCTATCATAGGCCACACAGTCAATGGACCATTCGAGCCTGACACGACAGGAGAGCAAGACAGAAAGGAAGATTACCTCGGCATCATTGACATAGTGCACCTCATCGAATATCACAAACTCCACATCCCGAATAAGATCTGCACCCTTGTAAAGCATGCTTCTCAAAATCTCTGTTGTCATAATAAGACAATTCGCCTCCGGATTGATCTGCACGTCTCCCGTCAGGATACCAACAGAGCTGGACGAGAATGTCTGTTTGAAGTCTCGGAATTTTTGGTTCGAGAGCGCTTTGATGGGTGAGGTATAGATGGCTCTGTTTTTGTCAGATCTAAACCAAAAGATGATGAATGTCAGGAAGAAGCATGGGAAGTACCTGGTCATATGTTTCTCGGCGAGCGCGATAGCATACTCTGCCACGACGGTCTTTCCGGCTGAAGTGTGAGCGGCAACGAAGACGGAGTCTCCCATCTCGAGATGATAGACCGCCTCTTTCTGGAACGTATCCAACTCGAACGGATACTGACGTAGATTTGTGAGTCAAAATCACTTAATCCGAGAGACAAAGCAGAAAAAGAGACAGAAAAACCTTGTGAGCCATTTCAGGGACCAGGGTATGGAAGTTCTTCATCGGTTTATTGATATCCACGACGTGCGCCCAGTCTCGCTTTTGCACGTTGACGCGCTTTATCGGTCTACGAGCAGAAGAGACCGGGTTGAGTTGTGCTCGCTAGCATGAGCGATAATATCGTCAGTGAAGGCTTGTAGTTGTGGTCGAAGTAAAAAGAATAAAAGTCCTACAGATGTAGGTAGAAGATCGTCTATCTCCGATGACGGGCCAGCTGCTGGTGCAAAGTCATCAATATGACCGTTAGCATACTCGGGGATCTGGCCATCCTGTATACAGAGAGTAGTCAGATCAGCTTTCATCAAAATCTCCAAGAGTGGATCAAAATCTTACCGCGACATCGTCGTTAAAGTCATGTTGTGCCAGGGCATCAAGCTCGTTAACCACATCTGGATCTTCCTCATCGCCGGGAAGTCGAAGTCCACGACTCAATCCTGGCGCCACAGTCCGTAGCCCTTTGACTTGGCCAGACTTTTCTGCCACATCCTCGGTCACACCGGCAAGGTTCTCGAGACCACCAGGCCAGAAGGGTACGAAGCCGGACTTCCCTCGCACGAAGTTTTTTGTTGGGCCTGGCGCACGGTCAATGGATGTTGACGTCAATCCGGTTTGAACAGTGGGCGCCGGAACCTACATGTATTGGGTGAACGAAAGGTGAGATAGTTAAATACAGTGGATAGTTTCAGCTTGGATGCCAGACCTCTGCGTAACCAGTAACACGCCCACCTAGCCCCGTCCTGACGAAGGACAGAGTGGTGGGCGGTATTGAGGGCGAACTCTGCAATAGCGAAGGTATGGCCAGCGGATGCTCCCAATGGCTAGACAAAGAGAGAATCGTCAAGAAAAAATTAGTAAACGGCCGTAAATTGTTCTAAGTATTATGAGACATCGTCTTCTTACACCTGATAGTCTTTGAGCCAATTTGCAGGAAGTCTCTCTCGTGGAACGAGCAGACGGTCATTCAGGTTCTGATGGACCTGTTCACGGGAAGGTATCGTGTCGAGCCCAAGCTCCGCCAATAGACCAGAGGCATCGGTCGATTTTGGCTGAGCGACTTTGGATATGGTATCCACAAAATCCATAGCAGGCTCCAGAAGGATCAAGAGCTGGCCACGTCCGGTGGCGGGACGATGGTGAAGCTACGATTGATGTGGCGTAGAAACAGCCAGTGCGCCGATGACGCGGATTGTCGGAGTTTCGGCTGACGCCGTGCCTAGTTTCAAGGTGGCCTGAGTGTGGCCCAATTGCTTAGCGCCTTTTCCTCCGCTCGACGACACAGCGCAGAGTGTGGTAAGCGCTTTGCATTTTAGAGCTCACAAATATTTTCCGGATTTGATTGAAGATAGAGATGCATTTTGACAGTGCTGGAAGCCAAAGTTTGCAATGTAGAGACATAGGTTACAGGGGATAAAGTACAGTATGTAGCAAGTAAAAGTCGTCGCAAATGGGAGGAACCAGTGTAACACCAGATGACTAGTACAGCTAACTCCCTTCTCGTCCCGCATAATATACGAGGAGCATACATTGTTTTTCAGTGAATCAACCGACTTGGTACAGAGCGGGACCCGCTACGATGTGCGGCTCAATCTGGGACAAATTATACGGAGTGACCAAAGGAGCAGCGTCTGTGATCAACAGATACCTGTTGTATATTGTTTCGTGAGTCAAGAGATCCATGCGTGATGGATAATGAGACGTACACAGTGCCGTTTAGTAACGGGAAGGTGCTGTTGCTGAACAGTGTGACGTTGTTGAAGAGTGCTCCTGATGGCTGAATTGTCGAGGCGCTGGTGCCATTGACGTCTTCCAATAGCGTATAAGTCGTGTTAAGTTGCGAGATCCAGGCAGCATACTGATCACAACGTTTGTCAGTATAGATGATAATAAAAAGCATAAAAGGAGACTGCAGAGTGTACCTTCGCTGTACCAGCAGAAGACTGCGTTGTGAATGACTTGTTGAATCCAGTGACAGCCCCAGGTTCCTCCCAAGTGAGTTTGACAACGCGGCCAGGGTATGTCACAGCAGTCACATTCGAGGAGATGTCCGCTGTGAGGTTGAGATCCGGGTAGTATGGATTGTTCTAGTAATAGTGACGGACATTGTCAGCTATAAAAACCAAACGGAAAGAGAAAAGTCCTTGGACTTACCAAAATGTTGAGGGGCGGGAAGATCGGCCACGTTACGTTCGGGTTTCCAGCAGGACATGATGAAATATAAGGCTGCATCAGAGTCCATTGCATGGACTGTGTGATGGAGGGGATGAACCAGAACTGCAAAAATAGAAAGCGATGATGAGTAGGAAAGTTACGGGACATTGGTCTGAGGACATACAGGCATGGGGAATAGACCCTCAAATTGGCGGAAGACCATTTGTTGGCGAGCTTCCGTGGCAATGGCGTCGAATATCATAGACGCTATATCTTGTGCGTTGAGGTGTGCGAGGAAGCCAAAGGTACCCGACTCTCCGAACCGAGTGACCTAAGTTGGAGATGAGACGTGAACTAAAAGAGCGAACGAAAACCAAGATGAAATTGACTGACTTTCATGCTGAAGTCGATCCAATCACGGACAGACGTAAAGTTAGGATATGAGTACGTGCATTGCTGAGTGAGATTGGCTGTGAGGTTGCGGTATATCAATAGTCATCAGCAATAATTTGAGGACAACCATGACATGGAGTGAGGGACTAACGGGCCAAAAAATTCTCAAAGATCGTGGCATGCCCAACTTCCTGGTCAGCCATGAACTCAATCAAATATTGGTCCGAGGGTGTTAAACCAGCATCTTCAAAGTCCTGAGAAGAGAATTGGGCAAGCCCGTAGTGGAAGAGATCGAGTTCGATGAGCTCCTGATGGAGACCAAGATTGAGTGACTGGAAGTCGAAGTCGGACATAGGCTTGTAAGTGGGTGTGCTATTGAAGCCTATTCCTCCTGCAGGAGCAGGAACGGGTGAAGGGGTGACAGGACCTGGAACGGCAGAGACGGTCGAGGTCGAACCGCCAGCCGCAGTGGAAGACGCCTGGCGTTTCGCAGGCACTGCGAAGGCGAGGGAGGCGGAGGAGACAATCGTGGCGTAGGACGAGAAACGCATCTCGATGTTACAGTAAGGATGTAGAGATGAAAGAGGAGCCTTATATATATTTTTAGCACTGGAGTAAGCGTCGGATGCGCAAGTCCAGTGAGGGGCTGAATCAGGCATGACGCACGAAACGCCGTGCGATACTTGAACATGACGGATGTCTGGGGTTGTCGGATCCAGAAATCGGTAGAACTCTCGAGCGTACAACGGCCATCGTTTGGGCCATGGAGGAACAGCGGGTGGAGAAAGGCCACCCGGTCAGAATTGCATGAATGTGACGCACCGGTCGTTCCACGGCCAGATGAGGAAGGTAATTGTACTCGGTCGATGACGCCGAACTTGTTCTGACTACGTCGCTTGAGTCACCACGCTCGCAAAATCTCCGAGCCCACCTTCAACATCTCCACCGTTGGGTCCTTAAACGTCATGCGAAGCAGCACACAAGTCCGAATACCGGTCCTGCCATACGATATATGCTCAATAATGTTTTATCCAAGCTTAGGCTTTCCTGCACGTAAGTTTCCGAATGGTGAACATTGAAGCGAGTACGGACATTTTACTCGTTCCCGAAAGGTAAGAGATGGTTTCATTGTTTGTTCAGCCCATTTGGATGAATTCTGATGGTCCAGATTCGTAGACCCTCATGCATGGAGTCGACGGGCATCCGTGTCAAATTCTAGTAGAACATCGGAAGCCCTTTTCGTGCGGCTGTAGCTGAAACGCTCAAACGTTTACGCAAGGCCTTCAAGGGCTAGGTTTCCGATGTAGACTTCGAATATAGGACGAGGTAGAACTGCGCATCCTGGAATGAGGAGGGTAGGTATACGGCATGCATGATGCAACCCGCGCCACATTTCAGTGACGAGGCGGACTCGGGGATAATTATCGACGAGCATACGAAGGAGAGTACGTTCAAAAGACCTGCGAAGCGAGCGTCCTCGGCGTAGAGAATGGCATCCCACTCGATAATTTAAGTGATAAAGCGAGCGGCTGAGAAACGCAGTACGAACTCGCTAGGATTACAGTTGTTGTCCACCCTATCCTGTACGTTTAGTAACGGGCGTCAGAAACATACTATACTTGACTTACACTATGTTCGCTATCGCTTCTTGAGTGCTTCGAACCGCTTCGCCAAGGCTGTAAAGTCATCCTCTGGGGGTTCAGAGGCTGTGGCTGGCTGCTTTGCACCCTCATCCCCTTCAACAGGAGGGAGATCCGGAAGTTTCGATGTACCTGGGATGTCTGACTTCACCGCGATGGGGACCTCGAGGCCTGCATCCTGGTCTACTTCCTGATAAGGAAGGTCATGATGAGCTCGGGCATCCGCTGGTCCTAGGTGTGAAGATGGTCTGCTAACTTTGACACCTCCATCGCTACCGTCATCATCATCAGCCTTTGGTGGCGACCACTTAATGTTGTACCCCTTGGCGATCTCGGCGAGATAAGCGTCGACTAATGCTGCTGAAGGCATTCCCATCGTGATTTTCTTCATGACCTGACCCAACACACATTATTGAAGCCGCACAGGGGCAGTTACATAGGTACGAAATACTTACCCGTTCGCTTACACAACCATCACGATTCTCCATCACAGCGACAGAGAATTCGCGGCCATACTTGTGCATGAGAAGGTCTCGCAAGATATGTAGCTCTATCCGTCACGGGTTTATTTTCCATGAGATATGGAGTAGATAGATGGCAGACTGACCTTTGATTTCTGTTCGAGGGGCGGCGTGAATGATACTGCAGACCTAAAAGGTTGTCCGCCATGGAACTGAGAGGTTGCACCAATAACAGATGCGAGAGCAGCATACCCCTTCAGATACTGCAGGATCAGGTTCCCGAGAACTGGGTAGCAGGATGGGTGTGAGTGTTCAGACTAGGAACCCGTGTGGTCACCGTGATGAGCTAGGCTCACTTCTGATCCAGGAGACCAAAACGAGCGATTAAAAGCTCGCAGTAGAGCTCGAGAAGCTCTAGCAGCTCCAAATGGATATCTTCGTTGATAACTACAAGTAGAGTACGTTAAGATACTATCAGTAGTACCATTGAATAATTGCGTGCGGACATACTGTTCTCTACCTTGATTCGGGCTGATTCCACTTTCCCACGTTCCAGGAGTGTGGCGATCTCTCGTCGTGACGCCTTTGCTTGTGCTTCTTTCTTTTCCTGCGAGGTCCTCAATCGTTGGACTGATAAGCTATAATACGGAATGTCAGGCCATCTGACCCTGTACATGCAGTGTCCCCCACAAGGATCCGGAGGGCGTGGAGTACATGTAAGGCTAACTTACCGAAGTTGAACCTGGTACAGAAGGTTTAAATATTCAGCGAGTATCGTGTCGTACAAGAGCAAGCACATGCCTTTGCCTTGGCTGGATTCCAAGGTGCCATTATGGATGTAAGTAGGGACTGCGGTAAGCGTTGCAACGTTGAACGTTCGGCTGAAGTGGATGGATCCTGATAAGTATGTTCGGCACATGCCGGGCAGCATCGTAACGAATTGGACCTGGCGGAGGCCAAAAATGGTTTGCGCTTTCTTCCAACTTTCTTCCTTCTACTCGACATTCAAGTTGGATGGACCGAAACACCAACATCCTTATTGTTTTCTGGCGCTGTCCTGAGGCGTAGCGTCTCAACTGGTTAGCTTGCCAGGCCGGTCGAGGAATGGATTCCGCCGGTTGAAACAACTGTCCGACTTTCCCGAATCTTTGATGCACTGCAGCGGCGCTACGGTCGACTTGAGCTGTGCGGCGGCGACTGCAAAACAAGCTCTATGGCACCGGCAGCTCATCAATCTAACACGAAATGATCTGCGAATCTGTGTTGGACGGGCCCCCATTCGCTGTCCAATCATTATCCCCCTCAACGCTGTGTCAATATAGCGCCCAAAAGGTAATTCAAGAGAGTCGTATTGGGACGGCTTTGAGTGTCACCCACTTCTTAGCAGCGAGTCTTTATCTCTCCTTAGGCCTTCTTCCACCTTGTAACCGTCATATCATACGACGACGTGCTCTCGGGCCCTTGTCAAGATGAGATTCTCACATCTGACCTTGCGTCAGGTAGCACTGATTCTTGATGACCGTACCTTGAATGTTCAGATCAAATGGTAGGCGGGAAAGTGTCTCGTTTTGGCCTCCTCGTTACAGTTTCACATGGTTGTGGGAGCAATCATAAACATCCAATGGTGCCATCTCCTGTACTTGTTCTCCCTATACCCCCCCATATAGCGTCCAGGCCACCTTACCCAACTCGACGTCTACCCGTATCCTTACCACTTTCTCTATGCCTCATCCACCTCCCAGCATCTCTCGCTACTCTTTGAGACTTCACATCGACCCACTCACGTCTGCTGCTCGAGGCCTCTCTGAAAATTCCTCTGAAGCAGTCACTTCCTCCTCCTCATGGTCGGACAACCAATCAGGAAACTGGTGCTTCCAATCTCCCTCTGGGACAACTTATGAGCGAATATGTGGCGTCTTATGCTTATACGACTTCGATTCCTCTGATCCCGACCATCTTTCGTTCAAGGAGGGTGACGTTCTGCAAGTAGTCAAGCAGGAGGAGACTGGATGGTGGGCTGCTGCCAGGAATGACGGTGTCGAAGTGGGCTGGATACCCGCCGCCTATGTTCGCATCATCGACAGCGGTTCAAGGGAAGGGACATTACAAGAAGCACTTTCGCCTCCACCTTCATACCACGACACCTTCGTACGAATGAAATCTACGCCACCTATCTTCGTGGATCCCTTTGGTCCACCGGAGGACCGCCTGGTTGACCAGAATGTGTTTAACGCTACACGAGTTGTAAGCTCACCCCTCATCGATGTCATCCGTGATCCAGGGACTTGATACTGATTATCGTGACCATAGGCCGCAGCGTTCGCATCACTATCCCGTGCCGATGTGTCGCGGGCGCAACTCACAGATGATTCGACTATTCTCCCCAGTGGCCCTCTATTCATGGTCGCAGAATCGAGCACATCAGACTTGTCTGACTCTCGTCGTCCCTCTACGTGTTCTGATGCATCACACTCTACTTGTTCCTCCCTGTCTCTCAGCCCTTCACCTTCGTCTTCATCAGCCTCACATTCGGCCTTCGCTGATGGTAGACCCACCATCCATGGTCGTAGTCGATCGAGCGCCGCTGTTCTAGAAATATCCCGCAGTAATAACAGACGCCGCCGACCAGTGCTGGTCTCCGACAAACAGTCCCTCGATAAACTTTCCTCGCTTATACACTCGCATAGCGTCGATGGACTACACACTCGAGGCCTCTCAGAGCCATATTTGAAGCTGCAGAGCCCCGATGAACCCCTTTCCCCGCTGTTCAAGCCACAACATCGACGCCTAGGGAAAATCAAGCAACTTACCGGCGATGACGACGCGCAGGCGTTCCATAATGCGAAGATCGCACAAGCCAACCTCCCTTGGTTCCTACGACCAACTTATCGTGACGAGGAGATCCAGATGGACAATGATGGCTCCGTCATAGCGGGAACTCTTTCCGCGCTCGTGGAACACCTCCTGGTTGATACTCTGAGTAAGTATCAAGTCACAGCCGAACATCATTCTTGACTGACTCTCCCGCGACGTGATAGACCTAGCTCGGCAAGAATTGTTCAGGCGGGCCTTCCTTGTCACCTTCCGCACATTCGCTACGGCCAGACAAGTCTTCGATCTTCTCCTCTCCAACTACGAGCTCCCGCAACCCGAGGGCCTGAGCGCCTCCGAAGCCAGTGATTGGAAGCAGAAGAGACTTCGCCCAATGCAGAAGCGGGTCCTCGACGTCCTAATGATGTGGCTCGAAGACTTCGACCTACTGAATCAAGACCCGGACATACCTCCCGCGCTGGATGGGTTCCTGAAGTCCATTCAAAACCCGTCTTCGCTGTCGCTAACGGCAAAGCACATATTGATATCTCTTGAGCGCCTGGTTCGTTCTCAAAAATTCTCCACTTCATGTATAGCATACTAACGATGTTCCTTCCAGACCTTCGCAGACCCCGACGCCTTCCCGTATGCCACTACCTCTTCACCGCCTAACAAATCACGCAAGCCAAAACTAAGGAAGTACGACGCCTACGAGCTGGACCGCGTCGATCCACTCGATATCGCTCAGCAGCTTTGTCTTGTCGAGCATCGCCTCTACTCCAAGATTCGCCCACAAGAGTGTTTGCGCTGGATCGAAGCAGATACGGGCGACGGCGTCATACACGTCGCGGATTTTGCCGCGATCCGCGAAAAGCTCGAGGATTGGGTCAAGGCCACCATCCTTGCAGTTGATGGCCTCAGCAGGCGAGCACATGTCATTGACTTTTGGATACGTGTTGCGGAGGTAAATAATATCGCTTTTACCCATGCATAGCTCTCAAGCAAGTTCTAATGTACTCTCGTCCACAGAAATGCAAAACTCTGCATAATTACTCCTCTATGACAGCCATCGTAAATGCATTGTCGAGCAATCCAATTAGTCGTCTTCACTTCACTTGGAACCACGCTACCCGGGAGCCGCATCTCACACCACTTCTCAAGTACACCGCCCCCGCCAACAACTACGCCCATTACCGTGCCGCTCTGAATGCCCTCCGAAATATGCCGTGCATCCCATCCTCTACGCCCTTCTTTAGAGACTTGCAGCGAATCCACGATGAATACGCAGACACCGTTGCCGCCCCCGCCACATCTTACCCTACGCACCCTTACGGGAAAGAACAAATACTTATCCACTTTAAGAAACGGCAGACGTCGTTCGAGGTCATCGCGAGCCTGCTCCGTTTCCAAAGTAATGCCTACGCATTCGTGGAGAACCCATCAGCTATGGGTTTCATCGAGGCACAGATGGCCCTCGCGGCGGCGAAGGACGAAAGGTGGTTTTGGGTCCGGAGCAACGAGTTGCAGCAGGCTGAACTTGTTCATGCTGATATACGCAAGGGCCTCGAGGCTGCAGGGTTCTAGACGACTTTTGTGACTTTGTATGTTCTGTACATGTATATGTGTATCATGGACGATGGGCCTGCCTTGACGGATTGGCTCCTCCTGTACTTTCTAGACTGTATACGTACCTGGATACGCACTTCGCGTCTTCGCCTGTCTTTTTATATGCTGACTGATAGTCTCTAGAAGGGATTTGCTGAGAAAAGATCGTAAAGTCCACATATATGCATGTATCAGAAAAGCGTCAGAACCACATGAATGAAGATTAATAGACTACAGGGATATGGAATAGAAAAAGTAGCAGACAAAACGAAACGGAAACAGGGCAAGTCACTGAGGAATCCACCTGTCTATCCAGGGCGGGCCAATGAATGGCAAAAATAGATCCATAGATGCAGTCGAAGTCAAAGCCATGAGTTCAGAGTACCCCTCTAACAGTTGCACGCATCAGCATTGGCGACGCCGCCTTGCTGCTTGTTGAGGTCGACACCCGCCCGCCCTGCTGGGCCTGCCCTGCCTGCGCCAGTTTTTGACGCTGCTGGTGCAGTTGTTGGGAGCTTCTTCGCTATGAACGATGAGACACGGATGTGAGAAACGATCAAATTGTGATGGAGACAATGACAGAGGACGTACCAATGGCAGTGAAGATATCCGATACACCCTCGCCACTCTTGGCACTTGTTTCTGCCCACATGAGACCCTCTTCCTCCGCGTACTTCTGTGCCTCCTCCTGAGTGACCTGCCGACGAGCAGCCAAATCCGACTTGTTGCCGCAAAGAGCGATGACTATGGACGGGTCAGCTTGACGCTGCAACTCGCGAATCCAGTTGCGAGCCTTCTCTAATGAGGCGGACTGAGTGATGTCATATACGACCACTGCGCAGTTGGCGTTTCTATAGTACATTGGGGCCTGCGAGGACTGTTCAAAGAGTCTGAAGAGAAATGATGGGCAGGCGAACTCACAAGGGACTGATCCGAACAATGAGGAAGGCATGGCGCGGGATGGTCAGTGCGCACGACAGGTGATCATATAGGTTAGACGGACCTTGTATCGTTCCTGTCCGGCGGTATCCCTACAAGCAAGCATAAGAATCTATACCGTATCAATAAGGAAGATAGACGCACCAGATCTCGAACTTCACTGTCATGCCATCGTCGAGGTTCACCGTCTGAGTAAGGAATGCAGCTGTCGCACACAAGTCATGGTCAATATACATCGCGTGCAGAGATTTCGTCTGATCATACCTCCAATAGTACTCTCCCGATAATCATCGAATTGGTCCTTCACGAATCGCAGGACCAAACTACAGACGCACGCGTGCGTGAGTGAGGGGCTGCATGTCTCTCGGGTCTTACGACATACCTTGATTTCCCTACTGCCGACTCGCCTGATAGACAAGTGTGAGACCAACAGCGCACCAATTGAATCGCAATATGTGCTGACCGAGGAGAACAAGCTTGAACTGAAGCTGCTTGGACATTTGTGAAAGAAATTGAAGGACAAGGAGAAGAGGAGAGGAGTACGAGGCTGAGGAGGAGCGTGAAGCAAGCCTGGTTCGGCACGCACCGCGCCGCAAGCCTCCACCGATCGCACGTCACTCCCACGGGCACAGCCACAACGAACCACTCTTCGCCACAACAACACGCCACCCGCAGCTTCTTTCCGCAACCACCATGTCGAACCTACAAGATACTCGAGCTCGTTTGGAGAAATGCTGGACAGCTACCCGGTTGAACTCCATCGCTGTACAGACTGTATCTTTCCAGCCAAAAGAATCGAAGATCAATCAAGATCGACTGGTCACGGAGGAATGGAAGATACTTGGGCAGAAGTGGCTCTTCCTTGCAGTTTGCGATGGTATGGTTATCTTATTTATGGTATCCACTTCTAACAGAGATGCTATACTTGTGCTCAATCAAGTTATTAGGCCATGGTGGTACAGCGACCGCAGAATACACCGCAAACAAGCTCCCAAAGCGCATACGCCACGCACTACTAGACCTCATCAGGGCTCATGATGGTCTGGATCGTAACAATGTTGTCCAGGCGGACAGTTCGGTCAGTGAGATGCTGCAAACCGAAATCCGGACTCTTGACAAGAGTATAGGCCAAGCGGTAAAGAAGCTGTGTCCGAATCCAGCTGAGCTTACCGAGGAACAAGCTCGAGCATTGGTCGCAGAGCATTCGGAGGTCCTGCAGCGTGCATGGTGTGGAACGACTCTTGCCGCTGCATTGATCAACGTCACTCATCGGTTTATGTGGGCTGTTGGTGTGGGCGACTCTACGGTCGGTAAGTGACTGTTGTCGTGCATTGATGTCTCGGTTCCATAGCAGACTGATTTGCCTTGCCAATTATAGCATTGTCCTCACTTGACTCTACGGGAAAGCGCGAGTCACAAAGACTAAACCCTCTACATAACTTGGATGATCCGAAGGAATTCTTTAGGGTAGCGATGGCGCATCCATCGACAGAGAAGGGTATCGTGAAGAGCGGACTCCTGTTACACTATCTTCCGATGACGCGTGGTACGTGTATTGTCCCTTTCCTCTCCCAGCTCGTCGGCACATCACTTATCCGTCGTATCCTGCCTTTCCTCCAGCTATTGGTGATTTTGGGCTCAAGTTCGAGTCGGCATATGTTGACAAGCTATTCCGCCATGTCCCGAGCACACATCGCAACTTCACACCCATCATCGAGCACAACAAGACCCCTCCATATGTCACAGCCAGACCGTCCGTGGCATACGTCGACCTTCAACCTCTCTGGGACAACAAACCAATTATCACCCTTTTCTCCGATGGTGTCGACAACATCGTAAACGGCGCAGCCGTCTTCCGACCTGGTTCGCCTTCCACGACCGAGCCAAGTAAGGTCGTTTCCTCCCTACTCGAGGACACTATCGACCCGTATGTGGAGAAGGAACTCGGGCATCCAATTCAATCAAAGTGGAATGGCGAGAACGAGAATAGAGCCGTAGAAGTTTTGGGCAATTTGCTCGGAGGGACTAACATTGAACGACTGGAGATGTGTCTAGACCAGAGCCGGCTGGATAATCTGGAAGCAGATCCTCCCTTTCATATCGACGACACCACCATCATATTATGCAACGTTTCCGAACTCACTCCGACGTACAATTGACACCCGGCTGGTCGCTGAAGGACTTATACTGTGTAATACTATACCTATTTTTGCTCTCGGACAAATGTACACATTATTGTTGCTCGGATTTAACACATCATGATGATCAAGACGTCCATTCAGGCGAGATATTTCGCAGACATATAGGAAACAAGCAAGCGAGAGACAGCAAGAAAGCACTGGTGATAGCAAGACGTGCACGGCACGACAAGAAAGCTGGTGGCAGGGTGACTATGAGAAAAGTAAAATGATAAACGACGTCAATCTTGTGCGCGTTGAAACGTCGACTCCGTCCATCCATAGCAGCGCCTCAAACGACGGCCAACCCTAGATACATCCACTTCAGATCTCACACTTGACCAACGAGGAACCTTTCTTGTGCTTACCATCTAATCTGGTGGGGCGACATAGTAGACTCTGGATGAGGCTATTCGTTTCGTTGCAGTCGGATAGCGTAGTCAGTCGACATTGCGCCGAGTAAGGAGAAGAGAAGGCTTACACGGGGGAATGTGATGGGCCTAGCCTTTTTAGCAGGAGGATCGAAGCGAACGGAGGAACTAGCAGTTTGAGTGACCTCAAAACCGATTCTGTGTCGTAGAGCCACAGGAGCGTTCAGTCAGTACAGGGGAAGTATATAGTGTCTTTGAGGTGTCTCTTACCTTTTCATTGCCTGGTAAAGTGCCAACCCATCGACCTCAGTCAGTTAGAGATAAAAAGGGAGCAGGGGAAAATCTAGACAACGTACGCGCTCAGAGTCTTCCCATCGAACTTAGCCCTTCTTCAAGTTCTGCACAGTTTCCTCCGCCTCACCACCGTCCTTATCGGTCTCCAAGACCGTACGGAATATCTGGAACGTCATCGTCACAACCTTAATGCCTGTCCAAAGGTATACTGTAGAAGAGATACATACCTTCATCGTCTTCTTGCCAGGCAAAATATCAGGAAGGTCGGTCCACGCTTTATTCTCGTCGTCTTCTTCTGGCTCTTCTCCCTCCTGGTCCGTTTTGGTGTCCGTGGCCGCAGGTGCTTTGCGAGTCTTAACCTTCCCCTTCATTCCGGACTGTTCCCCTATCTCGGAAAGGTACGCATGTCCAGACCTTGCGACAGATTCGCCAGGGGTTGCGATCGGGATAGTCTCCACATAGCCGTCCGCTGGGCTCGGTGCCCCGGGGATGGGGACTTCGGTCGTCGTGGACGTTGAGTGCAGCTCTTCCAGGAGTCTCCGGCCTGTCAATCTGGCGGAGCCAAGTCGAAACATCTTTGAGGATGGCAGACGTTGGCTTAGGAGGACTTACGACTTGAGCGCTATTTTCTAGAGATCGTAAGTGCATGGTCCATCATGGGTGCCGGAGGCATAACTCAGGGAAGCAGGGTGTAGGACTTACCGCTAACCAATCAATCGAGCTCTCGCCCCGTCTACATCTGGAGAAGCCATAATATAAGCCCATAGGCTAACAACGACGATCACCCACTATAGTATTTCACCTTGTAGCTGGTTTTGTTCTGACAGGTACTCTAATCTCCAGTTGCGCGGCGAAGCGATGATACAACTGCAACGCATAAATGTTCACGCCTGCACACTCTGTTAGCCAGAGACCAATACATAGGGCAAATAAACTGCGAACCTAGTTCCATCTGCCAGTGAAGAGCACGGAAGGATTTCGAACGTCAGAACGTCATATAACAAAATATCGATCAATCTATAGTAACACGCACCGCAGCGGCATTCCACTTCTTGTCTTCAGCAGACAAACCATAGACGGGCCCAGGAGGGCCGGTGCATAGTCTGATCCGCCCCTTGCCATCGCTAGGCCCATACACATCAAATATCCTACATCAAAGAGGAACCCCGCAAGACAAATTAGGAGTCGAACAATATGAGAAACAAGAAATGACTGACCACTTTTTCCACCGTTGCTTTCCTTCGGTCGTTTTGCAGTAATCGACAACGTTCGAAAGCCACTCCGAGTGGAATGGACTGAATCCCCAGCGTCTCGAGCGTTGCACGTGGATTGAGGACATCCTCCCCGTAAGTCGAGCAAGATTCTAGAAGATGGACGTGAAGAAAATGATTCTCCGCGAGTTCTCCGCGAGTTTACCGCAAGTCGCGAGTCGCGACGCGGAGGCAAAGTTGGTTGGTTCTCCGCCTCGTGGCCGTGGGAACCGATTCGCGGCGACTTGAAAGAACAATCATTGGTCACGCGAGGCACGGGACCTGCAAGCACTCGATTGAACTTGACTCGAATAGTTATGTTGAATCTCGTCTACAAGCAGGAGACGTGTATCGGCTTCAGGTCATGGTCAGAGCGTCCAACGAATAGTCTCATTCGAGTATGGAGACTAAGTTTCCGGGCCACATCGACACAGTCCGGCAACACAGGCACATTGAGACCATATGTCCAACTGAGAGGAGAAAATGTGCCGCAATGGGCGAACACAAGCACTATATGATGATATGAAGTATGGGTAGGTGCGTACTAGTCCAAAGTGTCTATGGAAGCTAGTCCAAGAGGTGCGAAGCGACAGCAAATCGTGTTATTTAAATAACGTCGCGGTCTCAAGAAAAGTGTGATCACCACGTCCGTTTGACGACCCGCTCAGTAAGCACCTCCAGCGCAATCTTCGCGTCGCTGTCCGGGAGGAGCTGTATTGTCTCCTTGGCTTTGTCTGCATGTGCTCGTGCGAGGTCTCGAGTGCGCTCAACACCAGAGGAACGACGAACGAGGTCGCGAGCCTACGTACCAGAAACTGTTAGCAGGCAGAACAACAGTGGCGAGAAAAATATGAAGAAAATGCAAATCACTCACGAGTTCAACGTCGCCGTCTTTTTCAAACTTGCGCATGATGAGAGGACCCATCTCGGGATGCTCTTCCCAAGCGTAGAGAGCGGGTCCGGTGGCAAGACCTAAACGCAAATCTGCGCCACCGGGCTTCCCTAATGTGGCCTCACCAGCCTCATAATCCAGTATATCATCAACGAGCTGGTCCCAAAGAACGTGTAACAGCGTGTGTTAGGGAGCAGCAATATTACGGAGGAGCGCAGGGACAGACCTGGAATGCGATACCCAAATTACGGCCATAAGCATAGGCCACTTCCTTCCACACCTCGCCCTCCTTCGATCCACCCAGCACAACCGAAGCTCTCGCGCCCTTCGCCATCAAACTCGCCGTCTTCAGATACGTCTTCCTCAAATAAACGTTCCAGCTCTCTTTACCGCCTCCCACCCTCGCATCCACCATCTTCTCGCTCTGCACCTGCCCAACCTTGCTCAGCTGCAGAATCTCTCCCTCAACTAGATTGGCGATGACACTAGCAATGAGCTCCGTCACCTCACTCTCTCCGAGTCTCGAAAGCGCGGCGGAAGCGCGTCCGAGGAGGAAATCACCGCCGAGGATGGTGAGTTTATTTCCGAAAGCAGCGGGTGCGGACGGGACGCCTCTTCGAAGGTCCGAACTGTCGATGACATCGTCATGCAGGAGCGACGCGACATGAATCATTTCCACAATCTGAGCGAGGCGCAGTTGTGTGGGAAGGAGGAACGACGGTGAAGCGAGTGACGGCGCGGAATGAATGTTGGAAGGATGTGGCGGTGGAACGGGAGGTTCTAGCGGTGGTCGTGGGGGGATGAGGGAGAAGACAGAGTCGAAGGAGGATGTATGGTCTGGCATGTTCGGGTTCCAGTCGTTGAGAACGTCTGGCCGTGAGAGCGGTTGGTCGAGCTCTTCTGCGCGTCCTCGCGCGCCTTCGCACTCTGCTGCCCATTTCTTGAGCTCCCAGTCGCGTCCGAGACCGTTTGTTGCGTGCGAGAAGAGGAGGACGAGAAGTGGGCGCAATTGTTTCGATGGATGGAGAAAATAATATTTGGCAATATCTGTGAGAGTGGGGTGCGCCGAACCGAGCAAGTTTAAGAGCCTATCTCGTAGTTGGTTCAGCTGCGGTGTGAGGAGAGTATATGGGTCTGGTCGGAGAGGTGGAACAGTCGAAGTTGCGTCTGAGGGTGGTATGGACGTTGTCTGTTCTGCCACGGGTGCAGGACGCGCTGCAAGAACGCTATATTTTTGACGAATGCATCGTCGCGTGACCGAGGTGAGGTCAGAAGATCGTGAAAGTCGAGTTGTGCTAGCAGCAGCAGTAGACCATCGTCGCATATTCCTCAGAGACGTAGGGGCGAGCGGAATGTGGACAACGGCGCTGAGCAGGGGACCGCGGTGGGTGTCGGGAGGAAAGGGAGGATTTTTGGCCCGGTGTTGGACGAACGAGAGAGCACGAATTCACGAACCGCGTCATTTCGTGGCCGATTCAGGGCGTGTTCGCCTCGAGATCTGAAACCATACATCTCTAAAGGTCTCTTCATGTCTATTTCTACCATATTCCTTCACACACGCACTCGTATCATACACAATATAAAATACAGCGGTTCCTCCATGGGGTGGGACGATACATTCAGAACGACAATCTCCACCAAGTGCATACCGTGTGAGTAGAGAACACACAAGCTCGGCCATATCTCCACAGTGAGTAGTAATCACCGAGGGCGTCTCCCCGTAGTGCTTGCCGGTACGATAGCTGCAGCCGCTAGTGGCGCTCGCAGTTTACCAATGGGGCCCGCGAGGTGGTTCGTCAAGACCTTCGCCTGCAGGGCACAAATAGAAACGCGTCAGGGATTGAGTATCCTGAAGGTAGACAGCCGTTTCAACCCGAGGATGAATAATCCATACCTTGTCCTTGAGATCCTCCCATTCCACGGTGGAGGCAGCATTCAATGCGACGAGCATGAGCGGGTCGTCTTCAGCGTCCTCGGGTCCCTTGCCAGCCTGGTCTTCCTCACTTTCAACTGGAACGACGAGTATCTTTCCAAGCTAACCCATACTATCAGTATTCGCACCTAGATCTGGTAAAACATGAGTACACACCTCGCTCTCAGCCATCCCAATCCCCAGCTCGCCTGACTCCTGCCAGACTTCGCCACTCAATCCGACCAGCACAAGCACGTCATCCTTCGATCTTGCAGGACCTGCCGCGTACGACACGAGATGACCCTCGGGTGTTAATAGTGCGGCGGTGTGCAAGTCTGGGAGGTCCAGCACTTGTGAGAGCAGTTCGTGGAGGGTGGAGAGGACAAGCATCGGAGGCTGCTTCAGTGCTTCCAGTTCGGGTGGCGGAAACCACCGTCATTTGGTCATGTGGCCCGAGCGCTTACGCCACAACGCCCTGTTCACATTCGCAGTCGCATTTTCGTCAAACCTCCCTGCTTCGGGGATCATTGAGAAATGATAGTCGAAGGAACGTTGGATTCTTTAAGGCTCAAGAATATAATAATGAGAGACCAGAAGTTAGACCGAGAATAACTATACCACCAATATTTATCCACTCCGACCCGTCGCCCAAAGCAAGAGATCGAGAGAAAAGCATTTCCATGGCCAATACGAAACCGCAATGCAATCCACAAAACACGTCTGCGTGAACGGATCCCTACGTCAACCCATGCCTATGCCCAACGCAATCCAACCCCGGTCAAAGGCCGTGCCGTCCGACCCTCTCTCCGAGCCAAAGAAACCAAAACTTCGCGTATAATATAATATAACGAACGAGTCAGAATCGGCTTTTTACTTCCTCTTCTTCACCGAGCTCTCGTCCTCCTTCTTTCCACCAGCGGGCGCGACAGGCGCATTTTCGTCCTTCTTCTTGTCGTCTGGGGTAGCCGCATCGGTCTTCTTGGAGACCTAAACAACGAAAGGAAACAATACAAGTCAGCGAACAATCCTACGACAATGGGAGTGCCAGTGAAGCTGACCTTGGTGATGGGCTTCTGTTGACTGCCAACGAGACCGAACAAAGCACCGAGCATAGCGAACAAAGTAAACACAGCGCCGACAAGGCCAGCACCAGTCTCGGGCTGAGTCTTGAACGCGAGGATGGGGTCAAGCTGAGCCAACTCGATGAAGGAGAGGACCTTGGAACGGATGAAGGCGACGGGGTCCTCGAGGAAGGAACCGACGGTCTCCTCTTCCTCTTCTTCCTTGATGTCCTTGGCCTTCTCAAGAGCCTTCTTGACCTCGTAGGTCTCCTCGGCGAGCGCCTTGGCATCCTCGGGAGAGTGGCCGACGTAGATGTTGTCAAAGAGGATGTCCTCAGTCATGGTCCAGAGTTCGATACCAATACCACCCTGTGCGCATTGTCAGTTACTTCGAAAGCCTAATGATGAGTGACGCGGTGGACGTACGATCTTGCTGAGGCTCTTAACCGGGGCCAAGTCCTCGAAGAAGTCCGGGTTGGGGATCTTACGAGGAGCCCATGGGCCCTTGTAGTCGGGGTTGTCGATCATAGGTGCGTACCACTTGCCCTTGTACTCAGGGTTGGGTTTCGAGGGGCTGGAGAGTAAAGTGGAACGTTAGAACCGCAACGTAAACGGCAGACCGCGATGAGAAACGTACCGCTTCCACTCGCCACAGCCAGGTGCCTCCTCGCACTTGGGGTTGCGAACAGTGGGGGCGATCCAGTCACCGTCCTCTTCATCGTCCCACTCCTCAGGCTTCTCGGCATCTGGTAAATCAGCCAATAGCATGGTCAGCTACGGGACTGTAATTCATATATGTGGAAAACATACCAGGGTCAGGGATGGTCTCGGGCTCATCGTCCAACCAGCCCTCGGGCTTCTCAGCCTCCTCGTCCGGAATCTCGTAAGGAGCGTCTTCATCCCAGTCCTCGGGCTGAGAGAAAACTAGTCAGTATTTCTGGCTAATATAATAAATATCGCCGAGACAAACCTTAGTGGCCTCGGGGTCAGCGATCTTCTTGGCGTCAACCCAGTCATCAGGCTTGAAGTCCTCGGGGTCGTCAATCTCGGCCTCAGGGTTAACAGCGGGAGAGAAGTCCTCGAGAAGGCTGCCGGTGCTGTGAGACTTGCCGTTGAACAAAACGTCGTAGGTGGAATTGGGGCTGTCGGAATTATAAGTCAGATGATGCAACATCGGACGACAAGAGGCAATTGACTTACTGAACAATGAGAGTGAAGAGGTTGGTGTCCTTGCCGAAGGAAGGCTTGGGAGGGACCTTTAGGTGCTTCTCCTCAAATTCACCGGTGATTGGGTTCTTGTGACGGAAGATGAAGTGAACCTGGCCGCAAAGGAGACATAAATTCAGTTTACCTTCCACGTGTGACCGCAGTGCATTTCCGGAGACATACCTTGGTACCAGGGCAAGTAAGGTCAGGACCGAACATGACAACCCATGGTGTCTTATCCGAGAACTCCTTTCCTTCAGTCTGGAAACCATCCTCGAGCAACTTAACATATCCACCACCGCAGTTCCCGCCCTTCTGGTACTTAACCTCGTACTGCACGACGAGGGGCTGTTCCGAGAAGTCGACGGGGGTTTCAAAAGGTGCAGAGATAGCGTGGTGGGCGGCCTTGTCCTTGGCCACGAGACCAAGGTCGCCCTCGATGAGGGGAGTCGATGGTTCCTCAACGGACCATTTGCCGACGTAGCTGAAGGTCTCACCACCGACGGGCGTCTTCTTCGTCGCTTCTGATGGTGTCCAGCGACTGTCCCAACCTTCAGTAAACTGTTCGAGGAAAGGTGCTTTGATTTCCGTAGGCTTTGAACGGACACGTCAGAGTCATGTCCAGGTAAGAGGTCGTGACGCGACGCAGGCCACATACCTCAAATGTGGCCGCCGACGCAGACGATGCGACGGCGACGGCGAGAAGGGCGTGTACGGCTACACTTCGCATGATGATACGAAGGACCAAGACGGGGCGTGTGGATAGGCAAGGAGGAAACGAAAGGTAAGAAAGATGAGATGTGGTGAGAACTCGGGGCGGAGGCGCTCTCCCTCTCTAAATGGGCCCGCCGCAATTGCCACGTATCACCTTTCCCACGACCATAGACACGTTGAACATTCCAGAGTCTTTCCTCGCAGCCCTCCGCCAACTTTTCGCAGTCCGTCGGTTTCCCCGGAGAAAAAGCAGCCATGCTGAGGCACGGGCTCAATATTTGACTACTCGCTACAGTAAATACAGAAGAAACTAAAACACATCCTAACCCAGCAGATCCGAATGTCCTGACGCCGAGAGAGCCAACTGTCGCGTCGTGCGTTAGTGCCCCTATTCATGCTGTTTGCAGGAGACAGAGTAGGACTTACCACAAACTCGTCGTCCAGATATTTTGACACCGCGATCTGGTCTCCGAGACCCTTTCTTCGGCGGGTTTTCAGCACCAGGTCACGCGCCAAGGCCTGACCGGACGCAGGTTCCAGAGGACGAAGCTTGATGCTCGTGTCGGTTGGGTCACCTATTTGCCACGTCAGCAATTTCGATGAGAACCCGAGGGACGCCGGACTCGACGACCCGCGCGGTATATTACTCACCGGGCACAATTGACCAATGGTCGAAGACCTGGAGGCAGAACGCTTGCCCTTGCGTTGCTGTCCGCAAGTCGGTCTCGAATCCGTTGGCGTCGATTACAGGAATAAGCGCCTTGACGGTGTACAGTGGTGAGCCGGCTTTGGGAATATCCTGTGTGACGTGCCCACGTCGCCGTGCGAGTACGGTGTAAACAGCAGATATACAATCCGCAGGGGCCTGAACCTCGACGTAGTAGATTGGTTCCATCAACCTTGGTGTCGCCTAATAACGAGAGATCGACCGTCAATCAAACGAAAAATTATTGTACAATGTTTGTCTCACCATCAGGAAGGAAGAGTAGCAGACTCGTCTTGCGGTCGGGACTATCTGACCACCTCCACGGAATATGGGCTCCTGTGCTAAGCTAGCGTCCAATATCCGGAATTTCACGTTTCGCATAGCTGTTCCGCGCCGCTATTTTGAGATAAGTCAAACCAGCGATTTAAAGGCACTCACGTTCATCACACAAGGGACCTTCTCGTGCACCCCACTGGAAGCCTTGTTTGATGTGCTCCTTCACGGACCCGAGCAACTTCTTGTCGATCTGTGAAGTCAAGCGTTAAACGCCGCCGTCGAATAAAATCAATAAAAGGAAGACGAACCTGTGAGGGCAGCGTGTCATCAAGAAGGGCATTCGGCCCACCCTCGTCCGGTCCAAATGCCCATATTGACCTCGAAGCAAGGAGATCCCACTGATACTTCTCCTCGAAGAACTTGCCCCTCTCCTTAGCTGACATGCGCATGTTGACCCTGCCAGTCTCGATGTCTTCAGCAATACCGCGCTCAAGTGGTTCGGCAATCATTGTCAGACGGTTCCTATAGGCAGCACGATCAGTCTGTGCAATCGGTGCAAAAGAAAATTGCACTGACTTCTTGTTCGGCGTGTCGGCATAGCACTTCAACGCGCTCGTCTCGAGTACCGTCTCACTGAACTTCGTTACTGGATCCGATATCTTGATTTCGATCTCAGAGAACAATCTCCTCAGATCGTGCATAACACAGTCGAGGAAAAGTTCCCCAGTGCCAATCACGACATGCTCGCCACTCTCCTCTACTTTCGTCGACACCAGCGGGTAAGATTTGTTGATGCTCCGCAGACCAGACAACATCTTCGGCAGTTCTGAGGGCTGGATCGGTTCAATCGCAACCTTGAGAACGGATTGAGTCATATGCTTGATAGGGCGGAAAATATAGAGGTCCTCCTCGATATCAGCTGAGGCGAGAGTGGCGGTCTTCATGATAGAGGCGTCGATGCCACCCAATAGAACCAAGTTTCCTGCTGGAGCTTCGTCGACGGGGATGAAGTATCTGTAGCAGTTAAGCAATCAATATATAGCACATCCATACTAGGGGACGAGGAAAGCTGACCGTGACTCGCCGAGCCAGATATCCTCGACTTCGACCTTCATCATATCTTCCTCATCCTCAGGCGAATATCCTTCTCCGAGAACCTTGATCTCCATGCCCTTCTTGAGTGTACCGCTGAAAACGCGTCCATATGCCCTGAACGACTGGGCGTCGGTCGTGTGGTACAGCTTCGTGACATGAACCATAACTGGGCCGTTGGGGTCGCAATTTTTCATGGAAGTTACGAGATCTGAGCTTTGTGGCCCAGTATACGTTCTTTCGACCTGCGCCCAAAGAAATTAGTCACAAGTCCGCCACAGGGAATTTTTGTCATCACCTTCGTTTCGCCACCCTGGATGGGATTGGGGATGTGTTCCACAATCATGTCTACCAAACCGGTCGAAGGCCCAAAGAATTGATCCAGTACCGCCTTCAGTAGCGGCCGAACGTCCATCTTGTACATGATGGGCTTGATATGGATGTTCAGTCCGTGTAGGGTCTCCTTTAATGAATCGGTTTCTTCGCTCAAAACCTGACTGTACAGCTTGTACAGAGGATCTAGGACGAATTCCACGAAGGTGCGCCTGGATTCGGGGTCGGAAGCCTTCCGCGTAAACTTGCGCGTTTCCGTGTTGAAGTATATGTCGCCCCAGATACGGTCAGCGAAAGATTTCACGTCAAGTGGTCCTAGCTTTTACTTCAGAATAAGCATCATAAAAGAACAAAGCTACGACTTACCGTAAGTCTCGGCGTACATCTGGGCAAAAGAATAGAGAGTAAAGCACCAGCCCATGTCAGTGCTGGCAAACGCGACATTGCCGTTCTCTGGGCTCAGACGGAGTTCTGGATCTGGGTCAATGCCACTGCGGAAAGGTAGCAAAAGTCAGTATAAACCCCGGGAAAGAAGGAATAGCCATACCTGATGAAGGTGTTCACTTCCTCGATAGTATGCTTAATCTTATAGTACGCGTCGGCAGGTTTGATGCGAAGCTCAAGAATCAGTCGATCTATTTTGTTCACCACTAGTGTGATTTTGATGTTCTCCTGCAATGCATGTCGGATAATTGCCTCTGTATTTACCATCATCTGAAAAAAGTATTCTTGTCAGTCATAGTAATAGAGACCAACAAAAACAGCCTGACCCCTTCAACGACATCTACTACGAGGATGATACCGTCTGCGAGACGCATTGCCGAGGCCACTTCGTCGACGAAGTTTACGTGTCCGGGAGTGTCGATAAGATGAACGAGGTGGGACTTGCCACCGGTAGTTTGAAGCACAAGGGACATGGGGGATGACTTTATGGATATTTCGCGCTCTCGCGACAGAATGTGGGTGTCCGTATAACGGGTCTGTAATTCATCACATGAGTGTTACGATAGTTCTACGAACTCATCAATACGCACCGGCTTGTCTGAGTCCCATACAAGTTTATGCGTCTCGAAGACTAGCATGTCCAGGAGAGCTGTCTTGCCGTGGTGTAAGTGTCCAACAACCGCCACATTCCGGGTCATCTCAGGGTAGGCCATCAAATTCAGAAGGAACCTGCGCCACAGTAAGTTTCTTGTACGGTCATTCTCCCTGAAACAAAAGGTACTACATACCCTTTATCAAAGCGAGTTTCTGGCATGTCCTTCTCCTCTACGGTCCATTTTCGACTCTTTATCGGCGCGATGATAGGTTCAGTTAATGGCTGAGCATCTTCTTCCTGAACCATTGTTTCAACATCTGCGCCATACGTGTCTTGTGCCGACGGATAGTATTGCTTGTCCTCATGTAGCACGACCGCGTTGTGAATTGGCTCTGAAGATAACCCCATATGAGAAGAAGAAATGAACCAAAAGCAGCCCATGCGCACCGTCAACTTCCATCAATGCTCCAGACGGCTCTTCGTCCATAGGGTCGTCAAATCCAGCAAGAGGCTGTGGTGCCGAAGCCGATTGGAAAGGTGTTTGTTGAACCTCCTCTTCCTCGTCATCAGAGTCCAAGTCTGCACCGATATAGTTCCCAAACTCATCGTAATCCTCGAATGAAGCCATTTGGAAAGAGCAGCGAACAAAGTGTGAAAAGAGTAAACAGAAAATTTGGCGTCCAGAGGAAGAGTCAGCAAGCTCAACAATGAACAAAGCAGAGCAGAACACGAAGAAGTTCGGCCGTAGAAAGAGGTAGACCGTGAGGGAGAGGACGAAGAGCGACTTCGCGAGCGAGACGCGTCCAAGTGTGCGATTTCAAATTCTCACGTTCTCCGCCACACCCAACAGCACCCAACCTCACTCAACTCACCTTCGCCAACGACTGCGGGGTATACAACATGGCTTCTCTCTCCGACGATACTCTACGCAAGGTAGCTACTTTGCTACACAGTATTGAATAATTTTGCTTGACCAACTTGTTTCTATCTCAGATCCTTCAGCAGATCCAGCAGACCGCTGTTAATTCTCAACGCGCTCTCAATATCACACGACAGCAGACCCTGAATAAGGAACGTGAACGAAGGGTCCTACAGCTCACGATTGAGGAGATCACTTCAATAGAGGGCGACGTTAACTTGTATAGAGGGGTCGGAAAGATGTGCGCCCGTCCCTTCCATTGTGGACGTTTCTTCGTTAACAATCTGACATGCAGGTTCATGATGGTCCCTCGAGCAACGATGGAGAAGGATCTTAAGGATCAGGAGAAAGGGTTCACAGACGACATCACCAGCTTGAACAAGAAGGTGTGTTCTCTTTGGTGAATATGAAGGACACGCCTCTGACAAGTGCCGGGCCACAGACCAAATATCTGGAGAAACAATTCAATGAAGCACAATCCCAGTTACGAGACATTGTGAGCCTCGCCTTTCATCTGCTAGCCAAATTATTCAGCCTGATACCCTTCTCCGCCAGTTCCATAACGCCCCTAAGCAATAGTGAAATTCGGCTGTTATACCCGCTCGTGCTCTATCCATGTAACTCTTACTTGTAGCAATTAGCCCTCGCATCTATCTTCCCGACGAGTCTTTTGGCCCATAATCGGAAGCAGGTCACATCGGAATGTGCAAACGCATTATCCCATCATGGGTTCGTGACCGAGTCCAATGTCTCAATTGCTCTGTCCAAGCGCTTCCACAGGCCGACACATGACTTGCGGCTGTTTCGTCTATAAAGGGGTCGTGAAATGACGACGATGCTCCCCAACTTTTCTCTCTCCCACCTCTCAAAGCGATATGGACTCTTCTCGATCCTCATCTGTAGCAAACCCAAAAGCGGCGGCGGAAGAGTTGAAGCTCGAAGGGAACAAACTTCAGCTCAGCGGGCAATATGAGGCTGCGAATGAGGCTTATTCTCGAGCTATAGAACTTGATCCGGAAAACGCTCTTCTGTACGCCAACAGATCCCAGAGTAATCTCAAGTTGAAGAAGTGAGCTGCATTCCCCCATCTGGACCTTGTGCGTGTGGGCCTCGCTAACTTAAACCTTCTCCGTAGATATATTGACGCATCATCGGATGCTAGAAAGGTCAGCCCCTATTTACTCGCCGCATCCTGTATCTTATATGACCCTCATCAATCTTCAGGCCTTGGAGATTAACCCCCATTTTTGCAAAGCTTGGGCTCGTCTGGGTACCGCCCAGAATGTATGTGACCCAATTCCACTGCCTGACACAAGCATTGACTCTCAACAACCCCATAGGCAATGATGCAGTACCAAGCGAGTATAGAGGCATGGCAAAACGCTCTTGGCTCCCTTCCTCCTGATGAAGCCATGTATCCATCAGAGAAGAGTTTGAAGCAGCAATGCGAGGCGGGACTAAAATTCGCTCTAGAAGAACAGGCGGCCAAACAACATGCCAGAAATTGGCAGAGTTTCCCTGACGAAGCCATCGATGGGAAGAAACTGCCTTGGGACAAAGCATTGGCCATAAAGGATCGTCTTTTGGCGGATAAAGACAACGGGATGTCGAGCAGTGTTAGTCTTTCACTGGCGCCTGCACGCTCAGTCTCATATATACTGACATTTTACTTGTGCAGGCATGGGTCATCATGGGTGCATACAGGGTGCATAAGCCCTACTATCTAGGCGTTCATAGGACCCCGCTTACGTTTCTGCGCAGGAATGGTCGGAAGCTATCAGAGTCATCAATTCAACAAAGCGAATCGAGACGTCGAATGAACCTACGTGGGAAGGAGAAACTACAGTAAGTTACACCATTTAGCTCTATGAGGACCGCATAACTGATACAGCATGGCAGGCATTGACGCACTTATCCAATGCGCTACTCCGCGAACCTCGCATTTTCCACCTGTCCGACAGGGAATTCCTCAAAAAATACGACGAGCAGGGTGCGTATAGCTTCTTTCACTCGTAAAACCCCTCCGTCTAACCTCGCGTCTCAGTCATTTTTGAGACCACGAAGTTCGATGCATGGGCAGAAGGTGGAGCCGATATTGTGCGACGGGAAGCTCCGAGACGTCTGGAAGAGCAAGGCTGGCAGAACTTGAGAGATGCACTCAACACAACCATTCGGTGCGTTTAATCTACCATCATTCAAGTCAGGGATATGGCCTTACTCTCTCTGGCAACAGTGCTTGGGTAATCGCCGGCTTTCTAGCGAGTGGCGGTTATAATACCTCGAGAGCAGCGCTGGAGTTCTACAGTCAAGCGTTAGACATCTTGCAATGGGGTCGGACGGTGTGGCCTGAGGTCCCGCGCGAGGAACGTGGTTCGGTCTTCGATGTCACCTTCATTCGTGGAGTCCGACGTCTTTTCTTATCGGCCCTTGTCGAGGTTCGTTTACCCTTGACACTGCGTGATTCAGAATATTTACGTCTTTTGTTTGAACAGGCTTGCGTGGACAACCCTGGTCCAAACTCGGAGTATGATGTCAACGACCTCTACGTGATGGCGAGGGACCACATGGGAGAGATCCAGGCGAATCCTATACAGAACGCCGATGGCCTTGACCCTGGATTTGTATCCTCATTCTGGGTGTATCCACTGGCGGAAGCTCATTCGTACGTCTTTCGGCTTGGGGATCTTCTGTGTCCTGGTTTAATTGCGGTCCACTTCAGTATTCTAGGCTTCGTGCACTTTAGAAAAGCCATGGAGAACGTCAACAAGCCCGAGGTGGCCGCTCCCGACTTCAGGAAAGCGTCAGAGTGGTATATAGACGCTGCTGGACGTTATCCAGTTGACGACGAGAAACATATTCGTGTGTATTTGCGCATGCCTCTATATTCAAAAGATATAATGATTGACCTGGTGTATAGACTTTCTCGTCACCGCGATCCAGTCATTGTGGCACTGTGGCACGAAGCTGGAGGAATTCATGCCTTTGGCGAAGCGTGTCAGGTTGGCTGTGCCGCAGGCGAAGGAGGTCTGGGAGTTTTCGCAGCTATCCGACCAGCTTAATCCGGCTGTGAAGCGCGTACTTGATTTCGAAGAGAAATATCAGAAGGGGCTCGATGCGGGTCTGGTGACAATGCAGGATGTTATTCGCGTCACGAAGGCACCGGTGCGTCCTACTTCTAATATTTTTCCTGACGTATGTCGTAGATCTGACGGTTGACCTTCGTTATCAGGGGCAGACCGCGTCCTGAATCTCCACCATACTTCGCGAATTCGCTGTATTAGTGATTCGCATTCCCGCTATTTTAGGACTTTTTCTCAGCCCGGACTATTATCCTCCCTAATACTAGGACTTCCTCCGGAGACATGCGCCACTGTATTGTAACATTACCGAACATCGTGTCCGGGAAGACTTGTCTTTACATCGACTTCTCTTACGATGGCGATTTAGCCTCCACTCACGACGTTAGCCGCAGGAGTCAAGGCAAGATCCGGCCAGTATACAAAAAAAGACACAGTCCTCGGTGCTTTGTGATGTTATGATACTCCGGCGCCCATCATCTCACCTTCGTGATCATCAGAAAACCACTGATATCAGTATGAGCTTCGCGAAACGCGTCCTTCTTTTAGCTCCCTCCTATATATACTCTCCTAATACTGGCATACGAACGACTTGAGCCTCTCTGTCCACTCGTCTCATCCGTCCCCAGCATGCTAGACCTATACGTTGGTGCATTTCTCCTGGCGTCTTTCTTCTTTGGTGAGTAATTTTCAAATCGTTTGCGCATAATGTAGACCCTGGCGAAACTCTCTTGATATTATTATGTCCGCAGGCGCGTTTTCTATCCTGATTCTGTTTTCCACGTACACCATCTTGTAAGTCTGTGACATACTGCCCACTCTCTACCTTCAGGCTTTCCCTTTTAGGCCTAAGGAACCTGATTACAACCTGAGTTGGGATTATCGTGCGATCTCAAAGGGCTTCAGGCATCTCTAAGCGTGGAAACCTCGTCAAGGCTGCGATCACGATCACCATGTATGTCATGTGTGCGGGTCATCTTGGTACTAGTTTGGCCTTCTATGGTACGGAGTATGAGCAGGGCACCTGGGCTTTCTCCCTTCTTGAACAGTCTTTGACGGGTCTGCCCGTCGTCAATGTAAGGATTCCTCTTCCCGTCCTCATGATGTGTGCTCCTATTTCTGATATTCTGCTATATCTACATAATACCTGCCTATCCTGGCAGTATATATTTTCTGATGCGGTCGTAGTCTGGCGATGCTGGCTGCTGTGGGGAAGAAGATGGAGAATTCTGATAGTACCCTTTGTCCTATTCTTAGGCACCATCGGTCAGTGCATACCTCTGGCAGGTTGATGCATACGACATTGTCTCACACAATCTTTCTTACTTGCTACGACAGCCACAACAGCCGTGGCCCTAACATTCGACCTCGAAGCCCTTGCTTTTTATACTTCCTATCCTGACCAAGCTCGAAAATTATACCGCGTCAGTGTGAGCGATATGGTCCTTTGGGGTTTAACGCTTGCGACGAATATGTGGGCTACCTCGTTGGTTGCTTACAAGGCTTGGTGCGCTCAGACTCCTGGTATAGCGATCGTGCGATTGATCGAACCATCCCGACATGATGTTTTCAGGAGGTATCGACGGTCTGTCAGGGCTTTTCTGGGGACCGGGAACAGGAAGACGCAAGTGGAGCGATTGATGGCTCTTCTCGTCGAATCTGGTGCATTATACTGTTTCATCTGGGTCAGTAGCCGGTATTCAACTTGACTGGTCATGCGCGGCTTACTTCGAATTGTGGGCCGTTCATAGGTGATGTTCCTGATGTTCTCGAACTTAACGAGCACAGGTAACATTATTCTCACTGGCGTCATGCCTCAAATTGCGGTCAGACACCACCCAGCGTCCACTTGTTTGTTGTTATTAATTGAATCAGTCCTACTTCGCATATGCTCGGAACAGGGTATCTATCCAACCAATCCTCATCGTACTCGCCAATTTCGGGAAGACACACTTCGACACCGATTTTGCCCATGGAGATAGTACAGGATTGGATACTTTCGTAGCCGTTCGGCGTGGGACTGCTTTCACTTCTGAAGGAGGTGTTTCGCAGATTGCTCACGTTGATCTCGAGCATGGGAATCGGAATGGCTCCGGTGGAGGTGAGGTTTCCAGCGAGAGGAAGGATACAAGTAGCATCATTTATGGTGCGAGTGGTATGCAGGATGTCAGCGAAAAGGAACAAGTTTCTATAGCATAGTGATGGTATGTAGATATCAGCGCCGATCTGCTTTACTTGCTCCCCATCGTCCCGTGGTGATGACGTTTTACCACGATATTCTTGTATTTATAACACCGCTCGACGACTGAAGACTACTTTGGCATCGCAGGTGATTCAGTTCTAGGTGTTTAACTGTCCTGAGCACTATATATATCACAAACCTACAAGAATCATCAAGGCATAGAATTTTCACCCAAGCTGTCACAAGGGCTACATGCACCGCGGTCCGAGTGCCCGCTCTTTCCTCACGTCTTCCGTCTATTGGGTAAAATCGACACAGCTTTCGTACGTCTGGTCGCCGTCTCCAAGCCACCACCATTGCAAAGCGCAAGCACCAGCCTCCGAACACTGCGTACCAAGGTCTGGTATGGTCACGTTGAAGTTCGCTGGAGAGATAGGTGCCGAAATGGTCGTTCAGTCCTGAGGGCAAAGAGGGTGTGAAATAAATACTCACTCTCATTGGCCGGTGCTTGAGCAGCCGTGAGCGACTGATTCGCGTACACAGGCCAGTCAAAGAGGAAGTCTCCGATGATATTCTGGTTGGCGAGATCGACCTAGGAGCCCGTTATGTCGTTATCAGTGCAAGCCGAAATTCAGGCCAAGGAGAAAGGAGATTACCACTGAGACGTTCTGCAGATGCATTATCAATATAGACCGGGAAAGCCCAGAGGATGAATCAGACGCACCGCGAGGCCAGTGTGGCGAACGACTATATCAACCTGCATGTTAACGATTTCGCCTGGGGAGAACTGTTGGATGTTGTCCAGGTTGTCTTCGATCTGTCATAGTGAAGATAGAACCAAAGGTAAGAAACGCTCGCACAGACTCAAGGTCGAGTCGAGTGTTCTTACCGCAGCACCTCTGCAGAAGAATAACGGGCAGGCAGTAGCGTTGAAGTCAGCATCTTCTACCTTCACTGAGTTCTCGATTGGTCCAGTCAAATCTACCAAAACCTAGAGTCAGGAATTGATTTTGGCGGGATAGTTAGGATGGGGATCGTACCGGCGGTCAGCTCGTTGAGGACGGCGGAACCGCAAGCTGCCTCGGTGGCGCTCCCAAAGGACCTAGGGGAGGGTACAGTGACCTTTCCGTGGCCCATCGCGAGACCAACACAAAAAGCCAATGCGACCAAGGATATGTTGCGGAGGAAAGCCATTATGCTGAAAATCGTCAATGGGCAGATGAGCCTGTCTGATACCGACTCTGTGCATCTGATCCCTCGCTTTTAACTGATCTTCAACCAGCCAATTCCAGGGAAATCTGGGTCACTGGGAGCAACGGAGTGCCGCAGATGTGCACGGCCCTCGCGACGTGGTGAATGTGCGGCTGAGGAATCAGAATGCGATGGACGATAGGGGTATACAGAGACAGAGAGCCTGCTGTTCATCATTGTCGTATTGTCCAGTCGCGCAGTTGTCGGGGACATTTCGCTGGTGGACTCGGAGAGAACGTTTGCAAAAAGGTTCTACCACTGACGATTGTGTCACTTGAGTGCACCATATGGCTTCATGAAGATATAACAGGGTGGATGATGTTGTCTGAATATGACAGGGAGTTAAACACAGATGCTTGTTTGTTAGCTTTGCCATCTTTTTTTTGGTACTACATGACAGGGAAAAAAACGCACCACGAAAATCATGGTATACGGTGGTACTATCGTTGGTGAAAGACGGTGGAACCTGGACGGATACAAAAATACAAGTGGCTATCACCCAACGGAAACGGGCTGGGTGTAAGGACAACGTGAGCCAACACCTCCGAGGAGCGTCGGGCGTTATCCATGCAGCCTGGAGCTAAAATTGCGATCTCACTTCCGATTTCCTGCCGACTATAGACCTCCAAAGGTTTTCATAGGGAACGCGACGCATGAAAATGGCCCATTCGTCAACAAGAGAGCTTTAAATAGATACCGCGCCGTCATTCGCTGAGGCGGAAATATATCACTGGCCTATCGCGAATCGCAAAGGTGACACCAGCCGTCCATCTTGAGCTGGAGCGTTCGTGGACGATGTTTTGTGTCTTGTCAAGTGATCTACGCACTACATCAAAGTCAATGTAGTCACGCAGCAGATGGTATTGTGACAGCAAATGTAGATAGCAATGAGGTTGAGGCGACAGAAAGAACTGAGGTCGAAAGCACTGAGATATGGTATAAAAAAAGATGAGCATCATGGAATGGGATCTGCGTGCTCTTTCGTCTCTGACAAAGGCGAACGATAACCTTCTTCTTCGTTAGCACCAGAGAGTGATGACCGATGGGCGAGCTCGACATCTGCCAAAGGATGATGAGTCGTGAATTGTGAGAGGTCGCCGAACCCGCAAGCGTACCGTTCCTTGGTGCTCTCGAGTGGTTAAATTGCATTGTGCTGTAGGTAGATTGAAGTGTATCTTGTTTCCATGCTCGGCCTTCAGCTAGCCTGTAGATGATAAGGTATGTGGTGATTTGCTGAACGAAGGATTAGAATTTGATTTCTGCAGTGCCAAGAATTCCGTGCTCACTTGCACCGACGAGGCTACACCAAGCCAAATCTGAGCCGACACCTCTTGTGCGGCATAGGTTATCAGAAAAAGAAGCGCAAATGCTGAGTAGACCACTGGCCAAAATCGCATGTAAGCTAGGTCAAAGAACTAGAAAAGCGGAGCTCATTCTCACCTGCAGACTCTATAACCATCGTAGCCAGTGAAACGTAGTGTTTCGCATGTGCTGCACCCATGGACGACATTATCTGACGACGGTATAGGGCCAGGCGCAGGATGATAAGGATTGTGAGCAGGATGTTGACGCCAAGGCTTATGCTACAGGTAAGATAAATACACCCCGTTCAATGCGTGCTATGAACGTCCGGTAGGATAGCAGAAGAGAACACACGAGTAATACGCAGAGCCGAAGGCAAGCGGTAGTTTGCTGTAGAAGGTAAGCCCAGGTTGACCTGCGCCAATACTCATCAGCAACTTGGGCGCTAGGTAAACCGAGAATACGCACTGCTTTGCAGAGTCCAGAACGTGCCCATCACTATACAAGCGATATGAGAGGCTGGTGAGAGGATTCCTTAGACTGATTCTTACCAAAGGATCCTACTATGAGCAAGGCAGGAAAAGCAGTCGCCAAGATAGCGTGTGTCCTGTTTGAAGCCGACCATATGACCCAACACCTCCAGAACTATGAGATCGGTGACATCAATCACTCTGGGTTGGCTGCTTGCTAGGTAAATCAGTACTTACCACTAAGCAATCGCAAAGAAATGTCATGACAAAGATTGTTGCTTCGAACATAACGTTCACCGCAAGTGCTTGGGTCGCCTGTGGGTAGGTGAGGCTGTTGGTTTCCAGGTAAGAGTGGACAAGGAGCCTACCTCGAAGTATGTCCACGGTCCTCCAGGATAGTTGCGATTGTCAACATACATCAGTTGTACAGTAACTGCCTGCACGCCGACGTAGATGGACTGAATAACAAAGAGCAATGTTATGTATGCTAGCTGATAAGCGGCATAAGACTTTGAGGCTCTGATATGTTTCCAAAGATAAATGGCGCAGGCCACATATAGCACGACTTGTATACCTATGATTATTTTAGCCGGTAAGCAAAGTACCAGGAAAGTGTGGTGCTAAACAGAAAGGCCTACCGTAACCGACACCGACAAGAAGGTCACCTGCAAGGAAGTAACGCTCCAGCATGATCGTCCGAAAGTCTTCATTAGTTGGCCCATAGTACGGAGCCATGATGGAGAAGTGATCTGAAGCCAAAAAGTAGTTTTAGAACGGGATATATCGACACAGAGACGCAGTAGGACTGACGGGAGAGGCCACCTAGGATGTAAGTGTTAGACAAGTGCCACTAGCGCTCAGGGGGGCAATCCCGATGCCCTTCCCCGCTATAAGACACAATCTCCCCTAGCCACGAGGTCCGGAGGTTAGGACCTTGTATCAGAGACGAAGGAAGCCAGAAGAATGAGGTAGTACCGTGGAAGCTGTCCATGAGCATATGAACGTGAAGAATCATAATTCTGCATTCAACGGGAGCGGGCCGCGAAAAATAATTTGTCTCGGCCAAACAAGATTCGGAACCGTCCGTGCGGGTTGAACAACTCGTGTACTTTTGCCGCTCTTTGCTACAGGCTATTTTCACTCATGCGCCCTCAAACATACTCTAGTTTACGTCGCTATGGTATGCTCATCAGAATTGGAAGCATCGGGGGATATCTCACTCCAACGAAAACCTTTTCTTAGCCTCAGATTGGTCGATCTGGTGACTTGGTCACGCCCAGCTTTCCCGCCTTCTCCTCGTCCATCGCAACGTTCGCCTTGCGCGCTTTTTTGCCCGTGCCTCAGGTCCAGAGTGAGATCAACACAATTGCTAGATATTTACACTTTGCGGAAGTAAGTTTGACTGCGATGATGATGGGTTGCCGATGGACGCCATAAAGCCTAACTCTTCTGACGTTTGGCATCGATGGCAAGATGCAGGCAAGCCCAAGTGCTATCATCTCGCGCTTGCAGTGTGTAACCTCTGCCGAGCATTCCTCTTCTTTGATGGTCTCAAAACAGATACGAACTGGGAGGGAGCGCTGTGAATCTCTGTCTCCCCCACGAGTGCAGCCGCGGCCGCATCTCATGGGTCTTGGAACGTTCAAACTTATCGATTTCTTTCTTGGCCCAACTCGTCGTAAGTGTTGACGTTATCATCTGGTGCAACCCCATTCTCACTAGGCCCTGAAGACTAGAAGGTTCTTTGACAATAGCCTCGTTCAGAGCTGGCTTCGAAAGAGTGTTTAAACACTCTTTCGACAGTCTTTGAACGGTCCTCGGTCTTGGCAGTCGAAACACTCCCTTGTGAGCCAATCAGGAGTGATGCCGAATGAATACTCTTACTCGGCCATCAGAGTGTTTCGACGCCAAGAGTCGAGAACGCGTTCAAGACCTATCGAAAGAGTGTTTAAACACTCTTTCGACCTGAACTCTGAACGAGGCTAATGTATTCAGATATGTCAGATCCGGGCAAACGGTCTGAGGCACCTTGTGCTGATCTTGAGTAGCAATTGTCCGCTTCAAGTCCGCGCACATCAGGAAGTATTGACCGGAACCTGATTGAATCTCACAAAGTTGCGCACCTTTGTACACTCCGCCAAGATCAATATCCCCATAGACGGAAGGTCCAGAATATTTTTAGAAATTACTCAAGGTGAGCGCACGAGGCTCTCAGCAGTACATAACGACTCGGGCGAAGCGCTCAGTCCGTGACGGAGCTCTTGCGAGCACCAGGTCCTCAAGAATTACCCTCGACTACTAAGAAGTAGGTCCGCTGTTCCTATCGTTCTTTGGACCTTTTAGCTTATCTGCGCCAAAAATCAGCTAGAATAAGTTGCGTCACTATCGAAACATCGCCAACCAAGGTTCATCCTACATTATCTTCCCTTGTTTTTCCCTGAAGATATCCGGCCGGCGGCCTATAGCCGCAAGTTCGCCTCCATCTCCACCTCCATTCTCCTCTATCCCTTCACTTCGTCAAAGCGCTTCTCAGATCGCAGCAGAATCACGAGTTGCTCCATCTCCGACCAACGACATGATTGTTCCCAGCTCATCCTCAGCTCCACCTCCTTCCCCTACGGCCGTCATCTACAGGTTCGTTGGCGAAGAAACTGTCGGCCCTATGATCAGATCTGGCCCGCGGACGGTTCACGTTTCACATTTATGGTCTTCCAGGGAACTCGTCCTCTACACACCATTCCAATGTCAACTCTCGTGGCCCTCTTCATCCCCTCTCATCAAGCATGATAGGTAAAGTTCTTCCGACCGGAGATGTAGAACACATTGTTCATACTTTTGGCAGTCGTGCCATCGACGGCGAGCATAGTATAGCGCGGAAGAGACGCTGGCCAGGATCAGGGCCCCACATAATGGGCAGTGTTGAACGCGATATCTACCCCCCTCCTCGACAGTAGTGTGGTATGTTGCCTCTAGCACAACCGTAGCGGGATTTCATTGGGTGTAGAAGTCAACTACATAACTTACCATAGAACATCTTACGCCACAGTGGCACTGCTAACGTACACATAAATTGATGTCGTCATCGCCCTTTACAAAGACAATCGAGTTCTTTTTTTTTATTTTTTTTATTTTTAAATCAACTGTATTTGTATAGCGCCGGCGCAGGCCAGGGGCGCTGTCTGTATGTATCTAGTCAACGAACTACCTATACTTAGGGTTGGTAAATGCTGTGGAACTCAATAGGAAGAGCGGGTATAGTATGTGCAGAAAAGGCAAAAGTTCGGAATCCTATGAAGATATGCAGTTGCGTAGACAATCGAGTTCAAGGCGCGGTATCGTGATACTTGGACCACCACGATCTGGCTTGTCTACAGCCCAAATTACCCTCCTGAAGCCCATTTACTTATAGCGAGCTATATTGTGACCTCTGATTCTCAGGCAGTCATCCTGCTTAGTGAGCTGACTATCCCCGCTACAAACATCGTGATCACGACTTGTGAGCCTGAGTGAGGAAATCCAGAAGACCAATGACGATGGTCTTCACAGCGGTCTTCCGTCCGACGCCACTCATCGCGCAAGCTCGCATCTCCCAACTGCTCCGTCACTTTTCCTCGACATCCTTGAGGCCTTCATCGACATCGTCGCACACGAATACTTTCAGAATGACATACCCTTCGACTATCAAGGCGGTCGGGATCAACAAGACGGGCGATGTGGATGTGATTGAGGATCTGACATTGCCGTTCCCTGAACAGAAGCCCGGCGAACTGCTGGTCAAGGTGTGTTCAGCCCCTATCACTATCATCGAACTCGACTGTACGATTGTTCGTTTGTCGTGAAGGTGCAATATGCCGGAGTCAACTTCATCGACACTTATATGAGGTTCGTACCCTAACTTCATCGCCTTGTTGACCTTGGTCTTATGCGGATCTTATCAGACGGGGCATATACCCACCCGCTTTCTTCCCACTTCCCATCGCCAAAGAAGTGAGCGGAGTGATTGCGGAACTGCCCACGGACCCTGCAGTACTGAACAATGAGGACTACAAGAAGAAAGGGTTCAAGAAGGGTGGTAAGGTCGCAGTGGTATGTCTACTACTATGATCCTACCGGGTCACTATCTAACCTGTGACGCTCATCGACCAGGACGCGAATGGTGGCTTGAAAGAATACGTCTCTGTCCCATGGGACTTTACATACCCTCTCCCCTCCGACATCTCTACTCGGGTGGCCGCCGCAGGGTTCTTGCAAGGCCTGACGACTCTCGGCCTGATGACAGATTCCTACAACGTACAGAAGGGAGACGTGGTCTTGATACACACCGTCGCAGGAGGTGTAGGCCTCCTGATGGCTCAGGTCGCGAAGGCTCGTGGCGCTACAGTGATCGGGACGACTTCTACGCCCGAGAAGGCAGAGCTTGCGAAAGCTCATGGGGCTGACCATGTCATCCTATACAAGACTGAGGATACGGTCAAGCGCGTATTGGAGCTTACGAATGGGTTGGGACCCCATGTCATCTACGACGGAGTTGGGAAAGATACGTGAGTGGTTTCATGCTAATGACAAGGCTGTTCGACTCTGATACACCTCATACAGCTTTGCGGGCGATTTGGAGATGATCAGACGGAAGGGCACCCTCGTGTCGTTCGGGAATGCATCTGGGGTGGTGGACCCTGTCCCGCTTTTCAAACTGACAGCGAAGAACATTAAATTATTGCGCCCGACGTATGTGCTGTGTTCTCTTCACGCTGTGTTGCTGCCAGCTCATCCATCCCTTTGCAGCGTTACGCACTACTTGACAACACTCGAGGAACGTGAATTCTATGGTTCACAGTTGTTCGACTTGATTTCCAAGGGTGACTTGAAGATCAACATCTTCGCCGACTATCCATTCACCGCGGAGGGAGTCCGACAGGCGCACACGGACTTGACTGGAGGAAAGACGACAGGAAAGGTGCTGATCAAGGTGGCGGACGAGTGACCACATGCGTTTATGTGATGCGAAGCGTGTATCCAGTAGCATAGCATAAAGAGTGATCTGTACGAGTTGATGGTTCATTGAAGTGCTTGAAGTCAGCGCTGATGGACGCGTCCGAAAGAACACGATAATTGGTGCGGCCAAGTCCGATCGACGGAAGAGACGCGGGGTGGCGGTTTTGGAAGTGTACGTGCACGCTGTCCGCCTCGCTCTGCAACCCTTTCGTCGTCGACAAGGAAACTCGCCTGGCGAACGAAAGCCAAAAGCAGGCGAGCAGGCTCGACTTTGTTTTATTCTTTTCTCTTTCCCTCGAAGACTACCTTATCCTACAGCCACAGGCCGCTCACTCTCCTTCGCCAGAATAATCTCCGGTTCGCTTCCCCGTCCCTGTCTTATGGACGCCCCCAATCTCGTCGTCGTACCTCCAACTCCGCAATACTCTCCTCATTCTTATACCCCCGCTGGATATCAGCCCCGTACTGCCCCTCCAACGCCAGAGCTCGTCCAGACGTCTTCAATTGACCAAGAACGCAGTTCCTCCGAGACGACCATTGATATAGTTACTATTTATTCAATGTACGGAGAGGATGCCGCCTCTCCTCCCACAGATACCCCACTCAAACAGTCCGGCAATGGCTCATCTCCCTTCCCAACGTTTGCCGACGATGGCCTGCAGATTCAGAACACGCATAGCGGCACATCGTATTACAGTGCTTCGTCTGACAGCAGGCCACCGAGCAAGCGGTCCACTCCCATAGGACGTATATCGACCACCGTGTCACAGTCACCCGGAAGAGACTCGACCTCGAGCGATGCCAGCTCTATCTACGGCGGTCTCTCGACAGACAGGTCTCACCCACGTCACCATAGGACAAGCTCCCAGCCCAAGGGGCCAAGGGAAAGGCATAGCCGTGCTTCCTCGAATTCGCTGGCACGTCCAAGCGCTTCCCATGACGGCGAACCTTCTCACCTCTCCCCGAAACCTACGCCTTCGCCTCCACGTACTTCCTCTCAGTACTCTCAGAATGGGAATGGTGCTTCTTTGTCAAGCGAGAAACGGCAATCCAGCCGCGCCACACCGCCACTCTCGCCATCCCTTTCTCCGAATCTACCTTCTCCGCCTCCTATCCCAGACTCCTTCTATCAGACACATACACTCGGTCGAACAAAGAGCAAGATATCAATAGCTCCGTCTGAGGGTGAAGATCCGGACTCCTGGCACGTCAGGAGTACCTACGCGCACCTCGAGGTGTTGGGTGTTAAGGGAGATGGATACGAGGAGGGGGTTGAGCGTACCCGCGCGAGGTTAGGACAGAGCAGAGCGAGCGAACTTATGGGTGAAAGTGCTCTGGGGAGCGATGCGGACAAAAAGCGCGAGCTCAGTCCGCAGGAGGTGGAAATGTTGGCCAGCTTAGACCGGTAAGCACGTTTTGACCGTATACCATCTATGTCTGACCGAGTCTGAGTCTCTCTTAGCTATGGATTCTTCACCACACCATCTCACGACCGTCTAGTTCTGTTACCGAGCGTCGCTTTCGCAAGACCTCTCGCGCGCATACCTAGCTCCCCGACGAATGGGGCCCCCAGTCCGGCTGCCCTCCCTTCCCCACGACCGCCAAACCCGCTTATACATGAAACTTCCCGTGTCGAGAAGTGGCAGCGCATGCTGGAACCTCAATCCCGCGACAAGGGAGAGAATATCGAGACGTGGGGTATCAAGGCCGCGAAAGAACCCAAATTACGCCCTCGAATATACAAGGGAATTCCTGATCGGTGGCGAGGTGCGACATGGCAGTTGCTCATGAGTAGGTTCTCTAAGACAGGGAGGGAAGCTCTCCGTTCATACGCGGATGAATATCACCAAGCTCTGGAGAGACCATCACAGTATGATATCCAAATCGACTTGGATGTCCCGCGGACAATAAGCGGGCACATACTGTTCCGCACGCGTTATGGTCATGGGTAATGCATTTTCTTCGGAGCGCTCTGTCGGAAAGCTGATATGTCTTTATTTTGGCAGACAACGGTCATTGTTTCACGTTCTGCACAGTTTCTCTCTGCGTTGTGACGAGTGCGGCTACTGTCAAGGGATGGGTCCTATCGCCGCCATGCTACTATGCTACTTCGAACCCGAACGCGCCTATGCATTTTTGGTCTTGCTCCACGACTCTTATAAAATGCACTCAATATTTAGCCCCGGTTTCCCTGGTCTCCTCGAGTCAATATACGTGCAAGAACGAGTTATGGAAGAGATGCTCCCCGACGTCTATGCGGCATTCAAGAAACATATGATCTCGACTACCTCTTACGCCACTAAATGGTATATCACGCTGTTCGCGAATTCCGTACCCTTCCAAACGTTGCTTCGGTTGTGGGACGTCTTCCTACTGGAGGGGCCCGATCTCTTCGTCGTAGTCGCTGTTGCTGTTGTATGGGCGTATCGAGGTAGGTTCTTCTTCACTACCTTACCATCCCGATATCAACTGACGAGTCTGTATAGATCACATCACGTCTTCTCAGGCTAGTTTTGAGACGATACTGTCTTTGCTTTCTTCTTTCTTTGTGCCCGAGGATGAGAACGTTCTGCTGTCCTGGATCGGGAAGGTACTCGAGGGACCAGAACTACGTGGGCGGATGCAGGGGTGGAGGCAGGATTGGAAGCAACTGGTGGCTACTGGCAAGGATGGCGAGGCTCTTATTTAAGTCGGTTTTCCTATCTCTATCTTATATACATGGGTACTCGGTCTCCACGCTCATTTCAAGCTCTCTTTTCGTCGCCTTCTCACTTCGCATTTCCGTCGCAGCACTCTTCCTGACCTTTCTCCCTCAATTTATCTCATTTATTTCTTTATTGATGATTCCTTTTTATCCATCATTTTCCTCTGATTTGCATCATCGATTCCCTCATGCGCATGCATTACATACATCCCCGTTCTCGCCTTCGTTTCCCTCCAAGACTCTAATCATCCGTCCGGACCTCTCTCGTTCTTCTTGCATCTCCGTCTCCGTCTCTCTCTCACTTACTCATCGCAGCGTCTGATTTCTTGCATCGGCACACAGCTTTGTACTATATTCAAGTCAGTAAAAGCAGATTGGGCCATACGCCAGCATCGTGCATTCCTTTCCTTCAAGCTCTCGTTCCTTCCCCGTTCTTTCCGGCGCCACTTATGTTTTGGCCTTCAAAGCTTCATTTCCGCGACTTCATTATGGTGCCTCAGTCCCATCTGGCCGGCGGCTCGCACATATTTGCCCCGCTCTATCGGCCATTGGCGTAAGTTGAACTATTTGAAGATCGGAGGGACCATGCGATAAGACACATGACGGACCCTGTTTGTCCCAAAACCATCGTTCTTCCCTCCACTGCTGCCTGCGCACCCTTGCGCCTTCATGCACTTCGGACGAGCGCACATGATGTTTGCTCGGCCTGAGTCCCCATTTCTGTATTCGCTGACGGCTCCTCCACGACGATACCCAAATCAGAGAACAAAGACGCCCCTATCTTCCTCAAGACTGCTAACGCTACCTCTTCCTAGCCCCTCTGGGGCCTACATGGCCCCACAGTATCTTGAACTACGTTGGCTCCAGGTATAGGCATCCTTGTTATCTGGAAGCTCATAACTAGACAATAAACGATGGTAGAGGCCAAGCAACCTCTAGGTTCTTCTACGAGATCTGCTACTCGAGCTCTTTGGTTTTCTTCTGAATCAGACAAGAATCCGAATCCTCACGCAGCCTCGCCTCACGCTCTTCATCTGTCCTCTTGACGCCGTATATCGTTGACGTCCCGAAAGCCTTCATAATAAAGCAGGAGACCCCGTGCCTCCGCCTTCCCATCACCGACGAGAACAATACGCGTTCTCTACACCTTGCTCGGAAAACAATAACGAGCACCCACCGCATCATCCCGCGCCTGGACCTTCCGAATTCCTTTCAGAAGCTCTGCTCACCTTCATACGTTCACGTCTAACGTACGACGGCCTGCGGGACGAATTGTTGTCCTTCATAACAAAACATAAGACCTCTTCTCCCATACACCACCCTACCTTCCCCCCATTCCCCCGCCAATCCCTTCACCCGCCAGCCACCTTTCCCGGGACATCCGTCCTTCACGACTATTCTCTGCTTGGTTTTTACTTGACTGTATAATTCCACGTCCGTGACGCTTCACGACCCTCCGCTACACGCACCCACCGCATTCGCATCGGTTTTACTACATCCGCAGGAACGGATTACATTCTCTCGCCTGCCGCCCACTGTCATTTCATTCGCATTTCACGGCTTGCACGCATCGTCTCTTCACGACCTGCAATAGGATCAGCATCACGAACACGGTCATATAGACTTTAGTTGGACGTTGCACTTTGTGGTTTCGCCACCCGCATCATCGACATCCTTCTCTCAGTCACCTTCACGAACACCCGTACAAACATCGCCTCCGTCACTCTTAACATCCCCATTTGCACTCCCTACGTCAACACCCATACATCCGCGTCGACCTCCAATTGTCGTTCAAACCCCCACGCCACCGCCACATCATATTCACCAAGCATCATGTCTTCCTACCAATACTCTGCCCCACCACGCACCCCTACCGCCAGCTCCTTCTTCCCTACGGGTCCCTCCGCGCCTCACGCGTTCTCGAGCATGCACCAGTCGCCGAGAGACCAGGTGTCGATGTTTTCGGTGCTGAGTCCGTCGTCGCAGCAGAGTTCTGGTGGACAGAAGAGTGGTGGGTTGTCAGGGATGAAATTCCTGGGGAAGAAGTGAAGTTGTATCGGAGAGGGTCCATATAGGCTTAAGGGAACGAGTAGAAAAGCCATCGACGTCCAGGACAAAACTCTGACCTGGGATTGAACGAGTGTAGTGGCCTTTAGAACGATGAAAGGGAGAGGAGCGAATGGACGGAGACCCCCAGCTAACAACTCGTATACGGTGTTGAGATGACCTACCACTCCACATTCGCCTTCGACGATCACATCATGTTGCATTATTTCTTCATACTTCAAGTTTCTTTCACTGTAGCAACACATCTCATTGCATCACTAGTCATGTTCAGCGTTCACGCATACCTGTACCAGCATTTCCATATTTTTCCATCATACATACTCTTCGAGATCTGCAGTGCACGGTTCTTTCTCATTCATGGTTGGCGGGGAATATTTCGGTAACGACAGTTTGTACTTACTGTACTTGAGCTTCTAATACTTCAGATCCTATTTGATGATGCATATCATCGCGCTACACAGTTTGATGGAAGGAGGTGAAGGAAGAAAGTTTGGTAGAAACATGAGGTAATTATACTTGGGCCACAGTGGCGTGCACTGTGGAGGTTGCCGGCCGCAAGTGACGTTGTTCTCGGTTTGGAGGCCAGAGCGAAGCGAGAGCAAGAGAACACCATCTGCACACCTTTCCTCTGTCCATCACCGTCACTAACAACGTCGACAATGGCGTACTCAGCACACATGACGTCCGACCCAGTAGCTCTCGACACCGCATATTCGCTCTCACTTCTCCAGGAATACACCCATACACTCGATACCATCCCCCTCGACCTCTCTCGCCATTATGCAGACCTTCGCGAGCTCGACGCCGTCCTCTCTGCCTCTATGGCTGCCATCACTGCCAAGATCAACAATCTCATCCATGCTATAGAGCACAATACACTCCAGAAGAACGAACGGCTCTACCTCCTCGCCGAAATCTCTGAAGAAGCGAGCCGACTCAAGCTCGGCGGCGAGGACAAGATACGCGTCGCCGGCCAGGCCGCGGACGTGTTGACCTCGCACTCACAACACCTCACGACGCTTCTGCACCATATGCCTCAACTCGATACGTCCATTCTTCCCAGACGGACGATATATCCCCATGTTGCGCCAAGGTCATATGCACCCGTCGCGACCAACGAGACGGGCAGGCGGAGGAGAGGCGCGCTGTTGACTGGTAATATGGACCAGGCTACACCCGCCCAGAAGAGGAAGAGGGCCGCCAAAGACGATGACTACGACGCTCCCAATGCCCGCTCTCCACGCAAGGCGGCAGCCACTGATGCAGGTCCCTCGGCAAGGCCTAAGAACGGAAATCGTGGAGGTAGAAGGTGCGCACGCCCCGTTTCTGCATACGGCTTCATCGCATAACCTGTTGCCACCTGTAGAAACGACCGCGCTGCATCCCCCGCAGAAACTGCTTTGTCTGTCACCTCCCCACATCCTCAAGCCGTCGCAGCTCGCGCAAATCCGCGCGGCGGCGGCGCCAACAAGCGCAATCGCGCAGGCCCAGCCGCCACCCCTGTCATCGACCCCATACCGGCACAAGTACACACGCCCACTCATTATGGCAATGGTGCCCAACAACTCAATGGACCAAGCTGGTCTGGCCCCATGCATCCTCAGCTCGAAGGTCCCGGGATGCCAGTGGCTCGAAACGTCGCTGCTCCTGTAACCAACCTCATCGGTCCGGGCGTCGACCCTGCTGCAGGTGCGACTGCTGCAAATACAGCGGCTGACGGGGACGGCGATATAGAAGGAGACGTAGCCGATGACAAGTTATACTGCTGGTGCAATACAACTAGCTTTGGTGTTATGGTGGCCTGCGATGATAGGACTTGTCCTAAGGAATGGGTGCGTCTTTTTTCTATTTTTAGATTTGTGTGTGGCGTAAGCGCTGATGATGTGGCGTCTACAGTTCCATATCACATGTTTGCCCGATCTCGAAACCGTTCCCACGGGCGCCTGGTTCTGCGACCACTGCAAAGAGAAACCAAAGAACAAGCGCATCCTCGCAAAGGCTGCCGCTGCAGATGCGAAGAAGGCTGCGGCTGCGGCTGCAAAGGCTGCTAATAAGGCTGCCGCTGAGGGTGCAGCTGGGAATTAGCGTCAGGGTAGATGGGCTCAGGTTTTTTTGTCTTCCTTATTTGGTCTATATCATTTCGTCTTTGTGCTTTCGTTTCTATCTCGTTTATTCTCCCTGTCTCAGCCAGCTTTCTTGGTTATATCTCTAGTATGCTGTACTGTACCGGTTGTATCACTCTACGGTCTCTTGTCGTCACACAACTCTCCTTCCATCTGGAAAAACGAAATTCATACCACTGCACGTCGGAATGAAAGAATGAAAGTCAAGAATATATACATAACACCGTCGTCCGTCAAGAACTTGCGAACTCTCATCGCCGCTTTGAGTCCCGCCTCTCGTCAGTAGGCGAACGGTCCCGTCGTTTCCTGAGCGAAGACAAGAGTCCAGTCAATGAGTTTCTCTCAACTTTGAGAGGCGGATTAGTGTGCATACCGGCTGCTGCTCCTTTCCTCGTAATCACCAATTGGCGTGCTGCCGCTTCGATCTTGACCACCTGCACCACCACCATAGTCCAACCCGTCAACCGCAGGCCCATTGTTGTCGCGGTCCTTGTACTTGTTCTGATTCCGCGGTCCGGTGGGTACATTGGGAGGCAATGGTGATGCGGGTCGAACGGGGGGCGCTGGCATTCCTGAGCCATGGGTAGATGGGTGATCAGAATACGTTCATGGTGAATGGGTGGATATGACTCTCACCTCGGCCTCGGCCGGTATAACTCCCTCGACCACGAATGCCCATTCCTGGGCCCATCCCGCGTCCTCGATTGTACACATTCGGGTTAGGTGTACCTTGGCCACCGCGATTGATGCCAACGGGAACAGGCGTAGGGCCCTGAGGACCGTCCATTCCGGGAAACATGCCTTGTTGCATTGCGTTTGGATCCTGGTCCAACAGTCCATTAACCAGCCCCTCGTGGGCCAAGAAGCTTTGGCTCACCTGCATGCCGAACTCCCCGCCCATACCCATTCCACCCATCATCCCACCGGGCCCGCCTTGAGGCCCGAATCCATCCCCAACACCCATCCCTTGTCCCATCCCCTGGTCGCCTCCACCATTTCCTCCTTGTCCCGGTCCATCCATGCCCATATCGCCACCCATACCCATTCCGCCCATGATAGGGTTCATCATCCCTTGCATGTTCATGTCCCCGGGACCCATCATGCCATTGACGTTCATGCCTGGACCCATCATCTGTCCACCCCCACCGTTGTTCATCATAGCAGTAGAGCCAGCCATGACCATCGTTCGCATCTCGGGTGGAAGCTGGCTGAGCTGGTCTTCGGGCAGTCCTGCGAAGTTCTATACATGAAGTAGTAGGTGAGCCCATGAGAAGCCCAAAGCAAATTAAGACACTGGGGTCAATGGACGAAAAAGACATACCAGAACATTCGCCTTGAGTACATTCGCCACCTCCCCGACGTCTCTCCTCCTGTAACAATATGCCTCCCAGCTGATCTCGTCGAAACCGTAATTGAACCAGTCGCTGATATCCGAACCAGGCCTCCTCCAAGCCTTGTCCGTCATATTCGCCACATCGAAATCCAATATTGATCTACCATCCAATACGCCCGTCGCACCAGGGTTCACAGAGGGGTGCGAAGCCGGAGCAGTTACGGATGGCAAAGTGGATGGGTCGGGACCTTCATCGACTGGTGTTTGTGACTGTGCGGGGTCAGTGGACCCGGCTTGGGGTTTTGAGGTGGAAGTGTTGAGGGCATTGGTCGTTTGGGAGGAGGTGGGAGTGGCGAGTTGAGCTTGGCTTGTGGATTTTGTGAGGTTGCCGCCGCGGTCGCGGGGTGTATATTCAGTTGTTAATGAGGGACCGGGTTGTTGTGGCGCTGATATAACTTGGTGTAAGTATGGAGACAAACAAAGAAGAAGATGGATGGACCTTTTGATGGAGCGGCTGTGGCGCTCAATGTACGGTTGCCTGCTGCAGGCCGGTTTGGTCTGCTGTTATGAGTACAATGGTTGTCTGATTATTCAACAATGCATGCTCACCTCAGGTCGAGAGACCGAGATTGGGGTTCCATGATAAACTCAATGTCCTACAATTTCCCTTAACAAAAAGAAATCACAAAAATGAAGGGCAGGTAACGCACGTCTTCGCTCTCCTCGCCCTCAGCCTCTTCTTCGTCTTCTTCCCCCTCAGCATCCTCATCTCCCTGCTCATCCTCTGCCTGTCCTTCTGGCTGAGTCGGTTGTGACTGTTGTGATGGAGGTTCAGAGGGTCTGGTGTCGGCAGGAGGAATGTCCGGAAAGATGTCCGTGTCGTCTAATTGGACGAGTTCATTCTGCTCGGCCACCTTGGCCTCCAACTGTGCGACGGGGCCATTGGAAATTGATGTCTTGTCCAACGGTATTCTAGAGCAGGTAACAGGATGCACCTTGTAAGGGTAGGTTCGAGACCGTATTTGACGTTGCACTCACGGTTGAGGGACTGCACAATCAAGCACAAGATAGGCATTTCAAGCAGGTATGAGCACAGTAACGCGTTATATTGCATTGACGACGAGAAGTAGGATACGACATCGCCAGGACAGGCTCTAAAGACTAAGAAAAGACATCCTCACCAGAAGTTGAGATCAGCGTCACGGGCGTCACGACACTTGAACGTGCAGGCTCTGGGGTGGCCGATTCACCGTAGAGAAATTCGTCGTCGTCATCCCTATACGCAAGTCGGCAAATATTTTAGTTCGTATTTCTTAGCAGTTTGAGAGGAAACACACATCTCTGTTCGCAAGACTCTTCAAGTTCTCCAAGGCCAAAGTGGTTCACGTCAAGCCAGTCGCGCCTTCCCTCTTCATCGGCCCCGACATCCCACGTGAGACACGTGGCGCTTCAGACTCCGACTCCGTTCCGTTGTCGTCCTCCGTGTACCTTGCAGTTTAGATCTTTCGACGAGGTCCGGGGAGAGAACAACCGCCAATTGATCCCGTGCTATTCAAGGATGCTTATATATATTATTTCAACAATCTGCCGAGACACGATCAATTGTCTTTCGAGCCACTGGGAGCAATTCCGTGCAACTTCAAGCGCGGTGAATTTAACGCGTATGTTATGCCAGAAGGAAGAGGTCTAATGCCATCGGTATACCTCAATATACCACTACGATGAAGCAGGTGGTGATCCCTCAGCGTCTTCTAGACCCTTCTTCAACCCCTCCAAAGTCCTCGCCAATTGCCCTCCACTCGCCTGACTCAATACACCTGCCAGTTGTGCCGCAGGCGACGACAACATACCCACGATCTGTGCCCTCAACGTATCCAACGTCGGCAACTTAGCCACCTCCTTCAACCCCTCCGCCTTGAACACTCTGCCCTCGATCAATGCCCCGACAACGACCAAGTCGGGCTGGAAAACTGGCCGCTGACGCTTCATCCGTCGACCGGGGTTCGGCGGGTCTCCCGACTTCTCTGCCTCTTTCGCTGCGATTTCTGCGGGGGTAGGTGGTTTTCGTCTGGGCATGGCACGGTCCAGAGCGCGAAGGATGGCGTTCAATTGTGGTGGGTGTAGTGATGGAAGGGAGAGGACTGCAAGAGGACCCGTGCCAGCCTCGGAGGCGATGGATTCGCAGGCTTGTTGGTCTACAGGAGCGTGTTCGCGCAACGCGACACCAAAAATGGATGATCGAATGACAGTGAATTTAGGAAGGGTTGGGACGTCTGAGGATATGGGGGTTGGGCCGGGGTTGGCCAATGATGGTGTGGCGACGACGTTTTTCGCGGCAGCAATGCCAATCTCGCGACGAATTTTCACGAAATTGGGAGCATTGATCTTGTCATGTTGGAAGAAGATGAGGGGTGTGTTTGTCTTGAGAAGACGAGCGTAGCGGCTGTAAAGGACTGCCTTCTTCTCCGAGTAGATACGAGGTGAGGGCTTTTTGTCATAGATCACCGACGGCTGCACTGAGATGGCATATGACCGAATGTTATGTCTGAGTGGTGAAGACAAAGCGGGAGAGCGAACGGACAACATCGAGCGGCTGCAGTGAACAGAAGTCAAGAGCACGTCGGGTTTCGCGACAAATCCGTTGGCTTGCTTTCCGGCTCTCTGGCTCGCCGACGCCACACTTCCTTGCCACATTTCTCCTGAAGCCATGTCCGGTGAATTGATCTGAATCAAAGAGCAGAGATACATAGGAATGACACTTCTCCATCATCAGGTACTGCGTAACTAAAACTACTCTGACCTTCCCCCTCCACCACCTCTGCCTCTACATGGAAATAACCCTCGAGGGTCGCGGCGGAGTGAGTCTCCCGAAGGTAGAGTAGACGAGATTTCGAACGAGAAAGCGAGGATCGTCCGTCTGGCAGAGCAAGCGCTGCTGAAGCAAACCTCATTGAGTCTTGGCTCGAATATGGAACTCCCAGGTCCTGTCTTCTCCACCCTCCCCAGTCTTTCCGGTTCCATGCGCTCTTTCTCCCTTGGTCATCCTATGTTCGTACCCTTTCCATATACTTCGATGGAATTGGAACGAACGTAGTAGTGTGTAATACGGGTTTGGCTTGTCGTTTATGGCCTGAGGGGGTGGAGGATTCTTGGCCAGCTTAGGGACATCCCTGCGGCCCATGAAGGTTAGTCAATGCATTGGGACTGTGATGGAATACGAACGGACCAAGTTGTGTAAGGAGGAACATTCCGGAGCGTAATGAGAATGCTGCCTCTACACCCTGTAGCATCCTCATCATCTCCTTCATCACCACTTCCTTCTGCACTCTTGTCATCGTCGACATCCTCTTGCATCCTCTTGCGTTTTCGACTATGCATAGCTTTTGGCGGGGGACCGTGTGCAAGGAAGTTTGGTGCTGAGCGTAGGAACCCAAGAACCATAATCTGGTTCGAGAGTACGTTGCGGTCCTGATCAGTGATACCCTTTCCTTATAAACCTTACATCCTTTAACGTGAAAATTCAGCCGGATGAGAGTATGGATAACTCACCAGCATGAGGAAAATTCCAGACTATCTTGTCAAAACGTCTCCCTTTCAGTGCAGAAACCTTCTCAAGCTTTGTCGCATCCACCCTAAACAAAACCTCCGCCCCCTTTTCTCGCAATGCTTGAATGCACTCCGCGGATTCAGGGTACTTCGCCACGCACTCTTCTTCGGAGTCGTATGCGGTAGCGGTCAAATTCTGAGGAGGAAAGTGTTCCAAGCCAGAAGGTGCATCGTAAATCATAGCTCGTGCGAAAGAGAAGTTCCCCTCTCCTATCAGCAAGACCTTGTCGGTGGCACGGAATGGGATAGTCGGACGAAGAGTCTGTGGTGTGGCCTTCGTCTTTCCTTTGCCGGTACTAACGGCCTTTTTGACAGTCTGTTGCTCAGCTGACTGCTTAGCATCCTGTCTTTTCTTGAGTCGGATTTGTTGGGAGGAAAGCGTAGACTTGAGAGTGGGTTTTTTCGATTTGGCCATGGTAGCAGATTTTCAGAAAGCAAGACAAATGATCAGCGAGCCCAAAGCGGACATATTGTTTGGTCGTATTAGGATCAGAAGCTCTTGGCAAACAGAGCCAAAACATATGGTCGCGCTGTCGTGGCACCAGCACAGCAGTGCCACGCTCACATACCACGTATTACACCGAACCCACCTTATATACTTCTCACTCAGAGACCCCGTCACTCCTTACTATTACTCGAAACCCATCATGGTGCGCCCTCATTGCGGCTGTCACAATTCAACATGCTGATCAAACTCTGCTCTGTTTCAATGTAACTATCAGTCTGACTCTCGCGAGATCCGCCAAAAGAACGCACAGTTCAGCTCAAAAGCTCGTGCTGGCAAGAACCCAGTGAACATGTCACGAAAAGAGAAGCTGGAAAAGCAGTCGCCAGTCGGGTTGTGGGCGCTTGGCCTGGTCGTCTTCGTTGTCGTTGGTGGAGGTAAGTGCTCGGTTGTGTATACTCATGCGCTGGATGCTAACTAGGTCCGCCCCACCAGTTGTGTTCGAGCTCATCAGAGTCATTTTCCTCTGAATGACATATACATACCATGTTTGTTTTGACTGCATATCGTCCACTGCATTGAACGGCTTTCCACACCCGCAACAGGGGCGTCCGCTGCTGTATATCTTACCCCTTTGGATCTTCATGGTGCTATTTATATTCTTCACTTGTCCTCACTACTTTTACCCAGAGTGAACATACACACACCTGCAAGCTTCCTCATCACATTTACATCAAGCCGAATGGATAGCAAGATACGGATACATAGGGATCAACTGTCCTCCATATCCCCTCCTGCAATGCTCACACTCGTGCTCATGCTCATGCTCTGCGTTCCACTGCTACGAGCTCTTGAAGGGCCGGCCTTCGTCGCACTCGTGCTCTCCACCCCTTCCATTGCGACATCCTCCAACTCCTTCTCATCGATGACGACATCTTCACCAGCCCATATCCGCATTGTGGGTTGCCAGACCATGACAATGTTATCCTCAGACGTGGTCGTCATGGTCCAGTTCTCTCCCGTCCCCGGAGCCCAGCAGAGGTCAGTGGGACGCGATGTGTGACCTACGAACCGCACACGTCAATTTCAACCTCGGACCGTAAGCGATACACATACCGCCGTGAACGAAGATGAGTTCAGGAGGACCGTCTTCCTGGTCGTCTGGTGTTTGTTCTTCCCCGATCTTGTTCAAATCCCAAACATTGATGCGGCGGTCACTGGAGGCAGAAGCGAAGACTGTGGGGTTATGTGGCGACCATGTCAGTTGAAGGACTTCGCTAGTGTGCCACTCGAAAGTGTGCTTCTTGTCCAGTGTCCTGATGTCGAAGAGAGCGATTGTCTGGTGTTGTTAACCAGTCAGGATCTTATATCGCAGAGGAGTTGAGAGGCAACCATACCTTGTCTGCGCTACCAGTGATGATGAGGTTTCCATTTGCAGGACAGAATGCGACGGCCATGACTTCTTGATCGTGGGCTTTGTGAGATTTTACCGCTCCCTTTTGTCGAGTGTCCCAGCTACATGCATTCGTCAGTCATTAGTCCAGCACACATTGAGGAGTCGGCCCACATTTTCAGTGTTTTGTCGTCACTGACACTGGCGAAAACGTTCCCGTCTGACGGATGCCAGTCAACGTCCTAAATTTCGCGATTATGAACCACCAAGTTACAACGTGTAATGAAAGGACAAGAACATACCCCGACAACGGCAGAATGGTCATTAAAGACAGTCAGAGGTTCGATGGATGATTTTGCCTTAGTGTAGGCATTTACATCCCTGAGACACGTCAAACGATGGGCCTCTTATCAAATTATGTTATATACGCACCAGTAACAGACCGTCTTATCCTCGGAAGCGCCCAAGATATGTCCTTCCTTCGTGGGATTCCAAGCGAGACCGAAACTAGCAGACATCCATGAGCACGCCACTTGATCACTAAACAAACACAAAACTCACCCTTCCTTGGTCTGGCCCAGCAACCTAATGTCGGGTTTACACACCCCATTCCTCTCTGGGTCGCTGGGATGTCTCGTCCTGTCAAACACAAGCACCTCGCCCGACACCGCCTTCGTGGCAATCAAATCCGGCTTCTGTGGCATATATCTCGCCCTATTCACCTCCCCTTGGTGGTTGATTCTCTGAATGACTTCGATACGCGGGGTAGGCGCGATAGTGTGGCCGCCAAGTTCGCCTCGCTCGTCATCATAGTTGGAACGGTCGATTGTATCAGAACCAGGCCCTTCGCGCTTGGGGATCTGAACTGTGGCTATTTGGAGATAGTCAGGTGCTTGTTGAGAAGTATGAGTGCCAAGAAGGAGACGGTGGGTCGTGTATGGTTTGTTCGGGTGACTATGGGCACATCAGGATGGGCCGATAAGGTTAGGAATGAAGTAAGCTAAGGGTTTGAGGACGCACTCTTCTTTGTCCGGGAACCATTGACAGGTGAGACTGGGCCAGTCGAGCGCGTGCGTTATGAGTAAGTCATACAGATATGGTGCGTTCTTTTTCCTGAAAGTAAGAACTGAAATCAACGTCGCTTCCGATCAGGATGAGGCGAGCCACGAACCAAATTTTGTACTCCTGCAGCATGATGGGTGATTGAGCTCCGCAGGTACATTCCATTAGTGTAAAGTGACACGGACCTCGTTGATGACTTTGTTCTCTTCCTCGGCCTCTTCAAAATCGTCGTCCACCACTGTGGGCTTCATTGTGATCTACCGTGGTGTGGTGGGGTAGTCAAGACGCGGTTGAAGACGCGACTGGGGTACGCGCCGGGAACATACACGCGTTTCTCACGCATCATCGCGCGTCAGGTCCTTGTGGCGCCTGTGGGCCACAAACCGATATCCCTCCTAGGATCACCATCGGCGCAAGTACAGTATACCAGTGCTACAGCCTCCTACAACCTGGAAGCACTATTTCGGTATTACTGAAGACAGTGTACTATCCTACCTTCCTCCGAACCAGAAAAAGCTATCCCTACATTCGTGATGCCAAGATACTGAGAGGACATAGGAAATCGGACTAGCAATAGAATAAGTGAGAAGTATGTACAGGGGCCATAGCAAGTCATTCATAACAAACGGGTAGCAGTGTGAATCAGAGATGCAGCCAAGCTAGCGGGAGATTGAGGGTAAAGTTTAGACTATGAGACTCGCGGACTCAGATGAGTTATGTTATGCTCTCAAGCGGGGCAACCTCCAAAATCACAGTTCCCGTATGTCGAGACTGAGTTTAGATGCCAGACATCAGCGCTGATGCTTGTGCATGAATAGATGCTGATTACCTCAACCATATCCTCGTTGGGCTGGTGAGAGCCAGACTTGACCTCGCCATTGGTAGCTCGACTAGCTCCGGCAGTCATCGCAAACTAGAAACCGAATGTCAGACGCACGCTCCCTAGACAGACGCAGAATTTGGAAAATAGCGATACCGAATCCTCATGAGACGTGCTATCGGTGATTGGGTTCGTATTCTGAGTGCTGCCTACGTCGGGTGTAAACTCAAGGGTTTGAAACAGACCAGGCTTGCGGAGCTTTTTTTGGAGTGCCTCTCTCTGGTTGAGCGTGGCGAGAAGCGCATTAAAATAGACTGAGCGAAAAGGTATATGAGATGTCAAAGCCTCAGTCGACCAGAAGTGAATTATACGAACACTTGGCTACGACAAGCCTGACCCCTCCATACGCTAGACCAGACGAAGCGACGAACTGTATACCCGATAGTCAGCTTTAGTAGTCATGGAAGACAATGTCCACGCACAGCGATGAGAACTATGACAGTAGCCAGACTAGAGTGTGTGCGATGTCAATGATTGCGTATTTTAAGCTGACATAGACTCGAATCGACAGACCTCGTCAGAGCCCCTGTAGAGACTGTATAGACGATCAAGGTGTTTACAAGTGACGTGTTCCTTGCAAGGTTGGCGTAAGTCTAGTAATGCTAAGCTCTTTGAAGACGAACGTACTTTTTGAAATGAGAGCCCTTGCGAAACCTCCATAGAAGGAAGACTAGAATAGTGGCGATCACGGTGTCCGCCACTACAGCTGAAACGACGAAGGCATAAGTTACGATCTACCAAAATATGGCCGACTTTTAGTCGTTTCGTGGTATCAAAGGTACTATAGAAAAGAAAGTACATACATTGTACGATCGAAAGCTATCGGGAGTTAGCCTGAATCTGCAAATCCAGTGTGTGAGCTCTCCATCATCGCAACAGGCTTGAAGTTACCATACGAGGCTGAAGCAAGCCCTGCACGGAGAGATCCTTTGGGTTAGACCGCGGTGTGAGTATAGATTACTCCATATCACGCACAGACACTGAACACTATAGAGTGAGATGCCCTAGACATCAGTCATTGCGACGCAACACGAGGCAACCAAACCCTCACATAGAGCGACAGTTGCGAAACCTGCCTGTACAAGGAAGGACCATCAACATATTAGTATCGGCGCGGTAGCGTAGCTAAGAGACTTACTGATATCACTGTCAAGATATAGCTGTTGTTGCTCACTAAGAATATGGGCCGTAGATATGCGTAGGCCAATCATACTCGACAATGTAGTAGTCGTAACAGAAGAGCAACTTACGACTCCATATCCTGAGGCAATAAGGGCTGAGAGGAGTCACTGTCACCTCGTGCTCGCAAGCTAAAGCGAAAGCGAGGTACCTTCTCACTATGCCTTCCATGAATGCCTATCGAAGTCTCAGCATCATGATGCAGGACGGATTTGTTTCACTTACCTCTAGGAGATACGAGACCTGTCAAGAGATGGAAATGAGTTGGTCTATATGGCAGACGCCCATGAGTACTTACCGAGACCGCCCTGAAGCCGTAGTCAGCTTGAGTGTGGCTAAAATCGTACATGAGGATTGTCGGCGTACCAGTAAACACCTCCCGAAAGTATATCGTCCGGGTTGGATATATCCACTCGCCAGAGGACAATTGGAGCAATAGCAGAGTCAGCGATATCAAGAATCCTTGAAGAAGGCCATCAGTCTACAACCCCAAACAAGAGACAGATGGAAGGGGCATCCACCACAAAACGACCACCTGTCAAGTCGAAATTTATCGAATCAAAAGGCCAGACAAGTCGCAGAACGCAGGAGCTCGTGAGATGCTGACCGTGAACTTCACGACAGACTTGTCCTGGCGCATGCGAGCGGACTTGAAATACATGAAGGTCTGGAGAGATGTAAGCCCGAAGAGACTAGGCACCCGAAGGCCAATGGGCAAAGTTTCTTTCGTCAATGAAAAGAGCGGACGTACATTCCTGCGACGTAAACGCCGACGAAAACTCCAATGGACGAGCTTTCGGCTTCAGCTGACGCCATGCACAAAAAAGGGGTCGGGAGGCTAGAGACAACGAATTGTAGGGCTCATTGGGTTTTAAAGGCGACAGAGGCTAGCAGGAAGGCGCTTGTGAAAATACGGCATAGGTCGTTGAATCTTGATAGGAGCTGTTGCCCACCTGCAGATAGCGTTAGCGGTGCCAAGTTTGGTCTCATGCTGAGGACAGAGAATCAGAGCTCCTCTATTCGTTCTTTCATGGGATTCTTGTGTGTCATCGTTTCTGCAATGAGGCTTCTCCTGTAGCTCGCTTTCTCGGACTGATGATGAAGCGTATAAACAAACCTGCAGAGACTATCGATACTAGAGGAGCAGCCCTTCCTCTAGCTCCAGGATCTGCAAACCGTTTGCGGATCAGAACTTTGTTGTTACGCGTTTCGCTATAAAAAGATGCAGATAACGAGGACCCATGCACAGGTATGCACAGTTGCCGCGCGGCAAACGCTTTCCCCATAAAATAATGGTTAGAACGCCCAGAAGATAGTGACAATATGGATCATTTGACTGCAGTCGCGACGACCCGTGAGCCTGCCATCCCGACAGTGATTGTTATTGAGTAATGAGGTCATAAGTTGAAAGACATCTTAGGCGTAGGAACACGTGCAAGAGCCTATGAGGTTCAACTTGATTCGGAACGGCGAACTTGTTCGTGGATCGAACATGCCAGCCTGTGCCGGCAACGTCCTCGAGACGAGTTCTTTTACGGTGAGAAATTGTGACGAACTATTTTACATAGCACAGTGCGCAGTGGGATTAGGCACGCAACGTAGTCACTTTGCCTTCGTTGACGAATACCATGCCCTACAATTGTCGCAATTGATCCCCGCGAAGCACACGACTTGATCAACTTACTCCAAAGGGCAAGAGGTCGAAGCCAATCCCAATGGGCGTAACGCAGGCTGTGGCGAGCCGGAAGCTATTCCAAGTCGTGCAAACACAGCCAATTGTGGCACCCATGAGACGCGTCTCACGTCTGGAGACTGGTAGTTCTGCATTTCGCTCTGATGTCCCACCAGAAGAAGATAGGACCAGAATCGTGTTATGCACAACTTGAACCGACTGGCGGATCATTACGGCGCGACGTTCTGCAGTGCGACCAGCACGACAAAGCCCGTCGGCATTTGCGTTTGGAAAGACGGAAGTAATGCAGAGTAGATGGATATGACGTATAGTTACCACAGGTAAGCAGGCGGGCCAGGAGGTGTCGAGCAAAGGCCAAGAGTTCAAATAAGAATATCCACAAAAGCGCTCTATGTTAACGACACGGACGCGACAGGAGGAGAGAAGCAACTACTTCAAATCGCTCTCCCACTTGGCCAGCAGCTTCTCGAGGTCGAATTTGGGGTCTTCTGGGTCGGTGATAACTGTATAAAGAATGATGAGTCCAGTACACGTCACATAGGTAGAAGATTAGAGAGGCAAAGTATTAGTTGAAAAGGACCATGCAGAAAACGGAGGAATTCAAGACTTCTGGCCAGAGGCCTGGCACGCAAACAAGCCAGTGTCCAGCAAGAATCTTATAGTCTAGGTTGGGGAGGATTGGGGTAACGCGCATGAAGACGTGGTTGTTGCCTGCATTTTGTGCGCCGTCTTGTGCAACCGTCGCGCAACAGCTACACGAGACAAGTATATGAGAACACTCACTACCATCCTTAGAGCCCTCCTGCTTCCTCTTCCAAGCCTCTTTCGCCTGATGAATAAGGTGTTCCCGCTCATGGATTGCGTGGCGCGCCTTGTCCTCGTCGTGTTGTTTTTGTAATGTTCGGCGATGCAATACACCATAGAATACGCCTGAAAGAAGGGCCGTGTACCGGACAACCTATATAAAACAAATGAAGTGGCCACTGTCGTCAGGAAAACCAGGTAGTATGATATAAATGTTGGTGGACCCACGTTGACGGTGGAGGAAACCATGGTGTCGCCCTTTTCTATCCGGCCGATGAAGGAGGTGGTGAGTCGGCGGGTTCCTTCAAAGAACTGAGGACTAATATCGAGGTTGAAGAGCACAGGTAAGGTAACGACGACTGGTTGAATAGGCAAGACGAGAGCGTACCGGGCGGTAGGGGTGAGCAGGTGGGTAACAATATCTAGGCGTTTCGTGCGCCAACGACGAGCGGAAGAAGTCGGCCCCCAAATTCATCTTATGTAATGCTGGCTTTTTTATCGCAATTTTCCTCCTTTTCCTTTGACCACCAGCCTGCTCTGGGATCCGCTCGTTCATTAACGTTCATCTATGCATCCTTCGAGAATTTCACCAAACAATCGGGGTCGTCTCCTTGTATCTGCATGTCATCTAACGCTAGTGGCTGGCTAAACATCTGCTTCAGGATTGGCGCCAACTGTCTATGGTCTCATAATAACCCCACAAAGCTCACTGGTCGCCACTGGCAGGCCCGAATGTTCGATCCTTAAAATATGGTAGCTCTTTGATTATCCCTAAGACTGCAGGACACAGTTGTGGAAGGAGAATACACATGCGTCTGCAACGGAACGGACGCCCGATGTGGGTCCGACGCTCCTCCCATGACACTGAACACTCGACACCTCTTTGCACACATCCTTTGCTTGGACACCCTATTCATCGCATACCATGCCCAACTCTACGATTAGCGCAGAGAATCCTTTGAAAGGTGGCTGTTTCTGTGGTCAAGCTTCTTACACAATAACAGCTCCGCCCAAAATGCGAGCGTATTGTCACTGCACGGGCTGCCAGCGTCTTAACGGTATGTTTTGCACCTTCATTGCTCGCTATAGTCATTCACGCTCGCTCTCATCTCTGTGGCAGCTTGTCCCTACAATTGGACCATTCACAACGATGCCTCGAACTTCACCTTCACTCACCCTCAGCCGCATGCTGAGCGTCTAGATTCCTTCGTCAATCCTGACAAACCATGGAAGACTCGCTTCAGGTGCAAGACATGTGGATGTACCGTCGCCTCGAAGAATTCCAAGACGAATAATGTCAGTGTGTGGGGACCGCATCTGGAGAGGGATAATGAAGGGATGATCAAGCGGTCGGATGAGGTGAAACCTACGGCTCATATCTTCTACGGAACGAGGATTGCGGACGTCAACGACGGACTGCCCAAGTGGGAGGGTTATGAGGGGACATCAAACCGGATGGGATAGAGCAGTGGTTGAAGTGTTGTACATGGCATAGCTTTCGCAAGATCGTGGGCCAGTGTATCACTGAAGTTCAACTGGTTGATGATTATTTCTTGGTCTTTACGAGATCCTCGAGAGCGTTGGTGTTTTGCGTGTTGCTGGGCGTGGAATGGTGATATATAGCGTCAGGTCTTGCAAACGTCGATTACGAAGAGCCCGCTAGGACATCGCTGCAGCATATCAATAGTGACTAGATCTTTTGGATAAATACCGTGAAGAGGATCAATGAGTTCAAGACACATTCGTATTCCGACCTCTGTTAAGTTCCCGTGCTTGAGAAGCGCTGCTCCTGTTATGCGCCACCCATCGCCACCGGGTCAAAGTGAAATCTTGACATGGAAACGTTCCGTGTCTCTCCTTGGATCAGCTACGGTCCTTCAACGTCTGACTCGAGGCCAGACGACCATCACCACCAAGAATCAGGATCACCTAAAATGGACGAAGACGTCGACATGGACGCGCCTCAGATCTCCACCCTTCGTGAGGAGGAGAGCCCCCCACCGTCGAACTCGACACCCAGTCGTACAGGCAGGTTTCGTGTGAAGCTTGTCGTCAACAAGCCCGAAACTGGGACGAAATTCATCAAGGTTGATGGTGCGACTGGAGAGGAGGCTGCAAATAGTGGGGAAGAGGGAGAAGTGGAGGAGAAGGAGGAGGGGGAGGAGGAGGAGGAGGAGGAAGACCAGCTCATTGATGACGACGATGGCGACGCGCCTTCTGCTTCGGTGACCCCTTCGGTCACGCCTTTGCCAGTGGCTCTCACCGCTTCTCCAGCACCAGTTCCAGTCGTAGCGCCAGTCCGTGGCACTGGTCGTGGTCGAGGGCGCGGTAGGGGTCGAGGTAGGGGAAAGAGAGGCGGTGGTGGTGCGTGGTCATTTATTCCCTTCATATTTCTCTCACATTTCCCCTCTCTTTCTGACACTTTATACTGTAGTGGATAGATCTGCAGTACCCGTAGAGGTCGCAGACATACATGTTGACCCCGCTCGCTTGCCACAGCCACCCTCTACGTCTCGCGGGAGAGGTGTACCGAGGGGTACTACTGCTGCTTTACGAGCACCCCGCAAATCTGGACCAACGTATGTCTAAATTTGTTCATCCAGGGGTATATACTGATCTGCTCGACATCTGAAGTAAGACCACCATCACTATTCCCCCTATTGCCCCACACATCATTGACTATGCGGGGGAGTTGAGCGAAGGTACGCGTCGGGTTATTCACCCAAGTCAACATTCCGCTCATTGTAGTTATACGGCTTTCATTTTTTGTAGGTTATACCGGGACTGCTCCCTCATCTCCTGCAGCCGACGTGCAAAGCGTTGCCCCTTCCACTTCCGGACTAGCTGCTCCGGCTGCAGAGGAAATCAATCTGGATTCTGCTCCTCATCCCCGCTATCCACTACCGAGCAAACCATTCCATGTGCAACCTGCACCCAAAATCGGCACAGGTTGGGCACCCGTCCTTCCCCTCGACCGCTCTGGCAAGAAAGTTCGCCATTGGCGCCCTGCGAATCGAGAAATTCGCGGAATAGCAGGTGGTCGATGGTTCGCTAGGTCCTGGCTAGGTGATAAGGAGTCCGAGCTTGCCTCTGCTCAAGCCGCCGCCGCTGCCGCTGTTACCGCCCCTCAACCGCCCATGCTGCCTTCTCTCTTCCCCGACTCCTTCTCCGCGAGCTCAGGCCCATCCACCGTCATGCTACCAAAGCTTCCCTCCTTGTCATTGGCTGCTCATCCAACACTTGCTCCTCCCGCGCCAAAGCGACGAGGTCGCCCTCCAAACAACCCAAACTCTGCAGCATCCTCACGAGGTGTATCCGTTGATACCGTTGGTACGAGTACACCTGGTGTTGCTCGTGTGCCAGTGCCAAAGCCATCCAATCTAGGCACTGCAGAGGTCGTGATGGATCAGTCCCAGAAGATTTCGGCTCCGCCTGCCTAAATTACATCGCTCGTAGAGTTTTGTCTTGCTTTCGTTGTTGTAGGATCCCTCTATCACTTGTTCATCCGCTTTGCATTGTCTGTAATAATTATCTACGTGTGTTGTTCCCGCTGAATCTTCTCTTACCGAGCTTGGATACGAGGGTCTTCTGTCTCCACAAATATTCTCAACTGGCGAGGGATGCTTTTCCAAATGTAGTGCGGTGCTTGTTGTATGATCGAATGAGACCCTAACCCCAGTCTCAGTGTGGGTACTGCCAAGTGTAACCACAGTTCCGACCCGTGGCAATACGCCGCCGTACTCATAGCTTCGCGTCATTCCACTGTTCTACTTCTGGATATCCTCCTTGACTCTAATTCTTCACTATCAAGCTAGCGAGGTTTCTACTCTAATATCTGGAATACTTGCTAGGCCATTATTGTTCTAGGTTTACTTAGCTTTGGTGCTCGGCTTATGACCGTCCACCGACACCGCGGATCCTCATAATATGGCCACGGAAGACAGTATCAAAAGGGGCTCTGCACGCATCTCAGAGAGAGTCAGTGATCGTGGTTGGTGTGCCCATATGTAACTCCCCAGGCTTGTTGTTACAGCACTGAATGGCCATCCAGGAGCATTGCTGCAGACCTACGCGTCCGACCCGAAGTACAAGAAGTACGCGCAGCAAGTGGAGAAATGCCTCAGTTCGTTCGACAGTGTTCATGAATGGGCGGATTTCATAGCTTTCTTGAAGCAGTTACTGAAGGTACGCAGGCTTACGTTCTCAGCTTTGAACTGCAAAGTGACATGAATGGTATCACAGACGCTGCAAGCGTACATGCAGTTCAAGGAAATCCCTCGGAAGATCATTGTCGCTAAACGACTCTCCCAATGTCTTAACCCCGCATTACCCAGCGGAGTCCATTCGAGGGCCTTGGATGTCTACTCACACATTATCTCGGTCGTCGGGGTGCGTCAAACATTACTATTCAAATACTTGACACCGATATCGCCATAGTCTGAAGGCCTCAAGCGTGACCTACCATTGTGGGCATCTGGCCTGTTCCCCTTCTTTGAATATGCAGCTACATCGGTGAAGGTGCGCTAGGTTTGGACGTCCATGGTCGTTGAGTGATTAACGGTCGCCACAGCCCACGCTATTGAACATATACGACATGTATTTCCTACCATTACAAGCCGGTCTTAGGCCGGTGATGAAGTCTTTTATCTTGGCGCTGTTGCCTGGGCTAGAGGAAGAGACGGGCGAGTTCTTTGACAAGGTATGCAGCGTTCGCTCTTTATTCGCACCCTCTCACGCGAATTGTGGCCCAGGTCCTCGGTCTCCTAGATCGCTTGTCTGGGACAGTCTCTCCTTCGTTCTTCCTCCAAAATATATGGCTCGTCATGCTCACAATGCCTTCCGCTCGAGGAACGTCACTGAACTTCCTGTCCCGTCGATTGCCTCGCCTCAACGGTGATGAGGGTGCGTCGACTTTGTAACATCGTTCCGCAGCGAGACGTTTCTGACTCCATGCACTGTAGACATCACTTCCATAGTTGGACGAGATACTGGCCTCATGATCCGTGCTTTCGCTGCAGCTCTCGAAGACGACAATCTTTTGGTTCGCCGCGGAGCACTTGATCTTCTACTCCAATCCCTTCGAATCGATAATGCGGCCGTGCAGAAAGCCTCGCCTGAAGACCGCGCCATTCTTATGCGTGCAGCGACGAGTGTAGTTATGCGACGAGACCTCTCGCTCAACCGTCGACTGTATACCTGGCTGCTAGGAGCGGATGAAAATTCCGAGCAACAAGTGGCGTATCTACGTGCTAATGCACTCGAGCTGCTCCGGTCGACTCTCAGGGTGAGTGTGTTCCTCGCAAAGTATGATTCTCAACCTTGCTGACGAGTATTTGTTCAGGACGAGATGTTCTCACCCTCTGCCGAATATTCCGAATCACGACCGTTCAAGATCTTTATCTCTCTTCTAGATAAATGGGAAGTCGGCGGGCCTCTGACGGAGGTTCTGATTTTCGACACGTTCAAGGCCCTCAAGAAGTGCATCGAGTCAAGTGTAAATAACGGAGAAGATGTCAGTTTCTAGCTGGTGTGCTCCTTTCATATTCGCTGACGGATATACTCGTAGCTCGTGATGACCGCTAGTACACTATATGAGGCCGTTGAACCGAGGATAGTGTGGCGGAAGCTCTTTGAACCCTTGGTTTCAGAAGTTACCGGCGACGGCACTCATCATGAGGTGAGGTCGCTGACTTAGTGCGGCCAACGGCTCATGCTAACTTGAGACTGTCAGGCTATTGACCTTGTGAAGTTTATCCTCACGAAATTCCATGTTCGTGATGAAGAGATCCAGACAGTCCACCTACCGATTGTATTCGCCGCAGTTATGAACATTGTCCAGGTACGGCCATCTTTATTTCGCTTGGACGATCACCTCACCCCTTTTCAGTCTCAAATGATAGACCAAGGTTCCAAGTCTTCCCTGGCCTCGATCTCGGAAGCACTCCAGCTCGAAGAGATCATCCTCCAGCAAATTCCAGCACCGGCGCTCCTCGACCTACCCGATACAGCGGACCCAAAATTGACGTCGGGAAACCTTAGTCCTTACGGCTTAGCCTGCTCATTTTATGACGTGCCCACGTCGTTGCCCGACTCTGGGTCTCATGGCTCGCCATTCGTCACAGTATTCTCCGACCTGGCGAAGTTCAGTGTCCACTGCGCACTAGCACTTTCCTCTCCAACACCGCACGTCTCGTACCTTCATGGGTTGTTGCTGCAATGTCTCGTCCTCCTAAACAAGCTTGTCGAAGGGTTGAGCGGCGATGACCGAACGAAGATCCAGGTCGATTGGAGTCCGACAGTTTGGCTGTCTACGATGCTAACGATGCTCGACGAAAAGGTTGGGTCATCCAGACTAGTATTCCCATGAATCTCCCAGCTGATATCGTTGGCATCCAGGGCAGGACGTTCACCCTCGTCAATCGAATCGTCACTCTAGTGATTTCTCTCCAGGGGGCCCATCAGATCGAGCCGTGCGTGAGCGTCCAAGATCGGTCTGTCGCATTCAAGATCGTCCAAACGGTACGCTCACTGTTTGCAGCTGTACTGATATGCTAATGCATATTTACCACAATCCATAGCTCTTCTCGTACCTTCGACCTGAGTATACTGTATATCACGTCCGAGCTATGCATCTGATCTGGGACCTAGAACACGTTCTGAAGCGCCCGCATATCGAGTCCGTCATCGCGCAGAGTTTGACCTCCCCCGAATCTCGGAATGTTCAGGAGCGTTACGAGGCGTTTGGAGTCTTCTGGAGGTTGACAGGTATGTTGACCTACGTAGCCTGCCATTTATCACTTGGGCTAATGCCTGAATCTAGAGGACGAACAGCTTCCGGGCTTCCGATTTAGGATACCGATGATGATGGTTCTCGACACTCTTAAGAACGACGACCCCAATCTGCGGCGCATTGGCGAGACTTGGATGCGATGTAGTCTGAAGTCCTACCTTCGGTATGTCCACCTTGTCCATAGTTGATCCTGTTGCTCAGACGTTTTTCAGAATACTAGACCCTATACTGTACGACCTCTTGGACCCAACCATGCGGCGAGTACCATCAGTGACCAATCTCGATGGAAAAGAGATCCTTGATTTCTCCTACGAACGGCCATTTGATCAGTCCTACGTCAACTATCTACTGGAAACACTGCTTTCGGTTGTGCGCTTTGGCGGTCAAGGCTTCAGCAAGACAATACGCTCCAACGAAATACGCCGGTCTCCTCATCCGGGCATGCTCGAACGACTCGAAGCTTGTGAGTACATTTTACTACTCGCATTGAAGACCGATATAAATTATGTACAGCCGGTATTGCTCAGGTGGATGCGACGTACCAGGATGTCCTTGTGGACCTTTTGACAAGGTAAGAGCCTCGCCTCATATATCCACCGGGCAGCTTCTCACACTCGGTCTAGATTTTTGCAGTCCGAATGCAAACATAAAAGGGTCGAGACCATGATACCCTTCAACATCGTCATCCAATCAACTGCCATTGAACTACTCCAGACTGTCATCGCTCGCGGAGATATTGACTCTCTGGCACTCGAGGGGGTGGAGGCGGCTGTCATCGGAAAGCTCTACCTCTGCGTGCACAAGGAACGTCTAGAGCTGCAAAACAAGCTTCTCCACCTTCTTCACTCCATCATCTCGACCACCACCACGTACGATCCGCGTCAAAACTCCACATCAAGACCTTCTATCAGCGACGGTCTTCCAGAACGCCCTATGTCTCGAGATGGCTCACAAGAATCAGGCGCACCTAATTATGCAATAAACCCTTTACTCGTCCAGACGCTACTCGACGGGATTGGCACACCCTCAAATCGCTCTGTCCTGCAACATTGGCTAGACTTCATCATGATGACCATCCCGTTATTCCGGAACCACGTACAAACACTCCTTCCTTTCTTGAGCGATTGCGTCGGTCGACAGTTGCAGCATGGCCTAGCAGACATTCGGAAGGCCTCTTCACAGTATTTGCTGGATCGTGACTTGCACGCATCAACCACTGATGCAGAGCTCGTGATGCTGCTGAACGCTTTGGAACGTCTCATCCTTCTGAGCTTGTCATCGCCTTACACTGGTCCTGGAGAAGACGATGGCATTACCGCAGAGAAACCTATTGGCGCGGAGAGCAGCGGCTTGTTTGGAATTATGAATGTGTTCAGCAGTGAAGTTGTCCAGCAGCCTGCAGCGGAGGAACAGCTGACGGTGCGTATGTATTTGAGTCCTTCTCTATATTACTGACTCTGTGAACCCAGGCACGCTCACCGGGATATCGTTCACTACACGAAGGTGTTCGGGTTCTCTTCAATGTTTGGGCATCGATGGCATGGTCGGAGCCGGAGACGTGGTCGGCGCGGGACGAATCGTTGTCGTTGATACACACCAAGACCCGTGCACGATGTCGACGAGTGTTTGAGCACCTGTTTCGCGTCCAGTCTGCAGAAGTCCTCGAGCTCATCATCGAGTGTTGGAGTCGTGAGCATTCAGTACGTCTTCTGCTGACTGATGTCTACGAATACTCTTGATTGATCATGCGCAGGAGTCTTCCCCTCAAGCTGCTGCTGCGTTCGAGCTGGTGGACACTCTTACCTCTAGCGCCCAGAATGTAGTACATATGGTGTGCGAGAGCATCTCTTGCCGCCTCCCCAGTCTCTCGGACAAGGGTCGACGTCAGGTCGTCAACCCAAATATGTGAGTCGACCAAGAAAAGCATCATAGTCGTCGATATGATGCTCATATTTCTCTTAGTACCGACGGCACCTTATTCTCTTTCATGGAACAGTATATGAGACAACTGGAAGGCCCGCTGGTGATCCAGGTCTGGGGTAGGTTCCTTCAACTGGCCAAAGAAGTCCTCAACAACACCAGGGATTTCAAGGGACAGGTCTTCCCAGTCCTCAGGTCTGTCCTTACCATGCCGTCAGGTTGTCGCTGCAGGAATTGAGTATATACACGGCCTACAGGTGCATCACAGTCCTTGCGGATAAGATGACGCAAACCACTGCCATGGAGGATCGTCGAATACGGAAGGATTTGCAGGTATGACCCTTTTCCTTTTATTCACTTCAAACGGCTACGATACTCACATTCCCTTGCTCACAGGACACGTACAGCAAACTACTTGATCTCGTGGTAGTGTCTGTTGGTCGTGGTTCGGAAGCTAGTTCTTGGATCCGTCGAGCGACGAAAGACAGCCTGGTCGTCAATGGTCGGGACTCGCCCCTACCACGCGGTTAGTCTGATAGTCTTTGCCGTGTCTTTTCAAAATTCTTACTTCTGCCGCAGTAGTCTCGGAAGGCAGGCTGGACGAGAAGTTGGCGGCGAGCAACGCGTCTCTCCAAGACCTTCAGGCGTCAAAACAGTCTTCATTAAATGATCAGGCCGAGCAGGTATATCGATGCCAGAAACGTTCAAATGGTCTGCCTGACTGACTGACATCTCTTAGGTCACCCTCTTTGTCCTCCAGAACGTTCTTCCCAACTTGCGGCGGTTCCTCATGGATAATGACAAGGTTACAGTCGCATGCACGAACATCGTATACTACATCGTCAATCCCTCGCTGAAAGCCAAATCAAGGTATGCGCTCTCGTGGATAAAGTCACAAATGGTTTACTGAAAGTTTTGGTAGGCCTCTAGACATGGATGACATCACATTTGGCATTCTTCGAGAGCTGAGCAGCATTCCCCCAGCCTTGAAGGCATGGCGAGCCATCGTGGCGGAGATCTTGAACGACAATCGATTCTTTAACAGCCTACCAGAGGCAGGAGAACAGTTCAGGCCTATCACGAAGGCCTTTATCGACGCGGACAAGACCGCCTTCCCTGAGCTTCTTGGTCCGTTCAATCGACCCAGTTATTACTTGCAGCCTCTGATCATATGGCTTCCATAGGCAAAGTAACCACCGCACCATCGACAAATATCTTCACAAACCGAGAATACGAGAATCTCTTGCGATCGTTGAATCTTCGCCGCCTTTCCTATGTCTTAGCTTGCGGCGAGAAAAACCAGTTCCTAACCTCACTCCCTACGATCCAAGAGAAGCTTGTCGAAGTGTTGAAGAACGTCACTGCACCGGTGGTCCAAGCAGAAGTTTATCTGTGCGTTCGAGTGCTGTTGTGCCGATTGTCGCCACACAACTTGGTCAGCTTCTGGCCCGTGATCTTGACCGAGATGGTATATATTTTACAATGGGTTCGAGTTGTACGTGCTCCTGACAACCCCCTGGTAGTACCGATTATTGGATTCGGTGATGTCCAACCTTCCTGCGGATGGCTCGGAAGACCTTCCTCTCATACTCTCTGCTTGTAAATGTCTGGATCTTCTGCTTGTCTTGCAGACGGAGGAATTCCAAGTGTCAGTCCCCGGATTTCACATATCCTCGTCAACTCAGAGCTCACTAGTGGTGATATTCGTATAGGCACCAATGGATTTTCATCACCGACACCGTCGACGCTGTGTATCGACCAGACGATATCCTGCCCGAAGCTATCTTCGACCAACTGGCTGAGATCGCAGGACGACTGCCCGTGTCGCAGGTACGTGCCCCTACAGCTTCCGTCAGGAAGATGTCCTGGTCTGTTCTAATATTTACCGCGACCGTACAGAGCAACCAATCACCAAGCGGAGCTTCACTCCGTTTCCCTCCAGTCGCCACCCCTTCAGCCCCAGACCATCGGCCAATGCGACGTCCGATACTAAACGGCCTTCGACAGATCGACTCAATACGAGATCTTGTGCCTTTCTTCTCGAGTGTTAGTATTGCGAGCTATGAGAGCGTGTATGCGAGTGGAGGGAATATCGCGTGGGATGAGGTCGAGCAGGGGATCGCGATGGATATGTTTGAAGGACGATGATCGTGAAGATGGTTGACATCTTTGTGTGTGTTTGTGGTCTCTGCGTGCATGTTGACTTCATCATCGTTTTCCGTGCGGACTCTTTTCGACTCCCACTTATACCGATTTGGACCCACTTGTCTTTTTAATTTATTTCGTTGACATTTTGTATGATTGACCATCTACAATGATGGTTCATATACCAATGTGATCCTCGCAGACATCATGCAAAACTGTAGGATGTGCGCCTCATCCTGTCAAGGGAAGAGCCACATGAGAAGAGAATGTTATAGCCATGGACATATTGTAAGCTGGTACATTCCACAAGGTAGCAGAGTGAAATGGAGTTTAAATAGGGACCTTCCACGGACGACAGAAAAGAAGAACATAACATTAACCAAAAGGAAGCGGCCTAGACTCGTCGAATACTCCGTGCGCCCAACAACTAGAAGTCACCCCAGCTACGGCGGAACTTGTACTGTGATAATAAGAGCAGTCAGAACATGATCTCCAATTATTATTGTTACTGTGAAGACAAGAATGAAGCATACCTTGTACGGGAGATTTTTCCTATACGAGATAAGGTCAAGGTGCCGTCAGCGTACTGTCGTCCAACTCGACAAGATATCGACGCCACAGCAGACAAACATACCTCATCTTCTCGGACGGACTGCTGGGGAACTTATACCCGCTGTCCCCACTTCCCCATTCCCCATGTTTCTCACTCTCCGCCTTCGCCTCCCTGAACCGAATAGCAGGATCCACCTCATCAGGCGACGGCTCGCGCTGCACCTGGATCTTCTTCGACGCCGCCGCCACGGGCTCTTGAGCGACATCACCTCCCTCAGCCACGACGTTCGCAGAATCGTTGGTGATAGACTCCGGTGCGGGGGCGTTAGGGTCTTCAGGCGGGGGTTCGTGCTGGGCTAGGGCCTCCTCGACTGAGATGCCTTGGAATTTGGCTTCGCGCTCGGCTTCTTGGATTTCGATCTTCTCGTGCGAGGCGAAATGCTCGATGTCTTCGGGGTGGTTGTAAGCTTCGTCGGTTTGGGTTTCGGGCGTTGAGTGATATTCCTCTGTAGTAATAGTGGTGATGAGGATGAGCGAGGAGAGACGAAATGTAAAGACACGGATGAGGGGAGTAGCGTCAAGTATGATTCGTACCTTCGTGGTGGAGGAAGAACTCTGGTACACGGTGTGTACACGGTCAGAGAGGTCAGATCTGGGAGCAAAATCGAGAGGAGACGCACCGCTCTCAACGTCGTAATGATGTCCCTCGGCTCCCATGTTGTCGAAATTCGGCAGGGCAGCAAGTCCAACGCTCTCGAACTCCTCCATCGTGACCACTTCGTCCTTGTTCTTGTCCAAGGCGTTCATTATCGTGTCGACAATAACTTTGGCCTTAGCCTTGTGCTCTTCGTCATCCTGCAGACGCGGTGGGGTTTCATATTATTGCTTGGAGAAGCTGAAATGTGGTTGACGGACATTACCTTGGACTTCTTCTGTGAGTATACGTGGTGCACCCCGTAGATGGCCTCAACCTCTTCCTTGTCCCACACACCATCCCTACATAAAGTATGAGAGCAAGCCGAGACCGAAAGGTTCGATAGAGCCATACCGGTTCAAGTCATGGAGCTGGAAGAAGCTCGCCAGATCGAACGAGTCGCTGTGAGAAAGGACGGCATACTTGAGCTCAAGAGCAGGACACATTATAAGCATGCTCACGTACATATGATGTTCCGTCGCCATCTACAAGTCCAATCGTATGCATTCAAAACTACGTTCTCTCAATGTGAACAGACGGTGCAGAGACGTACATGTCTTTGCGCGTACTGAGCTGCATCACCGGTGAGAGGTTCCTTCGACTCCTCGTGCGCACCGTGCGCGGCTACCGAGCATAGATAAAGAAAGAGCGAGAATGGTAAGGATTGAAGGTGCATTGTGTACAGACAAAGATAGCGGTAAAAGAAAAAGTACGCCGGGGTTGGGTGGACGTTCGAATGAACCTGGAGTGAACCCTTTCGCGGCGTCCCCACACTCTCGCCACATGAGCATTGAGTATGCATCCGCGGAAGGCGGGTGCCACACAGATCGGGGCCAGGTGCCACACAATTGCAAGTACCCCAGAGTGCAATAATAACATGGCATTTCCAACTACAGTCTACTGTGTACAGGCTACGGATATACTTGGGAGATAGCTATACTGCCCGAAAGAAAACATACAATTGACGTCCAAACAAAACATCGGAGACAATGATTGTCCATCGCAGATGTGCGTCCTTCCCTCCTCTTCCGTCCTTGCCTCATGGATTGAACGCCGCGATAAGCAACTCATAAATGAGTAAAGCTTGCTCTGGACGTTGCACCATGCCTGGCCGCTGTTCTCTCAAATGGTCAATCTCCTGCGCAACCTGATCCCACTGCAAGGACTCAGGTAGGGGTCCGAGCGGCGATTGAGGAAGCGGAGGTGGGGGCATCGAAGACTCCACAGGGGTGGATTTAGACGTGGAAAGGATGTTATATGAACGCAGGAGAGAACAGAGGGCGATAAAGGACCCGGTCCGACCGATTCCTGCGCTGCAGTTCACCATGATGGGGGGCTCGGTTTCAGGCTGATCGGGGTGCCCAGATGGCTGTTTGTTCGTCTGATCGACGAGACGAATGAAGTTAAGCAGCCCTGCCCTGTCCTCAACGTTGGGAACGCCATGGTCTGGCCAGGCCAGATAGAGGAGATGATTGAAGATGACGGATTCGTGAGGTGAGTTCGACGAGACGGGGGCGACAGAGACAGTGCTCAGGAGGCACCGAGCAGAGTCGATGGATTCTGCTTTCAGTAGGGTGACCTTGAGTGGTGGAAGCGTATTGTCGATTCTGGAGTGTACGACATAGGACTCGCCGGGGTTGGATGGGAAGTAAGTGTGGGCTTTCTGCATCCCTGACTCGATGTTCTGAGTGAGCTGAACGACTGTCCTGATACGCACGGGTCCAGGGTATGTCGGATCTGGAGGAGTGACGACGGCATCGGCGAGGATGCTGAGAAATTCGTGTGTGGTCGTTGGAAGTGGTGCTTGGGTCGCGATTGCCCAGTGTCCTCCGGCGTTCTCTCGTACCCAATTGCCGTTGAAATAACGATCATCAACGATCACGCGAGTTCGTTCGTAAGGTGCTACGTCGGCGTAGCGGTTGAAAGGCTTGTTCTGCGGAAGGTATGAGGTTGCGGTGGAATAATGTGAGGTGAGGTGAGATTCGGTATGAGAAGGTATATGAGTGATTCTGCGAGAGAGTGGACGCGGAATAGATGAGCTACGGGCTTGCACACGAGTCTGCTCTCGTTCTGCAAGCGTCCTCAAAGCAAAAGTCATGTGCTCGTTATCATGAGCTTTCTGAAGCCAAGTAGGAACAGGATTTGGCGGAGGGCTCATCCTGCGATCGTGTTTCCTGGTCGAAAGGAGATGGTGGGTGCGTGTGAAGAGGCTCTTCATCGGACAGTTGGAGAACTGAACTCGCGTACACTCCGCTTGGGGTGGACTACGAAGAGTGATAGAACTAAATACTCGTCCATCTCGCTATTGCGGTGGACCCAAGCGTTCCCGTGTCGGTTTCTATTACTTTCGAATGGTCCTGGGCGAGGCCTTCCTTTCTTCCATATGATTGAGTAAGTAATGGCCCGTTTCCGTTCAACGAGGTCCGAAGGCGGCCAGACTTTAGCGCAAAATCGGCGGCAGATTTACCTGACTGGGCAGGTCTTCGTCGCCAGAGTTCGTTTTCACTACATTTCTGGCCGGTAATGTAAGTACTTTTGTCCAGCCGTCACCAATAACCACGTTTGCGAAAACCAGCACGCCCTTTGCACCAGATCCTACGAACGGAAGATATGTCTTCTGGGGATGTTGTCTCTGTCATAACATCAGATACTCGTGTCAAGTAAGTGGCCATCTAGCCCAATAGTTAGTCAAAATATCGATGTAAACGAACGTCCCGTCACCTCCAGAGTCAGCTCAACATTGGATAAATCTGTTGGGAAGAAATACTTGACTGATGGCAGTCCAGAGACTTGTTGGACGTCTCAACAAGTTTGTTCCATGCGACTACCAATCACCCTGAGGCTGGCTGACTTGCTCCCCTTGTTTGCCATAGGGGCTCCCTCAATCCATCCAACTATTGTTTCCCTCGCCGATCGTACCGCATCGCGTATTGTTAACATTCCAGGGTGGCTTTGTTGGAACCCGGTGTACTGTTCAGATCCAGACGTCTGAGGGAGATGCATGGGAAAAACTCACCCAAATATATCCGGAAGATGTCAATAGAGCACAAGCCTTCAATCTTCAAGAGGTCGCATCACATGCAGTACAGGGTATCAAGCTCGTATTCGAAGAAAGCAGCGACTTCTTCGGTCGTATAACTGTGTATGATCTCAACATTGAGGGGGAGATAGTCGGTGAACGATAGTGGAATGTGATAACACTTGAGCCCATCGCAATGTTGGCACCGAAAGCTGGCTTCTCTAGCTTCTTCGCCCTCCGCGCCACAGACCGCCCTGCCCGCTCTGGACGCTTCTTGTTCGTGTTTCGTCTTATTTTCTTTTGTATGTCCAACTGACGTACAATAGATCTGAGATTGCTCTGTGCTGTTGCTATAGCGCTTGGACCCGTAGATCGACTTTTACACACGCCACTCATCCTCCATCACCGAATTCGGTTTTCTCATTGTTCCATATTTAGTTTGGTTTCACGAAGTGCCGCCACCGAAGGCACCATCGCGATGGCCAATCGATTAAAACGCAGCCTCAGTCTGTGCCGTTATGATCTTCCTTCTATTCCCTTTATCCCTCTCTATCCCTTCTCGCCACCCCGTACACGAGGCTACTAAAAGGCACGATCACGTGCTCTCGCTTTGACTGTGTTACGACTGTATATCAACCTGACACCGATTGCCAGTATCCCTCCCCCTTCTTGACCGCCACCCTCAGTACCATCGCGTCCCATTTTCCGCGATCCTTCTTCCCCTTCCCACGACACCTACAATACACCACTGGCTTCCATCATGGCTTTCGTCAATTGCATTGCGCTGACCCTCGACGATGTTGACGACCACGTCCCCCTCGTAGCTCCTTTCACGGATGTTGATATCTGTCGCGTTCAGATCTTCCTCCAGCAACCCTTCGCCTCTTCGCTCAACAACTCCAGGGTGGCGCTTGTCAACATGGCTCATCTCGGACTTCAACTCTACAAGCTCTTTCCTCCCAAGAGTCTGGCACACGCGACTATTACGTCAAACCACTCGGCTCCGAGCATCTACCTTTCCTCCCCGTCTTCGGCATCCTTCCAGTCCTCGCCCAGCTTCGTCAATGGTTCAAGCTTCACCACCCCCTTCACATCTCCTCTATACACACCAGAATCGTCTCCTCGCTCCCTTCCCTTTGACAAGTCAGGCGCCGGTGTCTTACCGTGTGGCGCTTCGCAGGCAAACGGTGACTCCGTCGGGATCAAGGCCGACGAGTTTGTTCTTGGAGAAGATGTATCTTGCGCCACCGATGGGGAGAAAGACGTTCCTGTCGTCACTCTCGACGACGGCAAGGTCGTCTACACGGTTTTGGACTGTATTGGTCATGGTGGTTTTGGCAGGGTCTTCGCCGCCCAGGCCTCTCCGCACGATACAAGCATGGACTTTCCTCGCCAGGTAGCCATCAAGGCCATTTCCAAGAGCGACGTTCGCTCCAACCAGAGCTACTTCGACGCAGTCGCGAACGAACGCAAGATCCTTGTTGCAGCCAACGGGACGGATGGCGACTTCCTGACCAAATTGCTTTCATGCTTCCAGGATGATGATAATATATATTTCGTTATGGTGCGTGTGTTACTGTTATTTGGTTTTCCGATATCTAACCCTTTGTGTGGGTTTGAACAGAGGCTCTATGTGAAGGACCTCTCACAGTTCATGAGAGAATTCACCGGGGGTATGCCCTTGGAGTACATCCGTCATTACATCGCAGAACTCGTCCTCGGCATGCAGCAACTGCAGAGCGCAAAAATCATCCACGGCGACCTTAAACCCAACAACATCTTCGTCACCCCCACCGGCCATCTCGCCATCGGCGACTTCGGCCTTGGACAACTCCTCGGCGTTCGTGACTTTCGCAACCACAAACGTCGTTGTGGCCAGATTGGAACGCCGCACTATTTCGCGCCAGAGATCCTTGATCCCGATTATATCCTCGAGCATGGTTATGGACAGACCTTGGATAGCTGGACGTTTGGGTTGATTTTGGCGGAAATGAGCGGGATCAAAGGGGTACGTCCATTATCTTGTTATTTTGTGTCTGAAGCGCCGAGGGGGCTGACGAAGTGTTTGATGCGTCCGTAGCCTCTGTTCCGCTCGAAAGACATGCACGCTCTCAAGGATGAGATCGAGGCTGCTGATATCGAGAAGAAGCTATCCCCCGTTGAAGACGACAAACTGCGCGCGTTGATCTCCAAGCTTCTGGTCAAGGATCCAATGGAGCGCTTGTCTCTGCTGGACATCCACGAGGATGAATTCTTTCACGGACTGTATGTTGCGATCTATTTTTCTATCACAACCTACACTTCTAAAACGCCACATTTACAGGGACTGGTCTGCTGTGAAAGCACGGACCTGGATTGATAACGTCGAGATACCCACAAAACTCCTTAATACTGAACGCGAGCTCAAGAAACCGTCCGTTGCCCCCACCGGCAATCCAACGACGTCGAGCCCCAAAGCTTGGGCTCGGCTCGACTATACATCCAAGCAGGAGCACCTCGTAGATGCTATGCATGGCGAATGCAAGCTCGAGATCAGGCCCGTCGACAAACATGATCCTGTTTGGTCCCATTATGTGACTCCTCTCGACGACCCGATCTCGACTTTCGCAACCGACTTCAGCAGGTGCCCGGAGTTTTGAGCCAGGATCGCGTGCACCTTACTTCTTCGAACGTTCTCGATCGAGATCCAATCATCTCGCCATACGATTTCTTCCTCCGGATTTCTGCCCATCGTCGTCTCTTTGTATCTCATAGTCCCCTCACGCCTTGGCCCATTGTCACGTCTGACACTCATGAGATCTAGACATACACATCATTCTACTGGTTCAACATATCGTCTCTCCATCTTTCTCTCCTCCGCATCGATTTCTAATCTGCTCTCATCCTGCTTTCGTTTTGCTTTACTCCCTTCATTGACGCCATCTACGAATATTCACCCATTCAACGTTTGCTTCCCATATTCAGGTCTCTGCTTTACCTACCATCCTACCATACATTTCCTAGACTTTCACACGGACTTGTATTGTAATCTTCCTGATCCTTTGCCTTCTCTGCATTCTTCCTATCTCTTTTGCCTTCGCCGTCAGACTTCTCATTCTACTTTTCTGCTTCTATCTTCGACGTGGCCTTTGTATTAGTATCTTTGCTCCCGGATTTTATCATCGGTGTACGATTTTGTGTATAGTATGTAATTTTGGGGAACTAGGAAACCGCCTCGTCATCTTGCGCTGCGAAAGGAGAGTTGCCACACTGGTGCCACAACGTCAGTTGTACGTAATCACGAATGGAAGCAAATTTGAACTGCTCCGTCACCCGGCGTGTGTCACCGACACCTGGGATCGAAACATTCAAAGCGAGACACCACTGACTCGGAGCTTGATCACAAGCAGAGCCTACTGCACGATTTGTATGCTCTCAACTCTAAAGCAACATATTTCTGCGAAAGATCATTAAAGGTATTTCCATTCAATACAAACATAGTGCTGATGCAGCCGAAATTTGAGAGCAAGGAAAGTGGTCAATAGCAGACCAAATCGTAAGTTGCTTTCTACGAAGCCCCAGCGTCGCCCGACTCATCATTCGCCCGACCCTTTCCCTTCACGCTCTTCGCACCCGTACGTTCACTGCTGCGAGTAGCTCCATTGGTACGAGTAATTCCTCTGGCACGAGTAGCTCTTCTGGTCTCAGCGCCGTCGGTGTACCCCTTGGCGATTCCAAGTCCAACGCAATGAAGGCCAAGTACCGTCTGGTCCAACGATGGTGTGCGCTTAGTTTGGAACCATACGTGGACGAGTTCGGGGATCGTACTTCAATCGGCGTCCAAGAAGCTCATGTCATCCCCAAAGCGTTTGGCCCTCGAGCAGTATGTACTTCAACATCAGTCCTGATCCATGTCTTACATCGACTAATATGACAATAGATCACTGCTCTTGAACATGCTTGGGGTATCGGAGCTGGCGCATTGAAGAGGGTCAAGGACGGTCCTCTCAATAAGATCCCTCGTGAGTGCATATGTTGCATCGGCTTTGGGGCATTCGCACTTACTTGAAACCTCTTAATGTTATTCAGTCCGCGCTGATTGGCATGACTGTTTCGATTCGTCCCAATTTATCCTTTTGCCGCGAAGTGAAGTATTAAACAGGATTCGATTCGAATTCGACAAATATCCTAAGAATCTTGCGAACGCCGGTGAGGCAATTCCGTGGAATAAGCCGGTTCGCCCGCAGTCTCTGCTCTATACGTTGGCAGCAGCCTCTGACCTCTCATTGTTTGTCATAGAAAATCCACCACTATATCTACATTCCGATTGGCGGCTATTGCCAGACTACCCCTCTATTCCGCCGTCAGTTCAAGGCGAATAAGCCTTTCGAAGAATTGGAAACGGACAGCGGCAAATTCTTCCGGCCCCTGGACTTTGACGATTTCCCTGTCGTCGAGTCAACAGTTCACCCATACGCTATGATCTGGAAAGCACTTTACGAGCTTCGTGACAAACATGTCGACGAGCTCAACATTAGCGGCTCTCTGAAGTCTCTCTGTTTCAAAGCAAAAAGCATCGTTGAGTGCTGGAAGCTGCAGATGATTTCCGCCGGACATGTCGTCCCGTGGTCCGAGCCTATCAATAGGGATGGTGACGGGGACGAAAGCGATAGGAGTGGCGACAACAGCGATAACGACAGCAACGTCGCACCCACTTCTGACGGCCGCGCTTCTTCGCAAGACCAGAGGTCTGATTCAAGCGTTGACGGGAACAGCAATGCCGCACCTGCTTCAAAAGGTGCTTTCGATCGCTCCTCGCATGAACAGCCCGCCGAAGGGGAGACTGAAGTCTCGTATTCCAACTACCAGCCCTCCCTCGACTACTCTTTTTCCAATTCAAGCTCTACTCCTGCCCTGGACGATGAACAGTCGCAGGAAGACGACGGCAGACCTCACGACCTCGCGTCCTACCAACCCTGGAGCGTCGATGCCTGGCGTTCGAAAGGCCTGCATGTCGTCGGTGACGACGACACGCAAGTGCACGACGACGAGCACTCGCTCGTCTATGACTCAGATGCTCCCTCCATTTATCTCGAAGAGAAGGCGGCGGCGCTGCCGGTAGGTGAGTACGGCCACTGGGAGCCAGACTTCATGAAAAGGATGGACGAGAGACGCATAAGGCAGTTGGCACTCAGGCTCGGATATGTAGACGATGATGATGCGGAGATGAATTAGTGTTTCGCAGTCGTAGTATTTCTCGTCTCTCTACCTTCACGAATTCTCTTGTCGGACCTCACGCTTTCGCCAGTCATTTTCTCAGTTCTCCTTTGCTCTCGAATGTGCTGTGTAAGACATGTAATTTTTTCCCTACACTTTTCAAAGATTGTACGACCGTCGATGTCAGGCTCTTCCCTAGATTTTTCGTCGATTTTCTGTGCTTTTCCACTTCGCCGAGGCGCGTCCAGTCACAAGCACATGATCCGTGACCTTTGCCGAGGTGGCGCGCAAATCGCGTTAGATTTAAAATAAGCACGTGGTGCCGACTCCTCAGTTTTGTTCCGCCGAGTTCCTTCGAAACAGCCGATTGAACCACCTGTCCCGATTCGGAAATTCTCTTGTTCGCCTTCCACACTCCCGGGGTATCAGCGAACGGCCAGTCTTCAGCCATGCAAGGATAGCCGTTTCGACCGGCTGAGCAACGCTTGCACTCGGGTAGACGTGGTAGTAGAGTCTGAAAATGTACTATGACTTTGTCGGTAGGGCACTCAACTTGTGGACGCCTCGACTTCTTGTTATAGTCAGATGCGACTCCGGCACTTGAAGCCGTCATGCCGTGCCTTTGTGTCCCAACTTGCGTAACGACAATGGAGCAGATGGACCTCGTTACGATCTTATCGGCTCCCATCTATTCCCCACGTGTCAGTTGCTTCCCGTTCACCTTCGCCCTTAAGCTTCCTTTGTGCAGTGACACACGCCTAGTCACATAAGAAACTCTTGCTCTCGCTCGAGTAGCTCGCGTCCATCCTCCATCCTCTCTACTCTCGGAAAATCCTATAGTACCCGCACTCTGCTTTCCGCTCACCATGAAGATTCAAGTACCCCAGCTGTTCGGCAAACGTGACGAGCAAGACAGGCTCGATACAGGACCTCGGAAGATACTTCGAAATATCGCGGGCTTGGGGCTGCAGCTCTTCAAGCCGTTCACCGTCTCGCCTTCTACGTACGAACTTGCGCCTATCAACGCGATCCCTGCGCCTAAGCCTCTGTCGCCCTCGTCCTCGAGACCTCCCCGTCGCGGTTTCTACTTCGCTGGATCTGAAACAAGCTGTGCGGATACGACTCCGCCCACAACCCCCGAGCCAGTCTTCCTGCTCCCTGACGCCCTTAGTCTCTCAAGGCCCATGGACTCACCCTGTCATGCTTCCATGATCGTACATGCTGATCCATCCACTCCCAGGTTCGACGATGGCGATGATGATAGCTTGGTGCAGATGGCTGGTGTATCGACGATGCGCGGAGGCCAGGTTGAGTCTGGCAAATCAGAGCAAGAGTTTTCATCGATTTGTGCTGAGGCTGACATCGATGACGACGTATCAGACGTATGGCTCGACGACAGTAAAGTGGAGTACCGTATCCTTGACAAAATCGGCGATGGCTCCTACGGACGGGTATTTGCTGCCGAAGCCACTCCTTGGGACCTCGGCATGCCCTTCCCCAAACAGGTCGCCATCAAGGCGTTATCGAAGGAAGCTATGATATCCGACGGAGGCGAGTTCTATGATGCGTTGACTGAGCGATTGAATCTGGCGAGCTGTAACGATGGCGGCGACCCTTCTATCACGACGCTTCTGTCGTCTTTCCAGGACGAGCAGAATGTCTACCTGGTCATGGTGCGTTCCCTTTCACAACGTTTCTAATAATATTGTCGGTGTCTTATTCTTTCGCAGAGGCTTTATGTGACGGATCTTGAAACACTCCTTGAAACTCGTTCCGAACCGTTGCCTTGGGAAGTCATATGCATTTATGTCTCTGAGCTTGTACGTTCCTGCGACATCCTTTGTCTCACTGTCACTGACCATTCCAAAGGTCCGTGGTGTCATAAATCTGCGTATCCAGAACATCATACATAGAGATCTCAAACCGGCCAACATCTTTGTCACTCCTCGCGGTCACTTGTCTATTGGCGATTTTGGTCTAGCTCATCAATCATTTCCTGATGAGGTGTTACTAAGCGAAGAGTATCTCGGGACGCTGCACTACCTCGCTCCTGAAGTGTGTTACGCCGAACATGGAGACGGACGGTGTTACGACGACAAGGTGGATAGCTGGGCGCTCGGTTTGATATTAGCGGAGATAGCACTTGGGCTAAAAGAGGTACGCTAGAATCAACCCATCGTAGCTAACATCGTCTTGGACCGTTGGCTTGACGCTCTCTTGACCCGTTTCAGCCCCTCTTTGGTGGAAACACCCTGGACGAGCTAGCAGCACAGATCCGCGGGGCTAAGATGAAAAGGTTGCTCAGGGGCATTAAGAACAGGGACCTTCGTGTGTTGATTTCAAAGGTACTACACCCTTCCTTTTTTCCTCCTTCGATTTCCTTTCTAACAGTGGCTTACTGGTGCTCACAGCTTCTGATCAAAGAGCCCAAGCATCGACTTGACATCGTCGATGTCATCAACGAAAGACTCTTTAAGAGGAAAAGCTTGTGAGTAGCTCTTTTTCGTCCTCGGCACATTCATAAGCTGAACACTCTTTTTATTTGAAGCCCCTGGCAATCTCCTACCAAGTTGAACGTGCCTGGTAAGCGTCTCCTCGCGGTTCTCATATATGTTACACCTCTAAACACGGACATCACTACAGCAAATCTGGTGCCATCAGTAAAAGTCCTGAACGTCAACCGTGATCTTACGCCTCCACCTCTCGACTCTCGCGCACGCAAAGACCCTCTAGCCTCGAATGCCAACTGGGAAGAGTTCAACTGGTACTGTGACCCGAAGCATCTCGTCGATAAAAGACACGGTGAGTTGGAGCTGAGAACGATGACCCGTGCAGAACGCGAGGCCGCGAATGCTATGAAATCGCAAACTGGCCTACAGTCTTCCGCGTCACCAACAACAGAACGCTTCGAAGAGCTTCTCGTTCAGTGGTCGATTGACCTCGAACAGGCGTTCCAATAGAGTCGTCGTCCATGTCAATCGTTCCATGGATTGTCTCCTATACAGGAGAATCTTCGTCTTGTCATCCTTGTCCACTTATATCGCATCCACCAGCTCTCACCTGCACGCATCTCGCACTGTCCCTTGCTTTCCACCATCGCATTCGCTCTCGCATGGCTCTCCCCGTCTCGCGCTTTCTCTATGGATTTTTTCCACCACCGGGAACCGCATTGCTGTCTCTCCTGCTGAAGGACTTCTAGGCCCGCCGTGTAGCGAGTTAGGATATCAGGAGTGTAATTTATCGCAGAAATGTCTCCTGCCGCCGTCTATGGAATGCAGACAGTTTCTGTAACATGCCTTGTGATTGTCGATTATGACGTGTATCCGCTTGGTCGTCGTTTGTATGCACAGAAGTATACCTATTCAGAGATACTGTACTTGTGTCCTACACGCGCGGAAAGTCAACCTTCTTTGTTATGACACCCCACCTGAAGCACGAAAGTATAAGGGAACGACCATTCAACCGACGACAAGCATTAGAATAGGAGAAAATATACATAGATATATAAGCAGCAAATCCCACACGCAACTCGGCATCTCCGTCCACAAAGTAGTCTCCACGCTGACCCTCTCTTGGTTCCTTCTCGTCGCTACCTCACATCCAAATCTCCTGACGGTCCGAGTTCCTGCACGCAAGGGGTATCTCAAAAGAGCTCAAACGCCTCCCAAGCAGGTATAATCGCCCCTTTCTGATCAATCTCAACCCAACGTTTCCTTTCCTTATCCATGGTCCCTTCATCATGATTAGAGAAGCCGTGACCAAAAGCCCTGTCCCATCCCAGACCGACAGCGGAGAGACGACATACGCTCGAGCTGACCGAGGTGGAAATTGACCGGTCAATCGGTGTGAGACCTATGTCGGAAGGTAAGAACCGATAATGAAAGAGACGTACGCAATACCGCAGACCACAGCACCAGGCAGCAATTCATTATCCCATGCCCAAAACCCACTCAACATCGCAAAATCGACGATCATCCCCGTCGTGAGCCTGATTCTCTCTATCTCTTCCAGCTCATTGAACTCTGCCTGTTTGTATTCTCTCGGACTGGCCAATCCCTTCAAAGCAGGCTCCTTGCTCTGCGCAAGTGAAGTCACGATTATGTGCGGAGGGAGAAGTGGTGATAAGGAATCGAGGGCAGTGGGGTCGTCAGAGGCGAGGTAGATGACTGCTGGCGGACCGTCTGTTGCGGGATCTGTCGCGTCAGAAGCTACATCCTCGGTCGAATTTGAAGAAAATAGCCGAGTGAAGGTGTCCACAGCTGCTTGTGCATATTCATCCATAGGAAGATGCTTGCCATGATATTTCCATGACATGCTACGCCCATCACCATGTCGAATATGCACACCGACGTATTGACCTGGATCGGATTCCAACGGAATGCTGTCGTCGGAAGTCATGACAGCCGAATGCGAAGGAGGCGGTGAGGGAAACATAGATGCCATCTCGCTTCGAAGGGATCGGATGAGGGATGCGGTGGCCGCATTGGGGCGGATGGTGTGGGTCAGAGACTCTCGTGCACGCTCAAAAATCGGTATGAGACGGTTGAGTTGGTGAGCTCGGCTGCCGAACAGATGTGGATAGGTTGTTAGAAAAACGGAGGGATGTGGATATGGAAGATGTTGTGACCCACGGATTCTCATATTCTTCAGAAAAACGGTGTCCGAAGTGGAACTTAGCGGTTCGGGAGTTGATAACCTGAGGGAGAAAAATAACATGAGGTGGTGGGTCATGCAAAGAGGGTGGATGCCACCCACCCAATGCCTGGACGCTGTCAGTACTAATCCCAAAATGCAAGGTCTTGGCTCTCACCTGGCGTTTCGCGGACACGCGACTAGTTCTGGGATTGTGGCGTCAATGAGCATGGTTCTCGGATGAAGGTGGTCACAGAAGGTACCTTCTGGCGGAGGTGCACGACACCCTGGCTCAGGTCCTGGTTGTCGAGCGCGCACGTCTTGGAAATGCGCATTCCATCTGAGCCAATTTGGTTTGAGCCAACTAGTGTGGGCGCTGAGTGCCACAATGAACGCGCTCACTTTCCACGATTCCAATAGGTATCATCCACAAGAAACGTTCTATTTTGCTGATATCGAGAAGGAGTAAGGTACATTGACACGTCCGTATATTGAAGAAAAAGAGGCGCATACCTCTCGCGCCAGAGCAGCCGCTTGAGCCATCAACGCCAGATCGGCCAGCAGGCCAACATATCCGTCAAGTTGATACGTGATAGTGGATGTACATATACTCGTCCACGCTCCTTCGGGAGTAGGATACTTCCCAGGGTCAACAGTATCGTGGTGTACCACGTCCTTGTCGCCAGACCAATAAGGAGCGGGAGGGATGAGCCCCGACATAAGCTTGTCACATTCGTCACGGTATTGGTGGGGGTATAGAGGGAAGTGGTCGTATTGCGCGTAGGAGATGATGTGTTTATCGAGGGAAGTTTCAGTTGTGGCTGCTGGTGATTGTGTTGGTGATGGAGTAGCAGCTGGTTCCGAGGTCCCTGTTTGCAGCTCGTCGACACTTCCAAGTGCAGTTTTGTTCGCGCCGATAGCCTCCATCATTACCTCCGGTTCTCTGTATGCAACAATGATCATGAAAAACAAGATCAAAGCCAGTAAACTCCCGAGAGCCAGACCGGCATGCTTCATAGCAGACCTGACGACTCGTTCGAGTGCACTGACATGACCTGTTCTGAATTCCTGGTCATCTCCGCGTGCGCGAATTCCAGAGGGCGGAAATGTATCGCTGGAGGACGATGCAAGTAAGGGTTCCGACTGGTGCTGCGTTCCGGAGTAGTGAACGTCATTGTCATCTTGGCCTCCTTGTTCAAGCTCTACTTCGGTGTAACCTTCTTCGGCACGGCCAGCGCGCGAATGTGGGGTGCGGGGTGTAAGGATCTGGTAGTCGCGTCGGGAGGATGATGTAGCAGCTGAGACAAGAAGTTTTGGCGGTCGAGGAGACATCCTAGAAGAAGTTTGAACCAGCCGGCCACGAAGAAAAGAAAATTATCAAAGAGTAGAAAGGGAATATGGGCCTCGTCGCCGTTGAACGCAACGACGATCAAACAGTTGTGATGTGATACGCCACAAGTGGCGGGGAACTTCCGTTTACGGCTGTAGTTCCCACGTCACTTAGACGTGTTCCCTTCCGCCAGCGTTCTCTGCACCTACCCACTCTTGCCATCACATCACTCTTCAAAATGACCAGGGCAGCCCGCGTCGCCATCGGCAGCAGCATCCTCACCTTCTTTTACTTGTTGGCTTTCTTCTCATATATCCCTGTGCCTTTTGTCGACAAGGCTCAGACAGAACAGGTTTTGCCCGTGGTACGTGGCGCCACACACTATTCTGATATTTCTGACGCTTATCCTTCACGTCCGTTTTCTTCCATAGCTGCCCTGGTGGCTGCTTGTGTCATTTGGTTCGTATAGTCTTTGGACATTGGGGCAGGGCTTGTACACATTCAGGGAATGTACGGATGCGTATACCGAGCTGCTGAGTGTACGTCTTGTCTCCTCATTCATTCATCTACACCATCTCAATTATTTTTGTTGCGCTTTGAAGGAGATCACACAAGCGAAGGGTGACCTCCGGGGAAGAGGTGTCATGGTCGACTAGCCTGCTACGTAGGCTTGTATTGTAATACAACCACGAAAGCTACCATACTGTGAATCACACTCAAGCCACTCCCTGTCGCACGCATAGCTGCGATACCCGCTCGTCGTAGAATGCTATGGAAGACCCAACGATGCGCGCTAAATACAAACAAGAACCTTCAGGTGATTTCGACCATATATTGCAAGAATTGGCTTACCAGCTGCATGATATTCGCCCGTTCAGTCGGTGGTAGCAGGGCGACCTGCTCAGGAGTCATAGCTAACACCTGCATAATCACAGCCTACGACACCCATAACCTAAGTTTGAGAACCAACTACGTAACGAAAACAGACTCACCCTCTGCTCTTCTGGTATGGCTGCAAACGCGTCCGGAAGCACTGGGGCCGTCTGGGGTGCAGGTCGACCTGGCTGAAGTGGTGTTCCGTGGTGGCTATCTGACTGAGTATGTGTCGGCGGAGGAGTCGAGTATTGTGGGGTGTTGCTACGGCTGTGCTGGTGCGCACTCAAATGGGGAGGAATGGCAGTGGGAGGTGGCGCCGAAGGAACTGTTGTAGGTGCTGGTGCCGCTGCCGGTATTGCAGACATTGTCGACGCTCCGTTCTGTTGTGAACCCTGTCCCGCACCATAGGAAGCTAGTGTTTGCTTTCGGAGCCATGTTCAGTTCAGTTATTCTTGGGAGCGTGTGGCACATACCTGAAAGACCTCAACGTTGATGGCATTCATTTTGATCATTATACCAATAAGCGCGTATGCGATTTGCGGCTGGGCATTCAGGATTGCTCTTGCTTGTGCAGGGGAGGTTTTCTATGATGAAACATACACAACCACTGAGATACAAAGTCTGGGCCACACAACATGCAAATGCCTCACTTTCAGTTGTAAAAGCAGCTCAGAAAGATGATCCTCTGACACCGTCGGTGTGGAAGACATAGTTGTTCAAGAGCAGTAAATAAACGTGGGTTTAGCCTCAGCAAATCTCTGAACCACAGACAAATTTTCGTGATGGTCAAGTAAAAGCAGCAGTAGACAGAAACCGCGTTCAATACGAGGCGCGTCCGCGTCTCCCCCGCACGTGGCAACTTCCGCTGTGTCGTGGCGAGGTCAACTACTCTGTAACATACCCACCACCAGCATTCGCCGCCCTCTTCTACTTCTCTTACCATGTCAAACCCGGACGCGGCCTGTTATACCGTCGTTTACGAGGACGCTTCGGAATCGCCGTCTACGCAGGACCTACGAAACGCCCTACAGAAGGGTTCCGATGATGCCAAAATCGAGACGTTACGTAGGATCATAGTCTCTACGATTAATGGCAACCCACAGGTGCGCATATTGCCCGCTACACAATAGCACGACACTAAATAGTAGTACATTCTCTGTTAGCCTACACTCTTGATGCCAATCATACAGTATTGCATGCCATCTCGGGACAAACGGCTGAAGAAGCTGCTGCACTTCTACTGGGAGGTATGCCCAAAGTATGATGAGTCTGGAAAGTTGAAGCAGGAGATGATTCTCGTTGTGTACGTGGTCTATATGTTTTGCAGTAACATACACTCACCATTGTTGCAGTAACGCCATCCGGAATGACCTGGTATGTTGCGTCTAAGGCTTGTTCTTATGTCCTTCATATCCCGCACTTACACGCTCGCGCTCTAGCAACATCCTAATGAATATATCCGCGGCGAGACTCTGCGCTTCCTTCAAAAGATCTCCAAAGACCAAGAACTTCTCGAACCCCTAATTCCCATATGTCGATCTTGTCTCGAGCACCGACACTCCTACGTCCGTAAAAACGCCGTCTTCGCCATATATACCATCTACCGCGAATTCGAACATCTTATCCCCGACGCTCCCGAACTCATCCAAACATTCCTCGCCGCCGAATCTGACGCGACATGCAAGCGGAATGCATTCGTGTTTCTCGCGAACTGTGCTATGCCCAAGGCGGTACAGTATGTATTGCAGGTGTATGACCAGATTGGGAGCTTGGACGAGTTGTTGCAGATGGCTATCATTGATGTCGTGAGGTTGGATTGCAAGGGCGACTCGACGCACAGGGTGCGTTTCTTTGTTGAAGTCTATTATAATCGAGATATTCATGGTAGGAGTAGGCAAGGTGGATTCGCATCATCTTTGAGTTGCTCAACGCACCATCATATGCTGTGAAATACGAGGCGGCTACCACCTTGACAAGCTTGACGCAAAATGCTGCTGCTGTGAAAGGTTCGTCACTGTACACGCGTGGCGAATATTTATTCACATATCCTTATAGCGTCGGCTTCTACGCTCATCAATATCGTCATCAAGGAGTCCGACAACAATGTCAAACTCATCGTCCTAGACCGTCTAGAGAATTTGCGGTCAAAACATGGGCATGTATTCGACAGCCTTATCATGGATGTTCTCCAAGTGCTCTCCAGGTATGCTTAGAATGCAACGTTCCACTCTAATTTCCGTCGACTGATCTGCACGGCCGCCACAGTGCTGACATCGAGGTGCGACGAAAGGCTGTCGGGATCGCACTGAGCATGACTTCGAGCCGAAATGTCGAGGATGTTGTGATGTTCCTCAAGAAGCAACTGCAGAAGACTCAGGACCAGGAGTACGAAAAGGCATGTGCAAAGATGTATTGCGAACCATCTCAACGTACTCACCAAGGCATTAGGCACCGGAGTATCGCCAGCTTCTCATCCAGTCCATCCACGTTTGTGCCGTCAAGTTTTCAGAGGTTGCTGCCAGCGTGGTTCACGCCTTGATGGAGTTCCTCGGAGACTCCAACAACCCGTCAGCTCTTGACGTCGTTGCATTCGTTCGGTACGTAGTTTACCTCCGTACCCTGAATTTAAACGTACCCTGGATTTAAACACATGCTACCTCCAGCGAGGTCGTCGAGAAGTTCCCTGCCCTTCGTCCACCGATCACCGAACGCCTAATTCAAACTCTCCCGGAAATCAAGTCAGGCAAGGTCTTCCGTGGTGTGCTCTGGATCATCGGCGAATACGTCGAGAATGCTTCTGAGATCCTGGAGGCCTTCCAAGAGGTGCGAAAGGTTCTCGGAGAGATCCCCATCTTGGCGTCAGAACAGCGATTGCTCGACGAGGCGAGTGCTGAGGACGAGCCGAAGGAGAAGGAGGAGACTAGCACGAATGGGCACGCTCACGGAGCCGCCAGCAAGCCCAAAGTCCTCGCGGACGGGACATACGCCACTGAGACCGCGTTTACATCGACCACGACAGCACGACTAGAGGCCGTCAAGGCTGCTGCCAAACCACCACTTCGAAGTCAGTCATCCTAGCGCGATCGATGGTGGAATTCTGCTTACTGATGTTTCGGTGTTTAGCACTTCTGCTCGGTGGCGACTTCTTCACGGGCACAGTGTTGGCTTCCGCGCTTACCAAGCTGGTTCTGCGGTTCTCCGAGGTATCGTCTGACCCTAAGAGAGCGAACGCCTTGAGGGCGGAGGTATGACTCCGTGTTTGGAATTGCCTATAGCGATGGATTACTCATCTACCTTTGTGTCTCCTAGGCCATGCTGATCATGGCATCTGTCATCAGGGTTGGGCAGTCCAAATTCGTTACTGTGCCCATCGATGAGGATTCGCATGAACGTATCTTGAACTGCATCCAGACGCTCAGTTCGCTCGAGGAGAGACCCGTTGTTCATGAAATATTCCTTTCCGACACGAAGGCTGCTTACTCGAAGATGGTCGCCGCTCAGGAGGTTGGTGTCTTGCTGTTGTTATTGTTCGTTATATTAATTGTATTCACAGAAAAAAGCGGCGGAGAAGAGAGAGTTGGAAGCTACGAAGGAGCATGCGATCCAAGTCGACGATGTCCTTTCGTTCCGACAGTTCTCGAAAAAGGCTGCCGACGACGTCATTGACGTAAGTCTCTGCTCCTTGGTTCGTTGTCCGGTTGCTGACTTCGCGCCTGCCTTATCTACGATCCAGTATGACCAAGATGTCGGACGTGCAACTGGTGCCGCTGAGGTCCACGAGGACTTTATTTCCAATCTCAGTCGAATTTCGCAGCTCACTGGTGAGTTCAAATATTAATTGACACATCGGGGCCCGTATATTCACACCGAACGCCTGTAGGCTTTTCCGACCCGCTCTATGCGGAGGCTTATGTTAAAGTACATGGGTTTGATATCATGCTCGGTGCGTGCGATCTTTCATGGGCAGTGACGGAACGCGCCACTCAGACTGCCTTGTTTAAATCACCACCCAGATGTCCTATTGGTCAACCAGACATCGGATACGCTACAAAACCTGTGCTTGGATTTCGCGACTCTCGGCGATTTGAAGCTCGTCGAACGACCAGCGGTGTATACGATTGCACCTCATGGGTTCCAAAGTATCAAGGCGACTATTAAGGTCTCATCGACAGAGACCGGTGTCATCTTCGGCAGCATCCTATGGGAGGGTCCAAACTTGTCCGAGCAGGCCGTGATCTTGAACGACATTCACATCGATATCATGGACTATATCAAGCCTGCGTATTGTACGGAAGCTCAGGTATGTGCATTTGCTGCGAACTCACAGTTCTATCTCTCCTAACCTCCCAACTGTCGTGGCCGTGGGGTTCCAATCTGACGGGTATACAGTTCAGGAGCATGTGGACTGAATTCGAGTGGGAGAATCGGGTGAATGTGTCGACGACCATGTCGTAAGTCATTATTCCTACCCTCCGTGCTCTGCTCGGTGGCACAGCCGAATGCACTTCTGATTGATTGGTTTGACGCTTCTTTTCTTCTGCGCCGGATAGTGAGCCCCGGGATTACCTGCAACATATTATGAAGTCGACGAATATGTCGTGTCTTACGCCAGAGGGGGCGATGTCAGGCGACTCCGACTTCTTGTCTGCGAACATGTATGCGCGTAGTTTGTTCGGTAAGGCAGCTTTCGCCCTTGTCTCCTATTACGGCCTTGCAACCTTTGTTGATATGTTTCGATTGCATATTGCAGGTGAGGACGCTCTGGCCAATCTCAGCATCGAGCGTACAGAGGCTGGGACTATCACTGGGCACGTACGTATCCGGAGTAAGACGCAGGGGATCGCGCTGTCGCTGGGCGACCGGATCACAATGGGTGAGTAGATTCGTTCCGTTGAATTGAGCCGGCCCGAATCTGACGGCGAGATTTACAGCGCAAAAGGATAGCAAGTTATCTGCGTAGATAGACGAATCTCGGGGTTATGGTGAGTCTTGCGTGGGGTTGATTGAGAACGGTAGGCGGTGATGGGTGATCGCATCGCTCAGGTCTCAGGGTGGCGGAGAGTTTTCTTGAGGGGGTGGATTTCTGCGTGGTGGTTGAATGGGGATAATACTCGTTTGGACGGACATCTTTTACTCAAACTTCCCATGTGCACGACCTGTGTTTTCGTGAAAAGTCTTCGAAACAACCCTGGAGGAGTCAAGATGCGAGGGCTTTTTTGTTAGTCACACGAGCGCCAACCACAGAGGAATTTTAAGCATCTGACAAATGCCGCAGAGCTCCGTCCCCGGTCCGCGGGCGGGAGAAATGCGCCAGCGGTGTGCAAAAGAGTGCCCAATCGCGTGTGCGGGCCCGATCGCGGGGATCGGACAAATACGAAAAAGGGCTGGAAACGGTGGATACGTATAGCCGGCGGAGGCCACTTCGCAAATACAGCATTTGTGCAACGTACGAACTCATCGTAACTTCTGATTTGGGCAAGTACAGTAGCCTCTCGGTCTGCAAAAAAAAGGTGGTTGATACTTGAGAATCAACGCTCTGAAGTCGGGCACCGACTGGAACAGCGGGCACCCACGATAAAGGGAGTGATTCAGCTGTTTCTAGACGAATGAAAACGCCGATGATACGCAAGAGCGACTGTCGGCGTTTGGACCCACCTGCCCCGCGTGGGTATAAACTTCTTGCTCCAGCCTTCCTTGGCCCTTACAAAGCACTATTCTGACTCAACATTTGCGGTTTCGGAAGCCACAAATAGTACGGAAGATGCATCGTGCGGTATAAAACCCAGAGACCAGCCCGATATGCGATCCTGTTCGCCCCACCGCGCTCCGTGTCCGTCTTTTGTTCTCTGTCGGCCTTTCGCAGATGAGCAACACCCCGACACTGAACTCGAATATGCCGGACGGTATTCCCGAGGAGGACAGGTACCACCATGTCGACGTCGTCGAGGCCGAGGAACGCTTCAACGAACTCTCACGCCAACTGTCTCGTCAATTGTCTCTCCAGTCCCAAAGAACACGTGCGGAACCGGAAGGTGACTTGAAGAAGGAGAAGGATCTCGAAAAAGGCTCCAGTACCGATGATGAGCAAGAATCTCGCTTTGACCTTCGGGAATACCTCAGTTCTTCGAACGACGCGAACCAGGCTGCTGGAATAAAGCACAAGCATGTTGGTGTGACCTGGGAGGATCTTCAGGTCGAGGTTGCGGGAGGTGTCGGTCATAAGGTATGGATTCCCGTGTCTGAGGCGTGTGCGTGGCACTGAGGCGATCGCATTCACAGTTCTACATTCGGACCTTCGATGGTAAGTCTTGTTCGGGAAGTCCGTTCGGGCGTTAAACCTGACTTGCGTTTTCAGTCGCCGTTATTCAGAGCATTGGGACTTTATTCATGTGGATCTGGAGCATAATTTCGAAACTTCTTCCTCGCAAGAACCTGGTTACTACTCCGATTCTTCATAAGTGTGTTTGTTCTGTGGTCGTGCGGGTGGTGCCACACTAATCACGCCACATTAGGTCTTCTGGTGTTTTGAAGCCCGGAGAAATGTGCCTCGTGCTCGGATGCCCTGGCTCAGGCTGTTCCACGTTCTTGAAGACCATTGCTAACGAGCGCGAGGAATACGCCGTCGTGAATGGAGAAGTTCGGTATGCCGGAATTGACGCCCGCGAAATGGCCAAACTTTACAAGGGTGAGGTAGTCTACAACGATGAAGGTATGTGGGCACTACACAGCTGCTTCTTGAGGCTCATAGATGCTGACCGACCGGCCTGTTGCAGACGATATCCACATCGCTACACTCACTGTTGCACAAACCCTCGCATTCGCACTTTCGACCAAGACTCCCGGCCCCAGTGGACGTATTCCTGGCGTCTCACGGAAGGAGTTTGACGCCCAGGTCCAGGATATGCTACTCAAGATGCTCAATATCTCTCATACGGCCCAGACGCTCGTTGGTGACGAGTTTGTTCGTGGTGTTTCGGGCGGAGAGCGCAAGCGTGTCAGTATTGCTGAGATGATGGCCACTCGTGCACGCGTGCAGTGTTGGGATAACTCTACGAGAGGTTTGGATGCCTCGACGGCTTTGGACTACGTTAAGAGCTTGCGTGTCATGACTGATGTGCTCGGTCAGACTACCTTCGTTACTTTGTGAGTGTTCCATTACTTGAGCATATTCCATTGTCCGCTAGTCCTGACTTGAATTTTCCAGGTATCAAGCCGGCGAAGGTATCTACAATCTTTTCGATAAGGTCCTCGTCATGGACAATGGCCGTCAGATCTTCTATGGTCCCCCATCGGAGGCTCGCGCCTACTTCGAAGGCCTTGGCTTCAAGTCTCTTCCCCGTCAGAGCACTCCCGATTATCTCACCGGCTGTACCGATCCCAACGAACGCCAGTACGCCCCCGGCCGCTCCGCCAACGATGTGCCCTCGTCGCCCGAAGCTCTCGAAACAGCTTTCGCCTACTCCAAATACTCCGACGACCTTAATGATTCCCTCAAGAAGTACAAGATCGCGATGGAGACCGAGAAGGCTGACCAAGAGGCTTTCAGACAGGCGGTCATTTCTGACAAGAAGAAGGGGGTCAGCAAGAAGAGCCCTTACACTCTTGGCTATACCGGTCAGGTCATGGCTTTGGCTAAGCGTCAGTTTCAGATGAAGCTCCAGGTTCGTGATACATCTAATGGTCGACGAATGCGCTCATTGACTCTCCAATAGGATAAGTTCCAGCTGTTCACGAGCTTCACCCTCAGTATTGGTCTCGCCATCGTCCTCGGCGCCGCATACTTTGACCAACAACCCACTGCGGCCGGTGCCTTCACACGTGGATCCGTCATTTTTATCACCATGCTCGTCTCTTGTCTCGACGCTTTCGGAGAGCTCGCCGTTCAAGTCCAAGGTCGCCCCATTCTCCAAAAACAGACTAGCTACAGCCTCTTCCGTCCGTCCGCAATCGCTCTCGCGAACACCCTCGCCGACCTGCCGTTCTCTGCTGTGCGCCTTTTCCTCTACGACATGATTGTCTATTTCATGGCCAACCTCGATCGCAACGGAGGCGCGTTCTGGACGTTCCACTTGGTCTGTTACTTCGCCTTCCTGGCAATTCAAGGCTTCTTCCGCACCTTCGGTTTGTTCTGCGCCAATTACGACTCGGCGTTCAGGCTGTCGTCGTTCTTCGTGCCGAACTTGGTCATGTACGTCGGATACATGATTCCAGTCGACGACATGAAGAGATGGCTGTTCTGGATCGTGAGTAGATCTTTGTTCTATTCGGGCTTTGTTCTAGTCGCTGATACTTTCTTCCAGTACTACCTCGATCCTATGGCTTATGGTATGCTGTGATGAACCCCAAATGTTGTGCCTCATTGGCTAACTTCGTTCTCCATTTCCTCTAGCGTACGGTTCGCTCATGGGTAATGAGTTCGGTCGTGTAGACGTGAGTACATCGCGTGTCGTCTTTTACAATGAAGCTTATAGTCTATCGACAGTTCACATGCGACGGTTCATATGTCACTCCTCGCAACGTTGGCGACATCACTAAGTACCCGTAAGCATAGTCACCTCGTTCGAGCTTTGAATCGCGACTGACTGCAAGGGTCAAATTAGGACGACCATCGGTCCCAACCAAGCTTGCACCCTGTTCGGTTCAAGCGCCGGTGAGCAGACCTTGCCCGGGCGCACATACCTCGACGCCGGCTACGATATCAACGTCGCGGACGTATGGCGTCGTAACTTCATCGTCCTCTGCGGGTGGATCCTCTTCTTCCAGTTCACGCAAATTATCGCACTCGATTTCTTCCCTCATGCGAAGGGCGGTGGATCTTTCCGTTTATTCGCAAAGGAGGACAATGAAACCAAGGCCCTCAACAAAGCTCTTCAGGAGAAGAAGGCTAAACGTGCTCAGCTCAATGAGAGCGAGAAGGCCGCCGCTATGGAGAACACCGACAAGCGTGATGCGTGCGTACTCTTCTCCCTCGGTTTCGTATTCGTTCTCACTCGCATTCTTGTCGCTTCCTTAGCTCATCATTCGCCGATCGCAAGACCTTCACCTGGGAGGGCTTGAATTATCATGTCCCCGTTCCCGGTGGCACTAAGCAGCTCCTGACCGACGTCTACGGCTATGTCAAGCCCGGTACACTCACCGCTCTTATGGGTGCATCCGGTGCCGGTAAGACCACCTGTCTCGACGTCCTCGCTCAGCGCAAGAACATCGGTGTCATCACCGGCGATATCCTCGTCGACGGTCGTCCTCTCAACTCTGACTTCGCGCGCGGCACGGCATACGCCGAACAGATGGACGTGCATGAGGGCACGGCGACGATCCGTGAGGCGATGAGGTTCTCAGCGTACTTGCGTCAACCGGCCGAGATTTCAAAGGAAGAGAAGGATGCCTACGTCGAGGAAATGATCGAGCTCCTTGAGTTGCAGGACTTGGCCGACGCAATTGTCGATGGATTGGGCGTCGAGGCGAGGAAGCGTCTCACGATTGGAGTCGAACTCGCCAGCAAGCCCGAGCTACTTCTATTCTTGGACGAGCCGACTTCAGGATTAGATGCTCAGAGTGCGGTATGTCTTTCAGCTGTTGCAACTTCCTGCCTATTCTAAGTGCTTGTTCTTCAGTGGAATCTGGTTCGTTTCCTGAGGAAGCTCGCCTCGCAAGGCCAGGCCATCCTTTGCACCATCCACCAACCTTCCTCTCTCCTCTTCGAGTCCTTCGACCGTCTCCTCCTTCTCGAACGCGGTGGCCGGACCGTCTACTTTGGCGACATCGGAGCTGACTCCCAAGTCCTGCGTGACTACTTCGCCGCTCACGGTGCAGAGTGCCCCGGCAACGTTAACCCCGCTGAGTTCATGCTCGATGCTATCGGTGCTGGCCTGCAGCCGATGATTGGAGATCGCGACTGGAACGATGTGTGGCGGGACTCGGAGGAGTACAGACGGATAAGGGCGGATATCGACTCTGTGAAAGCAGCGGGTCTGGCGAAGCCGGTGTCGGACGACACCAAAACCTCCACCTATGCTACCTCCTTCTGGTACCAGCTCGGTGTCGTTACGAAACGGAACAACGTCGCGCTTTGGAGAAGCCCTGATTACCAATTCACTCGTCTTTTCGTACACATCTTCATTTCCCTAGTGAGTACACTCTTCGTTTCCAAAGGGCAGAGCGGAGAACTGATGGTTTCAATAGTTCGTCAGTTTACCTTTCCTGCAACTTGGCAACGGTGTGAGGGATCTCCAGTACCGAACCTTCTCCATGTGAGTCACCTATCTATTGTTGTAATCTGTTCGGTCGCTGATGCCCTCTCGTCAGTTTCTGGGCCACTATCCTCCCCGCTATTCTCATGAACCAGATTGAGCCGAAGTTCCTGATGAACAGGCGTGTGTTCATACGTGAATCATCCAGTCGTATCTACTCGCCCGAAGTCTTCGCCGTCGCCCAGCTCTTGGGCGAAATCCCTTACTCGACTCTGTGCGCCATCATTTACTGGGTCCTGATGGTCTACCCGCAAGGATTTGGCCAAGGCTCTGCCGGCCAGAACGGTGTCGGATTCCAGCTGCTTGTCATCCTTTTCACCGAATTCTTCGGTGTCAGCTTGGGTCAACTCATCGCATCCATCACGCCATCCGTCCAGGTCGCCGTCCTGTTCAACCCGCCCATCATGATCATCCTTTCTCAGTTCTGTGGTGTCACGATCCCGTATCCCAGTTTGGCTCACTTCTGGAAGTCGTGGTTGTACGAACTGAACCCGTTCACTCGTTTGCTGAGTGCGATGCTATCGACTGAACTTCAGTACGTCACCACTCACTATTTGTTCATATACGCTTTGGATTTCGAGCACTGACGGGGCTTTTTCTTATAGCGGACTGGAAATTGTGTGCAAGTCGGACGAGTTCGTCCAGTTCGACCCGCCCTCGGGTCAGACGTGTCAGGACTGGGCCAGTGACTTCGTCGACGCCGTCGGTGGGTACCTCAACAATCCCAACGCCACGGCGGCTTGCCAGTACTGTCAGTACAAAGTCGGCGACGAGTTCTTCGAGCCACTGAACATATCGTACGGATACCGCTGGCGAGATGCGTTCATCATTCTCGCGTTCTTTGGTGAGTCTCGACCTCTCCCTCGTGGACCGACTCACCGTTGCTGACTACGTTTTGTATGTGCTGGTGTAGGCTTCAACTTCCTAGTCACGATTGTCGCTTCTCGTTTCCTCCGCTACGCCAAGCGGTAAAAACATTTTCGTGCGACGTCGGTCGTCGTTTCTTCACTCTTCTCTGCTACGGGTTACTCGCATGATCTGTAACCTACCCCTTCACTACGACAGTCCTACTACCCACGATCTCATGCTCCAAATTCTCATCTTTCACGATAACGCCGGAAGCAGACTCATTCCCCTTATTCATGCTGTTTGTCCCCGATCATCCACGCTATCTCATCACGCATCTGCACGCCATACAACACTGCATTTATTGCCCCTTTCCTCATTTCATACCATATCTTTCAGATTTCACCATTTAGGTATTATTTTTCCCCTTTTCTTCCTGGCACTAACAAGTATAATATACCGACACTAGAACGAGTAGAGAAATGAGTTCAAGAGGTTGAATATATTGTGTTCGCGATGATTTCGACAACTTGACGCGGACGGGCAGCGGGATGTAACTAATACTTGAGCACTGGGCAAGACTTCGTATGTTGCGGTGATGTTTAGGACGACGTCGGCGCAGCAAGTCGTCCGATTAATTCGTTCAGCAATATCTAGCAGGCAGATGTCGAGAACTAGTCGGTAATGTTTAGCACGGAAATATCGTGGAATTTGCTCACTACCCTGTCTTCTCCGACAACAGACGCAAAGTAATGCAATCTCTCTTGGGCAGACATGTTCAAGAAGTCGTCCATGGATACGTGCGACATTATCGCAGCGGCTGCGTAATGGTTCATTCCGTCCGCACCGGCTAGATCCTGCTGGGCCTGCACGCGGTTTCGTGTTTAGTTTCGCCGCCTGACTCCGTGTTGTGAGATTTGTCGATGGACTGACCTCGTTAACTTCTTCACCCAGCCAATCCCGACTCCCCCATACCGTCCCCGACCGCCTTTCTACCCGGTTCCCAAACAACCTCACAAATATTGCGGCTTCGAAGACCGAACGCGCGAACGCGAATACGATATCCGTGTTCTCTCTTTTCAGATCGCATGCGTCTGAGATCCCCAGGTCGCGTCGTAGTTTCTTGATTGCCTTGAGGACGGGCGGTGAAAACATGTTCGGGATCCCTACGTCGTCATCCGTGTGCTCGGCAACGTAGGCCCGCGACGTCGGGAACGATTCAAAGACAAGCAGAAGGTTTCGATAGCGCCAGGATAGCCCATCTAAGCACAATTTCAATGCATCGCATTGTGTGGGTAACGAAGTGAGTGGGAAATAGAGCACTGCTGAGTCGGCGTCAAGGATAAGGTCTACGCCACTGAGGGTATCGCGCTCGACGAGATCTACGCAGCATGACTGGGAGCAGAGGTGCATGACGAGGGCGCGTTTCTGGATGAGGTCTAGCGAGGCAAGGTAACGATGGATGGTAGTGGGTTGGGGTGAGGCTGCAGGCATGACGAGAGTATTTTTGTCGACGACTTCTTGAGGGATGATGTGGCGTTTCTGAGGCGGCTTTGAAGACTTTCCAACCACGAATGCGTCTTCTTCTGGTACATCTTCTGGCGTCTCTTCGACGGGTAGAGCGTGGCCGCGAGCAAGTATGAAATCCGTCAGAGATTGGCGCACGAAGACGTGCTCAGAGGCAGGAGGCGGTGGGAGCAGAGGATTAAGATGGGCAATAGCAACTTCGATGGAGCAAGAAGATAGCATGTTTTGGTCCGGAGGATAAACAGACGAATCGCTAGTTTCCGGTATGGAGCTACCAGGCAGAGGCGACGAGAAGGGAAAGTAAGGTACATCTTGTGGTGGATGTGACCGAGGATGGGGATGAGAAGGTATCTGCGATAATTGTGTCGAGTCCAGTGAGAGTGGCCTGAAAGTCTCTGGTAAGACGTCAAAATTTTGGTCGTCCATTGGCCATGAGTAGGTACCAATGTCTTCAGCCATCTGCATTTCGTCAGGCGTAAGATGCGGAGTGTATGTGTGCAGGTTACGGTACCCGTCCGCATCAGGGAAGTCTTTAGGGCAGTTCGGTATCTGATTGATATTGTCCGTTACTGGGACATCTGCTGGAGTAGGTAGAAACAGAGGGGGGCGAGTCTCGGGGCCGTGGTAGCGAGCATCTGGAGATTTAGAAGCCAGGTGATCCTCAGCACTAGAGTTCGCATTGTCCCATCCAGTGGGTACAATATGCGTATATAGAGCATCTTGATCCTCGTCAGAGTAGATATCGTCCTCGAGTAGAGGCTGGTCGCAATGAAGTTGCCGAAGTCGCCGTCGTTCATCTCTAGTGAGTATTCTCTCAGAAGTATCCCAGCTCCCTTCTAGAGACGGAAATGTGTGCAGAAGACCTTCTAGAGCAATCGACCGAGACTTGAGCAGGTCCAGCGAAGACAAAGGCCTAGGCGTCTCAAAGATGGAGACAACATTCTTCAGAAGCTCTTGAGACACTTCCTGTTCATGTTCATCAGGATCATCGTGGTGGGCTAGAGCCTCGATGTGAGACAGGTTGTCCAGAATGGGCGACTTCATTTTGTACTTAGTAACGCTGGCGTGGTAAAATGAGGAACATATCAAGATGGAGACGAAGCAACGTAAAGCCATACCTCCACGAAAGTTCGAGATTGAGCGCATTGAGTCTGTGCTTCTTGATGAAGCCGAACGGGCTCGCGCAATCCAGATTGGCGTGTGGTGGCAACTTGGAGGGAGCAAAGACGAGCTCGGCCATACTGCGAGGGACCGGTTTCCTAGCCTCTTCTATGGTCGGTGGAGGCAGATCTGGCACTGAATGGAACTGAGTTTTTGAAGAGTTAATTCTTGAAGGAAAAGCGTGGGGACCCACCGTCCATTAATCCATGTTTTTTGATGTCCGGCTGTTCGCGCAGAATCAGATCCAGCTCTGTCTCCCCGATACCACCATGAACTCTCTCAAGCATGACTTTGAAGTCATCGTCATCCGATGGCATATTTTGACTAGATGCTGCTGGGGTATCGAGGGTAGTAGGAGGTTGTCCAATTATTGAGGTCTGGACGTGATCGGGTGATGGACGAGCCGAGGACTTCGTGGTCGCGACGATAGTGGGCTTCGTATCTGCACTGATAACGGGATGCAAAAACGAAGCAAGGCTAATGAAAATTAAACCTTGCGTAAAGCAAAATTGCCAATGGTTCGTTTTTACCTCTGTCCAGCGCCTAAATCTGCTGGTCTCTTGGATGAACTTCCGACACACCGCGTTCTGGGAAATATAGTCGGCTCTAGAACAGGAGTGAATATATGCTATGAGCTAGAGCTGAATTCACACTCACCGAGCTCTGACATAAACAGGCGGGTAACAGAAAGGGGCTCCGGATCGGGAGAAGGCAGGAAGAGTTCGTCTATGTCACTTGTCCCATCTCCTAGCGATGGAGTTGAAGGCGAGGACACCTGACGGAATGTTTCTAACGCAACAGAATGAGTTGATAATACGCCACGATGTGAAGATGTTACGCACGCCACCCGTCAACGATGGCTAGGTGCTCAGCTTCCATATCCATATCTTCCTCCTTAATGTCAATGATTGGAAATATGCTTGACAGTTCTGCCAACTCTGATGTGAGTGTAGGATGCGCGATCTGAGCGGGCATTGACGTTGTTCCAGCCGCGACGTTTCTAGGGAATATCGGGGGAGTCATTTCACGCGGTAGGGATAGAATCCGATGGCTATCATGGTAGAGTGACTGTACTGCTGGAGAAAGTGTGGAATCGACAGGAGCGCAATTCATAAATGGATTGTTCTGGATAGATTTGCGCAGGATATCTAGCGTTTCCGCATCAACCTGGGATTGTATATCTCTGAAGAGTCATAAATCAGACTCGTTGTTACGCATATATCCTGTCCGAATTGAAAGCAACTCACAGGACTTCGTCCAGAACAATGGATGACAGATTGTATTCTTCACTTGTGAGTGCCAGTGGTTTTGCTAGGCTGACAGCATCTACTTGAGACCTTGGACGTGGGTCAGTGTTCGCAACTGCACCAAATTTGGGTGTCGACCTCATGGCCTTGAGAGTGATAATGGACGATCTAGGTTCAAACGCGGTGAATTCATCTCTCAGTTCAACTTTGAAGCGAGGCAATGGTAGTCAGTTGAACGGTCAAAAAGTAAGAAGTAAGTTATAGCGCATACATGCTGCATCGTCATCCCAACACGTTGATGTCTTTGGATGCCCCTTGAACTTTAGAGCGCTATGGATTTCCTCGAAGACTTCTCGAGGCTGGGTGAATTCTTCATCGATGTATTCGGTGGTATTGCCAGCGATCCCGTGACGGTCCCAGAGATCCTGGAGAGGTTCGGTAGGAGGGCGCAAAAACCCATGATCGGATATTGGAATTTTATTGAGTTCCTGTAGGAGTAACTGACAATATCGAGAGTTTAGTCGCAAGCACACTCGAATCTAGGCATGGACTCCGACCCGACGCCAAGAAAGAGTCGCATAAGTACCTGGACGACATGTCGATCCTGTGATTCTTTGTGATCAACACCTTCAGTCAGATGAGTTAGAACGTATTCGTCCAGGATGTTCGTGATGTGGTCTCGAAGTATCTGCTCGGAATGAGTGGACATGGTGGGAGTCGGGAAGCAAGGGGAAAGCTTCCGGGAAAGTTGTTCTTAGTCGCGGAACGCCGATGGCGCGGAAAGCGGACCGTCGCCGGCTAGGCCCTCGATGACGCCGATATGCTGAAATGCATGTTACTGTAAGCTGCTCACTGTCATCGACGTCGACGTCGACGGCGATCACGGTTCGTGTGCTCACTCACCGAGTCGCCCACTGCGAGGGTCCAATTGAAGCCCACAATAACACTCCTTGACTTTACGCTCTCTGGTGCTCTATCATGTGGGAGCGAACTCTTCAAGACCTTGTTCGCGGTCTGCGAGCGAACAAGCGAGACGAGGCCAAGTTCATCGCTCAAGCCGTCGACGAAATTAGGATGGAAGTCCGAAGCAAGGATATGGAGCTCAAGGCTGGAGCGGTGCTCAAATTGACTTACGTGCGTCGATCTCCTGCTCATGTTTCAACTATGTATTGACGCGTTCCCCACATCCAGCTACAAATGATGGGCTATGACATGAGCTGGGCCTCATTTCATGTCGTGGAGGTTATGTCGTCTCCGAAGTACCATTTGAAGAGCGTTGGGTATCTTGCGGCCACGCAGTCTTTCGGACAGGACACGGATGTGCTGATGCTCACAACCAATCTATTGAAGAAGGTAAGAATCTTCATTACCTTGTCTTCATGCCATGTTCATATATCAGTATAGGATCTAAGCTCCAATCCCGCAGACGTTGCTGTCACTCTAAACGGGCTCTCCCATATCGTTTCTGCGGACATTGGACGTGATCTTTGCCGAGACCTGGTCTCCATACTTAACCATTCTCGACCGCACATACGTAAACGCGCCATCATCGCTATGTACAAGGTCATGGTGAAATATCCGGAAGCTGTTCCCCTGGCTCTTCCTCGTATGAAGGAGAAGTTGGAAGATGAGGACTCTGGTGCGTGCACAAAGTTTGTGTGGCGAATGGGCCACAACTGACCAGCTTTATAGGCGTGGTCTCTACGACAGTCAACGTGCTCTGCGAGCTGGTCAGACGAGACCCTCAAGATTATTTATCCCTGGCACCGCAACTGTTTCTCCTTCTAACAACCTCATCTAACAACTGGATGCTCATAAAGATCATCAAGCTGGTGAGTTCTACCCGTGTAGATGTTACAGTCAGCTCTTGACCGTAAGCGAATAGTTTGGCTATCTTTCACCACACGAACCTCGCCTCGTTAAGAAGCTCCAGCCACCAATAACAGAGCTGATATCAACCACTGCGGCCATATCCCTCCTCTACGAATGCGTGCACACATGCATTGTGGGTGGCATGCTCCAGAGTGCATCCGGAGACAAGTTAGCGGAACTGTGTGTCACCAAACTGGCTGCTTTCTTGCAGGACCCAGATCAGAACCGTAGGTTTACTCCTAAAACATTACATATCAACTACTCACGCATCAATGCCCCTAGTCAAATATATCGCTTTACTTGCCTTCGTCAAAATTGTGCCATCGCACTCTTACCTTCTGGCCCAGTACCAGGATATGGTATTATCCAGCGTAAACGACCAAGATATCAGCATTCGTCTACGTGCTCTAGATCTTCTCTCCGCCATGGTATGCAAGTATCCTTCCCGAGGGTGATGTGTACAATCTAACAGACGCACTTGCCACCGTAGGTCAACCGTGAAAATCTCCAGTCAATAGTTCAACAACTGCTATCCCACCTAGTCCGTTCCGAATCCACTTCTATCCCTACGGCTTCGCAATCACTAGTCGACAACGCCGCCGGACAATCCTCCAAAGCACCGCTGAACCCTAGTCAATCACCCGCATACCGTCTCATTCTGTCCCAACGCATCCTCTCCATCTGCTCACAAGATACATATGACAACATCACAGATTTCCAATGGTATCTGTCGGTCCTTGTCGACCTCGCATATGTCGCGTCGGTCGATGTAGGTGCTCAGATCAGGGATCAGCTGGTCGATGTTGTGGGCCGGGTACGGGGCGTGCGGAGATGGGCCGTAGAGTTGATGATGAGGCTCTTGAGTGATGAAACATTCTTGCTGAATGCACATGAAGAGGGAAGCTGTTCTGAGGTGCTATGGGCTGCGGCATGGATATGCGGTGAGAACTGCGGGTGAGTTGTTTTTGATCGTCGGCGGATCCGAACTCACAATGTCTGGCATATTGGTAATTTTGCAGGGAACTCGCTGAACCACATAAGCTCTTGACCTATTTGCTACATACAAGCATATCAAACTTGACTGCAGATACCATCCAAGTATACTTGCAAGCTGCTATCAAGGTCTTCGGTTTCTGGGCTTCCGAGCTCGCCCAGAGATGGGACAACGATGACCTGCCAAAGGTCAAGGACGTCGTAGACATGATCGTCTCCCGTATGAGCGACTTCGCGTCCAGTCCTGACATCGAGGTTCAGGAAAGGGTAGGCTAGCATATCACGCAATCCCTTTGAAACATCTTTAACTCGAATGTTTTCTTTGTGTCAGGCTGCAAACGCTCTACAACTATTCGCCTTCGTTCGGGCAGACCTTGCGTCCTTCAAACCCAAGCCAGCAGGATCTGAGGAAGCCTCTACCTTCGCAGATCCAAGCCTCGAACCCGTCTTTCCGAAAAGTCTACTCCTTATCGGCCCCCTCTTCTCCGCCTACGACCTCAACCCTGTGGCAGCAGTAGCACAGCTCAGTGTTCCTGTACCGGAAGGCCTCGACTTGGACGCTTGGATTGTTCCACCACCGAAGGATCCTTTGGTAGAGGCTGCGACTAGCAATGGGGTTGACGATGAGGATCGCCCAACGAAGAAGAGTAAGGGTAAAGGCAAAGCAAAGGCGAAAAATGGGAGCGCGCTGAAGACAAAGGGGAAGAAAGGGGAGAATAGTCGGAGAGATGGGTTCACGCCGCCGGTGGAGCAGGTGCCAGAAACACCAGAGGAGAGGGCAGAGCGAGAACGAGTGCGTCTACATTCAACTCTCCTTCAAACCCAATGCGAACCGCATTTTGAATTGGTTATAATTGTCGTTTTCAGCAACGAGCCTTGCGGTTGGAAGCTCAGCGCGACGACCCATATTACATCAAAGACAGCGGACCGTCGTCCCTCGCCGACGACGTGGACTCAATACCAGTCGTCCACCTCGACGATCTCCCACCGATGACTATTTCCGAAGGTATGCATTTACCTCTGATTGATCTCCTTCCCAGGCCATGTACTCAACGACATCTACTTGTAACGTGCAAAAATAGCCCCAGAGCGACCCCCAGCTCCCTCGATGCCCTCTCTCCTCCGGGCAGCAGCTACGACAATCTCCACTGAACCCTTTGTCATCGATCGGGAAGGTGAAATGCCCAAAGGTGCCATTAGTCCCGCCTTATCCCAGCCCACGCCAGGCTCTCAGAGACACTCCAGAGCGCATAGTCCTGCGTTGAACGGCAACGGTAGCACTACACTCCCACCGACATTCGCCCCCTATATTTTGGAGGACGAGATCCCAAGGAGTGGAACGCCGGAACCTATCAAGGTGGTCCGCGCCAAGAAGAAGGGAACCGGGACGGGGAAGAAGACTAAGAAGAAGAATACGTCGACCCCGATGGCGGTAGCTGAGGGAAGTGAGCAGCCATCTGGGTAGTGTGTTTGTTGCTGTGTATCATCCATCGCGCATGTTGTATGTAAAATGTAGGATCACACAAAACGCTCGCTCGCCACCACGACCGGTTACGAACTGTCGTCATCATTCACCATTTGCTCCACATCGACATTACTCTCATCTGTTCTCTTATTTGGTTAATGGACACGAAGCCGTAGTACTGACCGATACATATCTGCATACTGACTGGATCCATGGGGAGAATCAAAATCGAAAGACGTCTCGCTACTGCTGTGGGAAAGTAATCTGTACTGTGCTGTTATACAGGCGATTGTGTGGATCAGGCTGTTCATTTGAGTGTGGAAGGAGAGCGGGAGTGAGCGAAGTGAAGGCACAACATGTCTGGTGGAAAAGAAGCAATCGACGAAGACAAGGACAAGAAGAGTTCCAGAAGGCGTATTAGGTGATGTGCGATGATGGTATAAGCTAACGTCCAGAATGGGGACTGCGAGAAAGCGAGTATGCCTGTGAATTGTGCATGTAGATTCCATCCTGGAATTGTAAAAGCTGAGTTGCATGAGAGGAACGGAAACAGGAGGATAGCTGTATTCAAGCCAAGCCAACTTGAAGCGGCTAACAGGCACAGTCCGAGTCGATGGGTGAGGTTAGACAAACGAAGATCAGGATATGAGCGACGTCGAGAGGTATGGTGAAGACGGGACACAGGATGCGAGAGAAGAGAAAACAACGACGAGGATGAACGAGGAAAAAAGATAGCAAAGAAACAGATCGAGATCGATAATACGTATGGTCGCGGCCAAAGACGAGGAAGCGTAACAGACATTTGTTGGAGACCGACTAGCGCTCATCGCTCATCTTCAACGTGCTCGACGGAGTCTACGATCTCGTTGACCAGCTCCATGGTCACACCAGGAATGATACGTTCGGCCTCCGTAAATGCACGCTGAAGGGAGCTCAGTGCGACGCGGGCTTCTTGCGTGCTGACACGGGGGAACAACTACGTACAGAGAACCAAATGTCAGCAGCCATTTAGGATGTCTCTTTGAGAGATGGGAAGACAAACCGAAGCAATCGCCGGCAGAACGACCGAATCCAACATCGTTGTATCCGCCAAATCATCCTCTGGCACCCGATCATCAGCATAATCATCATACTCATCCACAACTTCCCTCCTCTGCCCGCCACCACCACCACTGCTACTGCTCTTCGACCCCTTCTCCCCGGGAAGCCCATGTCGCACCGTGGCCTGATGATCAAATCTGCCTGGCACCTGTCCCTGCGGTATCGGCGGTAGATGGTCTCCCTTCGCCGTGATGGACGACGATATCGACGTATTCGAGTCCGAACCTGAACTGCCTCCCCTTCGGCCACCATTGATGTTGATTTGCGCGGACGATCCTGAGCCACCAGAGTCAGTCGATCGTACGCTATCACCGTTGTATTCCCAGGTTAAAGGTGGGCCTGAGACTGGCATTGGGTTGGGGTTTGCGCGTCCGATTGTCCCTGGACGGGCGGCGGTATTGCGAACTGTGCCAAAGTCCCAGAGGTCTTCCGGGTCCGTCTGTCCTACTCTATATTGACATTCGCAAAGACATTCGCAGAGAGTCAGACCATAAGGCAAGAAAGATGGAAAGTGAAGGGAATCGTACAGGTCATCCACCCGTTCCTGCGCTTCCTCGTCTGCCCGTTCTCCACCTTCCGCCTTCCATCGTTCGTGTCGCTCGATGAGCTCCGTCAGGTAACTCGTCTTCTTCGCCATACGTACAAACTTATGCTTCAGGAGATCACGAGCGCTTGGTCTCTACTCTCACGGATCAGTGCTGCCCATAAACGGCCAAAGAGACCAAAAGGACTCACGTCTCGTGGATCTCTTTGCAAACAATAGGAGACGAACTCCCTGAAGGGCCTCGAGAAGCTCGGGTCTAATTGTGGAGGAGGGTTCTTAGGTATGAGGAAGAGAACCTAACATACAAAGAAATGCAGTTGTAGGTTAGTGTGAGTTGCAAATGGACTATATAGCTAAGACGACAAACGCACCTTCATGGGGTGTAATTCGGCGTAAGGAGGCTCGCCCTTGGCCAGTTCGATCGCCGTGATGCCCAAGCTCCAGATGTCTGCCTTGTGGTCGTATCCACTCTGCTTGATGACTTCGGGCGACATCCAGTATGGTGTTCCAACGAAGGTATTTTTCTTGGCGGATAAGGTACCTGAGAGTTGTCCTGAAACACCAAAGTCGGCGAGTTTGACTTCGCCCGTGGCCGAGAGAAGGATGTTGGCGGCTGGAACGCACGAAATGAGAATCGCCGGGATAATGAGGAGTGTTAAGGTGAGACAACAATGAAAAAGAGGGTTATTCCTGAGAGCGGACCTTTGATATCTCGATGGAGTTTGCCCTCTGTATGGAGATAATCCAGCCCACGGAGGAGTTCGCGGATCATGATCGCAATGTACTCTTCTCGAAATACACCTGGTTTCATCTAGAAAGGGTCAATCAGCAATTATCCCCTCTATCCATCCAAAACTCGACTTACAAGATCAGAACATGAACCACCAGAACAGTATCTATGTCAAAGTGATGAGTCTCACGAATCGCCTGAAAGGCCCGTACACCCAAAATAGCTTACTCCATGACAATCCACAGGTGGGAACCCTTGAGGTAGGATCCATAATACCTGTGGAAGAGGTAGGTCAGCGTAGATAGGGCGGGATGCGGCGAATGGAGGGGAAGGGACGTGACGCACTTGGTGACATGAGGGGAATCAAGTTGGGATAGAATCTGGATCTCCTGCTGTATGTCCTCGATCTCGTCCTCTGCACTTTCCAGGTCTATTATCTTGATCGCGACCGTCTTTTGTGTTCGTTTATCATAGCTGAAGGTAGGTATAGAGGGCATGTTAGGGATGGCGGGCGTGAGTGTGATACATTGTTCAAATCAGCACGTACCCTTTGAAAACTTCTCCAAACGATCCTTTTCCTACAAGATATGACACGCGTGGATATGGCCGTCTTGACACGAGAGAGGGAAGGTAGACGCACCGATTCTGTCCTGCTTCACGTAGAACTCCTCCGGATCGGAATGTGCGTCCTAGAGATGGATTGGTAACCCAAAATATGAGATCTGAGCAGATCCAATCATGACAATCCTTGAGGCAGATGCATGCTTACCATAGGTATATGAAAAGACGTCTGAAGGAGACACACAAGATTTCCTGTCGCAAACAGCCCAAGACAGAGAGTGTTCTGAGGTTCCGCAAGAGTCAGAGACTGCGATGTGGGTTGCAGTAACGAGAGATGGGTGTCGACTCCTGGTAATATACACCAAGATGTCTGGATGAAAGGGGAGGTGTATGAAGGGGACAAGCTGCGGCGAGAGCGCTGGTGGGGGGATGGACGTGCACGGTAAGACTCAAGTTCGTTTGCCACAAGTCGTAGACCCATGGCTCGGCCCGGCTATTTGCGCGACAGACGTCAGTTCCTCCTCGCTGTCTCTACGTTTGCTCTTTCTACTCAACTAACTGCCTTACTTGTCCTAATAAGTTGCTTATATGTTTGGAACAGAATATGGCGCGCCAAATATCATTTGAATTGATGAGGTACAAGCATCAAGCACAGGATAACGTCGCCCGCAGTCCACCAGGGGTTGCCACACGGGTGCCACACGCCCCGCGACTAAACTCTGTCTACAGCGAGACGACTGGGAAAGCGAGTGAGCTCTGGTAGCTGATGTGTCGCTCCGACCTTCTCTCCGTTCTCCATATACTCCATAGCTTCTTGACTGCGACGCGTGGGTGTGTTGGGCGCAGGATGCGGGGTATCGGTTGGCGGACGGGCACACGACCTCAGCTTGTAGAGGAGCACGCCGAGAGCGGCGAAGGTAACGGTTCCGACGACGGAGATGATGATGATTTGATCCCGTTGAGTGAGCTTGGGTGCTGACTTGGTCTTGAGTGGGTCAGCAGTGACCGTAGTGGGTAGCGGGTCGACTGGCATCGTTGCGGTGTGCAACACGGCGAGCTCGTAGTGGTCGAAGTTGTTGTCATGATTGCCGACATGTTGTGGGTACGCCAAGCAGAGTTGGGCGGTTGCGAAGAACCCCACAACGAGTGCGAGGAGTTTGAAGTTGTAAGAGAACATCGTGGTGGTAAAAGCTCAGAGTAGCGACAGTGGGTATAAGTGCTAGGAAGCTGATGATATGAGTCTTGTAGATGTCCCTTCAGTAAGAAGATGAGGAGAGAACATATGCAGTCTAAATGACTTCAAACACACCATTCCAGATCAGCCTGGCAGTCAGTGTCGCGCTCAGCAATAGTCGAACACTCTGTGAGACCAGTGATCGTACAGTCTAGACCGTATCGAATGTCTCATAAGTGCTCTGGAGCTAGAGAACGCAGGAGTCCAAGACATTATCTTTCGAACCAGCGGGCCACAGCCCGTGTCTGAGAGGATGATCGCCGTGAGCCTGAGCGGGCAGCAGAAAGCAGGTTAGCTGGAAGTCCGGGGCTGAGGCCCTGACTTGCCTTTAGAAGCAGCCCGGACCGGGAACAATCTCAGATCCGCCACCGACGCGTCGAGCACGTGGCTCGGAGCACACATTGCCGGCCACGCCACGCGCCCACAGTGCGGTGCCATTGCTGTTGTACTTGGTCTTGACCCCCACATCGTCGTCTCTGGCACCAATATTCTGAACAGCGTCATTCTTTCGGACCTCTATTGCTAATATATTGCGCCTATATATTGTGATATGTCTCCTAGGAAACGTACAAGGTCGTCTGTCGCTCAGGAGCTGGCGCTAGACGAGGGTGTTGGTGGTTCGAGTGGAAGTGGCCCGGCCAAGCCAGCGAAGATACCTCGTCATGGTCCTGCCAATAATCCTATCGTCATCTCGGACGACGACGACGATCTCCAAGAGATTCTCGCCCAGATCAAGGCGCAAGATGATAGCGAGGCTTTGGCAAAGTCGCTGCAGAAAGAATTGGATCAGGACGCCGGTTTTTCATCTCATGGTGCACATGTCGAAGAGTCTACGGACGTGATCATGGTCGATTCGGATTCAGAGGATGCTGAGGTGGAGGAAGTAGTGACGACAAAGGTCAAGGCCAATAGTAGTGGAAAAGATAAAGGAAAGGGGAAGGCAGTCGCTCGTACTAATGGAGCTGCCAGTTCACGATCGCCACAGAAACAAGCTAAACAAGCAATAACTGTTAAGCCAGGCGAGGAACCCCCCGATGAAAGAGTCATCCCCTTCCGTGAGCTCTTCACGAGCAGCAGACATTGCTCCAAATGTAACCAGGAGCTTGAGTCCCCTCGCGGTGATGTACGGTCCATTCGTCCATTCTTTACATTCAAGTAAGCCCCTAAGCTCACATTTTTCTCGCCATCGAACAGGTCATATTTTCGACCAATGTACCCCCTCCTAGTCTGACGAACCTTCTCCATCTTCTCTGCCGTACCTGCAAAATCAATCACTGCCGCGGCTGCCTCACAGCACTCCCATGTCCTCCCTCCTGCAAGGGTCAGTCCAAGAACACGCAATGTGGCGCTGGCACCTGCTGTGCAGAAATTCGCGCAATAGCGATCTTCGAGGCTTTAGGCGGCTTCGACAGTCTCTATATCGGCGAGAAGACACGCGCGAACGAGCGCATAAAGGAGGCTCAAGCGTCTCGCTCTTCCGGAAAGACTACGAGCAGATCCGTTGGCCCGGGAGGAACGGGTTACGGCGCGGACGATGCTGATTATGACGATTATGGTTTTGGCGGCTGGGGAGCGTGGAGTGATGAAGATATGGACGAAGCTAAGGAGGTGGATAGTGAACTGATTTATTACTCGCCGTTTGGGGGTCGAGGTCGTGGGCGTGGAAGGGGAAGGGGACGGGGAGCGGGAGGATTGGTTATGTCTGCGAGAGGGAGAGGCGGTCATCGAGGCAAAGGTAAAGGTCGTGCTCCAGACCCTTCAGCTGCCAAACTTGCCCAAGACGCAGCCCATTTCGACGAACTCCTCGTTCGTGCGCTCAAGACTATCACTTCCTTCCTTCCCTCACCTTCTTCTTGCGAGGCCCAGACCTTCGATCTTCTCCCACACGACTCTCTTCTTCCACTTCTCTCAACCTCCCAGCTACCAGAGTTGCTCGGGAGCCTGTTACGGAATGACTCGGTGACTGAGTGGACAGTGAGAAGCGAGGTGTATTATGCTATGCTAGAGATGTTGCGGAGGTTGGCGGATTGCGAGGTGACCTTTCCGGTGCTTATTGATCGGCAGTGGGCGAAGAAGGAGTCCTGTGGACTCGAGGCATGGATGTGGAACGAAGGCGAGATCGTATGGGAGACGACAACTACCACTACGACGACGGCGAATGGGCAACAACATCAACACCAGCAAACAGTTTATAGCCGCTCCTTACCGCTCTATACGCATTTCAAGAAGCTAACGCGACAGTGCGAAGCGTTCATGGCTGGCGCGGCGAGGCTCATGGAAGGGCCAGAGGGTAAACCGGATGCGGAATTCGAGCAGACGATGACACTGTGTGGGGATATTATCGCGACGAAGGATGATATCGAGAGAGCCATGAAGGTGGTTGGGAGACACCCGGATACCTTCGATATGGACGTTGAGCCTCCTGCTCATTCGTCTGTATCACAAACAATCGGTACATCGGAGGATCCACACCACACGAAAGGACCCGTCACCCGGAGTCAAGCCAAGGGAAAGGCCAAGGCCGCACCTCCACCCGAACCCGAACTCGTATGCGTCGACGAACGACTCTACACCCGTGAATGCGAGCGTCTAGCCTTCCAATATGTGACCCTAGGCGAGGAGAGCAAGACTTCAGCCAATGCCTCCACCAATGGGAACGGCAAGGCCGTCGCTGTGGGTGGCGACGGTGCTGGGCTCGTGTATAAGACGTTCAATTATGCTTCAAAGTTGAAGCAGACGGAGAGCAAGACGAGGATTCCAAAGGATAGGCTGCATCTCGTTAAGGAACTCGCGGTAATGGCGACTTCCCTGCCTCCGGGTGTGTGGGTACGAGTGGATGAAGTTCGGAACGATGCTATGTGAGTCATCTTCCTTTTCCTTGTAATTTTTACCCCTCTTCGATCTTCTACTTTGCTGATGATAATTTCGTGATTTTCATCATGTAGTAAGATCCTGATAGCAGGGCCAGTGGGTACACCCTACGAAGGCGGCCTGTTTGAGTTCGACTGCTGGATGCCAATCGAATACCCGAACGTCCCGCCACTGATGCATCTTCGCACGACGGGTAACGGAAGCGTGCGATTCAATCCTAACCTCTACAATAACGGCAAAGTATGCTTATCGTTACTTGGAACGTGGCCAGGACGGTAAGCCTCCCACAAGAGTCGTGACCGTAATCGCAACCTGATCGCAGGAATTCATCCGGTCAGACCAGAAGAACAGTGGTCGAGAAAGTCCACGCTTTTACAGGTGCTCGTGAGCATTCAGAGCATGATTCTCGTCGACTTGCCGTATTTCAATGAGTAAGTTTTCTGTGGAATTTGAATTCCATCCTTCATTTCCGAATTTCGAGCTTCCTCACATGGAGTTACATCGCACCGTCTAAACTTGCGACTTGTAGGCCAGGATATGGTCAAGCGAAGGCAGAGGCGCCTCCAAGCGTGAAATACAATGAGGGGATCCGGCTCGCAACGGTTCGTTGGGCCATCGTGGAGTGGTTGAAAGACGAGCATTTGAATGGGACTTGGGGGGTATGTCGCTATTTTTCGAGCCCTCATATAATAGCATTGTTCTGACGACGCGTACGTGACATTATTAGGATGTCATCGCGTCGCATTTCTCCATCCGTGGCGCCGCGATTCGACAGACGTGAGTTGTCCCATCTCGTCTCGGCCCCCAGCACTGACCCGTCGTCGTTTACTTGACCTTACAGGATCGAACTCTGGTCCAAAACACAGCCGTCCATCCGGGCTTTCCCCTCCAATCCACACAACCACCGCAACCGCGGCCTGGGTCAGGAACATCCCATTTTCCTCAATGCCCCGGCAGCCGAGTTTCCTCCTCACCATCATCCTGGCGTCGACTTTTCTGACGACTCTGATTACGCCTATGATGACTATGGGGATGATGGGGGTTGGGATGTGTACGGGGAGGGCAGCGATGAGGATGTGGAAGGCAACGATGACAAGGTGACGACTTGGGATCCGGAGATGTGGCCATTATTTCCGGGTCAACACAATCCGACCAAGGTCAATAAATTGGCGAAGACCAATAAGGTTCAGGATGAAGACAAGGACAAGGACGCAGGCAAAGATACTACGGAGGAGTCTTCCCAGTCCAACGCCGATGCCGGTGGTAGCGGTGGTGGTGATGGAAAGACGAAGGCAAACGCAAAGCCTAAGGCCACGAAGGCGAAGGCCAAACCGAAAGGCAAACCATCAGCGAAGCTTGTAGCCATGTCTAAGCCCTTAGTCATGTCGAAGCCTTACCTTCTCGGCCCCACCCATGGCGGTTTCACGCTTACACCCGTAATCCCATCCCCATCCTCATCCACAACCACATCCGCACCCAACCCTCCCAACTCCGACTCATATCCACCACAACATCCTCAACCGTCTGCCCATCCCCATCCCCATCCCCATCCCCACCCCCAGTCCTATCACTATGATTATGCTAAAGCAAAAGCACAAGCATATATGCAAGCACTCAAGGCCAAGAAAAGCCAAGCATCCTCTTCACCTTCGTCATCTAGTGCAGGAGGACACCCACCCCCATGGACAACTGTAGCTGCCCCAGAACCACTTCCTGGCCCTGGTTCTCTCCTCGAGCTCCCTGGTCCGACGTATTCTTGGGCTCCTCCGCCTTCTTGGAATAATACTCCACCTACGGGCGCCCTACCTTCTTATCATCATCCTCATCACATGCAACACCATAAACATCCCCAACCGTCCTCGACATCATCTACCGCTGCTACCCCCGGGACCGGATCTTCCGCTACACCCACGACCACAACCGTGTCTTCAGGCGGCGGCAGCGGTGGTGGGGTTGGTGGTGATAATGGTACTTCAGGTCCCAACAGCACCGACATCGCCCACAAATTAAACCCACTGATGAGCTACATCTCATCTGGATACAGCTCTCACTCGTGGAAGAAACCGACCGCCCACGAGCTAAGCGCCGCGAAGTCTGTCGGACACGAGTTTGTGACTTACGGTAGTCCAGTTGGTGTCGTTGGTTCTAGTGCTGGTCCTAGTACGAGTGGAGCGGGATCGGGATCGGGGACCAAGACCGGGCAGGGGACCGTGGTCGAGATGGATCTGTTGGATGAGTTTGACAAGGGCATGGAGAGGGTGAAGGCTTGGACAGATGCGAAGGTCAAGGAGAAAAAGGATGCTGATGCTGGTGCTAATGGCATGGAGATTGGCGGTGAGACCAAGGCAGATGGATTATAATATCATTGAGTAATCGCGACGGGGATTCTTGTCAGCCTCGGGGTACTTACATAGGGGAATGGAGGGAACGGGCATATTTAACTGGCATCTGATTGGACGAAGAAGACGGTGCCCGTGGCTTTTTTGTATCAATATTTTCATTAGGATTATCACGGTATACATTGGCATGCATGCATTGGCTGTGTGGACAGATTCGTGGAGCAGCAGCGAGCCTGTCTGTTTGACCTACTCTTTGCGTGTAAATGGGTAAATGGATAAGCGGGAAGATAGAGGTAAGTAAGATAGGATGTCTGTGTCACGAATAGAATGTCTAGCAAATATTTGGGTTATAAGATCCGAAGGCGGATAGCGATGAGTGAATACAGTATAAGAGTCAAGCAAGTATGAGTGCGATTGGCTTGGATGGGTGGGAATCGCGAGCGTGAGCAGACGTGAGAACGGGGATTGACAGAAGGGTGTGAGTATGAGGCCTCTTCGAGCTCCGGGGTAAAAGCACTGGCCGACGGCATAGCAGATGCATGAGAGAAATGATGACGAGAAGCAGCAGCACGGACCAAGATAAATAGTGACGACCGAGAACCGAGCGAAGACCGTGAAATAGAAAGGGAGGCAGAAGGGACTATAGATCTCGTACAGTACTAAGAACTTGGTTATTGTTGTTTTCGATGCTCCTGTGTGGTACAACATGAACCCGTCAGTATTCGTGGATAGCGAGGTACAGAGTAGAGTATAGAGAGGGAGGAGGAGGAGGAGGACAAGAGCTGAGAAGTGGCGGGTGGCGCCACATGGAGCGGAGCCAGCGACGAGAACGAAAACAGCACGCACCGGCGTATGTGTTGCCTCATGATCCACATGCACGAACGCGCGTTCTACGTTCGGCAGCACTTCGATCTTGTCCTGCAGCTGTTGGCTGATGTCGTGCGCTTTCCATAATGGCGTGTTCGCGGACATGACGATGTCAACTTCGACGAAGTAGTCCTATACGTCCACAAAAAATAAGTTCAGTAAAATGAGATTGATCCCACCCTCTCTCTCACACACTTGTGCCAGTGCACAGAGGTGCAGATGGACCTGGATGGAAAACAACGTACCGGTCCACTCTATAGGATAAGGATTCAGTTCAATATGATGTAAACGAATACGAAACAGGTGGGAAAGATTGGACTGACGTGGTACGCCCGGACCGTATCGACCTTCTCAATATCGTCGCTGAACGTCGTTGCTTTGTAGATAATGAGCTGCAGGAAATCGTGCGGTGCGGATTTTCCGGCCAGGAGCTCGAATTGCTTGTAAATTGTATGTGTCCAGGAGATGATGACTCCTGCCGCAATCTACCGGGTGTGAGCGAGCAAGAATTAGTCAAACCGAGATACGAAGAGGACAGTAATTGTGCAGAGGGAGTGCAGGACGTACGATAATGGCTCCCATTGGGTCAAGGTCTGCGAACACGAATGATCAGAGAACTATCATGAGTGCGAGCAAAATGGATGCATGGGTATGGCTCTCACACCACCGTAGCTTGCTACCGCCCGCAGACATGAGTATACCTTTGTTACAACGTTTCTGTGAGTATTTTCTTCGCTGTACCTGGATCCACAGAGAAGATGACACACCGAAGCCATTGATGAACAAGTCATTGCGATGATCTTCCCAGAGGACTAATACTTGGCTGGACCGTGTCCGTAAAGAATAGCAATAGAGAAATAGAAGGAACTTGACACCTGTGAAATCGACGCGGAACCCGAATACTCTGTCAGCTTAGATCCGCAAAGGACGTATAGCAGTAGATCCTCATTTCCATCGCTTATCAAAGGCGGGAAGTGACATACCTAATGCAGCGCCGACGGCCACTATCGAAGGTACGTGGAACTTGTTCGTATCTCCACCACCATGCGTGATCAGATCCCTAGCCGACTCGACGATGACGACGAGGTTTACGGAGCCCATGCTTTACAGCGTATGCAGTCAGTACAGCGCCCACAGTTCCAGAATGCGTATGCGAAGAGGAACACGAGTCTCACAGAAATCCTGAAAGAGGATATGGCGTGAGCGACTGTTTATGTGGTGGGAATGCCTGAGAAAACAAATGACTGACCATAAATAACGTTTCCAATGTTCTCTAGCCTTGAGCCTCCGACGGGCCATCTATTGATGTCCATGCTGTTGGCTTTCTTATGGATGAGGTATAGCAACACGTTGCTGCCGATGTCAAAGACGGAATCGATACCAGTGGCGAGGAGAGAGAGCGAGGCAGAGGATATTGCAGCGTATACTGTGGGGTGTGGGTGTGAGCTCAAACATCAGAGTGAGAGCGAATGGGAAAGGGGTAGAATGTGTGGGCTAACGTTGTAGGACACAAAGCGCGAAATTAGCCCACATGCTAGCGTGGACAGCTATTCGTACCTAGACGAGGCTGATATGAGTAAGGGGAGTGGGCAGGACTTCATCTGAGTGAAGCGTAGACTGAGGGTAGACGAACAGGTAATCGCGCTGCATCCTCCACTATCCTCGCATCTTCTGTGTGTTCTTCCATAGGCTTGAGGAGGGCATGGATGAGCTGTGTGGCACCAAGGTAATATCGTGAGCTTTAGATAGGAAATGAAGGTAAAAGGCACGAACGGCATTCTGTCGTTCGTGATAACGCTCGAGTGGCTTGCCACCCTTTCGTTTGCGAAGTTCCTGGAGTTCCTGTTCGGACTTGAGACCGTTGTTGAATTCGAAGGGGTCACGGTATGAGGCAAGGCTCTTTGCGGATGGGGTGCGTTCTATGTCATTTCCTGACGCTGATCCTTGATCGAGTACCGTCTCTTCGGTGTTCTATGCCGCGACTGAGCCGGAGGCGCTGGCTTTGAGCGGAAATAGGTGCTCACCTTTGATGTCGATGGGGGGGCGGGGGGTAAGTCGGACGGAATATTAGCCTTGTCGTCGTTCGTGAAGATCATGGCTGCCCGAGACTGCAGAAGAAAGGCATGGAAATTATTGGATGGCCATGAGAGTATAGAGTGGGAGGTGCCTCCGAGTCCGAGGGGATGGTAACAGAGTCGTACCGCCCCCTTGGACCCTCGTTCGTCCCGCTTCCAGTCGACTGGACTCTCACCTCTGTTTTACGCTTCTGCTTCTTTGGGCTATCCTTCAAAGCAAACTCTGAGTGAGTACCACGACGCGCTCGGCTCGGAAAGGGCACAAGGCGGGTCTGAAAGAAGAAAGAGAGAGATAGCGTGGGCAGGTACAGGTCCAACCGGCATCGCCCACTGATATTCTGGCATTTTATAATTCGCAAGCGACCAATCTCACGGCTCCGACAAGCCTCGACGCGGCACAGCTTCCGTCTTGGCAGAGCCACTTCCCCAACCTGACATCACGAACAACACGCGAGCAGCCTTGGGCCGAGAACATATCTCGTAAACAAATCCATCGCACTGTTTTTGTCACGATCTTCTCGGTCTGAACACAGGCGCGAGATATTATCAGTCAAGCAGGAGTTACGAGTCAACCCAGCTTCCAAAGCGACCACGGGAAACGCTATGCTCACGACGGACTCATCAAACACGTCTCTCGCACTCCTCTTTCTCCTCCTCATACTATTAATGTAACCATTCTACGCGCGTCACGCGTCACGATACTTGCTCAACTATACCTTCTGCCCAGTTTTCTCTCCCTAGCATGGTGTATGCTCGGGTCTTGTATGGGGCAACCTCTGCGGCGGTTCCTCTCTGAACTCTGGGAGTCCATGGTAGCTAGCTCGCGCGTCGGAAGCACTCATCCCGCGAGGCGTTGGCGCACAAGTTCGGGTTTCGACAATGACGTTTGGGAGATGGAGAACAGGGGCGGTAGATTTGGTTGACGGAGGCCAGTATGTGAGTCTGCACTAATCTCTCTTGCTTTTGTTAACACCCGCAGAGTTATTTATAGCTTAGCTGTCTTTGACGATCAATAGACTATTTCCAGATGTGCGTGAACTTCAATGTTGTTCACCCATCTCAACCTCGCTCACCCATTGCCCGCCACCATCTCCAGTTGTTTTCAAGCCACCACCGTTCTGTGTTCCGTGTGCAACGAACGTGTACTTAATGCAACCCAGGTCTCATGTTGATTTTCGTCTTCTTCTGGGTCCGTTGCCATTCAGCCCAGCAGTATCCATTCACTTTGCCCCCCGATGTATACACGCATCGGGCCCGGAAGATGCTTGATCGACGACAGATCGTTATTCGCTTTCGCCAACCACGCTTTCGTCGACGGAGGAACGGCCTGGACGGTTGGTTGAAACCTAGCACCGGTCTAAGACATTCGACCGCCAGATTGTATAAGTATCCCGCCCGCCTCTTTCAATTATCTGCCACCCTTCTTCTTTTTCCCCACATTGCTATCTGCCTGCACACATTCTCTCTGCTAGTACGCGCCTCTCTTTACGCACACACAGACTATATTCTACGCCTATAATTATGAAGTTATCTTCGAGCACCTCCTTGGCTCTCGCGTCTCTCGCCATCTCTTCGTCCTCGTCCTCCTTGAGAGCTCTGGCAGCGCCAACTCCCGGCAACTCTACCGCCGTTCAGGATGCAGACTATTCCGCCATGCCTTCGAGCACTTCAACTGCCTCGATGACGATGTCCTCGTCCGCAAGTGCACCAGAGCTCACTCCTGCCTTCACCCGTAAGTCGTATTTTCTCTCGGTAGCCGTTTCCGTCCATCCCGCTCTTGCCTCACCAATTTTCACCAATCTCAGGAAGCATTCGTGCCCGCCAGCTTGCGGGCCTTATCGACGCGATTGAAGGTCTTCCCATCGTTGGACCTGTTATGGCCCCAATCATGGACGCCCTCAGTCTTAGTTCTAAGGTCGCCGGTGCGGCCTCCGCCGAATCCCTCAGTCTCACTCCCGGCGTTCTCGACGAAGTTCGTCTCGCCGCCGCTCAAGCCGCGGGCCAGATTCAACAGAACGTCCAGTCCGCCATCAGCGAGGGCGTCAACGCCGCCTCCGCTGCCGGTGCAGGTACTCCCCTCGGCGGTGCCTTCAGTGTAGCTGGCGGTATGGCCGCGGCTGCACCGGGCATCGCCGCTGGTGCAGCCAATGCCGCCACTTCACTTGCTGGACAAGTCCCTGGTACTGCCGCTGGAGCAGCTAGCGCTGCTGCTGCCGCCGCCGGATCCGTCGCCCCTCCCGCTGGCGTCCCTGCCGCTCCTGGACCCGTCGCGCCCGTCGTTTCTGGCGTCGCCGGTAGCGCACCCTCTCCTCCCGGTGGCGCACCCTCTCCTCCTGGTGGGCCACCATCGGGTTCCACCACTGCGAGCTCCAGTAGTGCTTCCTCTTCAGCCACCTCCGTTGGTGCCGCTCGCGCTCTCCGCATGAGGCGCCAGAACGCCGTTCTCATGGACGGGGGCGACGAGCCCCTCATCAGCATGGCCTCCGCCTCTTCTACTGCCTGCTCCGATATGGCTACACCTACCGCTGGTGCTGCTTCTGCTGCCGACGCCGACAACAAAGGCCCAAGCATGACACCCTCCGCCTCGTCCTCGTCCACGTACAGCTCTCCCATGCCCTCCGGCCCGCCGAACAGTCCCGCTCAGTTCTATGCCATGAAGAGAGATGGGCAACCTACCGTTGGCGTCGCCCCGAGCGCTGGCGTTGCCCCTAGCGCTGGTGGTGTTGCTCCGAATGTTGGTGTTGCTCCGAATGCTGGTGTCGCTCCCAATGCTGGTGTAGGCCCCAACGCCGGTGTCGCTCCGAGCGTTGGTGTCGCCCCGAGCGTTGATGCGGGCGCGCCGAAGCCGCCGGTGAGGAGGGATGGTCAGCCTGGTGTGGGTGTCGCCCCGAGCGTGGGCGTCGCTCCTAGTGCAGGTGGGGTGAACCCAAGTGTGGGTGTTGCTCCGAATGCTGGTGTCGCTCCAAATGCTGGTGTAGGCCCCAACGCCGGTGTCGCTCCGAGCGTTGGTGTCGCCCCGAGTGTTGGTGCGGGCGCGCCGAAGAGGAGGGACGGTCAGCCTGGTGTGGGTGTCGCCCCGAGCGTGGGCGTCGCCCCTAGCGCAGGTGGGGTGAACCCAAGTGTGGGTGTCGCTCCGAATGCTGGTGTTGCTCCGGCTGCGGGTGTCACCCCAAATGCTGGCATCGCTCCGAGCGTTGGTGTTGCCCCGAATGTCGGTGCGACTGCGCCGGGGCCGATGCCTTCGATGATGGCGGGGATGAACGTTCCGAGGGGTACGATTGCAGGAGATACCCCGCCGTTGTTGAAGTAGAGGGTTGATATGTCGTATTCCTTCCGATGCACGTGTGACTGGTTGGGTTCTGGATGTATTTGGTTCGGTTGTGGAGACGTGTACGGTTTCGAGCCGTATTTATGTGGATGTGTGTTGATGGTGCGATGAAGATAATCCTATATACTATATGACTTGCGTCGGCGCCCTGCTTCTCTGCTTGCTTGTAATCCCATGATTATTGTATTTTGTCTGTCCACGATCTCTCCGAGTGAATCACTTAGTGAATTTATCCGATCCAATGAAGATATGAGACTTTGGTATGTCTGCTTACGTAAAACAAAGTACGATGTGCCACTCAGCCCCTGTGGCGCCCAGTTGCAGGTGATACTCTAAAGCAACGACTCGTTGATCAAAACATCAAAACCAGAACATCGAAGAAAGGTATTACATACAGAAACAGTGAATGATAACATGAGATAACGAAAGCAAATCAACCAGGAGCCTAAGAACACAATGCGGAAAGCAGAAATAAGGTCTGTTTTCGGACAGCGGTCTGACCTCTACCCCAACAACGGCTCTTCCTCTCCATAGTCAATCAAAGGCCTTGCATCTCTTCGGAAGTATCCGCGCAACCTTTGCCCCAGACCGCCCACCCTTTGAGCCAGACCGCCCACCCATATCCACCCACGAAGCCCCCCAGAATTCAACCTCCTCTTCGTCTCCGCAGCTCCCAACTCCGCGGTCACCGCGACGCCACAGAGTGCCCACACAAATGCAAGCATCTTCCAATCTCCCGCTGCCGCATAGATCGTCCGCGAATCGTCAAAGGGCCATTCCACCGCCACAGTCCTCACCCACGACCCACTTCCGACCTGAGTCGGCTCGCTCATACCCTGTCCTACGACACCACTCACTCCACCATTGCCTCCATCGCAGAAAAGCGCGATGCTCCCGGTCTCTGCGGTGCGTGCTTTCACCTGCTCCCACATCGCGATGCTAACATCCGTTTCCCAGGTTCGGGCTGGAGCGAGGATGAGAGCGGGACGGGAGGGAAGATCGCTGAAAGCGTTGGGAGAGGCAAAGTCGAGGCATATGGATGCTGTAAGGGAAATAGGTCGAGGGTGTTTGTCGTATCTGTTTTGTCGTAAAGCAAGTTCATGTATAGTTGGTGGGTCCTGGGATGAAATCATGTTAAAGGACTCCGCGACTAAGTTCATGGCAGTCAGTATCTCGTTGGAATAGTATGATACTAGAGAGGACATACTTGGGACTAAGTTTCTTTTATAATATTCGAACACAACGCCCTCTTTCCCTCCTACAAGTGCCAATCCGTTCTGCGTTCGAGCACGACCATTTTGACCCCCGTGATCCAATGATATCGTCTGTTCGAATGTCATCCCAATATAGCTACTGTGGGTAGCACCTGAGAATTTCTGTAATCTTTCGATGGCTGCTTCGCGGTCCTTCATGTTCTCGAAGCGAACCGCACCCTCTGGCCAGAGGATAATCTTCGCATCTTTGACCAGTTTCTGAGTTTCCGTCACGTAGGTGTCGAGAGTAGACTGTCCGGGAAGAACAGGAGGAGGTAAGGCGCATGCAACCGTGATTGGGGTAGAGTTAGGTGACATCGAAGGCAATGGGTAGACACGGTCGGAGTAAGATGGCACGGTCAGCGCTATAAGCACGGCAGCTAAAGCGATAGCCGAGCGTCGCGGTGTAAGAGTGGCGACGCGTTTCGCCGTAAGCTGACCCTCGGTGTTCTCGATCGTGATGAGGGGCGTCTCTTCGTCTTCCTCTGCAGCGTCGAGCACGAGCATTCCGATTGCTTGAGCCCATGATGCCATGACCCACATGATGCCCCACGAGCCAAAAACAGGCCTCATCCAGGAGTATGCCTCAATTCCGACGACTGGTGACCACGTCGTGAGCCAGCCCAGAGGACTGATATTAGCAATTACTTGCCAGGTCGTCACCCAGATGGCAGGGAAGAGTATGAGTTGGGTATCGGATACTTGGGCGTGTCTGCAGGCAAAGACGTTTGCAAGAATAGCTGCCATTGTGACAAATGATGCGGCCGCGGAGAGTATGAATAGCGATATAACGGAGCTTGTTGCTGAAGAGAGTGCATCTTTGGCAGTTGAGATGTGATCCAGACTTGTGGCGAGACCGGAGATGGCGACCAGGAGAAGAGAGTGTAATAACGAGGAGGATGGTCGTTTAGATATAATTTGAGTATACGCTTGCATGAGTGCAAGGAGGATGGTGATGGGGATGAAGGAAGGCCTTGGGGACAGGGCGCCCACCGCCGCCACAGTAATAGCGGTCAGCAGAGCGATACGGGGGTGCCGACGAAAAAGCTCGAACTGAGCCATCGACGAGTCGGCAAGATGGGGGTAATAACAGGAAATTCGGAGTTATAAGTGAGTACGCCTTACAACCTTTCCTCTACCTTGGGAGGAGAGAACGCGATGGCGTCTTGATGTTCCCGACATGGTTTATATGGAACGATACTCGGCCGTCGCCGGAAGGGAAGAACTTCTGTTGCGCCACTGAAACTAGGTAAGCGAGGGTAAGCGCCCTATATACCTGGATGCTCACGTCCCGCCACATAATTGTGCGTTTCTCCAGTGCAGTATTCTTCACGAATACCACCTCACCCTATGGGAGAAAGGATGAAGCAACACCTGGTTACCTAAATGCGTGACAATATATAACGGTCAGGACCCAACTTGGTGTATGACGAGATACATTCGCACTGTGAGGTTGAGACAAACTTCAAGTTGGAAGTCACCCTCGCCACCTTCGTTACTGTCGTATTTAGAAAACGTAGAGCATATATCATAACTCGAGATCCTCGGACGCATTACCTAGAATGTCCTTGCTGAGCGCTGAACTCCGCTTCCTTCGCAGCCTTCTTCAGGTCCTCGAGCGTAATGCTGGACCTTTCGCACATACTGCGGAAGATACCATCCTCTATGCGATACAAGTTTTCCGGTGTGTCAAATTCGACGATTTGTCCTGCATCAAGCACACATATCCTGTCGTACGAGATTATGGTCCGCAATCGGTCTGTTCGCAGCCGGTTAACACAAAGCGATTGATACCGATTCAATAAGGCCTCGTGATGAAAGAAGTGAGAAAAACGTACGGGCAATGCACAGTATGGTTCGGTCTCTGAACTCCTTCGCGATGGTGGCCTGAATATTCTTGTCAGTCTCATAGTCGACAGACGCAGTTGCCTCGTCCAGAATGATGATCTTTGTGTCCTTGACAAGTGCCCTCGCAAGTGAGACGAGCGACCGCTGCCCAATGGATAAGTTTGCGCCTTCATCGTCTACCGGGCTGTCTAGCGTAAATCCTTGACCTGGCGTGTTAGAGACATCCGACGGTTTCTCATCGACGCTAATGGATGGAAATTTGTCTTGGTCAACGAGATAGGCGCGTTTGAGGGCATTCCACAGGTGTGCATCATCGTGTAGACCGAATGGATCCAGATTAGTGCGTAAAGTCCCAGAAACTAGCGTCGCGGGTGGAGCCCTTTCAGTTTCTGGTTACATTGAATCAGGTAGAATACAGCATAACTCACATAGCGTCGCATCCTGAGGGATGATAGCAATCCCTTTGCGAACATCCGTGAGCCCAAGCTTTGATATGTCCTCGCTGTCAATCACAATCGACCCAGAGGAGATCTCTACCAGCCTGAACAACGCGGTCATAATCGACGACTTTCCAGCGCCGGTTCTAGTCATCGAATATTTTCAGTGCTTGTTCAAGGTCGCAATTTGCTGACCAGACTGACCTTCCCACAATCCCGATCTTCTCGCCGCCCTGGATAGACATGGTGATCCCCTTAAGGACGGGTGGGAGCTCGGGCCTATATTTCAACTGCACGTCCTTCAAGTCGATCCGTCCAATTGACGGCCATGAAGCGGGTGGTTTGCGATCCTCGATAACATGTGGTGCCTCTTGCTCGACATGTTTCGCATAGTAGACGACACGCTCGACAGAGTTCATGTCGTTCTCGACTTCCGCGAGTTGACGAATCATCATACCAAAGGACTGAGTGACCACAAAAAATGCATAAATTAGTTATGCCGCAGAAAGCCCAAAATGAGTCGGGATTTTGGACGAACCTGTTGAGCAGTGATCACGTATGAGAGAATAACTCCAGTCTGTGCGGGTGAGATGGTAAATCTCGTGCCGACAGTGAGGATAGCGACGACGAATGCGAGAATTGCGCCGAAAAAATCAAGCCGAACACCGAGCCATCTCTGTATTCGAGTGTAAATGAGCAATACTGGGGCATCTTGAGAGTGTGGAATAATGGGCGCACCTGGTTAGTGACCGTGATCCAATACGCCCTATTCTCAATATCGACACGATCCTTGTTCTCCTTGTTGAATCGATCCGATTCACCATAAGCACGGATAGTAGCTATTCCGGACAATGACTCCGAAAAGTGGGAGTATAATGAAGACCGAAGTATGGCATCTATTCATGGATATGATCAGAACAAGTCCGGGCAAAGAGGCTTTAGGTAGGCATACCGAGACGCTAAAAACACACGGAAGGATTCAATGAGACACATTATACGCAGAAAGAGGAAGTCTCCTACCTTGATCTCGCGGGCACTTGCTCGATAGAATGCGGCGGCGGCAGCATATAGGAAAATACAGAAAGCGACAGCGATGAGGAACCAGGGCTCGACGATAGCAATTAAGACGATAGCGCCGACGATGTTGGACGCAGTTACAAGGAACATACGGAATGAGTCTGTAGGTTGAGAAATGCATTAACTCCAGTAACGATCAAGCAAATATAGAATGAAACCAACCAGACAACGTGTTGTCCAAGGTATCAATATCTTTGGAGAACCGGTTCATAATGCGTCCGATAGGCTGTAGAGATTGTTAATGCGGAAAGCTGATAACGAAGGAGATGGACTGTACTGTAGTCTCAAAGAAGGACATTGGAGCATGCATAACTCGATTGATGGCATTCTGTCAAGAGGTCATCAGATCAGCGGATGTGTGGACTGCAGTAAAAAGAGGAGGAAGCGAACATGGTGCAGTCTTTGGGAAGCCGTATACACAGTCCACGCCAAAATTGCGCCCATGACCATTGAGGTGCACGCTTGTGCGAAACCCAGAGCTGCATAGATACCCATCTAGGAAATGGCAGGGTTGAGCGATAATCAGGAAGAGGTATACCTAATGAACCGAGCTCTTGACTTACGTAGAATCCTGAAGATCTGTCGAATGCGCTACATACGGATTTCAGCCCTCATGTTCTCGCACGTTTGACGGATCAGACTTGACTTACTCATCCTCCCAGTACACAAGCCTAAATAGTACGTCAATATAGAAGTCAGTAATGAGACAGGAAGGATCGTTGCCCACCAATATGACGATAGTACCTGGGCTCCTTGCTGTGCAATCAGCGAAAGCAACAGGAACGGTATATACAACGCCCCGTTTCCCGCCTTGGAGTATTCCTTGAAAACACTTATACCGATACTGCCCGTAGTTCTCTCCTCCGTCTGCATCAACTGTGTACCCTTGACTTTCTGCCTTCTATTCTTCTCTACCTCAGCGTCTTCCTCTTCCTCAATCTCTTCTGTACCCTTTTCCTCCGCATCATTGTCATGAGAAATGAATTCGGTGATAAACTTCGCAAAAGCGCCACCTTCGCTGACCATCAATTCATTGTAAGTTCCCCGCTCGGCGATGCATCCGTCCACGAGGGTGTAGATATAGTCGACTTGAGGGAGGAAGTGCAACGCGTGGGTGACAAGAATGCGCGTCTTGCCAGGTGGACTGCCAACGAGGACGTTCTTGAACACTGAAGCACCGACATGGGCGTCCAACGCCGAGAGTGGATCGTCGAAGATCATGATGTCGCAGTCGGCGTAGACAGCACGACAGATATTTAGCCTCTGCTTCTGGCCGCCCGAAAGCGAGATGCCTCTCTCTCCGACCTCTGTCATGTCCCCGTTCGGCAGCATGTCCAGATCTGCATGGAGGCATGTGTCATTCACCGCTTTCCAATACCTCTCTGCCTCGAACGGCCTCCCGAAACAAATGTTCTCCCTGATTGTCGCGTTCTGAATCCATGCGCTCTGGGAACAATACGCCACGCTTCCACCGAACTTCACGCTACCCTCTGTGCGCCTCATCTCTCCAAGCAAACCCTGCAGGAGACTGGTCTTACCGGCGCCCACGCTACCGACGATAGCGACTAGACTTCCCCTCGGAATTTCGAGGCTTACGCCTTGTATCTTGAACAGGTTCTCGGCCTTCGGAGGTTCCTGCGATGGAGGGGGTGCATCAGGTCCTTCGCTAGGAGGTCCTTTCTTTCCGGGACCGTTTGGTTTTGGGACTTTCGCGATCTCGGCAGCGTCTTGGACTGTAGTGTCCCACGAGAAAGATGCATACTTGACTTCAAGTGCATTTGGGAGTTCGGGCTCAGGTGCATGGGATTCGGTGATAGTTTCCGCTTCGAAGACGTCCTGGAGGCGGTGGATAGCGTTGCGGGCGTCAACGAGGGTACTGAAAGACATAGCTGTGAAATATGAGTGGGTTGAGAACGCAGAAAAGGATTGTACGATAATATTTGGTACGGAGAGACAACTCACGGAGCATCATCAGAGGCATGCGGATTAGACTAAACAGCGTGAGCGAAGAGAACACATTGGCGGCTTCGAGCGAGTGACCCGTAGCAGCGTATACGACGAATGCTAAAACGGTGGCGATAGCAGGCGCGGTGGTAGCCATGCCGGCATTAGCTGCATGTATTGTCAGCAAAGCTCGTATATATCTGTTGAATCATGAATCATTGATGAGCAGCACATTAGTCCACGAGGAGACCATATGTTTGACTCACTTCATCTCGTTCTGCCGATACTCTGCAATCCTCTTCAAAAATGGTACCTCCCATGCGAAGTACTTGATGACCTTCATGCCGCCTAGCAACTCCTGTAGTAGCTTCGCTCTCTTATCCGTCCACACCATCGTCTTCACTCGCATCTTGATCAGGTTCTTGATGATCCATGCCTGAAGAGGTGTAACCAAGATGAAGTAGACGAATCCCGCCAGCGCGCTTGGGCCCAAATTAATCAGGAGCTGAATGAGGCAGACCCCGATCTGGAACGGAGCGGCCCAGAAGAGATGGAAGAACATGCAACAGGCGTCGATGCGGGAGACGTCGGTGGAGATGTGATTGATGAGACGGCCATTGGGGATCGAAGAACGTGCGCGGGTCGTTAGACAGAGCGAGCGGGAGTAGATAGCGGTGATGAGTCCGCCTCGGAGGAGAACACCGGTCGACATGGCGTGGTAGATGAAGTGATTCTGGCAAAGGGAGCAGAAAACTTGGAGGGCAAGAAGACCAAAGCAGTATCCTATGCCTTTTCCCACCGAGGGAGCCGGTTCGTCAGCTAGATGCGCATTATAAGAATCCGTTGCGAAGTTGATTATGGCCTGCAAACGTCAAGATATGAATGTATCAGAATATAACGCCGGTGGACACGCACCTTAACAAGTAGCGGACTTGTAACCAGGGACGTGTCGCCCAGCACTTTGAGCACCCCGCCAGTCCAAAACCAAAGCTTAACACTGTCATTCATCGACAAGGCCAAACTTGCCCGCTTCCTCGCCCCTTTCTGCCATTCCCTCTTCTTCTCCTCTTCCTTCCCTGTCATACCCCACCATACCTTCTTCATCACCCCAGGGTGGATTTCTCCGCGGTCCAACCTCGCGTTCCATGCGTCCACCTTAGCCTTTCTAGCGTAGAAGGATGTGGTGATCTTCTCGGAAATAACGACAGAGGAGCGATGCTCCTGAAGTTTATACAGATCTGTAGCTTCAAGCGTGCGTGCATAACCCAAGGACATGAGAGGATTCAGCCAGCCAAAGGTAAGAACGCTGAAGATGTTGGCGTTCGTATCGGGAAGATAGTCTGCATCGTCCAGACTTTCCCTAGGCGGCGGGGGGTCCAGCAAACCGAATGCGCCTTTGATGGATCTGGGATAAGTTTGAAGTCAGTGATGGTCCGAGTGATGATTTGCCGGCGAGAAGAGAAACATGAACGTGGCATTGAAAAGATATCGAGCCAGGGACAAAATAGAACTGGTTTTGCAACGGAAAGAGAAGCCTCAGGAATAAATGTAAACGAGGAAATGTCGCTCACCGCGCTACCCTCCTACCGATGGACTTCATATGTGGATGAGTTGAGGATCCCACGCTATTCCTACCACCTTTACTCCGTGGCGAAGGTGGGGAGTCGACATCCGCCTTTACGGTCCTCGCGTCCTTATCGGATATTTCGTCCCTGCTCATCTAGGTCTATAGTCTAGTTCACGAGAGAAACGAAGACGATTGAAGCAGCAGTGGGCCTGAGCAGAAGTCTCTAGAGAAAGCCGAGGGGATAGCTAGCAATCACAACAACTGATAACCCGGATCTTTTCTGCACAGTGCACCAGAGGGCTCCTCAGATCGTGAGATGTCGACAGGCGACGTGTATTTATATCTCGCTCGGAGGAGGACACATACGTCCAGATGTCATAAATGGCTCAAATGATACTTAGCCTCGAGCAAGTACTGCGCAAACGCGAACTACCTCGAGGGTTACGCCACGCGGACCGTATTCTGGCTGCGGACTATAGCTATCGGATAATTAAAGACAGAGTCGTCGGAACCTCGAGCTCGGCTCGAACACATTTCGTATGATACCCTCTGGCAGCTTGTGTCGCACCATGTCTAGAGTCATTGTCCAACTGAAGCATAAGTATCGGTTGAAGTTACGATATTGGATGAAGACATCCTACCTACTACTAAAAGCCTACCAAGCAACGGCGGTTCAACGTCGTAGTAGTACATACTTTCGCCACGGCGAAAGAGCTAGCATCCGTTCATCTCACGAGTCTGACGGGTTGTACCAGCCACATGCTCACTTGTCGTAGACATTGGCGGGCAGAATAGCCAGTTCTTTGATGACACGGATTGGGAACTTGGACCGTGAGCTGCTATTTTCGATGCGTCGTTTGTCTGTTTGAGTTTATTGGCTCTTGTTTGGTGCTGTTTGGTGCCTCTGCGTTCGCGCCACCCGGTTGAATTCAGAGTTTACTTTACAGTACTGCTACACTCCTCACAAGAAAGTCCTCAAAAACAGCAACGATGAGTAGCCACGCACAATTTAAGGACACCATCTACCCACTACGCATTCACAGTAAAGCATTCGGAAGAACGCTGACAAAGGGGTTGAAGTACTCGCCACAGCAATGGCCAAAACCTGTTTTGCTGTCCAGGAGGTGTGCTCAAGGCTAGGCCAGTCGTCGGTTACGGATGGCAAGGGGAAGCCGGGAGACATCCATCCTTGCGCCACACCTCGCTGAAGTACTTGGGCTTCAGGCATTTTGGCGGTATAAAAAGGAAATGAGATGTTTAGATGGGACAGTCCTCTACCGCAGATCAAGAGTGGTTGCACATGGACAAATTGGCGTACTTGGGTCCCCGATTATAACAATTTGCGCATGATGAACAGCGGGAGAGGTGAAGGAAGGACGGAAGACTTATGATGTACCAAATATATACGATAGCCTCCTTCTAGTCGTGTGGGCAGTGTTTCTTCCAATGAATGGTGCCATAAATATAAGACCCATCGTTTCATCGACTGATGGCCGGAAGACATTGCAGCCTGCGCCCAATGCGCAGGGGTATCATATTGTACGCGTGAGGCGTACACAGCAAGCAGCTCGAGCGGAACCCAAGAAAATGCATACGTTTATCATTCAACTCCGATGCCGATACTTCGCAAGCACGCACAACAAGGTTACCTTGGCCGCCAATACAGAGGGACCATACCGAGCGAGCTTAAGCTCCTGGGCCCGCAACGGGGACGCCTGTGCATCTTGAATGAACATGCATAATTTAGTTCTATGTTCATATAGGCGGACGTCCGCCATATGCCACAAATACAGACTCGATACACTTCATTCACTTATCTTCTACGACGAGAGGCACGGGATTCTAAGCGCTGAGAAGACCAGAAACCTTGCCCTGGCTGTGCAAAGATACAACCTTGTCGCAACCTAGACAATTCAGAGGGGACGATGAGAACGAAGCCTCTCTCTGAAATGGTACACAAAACTCACCGCCAACGTGCTTCTTGTCTAACGGCGAAAGAAGATATGTGTTAGTTCCGCGTATCGAATAGATGGTAGGTAAAGATCGGTGGGAACGTACTGATGAAGATGTTGGGGACCGACCTCTGCCCGGTCATCTTCTCGAGGGCGTCCTGGATGGCGCTTCCCTCTTCCAACTCATCGAGCCTACGGGGAATGGCAACGGGAATATGTCATTAACTCAGCGAAACGTTCGGGGTGGCTATATGAAGTCGGACGCACTCGAGGATCTTGACCTCAGCATCCTTATACTCTTGGGCGAAGAGGCCCTTGGCACGCTTGCAGTACGGGCAATACGTCTTGGAAAAGATAGTGACCTGGTGGCCGTTGATAGCATCCTGTATGGATTCAAGTTTCGGTACCAGAGCAAGAACCATAATCAGCGTGTGAAGAACATATTCCAGAACGAAGACCACGCACGTCGATGATCTCCTGAGAAGCCATAGTTCTAATCTGAGCGATGGAGGGACCGGTGGAGGACGAAGCTTGGTTTGAGAATTGAGAACCCAGGGCTGGACGATGCTGGCGGTTGACGGTGATGGATATCGGGTGGATGCGAGGTGCTATGGCAGGGGAGAGAGCCTTATAAAGGCGGGGGAACATGATCCAACAGTCGATGACGCCTTGCATTTCCTGTTTGCTGACCGGTCTCCACACGTGATCGCTGCTTTCCGACTTGATTGCTGACCGCGACCACTCCTCGGTCTTCGCACGAACCGTTTCGAGCTCGGACGAAAATAAATCACAGATAAATATTTCTTGGATATGTCACTGTCAGTTGCACGTTATGTTGCTCGGACGATGGACCGCATCGCTCCGCTAGCACTGGCTGAAAAATGGGATAACGTACTTACCGCTCTCGCTGCCTCTCCTACCCCGAGGCGAACACTCGCTGATTCCGGTCATACCAGGTCGGCCTTCTCTTAGGTATGCTTACAATCCTTTTCTCTCGTGCACGCGTGATCTTTGCGAAACATTATTCATCATCATCTCGCTAGAATCTCCCCACCAGCCACAGAGATCATCACACAACATCCTTCTCACCATCGAGTGAGTCCAGTGTGGCCCAAACAATAGACGAAGAACTAACCATAATCATACAACATCCAACCATAGTCTTACCACAAAAGTGCTCAACGAAGCCCTTGCCCTTCCTGCAACCTGCATAATCGCATATCACCCCACTATCTTTAAGCCCCTATCCTCCCTCACCCTCAACAAACCGCTTCAAGCCTCCCTCCTCCGCTGCGCCGCTGCAGGCATATCCGTCTACAGCCCTCACACCTCCCTCGATGCCGTGCAAGGTGGGATAACTGACTGGCTTGCGGAAGGCCTCCTAGGCTCAGGATCTGGCAAGGTAGAAATCTTGGGGGATGAGAAGACCGGTGCAGGTGGACAAAAACAGGGAGGCGTGGGTAGGATCGTGAGATTGGACGAGAAGATAAGCATGAGCGTATTACAGGAGAGAGTCAAAAAACATCTGGGGCTCAAGCATAGTGCGTGCGCTACGATTTCATTCTTACATTCGCTGTTTTTGACTAGTCGCTGCGTTACAGTACAAGTGGCACTTGACCCTGCTGCTCCGACCAAAGAGATTCAGTCCATAGCAATTTGTGCTGGTTCAGGCGAGTCCGTCCTGATGGGTGTCGATGCAGACGTCTACTTCACAGGCGAAATGGGTCACGTATGTCCTCGCTACCTATGTCCGTTTCGAGAGATTCATCGTTGACCGAGCACACAAACTACCATCAATTCAGCACTATGTTCTTGAGGCTGTTGCCTCCGGCCACAACGTCATTCTCTGTACGTTACCATTTCTTCCCAAAAAAACCGACCACAACTGAACATAATTCATCGACTTGACTGACTTTGACGATGTGTTCAACATTTGCAGGCGGCCACTCGAACACCGAACGAGGCTACCTTCCCGTCCTCGCCTTTGAGCTCCAGGAACAATTCCGCGCAGCTCAGGGCGAAGAGGACGCTGTCGCAGAACAGCTCCTCGTCCACGTCAGCAAGGAAGACAAGGATCCCCTTGAGATCGTTTAACATCACAATCGTGGTTGGTCAGCAATAGGATGTCGAGTACAACGCCGGATAGTCAAGAATAGAAAGATTAGACTAATTATTGCAGCTATCGAGCGGACATGTATCGGGGTCGGCAGGACTACACCACAACTCGCCTTGGAAGGATCACTACAACGTCTACCGGTCAACCTCACTGAATGGTAGGTTAGTATCAAGTCGAGTCTTGAAGCAGATAGAGGTGAAGAGGCGCACCCGAACACAAGATCCATGGTACCAATGATAGCCACGACGTCGGCGATATAATGCTGTAAACGAAACGAAATAAGTATGGACAGAGACACCACATAAGCATAAACAAATCATCTCACATCTGCAGGGCAAAACGGGGTACATGTGAGCTGAGCGCCTATGAAGTAAAGACAATGAATCACGTACGTCTCATCATGAAGTCAGCACCTGCGAGGTGGGCGAAACCCGGCGCACGGATCTTGCACCTGTATGGGCGATTCGTGCCATCCCTAAAGACAACCGAATATCCTCAGAACGAATTGAAATATAGAGGCAAGAACGAATGAACGTACGAAACGAGATAGACACCCATTTCGCCCTTGGGTGCCTCGATGGCAGAGTAGGTCTCACCAGGAGGAACCGAGTAACCCTCACTGAAGAGCTGTCATCCGGAACGTATCGGTTAACTTTCATATTCAGATATGATGAATGAGCTAACCTTGAAGTGATGAATAAGGGACTCCATGCTCTCTTTCATTGAGGCACGCGGTGGTGGTACGAGCTTGTGGTCGTCGACCTTGACGGGCCCGGTGGTGATCTTGTTCAGACACTGCAGACGGAGAATATTGTAAGTTGCCAATCCACTACGAGACTACAGCGTTACTTGCCTGGTCGATGATTCGGAGCGACTCGCGGAACTCCTGGACACGGCACAAATACCGGTCATAACAGTCACCGTTCTTACCGATCGGAACGTCAAACTCAACCTAGGCGCAAACCGGACGTCAGTGATCTCTTTCTTGCCAATGACCACCCAAAATGCACGCGCACCTCATCATACTTGTCGTAGGGTGCAATCTTCCTCAAGTCCCACTTCACACCACTTCCACGCAACATGACTCCGGAAAAGCTGTAATCCAAAGCCTCCTGAGCGGTGACCGGCCCAATACCGATCGTTCTCTGCTTCCAAATTCTGTTTCCAGTGACGACCTCCTCGATTTCGTCCACACGGGAGCTAAATTGAGTAGCCCACTGGTAAATGTCGTTGAGTAGGCCGTGGGGGAGGTCAAAGGCGACACCACCAGGTCGGACGTAAGCGGCGTGAAGGCGGGCACCGGAGACGCGCTCGTAGAATTCCATGAGCTTCTCGCGCTCCTCGAAACCCCAGAGGAAAGGTGTGAGTGCTCCCACATCCATGGCGTGTGTGAGAACGGCCATCAAGTCTGAATGCCGCACGATGAAGGATGGAAATATGTGAGTTATGGGACAAGGAAAGGGAGCAGGGGTAATGGGCTTACGGTTGAGAATACGAGTAATTTCACCAAAGAGTGTGCGAATCCATTTTGCCCGCTCTGGAACTTCGATATTCAAAAGCTTCTCCACAGCCAGCGAGTAGCAGAGCTCGTTCGTCACTGTTGAAATTGACGTTCAGAACGAGATTTTCGTGAACAAGCGGAGGAAAACGTACTCATGGAGACGTAGTCCAAACGGTCAAAGTATGGCAGAGCTTGGGTGTATGTTTTGTACTCAATCAACTTCTCCGTCCCTCTGTGCAAAAGACCGACGTGCTGAACATGACAAAGTAAGCGAATGAGCGACAAGAGATATTTGGGTGTGTAACTTACTGGGTCTGCACGAAGGATCTCCTCTCCGTTCAGCTCGAGGATTAGCCGTAGCACACCGTGAGCAGCGGGATGCTGTGGACTAACAATACTATCAGTATGTAATATGGGATTGCGAGCACGAGCCACACTCACCCAAAGTTGACTGAAGACAAACACGCACTAATTCAAGCTCAAAACCTACAATATTCAACGCAGGGCGACTAACCTGTAAAGTGTCTCATCGTCGACTCTTTCCGAGCACCAGTCTCCGCCAAAATATCCTGAGCACTCCTTCCCTGCAAGTCTTCGACGACATGGGTATCGAGCGCGTGCTTCGTCGCTCTTGTGTATGGGGCAAGATTCGGGTCCTTCACGGTCTCCTGACGCAACGACGAGGAAGTTGAAAAGCATCGACTAGCGAGCCGAGACGCCGAAGCTGACGCCGCAAGCTGACGTCGAAGGAGGGTGGTGGCCATCGTTGGCGACGGCGGCGAGCAGGGAATGAGTGAAGTTGCACAACGCGGGCAGCGTCGACGAATCACATTCGGCCAAATTCGGATATTCACACGGCCGGTCTCTCCTAGATGGGATCACAGTTGAGAACGCCAGCACCCGTCCCGATGCGTCTCCAACCTCGTCTACCACTTTTTCTGTCTGCTCTCTCCCTTCTTGCCACCGTCGTCGTTGCTGCCGGTGGTGACAGTCAAAACGCTGAAAGATCGTGCACTGCCCATGACGGTGATACCTTCTACGACCTGAGCCCGCTACAATCAAGGTATACCCCTATTCAACCCTACCCTTACCCACACCTCGCTTACGGTTAGCAAGAGTACAGTACGGACTACAGCTTTCAGGATAGCGGGCAGGAATTCTTCATTAATGTCTGCCAACCCGTCCATCATGACCTCTGGCATGTCGAAGTCGACAGACCTGACAACGTCGGCGCTTTCATACGCAACTTTGCTCGACGTGGGGACACCTCGATAGGGTGAACATTTGCTGACTTGCTCCACTTTATACCTGCGCTCACCGTTGTGTTGCTCCCATAATCGTTTAGAGAAGTAAACACGACTTTGACCGTAAAGGATGGTCATCCTCTTCTTCTCCTAACGGGCGGTTCTCTGTGCCCGAACACCGATGACATGCGCGCCATGACCGCCATCCGTTTCATTTGTGATACCTCTGTGTTCGGCTCAGGTTTGCACCCCGGGTTCACTGACGAGGAGTGCGAACTAAATCAGAATGGTACTAGGGACTCCTTTCCTGGTAGCCCAACTACCTCCTGACGATGAATTGGCCTGCGCCTTCTTCATCGAATGGAGAACACACGTACGCGTCTCCTCGGATTTTGGCTCCACTCGCAAGTAGGTTCTGATGTTCACCGCTTGCCACCCACAGTATGCATGTCCCGCCGCGGAACGCACAGGATTTTGGGGTGGCCTCATTCTAACTCTCTCCATCCTGTACGCCCATTCGCTCGCATCTCGTCCTACTCCATAAACTCTGAACTCGCTGGTCGCTCACACCTTGCGAACAGCGCAATCATACTCATGATGCTCTACTTTGTCGGCGGCACAATGTACCGCCGTTACGTTCTCAACATTCGCGGCTTCGACCAGCTCCCTCGCTTCTCCCTCTTCTCTCTTGGCGATACCATCGAGTTTATTCAAAACGTCTGTGACCGTTTCATTACCTCCTCGCGTTCGCAGTCTTGGACTACAAACGACTACAATCACCACACGTCTTACCAAAGTGGACGAAGACAGCGAGGGAGCGTCGACAGACTACCCACTCTTCCCGAAGAGGAAGAATCTTTGATCGGTGGTGACCACGGAAATGATCCTACCCATACGGAAGGCCATCATGCTCCGCCACCACAGCAGGTACAGCCTACTCCTGCCCCTCAAACTCAGGTGCAGCAAGGAACCCCTGATCTTGGCCTCGGTCATGCGAACGATGGAGATGCCCAGCCGCACGCCGTAGACACGCAGAACGTGATCCATTCGTAACATACAAGTAGCAAAGTGGGCGCACAGATGGAGTCGTGTCTGGGAACATTGGAGTATCCCATCTTGTACCATCCGAATGTTTGTTTGAACTGTTCTGCCTTGAAACTATATCGTGTAATCTACGTTCACCCAACCTCGCGGTATCGTCTGCCGTCAGGTAGGTTCATGCGAACTTCTGGACAAGGAACGCAAGCTGGCCATTTTCGAAAGTGTCTCCCCGTCGGCTAACGGTGTTCTCCTGATTATCGGAGCTTTCTGGAATGTAAGACTGGACCTGGAGAGGTACACTCTGTGGAGACGATCAGGGCGGACTGTCTGTCAAGACAGGACAAGACGCGATGCATGGGGTGACAAGGCGTAAACTGGTGGGATGCAATGGGATTACCGATGTGTCGTGAGAGGCAGCGACGCTGAGAAGAGAACAGTCATTCTACAAAACGTGCACAACGTGAGAAGGCGACATAAAGAACCTGTAGGATACTAATGAGTGTAAGGTCTGACACCATGTACTGGACTATCAATAACAAACAAATATGGTCCAATAATGTATGTGCAGGAAGTCCATGGAGTGGTGAAGGGAAAAAAGGGGTAAATCCAGAGTCCGAAAACCGACGTTGAGTGGGGGATGAACGTGTCAATCAACTACCCAACTACCAAAGTCCCAAGAAGCCTAAATGTCCGAGGGAAGAGTCTTTCAACTGGAGCCATGACCAGACTCCGATCCGCATGACAACGCATTGCAGTCGTATGCATGCTCAGATGGCCAAGACGGCAGCACCGAGGAAGGCACCAAAGAGCATGGCGCCGACGGAGCCAACGTTGAGCTGGAACTTAGAGGGAGAGGCGGCGTTGAAGCTGCTTGGGGTCGAGCTGGCAGACGTCGCGGTGGAGCTGCCTGAAGAGGTGGAGGCTGCAGAAGAGCCACTGATGGTAGACCCGAAGGCGGAACTGCTGGAACTGGCGGCACTCGTCACAGAAGCAGAACTGCGGAGACGTGAGTGTGGGAGAAGGACAAAAATAGATGGGGAACTCACGATGCACTTCCCGAGGAACTAGCAGAGGCCGACGTGGACGACGCCGACGTGGAGGTGCTCGTGGCAGAAGCGATCGCGAAGTCACCGGTGGTGCCAAGGACATCGTTGATGTCGCTGACGACAGAGATTCATGTCAGAGCTGAGTTAAGGTAGGACAGTAGGCAGGTATACACACCTAATGTTGACGGCCTCGAGCTGGTAGCCATCGCTGTAATGAAGGAGATGAAACTATGAGTCGCAGGTACGAAGACGTATTGTGTATGGTTCTCTCGACTCACCCAACGGGAACAGCAGGCAACCCTAGGGTGATAGTACCATCAGAAGTCTGGATGTTGTTACCGATGGCAAATGCGTTGTTGAACTGCTGGTTAACGAGTTCCAACGAAAACACCTGAATATCGAAAATGTAAGATCTCCAGCAAGTCAACAAGTACACTGTTTTGCATACGTCGGGGTCCCCACTCTCACTAGTCCACGTTATGGTGGTGGTGCCCCCGGAAGTCAAGTCTGAGGGAACATTGAGAGTAATGGTGGCAGAGGCAAGGGGGACCAAGACAAGGAGGCTGAAACGCATAACTGATATTAGTTCTATATTCCAGACAATTCGCGAAGAGATGCCAGAAACCGTACGTGAGTGCGGAAATCATGCTGGACTGGTAAGAATGAAGAGCTCGAAGGCTTGTGAGGAAGAAGACTCAGGGTATGGATGAGAACAGGAAGCGAAAGAGCGGCGTAAGCTCAACGTCGCCCCGCATCTTTATATACCGCTTCCCACGTGACCGTTCGTCCGATCGCAGAAACGTCTTCATCCTTCCGGTCTCCCCTGCCGTACAACGTGCTCACCGTCGAGAACAGTCCAGAAATACATCACACGTCGACAACTTTACTTTAATTGGGACGATCTTTTCACATGTAATCTAATCAAAAAAGGCGTACTAGTAGAATTGATGCACGAAACATGAGAATGAAGTATACACCGGCCATAAGATACTTCTTCCGTCGTCAGCAAAACTGAAGACAGGATTTCTAATACTGACCAGCATGCTACAAATTGCGTTCCCGTTGCGATCTCGCCGTGAGGATCAAAGGGTCAACAGGGAGCTTTACGTGTACCCTAATAGATCTGCCAATAAATTAGATGCTGTGTATCTACTTGACAGAATTATGGACATACCTCATTGAACGGCCGTGTATCATTGAAACAGCTCTCCCAAACCTCATTCACAACTCGCTCAGCCGTGGCATGGTCTGGACATGCCGGGTTAACGCTGACCGAGAGGATAGCCCGTCGGCGGACGCAAGCCTGAAATGTATCCCGAAGGCGTTATTGCACTATTGCTGAACAATCCGCGCAGCACGCACCTGATGCTGGTTTGTGAACGAAAGGAATCCTCGACCGATCTCCCTTCTCCAAGTACAGTCACCACTCAAGCTACCAGCACGAATCTACACACAATATGTAGATGTCCTACTATAAGCAAAACATGAACGCATCCGAACTTATGATACGTTATAGAAACTCACCTCGCTGCAGGCGTGATGTCTGAGGTTGTTCCAGTCGACCTTGAACTTTGCATGATCGTACATATGTACAAGTTCATGCACCATCGTGTGTTCCATGTGTTTTTTGTCCATGTAATTCCCTTGACAGAGCACAACGGCGCCGATGTCGGATGCGAATCCCCCGGAGCGACTACGATCGCAAGGTGTACATGGTAAGTGCTCCGGTGTCACGTTGCAGCCTGCAAGCTGCAACTGTTTGACCATGAATACCACTGCTGGACCTATAGGAATAGGAAGACAGAGAAACGACATCATAATCAGTCTCGATAGAGAAGCGGTTGGGAGATGATATAGACGAGAACAAAGTTGTTGACGCACGAAATACTGACTGTAATTGAGAAGGTCCCTCTTCCAGTTTTCACATTTCCGGCGATCAATGGTATTGATACGATCCCCAGACTCTATGCCAAGGCCAGTAAGGAGCGAGAATTCCCTGCGCCATTTCTGGAAGAATTTGTTGGGTGGTGGCGCATCGCCAGCTGGTGTGGACGAAGGTAAGTCGGACATGCCGTCCACGACCGGAAATGGTCTTCGGAAAGGACGATGCAGCCACGTGGCGGCGTTGAGTGGCCAAAAGAGTGATGTGGCGCGGCGCTTCTCTCCCTCTGCTACGGTCGTCATCACTTGCGCTCTGAGAGCCACGACCGACTAGACCTTCTCGAAATCGCTCCTATGGCATCTAGCGGGTCTTCAATGCTAGGAAGCTGCTCAGACCATCCATGGATTGTACACTAACTAGCGCCGTCCACGATTAAGATTATTGCTGGGCTCGTCTTTGTCTGCAACCGTCTGACCTTCTCACACCTGAACGTCTGAGCGCCGGGTGCGTCTTACAGTGCTTTACGCCCTCACTGGACCGGAAACTGAGTCGCAGATATTTGTTTGCTCTCTGGTCACTTCTGGGATATGAGAATCGGCAGAGAGTTCGGGTCGGAACCTCCTCGAGACCGAAATACGGAGGGCCAGCGCGTCAATGATATAGTCCTCGCAGTCCCCTGATCTCCATCCGCACTGGGCAGAGGCACTGTCCAAAGTTATGCGGGAGTACCCTGTCGCTTGGCCGCCGAACCTTGAGGATCATCATGCCTTCCAGAATGACTATGGGCCTATTCCTATGACGAATCTTTCCTGTTCACGGACAAGTTGATGTGTGCCTTCAAGAGAGGCTGTGATCAAAAGATATTTTGCGCTTTCCCAAGGAATAATTACTAGTACGCCTCATCTCCTTTTCTTCCACCCTGTTTCAATGTTTTCTTCATTCGTCCAGTCTCCCTCAATTTTTTCTCATGAGCGTCCCTGTGTTTCTATCATTTACATAAAACCCAAGGTTCCTCGAGCCGTGCAGCAGTAGACGCCTTTCCTTGTCGACTAATGCACGCACAACCGCTATACCGGCGGCGACAGTTGAACATCGACCAGTAAAGCCTAAGGCCCATCTAAACAAGAAGCGTTCCATGCGTTCTTGAACCCCCTCTGGTTAGTCCCATGGAACTCCTTCCGTCAATTGACCATCATCAGGCCCCCCCTCAAAGCCCTTTCGGACCCACCGACCCTTCTTACAGCCGTAGCCTTGGGTTCGGCCAGTCACTTCTGTCCAGCGCTTGGTAGTCTCTGCGGTACTTAGCGCCTTTGCACAATTACTTACGCAAATACCTCTCGCTAAGGCCTCTGAGACTTCCCTCGCTCACCGTCATACTATCTGATGCGGGCTTCTTCGGCCACTGATACACATTCTCGGGACAATACCTGCCTATCCTTACCTGGATCAGTCCCTTGTCCCCTCGATTAGCAGGTACCATTGATAAGTATTCAATCCAAGCCTTCTTCTCGCTTCCGCGACAGCGTTGAACTCGGTCACTGAGCTACAGCTGACCTTCATCGAGGACTCGTCGAGATTCCGCGACACGACGGACGAGTCTGAACTCCGAGTACACCTCCCGCTTGCTCGGTGGTTTGGTCAGACTAAAATGTTTTGACTATCCTCCGGACGCCCTTCTACCCGTCTAGGGATATACCTTCCGATCGCGCTTTTCTAGGACGCGTCCCCGTGCTTTCTTATTCCTCGTGTTCCCCAAGTGTTCTCCCTGACTCGTCTTGCAGAGTCATAGCCTTTTCTAAGCGCACACCCGATTACTAGCGCATTTTTGCTTTGTCTTTAGCCCCGATCTTCCAAGAAGCGGCCCGATATCTCTATGCTAAAATCGCCCTGTCGATGAACTGCCTCAAGTGAGCCACCTTGAGCCACACCTCACCCGACGCCTCGAGGCCGACCCTGCTAAGCACTCATGGCGTACCTGCTGCAGCACAGATTGCCCATCTTGGTCCATGCGCCCTCCGAGACAAGTTATTCTAAAGTGGGTCGTGGAGGGCACGTTTTCCAGGATAAGTACCGGAGGCAAAGTGTCCGCAAGTCGTATAATCTTGTAATCTCAAGACCGTATCTTTGTGCTCGTGTTTTGCGACCTTCGTGGCCTGGTGATTAGATCTGATGATCATGCGTGTTGTTGTGATATTGATTACACGCATGCGGATTTGAACAATGATGATGCTGACTGTAAAGCGGTTCGAATGAGTATCTTCACCCAACGGAAACGGCCAGACATACCGCAGGATTCGACTCGATGGCTAGTCACATCCGAGCAAATCGGCTGGAATAACAGGTAAGTATGTCTGTCTCTTCACATCAACACTATGTTCTAGCAACTTTCATTGACCGAAACCGGGTTTATTGAAGGCCACGAGCCGCGAATAGCGTTTCCAAACAAACACCCACTGGTTCACACAGATTCATACCCTGCATCTCCCAGCGCAATCGTCTCGCACTAGTATATATGCAGAAAACGCACAAAATCTCAGGCCTCTCGTCGCAAGGTTACGCAGCCCCTTGCAATTGGGCTAGGTCCTATATTTTGTCTGATGCATGCTGTTCGCTTGTACTCGTACGTCCCTGTCCCTGCCATCTTCTTCTGATAGGCAGGCTATAGAGAAGAGTACTGACGATGGTGGCGTCTATCCCCGAGTCTAAGGTGCGAATCCGAACGCACCGAGTCTAAGCCTCCAAAAGGTACTGTGACTCTTGTTGAGGGAAGTTCGTCGCAGTTTATGTCTTCTGACTCCGACCTTGCGCAGATAGATGCGGGCGTCGGACTTGAGATTCGGAGTGTCGCTTAACGATGATGTTCGGGGTTGCTGACGAGTGGACCAATGACAGCCTCAACCGCGACTGTACTTACAATCACAGGGAGGCCTACCGTCCTGCCGCAGGGATTCGAAGACACAGTCGAGGATAAGCGGCTGAATAAAGCTGATCATATGTGTTGCTTACCGTACGATACAAGCTTTCAGGGTGTCAAGATAAAGTAACGTGATTTCGAAGCCGACGCAGTGCTCAGCTTCTGACTGTGTATCTACCAGCGAACGGGAACGAGATCTGGTTCTCCGAGTCGTGGGTCGGAGTTTATCGCGGCGGCCTATCAGACAGCCGTCGAGTTGTTGTAGTGCTGCCGAGTGAACGTGCCGAAGGTTTCTGTGGGTCGTGTTCGACGTCTTCTCGAAGGTACCGAGCGGTGTGTGAGCCACTGAGCCACTGATGGAACGACCACGCCACTCCCCTTATGGAGGGTCTTCGACTCAATGCGGATGCACGAAATTAAATGTCTGAAGATGACAGGTAATGAACAGGCTTTCGACCCTGCTTCCATTTAAGATAGTAAGGAAGCATTGATCCCACGGACGAACAGAACAGAAAAATCCAACCGAGGACGGACCATGTCCTGATAAGTTCAGAAGCGCCTCGGGAGGGCGTCGGATGGCATTTTGACGATAGAACAAACACGTATATAGGAGCAAAGAGATTCCGAATGTGGATGAATAGGGGCCAGATGCTAGGATCGAATAGGGGCCAGTCGAGACAGCAACTTTGTAAGTTTGAAGTCACCGTGTCGTAAACAGAAGTGTATGTCGGTCAGCAAGTCTTGGTTCATAACTTGGCAGGATTCGTCCAGCAAGGCTTGCGTTTCTGCGCGGAAGAAAGAAGGATTCAATGGGTTGACAGGTACGCGCAGAGGAATCGCTAGTTCACTGCAACGGTGTTACTGGAACAGTGCAGGAAAAGTGTACATACCTCCGAGAATGCTCGGAGACCCTCCTACGCGTCGAAATAAATAATAAGTTTACTCGTAGCCTGTTGCTGACTGCCCTCAGTCAGGGGAACTTACCTGAATATTCTCCCCCTTATACGCCCGTTTACTCTCAACGGTCCTCGCATGAACCTGTGTGGCCTGTTCGATACTCCCGTGTTGACCTGCTAGGACGAGGGCGCGCTTAGTGCTCTGCACCGCGTCTGGCGAGTTCTGCACAATCTGCTGGGCCCAGTCAAGAGCAGTCTGAAGGACGTTTTGCTTCGGTACCACAGTGTTCACACTAGTATATTTTGAGTCTGCAGTGTCAGTAGTTTGTATGTTCAGTCGACTCGAACGCAACCGAACGTACAAGCCAAAATGCTGAGCGGCCTCTTCAGCACTAACGTTCCGACCGAGCAGAAGCATCTCCGAAGCACGCTTTCGACGCACATAAAGTCCGACGAATAGTGAGCGATGACGAGGCGAGGCAGAAGATCTAAAAGCGTCGAACGAATAGAACGTACATACCTGATGTCCGCATGCGTTTCTCAGCCTTGGTATACCTACCATATGTTCAGCGTTCCACTCAAGAACATCTGTCTCCGAAGATACACGACTTACCTCCTTGAGCAGCGATCACACCACCTTCAATACAAACGACCAACGCGTGAGTGTTATTGGAGAAATATAAAATGCGCGTTGTACTCACGTTTAACTTCAGGGAGTGCAAATACGGCGTCCTGACTGGCGATCACCAGGTCGCAGTTCAGAAGGATTTCCACACCACCTGTTTGGTACGGTATGATTAGAAACCATTCGGTGTAGAGTCTGGCCGACGAGGTCGACGAAAGAAGAGAAGGTCATTCAAATGTTATCGATTGGCCACGATTCAAAGGTTCGCAAAGGTTCCCCAGTGGAAATCCGAGAACTTCTCATTCACGAACCACGAAAGCACGACTCAGAACGTTCTCAAGCAGCAAGTCAGTTGCTAGATTGAAATAAAAGCGGTTTCTCACCTCCATAAGCCCCGCCATTCACGGCGGCTATGATTGGCTTGGACGAGACCCGGCGCGAGAGGGACCCGAAACCATGCACCGAGGCGAGGATGGCTTCCTGTTCGTCCTTGCTGCCACTCAGATGATCATTGTTCCACCTGAACGCGGACGGCGCAAGTCATGGACCATGATCAGTACGTCTGGATGCACAAATATAGATTGAATTCAAACCCGGTGCATGTTGCAAGAAGTTGGAAGTGGAGGAAGAGCGGGTCTCACGCTTTAAGATCAGCTCCCGCACAGAACGCACGACCTTCTCCAGTGACGACGACAGCCCTGGAAGGCTATCAGCCCCATACGTAGAATAGACAAATCCTCGGAGGAGACTTCACCTACCATAGAGAAGGTTCCTCTTCATACCTATAATTAAAATAAACGTCCAAGGTCAGCTAATGTTCTCAGGGCACATCACTATCTACCTGTCCTCGAGCATGCATTGTGTATGTCTGGTCGTGCCGATGTAGCTCAAGGTTAGGCGACGTCAAGTCGCGCCGCTAGTGTGCTACGAGGCCGTTAGCGCTGCCCAAGCAAGCATAGAAGTCCTTCTCTAAGGACTGAATCAATCACGCGAACGACGGTTTGTCAAGAGCTCGGAGGAATAGCCGAGGTGTGTGCTATATTCGTGACGTGCATAATGACGACAACGACTGACCAGTTGAGCAACTTTCTCAGGTCGTCCTCCATCTGTGGGGTCATGGCATTTAAGCTCCTCGGTCGATTGAGGGTGATGAGGAGGACATGGTCGCACGGGATGGATGCGTTGACCTGTTCGGAAAGAGTGGGAAGGATGGCTGAGTCGGGGGAGGTTGAAGTCATCGATGAGCTTGCGAGAAGATGATGGATGAAAGGAAAGGGGTAAACGATCGGGCGAAGCGAGCATTGTGGGGAATGTGGGGAATGTGGCATTTTCCGTCAGGCACGACCTTCGGAATTCCGGAAGACAACTGCTCTCACATGCAACCAATTCGTCCTTCATCCGATACTTATCTTCAGAGCTAGCGGACTGCAAGACACGAACAGAGAAAATCGTCGTGTTCGAGTCAGCCCAGTGATCTACTCAGGACAGCCGACGAGGCGGCGTCAGCAACGTGTGCGAAAGAAACAAAAAAGGTCGGAAGTGAGGACCGCGGGACCGGCGACACAGATTCCGTTTTCGATGGGATCGATCTCGGAGTGATCGGACGGAATGGATCCCGTTGCCCATCCGAGGACCCGCAAGGTCATTGCAAAACACTGACACTCCGCTCGTCGTCAACTCGACATCCGAGTCTGCGCGGGCCACAAGCAGCACACAGGGGGGAAGATATGTCAGAAACGTGAGATCATGATGCTGCCATGGATGGCGAGAATACTAGTAATACAGTATCAATATCGTGCAACACAAACCTCCTCCTCCTCCCTCCTCCTCCCTCCTCCATTAAACCCAGCGACTCCTCGACAGAACTAGACGTCTTCTGCGCGTGCGGTGCGATATCAAACGTGGGGTATTACAACGGTGGATGGGATGAGATGATGATGACGGCGACGAGTGCATGCATTCAAAGCAAGAAGGGATCTGGGCAAGAGGCGATGTCAGACGGCGAGTGAGGGCACCAAAGACGACAGACATACGAAAAGCAGATGAGACAGAGAGAGATACAGAGGCATAGATGGTTAACGGAAGGGGCAGGTTGGAGAATGCTACAGCAGATCGGGTCAGACGGCATGCGAGCAGAGAGCGGAGCAAGAGAACTCACCGAGCCTCTCCAACCGCAGTGGCAGCACTGGGGAGCACTAGCGTTCACAGGAGACTCGTCCTGGCCAGTGGTCTGTCGTGATGAGATGGGGGTGTATGGAGCGGCAGATGATGGTGCATGGCACTTGGGCACTGGGGCGTGCGCTGTGCAAGTGGAGTGTGATGGGGGCAGAGATTGGGAGAGCATTGTGTTTGAGTGAGTGAGACGGGACGGATGTGGTTGAGATGCGGGGATGGGGGGATGAGGGAGCGGGGAGGAGCGGAAGGAGAGCACCTTTTATGCAGATGGAGACGGAGGAGGGAGACCAGGAGTGCGGGATCCAAGCGATCCGAGAAGGCTAGAGATTGAGATGAGATGACGCTCGGCGGGAGAGAGAGTTGCAACCGGCGAGATGACAACGATGCTACTCGATATCCTCTCGGATCACTCGTCCCAAACAGATATCCATTCAATCATTTCCAATTATCCTATATCAAGCAAAACACGCCCCCATCGCGCGTCACAAGCCCACGTGCAAGGAACAATGCACACGACACCGCCACCCACCTGGTCGTCTACACGCTCCTCCAAATCCAGCCTTTTTTTCTCATCACCGCGTTTCCTCGGTGCGTCGCAGCTGCGGACACCCCAGGGACGGCCGAACAGAGCCTGTCTCGTGAGCTCGTTCGAACAGCTTTCCGGCCAGGAGGACACCCCACGCCGCAGAATAGTCATTATTATCAATCCGTTTAATGAATCTTATTGTGTCTGCTGCTCCCGCAGCCCGCGCTCCTCTCTTTCCTTTGTTCTCCCCGATCGAATTCGTGGGCACGGCGATTATTTGTACGTCCGAGACACAACGCCCATCTGTTTGAACTTTTGACCATGATCACACACACAGCTGTGAGCCTATTTTTCTCTCGCAACTGTTGGATGAGTTTGATGCGACATACAACCGCACGTCCAATAGCCTTACGTTCTTTCGTTCGTCTGTAAATGGCTGTCCCGAACGAGGACACGTCTTGTTCGGCTGCGCCACCCCTGCGGCTCTGCAATCTTCCCTGATTTTGTTTGAGTTAAATAGAAGGGGACAATCTCGCACGCGTCGTGTGAGGACGATGATCACTTCATAGAGAAGCCGAGGCAATCTGAACGTACCTGTCAAACCCCTGCTGGGAATCGCCAATGCGGATGCCTTCACGAAGCTGACTGCATTGGACTTATTAACGATATGGCGAATACAAAGGAAAAAAGGAGCGAGAACAGCATCTCGGACTTGGCAACAGAAGCTCGAGAGGTCATTGGCCACGAAACGCAAGGCGCTAGCCGTGTGTGGTAGGAAGTTGGATTATTAATATTGCTGTCTTGTTCGGCTCGCCACAACTCGGGATCAGATACAATGGCCTCGCATAGCCCGTCCATCTACACTCCTGGATCCACATCAATACAGTGCTGTCCATCGCACGAGTCACAGAAGCCGATACGAAAACAGGACACAACAACAGCTTCGACCGATCAGTCACTCGGATTGTCAGGCTTCCATCGAGTGTCGCTGTCAGGAGAAGCGGGGTCGCGAGACGTGTCAGTGGGTCCCCTCTGTTCTGCGTTTAGGGGCCTGTGAGTACCAAGCTGGAACTTCGTGCGCCTTGGGAATCGCCTTCTTGCGCAACTCCTTAATCTCGGCCTGTTCTTCAGCCTCCTTCTCCCTGCGCCGTTCTTCTCTCTCTCGCTCGATCTCTTCCTCTTTCACGCGCATCATCTCGTCGAACTTCTGGCGTTCCCTCGAGCGAGCCTCGGTGGATAGGCCAAGAGGTACGGGGACCGTAGGATGAATATGCTCTTTACGTAGAGCCGCCGCTTCGGCTTCTGCGGCGTGTAGCGCCCTGAAATCGGGCACTGGTAGCGGAGGATGCGGCTTCGCGAGCGTATCCTCTTGGGGATCCTGTTTGCGCGTCTGAAGTCTGTGATCGACCGTAAATCGAAATTCGAGCGGTATCGTGGGCTTCGGTGGAGGCAGTGTCGTAGACTAGTATAGTACATGCAAAGGAGAGAAAAAAAGATTAGGAGATAGATGAGCGGCACGCACGCATAGGCATAGACGCTGGAAACCAAAGCTAAATGGAGGAAACACGCACAGCAGGTAGTTTGCCCGACTTGCTCGACTCTGTCAGAAGGCCAGGCTTGCGGCCAGCCGGTATAGATTGATCTGTTCGGCCGTGTACTGCTGTATGATCACGGTGCCCCTGGCTGCGAATCAGAGTCTGGCTTCTAGAGGAGCTTCTTGTGGGCGCCTTCTTGGAAGTCGATCCCTGAGAGGCGTGACTCTGCTTCTGGAGGCGTGCAGAAATACGACGCTTGGTTGTAGGTGCCCGGCCGGCGGAAGAAGAGGGTTTCGAGGGAAGGTGGGTGGTCTTGAGACGCTTTGAAGGTCCCTCACCGCGCAGCTTAGACCCCTGTTTTCGATCCCGCGGTTCAACGACAGCCTGTTCGGTATCTTCGGTGGCTGGAGCGGGGCGCTTGCGCGTATTTCGCGTCGGCGGTAAGGGCGGGGCGACCGTTTCAGCAGGCATTTCTCGTTTCCGCGGAGAGACTTGTGACAGAGTGAGCGGTCCTTTGTCATCGACTGCCATGTCCACTGGTGGACAGGCGTCAGACGCGGGTGTCGGTTCCGGTACTGCAACATTACTAGAATAACTGGAGATGTTCACCGCATTAAAATTAAAGTGGCGAGCGGAAACGATGCAGGAAGCGAGAAATAGATGAAGTGCTCATGTGCTCACATCGTGTCCTGTTCCAGTTGGCCGCCATACTGCAACAAACGCTCGACGACACCACCTGAAGCCTCACCCTTCTTCTTCCCTACATCCGATACCTGCGCTTTCGATGGCCGGGTCTTCTTAGAAGGCTTGACTGCTCGAGGCTTAGGATCTTTCAAGGCCTCGCTATCTTTGGATCCCCCGAAAAGCTAGACGTGTATCAAGTGACTAAGCACGACTCTGCACATTTGACCGAGCACAAGACCATATTCAGAAACTCACCGGCTTCACAACAGTCTTTGGGTGATCCTCCTTCGGCGTGCTTGTCTTGATGGGACTGTCGCGAGGTTCTCTGGAGCGAAGATTGTACCGGGACGGCGAGGCATCCGCTGTCGAGTTTACGTCTTCGCGAGGCGCGCGAGTTCGTCTGCGGGGAGACGAGGTTGATAGATCCGGGGGTGGTTGAAAAGGTTCGGTCGAGATTGTAGTCGAGATAGCATCTCGAAGGTTGGAGGCCATCTCTTTCCGTGGAGTAAGATCGCTGAGCCTGAGCGGAGATTGAGTAGGGCGCGGGGGTACCGATGCCTCGAAACTATCCTCCAGTTGGTTGAAAAACCCTCCGCTATCCTCGTCCAGAAGCCGAGACTCGGTCCCAGCATCAGTCGGGATCTGGAAAGTCAGAGACATGTCTGAGTCGTCGGGGAAGTGACGGAGGCTGAGCTCTTCATTCTTGGCTCGAGATGGACTGCGTCGATGCATGGCCACAGAGAGCACTCTTATCAGTTAACAAAAACGAAGATGTTATAGTTGAGAGGTGTAAATCGCCAAGTTCAAATGACACTGAAATGTCGACGTCGACGTTCGGATTGAGCTCGACACGGTTGAACTTCAGCCGACGTGCGCGAAGCGAACATGCGGCACGTGGCTACCCACGCCACCAAGTCTCACTTTGGGCCACACAGCGAGTCAATCTCCTCCGGAAGAATTCAATTGGTCAATGTCCTTCGTGCTATATCCATGTCGTTTAATTGGGTCAGAGTGTAGCACATTAAGAACGCGTTCAGTTCTTCTGTCGATAACGAGCCTCTTCACGGGTCCAGTAATATTTGTATTCGTGTTTATTCGTGTCGCAGTGAGCGTGACGCCCTACATTTCGTAAAAAATCATGGGGGCCCATCGACACCAGCGCTCGCGGGATCTTGAAGACAAGATAGCCAAAGATCCAAGACAGTGTCTCACACGAGAAGGCTTCCATGTAATTGCGGGTCCTGATGATGTTTACATCGGGGGCTAAAAGGACGCTCAAACGTAACGAGGACGACAAGGAATCAACGCAACACATCGACTAGCACAGACGAGCACCCTCATTACACTGGCAATATAGTGATCGGGACCACAACATCCCGATGCGTATGTGGCGTGTATTCAGTATCGATAGTGTCTAGTTGAGTGGCGGTCGTATGATGCAACGGGTCGGGCACGATGAGGTTGAGATCCAGGGAGCAGAAGAAGAGAACCGCGAATACGACCAGGTGTCGTACTCGTAAATCGTATTCGGGACCACACGTCTTTATGGGTATGTGTGGTGTGGGGTTATATGATGCGAACTCATAGCTTCGATACAGTGCTTGGGAATAGTGTTCGCCAATTTGAAAGAGTAAGATGTACGTGACTGCCAACGCGAACCACCTGAATAGCAACAGACGCCGAGGATAGATCGGAAAGATACAAACATAACGAGAGAACGAAAGGAAGAAAATGTTGCGTACAGCGAATCCAGTAATTAATCGTACACAGTGATATATCGAGCCATGCGCAAAACACAACGGGACCGACGTAGGTCCGCAAAGAAGCCTACTCGTCCTTAATGGTCCCATCAATGAGGTAGAAGACTCCATTCACAGCCTGAGTGCATTGCATTAGCTTCTCGTACGATGGAGCGCAAAACAGACCGTACCTGTTTCTCTTGAATGATACGAGATTCGCCATTCACTAGAACTCTTGACCACTCTGGAGAAGAGGCCTCACCGTCGATCTCGGCGAAGGTCACATTCTTCCCATCAACAAGGGTGGGATACGTATGCGAGATGAGGGGTATGGGCGATTGCTGTTCATGATGCAGTCACGTAAGTGCTCAAAGTTCAAAGCGCCTGGAAGCAGAAGATGCGTACCGGGATGATGTGAAGAGAGACCCATCTCTGAACGTTCTCTTTCGAACGAGTGTCAAACTCCTGCTCCGAGATCTCAATCTTGTCCTCGAGAGGTGCAGGACCTTGATGGCTATTAAAAATACAGCAGTTTTGTGAGAACAAGAACGCTGAGTAGACAAAGGAACTTACGGCTTCCGAGCGAGCGCCATCACGGCCTTGTTGGTAGGTACGAGCAGAGTAGTACCGGCATCTTTGTCTTGGAACAGCTGGCTGAGCTGAGTCTCACGAGCATAGGAAAAGAAGATAGATGCGGAGTGTTCGATGGTGAGCAAGTCTGAGAGTGTGCTCTTGGCAATGGGTGTTTCAGCGGTTTCAGGCATGTTCTGACCAGAGAGAACGAGTTGGTCGACTGAGGCAGATTGAGTGAGTAGAGGTAGAAGACAGAGGGTTAGCGAGTATAGCCTCATGTCCACGTATGTACAATGAGGTATCGGTGCAGATGTAAATGAGGTTCAGGCTATTTGAGAATATATATGCAGGCAAGATGGTGACAAGATGTGGTGACGCGCAATTCCCGCAAGCGCGGCGTGGTGTTTGGGCATTGTTTGGTTCCCGCCAAAGCCAGTGAGTGGCGTGGTCTCGAATACACCTCCCAGTCGAACAACTTTTGCGCGAGTCAGAGAGGAAGTAACAAAAAGTGTTTGCATAGAAATGAAAGATTTCATGTATGCGGATGTTACCTTGGTAGGAATTTTGCTGATTCTGTCGTGAAAATATCCTAGGTGGAAATGGTATACAACCAGGTAAAATCGGCCAAAACAAACCCACAGAATATTTGGAGAACATTATTCCTGAAATCTGTTCCAAGGTAACATCCACATACATGATACACTTCGATTTTATGCAAATGTTTTGGGTGAAAGCGAGTGTATGCCGTGCAATTCGTGTTCGACTGAGGACATGAAGTCCCGAAATGTACGCCATTTTGCCCTCGGTCCGCCCATTTCCGGCGGTGGCGCGTCAGTTGTCTTCCACTCTGAGGGAAGTTGACGCATGCACTAGTCTTAGACTTACTCCGTTCGTCTCGAAAAGTCTTGTGGAGACGCATTAACACCTTCAGACCCCTTGTAGCTAATTCTACGGTCGATGGAGAGCAGATGGCTGTGTAATAAAATAATCTACCTGCGGACCACCCGTTCAGCGCGTTTGGCAGGGACCAAACAATGCCCAAACACCACGCCGCGCTTGCGGGAATTGCGCGTCACCACAAGATGTGGAGCGTCCACAATGCAAGGCCTGAGGCAACGCCACACTGGGGGTTTTCCCCCTGAATCTAACTTGTTTTGGCGCGAAATCGGGGTAAATTGGCCTTGAAAAGTTGTCTTTCCGAAAGCCTCCGAGTGCTTTTCTACCGTGACGTACACTGCATCAATAAACCGAACCTCTGGACTTTCAGTGCTTTACATTTCGAGACATGCTCTGGCAGAGGCTCGCGCACAATAGAGCGAGTCCTTACAACGCTCAGGTTCGGATGCTTACTTTGCCGGCTTCGTATTCAACCTATAGTACGCCGCACTGAGCTACTATCTCATGACAATCTAGGATTGGCTTGAAGGAAAATATGGACGTGTCGCATGTGCACTCGAGTACTTAGAGACTCTAAACACCTGCAACGGTACTCCTTAGGCTTGAACTCTGACGATGTCCTGTATCAGACACGTCATTGATTGAACTTTCACGCATGAAGCTTAAACCCTTGTTAACCGCTTCAGTATTTCACTGGCACTCGGTGATTGTTCAGGGTGCTTCACTGGAGACAGCTGATGATTGTCGGTGAAACTCATCCTTCAAAATAGATCCTCAGTACCTGGACCGAACGGAAGCTAACACCATCCTTACCTCGGATATCCGGCGGTACCCCGTTCTCGTGGGCACCTTCAGCTATTTTCGACGATATATATTGGCTGACGCTATCGCTAGCCACGATGGACTTTTCCTTCTCTTCGACCTATCATCGCTTGCGACTCGAAAGCATACGATACGCCGCACCGCGATGTCGGAGTTTACGATGAAGTATGAACAGAAGAATATGCCCTTTCGGAGACTTGGGTCCTCTGGATTGCGTGTGCCCGTGTTCTCCATTGGAGGATGTAAGTGCAATTATGCGCGATGCCAAGAAGAACCGCAGACTTACAAACATCTCGCAAGGGTTGACCATTGGCGGTACCGTGAATGGAGACCCCGTCAAGGTGTGTTCTCAACCCTGCGATATCGCTTGTATTCCCCCCCCCCTCATCCTTTTCCCCTTCAAGGATATTATCAAGACGGCTTTCGAGAATGGGATTAATATGTTCGACGAAGCGGAAGGCTATGCGTCTGGCAATTCTGAGAAGGAGCTGTAAGGTTTCCTTTCCTTTTGCTGCTATTCCTCTTGGATTCTCCGGCTCATTCTCATCGCTTGAAGCGGTCGAGTTATCAAAGAGTTAGGCCTCCATCGCACAGATATCATCGTCACCACAAAGCTATTTTGGGGACCTGGACAGGGTCCCAATGACACGGGTTTATCTCGCAAACAGTGAGCTGTTATACCCTTTCGGCTCCGATCCGTCGTTCATGAGAAATGTTCACTCTGCAGTATCATCGAGGGTGCGCGGGGTTCTTTGAAGAGGCTACAGATGGACTACGTCGACGTCATTTTTGCCCACCGTCCGGACCATACCAGTACGGAATCCCGCTGTCCGCAACGCATCTATCCTTATTCATTCTTTGTGCCAGCTCCCATGGTCGAAACGGTTCGCGCCTTCGACTGGTTAATCAACCAGGGACTCGTAAGTCACCGGTTCTTCGAATGATATGTGCAACGCTTACCTCCATCTCTCTGTAGGCGTTCTATTGGGCCACTTCCGAATGGTCGGCTCGTGAAATCGAAGAAGCTCATCGTATGTTTCTGCACCCATCAGTGCAAAAGAAAGGTCTCAATATTTTAAAAGATGTCGCCGATCAGTATGGACTCCACGCACCAGTTGCAGAGCAATGCCAACACCAGTGAGGACTGTCAGTGCAACTCTAAGTCTTTGGTGCTAATTCGACTCTTGCCTAGTTTACTAAGTCGGGAGCGAGCTGAGGGCGAATACGCGTTCGTCATTCATCATGACTGCTAAACTTTGATACTGAAAACAGCATTTTTAGGCCGCTGTATAAGAGATACAACATGGGAACAACTGTCTTCTCCGCGTTGGCTAGCGGAATGTTGACGGGCAAGGTCAGAACTCACTACCGACTTCTCCAGTGTGCTTCATTGCTCACACTGATTGCACTATTTTAGTACAATAATGGTATTCCAGAAGGCTCTCGCTACAAAACCAATAAGGATGATGACAACTACAAGGGAAAGGAGCTGTATCTCAAGTCTCCAGAGGGCCAGCGCGAGATTCAAATCGTCAAGGACCTCACCGTGATCGCTGAAACAGGTCTGTTTTTCCCTCGCCACCCAGTCAGTACATGTACATGTTTTTACTAAGACACTCGCGCAGATCTTGGGTGCACAGTAGGACAACTTGCTTTGGCTTGGGTCGCCCGAAACCCAAATACCAGTACTGTTATCCTCGGCGCCACAAGCCCTGCGCAGGTTCTTGACAATCTTAAGGCGATAGACGTTATTCCAAAGTTGACTCCCGAGATTTTGGAGAAGATAGAAAACATCGTCCAAAACAAACCTAAACCACCTGTACGCTCACGGTATTGCTTATCTTGTCCGTGCTCACGTTGCTGAGCAATCGTTGGTGTAGCCCACGTTTGGAAGGCCACCTCTGGATCCGATGGGAAGGCAGTAATTGGGGAGCATTACTGACCAAACGTCCGGTTTCCTTGGTGTTGTATCATAACGCCACGACCTCCAGGAAAATATCAGTGTAGCCGGTAGTCGTACAACTCGTCCTATCCTCAGCACCAAGGTCTGCCTGTGGGAGACTAACAACTTGAAGGATTTCATTCGATCTTGAACTGAGTGGTGTGCCTGCCATGACGAAATCTAATCTTATCTTGTCGTATATTTCCGGGTCCCGCAATCCTGAGCTCGCGAAATATCTTTACCTTTCTGCTAAGTGCTTGCGACATACAGTGAAGTGCGAGTCAATCGGAGTAATATGCGACATTATCCGACTCTTTTGCGACCAGTTGTTTCTCACATCCCACGGCCGGCGAAGGGACCCACACCGTCCCTTTTAATTCTCCCATACTGTTGGCAGCTCACGTGAGCAAATCGATAGCGACCTCGGTGCTCGGTGGTCTTTATCATCCAGTTTCCCCTCAAACCGTTTGTCCACAGCGGATGTGGCGTCATCCCCGATGGCGAGCACACGTATATATAAAGCGGCATCGTCGCCGACGAGGAAGGGACTTGCAGACCAACTCCTTTTCCACTCCCACCACCGTCTGTACATAGATTTCCTGCTGTCGCCATGTCCGAAGTAAAGATGGAGTTCAAGCCAGGGAACATGCCATTCCGCAGACTTGGCTCTTCTGGGTTGCGTGTTCCGGTGTTCTCGCTCGGCGGATGTAAGCAGATGCTGCGTTTCCCGTTCTACGAGCCAGAGATCACCGTAGCTAACGCACTTTCCTGTTAGGGTTGACCTTCGGAAACACGGTCAAGGGAGACCCCGTCAAGGTTCGGTTTATCTTCTGGCTTCCTTTTCACGAATCTGACGACTGGTGCACACACTACTGATGTAGGAAATCGTGAAAGTCGCATTTGAGAATGGAATTAATATGTTCGACGAGGCGGAAGTTTACGCCAATGGAAAGTCCGAGGAGGAACTGTAAGCACTGCACTCGGCCTGACTAATCCCTGGGATCCTAATATTTCACATAGAGGACGCGTGATTCAGGAGCTCGGCCTGCGTCGTACTGACCTTATCGTCACTACGAAGTTGTATTGGGGTGCCGCGCGCAAGGGACCAAACGACCAAGGTCTTTCGAGGAAACAGTAGGTCTCAGTTATATAGTGGTTTGGGCCACCTTTTATTGACCGAGATATCCAGTATCATTGAAGGGACTCGCGAGGCTTTGGAACGACTCCGCCTCGACTATGTCGACGTTATTTTTGCACACCGTCATGATTTCACAGGTATACATATATTCATGTTTGATAAGTGATTCAGATAAACTAATGGTTGAATCTAGTTCCTATGGAGGAGATCGTACGGGCCTTCAGTTGGGTCATTGACCAGGGTTTGGTACGTCGCTTCCTAAGACGACAAAGTTTTACATCTAGTTATAATGTGAAGGCGTTCTACTGGGCGACCTCGGAATGGTCTGCCCGAGAAATCGAGGAGGCTCACCGTACGTGCTTGGTCACGAATGCCCACAGTGCGTCAATTTGGTACTTACAAAGTGTTTCACATTTTAGACGTCGCGGACAAACTTGGACTGCATGCTCCAATTGCAGAGCAGTGCCAGCACAAGTAAGCTTCACGCAAAATTCTGTATTGTGGTCAGACTGACACGAATATTTCTAGTTTGCTGCACCGCGAGAGGCCCGAAGGAGAGTACGAGTGAGTTCTGAACTGGCTATGAACTCCTCGTCTCAGCACTGAAGAGATCTTTCCGCCCATGCAGCCCCTTATACAGGAAGTACAATATAGGGACGACAGTATGGTCTGCCTTGTCTAGCGGTCTTTTGACCGGGAAGGTGCGTGACCAGTCTACCCATCTTTCTAAGCAAGTGCTACGTACTTACTCATGGTGTCTGGTCTAGTACAATGACGGTGTTCCCGAAGGCTCTCGCTTCGACACAAACAAGAATTTCTTCAAGGGCAAGGAAGAATTCCTCAAATCTGAAGAAGGCCAACAGCAGATCGCGAAAGTCAAAGAGCTCACGAAGCTTGCGGAGACAGGTATTGTGCCTTCCGTTCCGCTACAGTGTAGCGCTTTGCTGACAATACGGACACTCAGAACTCAACTGCAAAGTTACACATTTGGCGCTGGCGTGGGTAGCCAGAAATCCAAACACTAGCACTGTCATTCTGGGCGCTACCAGTCCCGAACAAGTTTTGGACAATCTGAAGGCCATTGATATCATCCCGAAGCTCACGCCAGAAATCCTTGAGAAGATCGAGGCGATTGTTCAGAACAAGCCGGCGCCACCCGTATGCCCTCATTTCTATGACTTCCTTTTTGTTATAATATCCTGACTATCTTGGCCATAGTCTTCGTACGGACGCCCTCCCTTGGACCGCCTGGGAAGGCTGTAAATGGGTACAAAAACCGGAATGTGAGACACATCCGTAGGGGCTAACAGTTCTCCGTCGACGGCATGGTACTGTTCCCCTCTCAGGCGCAGTAGAAGATGAAGGCGCCCATCGTGATCTAGCGTCTTCGATGATTGTATAGCGTGCGTAGAAAGAATTGTACTAGTTTGTGGTCTCCCTCCTTGTGAAAAAGATGAATTGTTCGCACGTTCTCAGGTGTTAATTCTTCGCCGCGATCGTTGAGCTGAATGGGGGCAAAAGGACCCCCACCGCATTGTATCCTCCTGACATCCAGTCAATCAACGAAGCCCGGCCGTACAGCTCTCCGCGAACAGTGGCGTATTCCCGTTGACGTCTCGGGTCCTTGGAAGTCCTTGGCCTCAAGATCGGTTAACATTCACAACCCATCTCCGCTCAATCTTCCCTGACTTCTCATCCAGGTCATGACAGCTATTCTATGACTGATTATTAGTCCAGCTCCTATGGTGCGAAGCACTTACTCACCGCATATAATATTCAACCGCCAAATTTGTGCCCGGGAGGTCGAAATTCCCGTTTATTGAAAGAAAATTCCTGGAACAATAAAAAAAACCCCGGGACTCTCATAAATAATAAACAATTGGATTAAATATTGATTGTTTGGCGGGAGAAATTGAAACCCGCCAAATTTGGTGGGTGGGAACTTTGAAAGTCCCTCAGTTTTGATTATTTTGGAAATCTGTCTTGGGGATCTGTTCCTTTCATCAAAAGGAGCATTTTGGCAAGACAGATAAGTCTTAGAGGCGAATTTAACCTTCCTGTGACCGGGTCTTCCCGGTGTTCGACTTATGCGGTGAGTAAGTGCTTCGCACCATAGAATCGCTTTCTCCGTGCCTGTCGATCCCCATGCAATTTAGGCTGTAGCGCGGCCATTGGACGTTTGAACCTTCAAAGCGACCTCGCGCCCCCGTCGATCCCCCTGGGTTATATTATTGTCTGGACCGTCTGCATCACCGCAGCGAGACCGCGAAAACGGACCTCCTGAGGCATGGGGCTTGTTCGCGTTCATCCCGCAATGCTTCGTGAGGATGATCCCAGTCATTCTGACCACATCCCGACTTCTTGATTGCGATGTGGTCCTATTATAACCATATGCGTATGTGGTTTCAGTCCCGTTTCAGTAACGAGCTATTACTGACTTGGACGACGGCATCGGCACTAATGTTTGTTCGATTTGCAGACACCCTGAAACGCTAAGGTCGCATGCCGAAATAGACGGGGTATGGAAAGTCAAGGTTAAAAATGTGCGGGGCGCAGTCCGTGTCCAAGTACAGAATGAGCGCCATAGGGAAGCGTAGATATGTCCATGAAGCAGCGCACCAAGACGGGGACCACTAGGTCTTCCCATCAGGGGCTACGCGCATAGAGTCCTCCTTTGCAAATATGGATAAATCGAGATATTAGTGGGTAAGATAGCGGAAGAGGATGCTTTCAGCCTGAGTCCATCACGCAAGGAGGCGTAAGGTGTCCAAACAGTCGTAATATGTCGTAAGAAGTCCAAGGAAATGTACAACAAGAAAGATATGTTCCACAAACTTAGAGTCCGTTCCAACACGGTCAAGAGTCCAAGAAAACGTAGAATGGAATCAGAGTGAAAACATCAGCCAAGGGTCGTCTGCTTCATCTTGGCAGCAAGCAAATCCGTCGACGAGCCACCGTCTAGTCTCCCATATTCGTCCGGCGCAAGCATGCTCCTCCTCCTTGTGCCTGTCTCCGTAGAAGGTACTCCCAGCGTGTTATTCGACGCAAAGTTTGCCGAGCGACGTTTCGACCAAGAAGATGGAATCGGAGGACTACCATCGTTAGCACCGAAATAGTCCTTTGAACTTCCCGCGAACGCGCCGGGGGAGAGGGAGTGCGGCCTCATGATCGGTATAGTCGGCGGCGTAACCATCGGCGGAGGCATCATGACACCGTAAGGCCCAGGGAGGTTCGAGAAGCTAATAGACCTCCGGTTCGTGACGGCAGCCTGAGCTCTCGGAGGTGGATGGGGTGTAGACGAGTCTAGGAGGGTCTGCAAGGCAAGGAGACAGGCGAAGGCGTCATTCCCGGCGTTGTGGAGGGTGTAGTCAACAGGGAAGTTGAGTGAGTAAAGAAGACTGGCGAGGGTGAGAGTGGAGCCCGGCTGGCGGTGGTGGCCAGTTTTCGCATCCAACATGGCACCTCGGTGACCCGCTTTGAACAGACCGCTTTCGAAGGTTGTCACATCAACCACAAGGACATTATGCGGCAGTTCTGACGATGGGAAGTATCAGCACGACTCTCAGTAATGCCACGAAAGTGGGCAGACGCACTGATCTTGAGCTCTTCTATGCGGCGAAGATCCTCTGCGGCTGAATGAGTAACGAGGACGATATTGTTTGGTGTGGTCTCTGAGTCTGGGCTAGCTAGACTACTATTGTAGAGGAGAAAAGTCAGCACTCACTCGAGAAATCCAGATATAAACATGTACTTACCTTATGATCGCTTCAATGATCACCGCAAGTTTAGCCTTGGGGACCACTTGACTTTCACCAAACTAGATATAGAGCAATATGTGAAATTTCACGAATAGCACAGGAACGGCGCAAACATACTGCATACTAGAATGTAAAATCGTCAAGATGAATACCCTCTGGAATACGCATACCGCATACTCACATTCCAAGGATGATTGGGGACTTTCTGGTTGCGCATTCTGTCGGCATACTCAGCGACGACATAATGTCCCCTCCTAACTAATCGATGGGCATTCGTCTGCGTTGCCAAAATGATTCTCAACGCACCTATAGTTGTCCTCCGGTATTGGCGGCCAGGATCCTATCCTGCAACCCAGTAAGTACCACGGTTTGCCTCACAGCACGAAGAGCACACATACGTGTCCAGATGACCACAGCGCACCGCTGCGTATCCCCATTCAAGAACCGACGAAGCATTACGCTCAGAGTTCTCGAAATCAACAGCCACGAAAGTCTTGTCCCTCTTGTCCCACAACTCTTGAATTACCCTCGGCTCTCCGCTTCGCGCCCTGACCTTGAGAGCCGCGAGCACAGCGGCAGGTAAAGCGGCGTGCAACTTCTTGTACACTTCGTAGTCGTTGACGGTACGCAGGCGCCGTTGGTGTGTCTCGAAGGGTGTGATCTTCAGAATGTGGTCTACCATGGGTAGCGTCTCCCCGAATCTATTCCCGTCATAGCACACGAGCACACGAATCGGACACGAGACCAGAATTAAATCGTCTGAGGGCGTGGCGATCAAAGAGTATCCACGCACCTCGTCTTGATCATCTTGAGAAATGCACCAATGGAGGTCATTCGCGTGACTATGTGCGCTCTACCTGTCCACGAATCCGTGACGGTGATAACGGGCCAAGAGAACGCAAGGAAGTCTTCGAAGGAGTTGAAGAGATGGCCCCATGAGCGATCATACCTGTGCGAGACGAGTATGTAGGGTAAACTCTCAGCGTAAATTGCGGCACTCTCTCGTTCTAATTTCGCACTGACCATGGGATCCCGTTATTCTGGAAATAGCCCATGTATGCGGTGTACACCTGTAGAAGTCTATTAGATCGTCTTAGACAATCCTGTGAACGCTGGCAAGGCGCACCGAGTGCAGATCATACTCCCATCCCTTGATGTCGACAAGACTGAAGTCCGAAGCCATGATTGCTGCCGCGACCGAGTCTAAGCGAGGGCTATTATTCGGACGAGTGCAGAGACGAGGTCAAACTGAGCTCAGAGACAAGGACACATCAAGAGTCAAGACCACCCCCGACGTCGGCTATAGAGAGCGGTTGAGACGACGACGACAGCTCTCAATTACTTGATCGAGCGCTCTGAGGCGAAGCCGTCAAGCCGCCACGGTGAACATCCCCGTAAACGGCGTTACGAGAGCGCCCTGGCAACGTGCCATGTCGACACCAGTTCAGAGAGATGCGGCTTGGGAAATAATCGAAAGCTCTGCTATAGACGACGATAGCGGCGAGCTCATGTACTCCAGACCGGCTGGCCTTCGTAAACCAGGACAAATTGGAATTTTCGGTGAAGTCCGCGGGCAAGGCTTGTGGTTCGGCGCAATTTGATACCCATTGGAGTTTGATACACATTGGAATTTGGTACATACGCAGTTGAAAAATACATTGATACGACCGTAGAAAAAGTAGTACATGAGAATTCGCCAAGATGTAAGTGCGTAGAAGAAGAATAGGAAAGATAAGATGCAAAAGACCGTCCGAAGAGAATCGTACTAGCGAATAATTCAGAACGACAAGAGCGAGCCAGGAACGGACGGTAGAAGGAGTATACCTGAAGCGAAAGTAGGCGAGTCAGCATAAGGATCGACGTAAAAGATATAAGGTATGAGGTCAGTGACTTGAATGGTTCCCGAAGGAATTGGCCCATTGTGGTAAACCACGTCGACAAACTTGCATAGTTGTGCATCATGTGGAGAAGGGCAAGAAAAGGGTATACTCACAAGGATGTAGCAAGGCCACTATTGTACGACACAAGCAAGCCTGGGGAGAAGACCAGAGCGGATAGCTGACGAGAAAGAGATCTAGAGACTTTATAGAGAGTCAGCCACATGAAGTTGCGCAGAGGAAGCAGCTCAACCAAAATAATAATAGTAAGAAATGAGAGAAAAGGTCAGGTTAAAGATCGTGTTCGTCTCATATGCAGAGCATCGAAGTGAGCTGAGTTACGAAGTATTATCATCAAGTTGGCGAGGAAGGGGCGAAAAAGAAAAGAAAAGCATCGACGCACGACGAAGCGGATTAAATGACTCACACAGTTCAAAAATGGGTTGCCTCAAATCCCAGTAGTCCCTATACAAGCACGATCCCCACCGTCAGGTGAGGAAGAGTAGACGAAACCCAGAGCATGCACAAGAACATAGAGGGCGGAAGGGAAGCTGAAAATGGCAATGGGAGTGAGCCGGGGGCAACTGTACAGTTGCTGACATAAGCTTTTTGAACTCCGCCATACGAGACGCGAGGTGGCGTTTGGTGCTGCACGACATCGACAACGACCGCCAAAAATGCAGATTTTCGTCAAGACCCTCACGGGGAAGACGATCACCCTCGAGGTGGAGTCTTCTGACACCATCGACAACGTTAAGGCTAAGATCCAGGACAAGGAAGGGTTCGTCGCTCAATGTACTCGTATCTTTTCCTTATTAATGACCGGATTGTAAACAGCATTCCCCCTGATCAGCAGCGTCTTATCTTCGCCGGCAAGCAGCTCGAGGATGGCAGGACTTTGAGCGACTATAACATCCAGAAGGAGTCGACTCTTCACTTGGTCCTCCGGTGCGTTAACTTCAGGTTCAAAGCAACGTAACTTTCCTAATGACATTACTCTAGTCTCCGTGGCGGTTTGATCGAGCCCTCGCTCAAGGTGCTTGCTAGCAAGTACAACTGCGACAAGCAAATCTGCCGCAAGTGCTACGCCCGCCTCCCTCCCCGTGCCACCAACTGCCGCAAGCGGTCATGCGGGCACTCCTCCCAGCTCCGCCCGTACGTGTTCTGCTCCTTCGTATCTTGCACATTGTCTGACCCCTTCTTTAGCAAGAAGAAGCTGAAATAGTCGACTCGCTTCTTGGTTGGCTTTGCTGGTCGAGATATACTCTGTTCGAGCGATGCTGGAGTAGTCGTTCTCATGTACTCATGTGACTATGCAAGCCATGTTCCTTTTCCCCTCTTTTTGTCTGTATGCATATTCTTCCCGGCATTGGGTTCCTTGGCACCAAAAATGAGCTCGCACGGAGCAATGTTTAGCCAACATAGCGCATTAGAACGACCAAACCAATGTGAGAACACCAAGTGCAGTCGCAAATTGAAATCGCATAAGTTTTGAGAAACTAGAATTCGGAAGTCCGAAGGATGGAACGTGCCACCGGCGACTTGCTTCCGCTCCACATTTTACAGGAGCTGAGCTTGCTTTCGCATCTGCACTTGTACTCGACCACCACCCTCGACACGCGCAATGGCTCGACCAGCACGCCCGGATCGTCCAGGAAAACCAAAATTCTCTTCTCACAAGGCAAACGCAGCAGGCTATGCTAAACGGCATTCTGCCAAATCGAAGGCGAACCTCTCAGACGTTTACGATTACCAGCACGAGAAGGTCAGGCGCGGAAACGTCTCTCTTACCCTTGACAAAGATGAAGCAGCGGAGTTTGACCGCGATGGGTCGGATGAGGATGACATTGACCATAGTGCGTTGAGAGCGAGGCTTATTGGGGAGACGGTGGACGATGAGAAGATTGATTCGGAGGATGATGAGGAGCTGGACAGTGACGAGGCATTCGAGGAGAGCGACGACGAGAAATATGCTGGGTTCTCTTTTGCCACCCAGGTGCGTGTTTCTATTTTCTTCCAGACTTTTTTTTTCTCGCTCACCTGGTGTGGCCCACAGAACAAATCGAAGTTCAAAGCCAAGAAAGCGTTAAAATCCAAGAAGACCTCTGGCGTCCGATTTGCTGAAGTCAATCTTGACGAGGATGAGGACGGAGACGGGGGGATAACGGCCAAGGGAGGCTCCGGCGAAGATGACGATGAAGAGGAGGAGGAGGAAGGTGACTCAGACGAATTCATCGACGTGCTGGACGTTTTGGACGGGCGTGGAGAGCCGGATTTAGGAGAGGAAGAAGGGAAGGGAAGCTCACGAAGGGATGATGCTGGCACGGTTGAACATCAGATAGGGGACATGGGGGAAGCGGATGAGGACGAGGACGAGGACGAGGACGAGGTGGATGAAGATGAGAACGAAGACGACGGTATGGATCTATCTGCCGACGAAGCCGACCACGACTCCCCAGAAGCACTCGACAGCCTGGGCAAATTCATCTCTTCGCTGGACACGGGAACGAAGCGGAAAGCTGAGGATGCAGGACTTGAGGCACCCCGGCGGAAAAGGAGAATTATCCAGGAGCGCACTGAAGCAGGTGCCGAGAATGAATTTGCTGCTCATGTTGCAGGTATATAATGCTCTCTCCCTTTCTGTACTAAGTCTAACACCACATTCATATAGGGTCACAACGGCTCAATCTGGACGATCTTTTGGAACCCCTGGCGTCGCAGTCCTCAAACCTCATGTCTCTCAAGAAATCGGCGAAAGCTTTGACTTCGTCGCGGGTAGGAGGGGCTCCGCTCTCTGCACCTCTTCCACAACGGACACAGGATCGTCTGGACCGGGAAGCAGCTTATGAACAGACGAAGGAGGAAGTCGACAAGTGGAAGGATACTATGAAGCGAATTAAAGAGGCGAGCACCACCATTTACCGCCGTTACCTCGCTGGGCTGACTTGACAATTCCAGGCCGAACATCTCTCGTTTCCTTTACAAGCCCAAAAAGCAGGCAAGACTTCGAATCTTGAGCTTAGCGCTAAATTCAAGGTATGTTTCCTTCTACCTTACGGAACACCCCAACATTGACGAAATCTTGTCCCTCCATCTGTCAGCCTACCACTGAACTCGAAAGCGCCGTCGACAAACTTCTCAAGCAAGCCAAAATGCGTGAAGAAGACCTTGCCCAGACCGAAGAACTCAAGATGAACCACCTCTCCGTCGAAGAGGTCGCTGCACGCCGCGCAGAGGTCCGCAAACTTCGCGAGCTCATGTTCCGCGCGGAAGCCAAGGCGAAACGGGTTGCGAAGATCAAGAGCAAGACGTATCGCCGCATGAAGAAGAAGGAGCGGGAAAAGTTGGCAGCTAAATTGGGAGCGGACGAAGTGGATGAGGATGATGAGGATGTGAGGATGAAAAGAGAGGCGGAGAGGGCGTTGGAGAGAGCGACGTTACGCCACAAGAACACGGGGAAGTGGGCGAAGTCGATGAAAGGACGAGGCGAGCTGGATCATGACCAGAGGAAGGAGATCACAGAAATGTTGGACCGAGGCGAGAAACTGAGACGAAGGATTCAGGGGAAGGGCAGTGATGACGAGAGTGAAGATGAGAGCGATGAGGATGGGGAGGGTGGGATCGAGGGGCTGAAGGCGAGAGCGTTCGAGGAGATGGTGGAGCTGAAGCGGTCAGAAGGGCTATCGGAGGCGGGGAAGGGCAAGAGCGTTTTCGATATGAAGTTCATGCGGGATGCTGCTACTCGGGAGCTGATCGAGGTCGACAAGGACGTTGACGACTTTATAAAGGAGCTCGGAGAGGACGGCGATGAAGGAGATGTTGTTCAAGATGAAAGTGGTGCCATCATTCAGCGTACTGGGGGGCGAATGACCTTCAGGCCGGGTGCTCTGGTGAGTCTGCCCGTTTCGGATTCTAGTAGGATGATTCTGATAAAAATTGTCTCACAGGTTCCTTCTAGAGTGGCGCTATCAGATACATCAAGCGTCACACTTCAATCGGCTGACCTCCTACCCCAAGCCAACTCAACGACGACCTCTCCAATTCAGACTATTTCCCACTCACTCCCACCTCCCGTTACCTCTTCATCATCTAAAACACAATCAAATCCGTGGCTTGCTCATGCAGAAGACGGTTCATCAGGAGCCGGCCTCAGAAGGAGCGAAGTCGTTGTCGGCAAGGACAGCAAAGCGACCGAAAAGTCAAAGAACAAGCTTCGCAAGCGAAAACAGCAGCGGGATGAAGAGAAGGAGAGAGAGAAGGAGGACGCCGTTGTGGAGATTTCCTTGGACAACACTATGAAGGGCACGTCTGCGTCTGCTTCGTCATCGTCGAAACAGGTGCCAGTCAAGTTGGCTGGGAAGGGTAAAACGAAGGTCACAACGGCTGCCCTTACTGATGACGACTATGACGTGAACTCGGAGGTTGATGAGCAGGAGAAGGCGTTGGAGAAGAAGGACAAGGGAAAACGAGGAGGTAGCAACGGTGTGAAGGCTTTCGAGCAACGGGACCTTGTCGCATTAGCCTTCGCTGGTGACAATGTCGTCCAGGTTCGTCACTGTCTAGTTTCTCGATCTGTTTACTAGCTTTGTTCGCATGTGCTCAACCTTCATCCTCCAGGACTTTGCGGAGGCGAAACGACGAGAGATCCAGGCCGACGCGCCGAAGCAGGTCGACACAACCCTTCCAGGCTGGGTACGTCCACGCGTAATCATACTGGCTGCTCGCTGACGACGCTTTATCCACAGGGTGCATGGGGTGGCTCTGGCACCAAAAAATCGGCACCCAAGCCGTACCTCATCAAGAAAGTTGCAGGTGTGGATCCAAAATCCCGCGCCGACTATGGAAAGGCCCACGTCATCATCTCTGAGAAGAAGGATAAGAAGGCGGCAAAGTACATGGTCAAGGATTTGCCCTATCCATATACGAGCAAAGCACAATTCGAAAGGAGCATAGAGACACCGCTTGGGCCGGAGTGGAACACTCGTGTCGGGTTCCAGAGGGGAACACTACCAAAGGTCACGAAGAAGGTTCGTCGGATATTTGCTGTATTCTATTATGCGTTGTATACTGGCTAAAGTTTGGCGTTTGTAGATGGGTACGGTCATCAACCCGCTGGAGAAGTTGTTCTGAGCTTTCAGCCGGTAGCGCGTCTACCTCAGATTCATTTCCTTTGCATCTGTCATTTTCCCTCGCCCATATTTCGTACCATGCACTTCGCGAATGCGTTCAGAACTCTGGATCCTTGCACATCCACTAGATACTATGGAGAAGGCTCTCCTTTTGACCTGGCCAATGAACCTAGATCAGGGCTAAGGTGGTCGCAGAAAGCAGTCGTCCAAGAAAACGATAAATGAAGCATTAATGTACACAGCATCTAGGGGGTAAACATTCTTCCGCCATAGAACGTCCAAGTCCTTCAAACCTCGCCTGAGCACCCAAAGTCTGTACAATGCAAGAGTATTTGTTCTTAGTCTCCGAACATGAGTTTCAAATTCTGGATGCTCTCCGGGTCTGCCGCAGTTCCCTTATCCTTCGCCTGAGTCCCGCGGAACGCTTCCTTTACGAGCGCTGTCTTGCGTTTCTGAATCTGGAGGATGCGGCCTTCGATCGTGTCTTCGACCTATGCATAACGGACGACAACAACAAACAAGATATGGATGAGCACATGGGCCATCATGCGAAACGGCCTGTATAAGATAGAAGTGGGTAAAAGAAGGGTGGGTGGGACTGACGATGAAGTGCGTGACATATACGGTCTTTTCTTGACCGATACGGTGAACGCGGTCGATGGCTAGAAGAGTGAGAAGTGCCGTCAAACGAATGATATGGTGGAAGGAGCACTGCACGACGAACCTTGGTTCTCGATGGCAGCGTTCCACCAGCAGTCCATCTGTAAACAATAGTATTAGCTACACAGAAAACCCAGGATATTCCACCCGTCCTTCACCATGAATACATGATTAGCCGTGGTCAACTGCCAGGGTCCAGAGTCTGATCAGGGTCCAGTGACAAAATGGTAGACGAGGGTGGAGGTACAACATACATTCAAACCCACACCCCCTGCCTTCAAACTAATGATCAGCACTTTCGGTCTCCTCGACGGCGCTTTGAACTCAGCGACGGCTGCGCTCTTCTTCTTCATATCCATCGTACCGTCGAAACGACAGAATGTGATGTGCTCGCGTTCGAGCGCTGTGCCAATCAAATCAAGGAAGGAGGTGAATTGGCTGAACACGACCGCGCGGAAGCAAGGATCTTGGTCCTGGAGGCGACCTAGAAGAGTCGATACACGGGTCAGAATAGTGTTCAGGCGCGAAATGCAGTCAACCACGAATTGAATATGATATTTATAAGAGTGCGGGACGAAGCAAGAATACTTACGAAGATTTTGGAGTAGGGCATCGAGTTTCGTGGAAGAACGGAAATCGTTGCGACGGATGATCACATCGGGGACTGAGACCTGAGAGCTAGGCTGCGAGACGGTAACTTTCGCTTTTCGTGGTCGGAAGACTTCCAGCATATCTTTCTCCTGCGTGCGTAGTCGATAGTCGAGTGAGCTCGCGGGCTTCGTACCGGCATTCGGAAGGGATCGAAAGCACACTTACCTTTACAGGCCCGCGATTACAGCTCGGACAACATACAGAGTCTCCTTTCGCCAAGCTTGTCTCGAAGTATCCAGCTACACAGTCCTTGCAACTGAAATAGCAACAATGCCGTTTTGTCAGTATAATTTGACAACAATAATTCTGAAGGGTCTGACCATTGATGCATGCACTCAGGAAACATCATCGGGTGATCCATCACATCCATGCATAGAGGACATTCCGCTTCCTCACCATTGTTCGATAAATTGTTAAGGACGCCCTCTGCGAAAGTGTTACCAGGAGCGGCCGGGGTTGATTCATCGCCTTTGCTGTCACTAGTAGACTGTGTGAACTTTTCGATCATACTGTCTACATCGACTGGTCCAGAGGCGGTTGGCTGATTCTCTTCGTCGTCGTCAGACAGGACGAGGCTAGGATGAAGAACCGCTCGACGCAATCTATGTACGCCAGTTGTTAGTCGAGACGAATGTGGGGAAGCGAGATGTCAGTTCTCATACCGCATAAGCATGGCCAATATATGCGAGTAATTCTTGCCGACGAGGCCTTTCACCCTTAGTTGCTCGAAGTCCTTCTTGGCGGAATGATAAATGGAGTCGTAGATGTCTCGTTCGGATTTCGAGAAAGACAAGGTGTCCACAGTAATCTAGAAATGGAGTTGACGAGGACATGAAATAGAGGGTAAGTGTAGGAAGCCTACCTCCTTCGGCGGGAGCTCAACAATGCGGTTGCCGTCACTATCGCGGAACGTTTTCTCTCTGCGTAGCAAAACGCTTTCCAGGATGACTTGCACGACTTCGATGGCCTTGGGATCGTGAGCAAGGAAGGGCAATGTGATAAAGCTGCATGGTCATTGGTTAAGGTAGGCAAACATACAAACGATAACAAGGATGCGGACGTACGAGCGAAAGAAGGCGTAATCAGACCAGGGAGCGAAGTTTAAGAATTTTCTGTAAAACTCAGTCAGTGGCGGTTTTCGACGTAGAGATCTTCACATGAGCTGGCTCACAAGAGCGAGAAAAGATCTTCCACTCGGTTCACAATTGGAGTGCCTGTCACAGCCCAGCGCCGACGAGCCTCCAAAGCAAAGACCGCCTTAGCTGCCTTGCTCGTTCGGGACTTGCAATGGTGGGCTTCATCGAGCACGATACGCAGCCATTCGCCTGTAGGAAAGGAAGTTATTGTGTCATGATTAAGGGTGAATAAAACATAGTCGACATACCTGTGAAAATTGGAGATGTCAACTTCCCCGACTTGTCCACCTTCGAGTGTTCCGACACGAGAACCCCGTAGGACGTGATGACCACGTTGGCCGTCCCCTCATCCTCAGCTTCGATAACTGTATCCAGATCCAAACGGTTCTGACCGTGCCACACTAGTGTCTTGACGGTTCCAGGTTTACTGCAACGCTCGAGTTCTTCTGCCCACTGGTTCAGCAAGGATGTCGGTGCCACGATGAGGGTGGCACATGGACCTTTGGGAGGCTTGGCAGGGGTCGTTCGAGCTTGCGCACGAAAAGCGCTGTCGAGCTTCAGTTGACGAGGTTTGGAGGGTTGCCCAGATGGAGGAACCGATGTGGCATCAGGTCCGCGGTTGGTGTGAATGAGGGACGAAATCATGATGGTTTTACCCATCCCCACTAATAACGAGTTGAGTGATCAGTAAAAAATGCAACATAATTTGCCGTTCTTACTTACTTTCTATGCAAAACACCATAAGAATGAATGATTGTCAGTAAATGAGGCTGGAGTTGCTGCAAGCAAAGGAAATATTACCATCACTATGTAAATAGACGTTTAAGCACTTTTAAGCATCAAAAAAGCAAACAAACATACGCACGCAAGTATTCCGCCCCTGCACTGCTGGTCCGCTTTCGGGAAATCCAAACTCAGCTCTCCAGAGTATGAATTGAAGTAAAATGGTGGCTGTTCAACGTCGTCCGTGAGGTCGATGACTCCACCGATCGGCTCCACCGGAAAATGATACCTGTATTTGTTGTCAGTGAGGATAGGATAGTACAAGCATGCAACCTACTCATTCCAGAGAGGGTGCATAGAGGCAGCTTCACGAGCAGATATAAGCCCGTTTTCCAGAGAGTGCATCCAACTGGAACTAGTCAATACATGCGCAGGAACCCAACGAAGATAAACCGCACCATAGTGCTTGCTTCTGGTAACCTCGCAAAGTTAGAGCGAAGCTATCGGAAGGCTCCATCTCTGCCATATTTCGATCATTCTGTTGTGCTCTAGGCGGGCATAAGCAAATCGTGTAACCCAGAATGATTACTGAACCTGCAATACCTTTTGTATATAGAATTCAGCTCGTCCTCGGATAATTCTTCCCCTTCCCCTTCTTCCTCTTCTTCGTCGCCAGTGCTCTTAGTCTTCGCAACCTGAACAGGCTCGTCAGGCTTATTAACCTCATTACGGAGGCCAAGTTCGGAGGCGTCGTTTCCCCGTGTAGGTTTCAAGCCTACGGCTTGGAACAGACGACCTAGGGCCTTCTTGCGCTCGCGCAAGGTCTGCTCTTCCGTCGTCTCCTTGCCTTGATCAAACATAGTTTTGCGAGGCTCTGAGTTCGAGACCTTGGGCTTCTGGAAAGCTGATGCTTTGATCCTGACGGACAACGATACTACGAGGTCCATGCCAGATCGGAGCTCTGCGGGGCATTCTACCATTGAGCTTCCTCGAAAGTCAACGATGCCTAGCAGCAGTTTTAGCACACTCTACAGTGTAGATATCATGACCGTACCTTGTTCCAACAGAGGATAGATCCATTCAGCCTCTCCTTGAGGAATACGACCAAACTCTGGGAGCTACCGTCAGCAGGCATACATCGTTGAAAAAAATGCGCCGTACCAAAACCACGATCATTCGTGAGCCGAACGATTGTAGTGAGCTTTTTCTTCACGGGTTTAGCGTTCTTGGCCTGAAAAGCACTCGTCAAAGTGGTTTGCTTTTTCTTGCTCTTGTCTTTTGCTCCGGTGGGTTTGGACGAAGTATGTTTGGAAGAGGTCATAGAATCTTCCCCGGCATCAATCTCGACCCGAACAGCATCTCCGGGTTTGATGTATCCTTTCCCCCTGGCAGTGGCCCAGGCGTTACCAATAATAAAGGTACCGACGTAGGCCGAGGAGAATACCGGCTTTTTAACCTGTGGTAGGGAGAGGCGGCGCCTCTTCGCAGGAGGAGGGCTAGTTTCGCGAATAGAAGGAGAGCGTGACAGAGATTTGACCGAGGCGTGCGCTGAAGGGCCGGGTGCAGGTGGACTGGATGAACGCGGTGGGTCGAGCGACAGGGTGTCATCGACATTCATGGGATCATCAGCGAGTAGCGGTTCGCCCTCATCGTCACTGCCAGCAAGAAATAAGGGCTCTCTGGACTCTGACACGGCTTCTGTCTCTGAGTTTGGTTCACTGAGCGCGTCCTGAAGAGGCTCAGGCTCAGCGTCCGTCGGTGGGACATCGTCGTGGTCATCGTCAAGGGACATGGACTCCGTAATAATGTCGGTGCTAGTCTCAGGCTCGTCTTCAGGATCAGCAAAGAAGTACGGTTTATCGGATAGCATGAGCGAAAGGTCCCGTTGTGGAGTGGGTGCAAAGTCGAGAGACAATTGCCCGCGACGCGTCGAAAGCAACGCGTCAAACGCGTAAACAACACCAAACAATCCGCCACCGCGAGCCAAATCGGCATGCGCAATCGAAGCGGTACGTTTTCCTGTCTTCTACCTCCAATCATCCAAAATGCAACGCGGCCTGCCTATGGTAATATATCTCGTTCTGCGTGATAGCGTCTTGATCTGATGTTCTGCTCATATTGCTCAGCAACCTACTGTCGTGCTCTTGAAAGAGGGCACCGATACATCGCAGGGCAAAGGACAGCTGCTCTCCAATATCTCAGCATGTCTTGCAGTCGCAGAAACCCTTTCCAGTACGCTTGGTCCTAGGGGTATGGACAAGCTCATCATCAATCAAAGGGGGGACGCTCAGATTACCAACGACGGTGCGACTATCCTGAAGCTTCTGGACATCGTCCATCCTGCGGCTCGTACTTTGGTCGACATTGCCCGCGCTCAAGATGCCGAAGTTGGAGATGGCACGACGTCTGTAACTTTGTTGGCTGCTCAGCTGCTGAAGGAAGTGCGAGGGTACATCGAGGAGGACGTTAGCCCGCATATCATCATGAAAGGATTCAGGCAGGCTTCCCAGTTGGTGCATACATTTCTCGCCTTAGTTAGCGCTTTCCTATCATATTTACGCTTTTTTTGCAGGCCATCGACAGGATCAAAGCCATCCAGGTTACCATGGACAAATCAGATCCAGAGTATGGACCCTATTACTTCTATAAACTTCGCATCCTGACGTCACGCTACGATGCATCCACAGAAAGTTCCGCTCTCTTTTGCTTAAGTGTGCCTCGACGTCGATGTCATCCAAACTCATACATTCCGAAAAACCCTTCTTTGCCAAGATGGTCGTAGATGCCGTGCAGTCTCTGGATCAGAGCGATCTTGACGAGTCCCTCATTGGCGTGAAGAAAATCGCAGGCGGCGGCATGCAGGACTCACTTCTCATCCGTGGCGTTGCCTTCAAAAAAACTTTCACCTACGCCGGCGCAGAGCAGCAACCCAAATCTTTCGTCGACCCCCTCATCCTCTGTCTCAACGTCGAGCTCGAGCTGAAGGCGGAGAAAGACAACGCAGAAGTGCGAGTCGAGGCCGTATCTGATTACCAGGCTATCGTCGATGCGGAGTGGGAGATCATCTATCGGAAGTTGGACGAGATTGAGAAGACAGGCGCAAAGGTTGTTCTCAGCAAACTACCAATTGGCGACCTTGCGACCCAGTGGTTCGCCGATAGGGACATCTTCTGTGCTGGTCGTGTGCCCGCCGGAGATCTTCGCAGAGTTGTGCAGGCTGTGGGAGGTTCCATCCAGTCGACGACGTCCGATATTCAACGAGAGCATCTGGGAACGTGTGGCAGGTTCGACGAGAGGCAGATCGGAGGGGAGCGATTCAACGTTTTCGAGGATTGCCCAAAGGCGAAGACGTGCACGCTACTTCTGCGTGGCGGTGCCGAGCAGTTTATCGAGGAGGTGGAACGCAGTCTCCACGACGCCATCATGGTCGTTAAACGCGCGGTACGAAATGGCGAGGTTGTCGCTGGTGGCGGTGCCATCGAGGTACGCACATATCGGCAGGTATGAGATCTTACTATACTGATCATGGTTTGCGTAGATGGACCTATCCGCACACATCCGGAAGCACGCTTTGTCCATACCTGGGAAGCTGCAGCTGGTCCAAATTGCGTTCGCCAAGGCGTTGGAGATCATCCCCCGTCAAATTTGCGACAATGCCGGTCTCGACTCCACCGACATCCTGAACAAGCTTCGCATGAAGCACGCCAACGGCGAGACATGGGTCGGTGTTGACGTCGATGGGCCTGAAGGCGTTCGTGACAACATGGAGGCATTTGTCTGGGAGCCCAGTCTCATCAAGGTTAACGCGATCAGCAGCGCTGTCGAAGCTGCTTGCCTGATCATAAGCGTTGATGAGACCGTCAGGAACCCGCAGAGCGAAGCGGTACGTCTCTTCTGATCATCGTCCCCTTTCCATCGTCCTCTTTTTCATGCGCTCACTAAACCCGCCTCTAGCCACAAGCAGGGCCTAAAGCGCCACCCGGAACGGCTCAGCGTGCGTTGAGAGGTAGAGGACGAGGCGTGCCGCGGCGATAATGAGGGGTGTTGAGTATGCAGGAACATCGGCGAATTAAATCTTGCGATTGTACAATCACCAACTTCAATGGCGACTTCGCAGCAGTGCTAAAAACGAACAAGTTGCACAACCGAACGGAATGATGCAACTGAGGCTCGCGTGTTGCATCAGTTCCGGTGCACGTGACCGTAGGTAAAGTGTGGTGCGGCGGTTCCTTCTCATCGCGCAATTGGGACCTAGAAAGCGCAATTCCTCATTTCCCTCACTCAGTTTTCTTATCTTCTCTTCTTTGCTTGTATAAAAATGCGCGACAGCTTCTTGATCTTTACGACCCTCTTGCTGTCCCTGGTTCTCTCCTTCGCTGAGGATTCTCCGTCATGACGACTATTCTGCCGTCTTTGCCACTTGCGCCCTCTACAGCCGGTAGCGTCGATGACAAGGAGAAGGCAAGCCTTCGTGCTCCGTCCGTCAAGGACATTCCGCCTCTCGGAGAGCCATTAGACGACGGATCAGACAGGTTGTTCCAAACCATCAATAATCGTCCGCTCGATGCGATTGCTACGCAGCCTTCGGTCTTCGATGATCCATTGACTCTGGAGGTCTATCGTCCTCCGCCACAATATGAGAATGCCCACCGCTTCGATCCTTTAGCTCGATGGACCTGGCGTGAGGAGAAGGTGAGTTACTTCTCTCGTGTTTTCTATCTCTGATTGAGGTCTTTGCCTATTTTTCCAGGCTCTTGTCCGGAAAATCGATTGGAGAATCATGGTTTGGGCGTTCCTTATGTTTGCCTCCTTGGACTTGGACCGGTCCAATATCTCGCAAGCCAACAGCGACAACCTCCTGGGAGACTTGGGCATGACCACCAACGACTACAATCTGGGCTTCATGTTGTTCCGACTTGGATTTTTCTGGTGATTTGCATCTCCAATGACTTTATGTATCACGCGTCTAACCCCATCTGCAGCGCAGAACTCCCGTCGCAATTGGTCTCCAAAAGGATTGGTCCAGATGTTTGGATTCCTTCACAGGTGGGACGGCAGCCCTGGCTTAGTTTTCTATGTGCTAATTTGTCTGCTAGATGGTCTTGTGGAGTATTGTCTCCTTCAGTCAATTTTGGATCACTGGAAAGGCCTCTTTCTTCGCTACGAGGTAGGCATTTCGGCTTACCATCACCACTTTCGCAAGCTCATAGTGCAATCAGAGTTCTTCTAGGATTCCTCCAAGGTGGATTCATTCCTGACGTTGTCTTGTACCTCTCCTACTTTTACACCAAGAGGGAACGTAAGTCACTGCATTTGCTCCTGCCTCCTGACCAGCGTCGCTGACAATGTGATTTCAGTTCCCATTCGTCTTGCCTTCTTCTGGGTGTCCAACTACCTTGCCGAGATCGTAGGCGCCTTCATGGCTGCCGGCATCTTGCAATTGCGCGGTGTGGGTGGGAGATCTGGGTGGAGGTACCTATTCTTGATCGAAGGGCTTATCACTTTCCTCGTCGGCCTGGTCTCGTTCTTCATGATGCCTCCCGGTCCAACTCAGACCAAAGCGTGGTATAGACCCAACGGTTGGTTTACTGAGCGGTATGTATCATTACGCAAGCGAATTCTTTCTATTCATGCTGATATATTTGAACGAACAGGGAAGAGATCATTGTAGTCAATAGGTGCGTTGAGTTCTCAGTCTTTCGCTATTGCGACGTTTCCTTATAATGTTACGTCAGGGTTCTGCGAGATGATCCTACCAAGTCGGATATGCACAATCGTCAAGGACTGTCCCCCAAAATGATCTTTGTAGCCCTGAGCGACTGGCAATTATGGCCTCTGTATCTCCTTGGATTGACGTTCTTCAGTGAGCTTTATCTAATACATCATATTCTGTTTTCGCCTAACTGAGTTGCGCTTCGTCTTCGTCATCGATAGTCCCTACCGGTCCTCCCCAACAATACATGACCCTCACCCTCAAAAACCTCGGCTTCACGACCATCCAAACCAACCTCCTCACTATCCCTGCCAGCGTCCTCGGTGTCATCGGACTCGTCACTGCCGCCTACGTCAGCGAAAAAATCAACAGCCGTGTCATCCCCACCGTATTCTTGCAATTCTGGCAATTACCCCTACTCATCGCACTGGAAAGCTTCACGTCCAAGACGTCAAATTGGGTCTACTACGCTGTCGTATTCCTTGCGGTTGGATATCCATATGTGCATCCGGTACAAGTGGCTTGGGTGTCGAGGAATTCGTATAGCGTGAGGACAAGGACAGTATCAGCATCAGCCTATAATATGATGGTGCAAGCTGGTTCTATCGTCTATGTGAGTTATACTCCCCTTTCTCCCAAACTGGATTTCGTGCTAAATACGTTCAATTCATAGTCCAATATCTATCGAGCCAACGACAAACCTCTATGTATGTAGTCTTCGACTCTCGTCTCTCAGGTAGCAGCTACTGACCGATTGACTTCGTACAGACAAACATGGAAACCTCGCATTGATCATCGTCTGTGGTCCGTACCCTCTCTGCCATGCTTGATTCTTGCTCCTTCTCATCTTGACGCCTACAGTGTTCAACATCTGCTTCTACGCCTTCACCTTCTTCTTCTACCGGGGCATCAACCGGAGAAGAGACGCTATCTGGGCTTCCATGACAGCAGAGGTTCGTTATATGCTGTGCTCCTTTACCGTACATATCTCTGACTGGTTTCTTCGACATTACTCTAGGAGCAAGCAGACTACCTCGAGAATACGAAGGACGAAGGGAACAGACGTTTAGATTTCCGGTTTGCATACTAGAGACGGGTGACGATAGGAGTTTTGTGGAAGGAAGGAGTGAGAACACTTATGTGTACTGACGATATCATCCGGTGCGGGCTTCATGATGGGGATGTATGACGAGTTGATCCATGTATCGCTACTGTTTTCGTGCTTATTGATTTGGAGGAGATACCAGCATCATTTCTTCGCATAATGTCAGTCGAGCCAGGTTGAGGCGCGTTAAACGAACTTCGCCGTACTTCGTTCCTGCGCCGCCCAGTGGGGATTTTAATAAGTTGAACAAGCCGTGGGGATTCGCGTGCCTTTCTTTATTATGGACTCGGCGAATCGCGATCAGCCCCTTTCAAGCTTCTCACCATGGTTCTCTACATACTACTGCGTTGCAGGTCGACTCTTCGTGTCATCTTGCCACCACGTACCGCCTGCGTTCTCTCTGCTCGAGGTGCTTTAAGACACTATAAGACTCCCATACTGCCGGCAGTATCCCTCGACATTTCCAACCAGTTGTAGCATACCTGGATCATATCAGGCTGTCATCATTTGAGCTTACCGATTTCCTCCTCATATGCGCATGCCTCCGCCGCCGACCCCCCCTCGCCCACAGTGGCCCATACCGAAGTTCAGCCTTCGGATCGAGGACCTCTCCCATCCTGGTGTCAAGCTCTTTCTACAAAGCGTAGACCCGCATAAGGTCATGGTCGATGCTTGCACGTCTGTGTTCCAGTGGCTCTATGGGACCGTTGAAGTAGCGCCAAAGAAGTGAGTGCGTGTGTTTATGTTGTATGCTGTTGTGCAAGGAATCGAAGACTTAGATGTTCTATCGCCACCCATCCTCTATGTGAAAGACGAGGTCTTTCAACGCACTATCTATACCTTTCCTTCGGCTGATAGCAACTGAACTCATTTGACGAATGGCGATATTCTCTACCCGTTCCACAGCGTCCAAGAAATTCATCTCGTTCTTCGACCCATGGAAGGGGTAGCCTATACCACCGGGACACATACGCACAAACAGATCCATCTCTCCTGCCAACACATCGTCAACAACACCTCCCGCGCGCGGCATGAAATCTACGGCGTCTTAACGCACGAAGTCGTCCATTGTTTCCAGTACAACGCAAAGGGGTCGTGTCCAGGTGGATTCGTTGAGGGAATCGCAGGTGCGTTTACTATAACTATCGAGCTTGAGGTCATTGCGTCCGGCATTGGCTGTCACGTTTATGCACTTGGCTGTTCCAATAATGACGGGTATTCCGTGCGTTGTAGACTGGGTACGCCTTCACGCCTCCCTCTCCCCTCCTCACTGGCAACCTCGATCAGGCCCACAATGGGACGCAGGCTACGACACAACTGCCTATTTTCTCGCCTGGCTTGAGGATCGCTTTGGCTCCCACGTCGTCCCCACTCTGAACGAGTTCATGAACGACAAGAAGTACGATGAGAAAATGTTCGGGGAGGTCACTGGTAGCGGTATGACAGTCGAGGAGCTTTGGAGCGAGTATTGTGCGAGTGTAGATAAAGGTGGGGTCAGGAGAGACGGGAAGGGTGCTTTGGTTGTTCAGGAGAGGTGATGCCATTGTTTTGAGCTTGGTTGTTCGATTGCGTGGGCATATGGGCTGAACGCTCGCAGACCGCAGTATCAGAACGATTAGGCAGGAATAGATAGGCCAACACTGGTGTGCATCCATGTAACCATCAGTTCCGCCTATTGCGGCTGGAGCTTTGTGGTGGGTATGCCTCGAATGAACGTTGTCCTTGAAACCGGTGGTAAAAAAGCTGCCAAACACGGCAAAGAAAAGACGAATGCGTCGTCTGGACGCTGACAGCAGGATTTGAACCTACGCGGGCAATGCCCAAGTGATAATTGAGAGTTCAAATCACTCGCCTTAACGACTCGGCCATATCAGCTTAACTTTGTGTCCTCTAAGAGGCAACATGGCTTTTTCCAGCGGCCTCACATGAAGATGCCGGCCCTGCGAGGATGAGCTGCCACTGACCTACGACCACCGTGAACGATCGCAATTGACCCTACACCCGCTGAGAGAGGTGCCATGGACTCTCTCATCCCATTCACAACGTCTGGCTCGCTAGTAGATTGTGTGGACAGTACGTTTGTCTGCGTCCCCTGTCCACCAACCGTTTTCACACCCCCATGACCACCCATCCATATTTCCGTCCATGCACGCCTCCTTGCCATGACCGTACCCACCCCTGTTGGTCCCATTTTATCGGAACTTAGGAAAAATGCTCGTTATCTTACGAGATGGGAAGAAACTACACGGTGTGCTACGGTCGTATGACCAGTTTGGTGCGTTTAAAGATCACTGGTGTTTCACGTCTGCTGGTCCTGATGCCACTGATTGTTCATGTAGCGAACTTGGTGTTGGAGGAGACGATAGAGCGAATATATTCTAAGAATCATTACGCAGACAAGTATGTCGGCCTATATCTCATCCGTGGAGAGAACGTCGTACTTCTAGGCGAAATTGTGCGTCTCTCTTGTCTCTCTCCGTACTTGTACTAAACACGTTGGGTATGTTTGTCTACGCAGGACCTAGATGAAGAAGACGAGATTCCGTTGCGCAGGGCGGATTACCAGGAACTTGAACCATTTCATAAGCAGGATATTGCGGCCAAGAAGCAGCGCGACGATGCGAAGGCCCAAATCTTGCATGAACAGCAAGGTTTCTGTAGAGAAGGGGGAGAGGGCGACGGTTATTGATTTGCGACTTTCAGTTCTCGTCCTCTTCACGTTTTGTTGTGTTGTACCTGCATTTTTCTGCGCTCTCTGGCGTGTGGCGTTTTTGACTGTATAACTTAGCGCTGGACAAATTCGGCCTTCGAGGTATATAATTCACTGCCTCGATTCTATTCATGTATGGCACGAGAAGGTACTCGGTGAACTATGGAAGATACTAGCAGGGAAGAAGGCGCTGAAGACTGTGTAAGGTGCGTCTTCACTTCACCGGATACCCGATAACAAGGATCCATCTGTCCTCGTCTTATCACCGACGTTTTTGGATCTATAGCGTCTGTCATGAATCCAATGCAAGGGTATAACATTGTGCAGAAACATCTCAATAACAACCTCGAAACACCACCGACCAACTGTCATCTTCTCTCACATAGCAATCCACTCTGCCTCATCGTCGTCCTGCACCTCTTCCTCGACAACGTCGTCTTCGTCACTACCGTCCGAATCCTGAGCAAGCGCCTGCCCCCGTTGCCCCCTGAACGCCCTTGGCCCCGTCTTCCCCAACGTGTACAGTTCCTTCACATCGTCGGTACAGAACGTCGGGAGCCCATGATGATGGTACATCAGCTCCGAATTGTTCAGCATCTTTCTGATCGCTCTGGGCACCAGATCCTGCAACACGTTGTCCTTCGCGCAGAGCTCGTCCCTATCTCCCAATAACCCATCTGCAATCCTAGGCCACCGTTTGATGAGCCAGGTCATGACGTGACGCCCAGTGGTGTAACTCCCTTTGAACAGAGATGGTGCGAAGAGCCGGCTGACTTCGTCGTAGGTCATCCCACAGTCGCGGAAGAGAGGCACCTGCGAGAAGAAGGAGCAGAGGTAGATGAGGATCGAGAGGTGATTTGCAGGCATCATCCGGAGGATCGTTTGGACCATTGCGATCTGACCCGCCTCGAGCTCGTGGTCTTCCTTCACGTAACCTCTCACCCTCTCCGCCATCGCACGGCGAGTCGGTGGAGGGATGGGTTTATTCCCGAGCGAATCGAGATCCTCCAGCCGCGACATCTCCTCGTCTTCTTCGCGCTGAAGTCGCTTGAAGTCGCGGTCGACACTTGGCTGCACACACCAGTCCATGATGGCGTTGACCAACCGACGGTTGATTAACGCTTCGGGGAAGTTGGTGAGGTAGTCGGCGAGAATGCTCCAGATGTCGGCGGCGGACTCGTGGCGGAGGTCAATGCCACGGCCGTAAGTTGGATGAGTGTCCATGGTATTCTGCAGTTGTGTCGCGCGCTCGCTTTTGTTCTCTGTATCGCGCTGTTTGGGAGGAGGAATGCCTTACCGAAGTCCAGACCAGTCAGAAATCTTCGTCTAGGCAGAGTACGTAGGACAATGGACATACCCGTTCGGAACAAGAAGTTGACGCAGAGAAATAGAGGGACAGGGATGTCGTGGCGGTACCCATTGATGATGATAGGCGTGAACGCCGAGATTGTATACCTCGCAAGGACCTGGCCGAACACTTTCACCATAACAAACCATAAGGTAAATCATCGATTCGACTCAGATGAATTGGCTAACGAGCGACTTACTCTTCGGTGGCTTGATCCCCTCCACATAATAGTACGTCAAATCCTGACCAGCCATCACCTTCTGCCTCACCTCCGAATGCTCCTTATCCCTCTTCACCCGCTCATGGTCATCCCACTGCGAAATCTCCCTCACATCCGTGGGCTCTAGTATCTCTCTGAAGACCGCGTTCTGCGGGACGAGAAGCCCTTTCAAGCGGAGGAGCAAGAACTGGTACGAGATTTTGGGAATGAGCGGGGGAAGAGGGTCCGTCCAAGGTCCGTTCTGGATCTCCATCCGACCACGGAGTCTATCCCGGTTGAGTTCTGTTCTCTCGTTTGCCCTGTTCTCTGGCATCGAATTCGACTGACGAGGCTCTATGTCATGGTTGTTATGGTCTGAAGCGGTCTCCGGGGCCGAATAACGTCTGACGTCGAGATGGTCCTGAACCGGGACCGCGAGATGAGGTGCAGAAAAAGAATAGTCCGCTGCCTCGGGCGTCTGATGCCTTTCCGCTCTCGTCTGCGGCATGGATCCAAACCTTTCCTCGTGCTGGTTCGGGTGGCTGTTGGAAGCAGGCAGCGCGAGCCCTACATCACGGTTCTCGGGCATCGATTGACGTTTGGGACGGTGAGCATGTTGTGCAACGAAGGCATCGACTTGCGGGGACCGAAGGATCCCTGCCGGACCAGCGACATGTTCACCGAACGACGAACGACGTTCGGTATTCGAACGCGGCTGGTGTGGGTCGGGGTGCATGCCTGCACGGGGAGTCGAAGCAGAACGAGGCCGAGTCTGAGAAAGAGGAGAGTGGAACTCGGTGTGTTGTGTGGAAGGACACCTAGGGCTTGCGTTCGGATTTAGGTTGCTCGAGACCCCGACGCGGGTTGATGAAGGGCGATTGTAGCTTGGGCCACGGGTGACCGTGACGGCGCTGTGAGGCCTAGAGGGCAAGTCCATAGGAGGGATGGCAGAGAATCGGCGGTCGTGGGGGGCTGTGGGAGACGTATAATCAGGGGTAGTGAATGGGGAGTTGTTGGTGAGGCTGCGGCCATCGGGAGAAGGCATGATGAGCGGAACGAGAAGGGTCGATGCTTTCGATGGCTGTCTATTGTATAATGCGACCGAGGTAGTCTGGTGGTAATGCAAGGTTGGATGCTCTGACTTGGGTGCAGAGGGTAGTTTTGTATTTTCCCCTCAGTGGGTCTAGCGGGCGAAACATACCCTGACGTACCGAGGTTGAACAATGTTTCGGGCTTTGTCTCAGCGCGCAAGTAAGCCATGTCTGCCGGCCCGAGACACATACGCGATGGAGAACTTGGCACGGCGCACACTGTGGCAGTGAACGTTGAACGTTCTGTTGTGTTTAGTGAACACGATGATGCGCCACAGGGGCTGGATATCAAATTGATGTGGCGTTTGTGCTTAGCAATTGCCAGTTTGGCTCCTCCAAAGCTTGTCCAAAGCAGACGACCCATCCATCGAAATCATCAGCTTCAGCACAATGACGATAACGAATATGTAGCTACAATGCATCGACACGACAGTCCGACTCAGACATATACAGATCTGACAATTATCACACAACCAAAAAGAAAAACATAAAATCGTGATTAGACCTGACTCGAAAAGCATGACGATGTGTAGGTAGAAAACTGGAAAGAGGAAAAGAGGAAGGAGAAAACAGCATAGCAATAATGATGTGTAGAGAGTTCGTACTTCCTATTGCGTGCGTTCGTGAATGCTACAGTCGCGGAAGCCTTATGGAGTGAGAAATATACTAGGTAAACGAGATGAGGCTAAACTATCTATTCCCCCGCCTTCCTCTTCTTCCCCTTCTTCGTCCCCTCCCCATTCGGTTTCCTTTTCTTACTACCCTTCCCGTTCCCATTAACACCATCCCCGCGCGCCTTCTGCCCACTAGCAGCATTTACATTCGCCCCGGAGCCATTGACCGCATTATGAATATTGTTACTGTGGGCCGAGGCATCCTTGAGCGTCCCGTCGAGGGGAGTGTAAGTCGAGGCTGAGGGAGCTGTGGCTGACACAGAAGTATTGGCGGTGGCGGCGGCGGAAGCAGCAGCGAGTCGTGTCCGAGCAGCGGCTGCAGGATCGAGTATATCCTCTATCCGCTTTCGGAGTTCGCGTTCGCGGGTAGTGAGCTTGACGACGGCCTGCTCCATCATCTCCTTTTCGAACTGGACTTCTGCCATCCGGAGCTTTTGCCATCTATAACCGAAGTTAGCACTATAAAGTGAAACGAGAAGGGGAATGAGAAAGAGACATACCCCGCATGTCGGTCACACTTCTTCTTCCCCCGACACCACCACTCCCCATAAACCACACCTCCTTCCTCCCCTCCCTCCCCCTCTCTCGGCGTCCCATTCCCATTCCCAGTCGCACCCTCACCCCCCTCCCTCTGCCCCTCCTCCTCATAACTCTCCAACACCCCCGCCCCATACTCCTTCACCTCCTCATCATCAAGACACATCCTCTGATCCCACCCACACTCGTCGAACCCCGCTGCTTCGGAGCGCTGCACGGCCTGCTCCGTCAACCGTTCCCGCCATCCGACGACGTCCATCCGTTTCGTGAGCTGTTCGCGCTGGAGGAGGATCTTGTCGAGCAGGGGATGGAGCCGGGCGAGCTCGCGGTCCGATTTCGCTTTTGGGTTCCATTTCGGTTGGGGTTTGGTGGGTTGAGAAGCAGAAGCGGGAGTGGCGGTTGTAGAGGATGAGGAGAGATGACCGTTGGGAATGTAAGGGGGATTCGTCCCATTCACGAGATTGCTTGAATGTGGTTCGTCCACGTCCATCTTCTCCTCTTTAACACCACTAGGACCAGAACCAGGACCAACAATCTCAACAACGACCCCCTCCCTCCTCTCCACCCCCTTCACACTCTCCCAAAGCCTCTCCAACTCCTTCCTCCCCGTCGCCGTCGCCGTCGCACCGTTCTTGTCCTTCCCCCCACCAGCACCAGCACCAGCACCACCGCCCACGCCCGAAGCCGCCCACTTCTGTATCCTCATCTGCATGCACTTAATCCCGCACTCGTCCGAGCAGTACTTCGATAGCGCGCCCCGGGCTGGCTTATGGCACGACGAAGGCGAATCCGGGTCTTTTGACGTGAGGCCGAAGTGGCAGCGGGGTTTGTAGGTCGTTTGGAGTGTGAGGTGTGGGTTCTCTGTGGGTAGACGGGGTATCGTGAGTATATGGGATATGGGGGTACGAGCATTTGGGGACATGATGGGGGAGCCGGGTGGTAAAGGGACGAAGGAGGAAACGGAAGGAGAGGGGAAGGGGAATGGAGTAAGGAGAAAAGACGTACTCTCGACGCAAGGCGGACATATAAACTGGTCCACGAGATCGACCTCCAGATCCGGCATCCCGACACACTGCGTATGATACCACTCGTCGCACCTGTGAGCCACCCGTCACCGAACACACGCCGAGAACGCCAACGCCACCGAAAGAGATCAAAGTCAGTCGGCAGTTCGTATGATAAGACAAAGACGAGACGAGAAGAAATCGAATAGAACAAGGACACTCGTCATCCTCCGTACGTACGGGGGGTCAAAGCGAATTCACGCGTGCGTACCACAGCTTCGACCCCCTCGACCCCCCCAGAAAAAAACAAGAACAAGGACAAGAACAAGAGCAAGCAAAAAAGGAAAACCCACCTATCACAAGCAATCATCACCTTCTCATCATCATACGTCGTCTTACACACACAATACAACTTCTCTTCCTCCTCCTCTTCTGCCTCCGCACCTGCGGTCACACCAACACTCGCACCCCTCCCATGCTCATCCGTAGGAACGACGCTCGTCGACCTCGACCTCCCCGCCCCTGATTTCTTCCCCGTAGTGGTACTTGTACTAGGCGCAGGAGTAGCGAACGGCGAATTCGATTTCGAGCCCGTTTTCTTCCCTCCGGACGCTTTCGCCCTCGGTTTCGGTTTGGGTACGGACACGGAGAGCGAAGAGCCAGAGGCAGAACCAGAACCAGAAGGAGTGAGGTGAGCCGGAGCAGAGACGGATGCGGACATGTTCGTGCTGGTGTGTGGATGAGAGTCTGGAAAGGTTGATGAGGGCGTTCCGGCCTTAGAGGATTTGGCCGATTTGGGCTGCGCTGGCTGTTTAGCTTTCGGTTTCGGTCCTGCCTGTAACGCAAACGCAAACGCAAACGTCAATATCAACATCCAATATCCAATAATTGACATTCCACCCGTTCCAAAAACGTGACAACCGTAAAAAAAAAAAAAACACGAGCTCGAGCGCCTCAACTCAACTAGAAAAGAAAGAAAAACTCACTTTCTTCCTCGACCCCGCCGTCGCACTCCCCACAACCACCACCCTCTCCCTCTCCTTCTCCTTTTCCTCACCCATTGCCATCCCGCCCACACCCGAACCCGCACCCGAACCGTCCACATCCCGTCCAGACGGCCGAATCGCAGGCGGAGGCATCGACTCTCTCTCGCTCTTCACCACGCCACCGGTACCAGGACCGGCGAGGGCGAGCGCGAGGGCGGCCACGGATCGTGGAGGTGCCGGATGAGAGTGGGGCAGGAAAGATGATGGGTCTGTTGGGCCTGTTGTTGTTGTTGGTCCTGTTGTTGTTGTTGTGTATGAAGATGCTGGGGTCGAGGTCGATGTCGAGGGCGGCATTTGTGGATGTGGGGAGTGTGAAGGATGTGAAGACGAGCTGGCGGGAGCGGGATTGAATGTAGGAAGAGGAATAGACGAGGGCTGTCCTGGACCGATGAGGTTTTCGCGTTTGATCGTGGTGGAAGAACCGTCGAAGACAGACGACGCGTAATTCGAGTTGGGGTTGGAATTGAAATTGAAATTTGAAATGGAGTTGGGATGGGAGTTGGGTGAGAAAGAGGAAGAGGAAGAAGAAGAAGACGCGACCGTCATCGTCGGAGGCGCGCGTTTTGGTGCCGGTGTCGTCAACAAAGGCGCAGACACGGACGCGTTCATCCCGTGACTCGAAGTTGGTGCCATCGACGACGATACTGCCTGCGAATGGTCGTGGTCGTGATCGTGGTCCCCAACAAGACTCAACAGCTCGTCGTCCACATCCACGTCCATCTTCGCGACTTGACCATGTCCATGGCTGCTCCCTCTCCCAGCACCACCACCCACCTTCACCTTCACCTTCACATTCGCCTTCACCCCTCCCCCTCTTTCTTTCTCCCTCTCCGTCCTGCCCTCGCCCGCTCCATATCCATATCCGTGCACAGGCGACCTACTCGCCAAACTCTGGCTCCGACTCTCCTCCACCGCCAAATCCAACTCCCTAGCGATCTCACGATCCACATCCACATCCAAATCCACATCCATCCTCACATCCTCTCTCTCCCTTTCACCACTGCCAGCTTCCTGCACAACCACCCCAGCCGCCTCCTCCAACTCCCTCTCCAGCGCTTCTTCCGCCTCCATCTCCATCTCAGCCTTCACCTCACGCCCACCAACACCCGCCACGTCCCTCCCACTCACCCCAGGGCCAATCGACCTCCCAACTTCCACAGGCGAAGGCGAAAGCGTCGGTCTGGCTGCACCCCCCACCGACGGCACAGGCTCGTCCGCATCCGCATCCGCATAATGTTCCAAGAACCACTCATGCGCGTCGTCTTCCTGTTCCTGTTCTTGCGATTTCGATACGTGCTCTTGTTTGTGTTTCGGTTTCGGTTTCGTCGGTTTCGTCGGCTGTGTCCGTGTTTGTGTTTGTGGTTGTGGCGGGGGAAGGGGAGGGGGCGGAGGCGGAGGAAATTGTAGTTCATGCTTGACGGATTCTCGAGACCGTGGTTTAGACCTGTGTTTTTCACCAGACGTCGGTTTCTTGATGGTGCCCTTCTCCGACCCGTCCTTCATGTCTTTATCTTTATCTTTATCTTTATCTTTATCTTTATCTTTCGCTTTACCAGCCCTCGACGACCCAGCCGCAACGTTCGTTTTCGACTTTGATTTCGATTTCGATTTTGACGGCGGCGGCGGTGGCTGGGGGGGCTTGACGTCGTTGCTCTCGCTTGAGATTTTGCGCTCCCGTGCTGGAACTGGAACCGGTTGGGTTTCTTTGAACATCATTTCGGATTGTGATCTGTGGTGACCATGTCGTTGAGTCGATGAAGTCGGGATGGGAACGGCGAATGAGTCAGATGATTCTTGGCCGTGCGCGTGTGGATTTGTGTGCGCGCGGTGATACGAAAGTTCAACCTGGGACATCTCCTCCTCTCGCTGGAGCAGGTCCGTCACCTTCAACCTCTGCGTCCTCGAGCCCGAGCGCTCCCATTCGGCAGGCGTGACCTGTCCTCCATATCCAAGACCAAGCCCATCGTCCGGAAGCGACCTCTTCTGCGAGAAAGCGGTAGGCGACAACGACGCCGTCCTATGCTGGTGATGGTGAAGCATCAATAATGACCCGTGCGCCCCAGCATCGACCTGCACGTCCCGCCTTCCTTCACTCGAACCTCCAGAAACGCGTCGTTCTCTCTCTCTCTCCCTACTCCTATCCATATCCATATCCCGATCCGAATACTCATACTCATACTCATACTCGTGCGCGTGCTCGTGCTCGTGTTCATCCGACCTCCGTCTCCGCTTATGTGGCCTCTCGCGTTCGCGCTCCGCGTACGCGTCGAGACTGACGACACCCCTCAGAGCCTCCGAAGGTGAGTGTTGGTGGTGGATCTGGGCTTGTGCGGACGCGGGGGGCGGGCTCGGCGGAAGAGCTATCCTTCGGAGTGAGGGGTCGACTAATGACATCGTAGGGAATGGTGGTTGTGAGGAGGAAGAGGACGGGGCAAGATAGTCGGACGGGTATGGTTGCTGGTGGTTGTGGTGATGATGGTATGAGGCAGGAGAGAGAGCCGACGACGGCTGCGGATGATGGGGGAACGGCTGGTGTGTACTGAGGACGGGAGGATGGCCAACGTGGTGCGGAGGAGGAGGGTGATGATGCTCGAACTCAAAAGCCTTATACTGCACCTCCGGGCTTCGACTCGCGCTCGTCCTGAACCTGCGATCGCGGTCGGGGGGCGAGTACGCGGAGGTGAGTGTGGAGATGGAAGTGGGCTGGCCATGGCTGTTCAGACGTCTGCGCTCTTCGGTGGCGACGGCGACGAGGGCGTCGAGGCCACCTAGCCCGGATGAAAGGGAGGGGGACGGCGTGGTTGGGTTGAGGAGGGAGGTGGGGAAGCCAGAGGTGGCTATCGGGTGGAGAGTGTGATGGTGGTGCGGAGGAGGGTTGGGGTTTGAATAGCGCGGAGGCGAGTAGGAGGACGGCGGTGGCTGCATGTGGGAAAAGTAAGTCGTGGAGGGCGAGGAGAGCGGGAAGGGGAGTGGCGAGGGCGTCGGGTAGGCCAAGGGCGTCTGCGAGGGAGAATAAAATAAGGGAATTGATGGGAAGGAAATAGAGTTGGAGGGACGTGCCTGTCGTTCGGGAGCGTAGCGAGGGTCAGTCGTCGGATAGAACGAGTCGTGGCCGGCGTGGCCGTACTCTGCTCGCTCGGGCGACGGCGTGTGCCGTGCGTAAGGCGGCTGCAGCGAGAGCGGGAGGATGCCTGGCGGGGCGTCTGGCGGTTGCGGATGTCGAGGACGAGGAGAACGGTCGTTCGCAGCGGAGGGCGGGCCATCGTCGGAGCAGAGGAGAGAGGAGATGGCAAGCCGGCGTGAGGCCATCGTGGCACCCGGTCTGCGCGTCGTTCACGGCGGCGTCGAGGCGTGTTTCCCGGCTCTTCCGTCGTCGTCGCTGTCGTGGATCAAGGCAAGGCTGGGACTGGCAGAGGCAGCGAGGCCCGGAAGAGACGCGTGATTGCGGTGCCTGCCCGCGCGTCTCCCCACCGGCGCACAGCTCTCTCATTCTCGTCCTCCACGGCCACAACATTTATTCTCTCCAGCTCAATGATCCCTTCACACAATCCATTCAAACCACTCGGTCGTATCCCCCAATCCGTCCGGTATACCCAAGCCCTCCACGATTCATGCTTGCACACATCCTCGTCAGCCCGTCAGCTGATCGGCGTCTCTCCCTCCGTGTTCCGTCATCCTTGGGCATTTCAAATCTGACAACCAGGTGAGTTTCTGCTTTGTTGGCCTCTTGGGGGACGGAATTGGATCGTTCTACATACCATCCTTGCACTCCGTCGCACCTGCACTGTATACCCACACACTGGACGATCTTTCGACAAGGACATCATTTCATGTGGCGGAATTGATTGGGACGGTTGGAAGACATAGGGTGGCACACAATTTTATATCCGAGTGCCATCATCCATCATATTCATGACACAAAATACAACAACACAAAAGAAAACACAAATGAGAAAAAATCTGCAACGAGACATTGCGACGAAACTCATACGGCCGCCACGAAGGACGAAACAAAGAACCGCTAGGACAGAGTATGTCCCATCCCTAAAGGCAAGAGCACGCCGCACCCAAGTCCCATCGCTCGCGCGGCCCCAACAGAGCCAGGGCCGTTTCTCGTTCTCCAGCCCACTTTGACGGTCTCAAGGTCCTCGATCCACGCCAGTCCTCCGAAAAGGCGGGCGAATCCTCGTCGAGATGCTTTTTGGGGCTATAAGAGAACGGTCGTGAACAATGAGCAGAAAGTTGAAAGGAACAGTGAGGCTCACCTGTGGGTTTTGCGTTAAAGAAAAACCGCACGGAACGCGCGAGTCTTCCTTATATAGGAGCGCGGGAAGGGAACTGTACAGGAGTGGCTGAGGACGGGACCCCGGGCGCAGACAGGACCCCAACAGCGGCGAGTGGGGGAACCGACCGCCCGTGTTTTTGCTCGACGGCGTCGAAGTGAATCCTTAACCCAGGCCCAAACCCCAAAAAACTCGACGCAAGGCGCCGCGCATTCCCTACGGACCCGTCAACGCTCCCCTCCATCCCTTTATTTCGACTGACTGATCTTCAAAAGGGCCCCGTCAACGATGTCGGTGGCCACTAAAAACCCTTTCGCCCTTCTCGACGGTGCGTACTTGTACATCCTCGACCTCATCATCATCATCGTCCATATCATCCCATATCATTGTCCATATATGGTTCCCCGTTATTCTGCTCTTCGATGCACGTAGCGACGATGGAGCGTCGACTCCATCCCATCGCCCCAATCATCGCCTTTTATACCCACCCCGGCTCCGAGACTTTCTCTTACTGACTCCTCTTCTCCCATCTCCTTCGATCCTCACTCCCATCACCCATGCATCGCCTCATCTTTCAAAACACCCACAGAGGAATCCTCCTCTCCCTCCGCCACCCCCGCTCCCTCCAAGGCCACCCCAGCCGCCGAGACGACAACCCCCGCCGCCAACAACCGTGGCGGCTCAAAGCCAAGAGGTGGACCCGCCTCCAGGGGTGGAGGATACTACCGTCGCGGCGGTAAACCCAGGGAAGGTGGCGATGCCCCTCCTGCAGGCGACGATGCGCCCGCTACCGAGGGCAGGAGATGTAAGTCCACTCCCATCTGCATCTGGTGCAGCCTCGTTCGATCCCTCGTTCTCACTATGGATCGAACCGTGATGTAGTCGATGGCGAAGGCCGTGGACGTGGTAGGGGTAGGGGCCGTGGTGGTGATCGTGGTGACCGTGGTCGTGGAGGCCGCGGTGGTGGTCGTCAGGATAGGCATAGCGCCTCTGGAAAGGTGTACGTCCCCTTTTTCCCTTTTCTCTCTCTAACAATCTAATCCAATTCTCCCTCACCTCTCTCGCTATCAACCAGTGACACCGAGAAGCGCGTCAACCAAGGCTGGGGCGCCGAAGAAGGCAAGGCCGAATTGAACGCCGAGACCGCCGGTGCGACCGATGCAGTTGCTGAAGAGAAGGATGCGTCCAACGAGTGGGGCGTTACCGCTACCGATGCTACCGCCGCCGCCGACGATCCCTGGGCCACCACCACCACGCCCGCCGATGGAGCCGCCGCCGTCGCTCCCGCTGAGGGCGAGAAGCCGGCCGAAGAAGGCCGTAAGCCCCGCGAGAGGGAAGTCGAGGAGGAGGACAACACGCTCACGTACGAGCAGTACCTCGCTCAGCAGAAGGAGAAAGCGGAGGCTGAGGAGAAGTTGCAGCTTAGGGAGGCGAATGAGGGAGATGATTCCTGGAAGGACACCCTTGCCGTCCAGAAGAAGAACGAGGAGGAGGACGCTTACTTCGTCGGGAAGGTACGTTGCTACTTTCTCGTCCCGTTTCTTTTTTTTTTTGCGCGCGTCACTCATTTCGCCCCGGTAACAGAGCAAGAGCGCCCCCAAGCCTCGTGCTAAGAAGGAGGAGAAGGTCTTCATCGAGATCGACGCCCGCTTCGAGCGTCCCAGCCGTGGCGGCCGTGGACGCGGAGGCGACAGGGGCGGAGGAAGGGGCGGAGAGAGGGGCGCTCGTGGCCGTGGTGGGCCCCGCGGTGGTGGACGTGGTGCGCGCCAGAACGGTGCCCCGGCTGCGGCTGCCGTCAACGTCGACGACGAGACGGCGTTCCCGTCCTTGTCGTAGGCGCTTACGAGGCCATGCCAATATACGTTATAACGCATAGGCGTATATGCAAGTAGTCGTTCGTCGTTGAAGAAGATGAAGATGATGATGATGAAGAAGCAGTTTCCAAAAACGGGGTGCTTTTTTACACTTTTTTGGTGTCCGTTCTGTGTGTCCTGTGTGTGTCTGCTGCGCGTTCTGTGTGTGTATTAGTCGAATGTAGTCCCATTACCGCGTCCGACGTACGTTCGTCTATTTGTTCATAGTCTCCCTCCTTCCGTATTCTTGCCCCTCTCTTCCTGCTGCCTACCTGCTCCTCCCTCCCTCCCTACCTCTGTTTCGCTTCTGTTTCTCTCCACCTCTGTCTGTCTGTCCGTCCGTCTGTCTATCTTTCTGTGCGTCTACCTGTTCTATCTGTTTGTTTGTCTATCACGACATATGTGTGTCTGGGTGCGCATGCGATCCAGAATAGTGAATAGTGCTCAGTGCTCAGTGCAGAAGTTGTTCGCATGCATGGGTGTGTGTATGTGTATGAACTGGCCGACGAACGAACGGTTGCATCGAAATTTGAAGATTGCTGGGACGTATATGATATGGTATGGTATGGTATGATATGGTGCTCTATGCTGTACCCGTCTGATATTCTTTCAAAATTGTTGAGCGTGAATGGTGAAGCGTCCACCGAGACCGAGACCGAGGATTATTGAGGACGGATTCGTTGCTCTTTGCTCTTTATTCTTCGGCCCACACTGTTTATTTTTGCAGATCTCAAATCCGTGTGCATGTTTCCAGGTGCCACCCGCGATGAAGCTTTGAAGAGGGAGGGTGGCGCTGAAGTGAGTGGCCCCTGAGTCTGAATCGAGCAGCCTCGTTGTACATAAAGAGTCCCTGTGCGACGTGTTAGAAAATGCAGCAAGCACTTGCACCAGCACGTTTTCGACCTCCATCACAGGGATAGATATACCAGCGACTCGGAGTCCTTCCTTTGACGACGTTGAACCACCACTACGACTCAGAACACGAACACGATGATCGACACGATCTATATCTTGAGGCACGGTCAGTCTGAGTCTTCTACGTCCCGAAGTAATGGGAAAGGATCGGATGAGGACACCGTGCTCATGTATCTCGTCATTGTCATTCTTGTGTTTGCGACTCTGGGGCTTGGGGCTTGGGGATCGTAGGGTTTAGGTTGAACTGGTCAGCAACAGCTCTTTTCTTCACCGATGATTGGGGCCCTATGAAATCGTTCTGACTGTGATATGATGTTTGTTCCTCGGGTAGGGTGACTACTGAATGGTGAGTACATGTGCTCCATCAGTTATGCTCTTGCCCAGGCCGTCGAGTGGTGGAATGATAGCAAGTAACGCGCGTTGACTGACCTTTGGTTCTCCGGTGGGTTAGGAAGAGCGTGACGGGTACGTCTTTCATACAGATATACGAAGAACATCGAGCTGATCTGGAGTATTGGACTCTTTGTGGTACTATGACCATGTTCTGGATGGATTGACATTAATATTGCCACCGCACCAGGATTACCTAGGGATCCACCGCTAGCTGCGTTCGGAGAGGTACGTTCCTGTTTCGGTTCTCGGTTCTCTCTCTTTTTTTTTTTTGCGTCGCGGTGATATCAAGTACGGTGGGTTCGAACGGCTGATTTGGGATACAACGTTTTATGGTTTCATTGCTTAGACTCAGGCGAAGGAGGTCGCAGAGTATTTCCTCTCGTTACCTGAGGACCAAAGACCGACTGCGATCTTCTCGTCGCCTTATTGTACGTACCTTCGTCTATATCCACGTCGATGCTGCGACTGAGGGAACGACTATATAGACCGGTGTTTACAGACGGCTAACCCTCTGAGTGTCGCCCTCGGAGTTCCTATCTACGTCGAACATGGTGCGTACATATACTTCTGCTTAAGCTCCTCCTTCCACCCGTTCGAAACAGCCTAATACCCATACTCTTGACGAATCTCTCCCTTCCTCCCCCACATATCAGGTCTCTCCGAATGGTACTCCCCCGTCCTCCCAAACACAGGCCTACACCCCCGCCCCGCCTCCGCCTCCTCCCTCCAACAATACTTCCCCCAAATCGACCCCACGGCCTGGTCCTCGATATACTACCCGACCCGCAAAGGCGAGAACGTGAAGGACGTGCACGATCGGTCCGGTGCCTTCCTCGAGGCGTTGGTTCCCGAGGTCGAGCGCCGGTTCCCCGCTGCTGCCGCTGCAGAGGGAAAGGGTGCAGGAGGACACCAGAGGATTCTGCTCTGCAGTCATGCGGCGACTGTGATCGCGCTGGCGAGGGAGCTCGTTGGTGATCGCAATATGCCGTTACGGATCGCTTGTTGTTCGCTCACGCATGTGCGGCGCAAGGAGGGAGCGGAGAAGATTGTTGGGGGGTGGGAGGCGAAGCTTCTTGGGGGTGGAGATCATTTGAAGGAGGGGTGTCAGAGGGATTGGGGGTTTGAGGATATTGAGATCGAGAATGGGGAGGTGGTGAGTGATAAGGGCGTCCCTGGGACCGAGGACGAGGTGGATGAGCCGGTGGGGCTGGTGTTGAAGGGCGAACATGTCGCGAGGATGTGAGAGGTGAATAGGTGGTCACGGATATAGATGTAGATTGTAGATCGTAACATATACAGACATGATTGTATATTTCCGCATTTGATACACTACGCCCTGTAAATTCGTACACAGAATGATACAACAAGCACTTCTTAGATACACGTCGGCGGGGCTGGTTCTTTGCCGGACAGGCGGCACTCTATGTCCTTTAGAACACCACATACGCACTCGCATAACTCACACTCGAGTCCTTCACCGTCAAACACTGACTACTCTGCTCATACCTCACCCATTGCAGCTTTGCCATCCTCTTCTCTACGCCCTCTACTTCTCCCTTTTCCACCGCACTCAGCGCTCCAAGCAACACTCCGATAGGATGTCTCCCGCATATGGTGTTCTTCGTCCTTGCGAGATATTCGGCGAAGTATGTGTGCGCTTGACGCGCAGTGCAGGGTGGCAGGGTGAGGAGTTCCATTGCTTCGCGGTCGAGGGAGGAAATGGATTCGTAGATGGGAAACTTGTGGAGGTTGGGTGGGGAGGATGTGCGAGAGAGACGGATAGGATCGAGGGCGGTAGGAGGACGTTCGGGGTAGTAGAATGTGTAGGAGAAGCGTGTGCCCCTGGTTTATATGAACGGCATGAGATGAGTATGTGACGAATAAGAAGAATAGGTCCGAACATACCAATGACAAAAGTCGCTTGAGACGACGCAGAATGTGTCGTCCCGTGCGAGGTAAGGAGCAAGAGTCCGACCGAAGGCAACCTCTTTCTCTTTATCAATTGCCCCGACGAGTATTGGGACGATCTTAATGTCCATCCTAATTTTCGGAAGTTGAATGATTAACGGGGTATATGGAAGGAGAAGGATGTGTCTCCCAAGATTACGAACCCTTCGAAGACTTTCCGAACGTAGGGTAGGTGCATCTCGATGCTGTGCTCGTCCTCGTCAGTCTGAAGATCCATGTCGCTAAACTCTCCACTACTTCTTAGCTCTGCGATGGCTGATGAAGATACGGAAGTGAGTGAGGGTTGAATAACAATCTCTACAAGAGATCTCACCCACTTTCGAGATCAAGGGGTAAGTCCCCGATGGGCGTCTGGTACGTCTCGCATTCCGATAGAGCACATCCGTCGAGGTATACATGATGTGATGGTCCAAGAATAAAGACACGTTTACTATTGCAAACAGTCAGAGACACATACTACGATATAGTGTAATTAAAGTACTCACATCCCGGTAGTATCGATGCTCTTATACGCCCAAGCCGCGGCCGGACCAGAATACGAATACCCAGCATGTCTGTGAGCGAGCTGCTATAAGCAAATATGCTCAATTCTTGAGATCAAGCAGATATAGATGCAGACGGTGCGATGATGGCTTTGCACTTCGCGATGGGTGGATGGTAATTGTCCTGTGCTGATGGTTTGACTGCGTTGAACCAGCCTTTCAGCTCCGAGTCGAGCTTGGTTCCATTGCCGGTGTACCAAGAATCGGCGTGTGTAGCGATGCTAGCATAACAGTTCAGCATGCACAAATTAATGTAACAGTGCGATTGTGCGTACCGTGAGGACATCAGGCCTATGTTAAGGAGGAGAAGAGCAAAATGTCAGCAGTGGATGAATGTGGATGAATGTGGCGAACAAGGATCGGAGACCCCCGGGATCGGTCGGGCTCTGATTGTGGCGAGCACGTCTTTCCACCGTACCATCACCGTACCCACAGCTGTCTGTGGCCCTTCATAACTTATACTCTGTCTAAATACCCAGCAAAAAGCGTCATAATGCCCTCAGATATCCCTAAGCCCAGCTCACTCTACTACTACACCCTTCGTTTCTTAGACCACGTCAGTCCACAATCCTTCGAATTCGCCGCTTTCCCGTCCTGGTCATCCTGAATCTACATTGCACCCAAATGGCACACATTCGGATGGAAACAGACCAATTTCACCGTCACAGCACTCTCGGCCTGCGTAGTTCTGTATACGCGCTCTGCAGGCGTAGCTTACTTCTGTGCTGGCGCCCTCGCGTGCTCGCTGACCGTGAAGGTTCTTAAACGAGTTTTACGCCAGCCTAGGCCGATGCATCCTACACAAAAGAAGAAAACTTACGGGTATGTTTTTGACCTGGCCAATTTACACAAAATTTTCCGCTTCGGTAATCCGCTGAACTTCCGCACATAGAATGCCCTCGACGCACTCTGCAACAATCACTTTCTACGGCACTTACATCCCCCTCGCATGCCTCTTTCTCCCCGTACACACATCCTTACCCGTCCACCAACTCACCCACATCCTTCCGCCACTCATTGTCATCCCATGGGCCAGTCTCATAGCAGTATCCAGGGTTTGGCTCGGACATCATACGTGGCCGCAGGTTATGGTCGGCTGTGCATATGGCTTTGGGTTTGCATGGGCATGGTTGGGTCTTTGGATGCTATGTGGGGGGAAGGAACAGGGAGCACTTGTGGAGGGATGGGTGGAAGGTGTATTGGCGGGTGTCAGGCGTTGAACGTTTCGGGGATGGACCATTCTGAGGGATTCCCATGCTCAGCACTGCCAGAGCAGTCGATATTGCCAATTTCACTTTCCGCTGGAGTGGGCCTCAGACCCACGTTTTGGTCCAGAAAACACCTTGCCGATGAGGAGCCCATATTAAACGCGTTCGACAATGCAATAGTTTGGGATTCTGTCAAATAATCTACGCCCACGCAGAAGTATATTACACTTTCCAGTTCTCCTCAGCGCATCTCACTTCGCACCCTCGATTTTTCCTATTTATTTCAGTGTTGCCTCCCCCAGAGACCCTCCATCTGCACTTATCCCGACTGCGAACTGCCCCAGGCCTTGGAAGAACGCTTGAAGGTCGCTTTTCCAGGATAGATCAACCGTACACTTCCGCAACCCGATGTGGCAGCCAGGAATGATAAATGATCATCAGGGTCCACGTACAGATCGGACAGGCCGAACTCCTTGTGGCCCACAATAGCTCTAAGCCCACATACTTCTCTGTGTTCATTCCAGTCTCTATAGATCCAGTCAAGGACAAGCCAGTAAGTCAAACCAATGCGTGGAGAACTCTCGAGAAACAAAAGGCAGAACTCACGCGTTCTGGCAATCAGTGCAGCAATACCTCACTGCCGAACAAGCCGTACACCACATCTCACCCTTCTTATTGCACTCCCTCCGGCCGCACAACCCTTCCGCGAATCGCTGGCCCGAGAACATCAAGATGATCAACCACATTCGGTGCATAATGTGAGAGTCCGTGGCTTGATTGGTGCAGACCCCGAGCATGATAGGTTCGCCGTGTGAGTGGTGGCAATAATTCATTTGGTTGAGATGCCAGTCTACGAGCGAGCGGAGAAGACGAGGGCGAGGAAGGAAGTGCGTGAGTAGTGGGAGAGCCCAAACTCTGTTTTGGTAGACGGCTAGGCTCAGGGCTGCGAAGATGAAGTCGAGGGTCGCTAGATAATGTGGATTTATATGAGTGTATACTCACGTGAAAGTAACACTCGTGGTGTTATCGAAACCATCGTAACGGCTTACCCATCATTTCTGGAGGCATCCGTGTGTTTTCGATAGACACCAGAGCACCCACCGCCACCTCCAGCACCTGAAACAACCCGTTCTCGATCCACCCTTGCACGAGCATCGAAGCCTCTCCATTGTCCCCATCAATATCGACAATAGAGGTAACACTTGCGAAAGTCGTCATGAACGCCGTCAGGAGCTTGTTGTTCTTGTCCCAGTACGGTAGCCCTTGCGTTTTCCACGCCACTTCGAAAAAATCGCGAAATCTCTCATACCAGAATCGGACCTTTAGATGGACTATGTTTGCCAGGTCCCGAAAGTCCTTCCTCTGCATCTTGAAGGGTATATTGGTTGGGTTCCCGACGAGGCATGAGATGTACGTGAAGATCACGCAGCCCTCCGTTGGAGACAAGTCGAGGTCGAACAGCTGGTTGATTAGCCTTTCCATGCCTGGGTTACTCGTCAGACTGTCGAACCCTTCGAACAGTTGCTTAAGAATGTCCATGGCATCCTCGTCGCGGCCGATGTAGTAGAGATCGTCGAGAGGGTTGCGAGTAGAGCGCACGGATCCGGAGCTGGCACCTGCGTTGACGTTCATGGCCCGCAAACTTTCCAGATAGGTGTACAGGGCTTGAATATGTATGAACTGTTCCACGTTGACTTGAGCGAAGCGCCACCCCTGAGAAAGGAGAGGGAGTGTAAAACCCATGTGAGTATACATAATACTGTTTGGGGTAGCAAAGGAAACAAAGGACGTGAGTGGAACCTTCGGAGAGGGAGAAACAGATGGAAGTCGAACCTCATAAACGTTGGATCGAGTCGAAGCAATTTCTGAGTGAGGGACGACATCATAGCTCTTGAAGGCGACTTATCCATTTGCAGATGTTCATCCCATACCTGGGTCACAAAGCATGGACGTTTATAGGATTCACTGAGCAAACAAAAACGCAGAAAAAAGAAGCACTCACCCGCTCGGCCATCTGATGCCAATGCTTTCTTATGACGTCCAATACCGTCTTCGTCGTCGAACCAAGAGTTACCCGCATTCCAACCGGCGGAGCCTGTCCGAGGCCCTCATACAGCACACACAACGGAAAATAAAACGGCGGATTCTCGTCGAACAGGAACTCAAGTGTTTCGTCCAACTCTGAGGTCCCCGGACGCGGCCTTGCAGGTCTCGGAGATTTATACTGGATCATCTCGCTAGTGTACTTCAGGAAGCCCAAGCAGAGCGTTTCGGCAAGACCACAAGATACTAATACAGACCATTGTTCTTTGGGTGGAGAGGCGATTTGTTCCACCGTACGCAAGGCTGAGCGAAGGTCCTGACAGTAGTGGTGTCTCGTCAGTGTCAGTGTCCCATCAGATAAATTTTTGAGAAGCCATGACGAACGCACCCCAAGATCGTCTCCCCATCTATTCGTATCCTCTGGTGATCGGAAAGCAAGCACAGAAAGCATGCGCTCTGTCTCACTCCAGGCTGTTATCCCAGTCTGAGCACGGTTCTTCGCCTGGGTCTTTCGGTTGCGAGATGCGTAATTCCTCTTCACCATTGCAGAGTCCACCAAGAGTACGGGAGAGGCAGAGGGGGTTGAGAGGGGGGGAAGGGAAGGGGGAGGGAGATGATGGGAGTCAAGTTCAAAGAAGCACCTTCGGAGGAAGCGAGTCATTGTTGGTGTCGCATTGTTGTTCAGGTTCGGCTACATCCTGGGAACAAACAAAGGAATCCGAATGATCGTGACACCGGTGGCGAGATGTGGCGGGCCAGTGTCTGGTTTCACACGCACCGCGGCAATATCCGAAGCTGTTTCCGGTGGACTGCGTTCAACTTTTTTGACACATGTACCGGCTCGTCCTCCTCGAGCCCATTCCTTCTGGTCCAGCATACCCTCCTCTTGACACACTTAGCCGATAGCATTTGATATTCTGGCGCTTTGTTATTTTGCCTGGACCTTTGGGACTTCAACTGGGTTCCATGCGAATAAGAGAGCCAAGACGACCTTACCTCAAGCAGTCTCAAGCTTGTCCAACTGCCACTGTCGATCCTTCGGTGGTTACGAACCCATCGCCCATAAGTCCGCCCTCAACTGATGATGGAAAGACTTACAGAAGGATTTAGACCGTGGTATTTTATGGTCCATTGGCACGCCCTCACGTACTTTTATTACTGTATTGATGGGCCTTGGACCGACGCCGACGCCGATGGAACTTTGGGCTGGCGACTCAAGGGATACTTACAACTTACAACTAAAAGTCGCGCAACCCAGGCTTCCGATGACGCCGTCCTGAACCCTCCCCATGCACCTTCTCCATACCCACCCACCAATCCAGTGACTCTACGCTGAGCCTCTTCCTAAGCGAGTCAAACTCTAGTTCTCCCAACGGCGGATGAGTAATCGTGTGTGAGCCCCACGTCAACGCGTCAACCTACAAGGTATCCTCGGATGCGGGGTCGGCTTCAAGGGGCTTCGATCAGCTGACTGGACCGAACGAAAACGAACATAGCAATCGGAGCTCGACCTATCGAAAATAACCCCTATCAGGGTTACAAAGCGGTTTGGTTTACTAACCATCTCGCCATCGTTCGTTCTCATTGCATTTTCCTCGGCTGGCTTACTTGCTGTGTCCTTGGGTATGGGTGAGGAGGGCGCCTGACCACCACAGCTCGCTATATAAACTGTAGAGCAGGGAACTGAGGTGCGTCATAATCCACTGCCTTGTAACTCAGCCTCTCATCTTTCCGGTGTTCTCTTACTTCTACACTTCCAGTCCAAATACTACAAGCATCAAATAGCAACAATGGCGACAGCAGCCGTCCTCACCCCCCGCGACGTCCACACCACTCTAAACTACTCCGCCTTCACCACCGACGAAACGCCCTACACCTACGTCTACAACCCTCCCGACAACAAGCCCCGCACGAATCTCGCCCCCGAACCGCATCCCACCATCATTCACGATATCCGTGGACAGGAGGACACGGTATCGTTGGACCAGAACGGGTTCGCGTTCGTGAAGTATCCGTCGGAGGAGAGAGAGTTCGTGGATGAGGAGAGGATTAAGAGTGTTTATTATAAGGAGGTGGAGGAGTTGTTGAAGAAGAATGTGCCGGGGGTGAAGAGGGTGCATATTTTTGATCATACGATTAGGTGGGTTGCGCATCATTGTCTTGACTGTGATTTAGGAATTGGTACTCATACTTATATTTGTAGGCGTCCCAACGGTGCTGATGGTCGCCCGAATGACGCCCAGCGTGGTCCAGTCGTAAGTCTCTCCATCTTTTGAATGTCACCTGAACCCGCATTCCTAATCCCTACACGACCCAAAGGAACGCGTCCACGTCGACCAGACCTACGAAGCCGGCATCCGTCGCGTCCGCGAACACCTCCCCGCCGACGCCGACCGTCTCCTTCAATCCCGCTGCCGCATCATCAACGTCTGGCGCCCAATCTCCCACCCCGTCGCACACCACCCGCTCGCTGTCGCCGACTGGCGCTCCATCAACCCCTCGAGCGAGCTCGTGCCCACACAGCTCATCACGCCCACCCGCGTCGGCTGGACGTTCAGCGTGAAGTACAATCCGGAGCATGCGTGGTATTACCTTGGGGGACAGACGCCGGAGGAGGTCACGCTGATTAAGTGTTGGGATACGGAGGGGAAGGGGGAGGGGGATGTGGCGGGGTTGACGCCGCATAGTGCGTTTACGGATGCGGGGAGTGAGAAGGAGGCGCCGGAGAGGCAGTCGATTGAGGTGAGGTGCTTGGTGTTCGATGCGGAGTAGGTTAGATGCGAGGTGCTGAATTCGTGGGGTCTTGATACGTGATTTGGGATGGAGATGATCAGATACACTATGCACCTTTGTTTTGAGTATTGTGGAAATGCTATGCTGCTCTGTTTTGTTTCGTCTCTGCCCTCAGGTATAGAGCTGTGGGTGCTATCTAAACACGAAAAGAGCCTCTAAGTTGTGATGGGCTTTTACCGGTATGATGTCACGGTGGACAGTCCTGAACACTACAAGCCTCGAAGGCATCACGATGACTTTAGGTTCGTAAGAACACCGCACGGCGAAGTCGAGGAGTTCATGAAGCATGCGCTTATTTGATTACGTTGGCAGGAAAGGGTAATTCGGAGCGTCGGCATCCTTGATTTCAACGAACAAATTGAGGTCCAAGACCGTTGTGCTCACAGGGTGCGTGAACTGAGCGACGGTGCCTGGATACATACTGTTCGCTGGCCGTACTTAGGTTGTTTGCCACGACTGGATGCGAGCTACGAATATTCCAATAGGTCAATTTCTTTTCAGCGTTTTGATACCTTGCCTGCTCGGACACGACGTAAACATGAGATGATGATTGAAGATCGCGGACGACGCACGCTGCGCAACAGCGGAATGATTCGAGTCAAGGGTGCTGAACGGTCGGGTCGGGAGTCCGAAGTATTGCGTCAGGTACCGGAGACATATAACGGCGTGACCAGAGGCCGGGGCGAGGGAGCTGAGGGCTGAAGCACGCAAGCACGGCAAGGCACGGTGCGGGGCACCTGATGACGTGTGATGCGAGGGACGCTGCGACATGTCGTGGGCGGTGACCGAACGGTGAGCGAGGGCTGGACAAGAAATGCGCGAGAAAAGAGGAGAAAAAATAAGTTGTTGAAGGCCTAGGAGGGTCCGACTGGGAGCGCCTGTGACAAAGGTGATGAGGTGCAGACGCAGAGTGGAACCAAAGTTGGAGGCTTAACTTACCAGGGCCGACACGTGGCTGGGGATCTGGGCCAGAGGGTCGAGGCGAACGAGCCGGATTTGCTCCACGCTCACGCCTGACGTCACACGGCTATCCAGGAGATTTGTCGCGTTGGGCTCATTCGACCTCCCTTTGCCTCTCCGTTGCCTCTCATTCGTCTACTCCCACTCGACATCGTCGTCCCCGTCCTCCGACTATCCCTCGTCGTCGTCCCCCGTCCTCACCGTCCTCATCGTCGTGCACAACGTCGCGCACGATGGACTTTTTTTCCCAAGGTCATCACAGCTCGACGAACGACCAGGCGCAGGACGCGTTCGCCCAAGCCATCAATGCTCGCTTCAACAACAGCCAGGCCGCGCTTCTTACCTCCCAGATCGTCCCATCCCCCGGGCCACCCTCCGTGCTCTCTCCCCCAGCACTTCGCATCCCCCCACGCTCAACAACACACCAGCCAGCAACAATTCCACCCGTCGCTGGCCCATCGCGCATCACCAATACGACATCATCAGCACCGTCAGCACCGTCAGCAACGTCCTTCCCCCCGTACACCCCCGCCACACTCCAGTCCCTCCTCTCAGATCCCCATACCCTCATCCTCGATCTTCGTCCACTCGGGACCCACTACAACGCTCGCATACCACATGCCCTCTCCCTCTCCGTCCCCTCCACCCTCCTCAAGCGTCCCCTCTTTTCCACCACCAAGCTCGCAGAGATGCTCCCCACAGAAGCTGCCCGGCGCAAATTCTCCCAATGGCGATCCGCCCATCGTATCCTCGTCTACGACGCCGACTCTTCCAACATCCAAGAGGGCAGCAATATCCTCGGCCTCCTTCGCAAATTCCGCGCAGAGGGTTCACAGCCTTCACCCGATGACCCAGATGCTATGGTCGTCGAGCGCGAGCTCGCCTGGCTCAAGGGTGGCTTCCAGGCCGTCTGGCGCGAACGGCGCGATCTCATCGACTCCAACCCACCACCAGACGAAGATGAGCTGGACGATGATCACGACTCACCACCTCCGACGAGTAGCGTGCCTTCGACCGCGGCTCCTACCGCACTCTCTCTCACCGACAGCGGCAATTCGTCACAGAACTCGTTCCAGAGCAGCGCACTCTCCTTGCCTACGTCGATCAGTTCAATGCAATCCAAGAACTCGAACGTCCTTCGGACGAAGCGTCTGCCCATGAGCGCATTCGGCGTCTCGTCCACTACCTCCTCACACCGGTCTGGCTCGGCCCATCACCAGCAGTATCTCGACAAGGATAGCCCCCTGACGGCAGCGTCCAAGACGTCGATATCGCCCAATGTGGCGTACAACCCTTTCTATGACGCCATTCGACAAAATCTGGAGCTCTCACACGGAATCACAGAGAAGATCCCGTTGAAAATCAGTCGAGAGGCAAAGGAGAGGATCGGCGAGCTGCCGTTTGCTTGGTTGAGAGAGATCGGGAGATGGGCCAGCGCGGAGGATAAGCAGCCTTCCGGGTCTAAGGAGGGCCAGGCAGTGGAGAAAGACAAGTGGCGCGAACCTTCTTCTGCTGGCGGATCTGGTATAGGGAGCTCGAGTAGCAGTGAGAGCGGCGGGAAGGAGAGGGACGATGCGCACGTGCGGTTCAAGGATGCCGCGCGCGGACAGAAGAACACGGGCGAGGTGAGTCCGAATACGGCTGAGGGGATGGAGGCTCTGGCCATGCAATTCTATCGGATTGAGCTGGGAGAGCAGAGGAGGTTGATGGGTGTTATGGAGCACCATTCGAAGGAGAGCGGACACGTGGTGAAGGAGAGCAAACAGTCGCAGGAGGCCGCGCATGAGAAGAACAAGAAGGAGAAGAAGTGCGGGGAGGTTGAAGGAATTGAAGGGATGGCCGAGAAAGGGCACGAGGGTGAGGGCGAGAAGCACGTAACAGGCGAGGCAGATAACGAGAAGGATCAAGGCTCATTTCCGTTCAGTATTATTGCTGGTATCGAAAAGGGTGCTAAGAACAGGTGCGCGCCCTATTGCTCGTTCTTTTGCTACCACAACGCGTGTTCTGATCCTTGTTTCCGACTTTGTATCCAATTAGGTACCGCAACATTTGGCCATTCGAGCATGCCCGCGTCCGTTTGCAAAAACCAAGACCAGACAATGCCTCAGAAGGCGCGTCCCACAGCTCGGGCTCGTCCACCGTTTTGGGCAGCAAGAGCTCACAAGAAGCAACGGCGTTTCCCTACCTGGAGTCTGCGAAGAACGTGCAGAGTCACGAGAAGAAGGTCGGTCTCGGTTCGCCCATCTCCACATCGAGTAAGTCGGCTGCAGGGCGGGCGGGAGGGGGCGAAGACGCGGGGGACTCGGACGACTATGTCAATGCGAGTTATGTGCAACCGCTGGGGACGAAGAAGAAGTACATTGCGACGCAGGGTCCGTTGCCGGAAACGTTCGTGGACTTTTGGACGTACGTCTCTTTTTCTTTCTTCTTTCTTTGGCGTCGGCCTTCTTCCTGTCCCCTGTTCTGGTCGCGCAACGGCCAGCTGGTGAGCGGTTTGGTTGTGAGCGCGCCGCAGTTGTGGCTTGTTGGCCTTGTGTTTTCCTCTGTTTTGGTAGCGGATGCCACCGCTGCAAAATCCGACACATTGGCTCTCGCAGAATGATGTGCATATCTCAATCTTTCCGGGCTTATGGCCCGCCCGACAAGCCGGTGCAGCAGTACGGAGTTTCGTCACACTACTCCAAATTTGACTTTCTGTCCTTGTTGTACCTGGGCGCTGATATACATTCTCTCTACTCTGTACAGTCTTGTATGGGAACAAAATGTCAGCGTCATCGTCATGCTCACGCGCGAGATGGAAGGGATGACCATCAAATGCGGCAATTACTGGTCTGATTCCGTGTACGGTCCCCTCCGGCTCAGTCTCGTCTCCACCACCGCCGCCGAATCTAACACCTCGCGCGACCCCGCCAACCCCTCGAAATCCGAAGCTCCTTCCTTCTTTCCCGTGCAGGCGACCTCCTCCACCGCTCCGGAGCAAACGAGTAGTGAGGAGACGATCAAGAGGGTGTTTCATCTGAGCCATACCGCGTATCCGCAACTACCACCGAGGAGGGTCGTCCAGCTTCAGTACCTTGCGTGGCCGGATTTCAACGTGCCGAACGATTCGTGGGGGCTGTTGAAGTTGATCAAGCAAGTGGAGGAGGAGGTGGAGAATTCGGAGAGGGATAGGTTGGAGTGGGAGATGATCAAGTCGAAGAGGGCGGCGACTGTCAAGCGGAATCCTGTGTCGGCGCTTGCATCTTCGGCATGCACACCGTCTGTACCAGTACCGGCACCGGCAGTGGGTACAGGCGAGGAGGATAAGAGTCTTGCGAGTAATGAGTCGGTTGCTGGGGATACGGACTCGGAACTCGTCAGCACGCCCTCCACGGACGACATGGATTCCGAAACTGGGATCGTGTGGAACGCACTCGCAAAGCGGCCTATTCTCCTCCATTGTTCTGCGGGCGTCGGGCGCACGGGCGGGTATATCGCTGTCGATGCCGTGCTTGATGGTGTGAAGAACGAGATGAGGAAGCGACGCGAGGCGGCGGGGATCTTTGCGACGACGACGGAGAGTCGGAGTAGGAGTGGGAGTAGGCGGTTGGAGAGTGATAGTGATGGGGCGAGTCCGCATGAAGAGGCGGTAGCGATGGATGTGGATGATGGGGGGTTGGTGATGAGTTTGCCGGTTGGGACGGATAATCTGGCGGGACGGCAGGTCGGGTTGTCGGTGCATGTGCCTGTCGTGGGGATTAGTCCGGAGGAGAAGGAGCGTCGCGGCGGGGATGACTCGAGGTCAGAGGCTCTAGTGGAGGAATCTCGGATGGAGGTCGATGAACAGAAGCAGCCGTCTCAGGTCCAGCCCACTGATTCTCAGTCACCCTGGTTGATGCACCCCCATAGCCAGGGCCTGATGAAATGGACACCTGGTGTCGGCGCCACCGTTCAGTCCTCTCGTCCTCACATCTCCCATCATTTTTCGCACACGAGCAACGCCTCGTCTTTGGGTCCCTCCAGAAGGCGGCCGTCTACGTCCACTCGGCACCCAAGCGTCTCTCCTCCGTCGCGGTCACCCAGCGAGCCACCTGAATCAGGTTCAGGCTCATCGGGTTCGTCGCTCAGTCTTCCTTTTGCCAATCCTTCTAACCCTGCCACTGGCCTTACCACCCCCTTCTCGTTCTCGTTCTCGAAACCCGACCCTTCCCGCACGTCCTCCTCGGAATCTTTGTCCTCCTCATCCCCCTCCTCGTCCTCGAATGCTCATCCGATCGTGAAATTACCAGTGACGACGCCGAACGCAGCGAGGCACAGGACGTGGTCCGCGCCGAATCATACGCCGATGTTCGACAAGAACAAGACGCCGAGCGCGGCTATCACACCGGGGACGTTTAACCTCAAGATGCCGGCGCCCAAAGCGCCCGGCGCGTCCTCTGTCCCTCGATTCGGTGGTATCCCATCAAGGCCTATCCATCTGAGTTCAAAACCAAACGAACCACCGTCTTCCGTGTTCGCGTTGCATCATCACATCAGCGACCCGTCGTCGCTGGGCCGGTCGTCCTTGAATTCGCCGCTGGCGGTCGCTGCGGAGCGGTATACGTCTTCGCCTTTGGCGTTAGGTCCTGAGCCTCCGACCTCGCGGAGTGGGTCTGCGTCGAATCCAAGGCAGAGGTATCATTCGTCGCCGGTCACTGGGTTTATGCAGCAGGTCCAGCAGTCGGCGTCGTTGCCTGTTCCGCTGCGTCATCCGCATGCACATGTGCAGCAGACGCAAGCCCAAACGCACCCTGTCCTCCTTCAGGAGTCACCGCAGCAGCAGCAGCATCCACAGCCAGAAAAGCAAAGTAGCAGCGATAGTATAGCTCAAGAAGCGGCAGCAGAGACGTTCGATTATACGAAGCCGAGGAGACTGCACAGCGCACGGACGACACCGCTCATGCTCTCGGACCTGGACGAGCCCGTGCGGAGGGTGGTGGAGGATATGCGGGAGCAGCGGATGAGCTTGTGTCAGAGTCTGAGGCAGTATGTGTTTGTGCATCGGGCGATCTTGGAGGGCGTGTTGCAGTTGGTGGATGAGGAAAGGGAGATGTATGGGGATGTGTGGATGGATGCGGATTTGGGCGAGGGCAAGGAGGCGGTGGCGAAGGCGAAGGAGGAGGCGCTCAGTCCCGCTGTGGATTTGGCGGGTTCGGGTGGGCAGATGGGTGCGATGCCGTGGCAGCCAATCCCGAATATGGCCACGGGAGAGCCGAGTCCTTCGTCAGGTACTATTCACCAACCGGACCAGCCGAGTATCATCATCTCGTCATCACCTTCCCCGTCCAAGGGCAAACGGGGCGCGAGCCCAACGGAGTTGCCGATCAAGGATAAGATGGGTGTGTTGAAACTCTCGAAGCGGCCGAGTATCAAGAGGGTACAGGGCCAGAGGAGCGGTGACGGGGTGCAGTCGGAGTCTCCAGAGGGTCGTGAGGGTTCATCGAGCGGCGGTGCGCTTGCGCGTGTAGGTGAGGGGGTCAAGATGCAGCAGCCTATGCACGACTCGTTTATGACGAGGTCTCTGCCACCTGGGCTGGCGCCGCCATAGAACGGCCGCCAGACGGAATCGTAGGATAATCATCAATTACTTATTCTTTCTCCTATCTATTCTCATTCTCATTCTCATTCCATGTTTTCCTCGTTCATCTCTTTTTCTTTCATTTCTCCGCTCTGTGTCTCTATGTCGCTCCTTTCGATGCTATCGTTGCTGCGATGTTCCTATCTATACGTCCGTGTCCATGCGTATTGCTTTTCAAAAATCCAACATCTCGTCACGAACCAGCCTCATCTCCATCTATCCATCCATTCGTCCTCTGTCTCTTTTTCCCATCGACATTTCTCTTCTCTCATATCATCTCTTTTTTTCATTCCTCTCCACTGACTGACCTCTCTGTATAGCACTCCTGTTCATTTCCATTCATGTTCAGTATTGCAGATAAACCCACGCAAGATACAACCCCTTACATATTGCATCTCATCGGCGGCATGCTACGTTTCTACACTACAGTCCTCCTTCTCTTAACCTTTTCAACATTATATTACCTACCTTTGCCCTACTCACCTAAATAACCTCTCCACCACATTACTCTGGCATATTTACTCATCGATCGACTTCACTGTTCCTTCGCTGTAAGATTGTTTGTTGGCGCCCATGTCATCATCTCGGTTTGGGGTAGTAGGCTACGAGTCATGTTACGACTTTAACCTGTATTATCAGCTCTTTTGCATTTTTTTTCTTGATTTCGTGTACATTGACATGTCGTGAGGCCTCTGGTTTCGTGGCTTGTTGATGAGATAGTAAGGTACTTTGATCTTGACGTGCTGATGTGTATGTGGTTGGGCTCGGAGTCGAAATTGATACACTGAGTGATGTCACTAACCCGTGTCGAAGAGACGATAACAAAAAAATGGCGATGAATGCACAGTAGAGCAAAACGCGGGGCAAGATGTACTCCTTCCACAGAGTAATAAGGGAAGTGCGTTACAAGTGTCGACCAAGCACAAATGCGGTGACGGCTAGTTCTCTGCCAGGCTAGTGACTATAGACGTAAGTTCTCCAAGCGTTGGTAAAAGAATGCCCGTATCACAGGTCTACTCCATGTCGAACAACAAACACCTAGCCTCAATCGACTGCCTCTGCGGTGCCTCCTTCGGACTCCCTGCATCAAAAAACGCGGTATGCGGGGTGTACGTCGCCACATCCTTCCCAGCCGCCTCCTCCGCACCCTCTGTATCGAAACACTTAATCAGCACAACCTCCTCCGGCGTCTGTCCTCCCAAATAATACCACGTATGCTCCGGACTGTACTTCACGCTGTACGTCCATCCGATCCTCGTGGGGGTAATGACCTTAGTCGGCAGGAGCTCGCTGGAGGGTTTGACGGTGCGCCAGTCGGCTACGGCGAGAGGGTGGTGCGTGACGGGGTTGGCGATCGGACGCCAGACGTTGATGATGCGGACGCGATGTTGGAGGAGGCGTTCGGCGTCGGCGGGGAATCGGTCGTGGACGCGACGGATGCCGGCTTCGTAGGTCTGGTCTGCGTGGGCGCGGTCCTGAAGGCACAGAAGGTTATGGTGTGAGTACATAGGCAAAGAACGGAGAAGTGAAATATAATTGATAGATGGTGAAGCTTACAGCTGGACCACGTCGATCGTCACTTGGGCGCGAGTCTTCACCAATGGGACGCCTATAGTCTTTATGCATTAGTGTTCCTTCCTAAATTAGAGAGCGACGATACCCAACATACCTAATAGTATGATCAAAAACGTGGATCTTCTTTACCCCCGGCACATGCTTCTTCAACAAATCCTCTAGCTCCTTGTAGTAAACGTCCTTGATCTTCCCGTCGTCCACGAAATCCTTTTCTTGCGACGGATACTTCACGAACGCGAAACCGTTCTCGTCCAGAGACTTTGTATCTTCCTTTCCGCGGATGTCGTAGATGACGGCCGGGTGAGGTTCAGGGACGTAGTTAGTGCTGGGTTTGCCGTCGGGAGGGGCAGAGACGTAGTTGTACGGCGTCTCGTCGGTCGAGAAGGAAGAGTAGTTCAGGGTGGTGTGAACGTCGCGAGGACTGAGTTTGGATGGTGTCGCCATTATTGTTGACAAGATTATGGTTGTAAGAAACTGCTGGTAAATCGAGCTTGGAGGTAAAAACACTCGAGAGCTCGATAGTGGTTGTGTGTCTGGATGTTAACAGATATTCCTCTTGAGTCTATATAGTAGGAGGTCGAAACGCCTACCAGTCACACCGAAAACATGCAATACAGATGAGCGATGGCGAAATGAGCCTATTCGACACCCATCTTTGTGAATGGTGTCAGCGGCAACCTGGACAGGGTTGACCGTGACGGTATGGGTGGATAGAACGAAGTTCGAAGTTGAGTCAGTAAGAATGGGTCACTAGAGCATATCCTGCATTTTCAAGGGGCCGAGATTGAGCGCTCACAAACAAACAAGATGACCAACCACCGTCAAACTCGCTAGGGTGGTGTGAGTCCATCGCTGGAATGTCAGAATAAGAGTGAAGTGACTCCGGGAGAGTCGTGGGCGCTAGTCATCCTGAGGTTTCCTCGAAGAGAACCAAAATTACATCGGTACCGGGGTCGGGCCCGTGAACATGAGGACGCGCCAATAAATATGATCCATCCTTACTGGACCGTACCTGTGTACGTCTTTCCACCGCCAGCAGGAAGTATACTTGGCGACAAGAGGTTCGCAAGTGCTGAAAAGACCGTCTTGTACAAGGTGCAAAAGTTCATTTCGCTCGGAGCACGTAGAAGCAGTTCGGTCAAAGTTCCCAGAGCAGAGGTCCTCCAAAGTCGACATTCTGCAGGAAAAAATAAGAAGAAAAAGAACTCAAGGAATGGTGACGGTGTGGAAGCGTCCTGCAGGTCAAGTTGAATGTCCGAGTGTCACGAATACTGCTCTCGGATATTGCCGATGTTTCCGTGTCACAGCGTCGAACAGCAGGGTCGAGTCGGATAGACACTGGACAGGCAATCGACCTGCAGCTAGGACAAGATTAGCTAGTAATGTCGAGTGTAGTCAAGGTCCCTCTAGCTAAAATGACTGACCACGCCACCGTCAAGCAGACTAGGTTGCAATTGTCGCTATTAGACCAACAAACAGACAAATAGAGGCTGAGAAACAAAGTAGGCACTACATATAATACAGACACAAATAGGCAGGTAAGTAGTTATGCGCACAAAGGGGGGTGGGAGATGTATTATGACAGTGATTGCCAGAAGGCGGATGGACGGGTCTGAGATGTGAGGTCCGGAACAGTGACATTGATACTGGGTGCGTGAAAATGCGAGATCCGATGAGATGAGGTGATTGAGGGTGAACGAGACGAGACGAGACCGAGAGATGTGACCAGTGGGGCAATGGGGAGCAACAATACAGAAAGCAATGAGAGAGCAACCCAAAAGTGAGAGATAAAAGAGATAAAGACCGAGGACAGAGACAAAGAGAGAGAGAGAAGAGGACAGAGACGGGAACAGAGACAGTAGGAACCAGAAGGACGACGACACGACTATCCAACCTCTTCTAAATCACCATCATCCTCGTCCTCGCCCATCTCCTCCATTTCCCTAAGCAGGAAATCGTCCTCCTCTTCCTCTTCTTCATCATCATCCTCCTCCTCTTCTTCGGCGCCCACTGCACCTCCTACGCTAACGTCGTCTTCCTTCCCACCCTCATCCAGGTCTGCCAGAGAGACCGTCTCTTTCAGTCTCGACGAGGTGCCCCTGTCCGCTATCATCTTCTTTCGTTTCGCTAGCGGTGACCGGAGGCCGTCTGCTCCTTCATGCCCGTTCAACCCGGCTTCGGAGGGAGTCATGCTTCGTAGACGCTTCCGCTTCCTGCTCGGCGTCGAGGGGTTGCTCCTGCTCACCAAACTATCTCGTCAGTCTCACGTTTAATAAAGCATAGACGAACAGAGGAAAGTGTACCCATTAACACTGTTCGCATCGTCCGTGACGCCCTCATCCTCACTCGCATACCTACTCCGACTCTGACTCCTGCTCCTGCTCCTTCTCGACCCCTCGCCCTCGCCCTCATCCCCCTCACCCTCCTCATCATCATCACTCTCCATCATCGCCTCCTCCACCTCCTTAGCAATCTCCGACCACTGGATCGCATCCAAAAGCGGATACCGCGGTCTCTCCTCCTCCTCCTCTTCCCCCTCCCCCACCTCCAACCTCAACACGCTCACATTAGCACTCGCATCGCCATCAGCGGGCGTCCGCTCCCTCGAATTCACTCCCGATTCCGTCCCCTCTCTGTCTCCTTCAACCCCCGCGACGGGCGAAGGCACCGCCGATGCGAACTCCGACTCGGGTTCCATATCCCAGTCATCTGCGTCCGGTTCCGGGTCAGACGAAATCTGCTGAGCTTCGAGCGCAGGCGACGAACTCGCCGTGCTCGATCCCGTTCCCTCTTCACCGTCGCCCTCACCGTCGCCATCCTTGCGCGCACGGCTGGACGAAGACGCTGCACCTCCTGCTGATGTTGTTGTTGTTGGTCGCGAACGTAGGGCGGGGTCGTCCATGAGATACGGTGTCTCGTCTTGGCGCTCCCATTTGGCTATCGAGTCCGTGAACCAGGCTGGCCAGACGATGAGGATGTTTCCGCGTTTCCGGGCTTGGTCCACTTTGACTGTGCCTCGCTGTTTTTGTTTGAAGGTTACAGTCAGTCACATATAGAACGAGACGGGGGCGTTGGTGGGAGGAGAGAGCTTTGTTGGAGAAGGGCGAAGAAAGAAAAAGAAGGGGGGAGGGCACGGGATATGTACCTTCGCAGCAACAACATGCGTGATCTTGCTCGACAGCTCCGTATAGCACTTCGCGCCGAACGCATGAGCGAGACGCCACACTTCGGTCGTCTCGGGTCGGGTGTCGAGCGGGATGACGGACGAAAAGAGGATGTGCACGCCGAAGAGGGTGTTGAAGCGCAATTGGGGGATGATAGCCTTTTTGCATTTAGCAACAATGAGTTGGAGAATGTCGAGGGGGTGGGTGAGGGAGGGAGGGAGGCGAGTGAGTTTCAAGTGTGCCAGAAACGGGAAAAAAGGCGGATACACGTACCGTGGCATCATACGCCTTGGTCTTCGTGACCGAACGCCTGTGACGATTATTCTTCGAATTCGAAGTCTCGGGTCCACGTCTGTCATAAGCGTCATAGAACTGTCGGTGTACCACTTCGAGTAACTACACGCACAGACAAACACAAGATAGGTCAGCTCAAAGCCTCGTACAGGGAAAAGAGGGAAATAGGACTCACGTGCTGTACCCTCAACAGCTCAGTATCGTCGTTCTTCAACAACGCCTTCCTCACATGTTTCTCCTTCTCCCTCGGCGGTGGAGTCTGACTCCGACTTGGACTCTCAACTACAACCTTCTCCTTCTCTTCGCCACTCACATCTATCAGTGAAGAACCCTCCACCTCCTCGGCCTTGCTACCCTCAGCCGCAGCGCTCTCCGCCGCCTTATCACTGGCCTCCGCTTCAGCTTCAGCCTCAGCCTCAGCCTCCTCAGCGACCTGCAACTCCTCCTGCTTCTTCGCCAACGGCCTCTCCTCGACCTGCGCCTCCAGCGCAATCGAATTCTGCGTCAACATATCGCTCTTCGACAACAACTCCAAACCGCCCGTCGACGGCGACTCATCGAGAGCGATCGTAGGCGGTGATTCTGAAGCGCTCTGTACGGCTGTGGTCGATGAATCGGCCGATACGGCGGTGAGTGTGGGTGAGGGGGAGGCGGCGGGGGAGTCGAGGGGGGAGGGGGTGACGGTTGTGGCGGATGGGTCTTTGGGAGGGGTGGATGTGGGTGTGGATGTGGAAGGGGATGAGGATGAGGGGGGGACGATGGAGGTTGAGGGGTCGAGTTTCGGGAGGAAGACGGAGTTGATGTCGCCTATGCCGACGAAGAAGTCATCTGAGAACGGAGGGGAGATCATGTGTCAGCGTTTATGTGGCCGGGTTTGGATGAGACAACTCACAAGGTATGACTTTGATGAGGTTGGGACTCCATTCCCAGACGTCCGCCCGGTCGTCGATGATCACCACCATAGAAGTATCGACAGGGAACAGCCTCCGTAGGCTCTTCTGTGTCATACCTAAGCAATGTAGATATGTCGTCAGTGTATGCGGATGAAACAGAGGTGGCACACAACGCACTTCCGCTCTCATCGCGACTGAGGATGCGACCGCCAAAGAACTTGCCGTCGGGGTCGATGGCAGCACAGACTTCCTCTGCATAAGCACGCGTACCCATTGTATAGACGTGCATCTCGTACTTCTCCGCCACACTGCTGAGGAACTCCCGTGTTCCCGGCCTGGGGCCATGTGAAACAAGAAATACCTCAATATATGCGCTTTAAAGTATTCAGAGAAAGGATGTGATGGACTGACCGTGGCTTGACATAGTATAGTGGCCCATCCTGCTCGAGAGCCTTGCCCTTCCCCTTGAACCCGCGTCCAGGGGCAGCACCAAACGACTCTGGGGCCAATCGAAACCTCTTCACGTCCTTGAGTGCCTCCCAATTCGGGTTCACCTCATCCTCGTCCGCATCCTCGTCATCTTCATCCTCCGACACCGTATCGTCCGAATCGTCCTCATCCTCGTCGTCCTCTCCGTCCTCGTCTCCCTTCGCCTCCTCCTTCGCCTTGGCTTTCTCATCACGCCTCGCTTTCCGTTTCTCCCTTTCCTCCTGCCGCTCCTTCTTCCACGCAGCCGTTTCCGTCCGCTTCTCATGTCTGGCCTCCCATGCCTCGCCCTCTGCGATCCATTCGCCTACTGTGGGATCAACTGTGGCGTGGACGATGGTCTGGTCAAGATCGACGATAAGAGACAGTTTACGGGCTTTGAGCATGTGCTCTGCCGTTTCGCGTTCGATTCGCTGAGCCTCTTCGAGAGAGACTGTGGGCCCGTTAGCAGAGTGGGTCATCTGAATGGACGCACGAGAGGCGTCGGAGAAGCCTGTGTAATCATAGCTGAGACGAGCGATTGATTGAGCCTCAGTATATGCGCTTCTCAGTGTTAAACGGAGACGCACCTAGTCATGTCAAGTCCACACAAGGCGCAAAGACCTCCGATCTGCACCCCATGTTTGCAGGGCTCGGTGATGGTCACGACGGCCCGCGTCTTTGCTCGCTTCGCTTCGATGATGTCGTTCGCCCTCACATGCCATCTGTCGAGCGAGCCATCGATGGGTGCGTCCCAGGTGCCGAAGCGAGTCTGCGGGTCGCCTGGGTTGGAGTCGAGGTCGGAGGCGAAAGCGATGAAGGAGTAGGTGAGGAGGCGTGTGCCACGGGAGATGGCGTCTGAGGGACGAGCGTGGAGGGAGACGAGCTGGATGGGGTAGGGGAGGTCGTGGGGGAGGTATAGTTCTGTGGGCGAGCTCATGGCTGGGACAGGTTCTGAAGGGACGCGACTAGCAATTGGCGCACTCGCGCATCCGGAAACTGACTTTAGTTGGGCGCGATGCGGCGGAAAGACGCGCCGTATTTGAACCATTCCAGCCAGACGGACCCCGGACACAGCCGTGCCTTGCTTGCTTTGTGCCACTACAACCACACCCACTCGTCCTGCTCAGCTTGCCCAGCGACATCGTCGTCCTCAATAATTATCTTCCTCTACACGCTCCTGGGATCTTTCAAGCATCTTGGAGGGCAAAAGGAGCGACACACTCAGACACACTCGGCATCGGATAGGGGCCCCATTTCCCACGAGTCAGCAGAATCAACAGAGACCCCGGAAGCACACCCATTTAGCGCTTTGACCTTCGTCTGCTTCCGCTGCGTCATGCAATCACTTTCCACTGTCATTCATTGATCCCTCTTCTTCGCAGATCTCCTCACGGCGTTCTCGAGCACACTGGCGTCTCTCTCAGTTCGGGAGTCGGATTCCGCCGCTCATGCGACTGGTTATTCAGATGATCCAGACATGACTTGTATCATCGCTGCGCAGAACTCTCAGCTCGCCGCACAAAAACATGCATTGATGATCCACGGTGTATCATCGACAGCGATACACGGCTCGTCCGTCAAAACCGTGTAACAGCGATGTAACACGCTCCCAGAACCAATCATCCGCTCGAGAAGCGAAGTTGACGGTGCTTCGTTCAAGTATCACACACCCTGCGTCGGTCGGCTTTGAAAGTGGTCGCCTATAAGACCAGGAACAGAGGCGCGCACCGTTTGAAGCTCCCACAATGCTCGCCTGAAGTCACTATGTAAGATGTGAATATGAGACATCGATCAGCACGTCCACACCTCCCTTTACACGAATGTAACCTGGGACGAGGTCCTACGACTGAAATAGAGACACCTCAATGGCGATATTTAACTCGGTAGGAGGAGGTATTGGATATCTGTCGACGCTCTCGAGCGGTGTTCGTGTGTCGGCCACTACCTCAGTCGATAAGGACCATCTAATTTAAGAAGGAAAGACGAGGAGAGGAATAAAACATGTACAGGACTGACCTCTTGTGTGGCCCCGAAGTAACGGCTTTTGTTCCAAAATCGGTCTCCGAATCTATCCGACGTGCCAGCGCTAGATACATAAGGCTGCCATGAGGGCTTTCGTACGTCTCCATCCTTTCCTTTCATGATGTTCAACCACCTCGCAACACATCACCCTATACGTTGACAGTCCTAGTGCACTCATCTTGGTGCTATCCACCTAAGTTATGCGAAGGTCGCAATGCATTGAGACGCACCTGCCCTACCTGCGAGCTCAACTCCCCACGTTCAACGTCAGCATCCGTTGAATCAGATAGCACCACCTCCCCCCGTAGTGGTAGACAGACTTTCGTTTCGCCCATCACTAGTCGTCGAGATGCCTTCCAACATCTCTGCGAACTTCCTCCGGGCACATAACACCTCATCGCGTCATTCGACACGCTGTCTCCTCTTCCTTCCCGACTGTTGATGGTAGACTCGCTGCTTACTCTTTGTATAGTTGACGACGCACATTAATATCAATATTTACTTTCGGCCTGTAATATATTGTCTTCTTTTCGTTGGCCCTTGACCATGAACGTCGGAGTGATAGAGCCCTGCGCCGCGCCAGAACCTGTCTCACAAGAGCGTCCTGTTCACGTCGGAGGCCACTGAAGTGGCATAGTAGTAAAACATCACAAGGGCGGTAAGAGAGGATGGCGAGGTGATGGTCATATAGAATAGCGAGGCCGTGAAATGGCCATAGTCTATGACGATCCCGGTACAGCGTTCGAAGTGTTCCCAAAGTACTCCCACTGCCCCGGTTCTGGCTTCTCCTCAAGAGGCTCCCATCTACAAAGCCAGCCATAGTTCAATACAACAAACCCATTCTCACTTCATCTAATCGAGATAAAAGTGAAAGAAAGACGCACGCTTTCCACTCCGCCATCTTCCCCACCAAACTAAGCTCATCCTTCGCAATCATCAACGACTGCTCAATCTGCCCCTCATCCAACTGCTTCTCCGCCTCCTCGATATTCCCATTCACAGTCTCCACGATTTTGAGCTTCTGAAGCGTGAGCGCCTCCGCGCCCTGGCGGTAGACGGACGTCTCGGGGATAGATGAGTGCAGAGCTTGGAGCGTGGATTCGTAGGTCGCTTTGAGCTCCGGGAGGGGGTTGGGGTGCACGGGGATGCCGTGGATGCCGGTTGTGGTTTTTGTCACGGCTTGGAAGAGGGGGCGGGTGAGACGGAACATAATGGATTATTTGGGCGCGTTCGTGAAGTGAGGTGACGGGGTCAAGCAACTGCAACTGCGAGGAGTTCAGCGACGGAAATGGAACTCAGGACGTTGCCGAAACCCGCGTTGCGCCAATTCGACGCGTCCAATTTCCTTCAACTCACCTCTCAATCAACCATGGCCTCCCTAGCTCTCCAACAAACCCGAGCATCGCTCCCACTATTCAACCTTTTCAGGTCACGACCACTCCTCTCCGCTTCTACCTTTCTTTTGCCCTCCTTCGTTGCTGCTCCAACTCCACGAGAATCAGTCTGGTCACTACCGTCCCTCGGATCCCTCCTCGAACTCCTACCCGGATGGGTCCTCGCCGTGCCTAAGAAGAAAATATCGCATTCGCGGAAAGCTATGCGATCTGCGAACAAAGGCTTGAAGGATAAGCAAAGTGCGTCCCCCCTGCTTTGATTCTCTGAAGGCACCGTAAAGCTCATCTCACACGACACCGTCCTTTTTTGTTTTCCCATTGTGGCATTATGGTACAGATCTGGTGAACTGTCCAGCCTGCGGCTCCGCGAAACTCGCACATCATCTCTGTCCGAACTGTTATTCAGGGCTGAACAGGGGATGGAAAGCAGATGCGCGGAAGGGGAAGAGTAGTAGTGGGTCGGAGGGGATTCCGGAGGTCGCTATGGATTGAGGGTGCGTATATCAGTGTTTTCTTAATTTACTTCACGACTGGTCTGACCAGGATTTAAGTTGTTCGTTTTCACAGTTTACAGTCTCACTGCTCCGTTGTTCTATATATCGTAATATGGACCCATGGTCCACCCTTTTTTTGTCGCATTTGCAGGGAAGTTCGCTACAGCGCCGTGGAAGCGCTTCTAGGTGCTTCTGCGTGGTCTTGACCTACTACCGACACTCTCCGTATAAAGCACGGACAACATCACCTCTTGTCATTGTCTTGTCTCGGCCACTAACTTGGTTTTTGGCGGTGTGAAGTTCATGTGGCGGAACATATTCTGGTTTCAATGAAGTCAAAGAGTCACAGATCCCAACTTGAACCCCAGGACAGTATTCATGATCATGGCGCTACGTGCTTTTTGACGACATATTGTTGCAGAGCGTTGTTGCTGAGGGGTCACACACCGCCTACCCACTGTAAGTTATGAGTATTCGTCGAGATCGCTACGGCTGGTACTGGCGAACAGAAATATTGTGCAGCGTCCTAAAAGCGTGCCTGTGAGAACTATCTAAATGATCATAAGTGTCAGTCTTCACTTCGAAGGACCGTACTTGGTGTCAGAGTTTTTTTCTCGCCACACTGATGTGGCAACTGGTAAAGGAAAGCTGAATTCGGCAGAAAACACGGTCGTTCACTTCTTAAGTTACCACCTCTCCAAGTCTGGTGTCACCAAACACGATTGTAGAATGCCTTAGAAGTGACGTTATAGTCTGAGTTTCTCTCTGCGGATGACACTAGCTTCGGACTTTTGATTTATGCCCCTCGGGGGCCCGCATAGCGAAACGACGGCCGGCAATACTTGCGTGTGGGGAACAGGTCACTTGTTCAGGCATTCGCAGTTGCTATAACCCGCCCGAACTGAAGTCCCCTTCCCTCTCCTGAGTCTCACTCTCCCCACGCTTCTTGTTCGACGTCACGGCCATGTCACTGCTTTCCTACATATTATCTCCAGCACGCTCTTCATCCAGGCGCACGACATTGAATATGACCCGAGCAGCGTCCACACAGGCGCGAGGTAAGGCGGCCCTCTTGCAGAAGAACCCGGACGATGTCGTTATTACGTTTGCGAAGAGGACGGCGATGGGGAGGGCGAAGAAGGGACAGTTGAAGGATACGCCTGTCGATGAGCTCTTGCATGCTTTGTTCAAGGTCGGTCTATTCCAATGTCGTTCGGACGGTTCGTTGAGCGAAAGGTTTGCCCCTATTGGTCATGACCCCGCATATTTCATCGCAGGCTACGTTGGAGAAAACTAGACTCGATCCATCCAAAGTAGATGATATCTGCGTCGGTGAGCCTCCACGGACCATGTTTGCTACACCAAGTTATCTCTGACCCCCCATGTCTTCTGCAAGGTACATGTCATCCGCCTTCCCCACTCTACGTCTCCAGAGCAGCCGCCTTGGCCGCGGGCTTCCCCGACAAGGTCCCCATCTCCACGATCAACAGGCTCTGCTCATCTGGTCTTATGGCTATCAGGAGCATAGCTCATGATATTCAGTCTGGCGAAATCGAGTTGGGGCTTGCAGTCGGGGTGGAGAGCATGTCGTTGAAGTGCGTACAGATGCCCTTGCTCTACGTTCCGTGCCTCTGAATCGCGGAACTAACGGCGTTATGGAAATGTGCTTCTGATACTTCAGTCCTCGCCCTACACCTGTGGTTACTGAAGCGGTATCTGCGAACGCGCAGGCTCATGACTGCATCCAGGCGAGTTCGTTCTGTGGCCCTACTTGTGGTCGTCGTGCGCTAATGGTTATATTTAGCCCATGGGATGGACATCCGAGATGGTGGCCCAGACATACAAAGTCTCCCGTAAGAAACAGGACGAGTATGCACTCATCTCTCATACCCGTGCTTCCGAGGTGCGCAACTAGCATTAACCGCACCCCTTACTTTATATCATTCTACTCTACCACTTACACAACTCTCTCCTACCGCCATAGGCCTCCTCCAAAGGCATATTCGCCGAAGAAATCCTCCCCATCGCACTCCGCGGCTCGACCATCTCCATCGACGACACCATCCGGCCCTCCGTCTCCTCCGACTCCCTCGCCTCCCTCAAACCGGTCTTCCCAGACTGGGGCGACGCGTCCACCACCGCCGGCAACGCGAGCGGGGTCGGCGACGGTGCCGCATTATGCATTCTGACGACGAGGGAGAGGGCAGAGAAGGAAGGGATGGAGGTGTTGGGGAAGTGGGTGGGCAGTGTGGTCGTTGGTGTCGAGCCGAGATATATGGGGATTTCGCCGGTCGCTGCTATTCCGAAGGTTTTGGGACAGTATGGGCTGGGGAAGGAGGATGTGGATGTTTATGAGGTGGGACTCTTTGAATTTCTGGTTGGAAATGGATGAACGTATGCTGACTCTGATTTTGTGCACAGATCAATGAGGCGTTCGCTTCTCAATTCGCGTACTGTGTGGAGGAGCTTGGTATCTCCATGGACAAAATCAATCCGAAGTACGTCCGCCAACCTGCTATTGTCATCTCAACCGCTGAACCAAGACCTCTTTTTGCTCCCTATAAGCGGAAGCTCCATCGCGCTTACCCATCCTCTCGGCATGAGTATGTCCTTTGTCCGTCACCTGTTTGATGCAGCTTCTGACTCTTGAATTTGCAGCCGGCGTTCGTCAAGTAGTTACTGGTCTGGCCGAGCTTCGTCGCCGCAACCAGCAGATTCTTTGCACTAGCATGTGTATCGGGAGTGGAATGGGAGGTGCAGGACTGTTCGTTAACGAGGCATCGTCGCTGAAGGCAGCTCTTTGAGCCTATCAGAGTACATCATCTATGCGGAAATCACACATCTTGCATTCGAACACGGTACACTGGCCACCTTACTTACTACATATAAAACCAAAAAGATCGTACACCCTCAAGTACACTTTCCCGTCATCTTGGTAGTCGTCGCCGCCGCTTATGATCCTTCCGGCCTGGTTTAACTTACATACCTACGCCTTGCTCTGCGCCTTCAACGCGGCGTCCACGACTTCGGTCATCCCGACCACTGCCTCTTCCTCCAATGTGTGACCCACCAACTGCAATGACACAGGCGCGTTCTTGAACGTCGTTGGGGAGTCGTCTGTTGTTGCAGGTCAGGTCAGAGACACGATTTGAGAGGGAAAAGGTGGAACGCACAGAGCTCGTAGCATTGCTGGTCCCTCTCGTTATAGAAATTGTGCGCTGGCTTGGGCTTGTCCAGCGTCTCGTCGACGGTTGTTACGGGAAAGGTGCATGCGGGATAATCGAGGCAGTTCCAGATCATGGTGTATTGTGCCGAGCTGTACCATCGCACAGAGTATTTCTCGTTAGAACGACGCATGGACCATAAAGAAAGAAAAAGACGTACGAATTCTTCCCATGCGGCGGTGGCGCCCACGGGGCGACTGGTGAAATGATCGCATCTACAGGCCTTCCAGTTGTCGTATCCTTCACGCTTCCTCGCCACAACTCGAGATACTCCTGCCTCAAATCCCGCCTCTTCTTCTGGATCTGGAATAACTCGTAGACGGTCTTAGTCTTGCTGTCGTGGTAAAGCGCTTTGGCGTCGAGAGGAGCGTCTGGAGCCATCGATTGTAGCAGGGGCTCGCCAGTGAGTTTGGTGACGGCCTCGTAGTCGTCGACGCCCGCTGCAGTCCAAATATCGAGCTAAATCACACACGGGCATCAGTCTGTACTGGAGTAGCAAACAAGAAGAGGCGGTGGTCTTACGATACTATCATAGAGTTCCTGATGTTTGTGAGGTTTCCAGTCCACGACATCGTGTCCCGCATCCAGCAATGCCTTCTTCGTCATCTCCAAAGCCCGGATGACAGGCGGATGTGGCAACAACACACCGTCATCCCACAAAATCCCAAAGCACAACTTCTTACCGCCTCCATGCTCGGCTAATTTGTATTCCTCCTCATTCCAGGGTTTGTGGATGACGAGCGGGTCCTTGAACCACGGTTGCTTGGATATGACGGCCTCCATGAAGAGTTTGACGCCAGCCAAGGACGGTGAGAGAGGTCCTAGAACAGAGGGGAGGGAGTCTTGGCCTTCGAGGGAGTTGACGGCACCGGCGTAGGGGATACGGTGGTAGGATGGGCGAAGACCGTAAAGGCCGTTCATGGCGGCAGGAATACGGACGGAACTGGGGGATTGCGTACGGTTAGAAGAGTAGGGGTGAGTAAAGAGCCGTGTTGAAGTACTTGCCCTCCGATGTCAGAACCCACACCAAGGATACTACCTTTCATGGCGATGAGGGCGCCTTCTCCACCGGAGGAGCCGCCGCATGTGAGGGTGCGGTTTCGTGGATTGACCGTACGTCCAAACACTGTGTTGTACGTCTCTGACCACTGTAAAATGCGACATATATACAACGATCTATTGAGAGAAGGCAAGTGCACTGACCATCAGCGTTTGTGGCACATTCGTGCGAACATACGGTACGGCGCCACACTCGTAGAGGATATCAGCGACGACGGCGTTCTTTGCAGCGGGCTTTCCGACCCAAGAGACATAGCCTGCAGCGATATAGTAAATCACAGTGTACACGAAGAGATTGTGAAATATTGCGCACCCATAATAGTCTCGAGACCTTCGAGTGCGATCTGATCCTTCAGGGAAATCGGCAAACCATGCAATGGACCCACGACTTTGCCCGTCGTCTTGAGCTGTTCATCGAGCCATTTGGCACGAGCAAGTGCTTTGTCGACAAAGATTTCAGTCAGGCAGTTGGTCTGTTACCCGGAGATCAATATGGTGCACACTGTACCATAATTAGTCAGGCAAACCCCTATCGGGGGCACTCACCACTTGATGCGCAACAATAGCTCTCTTGGAGTACGCCGTCGTGACCTCCACAGACGTCCACTCTCCTTCCGCAAGCTTCTTCAGCAACGCAACAATATCTGTGAGCTCCGTGATCTCGATTTCCTTCTCCGTCAGTAACCCACACTCAATCGGGAAGTTCGTGACATCGAGAACGTCCTCCGCGGGGAGCGTAACGATCCATTCTTTAGGGATGGTATCTTGTTGACGTTTACGCTTGTCTGCGACTATTTCTTGCCAGGAAGCAGGCATTGTCGTGGAGGGAGCGCGGGACAGATGGGAGCTCGAGGTAGAGATAAGTGGGTGAGAGCTGGAATATCCATTTGGTTAGAGAGACTGTGAGTACCGGCATTCCCACCAAGCGCGATGTCCATTGCAAATTGTCGGACTTTGAAAGCTGCCGAGCAAGCCGCATGTCATTTCGACGTGGGCCACCGGAAAACTCACCGAGTTGGCTGGGTGGCACCTATGTGCGAGACCATTGCGTATTTTACTCAGGGTCCACTACCCCAGTAAATCTCATAAAATCTGGAATATTATTTTACATGTATTAACTTCATTTGGTTGCGACGGAATTTCTGCAATCTCTTCGAGTGATTTGATATGAAGGTAGGGTCTGGTGTGTAGCTCGTTCACGCTGAGATTAAAACATTCTGTCGCAACCAAATGAAAGAGACATAGTTTAGATGATTTTCTATGTAGCCATTTTGGATGTAACTATGCACATCATCGCAGCATTTTGGTTTGCGTGTTCACAAGTGACGGGCCAGCAGCCACTCGGCAGCTCGGCAACGGGAGTAAGCGAGACGCGTCACGGCGGACTTTGAACCCGCTCGCAAAGGGTGAGCGCCGATACTCAGAGACTGTGCAAGTTATCGCAGGCGAGATCTCGAGGACGAACGGCCTGGCTCCCGCGTTATCTAATCTCCTCTTTCGATCCCAGATCCCATTATAAACAACAACACCAGTGGCGACTCTCTGGAGCAACAGGGGCCTAAAGGTAGAGTGGCCCATATTTCGGACGGCAAGTAAGGATCATACGGTTGACGGAACAGCTTGACTCGAATTCGCACATATATCCTGTCTGCAAAGAAAACCTTGTAACGATTTGCTCCTTCTTCGACAGCCATCATCGTCGCTGGCCTTTAACTTTGCTCAGCCTTGGACGTCCGGATCAGCCGCAGTAGGTGCCCTGTTTGATCCTCTCTTGTACAGGCATAGCGGTGTAGCCGCATCAATTTACTAAAGGCATCACCGTTTGCGATGTCAGACGGTCTACTTAGACTACGTAGATCGACGGCAGTCAACGTCACCTCGGCCAGTTCAAGTTCTATCTCTATCCCTTCCTTCTCTTCCACGATGGAGGACAATTTCGACTTCTGGCCCATCATGACCACCAACTCCTCTTCAGGATCTCAGGACGACCAAACTCAGACTTGGAACTATGCGGCCTCGTATCCCCAAGATCCATCCTTTGGTATTTTGCATGGCCTCGACGATTCCTCAGTCAACAACATGCTCGAGTATGGTGTCCTACCTCCAATTCCATTGCAAACACAACCTCTTTATACGAATGAATCCCACTCGGCCTACTATCCCCATGCTGTACCGTCTCAGCAATATACGCCCAGCACGATGATACCGCCTTCACAGCCCAATCCCTACACAAATGACGCCCAACTTCAGCTCGAAATTCTCCGCGAGACACGCAGAATCAGGGAACTAGAGCTCACGATCGCGGCTGAGAAACGTCGCTCAGACGAGGCCATCATGCGCCAACGCGAGATGGAAGTCATGATAGCGACCGCCCCGCCACAGAACACCGTTGAGCCGTTCAACTTTGGACCGAATCTAGAGGTTTTTGGTGCATTGGATTCATGGCCTTTTGCGACGTTTCCATCCTTGTCCGACTATAACACAGACCCATCTACCATATCCAACTCTCCGAGCAATCCATCCGCGGACATCACTCCTAACACTCCCCCATCCATGTTCCTTCCGAACGATGGTCCCTCTGATGTCGGAAACTCTCAAATGCCGTATCCCACTACGTCTTCGACCCCTCCACCCACCATCACACCTGCTTTACCTTCGTTAACGCCAAATAGACGGCGGCACCCTCACAAGAAAGAGCCCACCATCATCGAAGAGCGCGATATTTTTTGCATGCGATGCTCGAAACCCATGGTCAAAGCTCTCCTCCGCGGCACTCGTGCAGAGCTCGACGCACAGTTTCGTCCCCAATTCCAGTGCAAGGACTGCGCACCCGTGAGACAGGCGACGGTCACCTCGTCGAAGAAACGTGGAAATGAACTCGAGGATACGGCGCTCCCTACTTTGTGTGTGGTATGCACGAAGCCTCAAGGCGAAGGCGGATTCGTGGCGAAGGATAGAGTGCCATTGATGTTTATGTGCGAGGTGAGTGTCTATCTATGGTAGCAGGAGAAAAAGACTAAGCTATCGTTCCCGCTTACCTCAAAACAGATTATTTGCATTTCATGCTCGCATAAATACAAGCGGTTGGCCTGTTTATCGACCTCTTCATTTTATTTTATCTTTGATCATCCTTGGATTGTACGGGTTCATAGGTGTAGCCATTGTGGAGGTGGTACCGGTCGTATAGCCCTTGGTAAGTGGAGATGCAAGGAGCTTTTCGACGGCAACCGGAAAACATGTCGTCTGAGCCACGAAAAGTGAGGTCTCTTTCTCAGTTGTTCCGCGAATCGACTGAGCCATGAACATATCAACTAGACTCGGTGCAAGAGACATGGAAATGTCCGTTTGGGAAGTTCCCGGGGAAGTGCAGGATAGGGAGGAGTATCCGGCCATGGTCGAGGCTTGCTTGAATCTTTGGACGGATCATCATTTATCCAGAGCTGCTACGCCCGAGGTAAGATCAGCCCCTTGACTTCTTGTGAGACGTGGTTCACCAAAGATTTCTTCATTCACGATCAGGTGCTGGAGCATTCGCCCGACCTCAGGTCATGGGAAGACATCCATGAGAAACTCATTAATGCAGGACCCCCGGGACAGGTTCTTCTTACCCAACCACCAATTACACCGTATCACAGACAATATTTTGCTTTGACGTGGGCGAAGAAGCAGAGGAGAAGGGATAAGTCGAAGCCAGAATGGACGCGTTCGAGCGCGAAGGAGAAGAATATCGATGAATGGTAAACGCATCCTCTATACCTATTCTTCATGCATTCTAAGAGCCCGTCCTTTGCATAGGGTTGCGGTGGGTCTATTGCTTGGTCACAAGATGCTCTCAGCTCGGAAGCCATGAATGTGTTGTAACTGACATGCCTGACGTGTTCTTCCTAATTAGTTTAACACCCGCAAGTCCAATGTTCTCCTACCGGAAAATTCGGTCTTGTCTTCAGTGTGGTATTGCGAGTGGAATATCAAAGGTGTACACACCCGCAAATCGTGTCTCTTTCTAGCTCGTACTTAACGATGTATAATCCAGATCGGACCCTCATGACTGGAACCCTCACTATGTTCGACAGAGGCGACGTCGACGAACGTGCCGGATTCTCAGTCAGTAGTATCATACTCCGAACCCTGGACGAAATCAAGCGCCACAACGCTGAAATGCCCGAAGACATATGGGAACCACCTGAACATATATGGGTGAGGTCGCACTTGTAATATTAGATAGGCTACATCTCATGGAATGTTTTTGGACGGTTCAAGGCACCACCAAGATATGCCCGCTCCCGTTCGTATTTAACAGTTGACGGGAAAGTCACTCACCCTACTGACCGTATCTCACGCGTTCTTCTACTCAACTGAATAGATCTACGTGTCAAGCTTTTTGAGCTCATACAGCGCAAATGCGGATTTCTTCCCCTCGACGAGTACCTCGGCCGTCATCCGCATATAAACCCTGCTATCTTCGGCCCAGATTCTGGACGCATCGCCAGCCACATGTTCAAGCGATGGTCGAACATCGACGGCTCAGGGCAGCAGAGTGTGATTTTTGCGAAAAGTTTAGGGACTGGATGGAATGCTGAGGACGTGAAGCATTTGATGCAGAAGGAGTTGATGAAGATGCCGAGAGGCGTGCAGATTTAAGGAGGGCAAAAGTCGACGACGAAGTTGTACTTGTTGCGCGACGATCGGGTTCAAGTGCGCTCAGTAAGCAGAGTAGAAGACGGAGTCCTTTGTACACAACTCGGCAGACAGGGCAGTGATGATGATGGACTTGCACATGCATTAAAAGTGTACGGGTTACTGTGCAAAGAACTGTAGTATTACTCATCCTCTTCACCAGTTTTCTGCGTCCATGCTCCATGCACTACAATTCAAGAAGGTTGTTACCTAGAAGCAGGAAGGAAGTAGTAAGTAAGAAGTTGAGAGGTCTTGTCAACAAGATGTGAAAAGCTCAGAACGTCATTCATGTCAGTAACGCCAGACGAACAAGGCAAAGCCCTGTCAATCCGGGTCAAGTCGACTAAGAGGTGCCAGTGGTGGTTGTATAGTACAACACTCTTCATTGCGAGCACAAAAAGAGCGAAAACTCACCAAATTGGATAGAGAATGTGGAGGCTGAGACGAGGACGAGACGAGGAACAGCGCGAGCTCGCGCGAAAAAGTTGGTGTTTATATATTTGCAAATTTAAAGTCCGCGCGCGCCTCGCCGGCGCGCCTGGTCTATCGATTGGGCTGCTCATCGTTCGTCCCAACCAGCTCGCCGTTCCTCAAGGTGAGTACATACATTCTGCTCATGCTGTCGTCCTGGTAGAGCGTGGAGAGCACGTTTGGTCTACCAAGCATGTTTCGTTGCTGAAAGAATCAACACTGCCGGTGGATTGAGGTTGCGCTCTGCGGATGACTGGATGACCCGTATTCGATTGTTATGCGGCGCTGACCTCCTCCTTCCTTGATCTCATCCGCGTAGACCCACCCTTCCCTCCTCAGGATGTCTGCCCAAATCAGCAAAAAGCGCAAGTTCGTGGCTGACGGTGTCTTCCGCGCCGAACTTAACGAATTCTTCACCCGCGAGCTTTCCGAGGAGGGTTACTCTGGTTGTGATGTCCGTGTCACCCATGCTCGCACTGAGGTACGTCCCCTTCTTTTGGGATACATTATCATCTTGAAGTCGCCCTCACACATAACGCTCAGATCATCATCCGTGCCACCCACACCCAAGAAGTCCTCGGTGAAAAGGGCCGCCGCATTCGTGAGCTCACCGCTCTCGTCCAAAAGCGTTTCAAGTTCCCGGAGAACTCTCTCGAGCTCTACGCCGAGAAGGTCCAATACCGTGGTCTTTCCGCCGTTGCTCAGTGCGAGTCGCTTAGATACAAGCTCCTCGGTGGTCTCGCCATCAGGAGGTACGTCTACTTCTCCTATTCGTCTCTGACACGATCTCAACGTGTGCATCTGTAGGGCATGCTATGGTGTTCTCCGCTTCGTTATGGAGTCAGGCGCCAAGGGTTGTGAGGTCGTTGTCTCCGGCAAGCTTCGTGCTGCCCGTGCCAAGTCCATGAAGTTCACCGACGGTTTCATGATCCACTCCGGTCAACCCGCCCGCGACTTCGTCGACTACGCCGTGCGCCACGTCCTTCTCCGCCAGGGTGTCCTCGGAATCAAAGTCAAGATGTGCGTTTTGCTCATATTTCTTTTTGTGAAGCACTTACTTACCGAGATATCCGCTCTTACAGCATGAAGGGTTGGGACCCTGAAGGCCAGCTCGGCCCCAAGAAGCCTCTTCCCGACTCCGTCCAGATCCTCGAGCCTCCTGTCGACAAAATCGTCTCAGAGCCGTCTTCCGAGCAGCGCGAGCCTGCTATCCCCGTGCAGCCAATACCTCAAGCTCCAGCCGCCGAGGAGTCCGCGTACCAGGCCCAGGAGCCATCGTACGAGGCTCAGCAGCCCTACAGCGAGCAGCCCGCGACTTTCTGATCTCTGTTATGAGCCGTCCTCTTTTGCTTGTGTAGCAATTCGATTATTTCTGCATGCTGTACCCTGTTTTGAATTGAGACGATGCCATCGGCACTCAATACGTGTGTATCATCATCGAGGATTCGTCAAGCTATTCGTCACATATCGTGGGCATGGACAGAATTTCGTAAAAAGTGTATTTAAGAAGTACGCAATGTGGGAGCGAAACGACAGGGCACGATGCATGATCCTTCGAGATGCAGACATTAATCTGCACTTTACTGATCGTCAGTCAACGTCTTGGTTCAGTCTGTTACGACTCACCTGCACTTATTCATCAAGGGAAGAGCACAGACGATATGCTGGCTCCGGCTAATCCGCCGGATGGAAGTGTGAAAGAGACGGAAGTCGTGCTCGGGCCAGTCCATGCTGGAGGTAAAGAACCCGATCCGAGCGTGAAGGTTAGTGTAGCATTGCTCAACAATTGTGTGGGTTCAGAAATAGTAACGTTCCAGCTGTCCATCCTTACGATGACCGCAGTGCTACCCGTAGACTCGACGGTAATGGGCGCTGTTCCATTTACGGATGGAATTGTCGTCTTGCCCCCGTCCGTCTCCCAGAATACGAACATGGCTACGTTGTTTGCAGCATCGAGGAGTGCGGAGATGGAGCCGTCGTTACGAATAGTCTGGAGTTGCGATGAGGATGATTTGGTAGAGAAGGTCTCAGGAGTGGTGGCGGGATAGATGGTATACTCGACGTCCGCGGTGAGATCGCTGTGGGACAGCCATGCTGAGAAGAGATCGACAGTTTCCACCCCCTGTGAGGATGTCCCAATGGTCGACCAGTCTCCGGTTCGCTCTCCAAAATCGACGGAAAGAGATACGGCGGTGTTTGAGGAGTTAAATGTATAGCCGACGTTACCGTGCCACAAGGATTGTACGCCGCTGAAATTCCCCGGTTGTTGTGTGACACCATCAACAAGGACGTCGCCGGTATGTCTGCGTTGGTCAAGAACGGAGAACACAGGGGCATCCGTCGTAGAGATGATACGTGCCACCATGACATGCTGCACATCGTCGTCGAGGAAGAACCACGTCTTGCGCCAGTTCAATGTTTTCGAGGTCGGTGTCTCGTAGCGCATCGCTGCCACTCCCAAGGTCCCATCTGAAGCGCCACCCACGAGGGTCTGCGTACCTGCATGCCCTGCGCCTGTACAGTTGAGTGCGGTGGCGCCGTAATCGACTGTAGTGCCCGGAATAAGGTTCCAGTCCCACGCAGCGAAGATATCTTCATATTCGTCACCGGAAATGTAGGTGTAGAGGGTACCATCGCTAAGGTGGAAACCGAGCGGGTTCTGATCGTTGGTGCACTCTGTGTTCCTGGTGCGTTTCGAGTACATCTTTAGTGTGGCAGCATAACCTGATCCTCGCTGTACCTATAAGCGTTGAACGATGAAAAGGTGAAGGGTAGTTTCAATATAATATTACAGCCCTACTAACCATGTAGTCGTTGTCAAAGAACATGCGATTACCGAGGAGAGGCCCTGAATTCGCGGTCGTAGTATTCTCAGAGAGAAGATTGAAGGCTTTCGTTAACGACTCTGACTGCCATTCTTGAGCAAGGACTTGCAATTGGGTGATATTCGTCTTGAGATTTTCGGTTGCCCTGTAGAGGTGAGGGAAGAGCTTTAGACATGCCCGCGTGTGTCTGTGGGCAGCTTACTGGTTGTCAGCGACGGGGAAACTGATAAAGCGGCCCAAGACGCTCTATGTGTGGGTGTCCATTAATTTATAGCAGCGAAAGAAGGATTAAAAGGTACCTACGAAGTCCCAGTGGAGCACATTCGTAAGGGTATTTCGGTATATCATCCAAGCGTTTCCCTCCCAAAGAGTTTCGAAAGCGGATCTCGATGCATCCGTTGCTTGAAAGGCCGTATTGGCAGCCTCAAGCTCAAAGTCGAACACATCGTTGGCACTGCGATAGTTCATCAGCATCGTGCACCATTAAAACCTCGAGGACTTACTAGTCCTTCCCATAATTCCCATTGTACAACATGCCCGTGTGTTGGCCGAAAGAGCCATCTGGACGGATGCCGTCCGCGGAGGTCGCGTTCTCGATGACTACCTCGTTATGAACTCGATCGAAAGCGTCTTGCAACAATGATTGATTGGTCGTAAGTAAGGCAAGGTCGACACCGATGCTTGCGATATCCAATGTATTCGCTCCTGTAATTGAACTGACCCCATTGATGCCGGTCGAGAATGTGGCGTAGGCGCGCGAAGTCATGTGTGTGCAGTTGCTGAGTTCCGTGGGTAGTAGGGTATTGTTCAACAGGAGACAGGATTCACCGACGAAACTGGGAATCCCGATGATCTGATAGGCAGATAATCAGACAGTGTTAGTTTATGGAGGGGCATGAAATACGACGTACGTTGGCAAACCAATTTTTGTTCCAAAATCCACTCGTTCCGCAGGGACAGCTCGCGTCGCCACCTGAGTCGATGCAAGCGGGGTCTGTGAAGTCGTTCTCGAACCAGAAGCCCATGGCAAGAGAGATGGAATCGCGAAGGTCGGTATCATTGGCCAATTGTGTCGCGCCCTTGAGTCCTCCATGCCATGCACTAGACAAAGTCACTGCGAACGTTGTCAGCGGGCTGGCCATGTAATCACGATCCTGAAAGGAAGCATGGAGATGAAAACAACTCGCCTATGCGCTCCCAATGTTCTTGTGCAGGCCAACTCCCTGTCTGAGCAGAGCAACCCGTGGTATAGTCGATCTCTGAATCAGGCCATTTGCCGTCTGTACCGAGAGTTGACAACCTGATATTGAAATATATAAGGCAACACGCTTGATGAAACAAGCACAATAACGTACCAACTTGTTATAGAAGCAGCGTTGGTAGCTCCCGAAACGATGATGGAAGCTCTTCGTTGCGCTAGAGTTTGGATGTCTTGTAGCACTGATGCAGCGCGAGCTTGGGTCACGACAAGCAACAAGAAGGATAAGTGCACAAGACCGATACAGACGCGAAAATTGAGGAGCAGAGTAATTGGCCTCATCGTTGATTTTACCCGGGGGAAGTCTAAGATTGCACTACTCGATAACCCGGCATATAAAAGCATAAGTTATACCCACCTTCATCCCGAGACCGTTCAAGAAAGTGCCCACAGCCCTCGCACTGTGCCAGCACCTTTTCCGAACCACCGTAGAAAGTCCGCCTAAGATGATCCAGCACATCGTATGGTGGTGATTAAGAAGGTGGGATGCACGATGTCTGCTGCAATGGAGGACTCGGACTGGAAACTGGTCATGAGTGCGAAGCCTAGGGGCAAGTAGACCGATTTGGCTGTCTCAGCGGATTGTCAAGATATCTGCGCGACGCATGGAACCCATGGGAAGACCTCTGTCGAGCTAAAGATAACCAGTACAGCACCTTGCGGATGAGCAAGTAGTCCAAGCAAGATTGGTGGCCAGATTCAATGCTGTAAGAGGGATTTGCCGATGTGGAAGATGCTGCACTTATGTCAGGCATCGAAGCCTCGGGCCAGGGCGCAGTAAGTAGTAAAAAAGACCACAAAAATGGTACGAAAGGCCAGAGCAGAATGATTATGGAGAAGCTCTGACAAGCAAGCAAAGAGAGAAGACATTATAATAGGTATGAGCTACAACACTACTTATGCTACAAGATGGAGTAACCAGTCAAGAAGAGGATATATGTATATATTTTGGTCCATGATGCAAGAAGATGATACGCGGCTATAATAGTCCACGTGAAGCGTCCGATTAGTCCTAGAGAAGCATTCGCCGCAGAAGTGAAGTGACGATGTCAGAGGCATGCCTCATGGGATCACTTGCCCGCGGAAGCCGTGACATGGAGCTTCGCCAGAGCGCAGATGAGAGGGACAGCGTGAAACGAGTATCCCACCCAGATCACTGAAAGAGAGAGATATTAGACCATACGGTACTACTTGATCGAGACGCAGAATGAGTAAAAAATTCTCACTGGTGAAGCCGTTGCTGGTATCAGCAATGAGCTCGGCGCTGCTGTTGCCTTCTGTGATGTCCTTGTTGAAATCCTCGACGGCTTTTCCCATCCACATACGAAGGACAAGGAAAGCGGTGAGCCCTAAATCGTCGCAGTCAGAGAACATTACAGTCCACGTGAACGCATCGTCACGCACCAATCATGAACCCAAGCAAGCCAATCCAAGCCGTCGTGCGTTGAATCATTGGCTTGTCGAGAGCGGCGGACATTTTTGCTCCAAGAGATCCCCGAAGCGAAGTCATAGTAAAGAGAACGAAGAAAATTATGGAGAAGCCGATGGAAACTGCGATGAAGGCTGGAGTTGTGGACGTCGGGGCAGTCAGCATGTCGGGAGCTCCGCTTGGTAGAGCGGACAGGTCTGTGACGCGTATGCTCAGAGGATATTGACTAAAGGACAAGGTTCAGGTGCTCACCGTATTCTGGAGACAGAGTAGGGATAGTACAAGAGACGTCGCCGTCATTACTCGTGCGCGAGCAGGAGCCTAATGCAGGGTAAGGAACAGGAGCACGAGATAAGAGGACGATGTCGTACCGAGTGCTCCAAGGAATACTGTAGGCCCATCGATGTTTGAGGAGGAAGTAGAGTTCGTCGTTAATGTCGTGGACGGCGATACCACAAGCAATGCCACACGATCATGTAATAGCACGGTCGGGGCGAGGTACGCAAACATGATCAGGAAAAGGGACGTCAACGCCAAGATGGGCGAGAGGTACAGAGTGACAGCTTTTGAAACACCAGCAATCATGACGTGCAAGAGAAGTAGGAGCAATTAGAATGACAGTATTGCAGAAAACAACGCCTGGTTGAATTGAAGTGAAGGAAAAAAAGAATGAGTGGACTGCACTGCAGGAGAGACTGGTGGAAGAGGCGAGACTGGAGGTTCCTGGTACGAGATTCGAGTTTATATACGCAGGGACCAGCAATAATCACCGCAGGGTATAACGAGAACAATAACCTGGCGTCGAGCGACGAGTAAGTAATCAGGCTATGCATGCCTAGGCCTAGGGTGGAGAGAACAACGAACATGCCCTGTATTTGGCAGGCGCATTGTTCTTCATCCGGCATCAAAATCCAGGCGCCTCCGTCCTTCCATCGTAACGTATCGTCGCAAAGTTACCAGGGTGCATGATCAAGGTTAAATGTGTACTCTTCAAAGAGACAAGACAATAGTCGTGTGAGCAGTAGACGCAGAGAATGGAGGCGACCTGGGTACGGTGGTGATTCCCTGTGGACAAATATGGACCACACCACGTGCCAGCCGCGCGAAATTTCCTCCAGGCAAGTTTGGGCCTGAGTGGATCCCAACTGCTGCGTATACAACGCTCGTTTTCCTATGGCGGATTCTGTGGACGTACAACTTCCCCCACAACTGGGACAACTCTCTCATATCATTGATGAAAAACCAGAATCAATAGCATCAGGTAGTTCCGAGGCTCGTGGCGCCGCTCTGAAGGCGACAGAATATGTCTTCAACCTCGGTCTGTTCTCGCCACACTACTCTTTACCGGCCATGTTCTGACTCTCAACCCTTCCTACGTAGCTCTACAGACCGAAGAAAAGTCACAGTCTCATATTGCCGATCTCCTCGCATCCTTCAGTCCGGCAGAAGCACCACAGACCCGCTCACAGGCTCGAGCAAATGGCAAACGCAAACGCAGCCCGTCTCCCGAAAAACATACTCTGCAACGGACACCACTCTCTTCACTCTTCGTCGACGGCATGGGAGAGGAGCAACTTTGGGCTCAGCTCGAACTGAGGTCTCAAAACATCTGTCAAATCTTAGCCCAGGCGTTGGAAGGAGCCGGTGAGGACGATGAGGCGGATATGATGAGCGAGGCGTCGAAGAAATTACGCCTGGAGGATGATGATGAGGAGGAAGAGGATGAGGACGAATTGTTGAATGTATTTCGAGGGCAGACGGGCGATGACGACGACGATGAGGACTCGGAGGAGGATGAAGAAGACAGCGATTCGGGCGACGATCCAGCGGACCTAGGGGAAAACGTAGAGGCTTTGCGAGACCCTTCATCAGAGGCCGAAGAGGCCGAAGACGATGAAGTCAGCATTGACACTCTAGAGAAGGACTCGCGTAGGGGAGGGGTGTCGTTACCCAAACGAAGGCGAGGAGGACATTCGGTGTTGGACGATGGTTTTTTCGACTTGGCAGAATTCAATGCAGAGACGGAACAAGCAGAGGCCAAGTCATCATCGAAGGGGCGCCTAGCCGACGAAGATGAAGATGAAGACGACGAAACCGAGTCCGTCGATTTATTCGCCTCCGTAGATGATGCCGCAACATTTGACGAGGATGACTTAGAGAGTTCTGGCGGTACGTCTTATTTTGAGGTTTTGCTTCCTCCGCCGTGCATGCTCAAGTACTTGAATATCACAGAGGCCTACTACAGAGACTTTTTTGTACCTCCACGGGCACTGCCCTCAAAACCCAAACCAACTGCTGCCGTCGCTGCCGTCGCTCCTACCCGCTCAACAAAGGTCCGCTTCCACGAAGAAGTCAGAGTCAAGAAAATCAAAGCAAGAGGTCGAAGCATGCCTGTCACGTCCGCACGGTTACGCGGTAACACGGTTGATGAGGATGATGATGAGGACGGTGACGAGGATTCTGAAGGGCTCATGGAAGAGGATGAGAGTTCGGAGGATGACGATGGCGAAGGGGAACAGGAAGATGACGATGAACTCCGCCAACATCCTGGAAGTACGCTAGGTTGGCCTGGCATGAGCGAAGATGAGGACGAGGAGGGGAGTGAGGACGAGGACATGGATGAGGAGGGCAATTTCGACGGGCGGGAGACGATGGACCGTCTAGAGAATGATCTTTTCGCAGAAGATGAAGAGACTCACGATGGTGCGTTTGCTAATTGCGACTTCTCTAGAATAAAACTCACTCGTCTTCGAATCTTCAATAGATCTCACCACACATCAAAAGCGTATGCAGGCGCTCCAGGAGCAAATTACTGAGCTTGAAGCTGAAAACATCGCAAAGAAAGACTGGACACTCATGGGCGAGGCTACCTCTCGTTCGAGACCGCAGAACTCTCTCCTCGAGGAAGACCTAGAATTCGAGCGCGTCATGAAAGCGGTCCCCGTGGTCACAGAGGAGGTTGTACAGAGCTTGGAAGAGCGCATCAAAGCCCGAATCCTGGAGAATCAGTTCGACGACGTCGTCCGCCGGCGTGCCGTGGACGACAAGCCTTTCTTGCCTTCGCGATTCTTCGAGCTAAAAGACACGAAATCGACACAGTCCTTGGCCCAGATCTACGAGGACGAGTATACGGCCACCCAGACAGGGGGTGTGGCCGGCGAAGATCGCGATGGAAAGCTCAAAAAGGAACATGATGAGTTGGAGACAATCTGGGACGGTATTTGTGCAAAGCTCGACGCTCTCTCGAACACCCATTTCACTCCGAAGCCCGTGAGTACTCACCTGTCTTCTCTTTTGAATGAGCGGCTTACTTACTCGACTTCACACTATAGCCTAAAGCTACGATCACGACGGTGTCAAATGTCGCATCGGCTAGCCTTGAATCTGCTCTCCCTACCGCCAAGTCTGCGACGACTATGCTTGCTCCAGAGGAAATCTTTGCGCCTTCGTCCGCAGAGGCTCGGGCGCGGGGTGAGCTTACACCCGTAGAGAAACGCGCTCTTCGGAACAAGAAGAAGAAGGCCTACAAGAAAGCGCGAGACTCATTAGACCAGAGTGTTGACAAGTACGCTAAACCGAAGGGTATGAAGGGTATCAAAGCCCAGAAGGAGGCTGCTTTGAAGAGTGTGGTGAAGAGTGGGAAGGGTGTCACGATTGTAGGGAAGAAAAGTACGGACGACAAGAAGGATCGGAAGAAGGCCTGACGATTCTCTGATTCTCACTTGCTGCCCATCGCATCCTAGGGATCCCTTGTATCATTTGCTAGATAAGATTAACATTTAGTCGATGTCTTCCACATCTTTACGCCACGCGCATAGCTGGGCCACAAGATGAACCTGATTTGGAATTCGCGTGAGGCGGTTGCCACAGCCTCGGATAGGAACAGACCTCTTGCTGACCGCCAGCTCGTCAGCGACCATCTTCTTCGTCTCGCATCCTCACCATGTCCTGGTTTAACAAACGCAAGGAACAAAATCTTATTCCTCCCATCGAGTCTGCCGCCCCAGGAGGCGCCTCAAGGGGAAACACTACCTCTCCCCGTCCTCCTGTTCGCTCAGCTGCTGCGACCTACGTCCCCAGCCGCGATGGCGATATGTACAACTCCAGGTCCAACAGCTACAACAGTGGCAAGTCTGAGCCTCCTGGTGATGGTTACAGCGCTCCTCGCGACAGATATGGGCGTAATGCCCCCGTCGGTGACGTCTACTCTCGCGGCGAAGGCGACCTCGACAGAGACCGTAACGAACTCTTTGCGGGCTATAATCCTCAGAAGGCAGGTGGCTCTGACAGATTCGTTGATGGGCCTGGCTTGGGTAGGGAGCCTCCTCCTGGAGAGGAGAATGAGGAGGACATAGAGGGGATCAAGACGCAGACGAGGTTCTTGAAGCAGGAGAGCGTGAACTCTACGCGCAACGCTCTCAGAATGGCTCGCGAGGCCGAGGAGACTGCGAGGGGCACTGTCACGAAGCTGGGCGACCAGTCAGGTAAGCTGTGCCGGTCTCATGAGCATTGCATTTGGCGCTAATGATGAGATGGCTGTGACTCTCGTCAGAGAAACTTGCGAACACTGAGCGCCATCTCGATGTCGCGAAGGGCCACTCCTTGAAGGCCGAAGATAGGACCGACGAGCTCAAACAGCTTAACCGTTCTATCTTCCGTCCGGTTATCACCTTTAATAAGGACGCAAAGCGCGCCGCCCAAGAACGCAAAATTCAGGAGCGTTACGACGACGAGCGTAGTGAGCGGGAGAAGGCGATGATGGATATCAGGGAGACGCAGAACAGGTTGGGAAGAGCCGCTACGTATGGTCGTGGAGGAGACGACGATGAAGAGGGCATTGGCGGTGGATCCGGAAGGCTGACTGCTGTCCAGCAGGCGGCTAGGAAGGAGCAGAGGAAGCGATACCAGTTTGAGGCCACTGCGTCGGACGATGAGATGGAGGACGAGCTTGACAACAATCTTGACGAGATTTCGGAGATGACGAAGAGGCTGAGGACGCTTGGATCCGCCATGGGCGAGGAACTCGACAAACAGAACAATCGCATCGAGGTTATCGAAGGGAAGACCGTTAACTTGGACAACCGTGTGTTCAGGAACACCGAGAGGGTGAGTTTCATGATTATCTTCTCGACTGCTGCAATACCTGACCGTCTCGATGTTTTTAGCTCAAGCGCATCAAGTAGTCCGCCTTCACCACCTACTGTGGCGGACTAGGAAGCTGGACGGACATAGAAGCTGGACAAACTTTTCTGGAATTTTAAGCACACATATTCGTGCCTTCATCGCTCTAGATAACCTGTAGGCCTACATCGTCCCGTGCAATACGTAAAAATATTTTGTGTGATCCCTGTGAGTATTTTGTAGAAGATGGTGAAATGTTGTCGGAGATGGGGTTTGTGTGGCCATTTTGCCACATGCAGGGAGCTCGACTGACATGGACACCTCGACTCGCCTTTAATATCAGCGTACATGCTCGTAGAAATCTATGTGTGGTATAAATGAGGACATGCCATAAGTGATTCTAAATTATTCTGGCAGACCATGGTTGCCTACTTTTGCATGGGACATCTTTTGTTGAGGGGATCCTCTGGCTAAGGCGCCACAAGAGGCTCCCACTTCGTGAGGCTCTAGCTCCAGCATCCATGATCTTCCTCATACAAAAAGTTTATGGTCTTGGAGACCCAACAAAATAATTCCTCTGCAAAGGTCTGCTTGTTTTTAACAGACTGTTTGGCTTCTATAGACGGCACGGTTTTATAGAAATGACCAATTTTGCACCTCTCAAACATCCGAATGAAATCTGAGCGCAGAAAGTCGTGCAGCACCCCACAAATATTTACACAGATAGAATGATCTATCTTAAAACGCTATGGGTACTTCTTGCTGCTGGTCGTCTAACGATTATGTGTACGAAATCGGTGGGCAAGGGGGTGTGGCGCCTTTTGACATCTTTTTCGCCACTCATTCGGCAATAGCCGGGCCCTTTCGGCGCGCGTCCAGCTTCCCTGTTTTGCCACTTTCCCCACTCGTCGTCGCAAATTATTCATTGACGATGGTTTACTGCATCAAGCTCTCTAAGTAGATGTAAATATACTTAATAGATGTCAGACTACCTAAATGTGTCACTTAGTTTGCAAGTCATAGACAGGACATTGATTAAATAAGCGAGAAAGCCCATCTGTCCAGGATCCTAGTCCGCCACAGTATCAGTCGATACTACTCGCTAGTACGCTTCGTGGACATTGCTCATGGAAGTTTTTGGGTTCCCTTTTGGACTTTTCTGGATGTAACATAGTATAATCGTTCGTTGGATAAACGGATGGCGAAATCTTCTTTGTTCGAATTCTCATTCGGTCCCCGCAGCCAGAAATACTGAATACAGCTGGCGCGTAACCGTCTCATTATCTTACGCCGACCAGGTTATACGCTGTTATACGCTGCGGTTCTCGAGTACTCGCATCTTCCTTACTTATAGATCGACACGTTGTGGGGCCACAGTCGTGGATTTCTTGGTGACCCGGTAGATGCCGAAGCATGTAAAGTGCCGCATTGTGTCGGGCACTCTTCATTCACGCTGCTCTCGCTCGACCATCCTCCTAGAATTACGCACGATTTATTTCCACCACTCCGCACTCGCCTGACAGGCGAAAGGCTATGAATGACGAGAATATCTCGAGCGCCAATTCAAATCTGAAGCGGTGGTATGTTCACACATACAATATCGTCAGGTCATTGGGTTCACAGTTCTTGAAGGGAAGAGCTATTCGAGGAACAGTCTGGTACGTGTACATGAGAGTCATTCCATCTGATTTGAACATCTTTTTTAGACTATTCTCATTCCTTATATTACTTCGGGCAGCTATCTTTCGAGAAACAACTTCCACCAATGTGGCCCTCGAGGCCAAAGTCGACGAACTCGAGCGTGAACTTTCCGTATGGAAGTCTGCCTTCAAAAACGCGGAAGAGGAAAAGAAAGCCCTCAATAAGTCAGTCGTGTCTCTTGAGCGCAGAATAGACTCTCTCAAGGTGCGTCGATTCCCCTTTGTATGCTGCAGGGCCGTAAGCACCAACCACCTCGTTCGCCACTAGGACGACAATCCCCTTCTTCTTTGTTTAATCGATGGAGACGGAAATCTGTGGGCGGAGGACTTATGGCAGCTTGGGCAGCTCGGAGGTCGACAGGCCGCTTTGCTCTTGACTCAGGGCATAACGGAGCATGCAGACGACTCTCGCTCGCAGCTTTGGGTGACCGTGTATTGCAACAAAGCCGGCCTTATGGAGACGTTAGTCAAGAACCGAGTTTGCTCCTCTGAACAATTCGAAGGGTTCCTGCACGGGTTCAACCTAGCTAGCCCGCTTTTCTCCATCATTGACGTCGGGAACGGGAAGGAAGCTGCAGACACGAAGATCAAAGGTGTGCCAGTTATATTCGTCGCTCACTAGTTCATTCTATTAAATGACCGCTATCAGAATGTCTAAGAGTCTTTACGCGGTTTCCGCAGACCGTGAAGGTCTACTTTGGGGGAGGCCATGATAATGGTTATACTTCGACTTTGACATCCCTCGAGAATGAAGGCCTCCTGGATAAGGTCACGCTCTTGCGCGGGTACCGAAATTTAGCCTTCGAACTGAAAAACCTGCAACTCCCTTACCTCGAAATTGAGCGCTTGTTCATGACACAAAAATTGCATACAAATCCACAGAAGAAATCGACGACTCCTCACGCAACTCCCTCCCCGGCGCCAGACACCGGAAAACACAGAAACGCTCCCTTCACACCGTCAACAAGCAATGGGCATCAGCAGAGTGCAAAATATATTGACCCAAACTTGGTATGCCTTAGCCCGTATCCCTTGCCTTCGCATCAATAACCCTTGGCTAATCGTCACAGCCCTTGAATAAACGTTCGTTTTAGATGCTCACCTCATTGTTTGCGAGCTCATCAACTGTCTTCCTATAGATACTCCACCCCCGTGCAACTTCTTTTACCTGGCGAAATGCCATCAAGGCACCAACTGCCATTATGGTCATGATTATATCATGACTACTGAGGTGAGCTTTCGTTATTCGCCTGGATGGTAGGCTAGTTTGTCGTACTCATGTCAGCCCCAGAGCCTTGCCCAGATTAGATTAAATGCAAAAAAATCACCGTGCACTCACGTCAATAAAGGTAAGCGTCTGAAGATGCCCACAATGGTCTGTAACTTCACCGGCTTGCTCAGATCGGCCTTGTCCTGAGGGAGACGCGTGTCCCTTGGGCCACGTGTGCCCACGCGGTTCAAAGTGTATCTATAACCGTGAGGGAAAATGTAAATTCACTGGTAGTGGGTATCACATTCTCTTGTTTCCTCCCATAGCATTCTGCACGCTAACATTGCCACGATGTCGATGCCACAGAAACCATGCATTTCGGTGCACCTCGGTCAAATTCAAACGGTCCGAAGGGCAAGCAGGCATCGAAGCGCAGTGATAGTAGCGCGAGTGAAGTTCCCGGACGCGGCACACCGAGCAGGGCCTCTGTGTACTCGTACGGCGAAGAAATGTCTCCTCCAAGGGTGCCGATCTTTGTTCCATCGCAGATGCCTGATCAGATGAACAACTTTCTGAACGGGTCATTCTACGGTTATCCTGGGCAGTGATACTCCTGTAGCAGTTGAATTACTATAACAAAGACTCATGTATTTAGTGCTTCATTGTTTTCTCCAGTAACTAATGTAGATTCCCCCCACACATTTCGGCCAACTACATCTCCCCGCCACAACGGACTCATGGCGCCACTGAGTGACCGTAGTCACGTGCCTTTGTCACACCGCGTAGGAGTAGTGTCGTTCAGACGCGACTTGTTTCAGCTTGTTTCTCTCGCCTCTTTGCTCTTTCCTTCTTCCTATCTCATACAACACTACTACGGACCACTATGCCACCAACAGCATACGAGATACAACGCCAGAAGAATCTCGAAAGAAATAAACTCTTGCTTGAATCTCTGGGCATCGAACCTCTATTCCCTCCTCCGGCGAAACAGACCAAAAACCTGACGAAGGGCGCCAGCAAGAAGCGTAAAGCACCGAGTCCTACTGATGACTCTGCTATCGATGTGGAAAAGCCTGCCAAGAAACAAGCGCGTCCAAGTGCTCCTGCAGAGAATGCCGCTGGCCTGCGAAGGAGCGCGAGGAACTCCGGGAAGACAGTGGATTACAACGCGGTTCAGGAGCGCGGTCAGCCAGCTCCTGTGGCGAAGAGTTCGTTAGAACATGATAGGGACGCAAACAGGCCCATGGGGAAGAGAAAGCACGACCCGTACGTATAATAATGAAAACGTTCGTAGTCGAAGTGCAACTAATGTGGTGCAGGAAAACCTTTGGGGCTATCCCTGGTGTACCAGTTGGGACGTGGTGGGAGACCAGGTGTGTGTTCAGGACATTGTTGCTTCATTGCGCGGTTCTTACCTAGTTATTTACAGGGAAGCATGCAGCCTGGATGCTATCCACGCGTAAGTCTCACTTTCTCGTCTCACGTTCGAAATATAGCGTCTAATACTTAGCATCGTTAGCCCCTGGGTCGCTGGTATTTCTGGGGGACCCAAAGGAACTTATTCAATCGCTCTTTCTGGTGGTTATCCCGACGATGTGTACGTTTCTACTGCAACTGACATAATCTAACAGCCATTCACGAGTTCTTTTGTGCAGTGACCTTGGCAGCGCCTTGTACGTCGTTTAGCGGAATTCTCACTTGTTATTAGCCTGCTAACGCGAGTTGTTGGCCAGCACATACACGGGCTCAGGTTGGTTGTTTCCGCATCTATCTTGCGGGCTAGTGTTGTATTGACTTCAGCTTACAGGTGGTCGTGATCTCAAAGGAACAAAGAGCGCTCCTAAGAACGTAGGTGCCTTCCTTACGACGAATCTGGCTACTTTCCTCAAATGGCTTCCATTCTAGCTTCGTACCGCTCCTCAGTCGTGCGACCAGAGTTTCGATAATCCGTACAACAAGTCCCTGAAGGTATGACGATCGTTCTCGACCTTCGACTCACTTGCTGATGTAGTATACAGATATCTTCGGAGTCCAAAAAGCCTGTCAGGGTGATCCGGGGCTACAAACTAGACTCTCCATACGCGCCAGCTGAAGGGTGGGTGACCATATCATCGCACCAGAAATTCTCTGACCACGTTTTCTCTTTAGGTACCGTTACGACGGGCTTTACGTCGTTGAGAAGGTAAGCATTTGACTACAAATAAAGATCAGAAGATGCTCAGTCGTGCTTTCCCATAGGCCTGGATGGACCAAGGTGTCGAAGGCTTCCTCGTGTGCAGATTCGCTCTCAAGGTAATGCTCTTCCTTTATCTCTGCCAACTGCTCATTTACTAACCAACACGTTCAGCGGCTTGCCAATCAAGCTCCTCTCGTAACTAGTACCGAACCTCAAGCCGAAGTGAGCGGTGGTGAGGAGAGTGGTGCTATCTCCGAAGAGTCTCAGACCGCTGTCGCTGAGAGCGGCGGAGCCGACGCTGCCTCCGACGAGCAGTGATATCGACGCGACCTCATATCAACCTTAACCAGCTCGGGCAGATTGCCGACCGTTAAAATTCCCAGGCGACAACCAATCCATCGTCCGAGGACGACCCCATTTGCTATCAATTGCTTTCATTCTGTATATCATTATCCTTGCTTTCTTGGTTCTATGGATGCTGGTAAAGGCTACCCTTCCCACCTCCATCCATCCCATCGTGCTATCTTGCTTCATTATATTTGTCTATATCGGATATTTGTAATGTCATGACTTTGCTCCTGTTCTTGCATGAAAGCACCGCATGACCGAGGTCGGGTCTTCACTAACACCTTCAATATTGCTCTCTATACAGCTGCCCAACCCTTGGACAAGAACGAGTGTTCGCAGATGCTAACATCGGCCTTGTTTTGAGGTATTGGGACACAGGTGAGTAACTTCCTCGATTCTCCGCCTCATCTCTAGTAGCTCTAATACCACGAATCTCGACGACAGTTTATTAGATGTTCATTAAGGTATCCAGGATCTCACAGGCCGATGCTGGCACCCTGTCTTAATACAATACTCAAATCCTGTCAATTCACGACATGTCCTCAGCAGGACAAGTGTGCACGTCTCTATCCGTACGTCTATCTGCCTTTTTCAGCTCGTACGTCCAGAAGTTATGCTCAGAGGGAGCCGGCTGAGGTGCGGTAAGGGAAGTTGAACCTCAACATCGGGAGTCACTTTGCGAGTCAAGGAGTGAATCATGGACGATCATGTCTTGCAATATACTGTATTGGCGTGTCAAATGTAGCGTGATGAACGTGACAATGATCGTACATATTGGCGTCAGTGGTGTCATTTACAGTGCATACAGGGATCGAGGGTGAGGTGGTATTATTGTTGACCTGTATGATAAATAGGGAGAATGTATGATGTCGTATGTTGTCGTACCGGTCCCACAGTCGAGTAATGTGGTGATATCGCTTCCTCTTCCTCTTTTGCGTCTCCCATGCTGATACTAGTGCCTCTTCTGTCCTTAGTTCATCGCCACAAGACCCTTCAGCTCCTCGCAATCGCCTCCTTCACCACCTTCATAAACTCAGCTCCATCCGCGATGTTCTTCTTGAGATATCCTCCCCCGCCACCACCGTCATCGACATCCCCTCTCGAGGTGTTCGTCCGCCTAGTCGCTATCCACAACCTATAAACACCCCTGATGGCCTCCTTAACTCCTTCAGCCGCATCATCTCCACCATCGCCCACACTCCCATCCATCGTCATATACCCTATATCATCATCCACTCCCTCATCCAGATCATCCTCCTCCGGAACTCTTGTCCTCAAGAACGATGTCAACCCGCTCGGCTGCGTCGGTCTGCTGGACGCCGTGATAAAGTCTTCGCCCGCATCGTCTCCTGAGTCGTCGACCATATACGCTCTGAATCGTTCATCCTCTTCTTCCTGCGCGGTCTTCCCAGTTCCAGTAATAGGATTGTTCTTTTCTATGGGCGACGGCGTGTCGCTATCCGTCCCCATACTCGCCCCAATATCCGTCACATCTCCGTCGTCCACCTCTGTCACCCCATCCACGTCCGACACCCATATACCGGAAGGTTCCTCGGCCACCAGCCCACCCAGCAAATCCATCCCCAGCCCCACACTAACCTCCAAACTTCTCCGCGCACCATTCTCTGCTTCCTTCTCGATATATTCTTCAGTCGGCATCATCTCGTCGAATACGCTGTCCAATCCCGAATTGGGTGTGTCGGGAACTGTCTTTGGGCTTTGTCTGGGTGACATCTCGACTAGACGGCGAGCGAGCGTACGTGGAGAGACTGGGCGGCCGTCGGCACCGGCACCGTGGTTTCCGTTAACGCCAGGGTATGCGCGGTCGGGATCATCCCACGCAGATGGACGTGAGGCTTTGTGGCGGAGGGGGAAGGGCACAGGGAGAGGCTCGTCTGAGCGAACGTCGTTCGGGTGGTCTTGGTTGCGGAAGTGCGGGTGGTGGTGACGGGCATTAGAGTGTGGATGGAGTTTGCGTTTGTTCTTGTGTTCGGGGGAGGGGATGGTAGAGTCGGCGGTGCCTGGAGACCCACCCGTACATGGAGATGTCGTAGTGGTGAGTACACTTGGTTGGGAGAGATGACGGTGGAGACGGATACGAACCGTGGACAGCGGCGTATTGGGCCCAGTAGGCATCCTCGCCACCTGCGTCTGAGCCCTCTTTGCTCGCCACATTTCGGCTGTGCACCTTGTGATTTGGATCATCGTCATCCTCTGTGCCTCCATACGAATTCCAATAGTCGTCATCATCATCTGAAACCCCAGCACTCTGCCGTGCATGATCACCTGTTTCCATTTCTACCTCCGCACTTTCCGGTTCTGCGTCCACCTTGGCAAGCGCTTGGTCGAGAGAAGCCTCTGCGTTAGGAGGAAAGGGCATAATGTTCGCATCATGGTACCTCCAAGAGTCGTGGCCGTCCCACTGAAATACTAGCCTGAGTCCGTCCTCGTCATCATCTCCTATACTAAACACCTCGACGTGCGCATACGCACTCTCAGTGTCCACGACATAGCGAACTGGGGCATCGACCAGTAGGTCGTCGATGAATTGCGGGAGAGCTTCCAAGAGAGCAATAGTGCGGGCACGGTTGTCTTCTGACCATGTGAGGTAGGTGGGACAGTCAGATTCCGGAGAAAGCGATAGAAAATGGTGACGTTGGAGGAGTGCTCGGGAGATGAGATGGGGCGGGAGGGGTGTGTCGAGCTGAGAAGGAGGCTGGATAAACTGGAGAATAAGAGATACGTGGTAGGGCAGTAAAGGCGTCGGGGGCATAGTCTCTCGTCGTCGTCGGTGGTGATGACGGGGTGGGTGCTGGCAAAGGTGCGGATGGGTGGTGGTGGTGGTGAGGGAGAAGAATTTGCCTTGACGTGTTTGGCTGGGCTCTGACTGACGTCGATTTGAGAAATCTCGTCCCCACAAGTGGCGGGCGCTCCGGTGCGGGGAACCGTCGCATCATTCTCCTCCGCTCCTATTCCACGTGCCGGCACTCGCCGTGGGTCTCTTGAGCCTCGACTTCCATATCCATCCGTTTCTTTTATTATCATCTCTTTCTTGCTCGGTCGCAGGCTTGCACACCATCCTCTTTATACGACAGCTTGATCTCGCTGCTCTATAATCGAGTTCTTTACGACTAAACGAAACATCATGCGTGTCCAGTCTCTCCTCCCACTCATCCTTCTGCCGGTCCTCGCGCTCGCTCAGGTAAGCCCAAACAGCCTCAAATCATCTATGTAGTCCTCATCATTTTTCATTTTCTCGTCACAGAGCAGCACATCATCTACACAAGGCAGCTCAGCAGCAGCCTCTTCCACCACAGCCTCTGCATCATCGGCGTCAGCATCTGCCTCATCTAGCGGCAACTCAACAGCATCATCCTCAGGTAACTCCACGACCGCCTCCGGCAACTCATCCACCTCCACCGGTCCCCTACCCACTGCAGCGACCTCTGTTGACGGAGGAGGGAATGAAGATAATGGTGGTGCGCCTACACCTGGCGCGGACTCGTCGGGGGGTATCTATGGGCCGGATGATAGTTACACCGCGGGTGCGATGCCCTTGGAGTATGGGGCGGTGCTGGTGAGCATGGTGGGGGCGTTGGTGGGAGGGGGGCTTGCGCTACTCTAGATGGTATCGGAAGGATATTCAGATGACAGAATGGTTCCTGGTTCCTGGTTTGGGTGGTCGAGGAGGAAGTGAGCCCTAGGGCATAGGACTGACGTGATGGACTTCGCTGCGCATTGACACTTTTATTCTTTCTTTCTTCACACCTACATATGAGCGACACCGGACTTTGAGATTATATACGATACCACATCATCATAATGGACACTCTGGACTGTTTTGTTTATGCCTGTGGAAGGGTGTGGCGGGCTGTGTGCCACCCGACACTGCTTCCTCCGCAGCATTATGCACGTTTTCTCTGACGTTGCCGTAGCTTCTATTCTTGTTGTCAACTTCATCCTACTTACTCTCGAGGACACCCTCGCCTCGGTTCATGCCTCTCTTGGATACTGTCGCTGCAGAGCTCTCGCCGCCGTATTGTGGCCCAATGTCGAACAGCGTGACCACCTCAATTTTCCCAGAAGATTCAAGAAATGGGAAAGGGGCCGGCAGAATATATGTCGGACTCCACTAGGTTGAACTACGTTGTATTGCAGATAATGCCCGATAATGCCCTGGCTTTTGTCTGTCCTCCTCGTCCTCTACTTAGGCCCCTATTAATCTCGATTATCTTAGCTCGAACCCTTCTGAAGTTCGGATGACTTGACTTGGTCTTTCTCTGAACTTTTCTGACTGCATCTTACATCATGATGGGCTCGTAGCATCAGACGAAATATTCCCGTCCTTCAGTACTCCTCATCTACCAGATGGTCTTCCCGTCGCGTCGCGTTCACGAATCACGACGCGTCAATATACGGTGATCGTTCAGGCGATCAAACTAGGTAGCGCACACACGTGAGCGTGTGCAGAACTATCCCGGCCGAGCCTCGCCAGCCTCGCCAGCACGAGCACGAGCACGTCGTAGTACGGCCTCTCGTCGCCGCCAACGATATACCCACTTTGTCCGCCCGGATCCTTACTTGACCTCTCTTTGACGACCTTGTACGAATTGACTCGGTCTCAAATCAACCAGTCACATAATGCGGATTTTCAGCATTTGTGCGGGTCTTCTGTTGGTGCCTCTGGGCGTTCTAGCTCAGGTTCGTTTAATAAGTTTGATTCTACCTTTTTAAAGACTCTTTTGTGAAATGATTCACTTACGTCGGCTGCTGTTTTGGCTACGGATAGTCAGCCGTCGTCTCGACCTCATTCTCCCAATCCGTAGGCATCGCTACCTCCGGGGGCAACCGCTTCGAAACGACCGTCAACGTCCCCGTCACCACCATCACAATATCTGCCTCCGCCACGAACTCTGCATCCAACTCGTCCGCGACTACTTCATCCAACGGAAACTCCACCACCTCATCAAATAGTACCAACACCAACAGCACCTCGTCGACGTCTAAATCTCCGCTACCGACGGCCGCTACGAGTGTGGATGGAGGTGGAACGGCGGTGAATGGGGGAGCACCGTCGCCTGGGGTTACCGCTCCGGGAGGGATTTATGGACCGGACGATGGGTATATCAGTGGGGCGGTGGTGGGGAGAGTGATCATGGGAGGTGTGAGTCTGTCAGCGATAGTGGTGGGCGGGTGGTTGGCCGTTATGTAGAGGGGTGTTCAGCCTTGCGGTGATGCGGAACCATTATGGCTGCTTGGGATGGCGGTGGATCTTGTAGGCTATCGTTATTGGATCTTTGGCTGTTTCCTCGGGGCACTTTTCATGGACATATACATGGACTCGCTCATCGGCTTGTTTGCGAATTCATGTGGCCCATTTTCGCTGGTTGTGTTGGATCATGGATTTTTTCTTGGGTTCTTCTGGTTTCGTTGTTGCTTCCCTACTCTACCTTCATACCAATCTTTATTGCCACTGCACGTCTCTCTTACATGAATTTTACTCCATCATGTTGTCTTGAACCTTGCGCTTTGACTGACCCATTTGTATGGGCGTCAAATCGAATTCCAAGGCCCCGCAAACTTCCATGTTTGCTCTGATACAACGGTCATCTACGAATTTAAAAACAACATACACAGGCCATTTCCTTAGTTTCGCCTATAACCATCACCGCTCTATACATACCCTAGGTTCTGGTCTACGAACTACACGTCTATCGATCCCATCTTGTCCACGAATCAGTCCCCTTATCCGAACCCAATCAGACGCATTCAAAAGACAGATGTCCACCACCGCCTTCCCTAACGCCACAACAACTCAACCTGACCACGACCTCGAAACTCAACCAGCAAAGAAACAAAGAATGAACGGTACACCCAAGGTACGTATCACTCCCTTCCTTCTTTCCCTTCTCTGTTTATTGCGCATCGCTCGCCCAGCAAAGTGTTTTCTGACCAGTTGCGCAAATTGTGGCTTTTTTGATTGGTAGATCATCGGTACGCACAATGGTACCTTCCACTGCGACGAAGCTCTCGCCGTCTTTCTCCTCCGTCTCACGGGCACCTACCGTGACGCTGGTGCGTCCACTCCTTCACAAACCGTCCTCGCTAGCTACATAGTAGTGCTCACGATTTACTCGTTTACGGTGTGCTGCGTCTGATCAGAGCTCAAGCGAACGCGCGACCCCAAGGTCCTTGACACCTGCGATATCGTCGTCGATGTAGGCGCGGTGTATGACGAGAGCAAGCAGAGGTTCGATCATCACCAGAGAGGCTTCGAGGAGGTGTTTGGTTATGGGTTCGTGACGAAGTTGAGCAGTGCGGGATTGGTGTATAAGTGAGTTCTTGATTTGTTCTTCGTCATTTCCTCAGTGGTTCTGCGCTTGTGGCGCTGATTTGCATTGGGGCGTGGGTGTAATATTGACCGTGATTGTGCAGGCACTTCGGTCGCGAGATCATTGCGAATAGGCTCCAGGTAGCCCTTGATGATCCCAAGGTCGAGACCCTCTGGCTCAAGCTCTACAAGGTGCGTCCGCCGCTCAGCTATACCCTTGCACCCAGCCATATCCTCGCCACCCTAGCTGCATCCTCACCACCTACTTCTACGGCGCTCTACTCCCCGCCAATATTCATATCCTAGAACACCGAGCTGACGAATGTTGATATCCTGCGCTTAGGAATTCATTGAGGCCATCGACGGCGTCGACAATGGCGTTACTCAATACCCGAAGGACGTCTCGCCCAAGTATCGCAACAGGACGGACTTGTCGTCCCGTGTTAGCTGGTTGAACCCCGCTTGGAACGAGTCCGTCGATTCGGCCTCTGTCGATGTGCGTCCTTATACTCTCTTTACACTACAACAGTCTTCCTCTCGATGGTCTATACGTTATGTTCCTCAATTTGTCGCTGATACTGATGCTCATGCTTATCGTACGTGTATGCAGGAACGGTTCGCCAAGGCCTCGAAGCTGACGGGTGAAGAGTTCTTGGGAAGGTTGGATTACTATGGCAAGGCGTGGTTGCCCGCTAGAGATCTCGTGGTCAAAGCTCTGAACGAGAGGACGCAATACCATCCCAGCGGGAAGATCATCGTCTTCGAGCAGTTTGCTCCCTGGAAGGTACACCTTCACCTCGTCATTTCCATTGCATTGCAGTGCTTTGCTGACCTTCCATTTGACGTTGTCAGGAACATCTCTTCGAACTCGAGGCCGAACAGTCCATCACGTCTTCTACGCCCTCTCAACCTATCTATATCCTCTACCCCGACGAAACCGCCGGAAACTGGCGCATCCAAGCCGTCCCCGTCTCGCCCGAATCGTTCGAATCGCGCAAAGCCCTTCCCGAAGTCTGGCGCGGCGTGAGGGACGACGAGCTGTCGAAGGTGACGGGTATAGAGGGCGGTATCTTCGTCCATGCGAGTGGGTTTATCGGTGGAAACCAAACCAGGGAAGGAGCCATGGAAATGGCGACGAAGGCGTTGGAGATGTGAGGACGCGTGTTGTCGGTGAAGGTGAAAGGAAAGAGGCGAGTTTGAGCGTAATGCTCAATGTGAAAAAGTGAATGGACAAAGGAGAAAAAGGAGTGGGACCTCGTACTAGCGAGGTTAGGTAGGCAACTGCCTACCTTGACCAGGAAATCTGGTACTGCACGGGGTTTTCAGCACCTGCCACCCAGGTCATCTCACCATGATATTGGTGTACGAGGGTGATTTCCTCGTTCATCTGTCTGTATGACAGATAAAAACAAGAACGCAATTGTTCTACGCTTGTGGTTATTGGAAGTACCACTTGTACGATAACATGATGGAGATGGAGCTGTTCTGACATGTCGTAGGACCGATGCTGGTCGCTGGTTTCGGTCGTAGTTGAATGATGATGCAGTTGCATTTTGAACTGTGGTGTGAACTACCTCGTGGAGAATCGAGACATACGTGCAATGTACGAGTGGGTCAGAGTATGCCCTTGTACGCTGAAACAAGCTGTAGTCGTCGCGTTGGACTTGTGAACAAACGAAAGATTGATTTTGCAGGATTACAGGCAATCATGATGTACAGCAGTATAGAGAGCGAAAAGAATAGGGTGTATGAATAGAAGCGAAACGAACGGTGGAAAGGCATAGCTTTGGCGCTCAGTATGGACGATCTCGCTCGGAACTGCCGATTCTCCTTGACGGCCCTCCTTGACGAGAGCCTGGCATAGTATACGTGCAGCTTATGCCCCGAGAGTAGCACGAGCTGAACAGAGAAGAATCGGTCAAACATTTAGCTTGATTCAACAAACAATCAAAGCACCTACATGCACGTCTCTCCAGTAGCTGGGGAAGCACCGATACATCTGCATTTCCTCGACCTGCAGGGATCACAAGCTACCGCGCCACGAACAGCATACGTAGCTCTGAGTTCGCTGGTCGGTGAAGGTGACCTTCGAATGCATGTTTGTGAGTAGAATGGTCAATTGAAGAGTATATGGTTTACCTTGAAAAGTCAAGTACTTGCGAGGATGACGAAGCCTGAGGCATCATCCCCGGTTGATTAGGCTCGAGCCAAGTTATTGGCCGCAACCGAAACGACTAAAAGAAGTCTGTGAGTCCAAGCGGGTGTTCGAAAGTTGTGTCGTTACAGACCTCGGACGAGGGTTCTTGAGGTGGAGGTGGAGGGGGAGCCATAGTCATTGGCAGAGGTGGATGCCCCATTGGCAGAGGTGGATGCCCCATTGGCAGAGGTGAATGCCCCATTGACAGAGGTGGAGGCCCCATTGGCAGGGGTGGAGGCCCTCCAGACATCTCGCTATTCTGAGCCTCAAGTTGTTGTTGCTTCATCATCTCTACACTGTCGCGCAGAACGTTGAACTGGGCAACCACAGTCGACATCGCGGCTTCTATCGCATTCACAGTCTCGGTCAAACGAGCAGTAATTTCCTAGCAAAGAGTGAGCTAGCGAAAGGGAGAAGATGTACTTCCTTACCGCTTGCTCGCGTTCTGAGTATTTGTCCATGGTGGATGAGAAGAGAGCTGGTCACGATGTGGACAAATGGTGTGGCCCATCAAAAGTCGGGTACGGCGAAACTCTCACGCACATGCTCTAGTAGTCCAAAGGAGTGACGAAGCCGTGCCCTCCAGAGAGAATCAAGAACGAGGGCAAAGCCCCCATATTTACCTGATATCTGTGTGTGTAAATTTTGCGCATTTGGAATCGATGCGATGGTCGTACAGGGGTCGTACAGGGAGGTGGATTCGAACACGATTGGGGAAGTTGATGTCGCCACAAACATCGCCACTTCACAGCTAACAAGGGTCACGGAAGTGATCCGGGCAGAAAGCCTACTTCATCACTACCATGTCTTCGTCAAAGCTCCGAGTCCTACTGACTGTAAAATATTACCTTTCGTACCGATACGTTGCTCCTCATTAATATGTCTCCTTTTCCCATAGAATGACGATGGTCCTCCTGGTATGTACCGACTCGCGGCTTGTAGCTGATTACAAGAGATATGAACCCACCGGTCCGCCTCACTGTGATGTCGCAGGACCCGACTCTCCGTATATTTACGGGCTTTACAAACACCTCACCCAAGATCTGGGTGCGTACCCATTCAGTCCCGCGCATTCGGAACCCTCGCTCATGCGCTGGGAATACCGCCAGGCTGGGACGTGAAGGTCGTGATCCCCAGCTCGCAGAAGTCTTGGATAGGTGGGTGCTAATATTCTTGTGGTCAGGATCCTCGATGAAAAAACTTGAGGAATATAGGTAAGGCATATCAGATCAAGGATATCATCCATGGACGATACTACTATCCCCGCGATCCCGGTGTGTGCTGCCATCCCAATTCTAGTCGTTTCTACATTGGCGCTGATTACACACGAAAGATGGTATGGGAGACTTCTCGGAGACATCTAGACCTGTCAAAGAAGGAGAGATGGCAGAATGGATCCTTCTAGATGGGGTACGCGGATTCATCCGACTCGAGCTCATCGTCCTCCGAGGTTGACGTCCATGCTACAGACACCAGCCACCTGCGCGAACATTGCCCTCCACAACATATACCGCGGAGAGATTGACCTTGTGGTAGGTTTAGAACCTCCATGATATACCAACCCCATGTCACAACCTTGTATAGCTTTCTGGCCCAAATCTCGGCCGAAATACCTCCTGTACGTTCTATCATGTCTTTACTGTTTGCACGGACTTAGCTGACAGGATCTTTTATAGCGGCATTCGCCCTTTCGTCCGGGACTATTGGCGCTGCTCTCTCCTCTTCCCTCTCCAAGACACGTGCAATTGCCCTCTCCTACGGAACTGTCCACCACCCAACCCCACCCCCCTTCTTCCATCCTGCCCACGCCCTTTCCGCGCGCATCATCCAACATCTCTGGTCGAACTGGGGTGCCGACGAAGGTGGGATCCGAAAGGACGAAATCGACCTCTACAACGTCAACATCCCCATGATCGAAGGATTGCTGAGTGAAGAGGGCCTACCGATCACTTGGACGAGGATCTGGAGGAATTCGTACGGAAGGTTGTTTAAGGCCCACTCGGGTGAGCAGGCAGATGCGTTGAAACGAACGATGTCGGATGCCGGGCCAGATGGGATGAGTCCCGGTCCTTCCCCGTCTATCGCGAAGACGGAGAAGACAGAAATCAAACCCGAAGAGGCAGGTGACTTGGTGTTCAAGTTCGCTCCAGAGATGGGCAACCTGATCAATCCTTCCGCATCGGATGTGACGGAAGGCAGCGACGGATGGGCGATCAGGAAGGGTCTGGTTTCCGTTACGCCGATGAGAGCCAGTTTTGCTGAACCGCCTGCGGAGGAGATATTTGGTCTTAGCGGTGGGGTTGACAGTTTGTTGTGGAAGTTTAAGCTTTGAAGTTTGCAATTTTACTCTAGACTGTTTGTATACACTCACAGCAATGTATTATCCGGGAAATGTATACAGTGGATGAGATCTCCAAGCCGCAGCAGCCAGTGAGAAATAATCTAAATAGTCAAGTCCGTGCACATTCGTGAAAATACTCAGCAATACCAAGATGTCTCGATACTGAGACTCCGAACGACGCAAGGTTCCCTATGCCTGCACGAAGAGCGCAAGCAGCGATACCAAGACGCCCAAAACAGCCAACGAAAGCGTAGACCGGATGTTCTCGTACAATGCACCGGGTGCGGAACCTGTAACTACGGTCAGGTTTTGCCGTCTGTATACCTTCAGCCAGTTGATAATCCAGGATGCGTTCTAGATGACCATAAATGAGCGAATCTGCCATGGACTTGAAAACAAGCGCACGTACGTCGAAATTAGAAGGGTCAATGATACGATCCGCACAAGTACCAGGACATCCGGACGTAGCGTAATCGTTACCCGCCCAATCGCCTTTGAAACGAGAAAGCATAATCAGTTTGGGTGTAATGTTCATCATCAGACCCATGCAACTCACCGCAGAACGTGATGTCTGAACGAAGGGTTTGAATGTTCAGTTCTTAGTCACCAGGTATGAGGCCACAGTAGGAGAGACGTACCGAAGATGATTGAATGGTTCACAAAATATGTCAGAGGGTTGCAGTTGTCGGGCGCAAGAGCGGCAGAGGGTTCTCCCCACGTCGATGGATCAGGACTTCCGTCTACGATGTCCTGTGGCACCGCTACTCGATAGAACGACCCTATAAGCATCCCTCTTCAGCTTCTTTGATCACGATATATGGAGCAAAATGGAAGAAAGCCCAAGGGGATATACCCACAGACAGCAATACCATCCTGGTCCCACTTCATTGCAAACACTCCACCATCCTGGGCATCGAAGGTAGGACCATAGGAAGCTCTGCTCCACTCCGTAATTCCACATCCGGAACAACCGTCACATCCTGTACAATCGAGTTCAGGCTCCCCATTCGATTCCTATTGGGTTGCTCTTAATTATAGCCATTACTATGAAACCTGAGCAACACGACGTACCACAATCTGACCTGTAAAGTTGCTGGACTCCGTCAACATGCAGCCTAGATAAAGCGCCGGTCAGCAAAATGGCAGATGTTGGAGTGTGAGAATGTGACAGATCGTACCAGGGTTAGTATGCCATGTCACCTGGTTGTGCTCATTGTCGTGAACGCCCTCGATGATGTCGATCTCTCCGGTCTGTAAATGGAACCATTAATACCGCACCAAACAGCTGATGCTTGTAGGACTTAGGCACTCACGGTGGGCCATGTCCCACTCCCCAAAGTCCAGAACGCGGGCCACACACCTGCACAGACGCTGTCACGGATACAACTAACGAGCGCACACAAAAGCGTACTCACCACAGCCCCAGGGCGCTCTGTTGGTGTCAAGAATGAAGAGACCGGTGTTGTATTGGGCATAACTCGAGACGCGGACACTGTTCGGAGTTTCCTCAAAGCCGATCAGGACAAAACGGATGAAACATAAAATACCCTGACGCACCTTTGTCGGTTCGCGCCGGAAGCAAGCCACGTCGTGTTGTCTCCTTTCATAATGACTTGATTGGTATCGTTGAGAACATAGGCGAGCCCGTTTGCAAATGCCGTAGTGGAGTTCACATATCTAACCAGAGCCCCGAGCGGCTTCAGCGGCGCGAGCAGGAGCGTAATGATGGAGCATGCTCACTCTACCGTCCCACTGTTCGATCATCAATACCAAGACTCTCTACTCAATCGTGGAATGCGACGTACTGTGTTGGATCGTCCCCGCTATAAAATCCAAACTCGCTATACACCCAGCGCGTAGTTGAACATCTCACGTGAGCAAACCAGAACGCAGAACAAAGGAGGCAGTAGCACACGCACTCGAAGAAATTCGTGTGGTCATAAGTATCTTGAATAAGCCATAAAAAGTCCGTAGAGTTGCTCGTTGAATTAGTGCTCGACGTGTTACTGCTGTCTCTCCTCTCCACCGGACGAGTCCTCGGAGGCAAAGAGAGTCTGGAAGTTGTGAAAGCTCCTCGACCACCCGGAGCAGAGCGAGGTAGAATGTCCGGGAAGAAAGCAAGAGAAGATGGTGTTACAAGCAGCAGAACGTGAAGCAGAGCAAGAGGGAGGTTGACGGAGGTCATGTTCGTGAAGAGGTCGTTTCAGAGTGCGTAGAACAGAGTGATATGGGTACAGAGGTCAAAGTTGGTTGAAGTTGGTGCGCTGCGGCTGAGAAAGAGAGAACTGCCCTAGTTCAGGCTCGTGTTACCCAAGCTCCACTGTACGAAAAACAAATGACGCAGCAAGAAATGAGGTGGCCTCAAGGCAGATGATTGAGAAAGCACTGCCGAGTGTGAACATGGCGGGTATATATAGGGATCGTCCATCTTAGTTCCGAAAACACGTTTTCGACGACTGTGGCGCGAATGCTGCAGCGCCCCGAACGCACCATTATGGACTTGATTTACAATTGTAGACAGTTTAGAGAGGTTGACTGGAAGAACTTGCTCTGGCCAAAAGGAGTGGAGGGCGTCGATCCTCTCATACCACGCGCCGTTTGCGCCCATGTCAACGACGGAAGCAGATGGATTCTCCGACTACGCAGATCTCTTCAAACTTCCCGCTTTGTTGATGTGACGAAAATGCCGAACGCCACACAGGTAGTCACGCTCACTCAAATTGATGCAATGTGCGAGCAATGTTTTAGGACAGCTCGCAGGATGGACATACACGCATAACGAGCATGGAAAACATGGATGATAAAAGCACACAAGGAAACGACATGAAGAACAGAGCGCGGACAACACGTTCACCGGTAGCGACGGAGGCTGAGGGTGTTGTGCTTTTTCCAGGTGGATACCCGGGGCGTGTGGTTGTAACGGCTGCCCTTGCCGAGACCACGGTTCTGCGGACGTTCAATCGCACAATCAGCACGTTGTGATGAGAGTAGGAGGGACACCTCGAGAGACGTACCTGCTTGCCAATGCTGGTAAGGCCACGAGCCTCACGGCGCTTGTGCACAGGTGCGGTGATCCAGTTGATCTTGGGGTCACGGCGGATCTGGAACGCACAACATCAGTCCCGCCCTTCGCACAGACTGAACTGGTCTGAACTCACCGCTTTGTGGTTGGGGTCTACGAGGATAACCTCGTAGTACTTGTACACACCGTCCTGGTTGATCCAGTACGAGTTCAACACACGCAAGTTCCCGCATCGCCTACCAACGCGCTCCTCCGCCACACTCCTCAAGCCACGCTGGAACTTGAGGTGGTTGACACCCTGGTGAACGGGCTTTCCGTAGGTAGCACCTGAGCGAGGACAGGGAGCTCGATATGAGCTGCCAGAAAGTGCCAGCATGAAGCGAAAGAAACGCACCCTTGGGGGCGTGCTTTTTCCTGTTTCCTCTCCTGACACGCACACGGTAGATCACGTATCCCTGCTTCGCCTTGTATCCGAGACGGCGGGCCTTGTCAGGGCGCGAGGGGCGCGAAGCGCGGTGGATAACGTTGAGTTGACGGTACTCCCAGCAGCTATATCATAGGATCCAAGTCAGTCAGTCTAACACCCAATATACGACCATACATGACTTGCAACGCACCGGACACGGAGGAGGAAACGGAGGACGTCCGACTGCTTCTTCTTGTACAACTCGCCAATGTATTTGTAGGCACCCATCTTGATGGCTGAGGAACGAGGAAAATAAAGTCAGCCTTAGAGCCTCTGTCATCCGACCACGGTCCCGCCAATCCACCCTAGTTTTGAAGCTGAGAACCTCCGGTTTTGAAGACAGAGCATTGCAAGACCCTCTCTAGTAGCACGGTAACGGGATATGCACGAAAAATAGCGACACTCACCCTGTCCTGAGTCTTGAGGGAGTGTTCGTATACCGCTGGGCGTTGTCGAGAAATCATCGGGAGCGCTTGATGCGTGGGAATGTATTTGTAAGCTCGCGGCGAGGTTCGCCACGCGCCACACTCGCTTTTTCTCTCACTTTCGACTTCTTGTTCTGCATAATATGAAGACTTCATTTACTCAACGCGCATGGAGCAAGCAGAAATAGAGGAGGAGATACGCGTACAAACAAAGATAAAAAAGAAGAAAAACGATAAAGTGACTATCAGTCATATGTAGTTCATAAGGCTAGAGCAACGTAGTCTGGAGAGAAAAGGGAAGCCAGCAAGGCCAAACCCAAAAAGCACTGCGTTGAGGGCGACGACATCCTCGAAGACCCTGACAATGATATGTATGTGAGGGTCCATGTTATTGACATAGAAAAGGGGAAAGTGTGTGTGGAAGTGAGAGGAGGATCGAGAGCCGAGAAAGGGGGTAACGGGGATGTATATGCAAGAAGATGACTTGGGTATCTTTGACGCACGAGAAATAGAAACAAAGGGCGGCGTTAGATATGCAAAGAGCAAAACAGACAGCGGACAGAGCGATTTCGATGTGGGCTGTGCAGTGTAGAGAGAGAAGAGAGAGATAATATCCATGTGGAGCATAGAATGTGCTGGGTGTATGGTAAGCAGGGGAGGGTGACTTGTGTTGAGAGAAGTGGATAGAGGAACATAGTGACAGTAGAGACTTCAGTTGTTGTTGTTGTTACCCCAAAACATAAGTTTCTTGATGAGCGGTCCTTCTCGTGTCGTACCACTTTGATAGTCGCGCGATTGAGTCCGTGGAAGGTACGGCTTGGAGGCGTCTTCCATCTCCTCACTATCGCTCGGCGGTGTGATCCTCGATCGTTGAAGCTGTGAACGGAGATTAATACGGCTCGTGAGTGGGGAGGCGGTAGTATTTCCGACTTACATCAGGATCCATCACACACTCCCTCATGAGCAGATCGCGGATCTCAGGACGTTCAGGGAACAAGTAATCCTCTGAACTTCGACACTGCTGCTGGTACTGCGTTGTCGTGTGGATGAACTTGCCGATCATGTTGAATTTCGCCCAGTGTATCTTCGTCGGGTCAGTGGGGTGGCTATCTGGGTTTCCTTCGTGGGCACGAATGAGATCGGACACGTGCACCTCCCTGGAACGCCAACCCCATCTCAGTATACCAATGGTATCCCCACAAAACTCACTGAAAAACTTACAGAGCAGGTATACAAGGACCTTTCGTATTCCGCAGCGCCATTCGGTAAGCTCGATGCGACCGGATGGACTGAAGGAGCAGGTCCCACGATTGAAGCGACTTCCAGAGTGCTGGCGCCTTCTGCTGGAAGATCTCCATCGTTGGATCGCCCTGGTACGTGGCGTTATTGATCCCGGCGACGAACGCGCGCAAAGCCGAGTAGTTGTTGTAATGTCGCAGCCGTTGAGCAACCTCAACGAGTTTCTCGATCTGTCGTGAGCGCGCCTTGGGCTTGTCGTGACAAAGGATAAGTGAAAGGACCCTAGTGACAGTGCGGCAGTGTATGAGTGCATACTCATAACAAGAGACGGGAAAGAAAATCACCAATCAGCCAGATGATTCGACATCTCGGAGAATTCGGCTATTGTATCCTTATCCTTCCCTTTCGACGTCTTCTTACCAGCCACAAAAGTATGTTGCAACCAGTGTCTCGGCTTCACGATAGCAGGTTAATCCAGACATTCCAACCACGAACGCGGAGAGACAAACCTCGATATTCAAAAACAACAACGTCTCTATCCTCGTAATCTCCTGCGCTATATCGTTCGGATCCATGAATGACAACTCCTGTGAGATCCTGAGGAGCTCTTTGATCGTTTGCTTCGGAGTCATATCGACCATTTCCTCAGGAGCATCCAGTGTTGGGATCCCGCTGAGCTCCTTCGCTGTCAGAGGCAAGCTCGACTTGCGTTCTCTCGCGGACATCGTACTGGTCATCCTTGACGCCGAACTCTTCCTGTTGCCATTCGGAGGGGGTAGATGCGTCAGTGACGAGGGTGAGTCTGTCTCAACCTCAGGTTCGTGCCCCGTTGCGTTCGCGCGGTCTTCTCCGTCGTCGTATACGCTAAATGAATCGTCCGACTCCCCGGGCGACTCCTCCACTTTGAGCGCCCAGGCAGCGTCGGTATCCTCCTTAGGCCGGTACTCGAGAAACGGTAGGAAGTCGGACCCGTAGTGCAGAAGGTGAGTCTTCGAGATGATGGATTTAATAAGGGCGTTAAGCGCGGCGGTAGAGGACCCAACGAGGAAATCGTGAGGATAATCTTGGATCCACATCTCCAGGAGATGGCATATTCTACGAGATCGCACCGAGGTTTAGGTCAAGATGATAGAAATGGGACACGGTACGGAGCCTACCTCATCTGCGCGAAGCACGAGAACATAGGGTCGCTCGACGATTGATCGAGCTGACGCATGCGTTTCTGCATTGCAAGCACGACGCTTCGAGGACTTGCAAACCTCCGATAGGTCAACAGGAAATGTGAGATAAAATCCCGATCTGTCGCCCAGACTCTCAGACGCTAGTTCAAAAATGACTGTCAAGGATACACGCACCGTCACCGCTAACAGCCAAAAATAGTAGCTTGTCGAGCAGTTCGTCCAGCGTAGCCCACGGAACCGGTCGGCTGCGCATAGGTTAATGTTCCTGTCCCGGACCCGCCATTAAACGCGAGAAATTAACGCACTTGTCCCTTTCCCTTGGCTCTACGCGCTCCTCGACCACCTCGTCCACGCTGCTCAGTCCATCGTTTGTCATAGACGCGCCAAGATGCAATGATCCGGAGCTCGTATTGTCCGAAATAGCAATGTTCAGCGTGTTCTTGCCCCGCTCGCGTTCTAACTCCCGATTTTTCAGTTTCTCGTGGTCGGAGGAAAGCAAGTCGCTCGTCGACAGTGCCCGTGTGGGGGACGTGGGTGCCGCCGGCGAGCGTGGCATACCGTTAGACGAAGCAGGCACTTGCGACTTTGCCGCGTAGGCTCCGGTCCCTGAAGAAGCAGCAGTAGGCGTCGCAGCCGCCGAGCGAGAGATGTCCCATGGTGGTGGTGAAACGAGGACGCCCGGAGATGCAGGATTTTGATAGCTCTGCTCAGCGACACCGATGGCCCCTGCAACGAAAGGCGCTAAATTAGTATGCGAAGAAATTGGGAACCTGAGATCAGACTAGAAGGTCGCGCACGTCTTGCACGAAATATGGCTGATAGGAGCCAATCAAAGCCTAAGCGAAGATTGTTCTTCCCCTGGTCTTCTTGGATAGACGTCTCGATGAGGCCGACGTCCATTTCGGAGATGCGGTGATAGACCTGCTGCGATTCGACGGCGACGATGTTCTTCAGATCACGTTTGCAAGCAAAGACAACGACCGGAAGCTTCAGATCACGGAATCCCTCTGAGCGGTAGCTTCAGCAATAAGTCAATGATGAGATGGAAGATCGGGCTTCTTACTTATTAGATGTTCTACGTGCGTGAAGGAAGCATTTCGGGACATGTCATAGCAAATGATAGTCCCGTCCAAGCGGGGCGCGATATCGGGCCATACAGGGGAGTTGGACGAGGAGGAGCCACTCAGATGAAGACTAGATGTTTCGATCTCAAGTACACGGAATGCGCGATCCGGCAAATATTCATGCACGAGTTTCCCCTCTCGCAGTGTATCTGAATAGGGGCAAGGTCAGTAAGACACATTTGTCGGGATGTATCTGTACACTTACAGCTAAACTTCTTGAGAGAGGGTAATGTTTCGACGATTGTGGCTGGCTCCGATAGAGCGTAGGCCTTGAGGCCTTTTGCGATGGCTCCAGACTTGCCACAGCCCGTATCTCCCACGACGGCGATGGTGACATCTGCCACAAAATCGTGCTGTCAACAGTCTCAGCATGGCATCCCCCACAAAAAAAGATACAACATCACGGCACCGGTATCAGTCTCGCGCTCACGAAAGAGAGGGGGGCTGTGAACATATTATGCAGCTGGGCGCCCATGGACGAGCTCGAGTCCTCCGTCTCGTTCGCGAGTGCAGAGCAACCAAGCCGAAATTGAGAATCACGTACTCCCGAGTTAACGTTCGGGCTCAGCGAACGCAGTCTACTAGTGCTCCCTGCCATGCCCACGCTTCCGCTCCTACTCCTGCCTGCTTGACTTGTCGAAGGCGCAAACTGTGCGCTCCACTTTGGAGTCGACGCCGTCGAAGGTGTAGATACGCGTGGGGTATTGTCGCGTAGGGATGGGTCACCGGCGACAGCAGGTGAAGCGACAAAAAAAAGCTTGGGAGGAAGATTGAGATCACCACTGGAGATGATGGGACGCGGTTTCTCCTTGCCCTTGGTAGAGATCCGGCGGGAGCGGTCACTTGAAATGATATCTTCGTCCTCTGAAGCCCCTGGGTGAGACTCATGATCTTCGGCCATGGTGCTGACACTGGCGCCTCTACTTCGGCCGGATAAGGGATATCTGGGATCACGTTCGCGGTGTGAAACATGGGGATGGTCTGGGGAAGGTGTATAGGGTGAGGGGGTGAATTGTGAGATCGGGCGAAAGTCGTCCTGATATGGACCTGAAGGGCTTGAACGGGTGTAATGGGGAGAGTTGCTCATTGGGGGACTTGCCCTTGCGGAGACGAAGGAGTCTACAGAAAATGATTTCCTGAGGGAGGACGTTGGGGAGACGGATTGACGGGAAGACGGGGCGAGCTGATCGCCTGTTCCGGGCGTGCGAGAGGTCTGGATTGAGTGTGCGAAGGGAATATTTGGGCGATGAGTAAAGTCAGAGTCTGTTTCTGGACTGAGCGTAGAGTGGGTAAGGTCGATGGGCGGCAGAGAAGGGATGGCAGGCAGATCCGTCGACCCCTTAACGCTCTGCGGTGCGGTGCTGATGCGTCTCAGGCTCGGACGGGGCGGCGGTGTGCCCCGCGAATAGCCAGCGTCGGCCATGATGAGTACAGAGCCAAAAGAACGGCCGACGACGTGTACGACGATGACGACGGCTTGGAGATGTTCACGCTTGGCCCCTTCACGCTCTCCCGCAGCGGCGACGGCCTGTATGCTTATGTCAGCATCTCCCCAACCTCGCCGTCCAGCGCGGCTTGATCCTGCTTGCTGCCTCCCAACGCACACGACGCATCCACGACGCTTTCATATATCTCTCATCCATAAAAGCAGCCCGCTCGCCATGCAAGATCTCTTCATCGTCTCTGTTTCTTCAACCTGCCGCCATGCAAGCCCTCCACTACCACCCTTTCCTCTTCGCCCTCATCACTCTCGTCGCAATGGCTGAACTAGGCCTTGCCGCGTGGCTCGTCAGCTCAAAGTCCCTCGACTTTCCACGATTCAATCACCGATACTACTCGATGTAAATTTATCTCCCCACTAGTTGCCTTCTGTCCTGTTCTTGACTCTGCTCCGCAGGCTAGACATGATCCTCTTCGATGCCGTCTGGACCACCGTCTTCTCCACGGCCTACATGCTCTGGATCATCGCGGGAGCAGTTCACATCCTGGCAAGCATTGCCAGCTCTGCCATCTGGCTCCTCATAACCTCCATACTCTGGGTACGTGTTCTTTGCATCCGCGCCGCTCGGTATCCCGCAGTGCTAAAACTGCCTTTAGGGTGTTGCTGCAGGCATTATGCACGACAATCGTATTGGAGGAGCCTGTTCTGGCACCCCGGCCCTCTCACGGTACGCTTCTTGTTCCCCGTTCGTATTGAGATCCGGTATTAACTTCTCACATGAACGTTGCTCTAAATAGGTGCAGGCAAGCTCTTACCGCAGAAGCGTTAGGCTGGACTGCATTCGGTTTATGCCTTCTGACCCTCATCACCACCATTGTCTGGGCCCGCGGAAGCAGGAAGAGTTATGTGAGTGGTTTTCTCCTGTACCTTCGATAGGGTCTGGGCATGCGCTCATTGATATCTTTTTCTAGAGAGATAGCTTCTACGCGTCACCTTGATGCTTGATCGTCGGAGGCTCGTTGCGAAATAGGACCGTGGCCCTCCACAGACCGGTCCCCCTCACAATAGACGTTACCTTAACCTCTGCTTGGTGTGTACCATAATCCTTCTATAGTCGTCTCTCGCCGGGCAGTGCCTTCGTTGTGCTCGTTTCGCTCTTTCATGATGTCATTCCTAAACTACGATTACCTCTAAAGGCCTCCTGTGTATTTATACTCCAGGTGCTACGCATATGTATGTTAGCTTCCTGGTCTATTTGTACAACACACGCATACGTACTACTTACGAATCTATATTTATGGCCTTGCTTTGTCTCATCGTCGATCTCCTGCGCGATTCTTAACACGCCACGACAGTGGTTCGTTCAACTTCAAGGTTTAAGGTTTCTGAAGAGCTTCGCCATGGAGTGAAATTAGTTACGAGATTCATCGCTGCATTTAATCTGGGTGCGGGCCAGAGGATAGTTGGAAGGGAGTCATGGGTTAGCCCCACCTGTGCCGCTCAATGACGAAGAGGTGTTGGAAGTGCGGCGGCGCACATGATGAACGGGACCATGCGAAGACCTGTGGTCCTTGTGAGAGGGCTGGGAACACGACGGGTACGTGCCCATGTGAACCCTTCTGCATAAACTGCCAGGGCCGTCATCGTGCAGATGCGAAGGACTGCTCTTTCTATGCTCATCGCAGAGACCTGGAATGGATCCGGGAGCACACTGCACTGCTCCGCCCCCCGCCTGGAGTAGATCCTAGTACGTGGGTTCCCGCTCGAGGGGGAAAGAAGGGAAAGGGGAAGAAGGGGAGAGGGAGGGAGACGGCGGGAGCCGATGACATGGAGCTATGACGGACGGGCTTTCTTTTTTTTCTTCTATTTCTCTCAATTTTGCTTAATTCTTCTTCGGAGCACAAGCCACGCTCCGAGACTTCTCTCGACGACTGAATGTAGGAGTTCGGATTCTACAGTGTGGTGATTGCTGAGGTGTCTCAGACCCCATTCCTGCATGTATTTACCTATGTACATACAAGCGCCCCTCGCCTTTACGGCGGCGCTATACAAATACATTTGATTTAAGAAAAAAAAAAAAAAAAAAAAAGAGTCATGGGTTAGCTTGTCGATAAATCCTCAATACTGGTGTTTGGCTAGATCAACTTGAAGTTTAAAGTCTAATCCACGTGCAAGGAACCAGACCAAGCCCGACCTGTTGTCAGAATTTGGTGGCACTGAGGTGAAAACGCAACATTATTACAACTCTTCGAAGCCGAATGGTGTGTCTAAGTACTTATTTGGGCATACGGGGTTCTGGTAGCGGTGACATATCGAAAGCCTGTAGTCATCCAACACCCACACAAATCACAGCCCATCTATACAAAACTTAACGCACGCGCCACGTACAAATGATCAAGGTCTGACGAGTCGGAAGGGAATCACGGCGGCTTGACACAAACCCAGCGCCAGGGCTCAGTGGCCCGGGAATTGGCGGCCATTTCTTTAAAACTCCGCCTCGTTGCGGCGCGACAGCGCGTCTAAGTATTTGCTTGCCTTTCTTCCAGCCAGACCTTTCGATTTTCAGTAGTCGCCTCGCACAAACGCCTTGATCTTCAGGCTTGTCCTGCATCAGAGCGATATAAATGACATAGTTTTTGTACTCCAAATTGTCAATTCCATCGAGATGTGGCCCATCATCGTGTTATTCCTCCTCTTCGTCGGCGCTCTCGCGAGTCTGTTCATAGTGATGAAGTCTTCACAAGATCCCTACCATGACGAGTTCCACTTGAATCTAAACGCACTTCCTGGTCTGAAGCCTGGCCAACGCCCCACCACAGAATGGCTGAACATGGGTTTTTGGAAGGTTAGTCGATTGACGAGCGTCCATAACCGGAACTATCCAACTCAGATGTCCATTATCCAACGCATAACAGGACACGGATAGGTTTCCTGAAGCATGCGAAGGTCAAATTAGCCCTTGACTTTCCGAACCTTCGACTGACACTCAAACACGATCGCTAGCGCTCGCCCTGCGACTGGTGCACGCATCCCGTTCTAAGGAAGGAGGCCGCGTGTTAGGCAAGTTCTCCTCTATCGTTACCTCCAGACTTATCTCAGACTTCTGTTTGGACATGCAGACGTCGGCCACGGAAGTGGTGACTCCCTCCTCCTTCAAGTCTCTCACCCTTCTGTTCCCCGGCCAAGCTTACTGGTCGGTATAACTAGCCTCCCACAACACCACAAGCGGTCAGAAGCCCGCCTTCTCCGCGCTCTGGAACAGAGTGGGGCGAAAGATATAAATACACATCTATTCCAAAGCGACGCCGTATATATCGTGGATTCTCGATCCAAGCTCGGTTCCCGTGTCGACGTACATCCTCTTTCACCGAGTTCGCCGTCCACATTCGACACCATAGTGGCGTTGGACTGCGCCTATCACTTCCATACACGCGCTCTCTTCCTCCAGCAGTCATTCGCGAAACTTTCACCAGGCGGTCATATCGCCCTCGCCGATATCTACTTCGCCTCTACCACAAAGTCCACACCCCCATCCAAGACAACATCGCCACTAAGGCCATCCTATCCCATCACCTTCTTCCTTAGTACTCTACTCCGCGTCATTCCCCGTGAGAACGTTGTCACCAAAGCGCAGTACATAGCCGAGATGGAGAGGGTAGGGTACGTCGATGTTGAGATCGACGATATCACGGAATACGTGTTTCCTGGGTTCGTTAGGTTCTTGAGTGGGAGAGGTGGGGGGTGGAAGGTGTTTGCGTGGATGATGGCCTGGTTGCACGGGAGAGGTGCGAGGTTTGGGATCGTGGTTGGTACGAAGCCAAACTCTTGATTCTATAACCACAGCCGCTTGAAGCACCATTTTTAATACCGGTGCTGTCAATGAGCGGCGCATGTCAATAGAAGAACGACCAGTGGTACATCAAACAGCGATGTGATACAGGATATCTCATAGCTCTGCTATGCATTGAAACGTGTAAGGAGCGTGTGTAGAACATAGTGGATGGCGGAGTGAAGACAGTGGATTGTCGATACAGTAAGGTAAAAAAAAAAAACAGTGAAGTCGAATCGAGTGAACAAATGAAGGGAGTAATGCCGTGTAAACAGTATTTGTTTAAGAACGAACAACACCTAAACAATGTCCTTTCATGACGTGCAGTAGGATATGACTATAGAGCATACCAATGCCCACTAATTACTGCTCGGAAGCGGGTCCTGCCCATCGCTCACATAGCTCGTAAACTTCCACCTATTCTGCACATCATCGCTCTTACTTTTCCCATACGAGTTCGTCCTCGTATCGCATTGAGTCCCACCTCCACTTTGGGTCAAGCATGGTTGCTTCTGCGGGGCACCGGGTGCAGAAGAGGTCTTGTTGAGATAAATGACGGCCCCACCGTAAGCGTTCGGCGAGGTTTCGTCGGGGTAGTTAGGCGTGCAGCCGACGAAGTCGGAGAGGGCTGGGTCCAGAAGTCCGAGAACAGCGTTGACGGTGGACTCAAGTCCAAAGAGGATGTTATCGAATTCGCCTGGCAGTCACGATATCATATAAATGCGTCCGGAATTCATTCAGACCCAAAGCAAAAACAGAAAGAAAATCGTAAGACGGGCAGACTTACCGAAGAAGTCCGCGTAAAGGGCATTGTACAGGAAGCACCCAAGACCTTGGACATTCGATGCGTTCGTTGGTAATAAGCCAGGTCCAGGGATGAAGTTGTTCACGGATCCTGAGTTGGCACCGAAGAGGACAGGCTCGGGATTGAGGTAGATAGAGAGGATGCCAGCGAGGGCTTCAGAAAGGAGCATGGGGACAGAGCGACGATACCATCCAATCTCAGGAACTAATCATGAGCAAGAAAACAGTATGTCAACTAGGTTTGTATAAGGAGCACAATGGAGGGGGTTTAAAAACAAGGAGTGAAGTGAAAATACACGTACTGCGCTCCGGGACGTAAGTGATACTACCATCCTCTGCAAATCTCGCTCCCGCGAACGAAGCAATCGACGCAAGATTCGCAGAACCCCCGGCGCCAATAGTCCCGTTGGAGAAAAAGCCAGGGTGAAAGTAAGTAGCACCCATGACGATGAGAGCGGACGGGGGAACGAAGTAGAAGTTCGGGTTAGTGTCGAGGGAGTTCTGCCAGCGATCGTGAAAGTGAGTCTGAAAATTTCGTCAAAAGGGAGTGAGTGGAGTGAGCCTCTCATTTGAGCACCTGATTGTTAGGATGGAAGGAGAAAGAGGAGGTACATAGTATCAATGAAGATGAGGGACGCACAGCCATTGCGTTAACGTCAAATTGGTTGTTGTTCTCCTTAGCATGATCAAGCATCTGGGAGAAGAACTCGGGCTGCATATTGTGATTGTCCCCTTCGCAGAGATAGAAGTCGCACCTACACGCACATGCCTTCTTAAGCCGCATCATCTCACAAAACTATGGACGAACTCACCGAGTGGCACTAGCATCGCCCTCGTTCACTCGTCCGTGACCGTCAAGACCAGTCTCTGTTCCGAGGAGCCCACCCAATTTCCCGAGAGAGTTGGTGCCTACATATTATACCATGTTAGCATACGCCATCGTGGCGGAAGAGGGAAGACTGTGCACACGAGCGTCAGCACCACCGAGCGAGAAGGTAAGAGTCGTTATGTCCCCGTTGAGAGCAACTGCGCCACCGACGAGCACAGCAGCGAGGTCTGCGCCCATATTGAAAACTTCAGCGGAGGCTGAGATGACCTCGCCGGCGGTGACGATACCTGTGCCAGAGCATTAGCAGACAGTGCGTGAACAAAAGTGTGCGAATAACACACTGACCATTTCGAGGAAGGTAACCGTGATTGGCGAGGGTGTTCATTCCTGGGCAAGGACCTGGGCGCAGGCGTAAGAAGTAAGAAGGTCTGGATCAAAAAGTATGGAAGTCCGAAGTACCCCGTTGATCCGTTGAAGAGGGCCACTCAAACGGATGGTTGTCTTCCGGAAAGTATTTTGATCCCTCAAGGATGTCTACCAGAGTATTCGCTACCCCCACCAATATGCCGTCGTCGGGGCCAAATATTGCGTCGATCGTCCCATTATTCTGTCTCTTCTGGATCGACCTCTTCCTATAGTTGAGGACTTCACGAGCGATATCCGGCTTTCCCGCCTTATTCCAGGCATGAACTTCTTCCTGCTGGCGGGCATAAAGCTCACGAATTTGCTTCACAAGTTCAGTGTCACCTTGAATGGCATCGAGGCCACGTTTCAGTTGGGATTCGTTGAAGTCGGGGGAAAGCCAAGAGAATGCATAGGTTCTTGTGACTGTCGGGAGGAGGGAGGCGATTGCGATGGCAGCAGAAAGACGCATGGCGAAAGGAACTGTCAGAAAACGAAGGGACGGATGGAAGGCAAGGAGGCTGAACAAGGAGGAATGCGGACTCGAATCGACCACGCACTGGCAGGCATCGAAAAGGATTATATACTTCGCCCCATCAGCGCTGATCCTGCGTTGTACTTGATGGAAGCATGTGGCCGTACTCAATGAAGACTTACGGAGGTTTCGGAAAGTCAAGTACACCCACCTGAAGTTCAACTCAATCGGAGCCTGTCACGTCCCGGTCAAGTCCCGGTCCGTCTGTCAGTGAGACATTCAAGGACAACGCAGAGGACGCGATGGTGCCACCGACGATGTTGTTGAATGGGATAGGCCAGTCTCAGATGAATAGTACCATTCTGTTTGTTTGGTAGATAACAGGGGTGCCCCGATTTCAAAGCATTTACGTTCGATAAAGCCCAAGAGATACACCGAGTGTTCACCAGGCCAGAAGTGAGAAAACCGCATGTGGACCAGCCTTTCGGGGAACAAGCACAAGTGAAGCCTCTCCGAGTTTGAGGAAGCCGCATGAACAGCGGCCAACGCGTGGGTGTGGAGTATGTCAAAGCTCATACACAACCGCTTTCAGAGCGAGAGACTCTGAATCGAGATGATGTAGCCTTAGCAGCTGACTTTCTAGCAGGATCGAGCAAAATCGTCGGCAACAATCGAGGTCCTGAATCTCTGCCCATACGTCGTCGAGGATCATTGTATGGCTGCCTGACGGGCACTGAGAGGAAGGGGCTCGAGACCCGAGGGTACCGGAAACTTTTCTACCGAACCTGTCTGCCGCTGACACCGTTATCCGTTCAATGAAGGGTGCGATGTAGTGGGCCGGCTAGACGGGGGAACGACGTCTTCGGCTCTGGTGTGGTGGTGGTCACTGCTAGAGCAAGTTAGACGAGCCATCATTTCAAAGCCGAGATTACCGAATCCCAATATCTGTTGCTGAATCCTTATCGGGGAATGAAAGTATCCTCAACGTCGAGCAAAGTAAGATCGTAAAAGTAAAAACGAAGACTCTGTGCCACACTTGCGCGTGCCAATCAACAAGCTCAATCAAAATTGAGTTACTTGCCGATTTGATGCTGGATCGTATAAACAGTTGACGACCTGCAGGACAGATGATTGGATGGGGCAGATTGTGCATGTGTTCTGCGGATGAAGAAGGGCCAGGAATATCAGTGAAAGCTCCATTTAGTCCTACGAAAAGTAACAAAACATACATGTTGGACGTGGCATCTTTGTCAGTGACAGGAAGATCAAGCTTTCAAAACCGCAGAATATGGGGGCTTAGGCCATGGGGCCAGAGGGGCGAGGGGCGAATGAGGAAAACAAGACATACGACCAGTCGGCTCAGCTGCCCTTACCGGTGCGAGTGACGAAGAACGGCATCAAGCACAGATAGCTATCTTATTGTACAGAGGCAGGGTATTAGATGCACCAACGGAGACGTAAACAATACAGAGAAACCATCGAAGTAAGAGTGTAAACTGCAAGAGGTGTATGAGTAAGAGCTGAACGCATAGGCAAACAGGGGGAGGCTCGTTCCGTACTGTGGGAATCTAGAGGGTGTGAAGTGGTCAGTTACATGAAACTAAGCGAAGGGATCTTGAATTGAATGTCAGTATTAGCATGGTGTGATCATCAGAAACAGTTATGAAGACGGTTTCGGTGCTTGACTTCTATGATTCGCATCATAATATAAAAGTGCAGAAGACTGACAATTCACCCTGTGACACAGATCCGTTGTGAAGTAGGGGACGCAAGGCAGGCAGATATGATGGGGCTGGTTATCGTTCCAGTGGCTGGAAGCGTGTATAGTATTGTTTTGTATGAGCTTCAACTATTTCCTGTGTTGACTCTGGTAAGTCTTCCACGAATCGACCTACATAGATGACCGAATTCATCAGCTGCAACAAATCGCAATCCAAGAGTGTACCAACCAGGCGAACCAGAGAATAATGAGAGGGCAGGAATAACGGTATTTGGTGGAACAATGGTATTATCTGCTATCCTCGCGCAGTCTTTGATGATTGTAAACTTTCCCTGGTCAAACCAAGGAATTTCAGGACAACCAGTTCTCAGAGTAGCGACGCAATGCAGACACCACGTACAATGACACAGTTCTTCCCAATCTCAACATGGTTCCCAATTGTGGCAGCTTCTACTACTGTGTTGGCTCCTATGTGAACATGGTCGCCAATCTTCATAGGGTAGTAGTTGAAGTTTCCTCGATATGTCTTGTATGGAGGTCTGCTCAGTCGTCCGCGGTCAGAACTATAGGTGCAACTTCTCTATGGGGAGTACATACCGCATAGTGCAACCCTCTCCAACAAGACAATATCTCCCCAAAGAAATTACGACCGCATGTCCTGGACCCGTTCGCTTCAAATCGCCACGAATGATAGCGCCACTTGAAATGATGGTCTTGCCGCCGAGTATGATGTTCTGTGGGCCAGCGATGGTAGCTCGGCGAGAGACTTTGTTTCCTGTGTCCTTCAATCACCCGATATCTGGAATGTCGATACCTCAATGTTCCAGAGAGGTGGATAAGACGATGATGCACGTACTGTTTCGATGAACTCCGCCTTCGGGTAGTAGATTGGTTGCTCCATTTCTCCTTCGAAGAAAGGTTCAAGTAGAAATTGACGCGCAGCTTCAAGGTAACGAGACAGAAGGTGATTTTTTGCGAATTATATGGTACGATGGGCTCTGAGTAGTGGTTGAATCGAACTGAGTTGGCGTGGGCCACACCGACTTCGTGTTGTCCGTGATTGGAAGACCTGGGTTGGAAGCGCGTATCACGTGCGGTCTGCGCGAAAAATCGCCAAAACTTCGCCACAAAATCTGCTTTACTTCACTCGCGATCAGTACCGTCAGGCGTAAAAGCCTGCTGTAATTTCTCTCACCCTGCCTTTGCATGCGTCTCTAGTAAACTCTAGCTCCCATCATGGCCTCTACTTCTCGTCAAAATGACTTTATCATGACCTTGGACTCGGACGTTGAGGACGAACCTCAGGCCATCCCTCAGACTAATGGCAAGGCATCTAAAAAACAAAAAGCTGCAGGCGACGACGATGCTCAGCTTGACCCAGACTTTGTGTTCGATCTCTCCGGGGACCCCTACAATGACTTGTTGGATAGTAGGTTGGATGTAGGAGATCTGGTGAAGAAGGGATCGAAACCGGTGCGGCGCTTTGACTTTCTTCTCCTACTTAGATTACTCGAACTTAGAGCTCATATATCGTTTCGTTTACAGGAGCCGATATCTGTGGACGATATTATTGCAAAGCGGAGGCTTGGGAAAGTATCAGGGAAGCGAAAGCGCGAGGTAGAAGACGAGGATGAGGACGAAGATGATGAGGAAGACGAGGAAGAGCTGTCAGCTGCTGGTGAGGATGACGACGAGGATAATGATGTTGGGAGTGGAAGTGAAGAGGGCTTTGTTGGATTCGATGCCGAAGACGGAGATGACCCACTCGCGACGTCGGATGAGGATGAGGAGGCAGGTTCTGGAGAAGACGACGACAACGACGAAGAAGAAGACGAAGAGAGCGACGAAGGACCTTCATCCGAAGACGAAAGTGAACCGGAGACTCAGGCCGAGAAGGACAGGAAAACCGCATTTTTCGCTTCTGACGCACCCTCATCCGACACCCATTCATCCTTCCTCACTATGAATCTTTCACGTCCGGTGCTCAAGGCTCTCACTACGCTTGGATTCAATACACCGACTCCCATTCAGGCAGCAACCATACCTGTCGGACTCCTGGGGAAGGATGTCGTCGGAAATGCCGTGACGGGTTCAGGAAAGACTGCTGCGTTCATCATTCCGATGATCGAGCGACTTCTCTACCGAGACAAGGGCAAGAAAGCTGCTGCTACCCGGTGTTTGATTCTTGTCCCTACGCGAGAGTTGGCCGTTCAGTGTTACGAAGTAGGCAAGAAACTCGGAACACATACAGACATCCAATTTTGTCTCATCGTAGGTATGCTCTCAATTTTCTACCACGTTGAAGTCTCGCTAACTCAACTACATGTATCTAGGTGGACTGTCATTAAAGTCTCAGGAAGTTGCTCTTCGTGCACGACCAGACGTAGTTATCGCTACACCTGGTCGGCTGATCGACCACCTGCGCAACTCGCCATCTTTTACTCTCGACGCCCTCGATATCCTTGTCCTCGACGAAGCCGATCGTATGCTGTCCGACGGTTTCGCAGACGAACTCACAGAGATCATCCAGTCATGTCCTACCTCACGCCAAACCATGCTCTTCTCCGCCACTATGACTGATTCCGTCGATGAGCTCGTCAAGATGTCACTCAATAAACCTGTTCGTCTGTTCGTCGACCCTAAACGAAGCACGGCTCGTGGTTTGGTTCAGGAGTTTGTCCGCGTTCGCGCCGGGAAAGAGTCAGACAGGTCCGCCTTGCTCGTCGCACTGTGCAAACGGACATTCAAGTCGGGTGTGCTCATCTTCTTCCGGAGCAAGAAGCTGGCACATCAAGTACGAATCATGTTCAGTCTGCTGGGTATGAGCTGCGAGGAGCTACATGGAGATCTATCTCAGGAGCAGGTAACGTTAACCTTTTTGCTCGCGGTTCAGGAGTCGGACTCACCTTGCCTTTGTACGTAGCGTCTAAAATCGCTACAACTCTTTCGCGACGGAGCCGTCGACTACCTGATGGCGACCGACCTTGCCTCCCGTGGTCTGGATATCAAGGGTATTGATACCGTCATCAATTTTGATATGCCAGGCCAGTTAGCACAGTACTTGCATCGTGTAGGTCGTACGGCTCGAGCTGGCAAGAAGGGTCGGTACGTGCCCATTCCCTTATTACGTTTTGAATCCTCGTTCTGATATATCTTTCATTTGTGGTTCATAGATCCGTAACATTAGTAGGAGAAGCCGATCGCAAGATGCTGAAGGCTGCCATCAAGCATTCAGCAGGAGCCGATCAAGTCAGGCATCGTACTGTCCCCCCTGAGATTGTGGCGAAGTATGTGAAGAAGTTGGATTCGCTCAAGCCCGAGATTACTGGTGTCATGCAGGATGAGAAGGAGGAGAAGCATGTTCGTATCTTGTCATTGAACCGCTCGTCTTGTGTTCGGATCGGAGAACTAACTCCGCATGATCGCCCGTTATGTTCTATAGCTGCGGAAAGCGGAGATGGAGCTTCAAAAAGGCCAGAATATGATCAACCACGAGGATGAGATCTATTCACGGCCGGCGAGGACATGGTTCCAGTCTGGCAAGGAGAAACAGAAGGCAGCAGGTGAAGATCCATCCCTTATTTGCTGCTTTAGGTCACAGTTACTGACCGAAAATTTCAGACCTCAGCAAGTCTCAGTATGAAGCCGGCTATTCCGCGGCCAATGCTGGTAAAGGCAAGGATGCACCTGTGGACACGACTAAGGTCAGTGATGTTTTCCCCCATCGTCTTGCCCGTCTTAGTGTATGGCTGATACCCGGTTAACAGCCCAAGCGCGACAAATTCTCTGGCCTCTCCCGCCGAGTCAAGCGGCGAAAACTCGCGCTCGAAGAGGACGAAGCAGCGGGCGACCACAAAGTCGTCAATGCTGCCATCCGATCCGCCAAAAAGGCAGCGCGGCCCAACAAGATCGGCGTCCCAGAAAAACGCGACAGTAAGAAAGGCAGCAAGTCGCGAGACAAAAAATCAAAAACGAAGCCGAAGGTCACGAAGGGCGGGAACTTTGGGAGTGATATGGGGCAGAGGGGAGGTGCGAAAGCACAAAACGAAGGGATCCGGGCGAAGAAGGGAGATTCAATCGGGGGTATGAAGAAGGGAGGGAAGGGTGGCGGTGGGAAGCGGAAGGGCAAGAAGTAGTGGGCAACCTTAGATGGAGACTACTATTGTTTTTTTGGGGGGTTTCGGGATCTCCTTACTTGCTCCTGGATCTCAAACTTGACATTCCGAGCTGCGCCAGCGATGCAAAGAAAAAGAGTGAAAATATGGGTGGTCATTGTTAGTGGAGCTCACTTGAACCACCTTGGCTTCCAAGTTGCCCATCCGCCAGCGTCTCGGTTTCTGTGTCTGACTTGACAGGCTCGCGTGCGCTTTAGTGTGGCGGTGCCACCTAGTTTAGCGAGCACAGGTCGTCTCCTCGTCACTCTTTCCATGTACAACTTCAGTTCTCGCAGACACTCGAATGCCTTTTTCCTACCATGTTCTTCAATAACGAGCAACTCACTGTCGAGCAGCGTCAGATGTACGCTGCCGAAAAACTCGTCAACTTCCGCTTTATCGCCAAACTGCTCGGCACGCGATCACACCACGTCCTCACCTCCGTTGACCTCGCACCGCTCACCCTCCAATCTGAGCTCTCAATCTGGTCCCAGTTCGCCGAGGTCGCCTATAGCGTCGTCCCCGTAAAACTTGTCTTCGAGAAACTGGACGTTTTATCGGGGACGGGCTTTCCGCTCGAAGGCTATGACGCGTTGAAGGACTCCATCTTCGTCGACGCTGTCCGGGGCGAAGTCGCAGACGTACCGGCATACGTGGCATACAGACCACAACTGAAGCAGCTCGTCGTCGCGTTCTCTGGAACAGCTTCGTTCTCGCAAGTCATACAGGACTTGAGGGCGTCAAAGACTCCTTACCCCCGACTCCCTTCGAAAGAAAGCTCTAAACGCTCGCGGTGTGCGGTACATACGGGTTTCTGGAAGCTGTACGAAGGCGTTGGCCCGGCGATGTTGAATGTTGTGAAGGGTGCGCTCGAGAGCTTCGAGGTGGGGGAGATCGTGCTCACAGGTCATAGCATGGGTGGCGTGCTGTGTTATTTGTTAGCGATGGACCTGCTTGCGCCGGGGGTGGATGTGTCGCCCAGCCTGATGAATTCGACAACGTTGCGACTCGTGGCGTTCGGATCGCCTCGGTGGGCTAATGAAGATATGGCGCAGTATTGGACCGATACGGTACGTGCGTGCCGAGCGCAACATGGGGAGGATTCACTATTGGAGTACTCCGTGAAGGGGCTCAACGATGGTAAGATTCTCATTCATTGCTACTTACCGAGGTCTGACATTCCTTCGTTGTTGTGGTCCTCAGGTGTACCTGCACTTCCCCCTACATACTTGGGCTACCGACATGTCTGCGAAACCCCTCTATACTTCACGAAGGGGAATCTATACCGAATACCCACATCCGAGCGTGAGCACGCATTCTTCAGCGTCGACACGGACAGTACGAAGTCCTCTGAGTCCGTGCGTGGTAGAACAGCTTCTACCGCTTCTTCGCTTCCATCATCCGCCTCCACATTACACCAGTTTGGATATTTGCATCCAAGAGGAGGGCATAATTACTATAGCGAAAGGGACATGGAGAAGATGCAGAGGAGGATGAGGTGGTTGCATGGCGTGATGTCGAAGGAGGGAGAGGCGAATTGGAGAGAACAATACCTTAGGCATCTTGCTGCTCATGAGGGCGGCAAGACTATCAGTGCTACCACTAAGAATTCGACACAGAATAATAACTCCTGAAATCTATGCATAACAAGAGGTCTGCCGATAATATGAGTCCTGCGGCCGGTACGACCTCGACAGAAATTGTGAGGCCTGGATAGACGGAATGCCGGCAGCAATATATTTTTAATGTTCCGTTCCCGATCGACAGCGATCCTGTCAGCCGTATCTGATAAGTCGATTCTGGTTATGAATTCTGCCCACGCGCCGCGGTCGGTTCTGTCTCCCTCTCACCAGCCGCTTGCCACATGCAAAGAAAGCATAAACCCACTTTGTCCCTACCACCATCAGGCCCTGGTAGAGCGCTCTCCGATGTCTCTACCTGCTCCTTCAGAAGCTTCACGAGCTCTCCGAGTCCCTAACCAGAGCAGCAACGGCGAAACGGATACCCTTCTCGTCAACGACGACCAAGTCATCATCGTGCACGATTCGCCACGACAGAGAAGATCTGTGAGATGGAGAGGATTGTTCATCAGAAGCATTGCCTTGCTATGTGCATGTTCTCTGAGTGTCGGGAGTCACTAGTACGTCCTTTACCAATGACGAACCTACCGTCTTTGTCAATGCCTGGACTGTGCGATTGTAGTGCAACATATATCCTTGCTCCCCTCAAATCACGAATCACCAGGGAAATGGGGACTTCAAACACGGAATTCAGCTTGCTGCTGGCGGCTTTCAGCCTGAACAGTACCTGGACTCCTCTCGCAGGTGGAGTACTGGCTGCCACTCTTGGGACGACCTTCACCAGCATACTCGCCACAGGCATCATTGTCACAGGCATGTTCACATCCTCGCCATGACACTCAAGATGCTTGTCAGATTTTAACGCTCGTTCCCGGCGTCTAGGCCTCTTCGTTCTACTCGTAGGGGACTTGACCGGCGACGTCAGGCTGATGACTCTAGGAATGTTCATATTTGGCCTCGGTGTTAGTCCTCTCGCCGTTGTACAAGAAACCATCATCGTTCGCTTCTTCAAATCCCACTCGTTGGGTCTGTCTATGGCTATCGGACTCGTGGCCGGCAAGATCGCCTCATTTGTTGCCGCTCGAACGTCATACCCTCTCACCCAGAAATTTGGGCCACACGCACCGTTCTACACCGCCGCCATCTTGGCCACATTCTCATTTGGCATCAACCTCGTTTATGTTGCGTCCTCAAAATGGCTTGTTGCGAACACACAGACAGAGCTGGAGCCTTCAGAAATTCGAGACGAGGCCGCAAGGTTCTCAGTACAAGATATGTCGGAGGGCGACGCCCTCGCGAAGGTCGCCGAGAAGAGAAGGGTCAAACTGAAGGATATCACGCAGCTGGGGGATGTATTTTGGGCGTCCGTGCTTCTCCCGCGTTGTCCGTGCTCTCCAGTGTTGACTCTTTCATGTGACGCAATAGCTATATTGGGGTAAATTTATTCTGTGGCATGATCTGGCACCCCTTCACCCACCTTGCGGCGTAAGCACCTTCCTTTCTCCAAATAAGAAGCATTCCGTTGACTACCTTTACAGAAATCTAATTCAACGCCGATACCAACTCACTGAGCTTGATGCAAGCACGAAAGCTTCGTATCTTCTCGCCGGGAGTATGTTTTTATACCCTACGGTAAGTTCTGTCACTCTATACCCCTCAGCCGTATGCTAAGCTACACGCTCACATCTACTTGTCAGGTCGGATTCGTCATAGACCGATTCAAACGTCCATCTCTGGTAATCATGTTATTCGCCCTGTCGTCGCTTCTCACTATGTTCGGGTACACCTGGTTCACCCTTCCACCCGATGTAACTGGTACCCCTATCCCTGCCATTGCAAGCATCGGCGCCGGAATAGGATTCTCCCCTCGTATGCTACTTTCCCACCACCTGGAGTAGCTTCCTTGCTCATTCGTCTGCAGTTCTTCTGGTCGTCATTGTTCCCCAGCTAGTTCCTATGCGATATGTGTCTACCACACTCGGTGCTCATAAGAGTGTAGGTTTTCGTCGCTTTCTTGCACGACAGACACTGATTACTGATTTCCCTTGCAGCTTGAGCAGGCAGGAGCCACAATTTCTCAAACGCTTTCCGGCCTGATCTTGGACACCGAGGCAGACAGTGATCCGAACAGTACCCAACCCATCTTAAGCTTCTTCCTCGTCCTCAACGTCATTCAATTCTTTGGTATTTTGGGCCTTTGGTACCTTAGCCGCCGCCAAAGGCTCAAGGAGGCCCGTCACCGTCACGAACTCGTCATGGCATCCCCGAACCATTCGGAGACGTCACTCGAGGACGAGGCCAATGCCAGGGAATCGTCCCCTCCGCCTAGTCCGCACCGCACCACCACAAGACTCGACACGCCGTCGTCCGCAAATGGGCACTCGAAACGGCAACGGAAAGCGACGAAACGAATGAAGAAGAGGGGTAAAGTTTTTGGGGCGATGTGTGCTGGGTGCATCGTTGGTGCCTGGGTGCTGTTCCTCGTCACTGCGTATTTAAGGTTGAGGTCAAAGCAGGAGAGGGAGGGCAAGCTGCATCAGTAGATACTACCAGCATTCGTTTGGTTTGCTTGTGGTTCGGCAGGTCCATCTAAGTAATTGTATGTATAATTAGCTCTATTTATTGCTGCGTCTCCGTGGTATAGTTGGAAGACACTCTCCAATGTGTTCAATCGTCCTGTGTGCTGTATCCACAGCTTTAAGCGAATCACACTCGCATGACCGGTACTCTTCATTTTTTCCCCATTGCCGGTATGTCTTTACTGTCCATCTCAGGATCTCTGTGCAACAGGTGCCAACTCTCCCACTTCAGACGTTGCAATTCTCTATTCAATTATGGACCGGGATCATTGTCGGAAGTCACCATCACAACTCTTACTGTATCACCAAACTTCCGTCACCTACTGTCCCGTTCTGATTCCCCGAACGCAACGATTTCGTAAAGGAGATGCGATTACTATGACACCATCTCGTTCTTCAAACCAGCTTGAAAATCAGTTTCACCCTAACTTCTCCTGTGATGGTTCCTTCGAATTGTGATTTATACGTATCACTTCACTGTGAAGATCACCCCGAGACGCACGAAGTTATTACATGATGGTGATAAATTAGCGCCGAGGCGTTCCTCCTTACCGCCACCTCTGATTGGCGCTGGTGAGGCTTTTCACTCGTCTTGCTGAACAGGAGCTCTGTCAACCGAAAGCTCTGCCAAGCTGAGGCCTCCGACGGCACGTAGAACATAAAAGAGACAGGTTTCAACAGGTTCTCCTCAGGCTTTTCCTTGCTCTATCGACAGTATACCGGGTTACCGTCTGCTACCGCTGACCTCTAATTTTCTGAAACTCTCGTCTCAGCATTCGCTTCAGCGATGCTCCTCCACTCCTTACTTGTCGCTCTTTCATGTGTTTCGTTTTCCTTAGCCAGTACTCACGACCCGTCGTCGCGTCAACGTCCGAACTACCATACTTCCCGCCATCATCCAGTCGGCGAGATCCCTTCAGTGTTCTTAGACCGTGCCAATGCGGACGATGCGTTGTTGTCCGCCAGCATCGATATCAGCATTGGTGCTTCGGTATCTGTGACGGTGTCCAGCGCGACTAGTACCTCTGCGGCAACTACGCCCACTGCGAGTACTTACACGGGGCCAAAATTCGCCAGTATCCACTTCATGGTCGGGAATACGTGAGTTGCTCCGAGTCACTCCCGGTTTAACAGTACGACCCATATTGATTTATGATTTTAGATACACTTATCGTCTCGTGGACTGGATGACCGATATTCTGGACATCGAAGAAGCTGGGTTTGATGCTATCGCCCTCAACTTGGGCTCGTACGAGACGTTTCCATCTTTCTGTCCTGAAACAAGTGATTCTAACCAAGATATTACCAGTGACTGTTGGCAACAAAATTCTGTCGAGCTTGCGTACCAGGCCGTGAATAAGCTGAGATCGCCTGTCAAGCTATTTCTCAGTTTGGATATGTTCGTATTCGAATTCTTTCTTTCGTACCGCTCAGCCCGTGACAATCAATCTTGCAGGAGCGTGTGGTCTCAAGCCGACTCCGATGATGCTCAGACATTAGCCACGTTGATTAATAAGGTGAATATTACGATTGGTCATTGTTGAGAACCTCGCCTGATTTTTGTTGCCTGCAGTATGCTACCAATCCAGCTCAATTCCTCTACAACGGCCTCCCCTTTGTCAGTACCTTCTCAGGGGACCAGTATGGAAGCTCGTTTGGTCTTGGACTCTGCGATGGCTGGAACGAACTCCGATCATACGTACCGACTAACATGTATTTTGTTCCCGGATTCTTCTTTCCCGAGAGCACTGGCATTACGATTGCGAATGTGAGCCAATGCGTTGAGGGCCTCTTCCAATGGAATTCTGCTTGGAGCATCGACGGAACGCCAGTCAGCTCTCAGACCGACTTGGTTAGTTCTTCACCGATAACCTCTCTCATACATGTTGCCGATGTAGCTTGACGACTCTATCTCCCAGGCCTGGATAGAAGCTTTGGGCCCGAATAAGACTTACATGGCGGGAATCTCTCCTACGTTCTTCACCCATTACGGCGCCGACAGTCTTAATAAGAACTTTGTCTATGGCTCGGAGAACAACTATGCCACTCGTTGGCAACAGGTCACGAACATCTCTGCACCCCTCGTCCAGGTCATTACCTGGAACGATTTCGGGGAGTCCCACTACATTGGCCACCGCCCTGAAACTACCCAGAATCAACCGTTCGAGAGTACTTGGGTCTGTGTCACCTATTGTGTCTTTTGAACAAGTGAAGTTACTCATGTGACTGGATAACAGGTCAATTCGCACAATCATCTTCCGTGGCTGAGAATTACCAAGCCTCATATTCAGGTATACAAAAATGGTGCACCCGACTCGCTTGCATCGGACACCATCGTCTGGGAATATCGCGTTCATCCAGCTAATGCTACTGCCACCGACGATGTCCTAGACCGTCCCACCGGCACTGAATGGTTGACTGATAACGTGAGTTCCAATTCATGTCCGTATAAATGAGTCCATTTCAGGTTTAATGAACATCCTATGAATAGGTCTACATCACCGCCTACCTCGCGAACCCGGCCGAAGTACGCATCACCGCTGGTACTCTCGAAGGCTCCTTCAACGGCAGCGCTGGGCTCAACTACTTCGTCCAGCCATTCACTGCCGGGGCCGTTGCCGTCTCTATGTGGCGCGATGGTGTAAATGTGGGCGGGACCGTCACGAACGAAGTGAACATCACCGATACACCGGCATTTTACAACTACAACCCAGTCAGTGCATCAATATATGTGATCTATTACCCAGTGATACTGATAACGTACCCTATATCAATACGAACTCCTTAGATTGTGGAGCAGTTCTTCCATGATCCTGTCTGGCAGAGTTGTTAACCACCTAGGTTTTCAGCGGCTCCTGTCTGCTTATAGCTGTTTTAACGAGTCTTGAGTTTAATATATGCTGGGCTTTCCCGACTAATCCTCGGCTGTTGCAAGCGAAACGATGGGCTAAGTGGTAGACTGAACGTGGCGGTCGAAAACTACAAGAATGTGTTGGCCTGAATCCTAAGCTGTCCGTGGTCCTGAGACTGCAGAATAAGGATGCTGGAAACCATAACATACAGTAAACGTGACAGCGAAACTGAAGATGAGATGCCAACTCATTCAATTATTGGAATGCGGCCAACTGAAGCAGTTGCGAAGTGTGGCGGTGGCGTCCTTTTGATCGGAGTCACAAGACCGCGTCGCGCCACCGCGTACCTAAGCGCTTGTTCGAATTCGACGACGCTCGTCGCTTGTTCCGATTCGTAGCTTGTTCCCAATCATCTTCTATCTCGTCTTTCGCACATTTGTCCCTAGGCTGCATCCCGATCTCTGCTACGATATCTCGACAAAATCATTTGAGATCTTTCTCTATCGTCGACATAGCACCTCCAGTACTCGTACTCTTCTGGCTGTAGCCTGAGGACTTCCACCGTGTCGACTTGGCTGCTGAACGCTCATTCAGCGAAGACCTCAAGTTCATAACTGCCTTCGCTGTGCTCGATACTTAGACTATATGCCCTCACAAGACTTTTCATCTTGGGCGACTCTCCAGCTTCCCCCCAGCTCACGGCTGTTCCCGTCAGCATGTTGTCCAGACAAGGATCTTGTTGTCGTCGTTTCAAGGCTGGGTAGCAAGGACCAAATTAGTCTATGGAAAATGCAAGGCTCCAAAAAGTGGGACGTTGTTGTAGACACCGGGAATCCTCATCCGGAGGAGGTGGTAGACATAACATGGAGCTCTGATGGTGCGTTGTTCTATACATCGAGCCTCCTTCAATATCTGAGTTTGACGTCTAGGTCAGACTATTGTGCTCATACACGACCCACCTCGAATCACGCTTCATTCCGTCCAGGACGGCGCCGAGCAACGTGCGATCTCTCTGCAGAATGTCGTCAAGGACGGATTTCGTTTGGCGCACGTGTGGTGGTTTACAGAGCAGAAGAAGCGAAAGGAATCCATCATTCCTGACATCTTCAAACGAGGGGATATCATCGTATGTTGCGGTTCTTTGATGTCTATATTGAATCCGTACGAGTTTCATGAAAGACAGGATCTTCTCACTCAGTTCTCAAACTGCTCCCCTTGCTGGATCCGGTCAAAGACCTGACACAAGCCCTGTCGTGCGTATACATTTGGTAAGACGCTCACTGTAGACTGACTTGGAAAGGGCAGGGCGAACGACCTGTTTGCATTCCAAACGACCCAACCGAAGAGCCCTGCGAAGACTAGCCTTCCTCAAAGCATCGCAACCTGGCCTACTCTTCCTCCTGACCCCCTTGCCGCCTCTATACAGCCCTCTGCTAGAACGAGCGAGCAAGACCCTCAAGACGAAATAGATGAAGGGGAATCTGACGACACCAAACCGAACAGCCTTCTTGTTGTGTCTGATGACGATGGCCAAGTACATATATTCTTACAAGGGTGTTACCCGCTAGGGTCCTTCTTGGTCGCCGACAAATCGACTACGACAAGTCTACTCAAGTCGTCAAACTGTTCTACGATGTTCGCTCATCAGCTGCGCGACATCAACGGTATCAACGCCACATCATCTGTGCCGTCCACAGTGCGACTTCCTCTGCTGGACAAGCGCATGCCTATGGATGTGGCCAAAGCATCCACCGTCGCTCGAGAGCTCCTCTGGTATATAATTCGAGTCGTCGATGAGATGCGCACGGCTTGGCAGGGATCGAATACACAGACGAGTGCTAGAGACCAGGGTCCCAAGTGGTTAAGGTCTTTGGAAGCTTTACAGGATAACAAGCTAGGAGATCGTGAGTCTAGTCTTTATTTGGGGTTTATTGGTTGCTGTTACGACACTTAATCCAAATTCTTAGACAAAAGTGCATGGTCCATAGTGGATTTAATGATGTACCTGGTGACCGGACGTCCTTCCGACGCCGTTTCGGATTTTATAGGCAGTGGCGAGCAAATGAGCGAAAGGGTATTCCTCCATCTTCCGTACAGAAGAAACGTGCGGACTAATCACAGCGACTGGTAGGGTCTACTCAAATGGGAGTCAACGGTCGTTGAAGCCCTGATCAAACTGCGAGATTACTCGGAACAGAGAGTGGCGCCTGCATGCCAGCGTTTGCACATCGTGTTGGAGGATTTATTGGGCTGGTCGCAACTGTAAGTCCCTCGGACACAATACTCAGCCGTGCATGCCTTGAAGCCCGTCAGGTCAGCGCTGTACGGACCTTGCGACCTCGATACCGAGGAAATCAAAAAATGCGTCGAGGATGCCGGCCGAGCGATCGTCGCCGCAAGCTGGTTATCGGCTACTGCCCGGCGAGAGCTTTCCCGCTTCAAAGAATTCATGAGATGGCTGCGCTATGGTACGTCGTCCGACCTCTCTGCCAATAACTCTTTTCCCAACCTTCGCACCATAGAAATTACGGTGGCGAGTTCACCGGACGATGTTCCGCACGTTGCCCCCACTCACGACATCCTGGAGGTCAACGATTACCTCCTCACCGGCCTTCATAGAAGTCAAATCGATCGGTGGTTCGACGGGGGCGCTGCAAAATTCTCTCCGCAGGACCTTGGTGTGCCCGACGAGAAGCAAGACTTGGCCACCGTTATGAAGCGGGCTCGGTTGGCTCTCCGAGACCGCACGTCAACCGACCTCTACCACGTAGGCAGTCGCCTGTCTGAACCCTTCTTTCGCGCTGATCGAATTCTTTCTTTCGCCAGCATGTTACGGAAAGAAATTTGTTCCCCCTGGATAGGAATGTGGACGCATTAGTTCGTGACCTTGCGGGGCGGTGTCAAACCATTTTCCTGCGCGCCGCGGGAGCAACAGGGCGCTCCGCGAACGTTCTGCAGGCGCCGAACTCCGCGAACCGAGTTTCCAATCCCGACCAGGATCTTCTTCCCAAAAGCGGATTCGTCATTCGTGAGAGATCAGACCAAGACAAAAACAGAGTGAGTCAGTTCATTATCTCCTGAGACCATGCGACTTCACATCGGCCGTCCAGACAAGCCGATTCGTTCAGCATTTGGCAATTCATGCACCTTCTGATACCCACGGGGCCTCCTGTAAGTTCGCGAGATTACGGTTTTGCCTAGCCGAGGTCTGACTTTCTTTCGCACAGTGTACCTTTTCAGAGTGAAGTACGACCAAGAGGACCCCGTTTCCTCTATCCAGTCGTCTGTAGCTGTCCTTGAATGCCGGATCCGGGAAGAAGAGGACGGCGGGTTTGCCGATTTTAGCTTGCTCGATGTGGAATTCTTTGATGAGGAGTCCCTTGTGATCATCTATCGACAAGGCGCTTCCGGTGAGTAGTTTACGTCGTGCCGCCCGCTTCTCCCGCACCAACGTCACCACGGGATACACTAGGACCTACACTCCTTTCCACGGTCGGATACTCGGATATAACATATCAAGATTTGGCCGGCAACATGAAGCCTTCTCGAGAGGGCATGATGCTCGACGCGTTTTCGCGATGGAAATCGGGGCAGGTAAAATCTTATAATTGCACATGCTGCACGAAGAGCACCGCATCTCATCTCTTTGTTTCTTTAGTTAGAATCGACGCCGATACCGATCAAGAAGTCGCGCACGCTAGCTGTCTGCAAGGAAGGCCCAGTGTCCCTCGCAGTCAACGGTAGAGTCGGACGGCGAGTGGTCTGTGTGCTCGATGTCGACCAGTCGATTCTCGAGGTTTTGGACCTGGAAGGGGACGACACAGAGGACGAAACGGTGGAGCACGAGGAGGAGGACGCGGAATAAGCTAGAGACGGAAACTAACCGTTGTATTTTCTTTGTAGCTTCTGTATACGGTAAATGAACGGAGGACGAATGCGCAAGGCCCGATCTTTTTGGTAGAAAACGTTTGTTCGTCGTGTGATTGAAAGAGTGCGATAGTAGTCTCCGCGCTGTTGCGCTACGGCGGCCTTCCTGGTACGGTCTGATACGGCAAGATTAGGCGTCCTGCTAGACAAGTTACGGTTATGGGACCGCTGGTTCAGAACGACGGCGAAGGAGATCAAATGGATATAGTTGCACTTGCTTTGTTGGATCGATGGGCGGTGCGTCAGACGCACAACGAAGCTCAGAGGATGACGATCATCAAGGCTTCTTTTGGAGGCCCCCAGGCTTCCGAGCACGAGCTACTTGAAGCGAAAGGAGCGTTTGTGGGCGAGGTGCCGCCACGGGGATTTCACCTGGTGCCGTGACGGAGCGGACCGTGAGTCCGAGCCGGATTTGGCGAATAAATAGGGAGAGCAGTTCTGATGGGGAGTGGCGAGTGCGCGGCGAGGTCCGCGTCGTTATCGTTCATGCTGGAACAAAGCGAGGCGGGCACGCAAAGACAGCGTTCATGTTGAAGATCGCCGCCTCAGAAAAAGCAGAAGGCGAAAGAGAACGGTGGGCCTACGCACCGGACGGCTTGTGCTGGCTTGGGGAGAGCATGGGGGCGGCGAGGCAGGCGAATTTTATTCCAGCGGGGCCACGCGGTGCGCCAATCTCCGGGCAATACCCTCCGTCGGTCGTGCCCTGAATTCGAAGGAAGTCTCCATCCATTTAAAATATTGCCTATATTCTTCCGCCCAGTCGCTCCTTCCTCTCCAATGGCCCCTTCACACCAGCCCGCCAATGGCTCACCCCCCAAGGACGACGCTGCTGCTCGTCTCTCCGATGCTGCTATGCGCAAGAAAAAGAATGCAGACGCACAGGCAGCCTTCAGAGCCCGACGCGCTAACTATATCGCTACCCTTGAGGAAACAGGTACGTACCGGCGGCATGTCATAGATTTCGTACGAATCGCTCAACCTTACGCTCGCTTTTAGTAACGAATCTCGAGGCCGTTGTCCTCCAACTACAAGACTCCTGTCGAGAAGCTCGCTCAGAGGTCTCTGACCTCCGTCAAGAGAACTCCCGTCTCAAACATGCTGGTCGAGAGCGCGAAAAGTTCTGGCGAGCGTTGTGGCAGACCCGCAAGGGCCCCGAATCGCAGCTGGAGGAATTTCCCCCTCTCCCAGCATGTTTCGGTCCAATGCATCCTCAGACCACCGCCGTCAATTCCCACCTAGGTCCTTATAGCGAAGACGAACTTCCTTACACGAACGGCGAATCCTCATCTCTAACCCATACTCCATACGCTCGCGCCTCCAACGATTATACCACTCGTTCTCCTTCCATTTCCTATGCACACGCTGACGGCGACATCTCCTCGACTAACGGTCGTTCTATGTCCATGAACGCGCAACAACAGGCCACAAAATACGGTTATCAGTCATATGCTATGCAAAGCGCAGCCCGTGACAATTCATGGCCTCAAGCAGTCGCGCACAACTCGTCGTCTGGCGCTGACTCCGGTCGCCCAGACAGTAGTGGCTCCGTCGACTCTCCCCATTTTGTCGAATCCCCCACCATCACTTCCACCGCAGATGTGACTTACGCGTCAAGATACCCAGTCGTCGATGAGCAGAAGGTGTCGGTCATGGAGAACGCGCCGTATGCCTTCACAGCCAGTCGTTCCCTTTCCCCTTCCTCTTCCACCCAGACCACGGCCGCTACAACCCATATACCTTCGACATTTCAATTTGGGACGTTCGGTGACGGTACGGGTGCCACAGACCAGCGCGCCGACTTTGACTACCGTCGACAGTCAGTCGGTCATTCGGCGGAGGTCACCCTACACGGCGGGATCGCTGACATCTCATCAATCGCGGCCCCTCACGGAGGCGAGGCTCTTCGGTATAGACTAGGAGCTAGTGCCAATGGCGCCCGTCGCTCCGTGTCAGGTGCAGACAGAGCGGTCTTTCCCTCCCTCCCGCAATTTACCGGTCACGATCTCGTCAGCGGCCCAAGCGAGGCAGAGGCTTCGTACGCGGCCGCGCGCGGACGTTCCCGACGATCTTCTCGTCAGTCGCGCTCGCCGTCTCCTGGCACGCCCCCTATGTCGGGAACTCTGGCGGTGATAAAAGCACAAGCATTCGGTGCTCTTCGTCGAACACGGACACGGAACAAGAAGGGCGCTGATGGTGCGGCGAAGGTGGCGATTGAGGCGTTGGAGGCGAGGGGTATTGGCATGGGCGTTTCTACCGGTTCAAAACGCCCACGTTCGATGATTGAGGATGAAGACGAAGATGACGGGCATTAATTAGGTTAGTGTATTTTGGAAAGCTTTGATTTGGTTCGCTACGTCTGCAATTTTGCCTGTTAGGGGCTCTATCGCATGACGGACTGTTTAACGAGGATGGCCTTAGAGGGCGTGATCAGTACTATGCACCGCCTACATGACTTCTCTCTGTATTGTATATACGACCCTTGCTTTCTGTCAGTAACTTAACACTGCTTACTGTATATGGCTGTTTTTACCTGTATTTCACTCTCGTGGAGGACATGTACATCGAGTCGGCTTCAGTTCTTCACACTACGGATTTCAGGACACTTATGCTTCATATTTACAGCGCTTTCTGAGCTGGCCCTCTCTCCTTCGGATACTTCAAAGGTGTACAACCTTAAAATTTACAAAGGAACGTTGAAGTACAACTGCTCGATCGAGTGGCTTCGATTTACTTCCGTGTGCCAACGGAGGCTATTCCGTCAAGGCGCCAAAGAAGCGTTGAAAACCCCGATTCCACGCTCGCAGCATTCTGAGAAGTGTTCTGCAAGCCAAGTCGTGCTTTGTGCGAGCCACCATGCTGAAGAGGGGAATAAATACAAAGGACCTTGTCTTCAAAGCGAGGACGAAAAATGAAGGGGATCGCGTAAGGTTCTGAGGAACGAAGCACGGCCTTACCCCGGGGCAGACCGAGATGAGGGCACGATGAAAAAACAACGCCTCACGGCGGATCAAAGGGACAAAAAAACCTTATCAGTCAAAGCCATGATTGGTGCACCGGTGAGAAACGGCGATTCAGTTTGACATCGAACTTCAAACAGAGGCCGAAGTGAACAATAATGAAAGCTAACAGCGGCAGCGGCGATATCGATATATTATTATATACGCGGAGCCCGCGGGAATCAAGTATTGTCGCTGCAGCGCCAGACAGAACCTGCACACCTGCGACGGTGAAAGCTTCCTCGAGCGTCAGCCTGCCCTCCCGCGATATAAACTGGTCGAGGGGCCAGGATTTCCGAGGGCGCCGTGGTGGAGCCGGAACGGGGGACAGCGAGAACCTGTGCTCGATGGCTTACCCAGGACTTATAATAATCGTGCATGAAAGCCTGAGGGCGCAGCCTTCAATTGACCTTTGGAGTAGCAACATCCCAAGGTCCCCGTATTTCGCTGAGAGGAAAGGTGAGATGAGTCGATAATGTCATATGAGGTACGAAAGAAGAAAACAAACTTCTTGAACTTCTGGGCCCGGACGAGAATCATTGGTGCGATAAACGTCACAAAGACGAGAACGGAAGCAAACATGCTCGCCACGTTGAATGAAATCGGGGCCATCAATGAGATCGACAAAAATGAAATCGCCAGAGTCAGTATGGCCTGGATGACGATGTGGGTGGCCTGCGTGGTAAATGTTGATGAGGAATGTTGAATGGAGCAGTGTGGCACCAGGCCCTTACCTGCAGTCGATGCCGAAGTATGGGAAACAACGCGAAAAGCTGGATGGAGAAGAGTGTCAGGGCGAACACAGACAGATCGTCTTGAAGTCGCGAGGCCAGTACGACGGCCGAAGAAATCGCCGCATTCATCGACAAGACTGAGGTCAACCTGAACGCATCAAATATGGGATCAAGATTAACGTACGGATAACATTTTGGGGAAGCTTACCTTTCTTCAACACGCCCGCCCAATCTAGCCGAGCTATAGTCCGCCAAAGCTGCGTTGACGACGAAGAGACAAGCCGACAGGGCCCAGATTGAATCGGACGAAGTAGAAGCCGTCAACGTCCTCAAGATCGGAGAGAGAGCCATTAATGCGAGGAACACTAAGATACAGGCCTTCGCAGTCTTCGCACCTAGAACATGAGATATGAGCATCCATTTCATTCCTGCGAGCGAATTGATACTGAACCTACGTCGATCAGCCGGATTCGAATGAAGGTTCATCCCTCGATAATAATCTAGTATCTCCCATATGATATAACCCGCCACAAACATGGCCGCGGACGTTGTGACGAGGAGCCGCGGGTCGAATGATTGATCGAGAAGACGCACAAACGTAGACAGGAAGATGAAGATGGTCGATAGATGTTGAGTGATAGCACACGAGCCGAGCACCAGGGGCCAGTAGGTATATGGTGTGAAGTTGGCTAGATAGGAAATCGCGTGCTCGGTTCAGTGATTTGCTCTTCGTTGCAGCGAGTATAAGAGATGGGACGAACGATTCTTGCTCAGAGAGGATAGAAATGAAGGTGGGACATAGTTGTCAGGGTAGGGCTGTTGCCTCCATAGGACCCTTTCCCAGGAGGACATTCATATGTCTGCAGCACGCAATACGCCTCTGGTTAGTTGTGCATTGACCACGGCGGCGGGTGTCTTGAGAACAGCGTGATGAGCACGTCGGAGTGAGACGAGTGATTTGAAGTGAAGAGCAGTAGAGAGCAGCCCTCGTCACTATCCGAGCTTCCGGACTCAATGTGTCGAGTTCCCACGATGCAACATACGTGGCGGTGGCGCCGAGGAATAATTAATAAGTACATGACAGTCGGCCAATAATATCTCGAAACCAGTGACTTCAAATGATGACCATGTCTTTTCATAACCCAGTGTTCCCCTCGCAGTTCCAGTTTAGCAAGGCTGATCCTCTCGAGGCATGCCGTGGCCTGGCAATGCCATACCCTGCTTACGGCTCCTCAGATGATGGGCCACTGGCACGCTCGAGCATTATCGAGCTTACTGCGTCGGACTCAGGGGAGAAGGTAGTACAACGAGTGACTATGAGTTTCAAATATCTCACTACATGATCATAAGTGAAACACCATTCCTGATCTGCCAGGCATATGCACTCAACGAAGAGAAGCCCTGCGATTTCACGATGTAAAGGCCTGGTTCGGTATGCCGTTGAAGTACAGGGGCCCGAGACTCGACGGGCCATCTCACAACCACAAGTTCAGTAGAGGACTGCTGGAAGACAATGTTGTCATGATCTTCGCACCTAATGACCTGTCTACAGCTCCTTCGCGTCCGATCTTGTACATGGGTATGTTCCGCTCGATAACCCAGCAGCGGCGACCTCCTCTTCCAGTCTTCGAATCACAACGCAGTCAACACACACCCCCACGCGCACAGGTATACCGTGAACGAGATGCATCATGTTTATAGCACACTCTCGACACACAGCAGGAACACCCTGACGGCAACCATACAAAACGGTAAGTCCGAGCACACCGATCGACCAAACCCGCAAGAAGTCTGAATTCAATCCCACTATCGCCGCAAGGTGGTCAGTAACGAGAACCATTCCAAAACATAAGGGGAAAGTGGTGGAGGTGTTGGAAGTAGAGTGAGAAACGCGCTTACCACGAGCCTTTCCTCCTGTTGCGGCTCTGGGAGTTTACCTGCCTTATTGTTCGCTTCGACTTGGGCAGCCAATCGTCCGCGATTCGGATTCGAAGCGTTCGTACCTCGCGATTGTGCCTGTACGCGGATGAGGCGGAGCGAATGGCATATGGAAATAGGAGGCATGCGTTAGAAAAGGGGGTCTTGACCGTAACAAGTTCAACGAATCATAGGTCGCATGAAGGGCTACCTGGCAGCGTATGGGGATGGATATCGGTACGGCAGACTTACGGCTTTGAGTCTTTGCTCTGCTGCTTCTGCAGCAGCGGCTCGAGGATCCTTTGCTGGAGCAGCCCCAGATGAGTCCAGTGGCTGGCCCCTCTTCTGCCCTCGTCGATTATTTGGAGGAGGAGCCACAGGTTTGGCAGCCGGTTGACGGCGGTTATATGAGGGTGCGCTCGAGTCAAGTACGGTGTGTCCGCCCGAATGTGTCGAAGACTTCGAACACAAGGAACCCATGAAATCGATGCAGGCAGTACGATAGTGGCAAGAAAAGCAAGAAGGACTTCGAGTGGACACTGTCGGACGTAAGAATCAAGCTCAGTCTGTCATGGTCGTAGGCGTGCGATATGGTTCTGAGTAAGTCTTGGAGCCTTGGTAGTTTCGGCGTCCCCATTCAAGCCGACGGTGCCGGGTGACCTACTGCGGGGTGATATCCTCTGCTTCATTTCTTTCACCTTCAATCACGTTGCAAGTAGGACGTCGATTATCCAAGAAGCATCCAATATAAAGCTCTACAATTACACTATGAAGCACACAAGCAAAAGAAACGCCCGAATATATCATCTTATCGCATCTCTATTCCTTCGTCGGAAACAGCCACATACTCTCCTTGCCTTCGACTATTCATACTGACCCCCAAACCATCATTGGAAGGCCGACCCAGGAAATTGAAGTTCTCGAACTGTCTCTGAGGCATGAAAGTCTGCCCATGATGCCCTTAGTTCCAGTAGGAGATGTGATCAGAAGAGAAGAGAGGCACACCTGCCACCATTTCCTTCCAGCATCCCATCCGAACGAAGTCTCGTTCAATCCGGCCTTGATCATCCTCCCTTTAATCCCAGCACCCAATAGCAACCCAAACACAACCAAGAGAAAGATAGTGACGACCAATTGGTCTCGTGGTGAATCTCGTTCTGCCAACATGGTAGAATAGTGAGTAAGGAGAACTGCACGGACAAAGTATCAATATACGCACGGAAGCAACGAGCCTCGACGTCTCCCTCTTTACCAGTCGCTGTATCCGGATCTGTGTCACCAAGAGAGGCACCTGCACATATGGCCAGGTTTTGATTTATACACCATTGCTTCGTGCATGTGAGACAGGGTTTGGAGGGTATGTCGACGATATCGAGGTGGAGGATGGAGTAGTTCGCGCCAAAGCATATGCCTGCCATCATCTCACATACTCAACACAGTTTGTTTGAAGGCAGGGAAGGTCAAGACACGCACATTTGCAGAAGCTGGTTGCCTCCCACTTATTCCCCAGAAGTGCGTTCGTAGAGAGCTACCCAGCAAGCAATACACTTCATTGTCGGTATGTAGCTGAGTGCCAACTGCTTCAAGAATACACGCACCACCAGAGAAGATAGAGCCCAGAATATCAGCGCTAGCTTGAGTGCCAACGTTCGAGGACCATGTTTTGTCATGGTGGACAAGACGGAAGCAGACGCGTCGCAATCAACGCGCCTCACTCTTCCTTTAGCGCAACATATCGTAACTCTTCCACTCACCCTTGTCATTCGGGCTTCGCTCCTTCATCGTCTCTTGCTCTCTATAACTATCTTGAAGTATGTCAGGGGAGTTTGAGGACGTTCTCACTAATCAACCGGTGGTCATAGATAATGTGCGTCCTTGCTACGTTTTGGGCCAGCAGACACCTAACCCACAATAATCCATCACAACGTCCAACCCAATGTCTCACAGGGCTCAGGGGCAATCAAAGCTGGCTTCGCCGGCCAGGATCACCCAAAATGCTTCTTTCCTTCATTGTGCGTTTTGTCCTCTTGAATTGAATGCCAAGTACAAATCGCTCTTTGTCCATACAGCGTCGGACGACCGAAACACATACGCGTCATGGCTGGAGCTCTGGAAGGCGACGTCTTTATAGGAAAGAAGGCTCAAGAGTTTAGAGGCCTTCTAAAGATAAAGTATCCTATGGAACACGGAATTGTAACGGATTGGGACGACATGGAACGCATATGGAACTGGGTATACGCTGAGGAGCTGGGCACATTGAGCGAGGAGGTGAGTATGTTTACAATCAGTTCTGTTGCAAGGCTACGTTGAGCTAGGAACTTATAAACTCATTGGTCATTGTTGGACGGCTTTAGCATCCTGTCTTGTTGACAGAAGCGCCTCTAAATCCCAGAACGAACAGGGATGTGGCGGCACAAATATTCTTTGACACTTTCAACGTCCCAGCATTGTATATCTCCGTCCAAGCCGTGCTATCACTGTGCGTTGTCCTCTTATTCTGGCTCTGAAAAAACGGTTCCAGTCGGAGTGGCGCTGATGCTTTCCGCAGATATTCGTCAGGTCGAACAACTGGCATCGTTCTCGACTCCGGGGACGGTGTCACACATGCAGTTCCAGTGTTTGAGGGCTTCTCCATGCCGCATGCCATCCGTCGAGTGGACGTCGCAGGACGGTAAGTCTGTGATACTGTCTGCTATTATAATGCAGGATCCTAGTCCTCATGCGCGTGTTTCCAGAGACGTCACAGATCATTTACAGCTCCTCCTTCGCAAATCCGGTCACCATCTCCACACAACAGCAGAACGCGAGGTTGTTCGAACCATCAAAGAGAAGTGTTGTTACATCGCCGTCAACCCCGCGAAGGAGGAGAAGGATACTTTGGGACGCGTAGAGGAATTCAGACTACCAGACGGAAATACCGTTCAGGTGCGCTCAAGCCACTGGTCATCGTATTCATTTCGAGACCACTGAACGCGTTATCATTCCGGACAGCTTGGCCCCGAACGGTTCAGAGCACCCGAAATTCTGTTCAACCCAGAAATTATCGGACAAGAGGACGCAGGCGTGCACCAGGTTGTGGTGGACTCTATCAACCGGGTCGACCTCGACCTGCGAAAGAGCTTGTTCTCTAACATCGTGCTCAGTGGCGGCAGCACGCTTTGTCGCGGTATGTCCTGACTTATCTGCTTTCCAAGTCTACAACTCGCAGTCACTTATGATACCATCTCCATGTAGGGTTCGGTGATCGGTTATTGAACGAGGTGAAGAAACTGGCACTGAAAGATGTGAAGATCAAGATTTACGCACCTCCAGAACGGAAATATTCGACATGGATCGGAGGGTCTATTCTGGCTGGCCTTAACACCTTCAAGAAGGTTCGTCTTCTGAGCTTCATGCATACACAACACCTCGAATTGACCCTCTGCCTGCGTAGATGTGGGTTTCGGCAGAGGAATATCAAGAGGATCCAGATATCATCCACAAGAAGTTCGGTTTCTAGACGATGGACATCCGCTATGCTCTTCATTCACATGTTCAGGTATTGTTCACTGCTCTTTCGCGTACTTAGTATACCCAGATGTAATCTTTCTTGGGCGCACGGAATGCACTTCACTTATGACCTAACATACAGAAGGTGCCATTATCCCCAGACTAATAGTTCCGAGCGCGTCCAGAGCGTAGAGCATCATACGCATAGATTCATGGCGAGAGGAAAAGGAGAGGCATGTGCGGTATGGATACACCCATGAAAGCTGGATAATGAACATGCAATGCGAAGAAGATAACAGCAATAGCCCGTAACACCGAGGCGATCCGACTATTTGCCTTTCTTCTGTGGCTCGGCAGCCTTGACCTTTTTGGTGCCACGGAACTGTAGCACAAGGGTGAAGAATGGAGAATGAGGAAAGGCGGGTCGGCGGTAAACAAGACGGATAACGCACCTTCTTCGAGCGGTTCTTGCGCTCCTTCCTCAGCTTACGGGAGGCCTTCTCGACCTTGGTCGCAAGACCAGCCTGGATACACACATGTCCACCAAGTTGAGAAAGATCTGATTTGGAGAGAAGACCACCAATATGGACGTACCCTGACTAGGCGGTACCTGGGCTCGAACTTCCTCTGCGAAGCCTCATCGTCGTAGATCAGAGCAAAACCAGTGCTGCGTCCACCACCAAAGTGTGTCCTGAAACCGAAAGTAACGACACGGTCCTTCTCGGTCTTGTAGATGACGGCAAGCTTCTCAGAGAGCTCGGACTTGGGGACGTTTGGCCGTGATGGATGGAGGACGTCGACAACAAACTGACGACGGGCAAGGAGGCGGTTTGTGATGAACTTGCGAGTACGAATGGTGACGGGAGCGGAGGCGTCCTGCATGATCAGAGAGAGAGAAATAACAGCAAGTCAGTCATACGAACTCTCTGCGACCTAAGCCTCCCTCCCTGACGCCAGTCCGTCATCCACGCCTGCTCGAGTCCATCCAACGCTTTCCTGCCATTCTCTGCTACCAAACCCTCCCCTTCTATCTGCCCACATCTTCCACGAGCAGCATGCGAGTACACTCACCATCTTTTTTGCGGGCTTTTCTTGCTGACCTCTTCACGGGCTTTGGATGGTGTTGTCGACGACGACGCGCCTTGGCGGTTCTTTGCGGGGTTCTCCGGCTCGTTGATTTGTCAGCAACACTTCGTACTCCCACTTGTCGTAAAGACTCATATTTTGGTTGTGTACTCTGATGTATCATGCTAAAATACGTCTTTGCCAGTCGAGTTCTACTTCTTCCATTCCACTACTGTTTTACACTAGTCTTATTTCTTCTCACCCGGGAGCGAAAGGAACAGGCCTCGTTCACGGTGTTTCCACTGCGGGCAGAATTTACTGTATCGCCTCATTGAATTCCAAGTCAGTAGATGCTATACTTCCCATTATCCTATAGCCATAGACAGAATAGGTGCGCGCCGTTGTATCCGTTGGAACGAAATGCTCGTGTGGCCCAAAATGTGGTAGATCGTTCATTTCGGCATTCGCCGATAGCGTTCGGAGCGTGATACGCATACTACTGCGACCATTCATACTTGTACAGCACCTCTACATCCAATGAACTCCAACTTTGCAGGTTCCTTCGCACCCTATGTGAGCTCCTAACATTTAACGTAAAGCTATAGCTTACCAACGCAAATGGACCACGCTACAGAGACCCCCACCAGACGAACAACCGCTTGCAGCGCGGGGCCACTCTCCAAGTCAACCTTCTTCCTCATCTCGCTTCACCCGACCATGGTTTCCCACTCATAACTCCTCTCAACAAGCATCCGTCTCCAGCTCTTCTAATGCTGCAAATATTGTGTCCTCATCATCGTACCAATCTGGCGCTGTACCATCGTGGAACACGTCCGCCGCAGGAGGCATAGGCTCCGATGACGCAGAGGACCAGCGAAACTTGTGGGAGACGCGGTATAACATGCGTGTGGACCTCTTAGCCGCATTTGCTTATATATTGGGACCTATATCTGGTGAGTTTACCCTCTCAGTCATTTGAATATTGTACGATGGCTCAGTCCTTCGCCCTTCCCTCTCGCTTTTGCATAACATAGCACTAGCATTGCTCATATTCGAGACGCACAACGACTATGTTCGCTTCCACGGTACATACTTCACATTTCTCCCATAAGTAAACTGCCCTCTAACCAACTATCTCGCATGGCAGCATATCAGTCGGCGATGCTCACGACGCCATTGCTTCTCTTCCGAATATTTGCGTCTATTGTCGGATTCCCCTCCTTCCTTTGCACCATTCTCACACTTCTTCTCGTCGGTTCAGCATTATTTATGGCGTATGTTTTCCCTGATGCCTTTCTCCGTTTTTGACTAACAATCCCATACCTCAGATATCAAGCCTACAAGGACGCGACACAGAACGGCCTCGCTCGCTTTCATTTACCCGGAGTCGGTCCACTCGCGGAGCAATGGCTACAAGAGGAGTAGCGAATGCCTGCTTGTATCCGCTATATAGTTTCGTCCTTCACGCGAATGTGGGAGTATTATGACCATGACATTTCTGTGTCCGAAGACGGGTTGTTGCTACAGTCGCCCCGCGCCCCGTCCCAATGTCCCACAGGTATAGTAAGGTATGTAGTACAAAAGAGTGATACAGTCTAGTAAGGATACAGTGCGAGAATGAAGATGATTACAACACAACAGATACATGAGCACGGTCCAGCGCGTGATGCAGCCATTGCGAAGATCGTCAGCGTCGGGTTATAGGTTGTACAGCGCGAAGACAAAAGGAAATCGTCCGTTCAAATCACAAAATACAAATATTGCCAAGCTTCAACGATGCCATATTGCAAGACGCGGTCTGGTAATCGCCGATGACCGGGTTGAGGAGAGGGCCGAGCTGATTCAGAAGGTCGTCTGTGATGTCCTCCGTGGCATCGAGAATACCATCGAGGATACACTTGATCTCGTAGACAACTGGCATGAACGTGAGTAAAGATAGTGGCGGGGCTATATACAGTTGAAGATACTCACTGGGGCCGAGAATGGGACCAAGAACCGGGATGCTGTATGTGAGCTTGGTAACGTCGCTAAGGGTGTCCTTGTTGAGGTTGACGTAGTCCTTGAGCAGCGTCTCGAGGTCGTTGTTCTTGTCGTAGTAGGCAAGGCCCTTGTCGGACTCAGAGCCACCGGCGAGCTGAGCAAGAGCAGTCTGGAAGCCTTGATTGTTTGCTTGATAGGCGGTGAGCTCGTTTTTGCACTGCTGCTGGAAGGCGGGGTCATTGCCATTCGATGATGCCTGGGAGGCGTACGACTCTGGTGAAATAGCACGACACATCAGAGTGCGGAACAGAAACGAATTGTGAAGTGGATAAGACGCACTCAAGTTCTTGGAGTTTGTACTAGCGCCATTGTAGTAGGTATTCAGGATGTTGATCTCGCTGAGGATGTTGGAGGTGTTGATATCACGAGCGAGAGCGGGCACGACGGTGGGGGAGTCCGAAGCTCCCGCTACTGGCAGATCTTCCAGACCCAAAGCACCCCTGGACACGAGTGACAGCGAAGGCTCAGAGCGAGGAGTGGCGTCGGACACTGTCCGAACAAGGTAGCTAGACAGAGGCATAGGCATGGGGGATGCCTGCGCGCCTGGCGGGGCCAAGAGGAAGGCGATGGCGGCGGCGTGAGCAGCGACGACAAGAATGCGGTAAGGAGAGGGCATGATGAAGCTGATAGACTTGGCGACTTTGGATGATTGAAAAGCGGGCGATGCGTCTAGCGCTGAAGAAGAGCTGAGTAGAGAGAACGATGAACGAAGAGAAGAAACGGCGGGCGGGATGGTCGTGGTCGAGGAGCAAGAAACGACTGGCAAGGTTTTGAACCTCGCTGTACGACTTTATACGGCGGGCGAGGCGGCCATGAGCGCGACAAACCTTATTACTTCCTCGCAGCGGACGGTGGAGCGCACCTCGGAGCAGTCACGGAACCCACAAATGGACGACGGAAGCGGGGAAAGGAGCGATCGAATCTCGATCCATGGGGGACGACCCCGGAGGTGATGCTTGGCTGATGCAGAGCAATGGTATTTGGGGTAAATTGGGAAAGGTGGGGCGCACGTACATTGCACGTACACACAGGGAATAGCGACGCAATTTAACCAACAACGCAGTAATATGAAGTGTAAATTGTAGAAAAAGCCTTTCGCTATGATAGTCCGAAAATAAAGGGTTTAAAGCCGTATTGACAACCATATGGTCCAAGTCAAGGTGAAGTCCGTCTATACACACCGGGTGTCAAAGTCAACGTAAATACGTGACTGGAAATGAAGGCTTGACAAGCGAGGAGAAGGAATGCTGGGTCCGTAGAAGCCGAATGAAACCAAGAAAAGTCCCTGAACAAAGGCGCACAATTACAAAGCGACGCAAGAGGATTTGTCGGCGGCGAGCCTGTAGCCACTCATGCAGTTGTAGACTATGTTTGGAGATCGGGTCAGTAACGGCTAGGATTTAGGATGATGGTATGAACGCACCTGCGCAAGCGCCAGCATTGCACGCAACGTTCCAAGCGCCCTCGATAGCAGTGCAGTCTTGACCAGCGCCAGTCGAGGCACAACCACCACAAGACTCGAGTTCCTGGGTGGTATCAATGCACTCGTAGTCGGAGGAAAGTCCGAGGGCGCCCTTGATGGGGCACGCATCGAGGCCAGTGGGGCAGAGAGTAGAGCCGCGAGACGCATGACTACGCTTCTTGTGCGACTTCTGGGATGGGCCGGGGTTAGAAGAGGTCGTAGTGCTAGAACCGCCGCCGCTGCAGCAGCTGTTGCTGTGATCCCAAGACCATCCGGAAGAGCAAGTCGGGGTCGGGGCGGAGGGTTTGGTCTTGGGGAGGCAGCAGGACTTGTTGTTGGACCAGTACCAATCACCATCCGAGGTAGGGCACGACTTGCCGGAGCTGCAAACGCAACAATCAGAAAAGCCGTAAGATGCAATCATAAGACACGATGGCTTACGGAGGAGAGCCCTTGCCATCACTGGAACCGGGGGTCAAGCAACAGCTCTTCGGCTCGAACCAGAACTCTGAGTTAGAGCAGGTGGAGGAACCAGTCGTGGCAGGGGCGGACGATGTGGGGGTCGAAGTGGTGTGCGTCGAGGTGGTGTGCGTCGAGGATGTAACGGTGGTGGTGGTGTCCCTCTTTTGGTTGCAGCAAGAGTTGCCGGAATCCCATTCGTGGGTCGACGGGCAGCTTGGATTGTCATCCTCAGGCTCGCTCTGGGGCAAACAACAGGACTTCTCGTCGGACCAGTACCAGTTACCACTGGAGGTAGGGCAAGTCTTCTCCGAACTAAGATACTAGAATTAGGGCTAGCAGAAGTCACATAAAGGACAGAAAACATACGGGGCGGAGCCCTTGGAGTAAGTGGTCCCAGCCGCGAGACAGCAGCTCTTGAAGGAGAACCAGAACTCGTTCGAACTGCAGCTGGAACTGGAGCCCGAGTTCGATTTGGAGGAGGTAGCTGTGGCAGACGCGACGATGGCGAAAACGGCGAGAATACGAGGAATGACAGTCATCGTGAAAGAGAGTGTGGGGGGAAGGAACGACAAAAAGACAAGGGGTAGGAAAGAGAAGAAATCCTAGTTGTGGAACCGGGCGTCGACGACCTTGTCCTCTTTATACACCCCTCGGCGCCATCTCTCGGGCTGTTAGACTGATTGGGGAATTTGTGTTCACCCTCCAGATCACAAGAGTGTTGTGCCTGCTCTAGCCATACGGTTGGGTGGGGAAGCACACCCACGGCCCATGCGTGTCCCATCTTGGTCATGCCGTATTCGTGTTTCACGGAATTAGTATGCAAAATCGTGCTTTTTGTGGCCTCATCAGTTGGACCATGAGCGTCCCCATCGTACACAAAAGATGCTGACTATGAATCATGATGAGTCGCCGTCTGAAGACAGGACAGGCTAAGCCAGTATCAGCTCGGCTTATGGACGAATTCGGAGACGGTGCGACGATAATCCATGGACCGCAAGTCAATCACCCCGACGATTATTCGCATGACAACTGAGAGGAGAATAGAGCAAATAGAACCTATACGCTGGAGGCGGAAGGGGCAACGCGCGGGGCTTCGGACGGGGAGATATGTGACTTCCCGACAGAACCTGTCAGGACAAGCATCATACATCAATCCACGACTTACCTCAACCATCGTGATCAAAGAGCGTTGATGGGTACGTTGGTAACCCTCCTTTCGATTCCTGACCTTGACCTGGGTTTTGAGTGACATCGATGAGGCAAAGCTATGCATGACTGGAAGTGAAGTCGTCGCCAGGGTCAACACTGCAGTACTGGGCAGTGGGTATGGAAAGTACACCGTAACAGTGCACGTGACACAACCTGTCAGCGGCACTGGCAGGCACAGTGAGGTTCAAACGCAAAATGTCAGTTAAGTAAATGATTTGCCTCTTGGTGGAAGCGGTACCACACGAACCGGGAACCCAGGAACGTTCAAAAGTAAGAAGCGGGTCCACATTCTCCGACAAAAAACTCTTCGAGCTGTGGTACATCAGAAAAGAGGACGACGGTCTTCGGTGCCCGTTCCAGTTGAATGGACGAACATTCTCAGAGACTGAAAGAAGTAATAGCAGAGAAGAATGGAAAAGAAAGAGCAGAGAGAAAATCGAGAGGTACCAGGTACATACTGGGACATCATTCGGCTGTTCGTTGGAATATGCGTATGACGCCGGCGCAATGACAGCCATCCCACTCCATGGTTACCCGGTCTCTGACGTTGGCAGACAGACGACTCAAAAGCAGACACTGCAAGACGAACGATCCACATTATTATGTATCTACACACAAACCGTTCCGAACAAAATTGACTGATATACACTCGACATCCGACACTCCAATTGTGCTGCTCTGTGTAAGAAACCGAACGATCAGACAAGAACAATCCCCGCTTGCCCTTTCTGGAACAACGACGCCAAGCCTTCCCTTTCAGCCTACAACCCGGCAATGGCCAAGCAAAAAAAGGGGTTGAAACAAGGGGTCGCTGGTCAATACCTTCGAAGATGCTACTACAAAAGGGAGAACGTACCCGAACCATCCCCACCGCCCGAGGTCTTTTGGAGTGCGTGGGTCGCAAAATACCGCACGTCAGCATCCGAATCGTTTTTCAGCTCTTCCAAAGCAGGGAAAATCTTGTCTTGAATCATCGCTTTTCCTTCCGGCGTGCTCCCGTATGTAGTCGCGAGGACTTCCAGGGATTTGGCCACGTTGAAACGAATATTGGGAATGGGATCGCCGGCGAGATGGAGGAGAGCCTCGAGAATCTCATTGTGGACGATCTCATAGTTCAAAGATGGTGCAATCGTCTATCGTGCGAAGAAAATGATCAGGGTTGTGACCCGGTGGACGATATATAGATATGCAACATACCCCGATGGCTTGCACAGTAGTCATACGGTAAAGATAGTTCGGGTGAGCGCCCATGTTCACGACTTTGGGAACGATGGCCACACGAGCCCAATCAACGCCAAAGACCTCGGTGAGTTTTTGCAAGTTAACGGTAGCCGCCTCTCGAATGCTGTATACAGTATCGCCGAGCCAAGACATGCAGAGGTTGCCGAGCTGTTCGTCGAAGAAGGGCTTGCCGAGTTGAGTGGCGAGAAGGGGTATGTATTCGATGATGGCTTGTCTGACACGCCACGATTTGTCTTCAGCGAGTTCGATGATAGCGGGGAGGAGGCTTTCGGCGAGGAATTGGATGCCGATGACTATTTGGCACATGAAGTTTAATGCACTACTATAACGCAGATATGAAAGTATGCACCTTCGTTGACTTGTTCTAATTTGCTGATGATATTCAACCGGACTTCGGGGAACTCATCCTTGAGCATGTGGAGGAATAGAGGGAGGAGCTGTTCAGTGGTGGCCTCCTTTCCAAGGAGAGGTGCAAGGCCTGTGATTTGGTTGGCGAGTGCAGCGCGGACATGCTGCGAGCTGTCCTGGCAGAGGTCACGCACGCATGGAACTATGCGGGCAATGATCACATCCCTCTCCAATTGCTTCGACAATCCTGCGGGTGGCAAAATCATGAGATTCCTTTACATATATCTATAAAGTAATGCGTCCATCGACTCACCAGGAATCTGCCCAGCAGCGGCAGTCCTCACTTCCGCCTCGTTATCCTTCAGCAACTGCACGTAGTGGCCCACCAATTCCTCGCGCACCAACTCGACACCGACAGCCTCGGAAAGCTAGAATGGTGTGATGAGCCGGACTTGAGTTCGATGCAACGACAAGTGATCACTCACAGCGTTGAAGTTCGTTGCGGCCATATATCTCACACGCCAGCTCTTGTCTGAGACACTCTGTCGGATCTGCTTTAGCAATTGTTCCTTCACCTCGGGTGGCGAGAGCTGCTGCGCAATCGCAACGAGGTCCTCAACCGTCAATAATCGAACAGAGTCCTGGTCGTCTGCCTGTAGACGACGGTATATCGACAGCCCATCAGTGAGGACGTGCTGCTTCGAAAGGTTCTTAACGAAGGCCTAGAGCATGTGCAATCGTCAGAGACCCCGAACTAACACCAATAAACCAAAATACGCGCACCCCGAGCCACTTAGCCGCCGCTCTCCGAACCATGGGTGTATCGTCAGACCCAAGGGCCGTGTACCCCTTTCTGAGCTCTTCTTGGATGGAGGGAGAGACCTTAGGGTAGACGGGCGCGTAAAGAGCGGCAGATGATGTGCGGGAAGTGAACCATTCTCCATGTGAGAGTCGCTTGAGGAGAGGAATGTAGTATTGCTCGATCTGTTGCTGGGAAAGCACGGCGGCAACTTTGGTGATTGATTCGGCCGCCTGTCGAATTGCACGCCGATGACCACGGTGAATATCGAGAGCAACAAAGGTCGTATGATGGATCAGAGATGCACAATGACCGATCCTGAAGGTGATTCCGTACCTTGTCTCGCACTAGCGTCTCTTCCACAGCAGACAGGTTCTCCAAAGGGCCCAACAAGACGTGTGCGTACTCGGGACCGCCGACATACTCCTCAAAGCTCTTTCCAAGTTCCTCCGCCAGAGCCAACAGTACCTCATCCTCATCATCGACTGAGTCTTGAAGGAAAGGAATCAATTCCTCTCGAGCACGATCAGGGCCCAGGGCCAGCGCGATGGTGGAAATTCGGTGGATGGCATTCAAGCGCAACTGGACGTCCTCAGAACGGAGCTCATCCATAAGCAGAGCAATTGGCGCGATCTGAAGTAGGGAGACGTTGTAATTGGGATTTATGGGTCCATGTATATGAGAAAGAGAGATTGACGAACGTCGTCTGTGTCCATGGCGGAATTGATCTGTAGAACGAGCGCAGTCTCAACCAAGAGTCGAGTAATTACTACAATTTCATACGTACCGATATTTGTACAGACAAGAGGCGCGTTACAGGGAATGAAAAGGTGACGTGCGGTGGTGAGTGGACAAGAGGTTAGAGCTTCAGAGATCGTTGAGCACAGAATTCCGTATCCGGCCTGTTCGAGCGATATCTGGCCCAAGGTCCAGCCACCGGCCACTTCCATCTTGCATCTCACCGCTAACCACCGCTAACACCGATCGCATGTTCGACCTCCCAAAACTTCTTTGTGCAATGCATCGAAATTTCTGACAACTTTTCCTGGTATTTCTCAAAGTCTGATCCATCATGAAACTGGCTGCTTCTCGCGGCATACTCGTACGCTCCTTTGCGGGACTGGGCGCAAGGCAGTCGCGTGGCTGGTGACGCCACACCCGATCCTGCTTTGAAGGTGCTCCACCCATCAACTATGCCAAGTCCAGACGCTTTCTCTCTCTTCTTTAATTTCTTTGAAGCGGTGTGTAGATGCATGTTTATACAAACCAAAAGGCCCTTTTCGGAGGCAACCAACCATGGGTCGTTCAAGAATGGACCGCTAGCGACGACCGTGTGCGAGGCGGCAAATCTCAGGTATGCCATGGCATGATATCATTCCATTCGTTTATTATGCCAATCTGAAAGCCCCTTTCCCGAAGTCATACCTCTCCGCAGGGGGCCTAGCGCGTACCGCAGTTTTCCACGGGAACCTTGACATTACAGCGCTGGGAGGTGCAGGTTTCGCTAGTCAACGAACTGCAACGAATACAGAAATTTGGAATCTGGCGGAATTCGACGGTCTATTACTCGATGTTGAAAACGCTGATGGTCAGTATGTAAGAAATCCTATGGAATTCACTTCCCATGTACTGAGACGTATTTCCGTAGACTTGCGTTATACCCTCACCTTGAAGGACACATTACTCCCCCCGGACCCCGACACGGGTAGGGAACAGTCGACCATCTCCTATGAATACGACTTCAGCGTAGATGGACAGATTGACTCTTCAAAACGACTATATATCCCGTGGTCTGCATTCAGAGCTACGTATCGAGGTCGCGACATGCCAGACGCACCATCTGTGAATCTCAAGTCCATCAGACGCTTCAGCTTCATGGTCCGTAGGTTCGTTGTTCGATCCCTAGCATACATTTAGGGCTTAAATGACGGTCGTGAAGTTTCTTTGGAGATCAGCAGGGCAATTTTTCGCTTTCCATTCGATCCCTCTCAGTGACGAAGGCACTTCAACTGGAAGAAGATATGGTATTTTCTGTGGATGAAAAGGAAGAAGGGTCATACGAGAGTAATGAAGGCAGAGCCCATCTGAGTGTAGCACGGGCTGGGTGGCTCAACGAACTTTGGAGACAATGCACAATTCAGTGAAGTTTTTCTTTCTTCGTATTATATGCAGTCATGGTCTCTTCCTCCAAAAACAAAACACGTCACGTATGGAAGAATCGCCCTACATTGTCTTGTTTCGGCACGTAGGTGAGACAATTAGCCTTATATGGGGTACAAAGAAGACCCCTGACTCCTCGACACTGCTTCCGGATGTTCTCGTCATGAGCGCTCTGAGCCCCTTACGTGACTTCGGCGGTCCGGGAGAGTTATGGTTCACGTTCATTTAACATGCCTTTGGACAACACGAGGGTACACGGTAATGAAGGGTACCACCCACCAATGTTACCACGGGTGGCTCAGACAGACCTTCTAGACGAGTCCTACTGGTGGATATGTCTATCCTCAGGACTCAGGACTCATCGATATGGATTGACTCGGACGAGAAGACATCCGAGAACACTCACGTCTCCTGGCACTTGCAGCCTGGAGGGGACCTCGAAAAACACATTCTACAGGGCGAGTACCGAACTCAGAGTTGTGTTCGGAAGAAGGCTGTGCAGTCAAATGCAGTATAAATCAAGGAAAGCATACAAGAATGCGATATGTAAGACGACGGTTATATTATCCAGAGAGAAAATAGGACAACCTCCGGTTACTTGGTTGCACGCCACCAATAATGAAGAATGAAACGCGTCGTTCATGCGTCGTCATGCTTTTTGTAAGGCCGCGATGAATCCGCAGGGGCATGCGGTCGTTGGGACGAGCCAGCCGAGATCCATAGAGCGGTTGGAAGATCACTCTCCGAGAGAGCACGTCGTGGCCCCCTTCACCATCGAGTTAAGCACCCATTTGGGTCGTGGAATCCTTCTTCTTCCCTCTATGGCAAGTGGATCTTGATTGTGTTCGTCGATACGGCAAATGAAACGTCTGCCGTTCGAGATGCCGGCATAATGTTAGACCCCATGGTCTAAGACGATAAACCCAGCACCACGAACAAATAGTAGAAAATGGCTAGAAATGCACTAGTGGAGCTTTGTGGAGGAGCGTGAGTCGGATATGGCGAACAATGAGGGTCTACGCCGAGAAGTTGGCTTTTGATGAACGGGACAAAGCGAGGACAAATTTGATTAGGTGAGCAGTTCCACGCCTCGCATCGCCTCGCCGCCACCGAACCCAAATCTGGACATCCTTTGGCACAACCACTTGGCGCGAAGTCCTCCTCGCGTCTTCCTCACGATCGAGCAAACAGATGAGCAAAGTGCTAGACTTCCAAAACGGTAAATATACGATGGGAACTTCCCCTTCGCCAGTTGCTACAAAAGCTCACAGAAAGCAGCCATGGCCAAAGCATCCCGAGCCCCCACCATTGTCCTGAGCCACTCGCTGCTTTTGCGCCCTTTGCTTCTTCCATACCACCGCAATAACCCACTATGCCCGCCGTCCGCAACGTCCGCCGCTCACGTCGTCTGTCCGCTCAGCCATACGGTACGTGCTTCCGTTGTGGGTCCTTGTGGGTCCCAACTTAACCATATTACCTATTTAGGACATGTAGGAACCGACTGGGACGGTCTCGCCTTCTACCCATCCGCAGATTCCGAGGCCCCTAGCCCCCTCTCCCCTCCCGATTCTGCGCCACACACGCCACTTGCCGTGCCACTCACCTTTCGAGAGGAGGTTCTGGCCTCATGCGCTGCCGTGGCCTCTCTCGTCACTCATTCCTCCGAAGAGTATCGCGCTATCGTCACCACCAGGCATGGTCGCAAGCGTAAGGCAGGCCACATCCCGCGTCCTCCGAACGCCTTCATGATCTATCGCTCTCACATGTGGTCGCAGCGTAAGATCACTAGCACCCTCGAGCGCGACCATCGCAACATCAGCAAGATCGTGGGCCATTGCTGGAACAAACTCGACGAGCAACAGCGCGCTCCGTACAGGGCCATAGCTGATGAGGCCAAGCGTCGTCACGCAGAGCTTTACCCCGACTACAAGTACGCACCTCTCAGTCGGAGGGAGAAGGCGCCGAAACGGAAGGTCAAGGGTGACTCTGGCAGCGAGGAGGCACGCTGCAAGACGGTTGCGGCACTGCTCATCAGTGGTATAGAGGGAGTCGCTCTCGAGGACGAGATGACGAGGTTGAGCTTGGAAGCCGCCACTGCCGATAACATGGATGGCGACGATTCCGATTACGCTCCGCGCAAACCTCGCAAGGCTTCACGTTCCTCCTTCTCTCGTCCCTCTACCACTCGTCGTCGCTCGGGTCCTGTTAAGAAGGTCAAGTCTCGTCGACAGATCAAGCGTGAGGTGCCGAACACCTCCGTCATCGAAAGCCCCGTTCCCGTTCAGGCTTCCACTCCCGACTCTGTGCCCACTAATGAGGCCTCTTCGTCGCTCTCTGAGAACGAGACTGGATACGTATCCACCGAGGCGATACCGCCTCTAGATCTCTCTGAGGCAACTGTCAAGGTACGTGCCTCAGCCTTTGCGATTGGAGCTCCCACTAATCAGCTGTCTCACAGGCTGTCCAGGAGACTCTGCCCGCAAACCTCACGCCCCACTACGTTGCAGACTTCATTGGACTTCATCTTCCCGCCCTTTCCCCGGACACCTTTTCATCCTCCTCCGACTCGTCTCCGTTCCTGCCCACCATGTCCAACGACTACGAGCCTTTCTTCGACAGCTCCTCTCCCGATGCCTGGGACCCTACTAGGGCTCCCGGCCTCTTCATGCAGAATGACTGCTTTGAAGATTATGCTGGAGAGGGTTCGACTAACTTCTTCAACAGCTGGAGCTGGCCTCAAGCTGCATGCGAATCTTTCCCTCGTTCTGCAAGCCCGTGCCTCGACCCCAAGGACGTATTCATGCCGGATGTCCTGCAATTCGATTGATCTTGAGTTCAGAGCCTTAGGCTGGTTTCCCTCGTTCCCTCGATGTCTCCTCCAGTTACACTCATGCCCATTATGTTTCCCTGTCTCCTTCGCGCCTGTTTATACGACTAGCCCCATGCCTTCCTATGCTTCATCATTATCCGTTGTGTCTACTTATCGTCATCGTGTATCTCTACGTCCGCTTTCTGCTCGTTCGATTTATCAACGATATCTTTCCCTTCTATGTGCAGTCTGTCCCATCCTATCTCATCGATCTCATCTCATAAAACCCATCAATAATTTTTTTAAACCAACATCAACATCAGCATACACTTAACCATTTTACCTCTACTGCCGATATCGCCTGACCTTCTGTATCTATTACGCCTCCGACCTCCTGAGGCCCTCACTGTCCAGCCACTCCTCCGATTACTGTTGCGCTACCGTAGTGTATCACCAGCACCTATGCCTTGCTTTGTAGCCACATATTTACAAAGCCTGTACTAGATCTGGGAATTATACGTGTTTACAACATATTTTCGTGCACTATTTATAACAGCTCGCAACGCCCACCACGAAACGACACTCCTCGCAATGAGTAAGTATCACCGCTTCTTTCCCCGGGCACCTGCCTTCGTATCTGCAACCACGATCCTCCCTGCCTTGAACTCCTCCTTCAACCATTCAGCACATACTTCCTTCGTTCCTTCTGGATGATCGAGTTGCCATTTCACGACTTCCGAGAGCACGCATCCAGTCCAAATTCCTGGTTTATTGGCGCCGACGATTGCACAGACCGAATGGCCCTGTGCGTACGAACGTTGGACGTAATTATGAGTAAATAACTCGCAAACAAAATGAGGTGAGGTAGGGGGTGATCGTACATCGAGGATGGGTTTTGAATCTACGGCTTTATCGAGTCCAAGTTCCGTGATGCGGGTGACAAAGACGTTGTATGTTTCGATGATGGAAGCTGCTGCATCGACTACACAGGTAAGATGAAGTCAGCGAACAAGAAATACGCAGTCTAGAGGTTTGAATCACCATCGAAGCTATCTTCTGCGGAATTGTACAGGGGGACAAGCTCTTGCACCAGCGAGAACAGAAGCGAGACTGTCCAGTGGGCATCAATGAGAGGATTGTGGATAGAGATGTTTCGCAAAAGCAACCCTGTGAAGAACATATTAGATGGGAAATCAAGACAGGAGAAATTGGCGGAGAGGTGTTGGAAAGCTCACGTACCGATTGCTACCCGCTCGCTCGGTGATGTCCAGCGTTCGTCATCCAATGTTGGACTCCTTAACAGATCAGCGGCTGCGAATAAAGACGGGATCCCGTCCAAATAATGGTTTTTTGTCCCAATCTTCAACCCTTCCCTGATAGCAGCTTCTACTGCAGGGCCTATTTTATTCTTCTTCCCGGTATATGTTATCCCGTGGTATGGTGTGAGTGCGCAGGAGAGGTATAGACGAGCGATGGTGGAGGGAGAGCTGGCGGTGTGAGATGTGAGGAGATCGTGGAGTGGAGGGTATGGAAACGGGGAAGTTGAAGGGTTCAGAAGGGCGTGTAGGATTGTGGCAGAAGCGACCGAATGTGAAGAGGATGTTGGTTGGGAGGAGAGCGTCGAAGAGATGGGTGGTGGAATGTAGAATATTGTCGGGAAGAGAGAAAGCGAATGGATGAGCTGGATAGACCGAAGCGGATCGCGACCTAGGTATGGAGATCCATGAGTTGTGGGACGCTGAAATAGTTCGACAGGCATACCGGACATCATTTTGTCAATCTCATCTCCTACCCTTTCTCGGGTGATTTTTTGGGTGATCGCAGTCTTACGGGAAATAAATAAGTGGGAGCATCGTCAGGGAAAGGAAAAGAATGCACTTGAATTTCAATGTCTCGAGCAGACTCTTCGAGCTCGGAGACCATCGTGAACCCAAACCTACTCGCAAACCGCACACAGCGGATCACACGCAGTGGATCGTCCAAGAAAGTCTGCCTCGGCTCAAGAGGTGTTCTTATGATTCCGTTCCTCATGTCGTCAAGACCCTGCTCGACTCAATATTAAAAAGTGTGCGATGGAAGGAGTAAATAAGTCACGGACCTTGCCACAATGATCTTCGACGGACCGTGTATGTACGTTATAGAATAGAGTGTTGATCGTGATATCCCTTCGTAGAGCATCTTGCAGTGGGGTGCCAAATGTCTGAATTATGCATATATCAACTGTATGTCTGGGTAAGTAATAATGAGGCAGACTGACGACTTTAGTTGGGATTCGGCTCTCGTCTGCATACTCTTCGTCCCGCAGGTTCACGAAGTCCAGCTCAATCCCCATAAACACGGTCTTCGCCGTCTCCAGATGTTTTGACTGGCCAGGGTTTCCCTTCACTTTCGCTATCGATTTGACGGGTATGTCCTTCACTTTCTCTGCATATTCGGCGAATTCTACGGCGAAGTCGTAGCCCATCATATCGCTCAGTGCGATGTCCATATCATGGCTTTGCGACCCTAAGAGCTGAATTGTATGAGTATAAGTAAGAAACAAACACAATAATCTGCAATTATATACATAGAGCCAGAAGAAACGTGTGATAAGGGTTGCAGAAGGCCACTGACCTTGTCTCGCACCCAACCTCCCGCAACACGACAAGTTGTATTCTTCCCTTGCGTCTCAGCGAGATGATTCCTACAATCGTCAAGCAGCGTACAAAGCTGATCTTCTACCTCCGTAAGTTTTACTTCCATCTTTTCCGGCATGTGGATCGGGTTCGATGGCATCGAAGGCGACAGGAAGGAGACGGAGCGGGCCATGATTCGAAGTGAAATTGGAGAGTGTGAAAAAACCGATAGACGGATAATACGATGTGGGATATGGTGCAAGCAAAATAGCATGAATGCCCGTCAAGGCCGTTCCAGTCGAGTCAGGGAAAGTGTTGGGCACTCTGTAAGATGAGTGCTGAAGGTGAGTCGGACTCCACGAATTTGGTCGCGTCGCAGTGCTGTTGCCACCGCCACGTTTGTCACCAGAACCCCTGAGTAAAAATAATTTGCTATATATTATATTTGTTTCGTTCGCGACAATCTTGGACATACAAGAGTTCCAGTAAGTATTAGTATGTGGAAGTATGGTACAACGAGACAATGTCCGATAATGTGTTGCGAAATGTCCGGTATCAGCCTCAGTCCTGTCGCCATCGTTCGTGACGAAGTCACAGATGCAAAATGTTCGACAGCCAGTCCGAAAGATCAGATATTTCCGCCTCAGAAACCGAGTGACCAAAGCTACAGTATCGCTTGAAAGTGAGCCGATCAGAAGGCAACCGAAGTACATCGCGAATGAAGCACATGGTCTCTTCGTGAAGGGCAGGGGGAAGTACGGTGTCTAAACGACCGTAAGCGTAAAATATCGGCACAGTAGGATACGCATGAATGAGTTGCTGGAGTGTGGTTTAATAATTTCGATGCCAGAGTAGATCGGGGAAAGGGCTTACTTCTCTCGCCTGGGGACCGGGGGGCAAACTCCCAGACAAGCTAGCGACGCCACCCAGGTCGTGAAGAGTGGTTAAGGCAACCACAAGTGCAAGCGTGGCACCCTGGCCAAAGCCAACAAGTACGATTTTGCGCGGGTCTATCCCTGTGTGTACTTCGCTGAGAATGAGGTGCTCGACTGTGTTCACGGAGCGCGACATCCCCGCTTCGTCCCAGCCACTATGGTGTGATGACATGCTGGTCGTGTTGAACCAGCTCGAGTATGTGCCAGGTAGGCCAATCATGGAATGAGCTGATCTGTAGTGAAATGTATCAGTGTTGATTCACTTGCATGGCCGCATGCATAGACAAGGGGTACCAACGCTTGAGGAAGAATCCAATTCACGGTGGGCAATCTCGAGGCCAAGCCCCGCACAGTCTGCCGCCACAGCTCGTTATTCTGCCCGAAGCCCTGGTCTCATAATAAGTCTCAATCAAGAAATAATGGGCTGCATAGCACTACACACATGTAGGAAAATGACAGTACTCTGCTGAGCCTGTGAGACGACGGCGGCTGGTATGCGTATAGTGGCCATGAAGTCAATACTATTGAGGCAATGGACCACATTGACCTTTATACATCATACACGGCATAGCATCACAGAGAAACAGTATCATCTTGAGAGGATCTAGACGAGCAATTATGACGCCAAAGAGTTGTTGGGGAGGTGGAATGAATGGGAACTAGCTGGCGCAGTCCAGTGTGAGCCTACTGCGAGCACTGCGGATGTACATAGCCATATCGGTGTATGCGGAATTAAAGCACTGTGAATGGATTGTTTTCAGTCAGAGGAAAAGAACGTATCAATTTGCTGTGTCGGGCAGGAAAAGACTTGGCCAAAGATGAGAGTGGCGAACTTGAAGCTTGAAGGCCGGGGTGGCGGCTATGCGAGCGATTTGAAAGTGACGCCACGTGGGAATGCAGGAAGACGAGCCTGTCTTCACCAAGTCGCCACGGCCGACCACTGGAACCGAACTGTATTTCTCTCCCTCCCCCTCTCTCGTCTCTTTCTATCATATTTCTCATCCATGGGTAACATCGCCAGCTGTTGTGACTCTTGCTGTAAGTTCATTGTTACTTTTCTCCTTAATGTATGTACTAAGATCGTACCACAGTTCGCTCGCGCCGGTCCCAGTCTTACGAGCCTCTGCTGCTCGAAAACGAGCGAGAAGCAGTAGCAGACCTCCTTCAGTACTTGGAGAGTACGTCAATACTTTTCTACTTGCGCTCTGGTCACTCGCTGATGAGGGTAGTTCAGACCGAACAACGACCAATTTCTTCGAGGGCTCACCTCTCTCCGCGCTCACAACACTCTCCTTTTCCGACAATGTCGATCTCCAACGTAGCGCCGCCCTTGCTTTCGCAGAGATTACCGAAAAGGAGGTACAGGCCGTCAAGCGGGACACGCTTGATCCCATTCTGTTTTTGCTCAGCAGTCACGATACGGAGGTGCAGCGGGCTGCAAGCGCTGCGTTAGGCAATTTGGCGGTTAATAGTACGTCAAAGTCGACGGTCGCTTTCCGTCTCGGTGTTCATCGGTGCCGTGTTACACTTCTGTAGCGGACAACAAGCTTCTCATTGTGAAACTCGGTGGATTGGAACCTCTCATCCGACAAATGTTAAGTCCTAATGTGGAGGTGCAATGTAACGCTGTCGGCTGCGTCACAAACTTGGCAACTCATGGTATGTATATTCTTTTTTCCCATTTTAAGTGATTGTTCACAGGTGGTCGGTGTAGACGACAACAAAACGAAGATCGCCAAGTCTGGTGCCCTTGTACCCCTCACTCGTCTGGCCCGTTCAAAGGATATGCGCGTGCAGCGAAACGCCACAGGAGCACTTCTCAACATGACCCATTCCGGTCAGGATTGCTTCCCAAATTTGTTTTGGCAGAGACTGACCTCCTCGTAGATGAGAACCGACAACAGCTTGTCAACGCTGGCGCGATTCCTGTACTCGTCAGCTTGCTGAACTCACCAGATACCGATGTCCAGTACTACTGCACTACGGCCCTCAGCAACATTGCAGTCGACGGTACCTACATCATCTGTCTGACTTTCTTCATAGGGCGCACTAAAGATTTGTATGCCAAACTTAGGGGCTAATCGTAAGAAGTTGGCCACCAGCGAACCGAAACTCGTTTCAAGCCTGGTCATGCTTATGGACAGCCAGAGCTTGAAGGTACAATGCCAAGCTGCGCTTGCGCTCCGAAATCTTGCTAGCGACGGTAAGCAGGTCTTCACTGCCGACACATTCATTTTCTTGAGCTAAGCGATCTGGACAAATGCAGAGAAGTACCAACTCGAGATTGTCAAGGCCGATGGCCTGCAACCTCTCCTTCGCCTGCTCCAGTCAACATACCTTCCCCTCATCCTCTCATCTGCCGCTTGTGTCCGAAACGTGTCTATTCACCCCATGAACGAATCTCCAATTATCGAATCAGGCTTCCTTCAGCCTCTCATCAACCTCCTCTCCTTCAAGGACAATGAAGAAGTGCAATGCCACGCCATTTCCACTCTCCGCAATCTGGCTGCTAGCTCCGAGAAGAACAAGCTCGCGATCGTGAAGGCCGGTGCGGTTCAGTCTATCAAGGACTTGGTTTTGGAGGTGCCGATGAACGTTCAGAGCGAGATGACGGCATGTGTGGCTGTTCTCGCCCTCAGCGACGAGCTGAAGGGTCAACTCCTCGAGATGGGTATCTGTGAAGTTCTGATACCCTTGACGAACTCGCCAAGCTCGGAGGTCCAAGGGAACAGTGCTGCGGCGTTGGGTAACCTTTCATCGAAAGGTAAGCATCCTCAATCCTCACATGATCACACTCCTGATTATATGTCTAGATGGCCGATCTGCCAACGATGATTATTCCGGATTTAATGACGTCTGGGAGAAGCCTGACGGCGGTATGCATCACTACCTCCATCGCTTCTTAAGCAGCCCCGATGCCACCTTCCAGCACATCGCGGTTTGGACTATTGTCCAACTGTTGGAGTCAGGAGGTCAGCCCAAATTGATCACCACACAGGGCACCTTTCTAATCATATTATACAGACCCACAACTCATGAGTAATATTCGCAACTCTGGTCTTTTGGTTCCGACCATCCGTGAGCTGAGTAACTCGCGCTCCGTCTCACCTTCATCATCCGTTGGCGGTACTCCACGGTCGCATCGTTCACAAGCAAACTCGTACCAGGAGACCGAGCCAGGCGATGGCCAGGGCGAGATCCAGATGCTTGCTCGGAAGATCCTTGAGTTCGTCGATGGTGATGAGCAGATGATCATGGGTTCCGTCCCGTCACATATACAACCAGGCTCTTCATTAGGGCAGGACTCCAACGTCAGCGGGAGTCAGCACGAGGAGCTACGGAAGAGTGTGAGGGAGGCGTTTGGTGGTAGTGGCAAATTCCACTAATGGTTTTCATTTACTCTGCTATCTGGTCTGCATTGTTACGTCCTTGCCTTTGAGGTTGTGGGCAACTCGGGTGCGGGTACATCGGAGACGGACTGTTTTTCTCATTCGTTTTCTATCTTCTTATGCACCTCCGCATGAGCATTTGCATCCCATATCCATATGTTGGCTCATTTATTCCTGTTCATCGTTTTCTCTGTTCGGATCGTCTCTCCCAAGCCGTACATTCCTTCCGTCTCTGTCCCTGTCCCATCATTTGACCTTCATATGTACAACTTTCTAATACTCGGTCTTCCTGTGTCAAATATTGGTTTACTCTCATATAGTCTCTCTCGGCGCCACCGACCGTATTATTGCGCCATTACATCCACTGCTGCCTCCTCTCCGTCTGTTTCCCCCGTGCTCCTTGTTTTTCCTCATTTTGTAGTCCACACCCCAGGACTCATTAGTATCGCTCCGTTCTTCGACCTTTTACACGCCCGACAGTATCGGTTTCTCAGACTTCTAGTTTCTCGCTGTAGGGAATGGTGCGGGTAGTCTGTGTTGCGTAGTAGAGTATATGATGCGTACGTGGGTTTCAACCATATACGTCAGGTCATTTCACTTATTGCAGTCAAGCCAATGGGTTGCGTGTAAGGCAAAGGAGAATTGTACCGCGTCCGCACAACTTCGAGCTTGTGGCAGAATGGCAAATTGGCACATGCAGCGTCAAGAGGTGTTCAACAAGGCGTGGCCCAACCACGTGCGACGAAGAGCAGAATGGTGGCCATCCCAATATCATTGCTTGGTAACCGTATAAGATATCTGCATACTCATGAAGACAATAACATGGCGCGAGTGTCGAGGGAATTATGAAGATGGTAGGTGAGGTTTTGGGCAGCGTGTTGAGGGAGAGTGTCTGGATTGGGCAATCACTCAGGTGTGAGACGGCATGGTCAGAGTGCTCTAGTCAAGTGCACATAGCGTTATGTCCTGGAATAAATCCAGGCAGATAATTGTGATGAGATACGTGCGACAAGCAGGAAATCAGACTCACGAGTACATTATCCTCCCCAACATCCTCACTTCTTCCCGGTCTTCTTGCTCTCCACGAACAGGACTCTTTGCTTCACTGCCATCCCGTTTATAAGTCCATTTGGACGAGGCATGGTTGAGTTCGATTATGATAGTAAGAAAGATCACAACAACACGCACCCCGCGGGTCATACTTCACGGCGGAGAGCCTTGGGCCCTGTCGGAGGCGTTGTGTGGTGTAGAAAAACCCTGTCTGAGCCGTCGAAATGAGACGGACTATGAGAGTCCTGTATGAGACTCTTTAGCCAGCTAGACCAGGTAAGAACAGTGGAGATGGTGACATACCGTGCTTTTGCCTTCGCTGCCATGGAGTGACTTCGAGCCCAAGTTGCGCGCACGGAAATTCGATTTGTTCGGGTGTGGCGTAAGCCGGCTTTTGCCGTTTCAACAAAGAATCTGCTTCCGAAATGAGTTGGCCACAATTTAGACGTTGAACGATTTTGTAACGAATTTGACTAGCACTGTGGTCAAACTGTGGTAGCCCTTTTCATAAACCAATAACAGGAGTGCTTTGAATTGTTTGAGAACTAATTATAGTAGTGTGGTCAAAGCGATCCGTAAACGACCTCGCCATCCATTACCGTCGCCAGCACCTTCACATCCGCCACCTCTCTATCCGAAACTCTCATCATGTCTCTATCCAATACCACATAATCCGCTCTCTTTCCCTTCTCTATACTTCCGACCACATCTTCCATGAACGATGCATAGGCTGGATTGATAGTGTACCCTCTAAGGGCATCAAGACGCGAGATTCGCTGCTCTGGGAAGAAACCCTCTGGTCCTTTGGGCGAGGTGCCGTCGAGCGAGAGGCGCGTAATACCGGAATACATGCCATAGAAGGGAGACATTTCCTCGACTGGGAAATCAGATCCCAGGGTCATGCGCGAACCCGATTTGAGGAGGGACTGGAAAGGGTATAGAGTGTCGACTCGGTCGCCCTTAGGTTATGTGAGTGAGAAAGAATTGTGTATGAAGGATAGTCTTGACCATGATACTCACCAAGCGATCCTCTGCATACCACATGTCGCTTGTGCTGTTTTTTGATCAATGAGGAGGAAAAAGCCGGATACTAAGATCATAACTTACACATGCGAGAGTTGTACACTCGAGATCACTGTGAGACGTGATGTTAGACATACAGACAGCTATATCAAGGGAAGAACTTCACCTCCAAGTTTACCCAACCGAGCGCTGTCGGACGGCTTCATGATCTGAGCATGTTCAATCCGCGGCCGAATCCCGTTAACGTCGATATTCTTCAGCGCCTTCTCAAAAGCGTCTAAGACTGCACCATTGGTCCGGTCTCCGATGGCATGCACGTTCTAAGGAGTATGACTTTGAGATCACAAACAGGGAAGTTATGCGGAGTTCAAACCGTTTGCCATCCATCAGCGATGAACCTGGGAATATACTCGTTTAGAATTTCCGGTCCGACACGGAAGAAACCTCGAGATGATGGGTTGTCCGTGTAGGGCTCGTATAACTGCAACAACAAAAAGACATGGATGATCTATATGTAGCAACATAAATTTGTGATACGTACTGCTGCCCCACCGGATCTTAATGCACCTTTTGCGGAGGTATCAGAGGGTAATAAAAAACTCTCAATTGGATTGAAAACGCACCATCTGCGACAATTTTCACGCTGCGCACGGTGAACCTATCGTTTCCAGCGTTGAATATCTTGTCACTAGTATTCCCCCAATAACCAGTGGTGCCGAGGTCGAACTCCCTCATGCCGTAGACACGGAGCTATTGAGGAGGTAAGTAAGAGACCAAGTTAGATTAGACGGCAGATGGGGCTCACGCCGATCGCATTCTTCTCAGCTTGTCTGTTTTACCAAGGACATGGGCTTCAGGGGGAAGTCGAATTTGCTAGAACAAAACGACGTACTTGTGGAAGAAATCGATCGTGTCGGGATGAAGCAACGCATCATGCACACCTGTGAACCCGTTTGCCAAGCAATCCTCTACCGTATACGACCAACGCTTGATCAAGGATTCATCACTCGGAGTTGGAATCCCTATTATATCTCTCGCGTTATCCATGAAGACACCGGTAGGGCTCCCATCTGGGTATCGTTGGATTATACCGCCTTCAACATGATCAGGTACATCCATCGAAGCTAGTACTGCGGGAGAAACCCAGAACGCGTGGGCATCGTGACTTTGTAGAGCAATGAGCCTGTCCTTGAGGACATCATCCTCTGCCATATCGGCCTGTGTAGTCGATCGTGTACGTATCAGAACTCAGAAGCCTAGTAGGGAGAAAATCAATTGCTCCTCACGGATGTAGGCCATCGGTCTCCATTCGCCCACTTGGTATGATCCCATCCAAATCCCATGATGTAGAACGACTTGTCGTTGAGAATGTCGGGATCGCTCTCAACGAATGCTCGGACTTTCTTCAGCGTCTCTAAACACACAGTGTCGTTCTAGTCAATGTGCAGGAGCTAGATATATAGAACAACAATCATACCTTCTACCGTCGTTGTTCCACCCAAAGGCAGCTGCTTAAGCAGGCCATAATGAAGCCCGTGGACGTGGGAGTCTGTGAAGTTCCAGGTCACAGTTGTACATGGAAATTGCGCTCTCTTCAACGAACCTGTCATGCCAGGTATCACCACTGTACCCTCGGGGATATGTCGGACATTGAGAGGCTTCAGTAGCCCAGAATGTTTCTCATAAATATCAGCTACAGTCAAAAACACGTTCATAAATATATTCGTTCAGGTAGAATGGATTGCTTACTTAGGGTTCCAACGTCAGCAAACCTCTCTCCATTCACGTACGCACATTCCACGACGCTGTTGTCAGCATCAACCGTGTAAATTTTGGCAGTTCCGCTTGGCGAGCACAGAGCGTATGAGTTGGAATTTTCGACGAAATTCTGCTTCAATGCAGAGAAGGTACGAAAGCTAAGATAGCCAAAGACAAGGATGACGACAGCGACATTCGGGAAGAGAGGCCTGAACTTGGAGCTCGAAGGGCCTGCTTGGACGCGTCGGTTATCCTGCTCCGCCTTCTCAAGCTCTGGCATGATGGCGGTCAGAAAGAAAGAACAGAAGACTCCAGTTGGTACATGGTCATATATATTCTCGTGGTTCTCGTCCGTGAGGTAAAAGTCGCGTTTGCACCGCGCGCTCAGAGGCACTCAGCCCCTGTTGCACGGGCTTATCTTATCTGATAGCATGCTTCGTTGTCCGATCCCCGCAGGAACGTTGAAAGTTGAGCGTTTATGTTTGCCTTTCTCCTGTTCTACTTTGAACTTGCTACATTTATGATGGAGCGAGAGGGATTTTGGCTCGTGGAAATTTGCTCTAGAGTCTCCAGACTTACCTAAACTGAAAGGCACAAAGGGTTGTCGCGGTCACTGGCAGGTGAACACGACCGAGACTTTACTGGAAGCGGCAGGAGCAACAAAATAAGAAACCATTACATTGCGCGACTAATATCGTGAACCACATTACAGAGGCATCACCAGCCTCAGAGATAACCCTATCCCACAGTTCGTCGAACACCAACCATCATCATCCCACACGTACGTCTCGTCATAGAGATCACATCAAAAACGTCGTCCATTCATCCGGTCATGCATCGCTCATGCCTTTCCTCCCTTCTTCTTCTTGTTCACGACCTTGAAACCTCCCCACTCCGACTGCTGCGTGGGCTTCGGTTGCGCCTTGACTACATCTGCAATAGACGGCTGCTTTCCAGCTGCAGCACCGCTCTTCCTCGAGGTGGCGTCGGCCTTGCGCTTGCTAACGAACTCTTGAGCGAATCTTCGGCCATCGAGGGTCGTACTGCTGGCGTATATCGACTCGGAAATGATTTCCATCGTGACGGAGTCGACCTCGAGAGGGAAGGACAGGAGCATGCTCATGATTTCCTCCTCTGGAACGAATGGGTGATGATTAAGCAATGGCAGCGATCAAATATGCAAAGAAAAACATACGGTTGACAGAGTTGTTGAGACCCTTGAGCGAGTCACTCAGCCACCTCATGAACTCCGGTGAGGGTGCAATCGGCGTCTCTTCCACCTTGGGCGCAGCTGGCGCAACCTTCACGACTGAGGCAGCACTAGGCATGCGAACGGCAGCGGCAGCGGCGCTTGGTGCTCGAGCAGTGGTAATTGAGGCGGCAGAGGGCTGTGAGGACAAAATGGCAGGACGAGTCGCTGCTGGAGAAGCTGACCCACCCGCACCCTTGCCATTCGAACCAACTGTTGTCCACGCGCCTCCAATAGCTAGTGTCGGCGTGGGAGCCTGGACACCTCAGCGTCAATAAGATTTTAGAGGATGCTTCGAACGCGATATCACTGACCTTTGTCGTCGTCTCCGCGTACGCCCTACGCGCGGTGGCGGCAGCGGCCGTCTCCTTGCCCGCCAGCTTCTTCCTCTTCTCCTCTTCCTCCTGGATCTCCTTCATCGTCTTCTTCGCCGGAGCGGCCTTTGTCGAGTTCGTCCACACAGGCGCAGGAGTCCCAGGCTGAGTCGAGCTCGACGATGATGCTGGACCGGCCGTATCCTTCGCGAGAGTATTGCTCTGCGTCTTACCAGCCTGCGACGTCGGCAGACCCCAGGAAGTCGTGAACGGTGCGGTCTCTTCTTGCGAGGAGGTCTGAGCCGCAGCAGCAGCACGAGCACGCTCGCGCTCGGCAGCCTTGCGAGCCTCTTGCTTCTTCGCCTCCGCCTCCTGGATCTCCCTTAAGCCCATGGCGGAAGCCTTTTTCGTGTCGTCCTCTGTGGACCAGACAGGCTTGGCCGGAGAAGGAGTGGCCGGAGAAGGAGACGGAGAAGGATCTTTGGGAGTTTGAGGAGCAGCAGGCTTGGTGACGGCCGGAGAGGCGGCAGACTTTCGGGAGGCCTTAGGTGCTTGCACCGGGGCAATGTTGTCGGGTGCTGGTGCCTCAGGAGCAGGCTCAGGCGCAACGACAGCTGCGGGAGTCTCCTCGTGTCGCTCCGTCGTTGGTTGCGAGTGAAGTGACGCTTCCTGCTCTTGCTGCTGATTATGCTGCCCGAGGTTACTGACGGTGAGACTATTAGGGCCTTGGACAGGACCCCAGCCATCGGCGGTGGCGCTTTGCGAAGCGGTAAACCACGGTGACGGTTCATTTACTGCCGAGGTGGGTTGAGACTGTTGCGCTGGACGAGCAATAGACGAAGGTTGAGCGGGAATGGCGACCCTGGTAGCGACAGTATTCTTGGATGTGGGAATGATCTCTGGGTCGAAAGGCTTCAGGCTAGTGCGCTTCGGTAACGATTCCTCGACAGAATTCCAAGGAGACGGTGACGGAACTTGCTGTGGTGCTTGGTTGGCGTTAGGTTGTATGTGAGAAAGAGCAGGTGAAGCGTATTGCAAAGAAGGCGATTGAGTGTACTGAGGAGGTTGCGCTACTGAGGGATAGGGTGATGTTGCGGGTAAACCACTTGCGTAATGGCCTTGACCGGTATTGCCGTAAGAATCTTGCCTATCCTCTGGAGGGAACGAACTGGTAGAGCTCAGGGGCGCCGGTCCTCCAATACTGCCAAATCCACTGGCAATATTATCCTGAGGGACACGAATGTTACTAAAGCTTCGGGCCAAAGGAGAGGGGGCGCCAACGCCTGAGTCGGCAAGGCTAGGCGTAAACGGTCCAGCGGAATCGACAGACCCGTTGCGCGGTGCTCCGAAGCCCTGGTGGATAGCCGTTGGAGGCCAAGGCCCTTGATGACTGGGTAAAGCAGGCGACCCCATACCGAAGCTGTCAACAGACGACGTTCGTGCAGGCCCAATGCCCCCTAGAGACGGCCGACCTCCATATCCCACGTCGTATGGCGGTTCGTTGAAGCCTGGCCTCCTGTTTACAAGACCTGGGTTGGGTTCACCCATAAGGCTTCCTGTACGAGATCCGACTGGCGATTCGTTCATAGAATGCATATGAGCCATGGGCCTCCCGCTGAATGCCACAGGGTCAGGGGAGTCGTTCACGAATCGTGCGGCACCGAATGAAGAAACAGGCGAATTAGAGGCAGTTGAGTTCGAGGCGAAATAGGGATCAAAGGAAGGATGCATCGATCGCGTAGGTATGGGTTGGAAAGGTGCATGCGCCATGTTGGCTCCGTTCATATGCGCGGGATTGTCGAAGGGAGAATCCAGACGACGAGACAGACCCGGAGGGAGACAGTGAAAGCGACTTAAAAAGGTTGGCTCTCCTTTAGTCAAAGTATCAAGGTCCCCTACGGTCGTCCAATCTTGGTCCATACTCGCACGTTTCATGAGCAAATCCTGAGCGAAGTACCCTTCGTCGAACCACTTCTGCATGATATCAGCACGGAAAGGACCTGGCGATACGAAGCAGTAAATGAGTGAGTGCTCCCTAAGAAGAAACATAAGCAATGACCTTGAATGTTGCCTTGAGGGTCGAGATAAGACCACTCGATACTCGCGGGGTCTGGCAGGCCTGGAGGTGGGCCAGCTGATAGAGGGTCCGGATGATTGTGTGGCGTATTAGGTCCAACTGATCGAGCCGTCGCATTGTCCTGTTGGGCACCATTGGTACCGGAAGAGTCATTGTTTGGACCCCCACCACCCAGCGCCACATTATTTGTCGACTGGGGATCCGGTGCCCCCACTCCAGTACTAGATCTTTCGTCTTGCGGACCTGAAGTGTCCCAGTTGGCGCCACCCGAATCCTCCTCTGCTTCATTGATAGGCTGCTGAGCCACAGTGTCCGGGTCTCCTTCACCGCGTGTGGCCGGTCCTTTTACTATGCCTTCCGAGGCGCGCCTCCTACTGCTCCACGAATCACCGCCATTGAGCACTCCATCGAAACCAGACCCTGGGGTGGTAGGACCACGGACACGAGGAGATCCGGAACCCGCCTCTCGAGGCGAAGCCAGAGCCCCTCCTTGAAGAGAAGACATTGATAACTTTCGAGGCATGGCCAAAGTAGGTTGGTCTGGATACTCGTGGCTTGAGTTGTGCAGTTCGAGTGAACAATAACCACACGACGCACCTGAGCCGGTATTCCTCCTCGCTAAGACATTACCAAAGCGTTCTCGTAAAGGACTCGCTGCACCCGTCGTAGAGTGCATTAGTTTTGGCCTCTCTCCGGAAGGTGTCACGAGAGGTGACAAGTAGTCAGACGATTGTCGCCTGCGAACTTCCGAGTTGAGAGGGCCGGTGAAGAGCTAGTGCATGGATTTGATTTTAGCGTGCATTGTCCATGCCACGGAGAGGAGGTGGGCTAGTAAAGCACGTCACAACGAACACGCACCTTCTTTTCCGCTTCGGACATGGCCTTCATCGACACCGGCTCAGCACTACGCTCTCTGACACATTCCCACCTCTCGACCTCCAGGCCCAAGCCTCCTCTTCCTCCTCCTTCTTTGTAGATTCTAACCAAGTCATCCTTGGAATACTTGAATGGATTATCGACATCGATGGTCTCCTGTGGGGTCTGCGGGGCAGGCGTGACAAGAGAGGAGTACGATGAAGATCCAGGTGGTGCGTGCGCGCTCGTAGGAGGCGGCGAAGGTGGGTTCTTAGAGTGCTTCGTCCTCATCCACTCGGGACCCTTTTCGTATACCGTAAAATATTATCAGGTGAGGCGAGCCGCAGACACAGTGGTTATTTGGAAAAGCGCGGTGGGGATAATTGTACATACGAATTGAAGAACTGGGGCGCGGGATGTAGCAGTCATTTTTGCGTGTTGATGCGGTTTGCTGATAGATGCTGGGCGGCCCAAGAGCAGATGTGTGTTGGTACGCGTTGAGGGCGTTTGGGCTGTTTGTTCGCGAGATGACGGGATGAGACGCGGCTCGTAAATTTCGCACAAGCCACCGTGCGCGCGAGCCACCGTCCCGTTCCGCGTCACCATGTGCCTCTCGCCACACCGCTCTTTACCTCGCTTTCAAGACTTAAGCCGCTTTGTCGATCGCTTCCGATTCATTCTATTCTTTTCGTACAGATAGGCCGTCGCCCCATAAATATCAACGCAGAACACATCACAGATGCCAAGGCTATGGTATAGTAACTACTTTTCCAAATCGTGCAGTTCGAATGTCACTATCCAAATATCCGCCACTTGCTGATTGGTAGAGCTAAACACGCGTCAACCATCAGCTCGAAGAACAAAGCAGACAGAATGAATCGAAACGAACCTTGCAATTTCCTCGCTTGTGGTATGATGAATGCAAAAAAGAAGATCACTCCAGTGGTGATGCACAAAGTAGAGACGATGTAGTAGCCATCACGCTCGGTGACGCACTCGCCACCTATATCTGCACAGTGCGCTTTGCCCTGTTCGGAGACGCATTCGGCGGCTAAATAGTACCCTCTCGATCAGTCTCATGAGCAAAAGGTACGGGAAACAATTGTCATACCCGAAACAGTCAGGGAACTGCCCTTCTCCTCAACTTCGCACTTGGCAATAGTGAAGAAATCGACGCCTTGGGTGAAGGAAGCCACGATTAGCTAGAGTCACAACGAGAGACACAAAATACATACCTTTGAGGACGAAGAATTTGGGCCAGGTTCCCCCGAGATTAGTGAAGGTATTGAGAAGCTATGAGGTAGCACGGTAAGACGATATCCGGTTGGGAATCTGACCAAGGACTTACTGTCATATATGTTCCTCCGATTACCGGATCCGAGATACGAGTATGGAAAGAGGACATTCCAACGAACTGTATCGTTCTATAGCAACCCAGCTCAGAAAAGGCCATGAGATCCATAACCGAAGAATGGGCACTTACGAAGAGAATGACTGCAGGACGGTATGCAGAATCAAAAATATGAAGAACCCATTCGAAATCGGCGGTGTAGGGAACCAATACACGATCAGAGTCGACAAGATCGCGAACCCGAGCCTGGGCCAAAACGCCCACAACCAAGGCCGGAGCGGTTTGTCCCCTCGAGACCACCTCGCGGCGAGCCAACCTCCGGCGATTTGGAATGGGAAGTCGATGAGCACAGCGACAGCGAGGTCCTCTTTGCCCAGGCCTTTTTCCACAAACTTGAGGGAGGTGACGGCTTCGTTGGCGGCGAAGCCGATCTTGGCACTGAGGTGGACGAGGAGAACGGTTTGGACGTCTGAACAAGGTACAAGTGAGCAGATGTTTCATGTCGTATGAGAGAACAGGACATACGTTTTAGTTTGCAGATGTTCCAGATGGTTTTGTAGACGCTGCCAATACTCATGTCTTCATCTGTCGAGGGCTCCTTGCGCTACAGACAACGCCCGTGTAAGCAACAAGTAATCGAAACGAAAGAAGAACTCATACCTCCGTCTGGAAGAAAGTCAGCCAGACAGTAACGCAGAAGCAGACTACACTCCAGAAGCGCAGATATGTTCCGAGTTGTAGTTGAGGTATTCCCCACTTTTGACTGCACATCAATGAAAAAGAGTTCCTGATTGGTTATTTGTGCAGCAACTTACCTGAAGGCTTCGCTGTTGAGGGCAAGAAAGACGGTGAAGGAGGCAAAATAGCCTGTGTTAAGACCGATAGTCTGGCATGTAGATGCGTATGAGAGGTTTTCCTCAGAAAGGAGAGTGAGAGCCCATCCTAGTAAGATGCGTCAGCTTTGGTTTGTATACGCCTTGCTGGGTGCGCACCATCGACTGCGATATCTGTAAAATACAAGTGAGTCAAACGGATAAGAGGATGAACGAGATTACTGCACCTTGAGTGGCTGCTATCATCACCAGAGATGTGAAAACGAATGTGAGTGTGTTGACATGTTCGCCCGGCTAGAATAGACGCTCGCTCGGTGAATCCTAGGCCGCTTTCACCGGAAAGACAGACGACGCACATTATCCATGAGAGTCGGGACATTATAAGATATCCATAGCATCAGAGAACCGATTATTAGTTGCATGGGGATGATCCATGACTTCCGACGACCAACAGATGGCAAGAATATTGAGTCTACAATAGGTGACCACAGAAGCTTGAGGGAGTAAGGGTAACTTGATAGAGCGAAGACCGCCAGTTGCGAATATGAGAGATGTTCTCGGAGAAGGAATGGCACGGATCCTGGAACGTCGCGGTTCGTGTGAGTTTATCTGAATTGTCACTTGACAAGTGGCACATACCTAATGCAAGTCCTATCTACAGAATACGACCCGCTTAGCCCGACAAACGCGTAGCGAAATCGAGACAAACTCACTGGAACTCCCTGGATGAGATCTACACACGCATTCGCGTCCAAGGATGAATGACGTGGCAGACATTCGACCACATAGAACGACAACTCACAAAGAATAGATAAAAGCGCCATAGCCTTCTTATCCTCCATCGAAATCGTCCCCGCCTTGGGCTTCTCATCCCCAAGATCTCCAAACCCATCCTCCCTCGCTGCTCGCGCACGCTCATCTTCGTTCAACAGAGAAAGTTCTACCTCGTCCATACTGCTCGCAGCGGGACTGTCACCGTTGGGCCATTCCCGATGAGGTCTCGGGGTCCTGGGCGTACGTGGCTGAATCGCAATGCTGTCCAGTGAAGTAGAGACGCCGTTATGCGTCCGTGCCGATGACATGCCTGTGTCGTCGTGCGCGTCCTTGTTCTTGCCCGGTGAAGAACTTTGGTTTTGGCGGCGCTGTACGGATTTGTTGTTCGAGGCCGAGGGATTCTGCCTGCGAGGCATATACGCGGGCTACTATTTGAGAAGCGGGGATGCCTCACACGTAAGGGTCGGGGTCACAAGTGATGCTGTTGCGTGTCGGCCAATGATGGGCGGTCTTCTGGTGTAACGAACGACGTTATGGAGGTTCCTGGTTGCTTTGAGGAGATATGCGTTGTGGTGGTACAAGCTTCGGCCAATGAACGAACACGTACACCGTTCGACTGCGAAAACCTTCCAGATTCGAACCCCGCGCCAGTGCAATGACGGCCATGTCGCGCTAACACCCACTAACACGTGACGGATACGCCTGAAGAAGCCGCATTTTAATCAACTTTAATCATTGGTTCTCGGGTATCTCGCTATTTTGGTTGGTTACTACAAGCACCCGTGCGAATCGACCAATAAAATATCGCCGGCTACGACAAAATAACTGAGAATTTCCATAGTTGTACTACTGTCAAGATATCCACCAAAATACCGAGGTTGAAAGAAGGTCTGTTCGACTGAAAGTATCGTACATCAGCTATGTCCTGTTTCCAGTCTTCCTCATTTCTAGTATTTCGCGCCACAATTACATATCGCTCAGAGTGCAGAGGAGTCAAAGGTTGGGAACTCTCCGATACGAAGCTTCGTAGCCTGTGAAATAGCAACGTCAGAACCATCTTCAACGTCTCCAGCATATATAAGCGAGCAACTCACCCCGAACGGCCACAAAGTGATCTCCGTCGCATTGCCCGTACAGCTCACATTCTCCGGCGGCGCACTCGCAAACGTACTTCCCGCGATCGCCCAGTCTATCTCACATGCGCTCGCAGTAATGGTAAACGGTGGAAGCCCCTTGTCGAACACAGGCGACGGGAGTGTGCCGTCCTGTGGCGGGTTGTTGTTGAACTTGAGGGTCGACGGGTCAATGGCGTATTGCCAAGTCCCGGTGGCTTCAAATTGGAGGTCGACAGCACGAGATTCGAGTGCATTGCGGGTCAGGACGGTCTCGTTGCGCGGAATGTCGTAGGCGTAGTGCAGAGGACCACGGTGAACCGCTACGGAGTTGTTTGGACGAGATTCTGTTTACAAAGGACGAGAATAGATGTGAGCCACAGTACGACGGGAGAACAACGCTAAGAACTGACCGATGGTAATATCTGCGGGCAAGTCCAGGACAAACTGCGTCGTGCCTGCAGAAGCCTTCACAGCTTGAAGTCCGTTCGAAGGGCTCAACGCAGTTGCCTCACCACCGTTCATGCTGATAGTACCGTTCGTTACCCAGCTGGGCACACGGACATAGTACGTGAACGCCTTCTCGGCATTGATAGTCGTCGTCAAAGTATCAGAAAAAGGGTAGAGAGTGTCAACGCTGACGGAGACGGGGTTGCTGCCTGGTAGACCGTTGTCGATTGAGTAACACTACGTGACAGACAATCTGAAGGGTATCTGACGCGCACCGTTTGAAAGGGTCTGCGATGTGGAGAATGGGCCAAGATAAACGTGGACAAGCGATTCGCTGTCGGGGGTGGTCACGAAGCTATTGGTAACAAATTTGGGCCATCCTTGCGGGTGATTGACGGTACAGCAGCTAGTGAATGTGCAAGATACTAAATCAATGCCGTTTCACTATTGAATGCAAAAGTAAAGACGAACGGATAGTTGGGCTCCAATCCGAAGACATTGGAGTAAGGTCTAGGGAGGCATATTGAGCATACACGAATGACATTCACAGGAGAAAAAGGCCTTACCCGTCCTCAGGGAATGGGTTACTACACGCAAAAATCGAACATCAGTTACTCGTCACGGAACAAAAGATACGACAAGTAGGGAGGCGAGGGCTCACGGAGTCATGTTCTGAGCAGCGATCTGGTTCTGTTCTTGCAAGTACTGACGAGACCACATATCTAGGGTGGAATCGTAAGCCGTCATACGGGGTGTCCTTTAACGAAGTCTTACCTCCAGTCAAGGTCGCCGCTAGAGGCATGTTAAGGTCAGTACATTCTATCAGCAGGTAAAGCTACGACGAAACAGGCCTACGCAGAGCATTGTAGGTGATACGTTCAACCTTGTTCGGGGACAACCAATTAGTTTGTACAGTTAATGGTGGAGGTGATAAAACACACCCTATCGGCATACTTGGGATCGCCAGAAACTTGGAATAAGTAAGATCCTCTGATCAATAAAGTCAGTACTGGCCGAGCCGAGTCTGGAGGACTTAGGCATAGTGTACTTACGAGAACATGACTTCCTGCAAAATACATGCGACAATTAAATGCTTTGAGTGAAACTAGATATATAAACTCTGATAATGTACTCACGACGACCAAGCAGAGTTCCGTTCTAAATGTAAATAAAGACGGTTGGTACGGGCTCCTCTAAGGACCGAGCGAGAAAATCTCACCCCCTGACGGCAGCAAGCCCAGCAAGATACTCATCCGCGGCGTAGATACCTGATGGACGGCCGTGGTACTCGAACAACAAATCCCAACCGGAGCTGATCCTGTCCAAATCTACCAAAAACAGGAAATTGTTCGGAATGCTTGTGATGAGCTTTCGTGACACGATGAGAATAAAGATGAAGAATGTCGCACCCGACTGATTATGCGTGAACCGGTAGGTAGCAGGTAGAGCCTTCAGGCCTTCGGCCATGTTGACTCCGTGCCAGGTCAACTCAGGGACTTTTGAACGCACCAGTCAATATGCGAACAGGCACATGAATCGAAGGTGGACTCACAGGGATTCTCTAGGTCCTCGACAGGACCGGTGGGAAAGTACTAAACCACAATATTGTGAGTGATGAATGACGACATGACTCAGATAGAGATGACGGGTGGGACCTCACCTGCTCCTCGAAGACATCCTCCCAGGGGTCACCGGTATACTTGAGCATCTGCATCGTGTCCAATAAAAGGTCTTCGTTCCCTTCGGGATAGTCATCGTATAGCCTAGTACTCACATTTAGTCACTTACTTCGTCTCAAGGTCTATAGAAAGAGATAACCTACCATTGCAACGTAATCACAAAGTCCTCCCACCTCGTCCTCGCCCAGTCCTCCAGGCCTGTGCCGTTGTGCAGCATCGTATTCGCGAGTTTCACGAACTTGTGTAGCGCGGGGATAACTCTGTCTGCTTGACTGGGATCATACTCGACCATCTGCTGTGCACCGAAGAAGAACGGGTAGCGGCCCCAGAGGTATTTTGGCTTGGTCGTGTTCACCTCAGGACCGAGCCAGCCTTCGGAGTCTTGGTGGTCGAGCACGTAATCAAGGAATTCCTGGGTTTGAGATTGAATGGTGCTATCGTTGACAAGGACGCCGTTCGGGACCATGGCGTTCTTTGGTAGGGGATTCAGCAGGCTGCAGGATGGTAATTGCCATGGATACTCACAAACCAGTAGCTTCCCGCTGCATGGACGAATCAATGGGTAAATCACTACGACGAGGAATACTTGGACGAACCTTCTTCAAGGTATGAGTAGTAGGAGTCACCGCCAATCCAGTCAGACTGCGCCACACTTGAAGACGATGTTTATAATCAATCAAAAAATAGTCTTTGGCGACAGACGCACTAGTCGTAGAAGTCGTGTTCATGTCCAGCCAAACCATTGGTCTGGACCATCACCTGAAGACAAGCCCCCATGAGGAAATCTGATACCACAAGATAAAGCAGAGTCTCCTACTTGATCATAGAGCCATCCTGTGGGCAAGACGGCGCCCAGAGGCAAACTATTGAAAGCCTTCGGAGCAACTACACAAAGTGTGAAAATCAATATGATAAACCCAATTTAATATGTATGAACGACCATACGTCCGGTTTGGGCAACAACGGCGCCTGTGGCTAGCACGGGGACTATAAAAGGAAGAAACAACGTCATGGGTGAGCAACAGCCTCTGTTTGAGATGTTCAGGGAACACAGAGAGAAGATCAAAGTGAGATGGTTGCAAGCTTTTATACAGTAAAAGACGTTCAGCTGAACCCGTATGGCCCGTGAGGCTCCACCGGAATAAGTCTGGTGATACTTGAGGAAGACGAGGTGCTCGCGGCCATATGGTCACACTGCATTGAAGAAGCATGCTATAGGAGATGACCCCGAAGACGATCTCTCCTGGATGCACATGTCCTCCTAGTCTTCCAGTACCTTCCATGTAAGTATACCCGGATCGTCTTCGCATCCAAACAAAGCTGCAACGGACTGTATACGATAACCAGCTATTTTGAACGATTCACTAACCTTGCGCTCCATCGGACCAGACTGTGCGATACAAGAGCTGAAAGATGTTCTCAAAGAAGAGCATCTTGTCAATGCCGGACTAGGAGAATCAACTTGGATAGAGAGGGAGGAGATGTCGAACTTGATGCGAGGTCCGGATGCGATATATAGGAAGCCAGAGGGGCTGTTATCTCGGAAGGAAGGCGTGCCGTCAGAGTCTTGAAGGTATATTGTTTCATATACTTCTGAGAACGACACCCGTCGGTATAATGCTGCCATGGCAGACCGGATTCGCATATATGGGTGATGCACAAATGCTGATGATTCTGGAGAAAGGGGAAGATGTTAGCGGCGGCGTGTGGCACACTGCTGTGAGACAAACGCAAGCTCAAGCGCTTATGACCAGGCCCCTGTGGCCTCCTATGGCCCGGGAATTCCGCCTGTGGGCTCATAACGATGTTTCTCACCGGACAAAGACGATATCAGGTCATTCAAGTTCGGTATGGTCCTCTTCACCTCGAAATCTTCGCAATTACCTTCAGGGCTCTACGAACGTCAGTTCAAGTTGATACTGTGCTTACAGTTTGATTGAGACTTTCTCTAAGCTCTGTTGACGGTACGACATCGATAGCAGCACTGCCATTATATTCAGGTACAGTCGGTCAGCATTCAAGTACTCCGTACCCATGCGGTTTGCATGCGAGTGATAACAGGATAATTGGGATAAGGATTACTTACGTAGCCGAGGAATATCCGTGAATTCAGAGGCCGCTTTGCCTCTCCCGGCTTCATAGAACCCCGGACCTTCTGCGAGTCTCAGTCTATCCTGTAACAAACGCTACTGATCAAGCAACCCAGCAGAAAGTGGAGACGAACATGACCGCGTTGCAGAAGGTTGCCGCGTCGAGCCACATTCGTGGATGTCGGAGCTCAAACCACTGCGGGAAGTAAATCCTGTACCAAGTACAGGGTAATCCAGTAGTGGCTCGCAAAGTACCGGATTATCCTGTAGAAGTGTCACCGCCCAAAAGTACTGGCTTTTCCTGTATCTCTTGTAGCACCGGAGAAAGACCACGTAACCATGATGGACCAATGCAGAGAGTATTTCTACGATGTATTCTACCCTTACTTAAGTACTAGCACCCATTCCAATCACTGCTGCCATTTGTAGCGAGATCACCGGAAAATCCAGTACTCCTGCAGTAAACACTGGACTCCTGCTACCATGAAGGCACAGTAACATCATGTCAGTCAGGGAGACTGTCTCAAATCAGCCTAACACTTGATCCCATGGATGCTAAGTTGCAACAGTTTAGCGGACGAATACTTTGATCTGCTGGTATTTTTCCAGTAATTTTCGAATACTTATCTCAAAGGTACTGCTGCTCCATGTAGTTCAATAGTCTGATCAAAAACCACCAGTAACTGAACATGTCATCAAAGAAGGTTTGATGCACTCGAACGGTCGTGCCAAGTCTGAGGGAATATATGCAGTTAATAACAGTGCAGACTGTTGCTGCGAACGAAGGTGCCACATCGTTACCGGAGTACGGAGTGGCGAGCGTGCCTCGGAAATTGCCGTCATTATGACGCGGTTGTTGATCCTTGTTTTGGCACCGTTCGTCGCTTCCTTCCAACGGCCTCCATGCAGGGCATCGTCGACCTTGACATTGTATTGGTCGCCTTTCTCTATCTTGTTGACGCCATGGCCATTTAAGACCTCGACACATATTCTCTGGGTCCATCTGGGTAAACTTAGTTTTGAAATCTCTTCCCCCTACCATGACCGGTACGACTTCGATTGTGTCGCGCACTACGCTGTCAGTGTTCATGACGCGTACCTCTGAAAACCTCCATCAGACCTCACATCCTACATATGGAGCCGGTTTGGATGTGAAGCAGATAGGTACGTGACCAGTTTTCCCCCAATGCTCTGGTAATGCATCTGGATGTGGTGGTCGGCGGTGCGGAGCAAGATGAGGCGTGAGATGCTGGATGCTGGGTTAGTGGCGGCAGCTGAGATTGACCTGACGAAGCTAGTGGGTATGGGTATGGACAAGATGATAGAACCACTCGATATCAGGGGTAGTAAGGAGTCGCTCACGTACGTACATTCTTTCCTGGTCCATCTATTGATGTTCATCGAGGATATCAAGCTAACAGTGGAGGGCTGGTGGATCTCACCGGTTTGTGGTTCCATACTACCACCCCGCCCACAGACAAGCACGCCGGGATCTCTGACGTCACACTAGATATGTCCATCATCGCCTTGTCCTCTTTCCTCCTTGAAGTATACACGTACCTGACCGACTTGTTCTTCGCACAGCCCATCCCCTAAGATGCCACTCCCACCCAATCGACTCCTCCGGCCTCTCACCTGTTTCCAACAGCCACACCTTTCATGGCTTCCAGCCGTGGACGAGAAAGTAGTCGTACAACTGAGGTGAGTACGTTATCTTCTTGCCGTCCATTGTTACAGGTTCATCGCTGTTTGTGCCACTTGACAGTGGTCTGTCCGCGACTTGATGAATGGTCGAAGAATGTGAAGGCATATCTAGTACAGTGTCCGTGTGTTTTGAGTTCTGTATGTAACTAGTAGTGTATAGTTTCCAGCAATACATGCCGTTGTTGGCCCCAAAGTGATGTGTGTAACACACCAGAAAACCTCGTGAAAGGTGCTGGGCTACCCTGTGCAATCTTACAGGATTGTCCAGTGAAAAGTGACAAAAGTTACCGGGGAATCCAGTACTGCATACAGGAGAATCCAGTACTTTACTACAGGAAAATCCGGTAGTTATCCGGTACTCTGTACAGGATTGTCCTGTAAGATGCCTACAGGATGATCCGGTAGTTTCTACTGGTGATACTTCCCGCAGTGAAACGAGCTTACCCCAAGCCCAGCCACCGTGGTGGCGGCGTGGCCTCTCTCAGAGACATACCGCTCATTCTCACTCGAGTGAACTCGCTTGTTTATTTTGTTTCCATATTCTTATGCCTGACAGCAGCAATACTGCACGATATGAAGTTGCTATTCGCCAACTTCGAGGCATGAAGATCAGTGTTGACACCCATTTCCCGGCGTTCGCGCAGGTCTGTTTCATCTCCCAGCCCTCCATACTCATTCAGTCTCTGGCCTCTAAGCTTGACTTTCCAATAACCTACGTAGGAATGCGCACTCGCGATTATCGGCTTGTACCAAGGCACACTTGATCGCTCAAGAGCTCAGGCTGACCTGGGGCCTAGCTGTCGCACTCGACAGCGTAGGAAGCGGGCTGCTAATGACCTTGTCCAACAGCGTCGCCTTACTGCCGAACGCAGACACGACTCATCTCAAGAGTATCAAGAAGCTCTGGCTATTCACAGTGAGCAAATGACCCAAGCCAGGTCTGAGCTAGCGAGTATGCAGTCTTGTCGAGATGAATTCCACTTCGGACAGGTCAACATCTTGAAAACGCTTTCTGTTAGATTGCCTGTCTCTAACCTTTTGCGGTCAGAGCATGTCTTCTACTGTGTGTCGCAAGCTGGCCAACATGCTCGAAGTCGAGCAGTCCCACCGCCCTCAGCCACACTCTCATCTAGGAAAGGACAACATACTCAAGGTCCTACCTCGCTTTGATCATAAATACAACATATTAGCTGGTCGGAAGCACCTACTGAGCAAGGATGGTAGTGAACTCGAGTGCGGATGCCTCCCGCATTTCTCAGTATGCAGTTGGAAGGATCCTCTGAAGTGGCTTGCGCATGAGCCTGAAATTTGGGAAGGCCTCATGGTCCCATACTCAATGAAGAAGGATAAAGAGTTCGCCGCGCTTCATAGGTCTTCACACAAGAGTGACTCTGACGCCTTTGTGGCGCTCTTTCCCAGGAATAGTTGGGCTCAGGAGGTCGCTGTATGTGGCGAGAGCTGGATTCAGCAATCTGGTGGTACAGGGACGACTCGGATACTTGATGATGAAACCGTCCGAAGCTGGTGTAAGAGAGCGGCAAAGAATCTTGTGACGTTGGCCAAGGTGAGTCTCCTGCTCGCATATGTCTGGCACTTATACTTAGGCACCTGACAATTATTCCTTGAGTCTCTCAAACAAGAGGACTACGAACTAGAGTGTCGGATGTTCAACTTGGCAAGGAGCCTTTGTCCTCAGGAGTTTTGTCGTATCGAACAATCCTGCTCTTTTCCTCAGGCTCACCAGCCAAATACCGTCTTTGGTCGGATCAACTTGGCACACACACAATTTTCTGATTGGACTAGGGAGGAAAGTATCATCGAGTGGCTAATTTACGAGTACAAGATCTTTCATACTCTGCAAGAGCATGACAGAGGAAAGGAAGCTCGATGGCGGAAGTTATGTGAAGACGGCCGCAGGGAAAAGGGATGCCTAGGGGAGGATGCAAGGTAAGATATACTTGATTCAGTTTGTCGTCGTTCGGCGCTAAGAAAATAACGAAATATAGAAAGCTTTGGGCCGAACGAATCCTGAAATATCACAAGGGCGAGATTGAAAAGGCTCAGGCTGAAATCCCTCTCGCAAAGAAGCAGGATCTAGCTGATAGCCTTCAAAGGGTATACCAATGGCAATGCATGATATCGCAACTGATCTCGGCTGATGTTTGTTTATCTTCTTAGTTGCGGCAGTGTAGGGAGCTTGACCATGAGATGAGTCGTGATTTGTTCATGCTCATCCGGAATGTCCTGGGGGGTGCCACCAATCTATCTCCGGAGCTCTTTATACGCTCACAGGACATAGTTTTCCCGTGCGCAAGGGCAATGGAAGGTGGTACTGCTACCGTTCGCCGAGGTGTTTTTCGACAGCATGTGGACGTAGCTGTCAAACAGTTCCATTTGAAAGGGAGTAACGAGAGGATTCTGATCGAGCGTCAAAACGTATGTGTGCGTTCCTCTCATACGATCCGCTGTCTGATCTCAGCTCTATCCAGCGCCTCCTCTCGGAAGTATGGACATGGCATGAATTGTGTCGAGGTCAACCTAAGGAAATACTGCCGATACATGGTGTTCTCATTTCCGGCATGGACCGCCCTTCCTCATTTGAAAATAATGATGTCTCAGTCATTAGCGAGTGGATGCCAAATGGGACTGCCGTGGATTATTTCAGAAAGTCGTCAGAGCCCGAGCGTGTCGCGTTTGTGCGAAGTTGTTGTTCTCCGCACATGCGTTGAAACTGACGTTCTCCCAACAGGTCAGGTCCATTGTAGATGCTCTTTCTTGGCTTCACGACAAACGCGACATAGTCCATGGCGATATCAAAGGTGTCAGTGTAGTCTAATCTTCTTCTAGCGACGAGGGACTCATTCCCTCATCAATTTTATTTTTCGATTTTTGCGCAGGTCAATATCCTAGTGGATGCGAAAGGCAATCCTCGGTTAGCAGACTTTGGTCTCACCCTGCATGCTTATCTTGACATGGACGTCCCTATCGGAGGTGCGCTTACACATTATTCAGGCTCCACAATGTGAACTCAACTCTGGATTTTTACTGCTTACAGCTGTGAACACGCACGCGGGATCCTACTGCTGGATGGCACCAGAACGCTTCTTCCCTGCAATTTCTGGCAAGAACACTCGAAAACCCACAAAGGCCAGTGATGTGTACTCATTTGCCATGCTCGTCATAGAGGTTTGTGCTTCAAATGTGCGTAAACTTGTTCACTTATACTTTGTTCCAGTTATACACCGGCGATTTACCTATGAAGCATATGGGTTATACGACCCCCCAATCGCTGGGTGCCTTCCATGAAAACCCTAATTCACCGCGCTTGAAACGACCACTTGCTGTCCCGAAGCGCATGTGGCGAATTGTTCGGAAATGTGCTCAACGTGACGAGAAGATGCGCCCGTCAATGCATGAGGTGAAGAGGGACATGCTCGAGTATGACCGATCATCCTCGACGTCAGTGTTTTACCTTGTGACAGATCTTTTTCGCCTGGAGGTGCTGAGACTCGTTGACTGGCAGGGCGTTCTTCGGCAGGCAATTGACATCCTGGCGAAGCCGCTCATGGCTCAGGACCGTCTGTGCTGTCTAGAGATCCCATTGAGTCCTGATCACCATGTATCCCTTGCTTTTAACACGTCCTAATATATATCAGTGCCCCTCTGGATTTTCGCCTTCCAGGCGGTGACAATAGGAATGAATCTTACAGCTCACCGGCTGCCAGAAAAGCGTGCTCTAACTGTGCGGCGCTACCGTTACCTTGGACTGCCTATTAATACACAGAACAAACCTCAAGCACGAATGTTCCAGAACTTCCCATCCCAACTACAGGTGACCCCACGCATGGTGAAGGGTACATGAATGGGTACCTAGCGCGAACAGCGCCCCCATCCTCGGCGCGACCATTCCTTTCTCAAAGTATCCGAATCCACCATGCCATCCTGCGGCTTCTTTGACCCCAGACTCAAGCGAGTAGCAGCCATGTTCGGGATTGGTTCACGTTCCTATGGTATGCTCTGTTGTGAAAAGTAATCGCCATACCCCGAGTATTTCACACTGAGATATCGACTGCATAGAATTTGAACACGACATCTACAATGGCGCTGTCGCCGATGACAACAATGTCCGTACCAGAGCCCTCATAAAGATCGTGGGCGACAGCAAACACCGGAAAATTTTCACGAGTTGCGCACAATCTCTGAGGGGAACCTCTGCACAAAGGTTCCTCGACGCCTGTTTCGCTGTAGGTCACACTTCAATATGCACCTCATGGTCCGCATGCTAAACACGACGTCCGCGGTGCTTCTCGCTGTGGTGTTGGGCAGCTAGTCGAATGCGGCCACTTACAGACCGTCGATGCGGACAACCGGCTGCAACATCGGACGTTGAAGCTTCTGAGAAATCTGGCGCGAGATAGCGGATTGATTCCAGCAGGTCTTCGAGTAATGGGTGGACTCACAGACATCGAGCCTTTTCCTGGTATTGCATCTAACACCGTTCAGAGAGCGCGATACGGGGGGATCACAGTCGTGTTAAAAAGGATGAATACCAACCTTCCCGGTCCATCAGGAGCCAATGGAAAAAAGGTGTGTAAATCAGAGAACACAACACACCATATCGAGGTAGAACATCTTGGAGAATTGTCGTTGATTTCGATGATCGCACAGGAGCTCTTGCAAGAATCCTTGATCTGGCGTGCCCTCCGCCACCCGCATATCGTTCCTCTTCTGGGCGTCACTGAATCGCCTGCGGGAACGCTGCATGTGGTGTCCGAGTACCTGCCTTTGCGTTCAATCATGGATTTCAGAGGAACGCTTATTGGACCTGAGAATCTTGATGTCCTCGCCCGAGTAAGCACCTTCAAGAGTTGAAATCATTATTCGGAACGTAGCTGATATACATACCTCAGCTCACCGAGATTGCAAGTGCATTGGTCTACCTGCATCATGAGCAGATCATACACGGTGACCTCTGCGGTGTGCGTGCCACTAAAATAACAGGTTTCCGTATTGAAACCTAATGGGGGTTTTTTTTTCGAAATGAAGGATAATGTGTTGATGGTGAACGAACACTCTGCAGCCTTGTGCGACTTTGGATTGTCCTCCATGGACGCTGCTACTAGAACGACGAACGTAGAGGTTCAAATCGGCGGGCGCATCGCATATCAGGCACCCGAAACGCTTTCGTACCCTCCCGAACGCAAATCATTTGCGTCGGATGTCTTTGCATTTGGAAGCTTATGCTACGAGGTACGCATGTGCGCAAAGAGAAAAGCAGTTATGGTGCTGAACGTTGTCAATGGCCCCGAAGATTTATCAAGGTGCTCCTCCCCTTCATGGCCTCAACACGCAACAACAACTCAATACCATGCGAGAAGGTATCCTCAACTACACCCGGATGATACGGCCGCAAGCTTCCACACAGCTGCAGGCAGCAACAAGAGTCATCGACATGCCCATATTTGTGTGGGATACAGTCAGGAGATGCTGGAGAGCTAAATCCGGAAGACCAACAATGGAGAGAGTGTCGCGGGCATTGGAGATGCAACGCCTGCTTTAGGCAAACCGGATACAGGACCTTTGGGTGCTGGTAGACGGTCTCGTCCGCACATATTCATACGCTCGTGAGCTTGTTGCATTACATAGCGTGCCCGGACAATGAAGACCATGGCTGGCTGTATGTACGTGTTTCAACCGTCGAAAAGGTAAGGTGCGCATTACCATGAGACAAAATCCCTGAATCATGCACCCGCAAAGGTTTACACAGCGAAAACGAGTTACTTGGGATCAACGCGTGCCAGGCTGTGTTCTCCGCGGCCAATATTAAGGCTAACACCTGTTAACCACGAGTAACAACCCAAATCTATTGGGAAAGACTCACCGTCGATCGCCGAGTCTGCCGATGCAAGAAGTGCAGCGCAATTATTGCGTAGTCAGAGCGTCGTAGCCAAAGAGTAACTGAAGCCCCACAGGTTGCGTGAGGTCCTTCATGAAGCAGCATGATGATACCGCATCGACCTCTACTTCGAAGAGGGGAAGAAATTTGACGTCGAGAGCCGTCACTGGCAGCCTTTTGAAATCGCGATCATGGCAAGTGTCAGATAGATTCCCGATGTGAAGGGGAACCAGTACGGTGCGACAGATATATGAGCACTGGTCTCCATGTCTCATACAAGACGGTGCCTCTTTGCGAGACCCACTGGTCATAAGCTGAGAGAGCCGTAGAGGATTCTGATTCTGATTTTCCTCAAGTTCGCGGTCCGTCCCGAGGAGCAGGCACGGAGAACTGCAATTTGTAATTTGACGCCAAGACGCTCACGTGCTCGGATGCGGGGTAAAGAGGCCTTTACTTCAGGAGCCAGGATCCGAATTTAGGACGACGATGTTGACTGTCATCGGCAGCAAACAATCTAAGTTGCCTGCTCGGCGCGGATGCGGCCATCGAACAGCCCAGAAAAAGATGGTCCCACGAATTTACTTTCTTTTTCTCAGCGCCTGTTTCCAGCCAGCCTCCGCGTACCCTCGCCTCCGCGCTTCCTCTCCTTTCCTTCATCCGCCCTCGACTGGCATCCACCATGTTCTCCATCTCTGGCCTGCTCAAGGTCTCTGCCATTGTCTCGGCATTTCTGACCAGCGCGAACGCCATCAGCAATGTTACCAGGTCTGGGAGATACCTCTACAACTCGGATGGCAGCAGGTTTTACATCAAGGGTGTTGCCTACCAGGAGCAGGGTGAGCACCCGCACTACTCGACCTCTTCAGCTGTGATGTCTGACAGCTCCCTTTATTATAGGTGCTGTTGACGAGAACTCGGCTTTTCTTGAACCTTCGAGCTTTATTGATCCCCTCAGCAGCGGAACGAACTGCACGCGGGATCTGCCCTTCCTTCAACAGCTCGGCGTGAACACTATTCGAGTGTATAGGTAATATCTGACTTAGACATGGTTCCGAGTCACCTCTTTTGCTTACAATTCAAAAACCAGCGTCAACTCTTCTTTGGACCACGACGACTGCATGTCCACGTTCAGCAGCGCCGGGATATACACCATGTCCGTCTCTGTAGTTTTCCGCCCCATGCCCTTCATACACTAATATTTTCCTACAGCATCGACTTGTCCCTTCCTCTCACCGGTTCTATCTCTCGCACTTCTCCTGCATGGACGACCGACCTTCTCGATGAGTACATCGAGACCATAAACACCTTCTCAAAGTACGACAACGTCCTCGCCTACAACGTGGGTAATGAGGTCGTGTCCGGCTTGAATGAGTCTGCCGCGATCACATTTGTGAAAGCCGCAGCTCGCGATGTGAAGGCTTACTTGTAAGCAGCACCACTCCTCCCACCGTCAGGTAGGCTTGTGAGCTAAGTTTATCTATTTTTAGGTCATCGAAATCCCTGTCGACGCTCGTTGGTTATGCCGCTATCGACGGTTCAGACGATTTCATTGGACCTATCTCGAACTATCTCTCCTGTGATCCCTCCAACTCCAACTCTGGAAGCACTGCTATCGATATTTTCGGTCTCAACAACTAGTACGTTATTCTTGTCGTCGTGCCACTCTCAGTGAGACTGATGAATGGAACAGCCGGTGGTGTGGAGATTCGAGCTTTGACTCAGCATACTCGGGTGTCGAAGCCCTTTTCTCTGGCTACAATGTTGTGGCTTACTTCTCCGAATTCGGGTGCAATGATCCCTCGCCTCGTGTCTGGACCGAAGTTGGTTCCCTCTTCAGCAGTCAGATGTCCGATGTTTGGTCTGGCGGCCTCGCATTCTCTTACTTCCCCGCTGAGAGTGCACAGGTAAGGTTAACATCTATCTCCATTTCTCGAACTTTTCTGAATTTTTATCTCATACAGGGCCAGTTTGGTATGGTTACGATCAATAGTGACAACTCTGTCACCACGAGCACTGATTTCGACAACCTCAAGACCCAACTCGGTCAAGTCTCGCCTCCGAACAGTCCCTCTTCCGGCAGCTCGTCTTCCTCGTTCCCTTCCTGCCCAGCAGAGAACTCTACATTCCTCGCTTCTACTTCGCTTCCACCCACGCCTGTTGACTCCGCGTGCTCTTGCCTTGCAACTAGTGTTAGCTGTCAGTTCACCCCGACGCAAGATCCCGACGCTGTCGTCGGTGATCTCTTGAACCAAGCTTGCGGCTTGCTCGGAGAGCAAGGTGGAAGCTGCGATGACATCGCCGCGAATGGAACGACGGGGTCTTATGGATCTGTCTCTCCTTGTGATGCTTGTACGTGTCCATTCATCATCATCCTTTTCCGGGCTCGTTGCCTTCCGTACTGACATTCCTTGCTCCGATGGATAGCCACGAAACTCGCCTACGTGTTTTCTCTATACTACGAGAAGACCAACAAAGCCTCCACGTCCTGTGATTTCAGTGGTAACGCAACCATCAGCCGATCCAACTCTCTCTCCGCGCCCAGCGCCGCAAGTTCATGTCTCGCCAGTGCCTCTGGAACTTCCGTGCCCGTTCTCGCCTCCTCGGCTAGCGGAACCGCGACGGGCGCAGGGTCAGGTAGTAGCTCCACTGCAAGCTCGGGAAGTGGGAACAGTAGCGGCGCGGTGGCGACGGCGGACATGGGTGCAGGTTTGAGAGGATTAGTAGCGGTGATTGGGATGACGGTCATGAGTGGCTGGTGGGTTCTTGCGTGAAAATATGTTGAATGAACGAACATCACGAGACGACAGGATGTTTAGTATCGTGGACTTTCTTGTGTTATATTCGTTGACCTATGAGTACACTGTTCCCGTTTAGTTTTGACATCTTGTATAATCGGTTTGTAGGCAGCTGTCATGCCGTACCCGGACTCGGACGCTTTTGGACCCGACTTGTTACTATAGGGGTAGCACTACATTACACACTCTTTCTTGACTGTCGATGTCATTATTATCTTGAAGTAGCCCACATTGGACGGTAATTGACACCATACCTATTTCTATTCCACTCGTTGGCACAGTGCTTCCAGAGAATAGCGACCACGGGTAAATAGCAGACAAGACGCCTGTAAATTGAGCACGGGCCATCGGAGTAGATCGGAGTATCTAGCGGAGTTTGAAGCAGACTTGATGAGGTGTGAGAAAAACGCGGCCATCGCATTTTGCAGACGTCGACGCACTCCTAACTATGGCTGCCTCTCCAGTCCCTCACAATCACGACAACTGGTCTCACGGCCCTAACGACACACACAACGGCGACCCAATGCTTTCTGTCGGCGACCCCTCTGGCCAAAACGGAGGTCCCTCTCCAGACGACAGACAGCTTCCAAGCGACTCTGTCAATCACGACTACGGTCGCTCTCCTATGGACGCCGACGGTGGTCCTCCTCCGCCACCTGGAAGTCTTATTTTCCGCGAAAAACAGGTCAAGGTGCTTAGGTCTTCCTATCGTTCAGTCTTGTGCTGTGCCTCTCGTCGCATCGCGTGAAACGCTACGATCCCTACTGCGGGGCTGCCGGGGATGCTACCTACCCACTGGCAGACGTCGGTGGTTTCACCTGTTGACCCCTTGCCCCTCGCTATCTTTCCTCTTCCACTTTTGGCTCGAGGCTGGCCATGATCGCGTCCTATGGGTTACAGGTTGCTTACTATTTGCCTTTGCTTTTACGATGCGCTCGTCTGGCTATGCGCTTTGCGTCTCTGTCAGCAGCCCAACAAGGTCTACATCGGTGGGCTACCTGAAAATACTCGCCAGGAGGATCTCCAGAGCTGTTTCGGCAAGATTGGCCGGATCACCAATATTGAACTGAAGTACGTCCTCGTTTTCGCACCACCCATACCTCTCTTCTGACATACCTCGTGTAGGGTCGGCTACGGCTTTGTGGTTCGTAACCTGTCTGTTTCCCATGCAAAACTTTTGTCGAACCTCGTGCATTATAGGAATTCGAGAGCCGTGAAGCTGCCGAAGAAAGTGTTGCCAAGTATCACGAAGGCTTTTTCATGGGCAACAAGATACGCGTCGAACTATCGCGTGGTGGTGGGCGCTATGCGAAATTCAGTGGTGACCCCGGTGCTTGTTTCAAGTGTGGACAGATGGGCCATTGGGCCAGGTAAGCTATTTTCCTGAATCAGACATAACGTTCTTTCTAACTGATTTGCACAGGGAGTGTCCCAACCATGTCATGCACGCGTTTGTTCTTTCATCTTCCAAAACGTCCATTTGCCAACTAAATATTCCACTATAGTGATGGCGGCCGTCGGAGTATGCACCCAGATCCTCTCATTGATCGCATCCAGCCGTCAAGTTACATGCCTCCGCCAATGCCTCGCGACTATCCCCCGTACCGCGATGAATATCCTCCTGGCCGCTACCCACCGCCACCCATGGATCGCCGGTACTCTCCCTACGATTATCCTCCGCCGCGCAGACCTATCTCTCCTCCTAGAGACTTTTATCCTCCCCCTCGTCGCGACATATATGATGATAGGATGCGTGGTCCTCCTCCCCCTCCTGCTCGCTATGATGCTCGGCCTGGTTTCTATCCTGAGGATGGTCCTGGCTACCCACCTCGTGGCTACCCCCCTCCGCCTCGTGATTATGATCGTTATGACAGAAGAGCTCCTCCCCCGGGCGACAGATATGCTCCCTATCCTCCGCCTGTAGCTGGTAGACCTAGAACCCCTCCAGTCGGTGGTCCTGTCCGCGGACGCGACGACTTCGACCGACCCCCTATCAGGTACTGTCCTCTGGTCTGATCTCGTGGCGTTACGCGCTCATCGTCTTTGCAGGGACTATCCGCCCGGCCCTCCTCCTCCTGCGGACTATCGTGCTCGCCCTTTGTCTCCCCCACCTTCGGCTCGCTATGCTGATTATCCTCGTGCTGTTCCTGGTGGACCTCCCGACGGACGCTACAGGTGATTACAGGCTCTTCATAAATTTCCTCTCCAACTTCTAACATCAAAGTGCTTTAGGCGTCGCTCTCAGAGCCCACCTGTCAGAGGTCCTCCTGCTGCCTATGACTCTTACGCGCCTGGTGGGCCTCCATATGCTGGACCTGCTTCTGCTGGTGCGCCTGGCAAAGATTCTCGTGACTATCCCCCTCCCCGCGGAGGGCGCGATGATCCTGCAGTCAACGGAGGATACAGGAGGCCTTGAGACTAGGGCTGCTCGTGTTGCTTGACCGTTCGTTCATTCGTGGGCTTTTAAATACGCGGAACTCGATGCACGTGGGAGTTATGCCTTCTTGCTTTGTGCTTTCGTTACGACTGTCCTCTTTGACGTGTGCTTCGATCTGTCGCTGTATCTAGTCTCAAGGCGTAGGGCCGATGTCGGATGTGGTGGTGTTGCTTGGTATCTGGGGCGTAGCTCAGGTTCTTACTGCCTATTAAGTTTATTTTCATAACCACATCTCTTGCTTTCTACCTACTATCCATTTCTAAATTTCGTCGTTGCTTGTTTGTTCTACTCGTACTACTAACAGTCTCTTTCCGAGAGTCGGTGCTAGCTATGTTTCGTGTTTGTTTTTACTCCAATCTTCCCCTATCTACTTCTTGCCAATGCTTCTTGCCCAAAATTTCATCGCCCACGTATATGACTACACTGCTCAAATTCTATCCCACTTGTCCATCCATCCTTGTGAATCTAAGTTATTGTGATGTGCAAAACCAATGAGGACAAAGGGCACCTCAAGAATTGCAGGAAAACAGACAGACACGTAACAACCAAGATAAGAAATTTACAACACGAAGTTAGATCTAGCACAGCGCCTTGTCCTTCGATACAGATGGTAGCTCACAACAAACCTCTGCCCGCTCAGCTCATCTCTGCATCAGCATCAGCCATGTGATACAACGCCTCCCGGTCACCGCTGTCATCTACAAGGGCACGCAGCCTACCCTCTCTGTTCTTCAACAGCTCGTTCGGCTTGTCGAATTCAACCTGTGTAAAATGAACACAATATGCATCAGCGATTGGACCGAATTTCATCGTGAAGGGCAACAAGGAACGTACGATTCGACCAGCATCGAGGACCATCTGAAATGAGGATGAATCAAGTCAGGATGCGCCCATGGGGATAGGGCGATAGGTGTGGACGTACGATTTTGTCTGCGTCCATGATGGTTTGCAGTCTGTGGGCGACTGTGATCAGCGTCACGTCGCCCTTGAGTTCGTGTCTCAGGGAGGATTGGATGACTGAGTCTGTTTCATAATCTACAGGAAGACAGGTCAATCAATAGCTCCCCCATACCCCACGGGGAACATTCGCGTACCTATAGCAGAAGTAGCTAACAACCGGAACGAGAAGTCAGTACCAACTCATGGGCGTAGACATAGTTAGGCAGAAAACAAACCTTCGTCTAGAATCAACAGCTTACTCCCCCTCACGATCGCTCTCGCCAACGCCAAAATCTGTCTCTGCCCAACCGATAAATTACTTCCCCCGCTCGAGATTTTCGTATCCAACGTGATTCTCCCCTCGTCGTCGCCCGTCTGCAGTGAAAACAATCCAGAGGCACGCAGTGCGCTGTTCAACACTGCGTCGTCGAAATCGCCGAATGGATCCAGGTTCTCGCGGAGCGAACCGGAGAGAAGCTCGGGCATTTGCGGGATGATGGTGATTCGGGTGCGAAGGGAATCGAGGTTGAGAGACGAGGTGGGGATGCCGTCGTAGTAGACTGTGCCTTGAGTGAAGATGCAGCGGAGGAGGGAGAGGGTCAAGGAGCTCTGGAGATATAAAGAGAGAGTACGGTGAATATCATTTTGGCTTGCTTTCTTGCGAAAAAAATAAATGACTTGCCTTTCCTGAACCGGTTCGACCAACTACGTGGGTTCCAATACTCTTAGCATCTTTGTTTGCTAGTGTAGAAGGGGCTCGTTTCACTCACCAACACCTATACGTTCACCAGACTTGATATGGAAGGAAATGTCATGAAGGACTTCAGGACCATCCTGCCGCCCAAATATCAGCCACGATGATGTTGATTTAGGCTTGTGGAGAAGCTTACTGGTGAATACCGGGCAGAGAGGTTCTCTACGCGAATGTCTCCACTTGATGGCCAGTAGGCTGGGGGCACGCCCTCAGGAGTAGACTTGGGTTCCTGCTCGATGGTGATATAGGCTTGTATACGCTCCAGGCTGTTGCCTGTAGATGTGGACTCCGTGATCAGACTTAAATCCGTCAGAGTACGGAAGGTGAATGGGACATACCGCTGACTTCGAACTCGTTCAGGACGCGCACCCACCACAGGATCAAACCACTGAAACCGACTGCGACAGACCCCAGGTGTCAGTATATGACCGCGTTAAGAACCGATATACATACCGGCCATGGTGAGAGAGAAGCCAGTGTCCGAGGCGTGCATCGTGTCTTTGGCGGGTCCGTAGATGAGGTAGGCGGCGAGTCCAGCCGCAAACAAGCCGCCCAAGGTGTCGATTCTCACACAAATCCAACTAGATGACAACGATCAGTGTCTTTTTCTTTAGCTGCTGCATACGTCCAAGGAGATAACTCACCGGTTAAGATTGTAGAACGTTCTTGCAGCTCTGGTGTACCTGTCAATACGCCTGTACGACTCCTGTCTGAATGCGAGCTGAGCGCCATATGCTCGGATAGAGGCTTTTAAAGACAAATGGGCAATTAGTTGTGATCCTGCACCTTGCCAATGAGAAATCGACGAGAATACTCACTGAGACCAGCGATAGCAGCTCCGAAATGCCCAAGGACGGGGGCTTTGGCATTACTCATCTCACGCTTCACAGAAAGTTGAGCTTTGATGTAGATTTGACCGCACCAGCCTCCGATGACGAAGACCAAGATTCCTGGCATGATGAATGCCGGGGTCAAGATTACGACGGCAGCGAGTTTGATCACCATCATGACCGTGAGCTCCGTGACCCATCCTAGGTTCTGCGCCACAGGACCATCCATAGCACGAATATCCTGGGTGCAACGTGTGATGACTCGAGACACTGGGGTTGTGTCGAGCCACCTGAAAGTTGAAGATGAGAAAACGACTCGGTGGAAGAGGATAAGGCTGAGAACAAACCTGAGAGTTGTCCCGAGGATGGAACTGATGAGACGTTTGTGGATGGACCTGGATGCGCTAAGAGAGCCGAAGACGAATACTGCACTTCCGATGGAGTAGATTATGACGCCGACTAGAAGAAGGATGACATAGACAGTCAAGTAACTGGCAAGAGTACAGCAGAAGGTTAAAAACAACGGTTAAACTCAGAGCCAATCTACGAAAGACGTACTAGAAGATATTGACTTCCGATGAATCATGAATCTCGTACTGATTGGCCCAGTATCCTAGGAACCAGGTCTGAACAGTGCTCAGGACTTGACTGAGGACCATGCTCCCCAGGAAGCACGTCCAAAACAACGCGTTGTGATTGCCTCCCAGAGCCGCAAAGTACAGTTTCACTGGGTGAATCATGGTTAACATCAATGAGCACTTCGATAATAGACGGGAGGAAATGAGCTTACGGGCAGGCCAGCTGACATGTCCTTCCGCGATCTCTTCGGCAACCGTAAGTTTCCCATCAGCTTTCTTAGCAGGCTCATTCGGTTCCTCCGCATCAATCGTAGTGTCATCCTTCTCAATGGCGACGACCTCATCAGCGACCTCAGCGGACAATTCCTTATTCTTTGCGAGAGCATCCTGCACAGAGCCGTGCGAGGAGATGCGGCCATCAAGTCCGACGGAAACGACGTAGTCCGCGATTGGTGTAGCCATCGCTATGTTGTGGGTCTGATATTTCATGATTAGCTGAGGTGACGGCACGCGGAAGAGAAAGTTGACTTACGACGAGAAGGATAGTGCGACCGTTAACGAGGCTGCCTTTGAAGCATTTGTCCACGATCCACCGAGCAGTGTGCACATCGAGGGCGGCTAGGACCTACAAGACGGCCAAATATGTTTGCAACAGGTCTTGCATGACGAAGGACACTGGACTTACATCATCCAGGAGGATAATCTCAGCAGACGAATAGATTGCACGAGCCAGAGTGATACGGGCCTTCTGCCCACCACTGTGAACCATTTCGTTGGCTGACTTCAGCGAGGATTTTCAAGAAAAAAAAGCTAACCTCAGTGTGAGTCCCTTTTCGCCAACTTCGGTCTGGTCTCCGGCTTCGAACAGTGTAAGATCTCGCTTCAAACCGCACTGGTAGATGACTGACAAATTCTTGAGGTCAGTCCACTGCCAATGACCGAGCAAGCTAAGACTGACCTTTGTTGTATCTTTCCTCATCATATGGTGTGCCGAAGAGAATGTTATCCTACCGTGACTATGTGAGGCTTCTGGCGGTAAGAGACTGAAGAAGATGATCTTACTTTGATTGTCTCGTTCTGAACCCAGGACTCCTGTGCGGCATACGCCACACCACCCTCCCTCGGTAAATTGAACCAGGATCCAGGACCCGATGGTACGAAGTGCATCTCGCCTATGTCCCGCCACACCATGCCACACGAAGTGATCAGTAAACTGTCAAGACACAGATACAAGCGAAGAATCCACTCACCCAACAAGGCCATCAACAACGAAGTCTTACCCGACCCGGTTGGCCCAATGATCAGATTGACCTTGCCTCTCTTGAACAACAACTCGTCCTCCACATGAAGTACAAAGTTCCTCCTCGACGGCGTCATCGCACCAGAGCCTGGAGTGGTAGTGCCAGTCGTAGAGGTGGCGGAGCCAGTGTTGTTGATGGAGCTGGACCAGGTGAAGCTCGCGCCTCGGAACCCGATGGTAGATTTGTCGAACTCAGCGGTCCCTTCCAGAATGTCTTGAGCAGGTTCATTTTGTCCGGATTCAGTGAAAGTGTCAAGTAGTTCCGTCTCTTGTAGGAATTCCGTAACACGGTCCAAAGACACTTTGGCTGTAAGTGGAATGAGTATGAGTTAAGGGCCCGGTTGGAGAGAATGGAAAATATCTCGTACCTTGAATGAAGACTGGAATCAGGAAGAAGACACTGTGGAGCTGGTCTCGGAGAATGTCAAAGGCTGATAGAAAATGTCAGCCCGCCGATTAGAAAGGTCACGCCGCCTAAGTCGAAAGAGAACTCACCAGCCATGGATGCGAAGACAGCGGACGCTATTCCAACGCCATCATTGGGTCAGCGGCTTGTCATATACTACTGTAGACAGCCCAAAACAGAACATACCAGTCAGGTCTTTACCCATCCAGACCGTCTAAACATCGTGGAAGTCAGATCAGATCCGACCAATGGACAGTTTGAGTGATGTTAGAACTCACGTATGCGAAGTAGGTAACTATCATTGTGATGGCCGGAATGATATAGCTGGCGGAGAAGATATGTTAACACCGGGACAGGACCAAAGCTTAGTTGACACGAACTTCATGTTCCCGTTGAGCAAATTAAGAAGTTGACGCCTTCTAATCCAACGCAGTTCGTCGTCTCGCTTTTCAGCTACACGCTCATTGATTTTTGGTTCCCAGCCGAATAGTTTGATCATACGGAGGACGTTCATAGCTAAGGCAACCCGAAGAGCTGCAATCAGCTACTAGTGCGATAGATGAAAAAAGGTTCCTCACTCTCTGTGACGGTCTGTACTCGCGCATCGGTCTAGGGTAAAATTTAAATCAGAAAACAAGAACAATTACCCCGATATGAATACTCACGGTCTTCATCGTCGCTACTTGAGCCGTCTGGATAAGTTTGGCGACATAGCCTGGAAGAGGGAACAATAGTATCATGACACCCATCCCGACGAATGCACTTCGGCCGATATCAGTTCCCGTCCAACCAATGACGTATACAAGAAAAGACAGTACCTCCAACCGAGAATCGTGTACAAGAATATCACACTTCCGATGATTTGAACCGGTGTGTAGAGGACTAAGAAGGTTCACGTTTAGTCCACGCACGTCCACCGCTCACCACTGGTGACAAGACTCACTTAGGAATAAGAAATCTCTTCCATCCACGATATTGTTCAGATCCGTCGACACAAGATTGTTGATCTTCCCAATCAGATTGCTGGCCTTCGCCGTCCCGTCCTTATGGAATTTCTCGTCGTCTTCCTCTTTCTTGTCCCCGCCCTTAGGCTTCGCATCGGGCTTCCCTTTGATGGTACTGCTGGGCGTAGACGATGCGCTCAAGGTGCTCGAAGGCGGAGCGCCATCGTCGCTTTCGTTTGCTTCCGATCCGTCGTGCACGGTGCTAGTATTAGCGAGAGACGCCGTGTCGGCGGGAGTAGACGTCCCTTCCGTAGCTGCAGCGGAAGGAGAAGGGGTGCTGCCACTGCTTTCGGTCTCAGCTTTCATGCGGATACGGAGTGAGTGCTCGAAGACGAGTTGGGTGACAATGGCCTCGACACGGACGAGCATGCCTGTCTGTATGACATCAATTCGAGGAATGAACGTTGGCCAAAATAGTACTGCGAGAGATAACTGGGGAAGCTTACAGCGAGGAAGATATACCACTGTATGGCGAGCGTTCCGATGACGGGAGCCCAGAAGAGGGCAGAGATCCAAACCCATGGACGAACGAAGGCTCCCTCGCCGGCTCCTTCAATGTATCTGGAGAAACACAAAAAATATGAGGCGGAGACCACAATAGGGCTAAGCAGAAGACGCATACCTGAGCAGACCATTGATGCCGATGGGACTCAACATGTTGCAAGCCACCTATGAAGAGGATTTCAGAATTTGCAGCTTGTGTACAACGAAGTTCAGGGACTTGCCTTGAGGAGAAGCAGAGCCGCCAGCACAATGTATTCCCGCCCTGTCATGATCATGTTATTGTTGGTCGAAATAATAATAGCTCAAACATGCAGCACATACGGAAAATCTTCATAAAGCCCCAGAACAAATGCTGCTTCTTGCTCCCCGAGAACGTATCCAGGTGCTTTTGGACGCGAAGTCAGTCAAAAACTATGGGACACAACGGCGGTTTGTACTTACGGGGAAGCTCATATTGACAAGGTTTTTGGCATGATCGTAGTCCGCAAGAGGAGGCAGCTGGTTGAAGGAGAGATGCGGGATCCGGTACGCGAGGAAGACGGTCGGATCCAGAAAACTGTATATGGCCATGGAGAAGATGCTGGCAGTCTGTTCTGCGGGTGGTTCCGGTGTTGGCTCCTGCAAGTCAAGGCAGACATATCAGTTCAGGAACGAGCCACTCCAGGAGAGCTTTCTTACTTTAGGATCAAGGGGTACGTATGGACGAGGGACAGCAAGGGGAATGACGACGGCCGCGAATGCGAGCAAAGACAGATGTGCCCAAAGCAGAGCACCTTGACGCAGGTCGGCGGGTTGGAGGGTAAAGGTCAGTAGAGGCCATATGTTGCGGTATGCCAGAACAAGGAATGTGGCGAAGAGCACAACGAGGAGGTGCGTTTTCGTGGTATGGCTCCATTTTCGTCCGGCGGCAATGGAACACACGGCGAGCAATGAAGCGTAGAACTTTTGTCCGATATTAAGAGAAATGAGTTGAGAAGCAGACATGAAGAACTCAGCGGGACGTACATATGTCAAGCACATGACAAACTCAAGCCATTCGTGTTTGGTGAAGGTGACAACCCCGGTGCGAGACTTCTTGTGCTTTTTGCCCCAGGACTTGCTGAACGCCTCGAAATCCTTCGTATTCAGGTTTCCTTCCTCATCCAGTACGAATATCGCTATTGACAGGCCACACAACGCCAGGACAGCGAGGGCACGAACGGCTCGGAATGCAAAGATGACTGGTCCTCCGAGTTCGGCGACATGCTCACGAGCAGCGGAGAGAAGACTGGTGTGTAGAGAGGTAGTCCGAGAGGTTTCTTCCTGAACGCTATCATCTTCCGAAGAGCCGTACTGGTGTATGAGTCTCTTCAGCGGGCCAGACGATAATACAAGATGTATGATGAGAACAAGCGCAGAGGCTACCGCAACGTAGGCTGGAATCATCAGAGTATGCGTCCATATCCTTGGTAAAGCAAAGATAAGTCATACAATTGAATCATGTGGGTGAAAATACTCACTTCTTCTCCTTGGCTAGGGCAGCGTAGGATGTCTCGATGGCGTCCAAGACGACTTGTGGCGAGTCCATGCTGGACTTCGTTCGTACTCGGCTCAGTATTTGCGCTCAAGGGTAGAGCGTAGTTATACTGTTGGGAGAAGGCCGCGTAAGAGAACGCGCAAGACCGACGCGCAATTGGCCTAGTTAGCAGACGCAATTGATGGCGAAGGAGTCAAGAGCGAAGGTTGGAACTTGTTCGCTGCCGGTAATCTAATGAAGAACTGATAAGTGAGAGGCACGGCCGCAATCGGCGCGTAAACCAATGTTCCGGAAAGGGTTTTTACGTATCGACTGCGTGTGTTCCAGATTCTATATCTGATATGTCGTGGAACCTGATCAGGACCTGGGGATACGGAAAACACCGAAGGTACAAGAACATGTCAATGAAGAATGATCAGAGAGCCTCCTGTGGCGACAGCAAGAAATGTACGGATTTTATGGCAGCAAGGAAGAAGAATCAAACTGTCGAAATCATCGGCGCTGAAGCGCTGACAGCTGGAATTGATGTGCGGGGATTTAGATGCGAGATCCGTGGCCGATCGGCAAGGTACACTGTTTTACTTCTAAGAGAAGGAAAAGGTTCCCACGGATGAGTACGGTGCCACATGACGGCATTCTCCAACTCCTTCAAGCAGCTGCTCGTCTTCTTCCTACCGCCATGGCCGCCACCGTGGATAGCAATTCGTCGACCCGTGTCTCTTCGGAGACAGTACAGGCAGCCCAAGACGGCCCAATACCCATCTTTGATGCCAACCTACGTGTCCTTCAGAATTCCTATATCAGCTTTTTCACTGAAAGGTGAGTTCAACCTTCCTTGCTCAGATCCTCCAGGGGGCTGACTTATATCCGTCCCCACCAGGAAACGAATTGAAGAAGTATAGTGCGCTCTCAGACTTGTCTTATTGTCCCCTCTCTGGACTCATCGACTTCGTATAGTGTTGAATCCTTAAACAAGCTGTATCGCAAGGCCCAGGCAATCGATGCTTACCTCGACGACCAGCACGAGGCAAGTACAACTAGAGCTGCTTGGACAGAGATCAGAGAGAATGTCGATAGAGGTACGTTCGATCCCTGATTATCATTGTATCACCTAGCTCTCAACTGTTTATTACGAAGAAATACAAGGGCGGCAGGGGTTTCTCCAGTCTCTTGTTGAAGGCGTTTTAGCTCCTTTGGTCAACCTAAAGGTGAGTCTCCGTTCTCAACATATTTGTGCTGCACGTGGCTCCGTGAATACTTAACACTCCTCTTTACTACCTGTCTCTCTCTGGGATCGCGCCATGTACTACTCTATTGTACTCTCAGGAAGTACAAGATCGTACTCGCAAACGAGTCAAAGAAGACTTGAAGGCCGCGACCTCAGCTCACGTCGACTACGCAGATCAGACACTTCCCAAACTGAAACGTACTTATCTTCGGAAATGCCAAGAAATTGACGTGAAGACATGCCTCTCCCTTGTGTGCTCCTCTGCCCGCTGGCTGATCTCTCGCACATCTTGCAGGAGCTGAGGGCTACCCAAGCCGCCTCTCCACCACCATCTGCTGGGCGTACTTCTCAGGAAATGCAATTTGCACCTCTCACGAGTACGCGGTCAATTCCTACCGGAACCTCAAGACCTCCTGTTACATCTCCCCAGCCTCTGAGACCACTCGAGCGTCGACCTTCCGGAACATCGGCTGCTCATCGGAGTCGCTCTCCTACCACAGCAACTGCGCTCCAGGACCTGGCCCAACAAGGTATAGTCGCTTGACGTCCTTGAACTTCGGCTGTTTTCGGTCTCATGGTCACGATCAGGCAAGAAACAGTTATCGCAACTCAGGACCTTCTTGGACAAGGGAGGAAACATGAAAGAAGCAACAGGTGGAGGCAAACCAGACCATGCCCTGCGTGTTGTTCGCTTGAAGCGAGAGTGTAACGATGCTGGTGAGTGTATACGTCAGTTTCCAAGGATGTCTTTTACACTTCCATCCTATAGATCAAGAGTATCGCAAAGCTGTTCATTGGCTAGAGACACTGCGTAAACACAGGATCAAGACTCTGGATGCTGGCTATCATGTTTGTCACATTTTTTTCCCTTCTGAAGATCGCACGTTAAACCCTGCCACAGAGCCTGGAGACATTCATAAATGAAGCTGCGGAAACCGTGAAGAAGGTCTTAGTAACCTATACTGATAACGCAACGTACGCCTATGACACTATGTTAATCAGCATATCTCGCTCACTCTTTCCAGTGCCATGTTTGCGACTCAGGTTTGTCCACAATTGTTTATCTAGTTGTACGCTCGTGCTAAGTGAAACCTAGACACAACTTGCACAACACGCACGCAGCATGGTCGACCATATCGCACCCCGAACAGACACACTCAACAGGCTTGCTGGGGTAAAGGCCTCCTTCGACCTGGCTATTCCTAAACCCATACTATATTACAACTATCACGTGGGGGAATGTCAGGACCTCATCTTTGGCGTGTCGTTGACCGACTATGCGACGGCACGGGGGTTACCTGAAGGCGACATTCCGAGGATCGTGAAGTTGTGTATTGCGTATATCGACGAGCGGGGATTGAAAGCTGAGGGCATCTATCGAGTGAGTCTCTTCATGCGCTCATGCGTCCACTCCAAGTTATTTATGATCTCTACTATTTTTCAGGTCTCCGGGCGACTTGCGGTCGTTCAGGAGGTAAGTGCTCTGATCGTCTGACCTGGGGCATGGAACTTACCGGGTGCATGGTCTTAGCTGCAACATAAACTAGAAAGAAATGAGCAACGATTTGCGTTTAATCCTGCTATCGACGATGTGTATTCTGTATCAGCTCTGCTTGGGGTATGTTTTCAGATACACAACAGATGACATCGTGCTGAGGGTCGTCTGCGTAGCTATACCTCAGGCAACTGCCGGAACCTCTGTTCAGATTTTCCCTGCAAGACCGTCTTCAACACACAGAAGAAATCGGTATTCATTCGTTCTCCGGATCTCACTACGGCCGTTTACTGATTTTTCCCTATTATTTCAGCAAATCATGAAGCAAACGGTTTCGTCTTGATTCGCGCCAAGATGCGTCGTTTGCCGACCATCCACCGTGCTACCCTCCGTGCTGTAGTCGAGCATCTCGCTCGTGTGGCCTCTCATTCGGAACATAATAAGATGGATGCGAAGAACCTTGCGATAGCGTTCGGAGGTGTAATTTTTGGTAGTGAAGAAGAGCTCCCCCAAAATGCAGATATACTGACAATGCAGTCCTGGAAGAAGGTCAGAATCTTTACAATAGGCTCCGCTAGTAGCCCGTAGCTAATACGTTCATGACAGGATTCCTTAATGGAGGATCTCATCGAGAACGCTCCCGCCCTTTTTGATGACCAGCCACGTACCTTCCGAAGATCACTGGATGGCCGCTCAACCCACTCCGCTCAACCCACTCCTCGCATGCAACCTCTACCAATAAGTGAACCGTCTACACCATCCGTCGAGTCCTTCCGTGACGACCCATTCGACACCTCTCCTCCTCTTCCCGAACCTCCTGCCGGCGAGTCAACACCATTCTATCCCTACGGCTCAGTGCATACGAAAGTCTCCAGCGTGCCACCGCCAATATCCACTCCGGTATCACGCACAGAACCGCTTCCGAATGTCGCACCACAACAACCACCTCAGACACCCGTCTCAACAGCTAGGTTCGCCGAGTCTGGAACGACAACCACACCCACAGGCGCTTCTACCTCGGCGTTCCAACCACAGAGCCCAGAGACCGATTTCACACCCAAGCTACCACCAAGACCGGCAAACAGCATCCATCCGTCCTCGAGGAATATGAACAGCGGCAATACTAATTCGGGAGGTTCGACAGGGGTCAAGTTCCCAGCTCAAGTGAAAAGATTGCCTCCATCCTCGACGTTGCAGCAGCAGCAAGAATCGGTCATGGCTGGAAGGCAGACACCGCCTAGCCCAACGAAGGCGTCCCTGGAGCGTGCGGCATTAGCGAGACAACTTTCGGAGGTAGAAGAGGCGGCGGAAGTCGATAGTAATGGAGCGGACCATGAACATACTGGCGCTAACACCATCGGTACAAGCTCCCGACGACAGAGTACTGATTTTCGAGGGAGTTCTGGGTCTAATACAGAGAAGAAGCCGCTGGGCACACAAGCACGAGCGCCAACTTTCACGCAATCGGTAGTCAATGCGTTAGCGGACTCGTCATCCCCGATATCGCCCATCTCGGTCTACACGAGCGCGCCACACACGCCCAATGAGGGTACTACGGGGCATGAACACAATCCGTTCGATGATCGGTCTTGAAGTTTCATCTGCGCGTTTCGACATTATATCTCACGATTTTCTGATGACCAACGTTTGGAATGCATGGTCCTTCGCTACGCTACGCCACGCCATCTGTAGACTGTTGTTTTTTTGTTTTGTTTCCATACCCATCCGTTATCCGTCATCGTTCATAATTGTCAAGTTGTTCATCTCCCATGCATTTCCCCTCATATCTCGGGTGGACCTCTCCGTTCTTGTCGTCTTCTTTATCTTATATATCCCATCGTCCAGGAGGATCATCTTCATTGTTCGGATTCGGATCACACGATGTCAATATATCCATAACCATTTCCCCTATGTAACAGATTACTTCAGACTTCAGGTTTGGGCTGTCTACGAGATCACCTCATCGAGCGCCAGGACTAAAACAAACAAAGCCAAACATGGTGGCGTAGACACAACAATTTCCTCCGTTGCACTGGGCGCCGATTACTCCAACATCAGTCTCTTACGCCACCTCGGTCTTTTGCAACGCTCACTATGGTTTTCGTAGCGCAGCTGGAATTCATCAAGCAAAATTGGCAAGGCGACAGAGACAGCAGAGCTCCCAGTAGCATCGCATGGCTGCAATCGCTGATCGAAACCAGTTGTCAGTGAGTAGTGTTCTGCACGGGTCTGTCAAGGGGTACACCCTTGGTGGTAGTAGAGCACGGTGCATCAGCAAAACGGCAAACGCCCTGAGAGCCCTGAGAGCCCTGAAACCGGGCCGCTCAGGCTCGCCAGTGTTCCCAGGGTCTCAGAGCCACAACAGGCCCACCAGGGTGAGCGCGTCGGACGCGCCAGCGCTACCAGGGCCTCAGAGTCTCAGAGCGCACGCCGACTGCAGCTTAGCACGCTGGACAGCGCTCAACAAATGCTGATTGAGACTACTGATATATACAGTCCAACAAAATGTACGGATTGGTATAGTACATGATATCTGTGCGGTACGACAAGCAGGACGAGTGACGACGGTATTGAAGAGTTCTGGAAGTATACGTTCGAAAGGGAAAGGTGTTGGATGGAAGTAATGGTGAAGACCCTCGTACCGACAAAGAAACATGCCATGGCTGAAGGGTATAGATAAGTATCGACGTCGGACGAGACATGTACGATTGCGATGTGTTGGGAGTAGGCTCGTAAGTTAGGTACTCGCGCCAGCCGTCACCGTCCCCCCGTGTTCAGAGACGGTCACCAGTCTACTCGTAAGTCAGTGATCTGCCCAAACACCTCTCCCTTGGAGCACACTAACCTGTCAAGATTTGTTGCAATACCTGCAATGCGCACTGCTCCCAAAAATATACGCAGATGATAACACACACCGCTATGTCATTTTTGAAGGCCGTTCCTTTCTTCCCTTCTATGATTCGCGGCATCTCCGAGTCAACCTTCAACTCGTACTCAGGCATAAGCAGCTCGAACTCCGCGTTGGACCAAAGGGGCTGAGATTTACCGACAAATTCGTCGATGAAGTAGGAGAGTAGGGAGACCACATTGTGTACGAAGGTGTAGTCGTCGCTTGAGTTGGTCAGACGACGACGAAAGAGACATAATGCAGATACATAGGATCCAGCAGAGAAGTGTATCTGTACAGAAAAGACAGTAAGCATAAGACAGCACTCGAGTGGCTGTAGGTAGGTGTTGTGGTGCGAGCTGGCCCTGGCATCCTGGCGCACTGGCGCACTGGCGGAAACGGCGCCCTGGCGCGGGTGGCTTCCAGGGCTCTCAGGGCTCTCAGGGCGTTTGACGTTTTGCTGATGTGTGCGGGTCTGACGTTTCCAACACCGTGCAATACCGCGACACCCGCGGTTCCGAGTCTCACGACGGGTTTGAGCACCGGTAATGAGAGTTCCAAGCTTGGCTCAAGAGAGATATTGGGCTTTTCTGATCTCAGATTGAATCAGAACCACCTCCGAGTCTTATCTGCCCTTAGTATATTTTGTGCTCGTTTTTAAGTGTCAGAGCTATGCTCGCACACCGTCATCTATTCGGAATCGCCGGTGTGGCAGCTGGCTCACTCTCACCATTCAACATCGTAGGCAATAACCCGCGGTAGGGGCACCGCGATGGTAAGAGGTGAACCCGTCGCACACCGCGGGTCACCCGTACCCGTCACTACCCGCACGGGTGCACGGTGCTCGGCGGGTGTGGGTGTGGGTCCTGGGATCATCTCTGGCACCCGCGGTTGGACCCCTTAGTTGTCACGATCTCTGTAGGCCGCTACAAATAATCTCTAGCACAATGATATCAGGCAAGTCAAGCCACACGGTGTCAATTCAACCTATGGCGGTTCTGTTGAGTTGATGGTTTATTTTCCAATGTTCCTCTCGTTGTACTGTCCTGCTCAACACTATCCCCTCCGCGCATGCTGCATACTATGCAATGCAGGAGTTCATTAATTACTCGCCTCACCCGAGATATAGTCGAGCGAACGCACTGTGCGTCGAAGTTCGCAGGCGGAGCAAAGATAAATCTCCAGCCGCGCTTTGTGGAGGAACTCAGGCTGGAAGTCGTTATAGAGATGCGATCTACCAAGTGAGCGTCAATCGAACAAGACCCATAGACCTTGTTCCTAAATCGCCGACTCCGCTCTCAATGATTATTCCCTAACGACGAAGATCGACGTATCCCTCGGTGGAGCAACCAGATGCGCTTGAACATCCGGACAACTTTAAAACAGCCTGAGGCTGATGCAACCTCTCAAATCTTCCAGCTTCCAGCTCCCAGTCCCTCTTCTCACCCTCTCTCATTATGTCAATCTCAGCAGAAATATTGCATGAGATAGTCCTCGCAGACAAACTGTGGTATGTTTGCCCTTTCATCCCCCGGGATTAAGTTCTAACGTCACGCAGGATCATCTCAAACTACACTATTTTTTCTTCGATAGGTGAGCTATGGATGCTGTTTTAGCCCATTCATCGAACTAAACGGTTGCTTCTACCCCAGCCTTATGGATGATTGACCTGCTTCAAACTTTACCAATGGAAATCAGCATTGTCTGGTCAAGGAAACCCTCCGGCACTGCGGTTATATTCCTTCTGAACAGATACATGTTCGGAATATATCTCATCTTGAACGCGGTGTTTGTTATTCCCGGCTCTGTCTCAGATGAAAGGTAGTTTAGGCCATGTTTACCGCGGCAAATTGATCTATCACTGTTGCTGATTTCGCTTCTCTAGCTGCAGTACACTTGACTTTATTGGCAGCTCTTTGAAGGCAATTACACTGTTCACTACGAACCGTCAGTCAAATCTACGCCTCGTTGTTTCTTCTGATAATCCAAGATCTAAAGTAATGTTGCAGTGCTAATCACGCTCAGGGTCTATGCTATAACCTTACGAAACAAGTCCTTTCTCTGCGCAGCCTTAGTGCTCGTGCTGGTCAGGGCCGGCGTTGATCTCTGGGCACGTAGACCCTACCATTCCCTGGGTTATTGATGGTCAGCTCACTCAGTTCTATCATCACAGACTATCACCGCTGTCGCCGGTCGCTCTACCACCGGAACTCAATTTGGCGCATTCTCAATGTGTGGAGAAATCCTCTTGTCTAAACAACACATTGTTCGGTAAATTCTGCAATAGTTATTAATTACCCATTGTATATTGGCAGCTCTGACGTCCGATACAGATGTAGGCTGTCTTGTCATAATATTGCGCGACCTAAACTCACCCGTGTATGCGTATCTGGCCCTGGATAGCTTCTGTCGCTGTCGTTGCCATATCTCTGGTCCTCGATACGCTTGTCTTTGCAATCACCCTCATCAAAACATATCGACACTTCCTAGAGATGCGACGACACAATCAGAGTAGCCTCACTGGTCTTTTGCTACGCGATGGTGAGCTGCTCTCTATCTAGCTCGGCCTAAGTCACAGTACTTAAATTCGCTGCCTCCCAGGAACGCTTTACTTTTTGTAAGTCGCATCAGAAAGCCGTGCCCTTCTCTTACGTGACGACTGAAACATTTTTTGAATACCCTGCAGTGTGGTCTTCACGATCGCAGCTGCAAACTTTGCATTGGGACTTGTACGTGCCTTCTGCCAGCCAATCTATTGTATCTTTTTTCCTACTTATCATTCCACTAATGTAGACTTCGGTGTTGAACGTATGTGCTGTTATTCCTTCATGTCCTGCTGATTATAAAGAGTGCCTGTTTGTTTCAACGTAGGTTTCCGAAACTCAAACACTGCTGTCAGAACTTCTACAATCGTATCTTGCTGTGTATGTCTACATAACATACTGTTTGAGTACGCCGTTGCCTCGTGAGCTAAAGTATTTAAACATTCTACCAGAGCTCCGAACCTTCTCATTAATAGGCTCTACCTAAACCTTCGAGCGATGAGTCGCCAAAATGACACCGTAACATACAAATACAATGGCATGCCCGAACCGGCCTTCGCCCAAAATCGATTCTTAGGCAACATTGGCGCACCGCTCGATCCTGATTGGTGGAACACCCAGTTTGATGATGATGAGGGCGATGATGACGAGCTGACCGATCAGAACGGCTCAGTAACACCAACGGTAAATAACGGGGTCACCACTCTTGTCCCAGTTGTGAGCAGCATCGAGAGATTGTTACAGCCTCAGAGGACTGCTAACATTGGTCACAGGTTTATGAGGGAGAAGGCCACGGCGACATCGAGATGATACCCATCCACAGAGAGTCTCAAATACCTATCGTAGGCCCACCGCGTTCCATCAACGTCGTGGCCTGAGTGCTCGTATGTAAATTTCTTCCAGTCTCTCTACGCAGACCTCTCAACTGACCGCTAAACAGTGACTTCACTCCCTCAGCAGCGTGATCACCGAAAGCGTCCCTTCCGCTGCACCGACTCCACTGTGTCGGCACAGATACGCATTTGAATCCAATGACCCATCAGTTCCATATCTTGTTTTTTTCTTGGGCGTACTTTCCTACTTTTATCACGACTGAACTATATTTCTTGGATTGCGCGTTTATCTTGATACTGTATTTGCGTACGATTTCGGTATTTGGAAACCGGACATATCGCCGTTCCGTCAACGTCGTGGCCAGTGAACACTCGTGCGTAAATTTATCCGGCCAAAGGACCATACACTACTCCCCCGCAATTATATCTTGACATCTACTTCATAAGCTCGGAGGACGGGCAATGGTGTCGAACTCTTGTCTGTTACTAGCTGAATGCACATACCGTATCAAACTGTACATCTACCTAGTGTATTTTGCCTTCACGCTGTCCATATCAACATCCCGCCAGAACTATTCTCTGCCATTCAGTTGTTCTACCCTAAGTGCAGTCGCCAGTCCGACGGAATCGTGTAAAGACGACAATGTGTATATCGTACAGAAAGCATTGCAAGGATAGCAGGGACTCTACGGTGATGAGGTCGAGTAGATGATGGTGTGAAGATGACTTAGATGATATATACATTGGCAAGAAAGGCTCAATAGTGAGTAGTTAAACAAACGGAAAGCGTACGAGATAAGGTTTGAATCAGAAAACACAATACCATATACAGTCCTAATAGTTCATAACAGCGTCCTCCATTTCATTGCCCGAGTAGTTTGCGTAGTACTCTGCCTCTTCCTCCATGAGCTGCTGCCATTCTAGGACTCTGTCGTGAGCCATGACCCTATATGGACGACATCGGAAGATTAGCTCAACGAGAAGTGGACTTGGAGGGAGTCTGGAAGTGTCCTCCGGGGAGAAGTAACTTACTTGGAAGGATCAAAGTTTAGCACTTGGAGCGTTTCTAAGCTAGTCGCTCGCTGGCCATTCGATAGAAGCGTGATAAGGTACAAAGGTCAGAGTACAGGTCAGAACGATGCACATAGAGCCCTAGAAGGAGAACGGCGACTAACCGATAGCGCGACGTATGCTAATGCAGGGCGATTGTGATAATGAGTACCTGGTGCAAAAGTAGAGGATTACAGGTTACTCACCTTGTCCTTTCTCGAAAGTACGTCTCAGATCCACTTTGACCCGTTCCAACGTCTGGCCCTGCGACTTGTGCACGCTCAACGCCCATGCCAAAATGAGCGGTACCTAAAAGGGTGCCGACCACCAAGACAAGTTGAGGGTGATTATGTCAGTTTAGTATACGTGCAAAATAACAACGCCGAACTGATACGGATGAGATGACTTTACCTGGAGCCTCCCAGCCTCCGTACCCCCAATCACATTATTCACTGTAAACTCCGCCGGGATACACAGACACTGTAGTCCGTTCGTGAATCGAACCACGGGCCACAGGGCGGAGCTCTGTTTGATGACCTTGGGCACTTCCTTCTGTGACCCGTGCTCGTCTTCGCCGGAGAGGATGGCTTGATGGGTCGACATGCCTTCGTTGTACGATTTGAAGTCAATGACCTTGCCGACCGAGCCATTGACGAGAACACCTTGACGCATGTTCTATTGGAGAGTATGTGAAGAGTTAGGAAAGGGGAAAGGTTATGGGGTGAGGGTAAAACAAATACGGACCTTTATGAGCATTACCTGGACCACCGAGGGAAAAAGAAGTTAAGATTTTTGTGGCAAGGCAATCAGATAGAGACGACTATATACCTGTGCTCCAACCTGTTATCATCCTCCAGGGTCAGTAAATAACATAACATTCGACCAGACGTCTTATACTGACCTTCAATTCGATGACCTTCGGCGCCATGATTCTATCCAACAGTTTTCTCATCTTTTCCATGGAGATCATCTTTTCATCCGCATCATATCCCGGCCAATCTTCAGAGTTATATGTATAGACGGGTGCATCGATCTGCGCCAGTCGACTTGAGTTCGCGAGGTATACCTCGTTTCGTGTCGGATATCTGTATCGGTCAAAGCAGTCATAAGTAACCATAAGTAGGCGTGAGTTTAGGCGAGAGAGGTAGACGTACAATTCGGTGGGTTCGATTCCGTCGTCGTATGTTACTGTGCGGGATAGAGCGTAGAAGCGTGCAGAAGCTGCAGGAGTCATGTTGCCGTAGCGCATCATATTGAGCATATCAACGAACTCTGCATTCAGTGCATGATCAATATCGGGAGTATAAAATGGTCAAGTCTTGAGTAAGAGGATGAGGCAGCTTACCTTGGTCTCGCTGTCGGAATACGCGAGTGAGCGTAACGGGCTCGCCTACACATCTCCGCCATGCCTCCGAGTCGAAACAGAAGACGGTCGGGATGACGACTTTGTCACGTCGATCTGGTACTGGTGGAAGTTGGAAAAAGTCGCCGCTCATGACCAGCTAAATTTGTGTCAGATGATTGTATATTATGTCCTTATAAAGGTAAACATACTTGAATTCCACCGAATGGGCGGTGGCCATTGTCAAGTCGAAGATATCGCGCGATAAAATCCTACTCACTCAAATTCAGCATGGACTGTTGTGTTGACGCGATGAGATAGATTGGCCTACCAGCTTATCGAACAAACGACCATCGATCATGGAAACTGTGTCACCCGAATCTATCAGCCTGACATACTCAACGTCCGGAAAAGATGAAGAATAAGACACTAACTTTCGTCGATGATGAGGGTCTTGACTTTCCTCCACCTCCGCCTCACATTCTCCATACTCTTATTCGCCGCGATCATCCCCGCCAGCTTCTTCTCCTCCATGTCTCCTAGTCCTATTCCTGCCCACGAATGAAGTGTGCAGCCGCCGATGTTGACCGAGGCAATGCCCGTGGATGCGGTAATGCCGAGGTCGCTTGCTGGACGATGCTTGAAGAGGTCAATGATCGCCCGAAGGAGGACGGACTTTCCGGTTCCTGTTCGGGTGAGAGAGATGTATTCAATGTGGCGTGCGAGACTTAGAGAGAAGGGGCGAGAAGGCAATCTGGTTCACTCACCTGCTGAACCTGTAAAGAAGACATTCCGACCGGATTTGACCTGTTGTAGAATGCTTTTCTGCTCATCAGAAAGTTGAATCTGAGGATACGGCCCCCTGGGCTGACTTCGTGGTCGGGAGGAGCTCGGTTCGTCAATGGGATCCAGAGCTGACGAGTCCGCCGACGCTTCGCGGCTCGACCTTGAAGACCTTGAAGGTTGAGAGAGACGAGAAGGGCCTGCGCTTAGTGAGGTCTGAGATGACGATGCAGCTGCAGCTGATAAAGTTGGAAAACGAGTCGATTAGTTATGGTTCATGTTGCAGACGAGTGAGCTGGCACCTTGTAGTGCGGGGCCGAGCCATTTCTCTGCTTCAGCCCGAGAAGTAAAGCTTTTGTGGATAGCACCGGGCCACCTTGATACCTACGATGTTCAAGAATATGAATACCCCGCACGACACAGGGCTCTGACCCGGACTCAATCTTACATTGTCTTTACACTGGGGATTGGAAAACATGGTTCCAATTCAGATATATAACACCTTAATCGGGATGAGAAGGTTCGCACCTCCTGCCAAGATTCATATATCCTTGGGCCCTCCTGGCCGACCTTGACAGCGTAGTATTTTTGCTTCGGTGCTTTCGGCATATAGTGTCCTGTTCTGATAGTAGACTTCAAGATAGTTTGCGTGTACTGAAGTGGTAATCGTGAGCCAGCTGGAGCTAGTAGGTATATCATCGAGGAGAAATAATCACTGAACGGAATCCTCGTCGGTAATGAGAACGCGTCGCGCTGCGCGTCGTGGTTAAATGAGATGTTCAAATTCGTCGCTGTCGCGTCGAACAATATCGTGGCGCGCCCGTTCTTTGGCGCTCACGTCACGCCGACAATCTGGCTCCCCCAGCCGCCAGATGCCACGAGATCTCCATGCAGCTTGCCCCTGTCCAGCGTTGTCTTTGTCCGCGCAGTACGTGCACCCACCAACGGTGGCGTACATAGTTGCATCTACACGTCCTTTGACTGTTTCTCTTCCCAGTCGCACTGATGACAACCGGGAAGGATGCTCAAGGTACAAAATCCATGGCAATACCAAAGCCAGACCTCCCCCTTTTCCATTGGTCTTCTTTCTTTCCCAACGCACAGGTCGTCTATATCACCTCCGTCGAGGTTGCCAACGCCGAATTTCTACGCCTCTGGACCGTCCATCCATACTCAGTCGTAGGCTTTGACCTCGAATGGAAACCCAAATTTCACAAGCAGGGGAGGGACAACCCAGTCGCACTGGTGCAGATTGGATTTGAAGACACGATACTTCTTGTACAGGTTAGTGCGATGCCAGGTAGCTAAGTGTTGCTTGCTACACTCGCTTCCACCGTCGTTATATCATCATTTCCTCTACGTCCTCCTGTACTATGCTCTCGAGGATAATTCATCTCGCCACTCCATCTAGTTTTCCCTCGCTGCCTGCTGGACTTCCTCGCGTCGCCTCATGTTTACAAAGTAGGAGTCAACATACAAAGTGAGCACCTGTGATTTATTGTGACTCTGTCTGTAACGAAACTTGTCATTAGATGACTGCAAAAAGCTCTTCAAGGACTATGGAGTCTCAGTCTGTGGTTGTGTTGATTTGTCGCTCCTTGCACGGTCCTGCGATCCCCAGTGGAAAGGACCCTACAGTAACGATATAGGCTTGTCACGCTTAACGTCGACATACCTCGGTCTTCGTCTAAGCAAAGGACCAGTGCGGACGAGCAACTGGGAAAGCGAGCTCACACCATTACAAGTGGATTGTGAGCGCTCTCCTTTGTCCACTCCGACATCTACAAGGGGCTTTCGCTCAATTATACACTGCTTTTCTTGACCACATAGATGCCGCCAATGATTGCACTTCGGCTCTCGTTGTCTACTACAAGCTCATGGCCAGATTGATCGTCATGGACCCCACACCGGATGCGGAATGCTTCATGTTCGACGTGATAGGAGGTGCTTTGCGTGTCACGGGCGATCCGGTCGGCAGACTTTGGTTTCCGTACAACCCCCAATACGATCCGGGCCCTCCACCGATACGAAAGATAGACTCGACAGCGGAGAAGGATTCGGAGATGGAGAAAGACGGTAGTGGCGAATCGGCGTGAGGAAGGCTTTTAGCATGGAAGGTTGTCAGACCTGCTGTATCGATTATCCTATCGCTTACTAGCCCTGTTGTAACGCCCTTTGTGGTTTTGACCTTACAGCTGACATCACGGAGCGCGCAGGATCAGCCTTGGCTTGGCGTACATTATGATGAGATCTGCAAACCAATGCATCTTTGCTTGGCTTCTTTCTAGCGTTGTTCCTTGGAAGATGTTGACGTCCGGAATGCGATGTTGCTGTGTGATGACTTCTACACGACGTGTTCTAACGCGGCTCCGGCAGCATGCACGACCCTCAAGGAGCTCAGCGCTCAGGAGGGACAGAAACGTGTCGGGCGGCCGCCACAGCGCTCGAGGCAAATTCGCATTGAAGTGAGAAGTCCCGGTGAATTGGCTTGTCGACTCTTCTCTATGGTCTCGAACTCGCGAGAAACATCGTACCGAGTAGAACATACATACACCTGCTACATTTACATTCATGCTTTTGTGGCCGCCTGGACGTATCGTGACGGGGACACAGGACGAGGAGACGCCAAGGAACTGAACTGGACACGAGTGACGTGATCGAGACCAGGCGAAGTGGCAGAAAGAGCCCGCCGGAGGAAAACAGCTCTGACGACGTCCAAGGCGCGAGGCAGCGTCCTTCAGCCGCCGAATCTTTTCTTTCCTTCCGACACTCACTCTCCTTTGCACCGTCTCGTTTCGTGAGCGCGGGCCTTGCAAGTCGCCTTTTCGCCGTCCTCGCCATCCCCGGCGAACAGTACCAGTACGAATCGGGCCTAACGACTGCCCGTTCTTCTCGATCAATCTCTACATATCAATTCTCCTTCCCATTCCGTCTTGGGTACGGTTGCCCAAATAGCGAGACCTCGTGGACCAGGAGTCGCATATCCATCGACCACCATCAGCGATGCGATATTCGACAGTGACTGCGGCCATATGCGCAACAGCGATGGGGTCGCTGCCCATAATGGTATCAGCAAGTCAGCCCCAGTTCATGGAGCAGGTGCGTTGTCTTGTTGCTATCATGATATATTGTTCCATCCCGAAATCTGGCACTTGGAAGTTCTTATCAAATGAGATGTGAATTGTGCTGCTTACACTGTTGGGTGCACCTCTGGTCACTGCGTAGGGCTTTCTGTTTGATTGGAACCCTGCCGGTACGACAGTACCAATTCCAGTCACCGGTGAGTAGTAGACCCTACCTCTATGCTTCTTGAGTTTTGGGCGCCTGGAACAGAGCGAGGACTCGGTTGTGCTGATGGGGTTTTGGTGTTAAAGAACAGTGCGAGACGATAACCATCAACTGGAGTAGGAGTACCGCGACGGGGTGAGTTCTTTTTTTAACTCTTTTTTACGGAGCTATGGGGCGTGCTGACTGACCATGATACACTGCTTGCGTCTGTCTTCCGCGACTTGCAGACCAAATCCCACAGCACCGTATTACCTCCAGATATTCACATCGTGCGTCTCCTTCGTTCCCGACCTGTCGGTACCGTGATTGACAGTACCATCGACCTTCTTTAGAACATTCATCGTCCCATTCATCGTCGCTGCTGGTTCTGGGCAGAGTTTTGTAAGTTGCATTTCCTATTTATGACAGGACTAGAATCGATTCGTGCGGGTCATCAGATTCGGCGTGCTCGATAAGCACTTGGACTTGTGTCTTGGTTAGCAGTTAGTGACAGGAATTCGAGGAGGCTGTGAACAACGTGTACTAATGCATCTTCCTTTTTATAGGACTTCGATGTCCCCTTCGTGCCCAACACACAGGTAAGTTGCCGGCTGCTTTCATGACTTCATGATTTCCGCTGCGCTCCACAGCTAATTCGAACCTTCCTGGTTCATCCATTCTCTAGTACCAAATATGCATGGTGAGCACTGCCTCAATGCTTAGACGCGCGCCAATAAATAAAGTAATAGGACTGATTTTTTCTCCTGGTCGGTGAATCATAGTTCGACTCGTTCGGCGTGACAGGCGGCTGTCAAGCAATCTACACCGTCATCCCCAACTCAAACTCCTCGAGTCCGTCATGTAACAATGTCACCTTCCCGGCTGGTGCCATGAACGTGGATGGGGAGGTTTTCAACGGCGCACTTTCTCAGTATGGCTGGGTACCACAAGTACGTAGAATAGACCCCTCGAATGGCATGAAGGAAGACAGTTGTGGCTCATTGCATCTGCCCTGTCAGTGTACAGATATTTCTGTTACGCCGAAAAATGGCACACCGCCATACACTTTCGAGGTGCGTTCGATTCGTGGTATCCTGACTACTTCAGTTTGATTTGGGGAGAGTGCTTTATCTGACAATGAACCTTTGACCCTGACCAGATCGCTCCAAGCAGTCACCCACCATTGAACATCACTTCGGACACCGCGGATACTATGAACTGGACTGTATCTCTGGTCCGTTAGTTCAAGGTTTTTTTGTGTCGCTTTGATACTGACCATGGCATGCAGTCATACGGAAGTTCATTCTTCCTCACGGTCGGCGATTCGGAAGGAAATCGATGGTCCCAAGGCCCAATACACAGTGGTGCAAACTCGGATACCGCCTGTCTAGACCTTTCTCGCAGGTGAATGTCTCCTTGTGTCGCTTCTTGCGGCATCCCCGTGTGATAATTCTTTCTGCTTCATACTTACTCTCACCATTCAGCGACACCGCCATGGTCACTCGCTCCACCGCCATTGGTGCTGGTGTCGGAGGCGCATTCGGTGGTCTCCTTTTAGGCACTCTCCTCGCTTTCGCCTTCTTTGTTTACCGACACCATCGATCGGGCGGCCAAGGCATGAACCCCTTCAGTACGAAGTTCACATCCATCCCGCGGTTCTCCATGTCGGAAGAGGGGCAGCCACAGTATGATGAGCTGGGGCACGTTGTCACTGGCGGGACCGTCTCGCATCCTGGTCGGTCGCCAACTTCGGCGTTCTCAAGACAGCCGTCGGACACACCATATACTGTCGAGCCGTTCGTGCTTCCTGGACCATCTCCTAACGAGTCTAGCAGTGGACCGGACACGCAGACGAGTGCGCACGACGTGGGGTCGTCGACGACGAGCCGTCCAAATACGGCTCCTCGGACGGCGTTCGGCAGCACGAATGGACAGAGTGGAAGCTCGGGACCACGGACGCTCTCAAGCGACAGTACCAACGATCTTCCTTCTTCTCCTTCGGGCGACCGAAGAGACGGCAGCAATTCCTCTGCACCCCCACAAGCAGGGAGAGGAAATTCGCACGTTTATGTTGTGCATCATGATGGAGGGAGGGCACCGGTGACGGTGTATACGGAGGATGGTGCAGAGGTGGTGGAGCTGCCGCCGAGATATATGGATGATATGCGGGAGGGGACGCAGCCGCGAGGGAGGGACAGTAGTGGCGGCGGCGGCGGCGGCGGCGGCGGTGGTGGTGGTGTAAACCCGGTGGACAGGACGAGGCAGCCTGGGTCGGTGCCGAGAAAACCCAGAGGCGCGAGGACGGGATCTGGGACGGGATCCGGATCGAGGTCGTGATTGAACTGGACTGACTGACAGTGATTCAGACGACGGTTACCAAGATCCTTATTCGTTCTTACTGTGGTTCCAGAGCTTTGCTTGCTGGACTGTCGGCACGGTGCTCTTTTTCGTTAGGTTTTTATTTCTCTCGATTTCATTTATGCCACACCTTTCATGTTTGTGACGATAGCTCTCGGGGTCGATAGTATACTGTAACTAATATTTGTGCAGTTGCTATGTGCTTTTCGTTCTTTTGTCTCTCTGGTTTCAACCTCTGATGTTATTGCTTATATTTTCCCAGTCTTTACCCCACAGCTATGTATACCTTTACTGACGATCTATCCACCCTTTCTTGATTTACTACTCACCCTATCCACAGCCTCCTGCCGTTACCTTCATTTTCAAGCATGTCCCTTTGTTCATGCTATTCGTCCTTCGTTGACCTTTTTTTGTTTGCTTTCTTGGTTATTTGGCTGACAGCCATCTCTGTAGAGTACTTACATCTATTCGCCGTCAATGGTGTTCGCCTTGACTGGTACTGCCATATCGTCGCGACTCGACCCCCCTGCCTACTTTCTGCTGCCTGTCGTATTTTGCGTTCTGTTCAGTCAATTTGTCTGCATAACTGTATCACAGAGGCAGTATCATCTGTGCCTACATCCGAGTGCGCCCAAAGTCTGCTGTTCGCATTCACTCGTAAGAGACAAACACCCCTATCGGACAAGCCCTCCATCGCCTTTCATCCATCAGGCTCCACCCCCTCGGTAGCTCCAACCCTGATGCCGGTCCTGCGTGACTTTCTTTTGTTGAAACTGTTTCTATGCCGGCCATGGGCTCGTCGGGCTCCCGGGACTCGGTTAGTCCGTAGGGAGAGGGCGAAGACGACGAGAGGATAGATCGTAGTCGATCGTCCATCACGGTCATGGCGTCTTCTGTCCAAGACTACGAAAGGTAGCGCGCATCCCGTCAGCGATGGTCGGATGAAGCAAAAATCATGTAAATAAACTCTACCTGAGTAAAGTCAGGCGCGAAAAGCGATGGTGCTTCCACGGGAGCGGCGGTGATTTGCTCGAGTATATCCGCGAGCCCGGCATCAGAGGTGCACAATGCTTTGAGCAGGACATGAGCCCTGATATCACAAAAAAGAAGAAAAATAGAAACATCAGCCTTCCCTTCCTTTTTGCGAAAGTAAATGGGAGGAAGAAACGTACGGGTCACCGCTGGGAGTCTTGAAATCATTGGAGACCGCTCCGGGGCCTGATCCACTGACCAGCATCACGAACGCATCTTCTCTCCGCTGTGCTACGATCTCGCGTTCATCCTCGACGTCAATTCCGGTCCTTACGGTGTGTGCGGTCGTGGCTGCGGCCGGACTACAGAGCCAGGTGACCCAACTGGCTAGGTATAGGTCGTATGAGGGATCTCGCTCGACTGGGGCTGGCGCCGAGGAGGGAGACAAGGGAGGAGTAGACTGGATGAGTTGCGAGATGATGCGATATATGAGGGTAGAGGGAAGGGCTGGGTGGTGCGTTGTTAGATGGGTCAGGAGTGGTGTCCAGATCGCGAGCGTTGAAGGCGAGGGGAGGAACTGTGATTTTTGGGTCGCGCGTTTTCTATGCGAGAAGGTACAGTCCGAGAAGAAGGAGATGTGGGATGTCAGCATTGGATGACTGTCCCGGTGAGGAGCGGGGTCTATGACCACTTACTTCTTCGACAACGGAACAAGCATGCCCTTCTCCAGCAACGCATCACAGACCTTATTCAAAGCCCACCTCTCCTTACTGTCCACATCGTCCGCCTCATCTTCTCCGTTCCCATCCACACCAGCCTCCCGACCCCAAGCGAACTCTCCGCTCGCCACATCAGCAGCCACTACCGCCTCCGCCACCCATCTCTCCATATCCCTCTCTACCTTTTCTATTTCAGGCCGATATTGCATTCTGAGCGAGGCATCGCGGGTGACGATTTTCAGAAGGGTTTTATACTGTTTTAGGAGAGGCTCCAGAGGCCGAAGTGTGGGTTGAGAGGAGGTCGATGTGGATGGGTCGGGGAGGGTGGGGTTTAATGTAGGGAGGAAGTAATGGTGGAAAAGCCAGTTCATCGACTACAGAGATAAAATCGCAGGTGCATGTAAGTATTTGTCAGTTACCAAACGTGCAAGTATGGTACCCGCGCAGACGTACCTGATTCGCAGCCTCCCTCAGGATCTCAAGACTAGGTAGATCCTCATGTGTAGCTGCATGCCTCAATTCGACCAACCAGGCTGGAAGACCTAGTTGCGCCGCGATAGAAGCGATAGAACGGGCATATGCACCGACTTGTAAAGGATCGACGAGACCGTTGACTAGTCGAATAATGGAGGTGGCGTAACTCTGGCGCAGTGGGAGGGATGACTGTGCGGAAAGTCCACCTTGGGATCGCGATGGGTCGCTGTAATCTTGCACGAGGATGGATAGAATAGCGTGTGTGGATTCCAGGGCATGTGGAAGGGTAGTTATAGCTTTCCAAGCTGCAAGCTTGGCTGTAAGTATCAGGAAGTGTGGCACTTTTTTTCGATGGGAATTGTACACACTCTGTTGAGAGCAAGCGTTCGTGCTTGCCAGTCATTTTCATCAGCGAAAATCCAAGAGCAGAGTCCATCTAGTTCTGCGAGAGAAGCAAAGGGTGTTCGTCGGGGAAGTCTCATGGTGGTCGTGCTGTATGAGTGAAGGATGAATTTTCTGGGATTATTTCACGCGTCTTGACGCGTTCCGCCGGACCGCCCTGAAGCTCAAAAATTGTGTAGAGCTTCACGCATGCTGCACTGAGTGCCACGAAAAACGAATGATCAAGAACAATTCAATTCAATTCAATTCTGAGATAGATACAGATAGAACGCAAATACAGATAACATGAGAAAAAGATGTTCGAGGCCATAGTCAAGCACCTCCCACACCGCCGCACGATAATGCAACGACGGCCGATGAATCCTGGGAGGCGCTCCGGCTTAATTGAGCTCGCTGAATTGGCTTCCTCTGGCCCAAACCACAGCCATACCCTACGCCAAAGCCGACGTAGAGTTGCTCCGCGATGAGAACGACGAGAGCGGTGGTGAGCGTCGATGAGAGGAAAAGCCGGACGCGCGACGGACCGATTCCTTATTGTGGAAGATTCCGGACGCGGTTCCCACGGCTGTGAACCTTCTGCTGCAAGTCAGAGTCGAGAATTGTGCAACGGGTTCCTTTCTATTCCGTGTGCGTGTGCAAGTGACGTATTCGGGCTTGGTCAAATACGCAAGAGGAGCAGGTACACGATGGGTGTCGTCTCATCCCCAGATTGACATCAGCCAAACCCTGTTGAGTATAAGTACTTCAAATTATGATGAACCGCATCAAGACGATCGCCTCCCATCTTAATCCCAAACGTCTCTCATCTCATAGCAAGAAAATGTCGACCACGGTTCATAACGATAACAAGGCCTGCTGCACGGTTCCTGCTGTACCCTCTTCGTATCAGCCCAAGGGAAGTATCCAGAAATGGGGAGGGTTTGAGCAGGTAGGTATCGTCTTCCAGCACCGTCTGAAGCATCACTTATGCCTCGCCATGCTCAGGTCTACATCACTGGCCCAGAGAAGAGCGACAACGCCATTCTCTGTGTGTTTGATATATTCGGGTCAGTCCCACGCTCTTGTCCCATCCATAACTCCCATCCCTGTACTGAATGCCCTCATGAATTCGACAGTTTCAAGCCACAAACCCAGCTCGGCGCCGACATCCTCGCCTCCTGCCTCAACACCCGCGTCTTCATGCCCAACTTCTTCTATCCCGCAGAGCCCATCTCCCTCGACAACTTTCCGCCTCAGACCGATGAACAAAAGCAGGCACTCCAGGACTTCTTCGGCGGGACCGCTAACCCGCCGAAGACGGTGGGGAAAGTGGACCAGGCCGGCGAGGCGCTGAAGAAGGATGGCTACAAGAAGTTGGTAGTGTACGGCTTGTGCTGGGGTCGGTACCATTTCGGTTAGGTACGCTGTGGGATATTTGAGACTAACTAGAGATGTTTCTATGTATAGGTGGTAAAGTCTCCGTTCTCGAAGGATCCAAGTCCGACACAGTCTTCAGCGGCGTAGCGACAATGCATCCCGCGTATGTAGAATTCGTTTCTCTTTTCTTCCTTCTCGATGCTGACTTCCGTGTTTTTATCATAGTATGCTTTCCTCCGAGGATGCTAAATCCCTCACTGTTCCTCTTGCGCTCTACGTCTCTCCTGACGAACCCGCTGACGAGTTCACCAAGATCCAAGAGATCATATCCAAGAAGCCGTTCGCGGACAAGAACGATAGCAAGCTGTACGAGACGATGTTCCACGGATGGGCCGCTGCGAGGTCGAACCTGGACGACGAAGAGAATAAGAAACAGTGAGTTCCAGATTTCACGAGACACAGTTTCCTCTCGTTCCAATCAAAGAGAATAGGGGCTAATAAGCTTTGTGTGGCGTGGCGTGTGGCGCAGGTTCGAGGACGTGTACAACAGACTTTGCAACTTCTTCAAGGGAGTCCTTGCTTGAATTGCCTTTCCATTGTACGATGTTCGTTGGGGATATGCGATGTACGCTCTTGTCGAGGTGGTGTATGATCATGTAAACTCGATGTGAATGGAATGGAAATACCCAGATCGTACTACTGTTTAGCCTGCTACACTATCCGTTACAATCATTGATAACATCTGTGGTGAGAATTTGTTCGTTGTGTGCCGATATACGTCCAACAAGCATGCACGACATTATGCCCCCCTATCACTCAGGTTGTCTAAACTTGTCCAAATAAATCCCCAACCACACACACTTCCACCCCCTCCAACATTTAGCTCCAAGCCCTTTGCAGACTCCCATACTCGCTATGTTATTCTCCGCAATGTCCACCGAAACGTAATCCCTCTTCCACCTTTCCGACCCATCACACTCATCAGCCCCGACACCATCGAATATCTTCATGAGCTCGACCCGCATGACCGCCTTCCCCAGTCCAGTCCGTCGTGCCTCGGGCCGAACGTACAGTGTACCGATTGAGCCCTCGATAGTGGTGAAACACCAGGCGTCTGGCCCTTTCGCGTTCGGAGATGAACGAGGATAGGCGCCCGTATTCGAGAGCTTTGCGAGCGTCGCCACCACCCTCTTCACAGCTGACGTAGAGACCACCTCATCTAGGTCTTCCTCCGCCATCGTCCTCCATATGTACCGTGCCTCGTGCGCCTCCGTGACAGGGGCGACGGTATCTCGGGTGAAGAGGAGTTTCACGTATGGCTCTGTGAGGCGCTGTAGGACGTCGGGTGGAATGTGCGGGAGGTAGTGCATGTTCAGAGAGCCAACGGAAAGGATATGTTTGGTTGGGTAGAGGTGGGCGATGAAGCTGAGAGTGGAGTGTAGAAGCCGGTAGGCTTCAGCAAATCGAGCCTTCTCGAGCGGCGGGTCGTCGTTGTTAGGCTCTGGCGCTGGATGTGAAGGCTCGAACTCGACTGAGGACCAGAACCATAACTCGACCTCACCGGGGCGGGAGAGGTCGAGGATTGCGACGGACCATGGCTCTGAATCGGGTGGAGTCGTGGTAGGGGCAAATGAAGCGAGGACGAGAGACGACGACGAGGCTGGATGAACTATGAGGTATTCTTGATTGAGAGACCAGGGGAGGTGAGGGAGGAGATGTGGAAGGACAGTATCGTGCGCATCTGGGTGGATATAGATTCTCGGGACTGTAGCACTAGTCATAGTGAGTGCAGAAGAATGAGAGCCAAAGATCCTGTTGAGTTCAGCAGTACTGTTTGTTGGCCGGGGGCCTTTCGTGCTTTATAAGCAACGCATTCATCGATACGAGCATATGGACAAAATGCTGAAGCGCCTAGTCACTTTGTATAGTTGGGCAAACAAGGGGGATAAGTGCGCCATAGAGGCTGAGAACAGACGTTCCTAGCAAAACTCAGTCGGCGGCAAGGTGTGCCCATTTTGTTAGGGCCTGCGCCTACTAACAAGTCTCGTGCACGAACTTCGGCCACGCTACTTGGATTGAGAAAAGCGACATCGGAACAACACGGCAGTCAATGTACGTGTTCGAATTCTGTGTCGGACGACATGGATCAACATGGATCTGGCTTGGGAACGGCGAGAAGAGTCTGGAGAGCGTCTGGAGGCGGCTTTGGTCGAGGCGATTGTGGCCCATCAACACACAAAACGGCGGCACCTGATTCGCTGGGAAAGGCCGGGTGGCTGAGTCATCCTGATTTGGCAGTTGGCTGACATCAATCTGAGCGCTGCGACAAAACCGAAACTGTCTGCTCGACCAGCACCACCACACATCCTCCCCAACCACTTCGACCGTACTTCGCTGCATTCCATCGGCGACGACGACAACGACAACGATGGCTACACTTACCTGCCTGCGCTCAGCGCCCCGCCTGTCGCGAACATTTACCCCAACACTTATGCATACCCGTCGGGCGATGATGTCTGCGTGGCGCAACCCAGAGTCTTCTACCCCAACAGCCTCGACGTCTCAAACACACCACGACCCACCACTACACGACTCCCCACCCGTTGTGGTCCCGAACTCTAAGACTCCTCTTAACCCGGACGCTGCGTCCCCACAAACGGCTGCTAGGCCACCACCTGCTCCGAAAGCTGAGCGCCCCAAGCCCCAAATACGAGCGAGGAAGGCTGCACTGTCCATCGTGCGTCTTTGATTCTTTACATCGTGAATTGTCTCCATTTCTCATCCTCATCTCACCAACAGACCCCCACCGCCGTCGAGCGCCTTCGGATATTGCTCCACAGTCCAACCCCACAACTAATTCGGATTGGCGTACGCAACAAGGGTTGTGCCGGCCTTTCCTACCACCTTGAATATGTAGACAAGCCTTCAAAGTTCGACGAGGTCGTCAACCAGGATGGTGTTCAAGTCGTCATCGACAGCAAGGCATTGTTCTCGATCATTGGAAGTGAGATGGACTGGAAGGAGGACGCGCTGAGGTATGTTCTGTTTCTTCGGTTCGCGTCATTCCTACTATACCATCCTTCATATCACACGTCACTTTTCCCTGTCGCATTACACTCGCAGAAACGACGACAACAATGCTTTCTGCTTTGCCGTCTTTGCGTTTGCTCTTTCCTCTGCCTTCTCATTTGCTCATTATCATGATCTATTGTTCGGGATTATTCGGATATGTGGAGCTAACGAATACCCGTGTTTTCTCTGAATTTGCGCGCTCGCTCGCCTGCCCCCTTGTCATCTGCAGTTCCAAGTTTGTCTTCAAGAACCCGAATATCAAAGACGCATGCGGCTGCGGGGAATCCTTCTCTATCGGATCCTGAGACATCACACCACGGCCCTTCTCCGGTTCTCCTCCATCCTCTATCTTATTCTGGCTCTGTTATGCTGTTCAACCTGTACACGTTGTTGCCTTCCTCTTCGACATTCATCTTCGGCATTCTACACCCGCATTCCCTCGCTCGCTCATTCAAGATATCCTGTATTGATACGACTAGTAATACATTGATTGCATCGAACCACCCTACGTTGGAGATCCGCGACGGTTTCGGTACTAGCACCTGTCGGACGCGGTTCTCTACCTTTTTCGCATCACAGTTCTTTTCTTTCCTGGATCCAAACCAATCACCTCTCTATCCATGCATGGCTTTAGTTTTGTAGACGAATGTTTCGCTTTTCTAGTGGTTTACTCACCTCTACCAATCTCGACCCATCTCATGTTGTAACTTCTCCCGACCGAAGTCCAGACGAACGAAGATACCCCTGAGTGAAGACAAGTAGAGTCACTGAGGTGAAGGTATTTGCTGGCGTGCTAGCCTGGCTGTGTTGAGTTATCATGTCTCTCCATTCCGGTAAGCATGCGGAATCTACCATCGGAGTACTCAGACGATTCTCGTCCTATGAAAGACTCAAGCCGGGCGTTGTTTTTCGCGCGTAAGTCGTTTATCTGAAGTGTACATGCAGTTCAGTTATCGACAACATCATCGTTACCCGAGTCAACTCTGGTTCGAGCTACTACTAATCAAACAACATGTAAGTACAAATGAAGAAGTCTAAGCGTAAGTACAACAATATATCCATCCTCTAGAAGCAAAGAGAAAGAAGAAGAAAACAGCGATCCACTTCATGTACACCAGCGCGAACATATCTTGTCAAAACGTATCGTACACACTCTACTAAACCGCCCTTCTATATAATTCTCTCCGTCCTCCCGACCACCCACGGCGATACCTCACCATACTTGACAGGTATCACATCCGACGGCCGATGTCCATCGAATTTAACCCTCGAGCGCCAATAGTCATTCTGGCCACGGAGGCCTCGCAATCTCCGTGTCGGTTTTCCATAGCCAGAACGGACCTGTGTTCGAAAGTTACATATTCTTCAGTACTCGAGCTGCTTTACTTTGAGAGGGGTAAGGACGTTGTGGATAAATGGATTGGGGCACCTACCAGCCGGATCGCCTAGAAATGAGATATCGTGATGGAATAAGAGACGGGGTTCAATTTTAAGTCATGTCCCGGACAAAGAACACACCTCGCTCATGGTGAAAGCCAGTCCAGGTGCCCACCACGCCTGCAGCACTGCATACGCCGCCAAGCTGGACGCCTTCGGAGCTGTGATCGTACCAAGCTACGTTGAAGAGCCAAGATAAAACGAGGACTAGAAGAGCGACCGACCTCCATTGGTCCGTCCCGTCGTATCGCGAGACCTGCAACTGTCATTAGTATCAACGACCGCCAACGCTTACAAAAAAGACATACAAAAGTCCATCTTATATTCCCATCTTTCATCAGTCTCACCGTACCCTTCGTCGCCCTGCTCCCAGTCTGACCTGTACCCACACCACGCATGTGGCCAACGAACTGGATCGGTGGTCGGGATGGATCTGGTAGAGTAGCGAGAACGGAGGGGTCGGTCTCGACGGAGACGAATCGGAGATTGAGAGAGAGGAGTCGGGTGGCTTCGTCGATGTCGTTGTCGAAGAAAGAGGGCCGGTGACCATTGGCCTGCAGAGATATGATATGTGGTGTGAGTGCGGCGATTAGCAGTACAGTGGCGGGTAGCGGTACGCACGTTGAAACCTACAGTCGACGAGTGTGATATTCATGCTTAGTGGCCATCGAAGGTGCTTATGGTATGAGACCATACATACGGATTAGATCGCTAATAAAATAAAACCCGTCCATCAGCCGAACTGTACAGAAGAAGGATATGATACAAGGCATAACTCGAAATGATACACACTGGTAATCACAAAAACATACAATCCTTAGCCAGTGCCCATCCACACCTGCCCAATCCTCCTTGATCTTCCTCACCTCCGGATGCGTTCCCCTGGCTGAATACGCCCGCGTCGCCTCCAAGCCTTTCGTCAACAGCGGCGGACGGTCGAGGGCTTCTTCCGGCCAGCGCGTATCGATATCTCGCAAGTTAGCGGTTACGACAACGGCGAGCGCATTGATATGGGTCCAGTCCACTTCATGAGGACCTGGTGGTCCTCTGGTTGCGACTGAAGCCGAAGCCGATGACGAAGACGAGAGCTCATCCGCGTCCTCTTGGAGTCCGTTAGAGAACTCGCGATAGGGCCCCCATTCCCTCGAGCGAACATAGTTGCGAAGATCGTAGACGTACGTCCGCGCACGTAGGCGATGGTCGAGGTAACTGTTGGACTCGTCGGTGAGTAGTGTTTGCACAAATAACGCGCGTAGATGGGCGGTGAGCTCGATCTGGGTCCATAGAGGGTCGAAGCGTAGAAGGGATGAATCTTCGACGACGTTAGCGGCCCATGTGAGATTAGGAGATGGTTCGTATCCGTCAGAGGTCCATGAGCTCGGATGAATAGGCGAGGCCTGTGTAATTGCATCCATTAGGACTTCGAGCACCTCTCGATGGTCGGCATCCTCCATCGCGAGCACTTCCACTCGAACACGTCGCTGAAGCTCTGTTCGCCAGTCATACGGCGATGTAAGGGAGCCAGGTTTGGACGTCGTTTGAGGTGAAGGAGACAGAGAAGGACGGGGATCGTCGAACGAGGAGAGAAAGAGTTCGCGCCAGAGATATTGTTGCTCTGGGAAGTATATTACATCGTAAGCATGTTCACAGGTTTGAGAGAATGAGGCAACATCGCGAGGATGACAAAAGAGCAGAATCTTCTGTAATAGTTCAGAGGGAATCGTTGCTATTGGCGTCGAGGTCATCGTCGTCGTGCTCGAGCAAGATTGAGAGGTACCCACAATCCGGTCCGACCCCTGAGGAGGAAGCGCCAGGGTCACGTGGTAGGTCTTTTAAACGATCGCGGATTCGCGTCGCCGTTCCCTGCGCGTCTTGTCGTCTTTCCATTGCGTCCACCATGCGCACACAAGCTATAGCCATCCTACTCTCGGGCTCATCGCTAGCTTCGGCCTTCCAGGTCCCTCTTCTTGATAAAATATGGCCATCTATGTCTCTCGAACAGCAGCTCGCCCAACAGGTACAGCAAGTACCAGACGCTGAGCTTGCCGCGAATTCGACACGTATTGCTATCATCGGTGCCGGTGCTGCGGGCTCAAGCGCCGCATTCTGGATTGCAAAGGCGAGGGAGAGGTATGGACTTGATGTAGAGGTAGATATCTATGAGAAGGAGGGCTACATTGGTGGACGTGAGTGCTTCTCTTGCCTGCTCACACCGTTCAGTGTTTGAGCCCCTGGCGCGCAGGGAGTACGACGGTATACCCATACAACGACACGACGTACATGCCTATTGAGCTCGGTGCTTCCATTTTCGTGGAGATCAACAGGAACATGTGGAGGGCTTCTGACGAATTCAACCTTACTCGGTATGGGTTTACGAACAAGGAGGATGACGATGAGGGAGAGCTGGGCTTCTGGGATGGAGAGAAATTCATCATCACGGTGAGGCTTCCCCTATTTGGCTAGTACTGTGGCGTTAGGGCTGTGCGACTGACACGTATCTCAATCGGTTGTCTAGCAAGGGACCATGAAGGGTACGATTGGTGGCTGGCTCGACAACATCAAAATGCTCTGGCGTTATGGCTTCACTTCTCCTATGAATGCTCAGAAGCTGTATGTAGTCTTCTTCTCATACATTCTTCCACCCTCAGGACTTCGTCAACTGATCGACTTCTACTATAGAGTCAAAACAATGACGGACCAGATGGACAAGGCTTACGGGCTAGAAAGTCCTTCATGGGAAAACATCACAGATCTTGTCGAAGCGTTCAAATGGTCTGAACTTGTGACGACGACCGGCGCAGAGTATTTCGCCAGCCATGGCGTTTCTCCACAATTCACGAACGAAATCATAGAGGCTTTGACAAGAGTCAACTATGCACAGGTTCGTCGGGCAACGTTATATAGCGCAACTCTTGATCTGAGGCTGACATTGTCCGCAGGACATCGATAGGATCCATGCGCTTGAAACTGCTTGTTCCATGGCAGCTTCGGGTGCTGCGAGCGTCAAGGGTGGCAATTGGCAAATATTCGACAAATTCGTTGAAATCTCCGGCGCCAATATTTTCCTCAACACCAAGGTAAACGCTTTGTGCACCAAATGCTTTGATAATTTGCTAACCAACTTTGTCAGGTCAACTCCATCACCCGCAAATCATCCACAAAATGGACCCTATCTACGTCTTCAAAAACCACAGACTACAACTCTGTGATCCTCGCGGCACCCTACCACCTCTCCTCCCTTCTCCTCCCCTCTGATCTCCACTCCCTCATTCCCAAACAACCTTACATTCACCTACACGTCACGCTTCTCACCACCACGGCTCCCAACCCAAACCCGGCGTACTTCGGCTTGGGAGCGGGTGCGAAAGCGCCAATAAGTATCTTGACGACGAAGGAAGGTGCAAGGAAGGGTGGGAAGAGCCCAGAGTTCAATTCGCTGAATTACTTGAGTAAGCTGAGGAAGACGGAGGTTGAGTCCAAGCCCGCCGGCGAGGATGAGCAGGAAATCAAAGAAGAGGAGAAGGAGGAATGGGTCGTCAAGATCTTCTCCATGGAGGAGATCTCGGATGAGTGGCTTGATTTCGTATTCCAAGGACAGGTCGGCTGGGTTTTGCGAAAGGAGGTCAGTGAATTTCTTGATTGCGTGTAAGAGTTTGGGATCCTGATGAATTTCTTTCTCAGTGGGATCCATATCCCGTTCTGCCGCCAACTGCCTCCTTCCCTCCCATCAAGCTTGATCGAGGACTGTTCTACGTGAACGCATTTGAACCGTCAGCAAGCCTTGTTTTCTTTCACCTTATAATCGTCACTAATATTCTGGCCAACTTAGATTCATGTCAACGATGGAAACTGAGACCCTTGCTTCCCGGAATGTCGTAGACTGGCTACTGAAGGAGGAGTACGACGCTGCCATCTGTCCTCCCAAAACGTCGGACGAAGAGGGCGGTGCGCCGGCGCAGGAGAAGGCAAAGGGTCCATTTGTGTATGGATGGGATTGTTGAAGATGCTAGGATCTTGGATGAGGTCACTACTGACTGGGGGATTGTGTTCATCGCTATATATTGCTTTGCTAATTGTTTATCGAACCGTCTCGTACGATCCTATGTTATAATCTTCGTCGTTTAGTGTTGTGGAGAACTAGTACCCGACTTCTCTTGCTTTATGCACTGTGGCCACTGAGGTCGAGCATGTTTCGCAAGGGTCGACAGTCGCTACAAAGTCGGCCCGAGGCATCGATTGAACCACGCGCAATGCACGGCAGTCAGTTGGAACGGCGAACCTGTTCGGGCGTTTTCGGCGGTCGCGACCGAGGCATGGTTGCCCGAAAAGGAAAGGATATTGGACCGATCGGGAAGGCGGTCGACGTCGACGATGCCCGTGGCCAACTTCTCCAGCCTCGATCGGACGCTTTGCCTGACATACTGCTGCAAATATTTGGATGGCGCTGGCGACATGGAAACGTAGCCAAAGTTGCGCCGACGGTATACACGGTGGAGGAAGAATGACGTCGACTGTGGATGTTCGGAGTGATTGACCTGCTGAAGTTTTCTCGCGGAAGGCTTAGCGGGGCTGACATCTTCGCCACCGCCCTGTCCGTTGCCTAACTCTTCCGTCCGTTGACGGCCCCAGCTACGGCCATCCCACGAATTGGACGCCCACCTCCTCCCACAGCCCATCCACACCCCCTCTATCCCCTCCGTGGTCATCTATCCCCCTCGTCTCCTATTCAATCCGCACGGTTTGAGCGTATTGTTCAGTGAAATATGCTGGACGAATTCGTCACACGACTCCTTCGTCGTAAGTCTAACACTGGACCCCTGTCGTCTTTTCTTTGCATAACTACTATATCTCACCACTTCTTCCTACCAATCCATGCAACAGGGGATGGCGTGGATCAGACTCAGTGCGCATCAATTACCCCGCGCCTTATATACTCACCATATCTCGATTTGATTTGAAGATACGACCGAGGAGACGTCGCCTTTATCATACTCTGCGGTGCCTTGGTATCTTTAATGGTCCGCGCATTCCTCATTATGTCTTATCGAGTTCGCCGTCTGGTTTCCTCACGACAATCTGCATTGCATATCATTTCCTCGCAACCCAGGTTCCGGGCCTCGGTGCGTGGTTCACCTTCCCCACACCGCCTCCTCACCGAGTAGCACTGAACTGACTCAACCCTTACTCGTCGTGCTCTCAGGCTTCCTCTACTCTGGTCTATCACGTCGAAAATCTGCCCTATCCCTTATTTACGCTGTAGGCGCAGCCAACGCCGTCACTATCTTCCAATGGTACTTCTGGGGCTACTCCCTCGCCTTCTCCACCACCGCCACCAATGGCTACATTGGCAATCTCCACAATTTTGGCCTCATGAACGTTCTCGCTGATCCCTCCCCCGGCTCGCCATTAATTCCGGAACTGCTGTATTCGTTTTATCAGATGGAGTTCGCTTGTGTGACAGTGTGCATTTTGATGGGTGGTTTGGCGGAGAGGGGAAGGATCTTACCGGCGATGATATTTTCGTTCGTGTGGATGACGATAGTTTACTGTCCTATCGGTGAGTGATTCCTGAACTATGTTTCTCGTGGGTGTGATGTTCATAGCCCTCCCCAGCATGCTGGGTCTGGTCGACCAACGGATGGGCGTTCACTTGGGGTGTCTACGACTATGCTGGTCAGTCTTTCACTCGCATCCGGACCAGAAAGAGTAATAATCTGAACTCTCTGTAGGTGGTGGGCCCGTCGAGATCGGTAGCGGCGTCGCAGGACTCGCCTACTCCTGGTGTCTCGGTCGCCGTCGCGAAAAAGAGCTACTCAATTTCCGCCCACACAACGTCTCCCTCGTCGGCCTCGGCACATTCATCCTCTGGTTCGGCTGGCTCGGGTTCAACGGCGGCTCCGCGTTCGGTGCGAATCTCCGCGCCATCTGCGCCGTTTGGAATTCTATGCTCGCCGCCGCGTTCGGAGGTATGGTCTGGTGCTTGCTTGATTTCAGGTATGAGAGGAAGTATAGCATGGTTGGGTTCTGTTCTGGGACGATTGCGGGGTTGGTCGCGGCGACGCCGACGTCTGGTTTCATTCCGATGTGGGCGAGCGTGATTACGGGCATTTTGAGCGGGGCTGTGTGTAATTATGCGACTAAGCGTGCGTTCGAAGTTTCCTCTGCTATTCGTGTTCCGTCTTTAGCTAACGAGAGTATACGGTTGCTTTGGCTGTGGACAGTCAAGTTCTTGGTCCGCATTGACGATGCACTCGATCTTTTCGCTGAGCACGCCGTCGGTGGTATCATCGGTCTCCTCGTGAACGCCATCTTCGCAAGATCAGATATCATCGCTCTCGACGACGTGAACACCTCTGTAAGAGCCCACCTCTCTCTCTCTCTCTATGTTCTCCTCCGATCAAGTGCTGACCACGAAAATTCGGCGCACAGTTCCCCGGAGGGTGGTTGAACCACAACTGGAAACAGCTCTACATACAATTCGCCTACGTCTGCGCCGTCTGCGCGTACACGTTCGTCATGACCGTCCTCATTGCGAAAACTATCAATTTCATCCCGGGGCTGCACCTACGGGCGGACGACGAGGCAGAAACACTGGGCATGGACGAAGATCAGGTTTGTACTCTTTTCCCCTCCGTTTCTCCGTCTTGTCGGTTCGCTGATCACACTTTTGCGGTGGTTGTTGGTGGTGGAAATCAGATCGGGGAGTTCGCGACAGACTATATCGAAGTTCGGAGAGACTACACAGACTGGACCGCACGTCCCAACTTCAACTCCGGAGTCGCCATCCCTATGGACGCGCGTCCAGAAGTGCATCACGAGCATTCGCATCCGGTCGCGGCGGGCGTTAGGCATGGTAAGGCGGAGGTTGGGAGTAGTGTGGAGACTGTAGAGGAAAATGAGCATGAAAACAACAACGAAAAGGACACGCATGGGCATGGGCATGGGCAGAATGGAAATGGATTGGTGAGGGAGGTGTGATCGGCGATGTTTCGTTGTTTGAGCGGCTTGCACATTGGGTTGGGGCATTCGAATGGCAGGATGTGTCTGGGTGTTGCATGGTTGGTCTTATCTGTCCAAAAATGGAGTGCGGGCTTGGCATAGCCGCGTAGTGCTGGTCTTTAAGAGGTCGTATTTGTTGACATTGTAGCCATCTTTCTGTGTCCCTTTGTCGTCGAGGTGTATCTCTGTTGTTGTTATTTCTCTGCGTCTGCGTATATAATGCGTATTTACGGTTCATATTTGAGGTTCAGCGAGAGGCTTCACATTATCAAAGGCCATACGTACATACATGTTGTTCTCTTCAACTTCTCAACATCCCACATTACAAACAATATACACGCACACACACACTACTTACACGATCCCTCTGTTCGACCGTCATATATTACAGTACACCGTCAACAGCCTGACTGGTGACCACAAGTCTCAGGATCTCGAAGCGTAACGTTACTTCATTTATGACGCTCAAGCTCGTCAATCTACTCAAGCTTATCGCTCGACCTCTAGTACTAAACTCCGGTCTAGCACCCGAGTCTGCTTCATAAGAATCCAAAGCTCCAACTTGAAGCTGACTGATCCCCACCGAACCTAACACCGAGGACGGTATCCGCATCACGACTTACTCAGGGGCTTGTGGCACCGTACGGTTTCTGCATGAATTACTTATAAATACCCACACCCAACCAAACAACTGCTGACCCAGGCTTCGCCTTTTCTTGCCCTTTCTTTCAAGTACTTGTTCTCCCTATCAGACTATTTTCGTATATCCAGAATAAATCGAAAAATGCCGACTGCAGTAGTCACTGGAGCGAACAGCGGCGTGGGCCACAAGTTCGCAGAGAAACTCATTGACGAGGTATTACAACACTGACATCCTCGCACCGATCTACATTTCATCTTCTCACTCTGGACTGACAGGGCTACACCGTCTACGCGACCGACGTCGTGATCGGCGAGGCCCTCAACGGCCTGAAGACGGAGCACAAACATCACCTGGACGTGTCCTCCCCTGCTTCGATCACAACCTTTGCTCAAGAATTCGGCGATCAACCTCTCGATATCCTTCTCAACGTCGCAGGTAAGTTTCGCGTCTCTATCCTCCATCTCACCCCGCCGTATCATAACTCTCGCTCCTTACATACTTGAAGGCGTCTTCATACCCAGACCCCAAGACACGCTCGAGACGATCTCACAAGACGCCCTAAACCGTATCTTCCAAATCAACACCTTCGGGCCTCTCCTCCTCACACAAGCCCTCCTCCCCAACCTCCTCTCCGCTGCCTCCCTCTCCTCCTCCTCCTCCTCCTCCTCCTCCTCCTCCTCCAGCAGACTCCCACCCCGCATCGGCAACGTCTCCTCCCGCGTCGGCTCCATAGCCGACAACTCCACGAGCGGTTCCTACGCCTACCGCGCGTCCAAAACCGCTCTGAACTCCTTCTCCAAATGCATCGCGCTTGATCTCAAAGACAAAGGCGTTGTGGTCGTGATATTGCATCCGGGGATGGTAAGGACGAATATGGATGCGGGGCAGGCGGGGGCGAAGGAGACGGTGGAGCCGGAGGTGGCGGTGGAGGGGCTTTGGGAGGTGTTGAGGGGGAAGGGGATTGAGGAGACGGGGAGGTTTTGGCATAGAGATGGGTATGAGTTGCCTTGGTAGTTGGTGGTGGTGGAGGTATTGAAGATTGAAGGGGAATGAAATTGAAGATCGTGTAGGGGTCAATGATTGGGGGAAAGAATACTTGTACGAACAGTGGCCATGGATTGTCGAGACTGTCAGACATCTTGGGATGTGCCAGTGCCATACTTACGAAATACTATACCAGAGAGCCTCTGTACTCCCACCTTGAAAGAAAGGGATACGCACACCAATGGAAAGGGGAAAAAGGTCTCGTCAATACCATGCCACATAGGCAGGAGCTATCAATACAACCACATCGATATAGTCCGTACACAATTCAAGAGCTGTTTCACCGCATGCGCAACTTCTTCTCCATGTCCGCATGAATATTCATGGAAGGACCCGACTCCATGCCTGGTGAATAAGGGTGAATACGATAGTCAGAGTCACGTGACTCGCAATATATCGAATGTGGCACCTACTTCCGAAGAAATCGGCAACATCAAGTGTCTCGTCGCGACCCATAAGGATATCAAGATGGATGTTAGATTGAGCAAGAGCGGGCATGTGCGGGTTCTGAATCACGGGAAAGTGGAGGGTGAATATTGAGTGAGTGGGTGGGCCACAGACGATGCGACGCGTAAGTGTTTGGCGGAAGGAAGTGAATAACTCACGACAGATACGATCTTGCGTTCCATGAGGGTAGTCATTGGCGCATGGAGACCGTAGATGTTGCGTTGCATGGTAAGCATCATGTTGTCCTGGGTCTCCTCCCACTATATTGACGCGACGCGTAAGCCCGTGTATCAAACATGTATATGCTCATTAGTGATCTTGTAACATAGGAAACAATGAAGAAGAACATGTATTGCAAGAGTGCGTGTACTGACGTTCTCGAGGCGAGCACGGATAAAATCTGTGGACTTGACCTCTGCGGCGAGGCTGCGTGGCCCGTACTGCAGAGAATCATGAAGGCCAAGCGAGTTGGCGGTGTCGTTCGTCGACACAGACTTGGGTGCGGCAGAGGGTGCGATGCGAAGAGAGGGATCCTACATGGCAACCAAAGTGAGCTCAATGTCCAGCCTAAGGAGGAGAAGTACTGACCATGGTGGTGGTGAGAGCAGAAGAGGATGTACGACGCGTCACGCGAGAGCTGTTAGAGTTCCGGCGCTTGCCAGGAGCACGGTATGGATCATGACCTGAGCCAGCGTTCTCCACGAGCCTTCCTTGTTTCCCCACAACAGATCCCCTTGTTCTACTCTGCTCGCTGTTTCTGCTCCATTTATATCCCGTATTCTAGCTGGAATAATATACCACACGGATACAGCCACGCCACAGTCGGCGCCTTGCGAGAAACAGCCGAAGTCTGAGCGCACTTTGAATTACTCCTCTCCCCTTCAAACTCGCCGTATTCAACCTTCTTCTCGTCTCCCACCATGGCTGGCAGACCGTCTCGCACGTCGAGCATACCCATCCCGAGGTCAAACACGACGTCGCTGCCGTCACTGGACGATGTGATATCCATGCCGTTCAGCACGTCTCCCCCTCCTCTGCCCAGACCCCGTGCTCCTTCAGGCTCCGCAGCGCCCATGGCTCTTCGTTCGCCATCTGCGCTTGCAGGCAGTCCACCGGCACCCGCGTCTCGCTCTCTGACCTCTAGCTCGATCTACATCCATCGTCCTTCAGCCAACGCCGGCTCCGGAATCAGCCCCGTCCTCCCCCGCATCATCCGGGGCAATACAACGAATACCTCATCTTCTGCCTCTTTTAACCATCATTCCCCCTCTTGGGCCGACGTTGCGTGTTCTCCTCCATCTACTTCTCCTGCTAGGAACCGTCGTCCGAGTGCAGGAGCTAGCCTCAGACCTGCCTCTTCGTCCCGACCTGCCGGCGGGGCTGGAGCATGGCATGCGCCACCCGCCACCCAGCCACCACTTAACCTGCCTGTGCCATTCCCTCGCCCTTCATACCTCGAATTCTCTGCTCTACGCGATCTTATACAAACAGAACTGCCACCAGTCCTTCCCTCTGGACGGTATGGATCCCCGGTGGTGTGGACCCATTCTAGAGGAAGGTCGAGAGAACACAGTACTGCTACGCCGAGCACGGAGGATAGTGAAGATGATAGCATGAGCCCTCCGCCTCCACGACACACTGGAGGAGGCGCTGGTGCTGCTGGCACAGTGAGCCTAGATGCGTTGGACAATACCGCATTAGTGGGAAGTACGCCTGTGTTCAGGCTGCCGACCAGGTGGAGTGAGCAGGATCGCCACACTTATCTGAGTGTTTCCAATGATGGCAGGGACTTGACTTATGATGGTGCATACCGATATATCTTCTGTAATATCCCGTCATGTGCTGAACTCCTGACCTGGTGCTGTAGGTGGGCCGGGGTTTCAAGGTAAGCTGACGCTGGCTGGGTGGCGCCGCGCAGAGGCGCAGGGGTCTAACGAACTGCTTGATGTTGCCTTGGATAGCGAGCTCAAATATGGACAATGCAGGCATGGCCCGAACGAATCACCCAGTACCTCCCGCCTGCGGAATATTCTACTACGAAATTGAGATCATCGGCAAGGCCCAGAAAGCGTGAGATTTCTTGCAATGACTCCACACTAAACTGGGCTTGTACTGACGGTCATGAGTCTCCAGTCACGTTAGTATAGGGTGCGTATGGTGTTTCTCTTACTTGTTCTCGGTTTGGCTGATGGAAAGTCGGCTTCTAGATTCACCGCGAGCGAGACCCGGTTGACGAGGCTTCCAGGCCACGAGAAGAACTCTTGGGGGTATCATGGTGATGATGGCTGTTCCTACAACGCCGAGAAAGTTGGGACTTCATACGGAGAGACATTTGGAGGTTGGATCCATTCTCTTGAATGTCTCAATCAATAAACTCAACCCATATGCTCTATACAGGAGGTGATATTATTGGCGCAGGTATCGACTTCAGCCAGAACCGAGCGTTTTTCACCAAGAACGGTGCCCTCATCAGTGCGTTACGTTCGGTGTCATCTACTCTTCGATTCTGTCGCGCTGATTACTCTTGTCCCCCGAAGATTACGTCTTCGACCGTGTCGCCGAAGACGTCGAAGTGTATCCCTCAGTCGGCCTCCGCCACACCACCGAAATCGTTCGAGTCAACTTCGGACACGAACCCTTCCGGTACGACATCGACGACCACGTCCAACAGCAACGAGACACGATCTGGGCCCGCACGCAGCAAATCGCCATCGACTGGCGGGTTCTCGAACCAGGACGCACCACAGCCGCACGTGCCGTTCCCGTCCCGATTCGTGATCCTCATCAGGGCGGCGGCGAGAAGGCGACGCCGGAGGAGGCTGAGCTGGAGCTGAAGGGGAGGGAGGAGACGGGAAAGTTGGTATTGGGGTATTTGGTGCATCATGGGTACGCGAAGAGCGCTAGGGCGTTCGAGGAGCAGTTGAAGAAGATGACGCAGAGGCAGAGGAGTGGTTCTACGGCCTCGGACTCACCTGCGTTGCCCGTTCCTCCGCCCCCCGCTCATGCTGCCCCTGCGGCGTCTACCTCTGCATCTGCATATGGATACGGAGCGGACGCCGATACGCCTATGACCGATGCCTCGGAGTCAACACCTACACCACAACCACACTTGCACGCTGGTGACGCTGCCGACGCGATGTCGACCGCGCTCGCGCATCGTCTCGCCATCGTTCAAGCCGTTCAAAAAGGCGATATCGATACCGCCCTCCGGGAGACGGAGGAACGGTTCCCGGACGTTTTGGAAAGGGAACAGGGCTTGGTGCTCTTAAAGCTGAGATGCAGGAAGTTCGTCGAGTTGGTGAATGAAGCGGCCGAGATGAAACGACGTGTAGAGAGGAGTGGGCATGCTACCACTGCTGCTTCCTCGTCTGCCGTTCCAGGTCCTGGTGCTGACACCGACGGTGCGGCGGATGGGATGTATCGTGTCGCACCGATGGATGGAATGAACGGTGTCGGGACAGTTCCTGATGGCGAGGGCGACGCAGACGACTCTATGGAAGTCGACGACGCAGCTCTGCCCGTCCCGGCACCGATATCGTCTATGTCTGGCTCTAGTTCTACTGGCAACGGAGCGAACCCACTCATCACCTCCCCTATCGTCCAGCAGCCCTTTCGGGCCCCCCTCTCCCCTCTTCTCGCCCCTCTACCAACATCGTCTTCCTCTCATCCGACCTACTCGCATTCTCCTCCTAACTCCACCACCACCTATCCCTCCACCGTTCCACATCCACGCCAACCCTCGCCTTCGCCCTCGCAAGCCGCCGAAGCAGCGCTCAAAGCGACGATCGCCTACGGTCAGTCCCTCCGCTCCGACTACAAGAAAGACCCGCGCAAAGAGGTGCAAGCGTACCTCGAACGGACGTTCGGAGTCGTCGCGTATCATTTCCCGGCGGAGGAGGGGGGTGTGGTGGGGCTTTGGGCTGGACAGGCGGCTCGAGAGGGATTGGCGATGGAGGTTAATCAGGCGATCCTCGGTGCGTCTTTTTTTTTCTTTTGCGAGATGTTCACATAAAATCTCAATGTCAGTCATTGACGTGCTTTTAGAGTCCCAAGGATGGCCGGCGAGACCTGCGTTGGAGAGGGTGTACAGGCAGACGGCGGCGAGTCTTGCGCAGCTCGGGTTCTTGGGCGTCGGAGCGGCTGTATTTGCGGACGTGCAGAGGGAGTTGTTGGATTCGCCTGCTGAGCTTTGAGCTTGAGATGTCTCTTTTCAAATTGTGCATTTGCGTCGTTGGGCGGGATTTTGAGGGAATGTATGTATTTTATGGTATGTCGGATGCTACAGTCGAGTTTGGGTTGATGGAGACGGGGATGGAGAAGTCTTGCCTCGGTGTAAATTGTGTACGAATATGGGCTCGGAGCAAGTTCTCATTGGGTCTGTCTCTCGTATTATGCTTATATTTTGTCAATCATACGGACGATCTTTGGATACGGATAGCAATGGGAGTGTTATATATGGTTCACGCTGTGTCTACGCCCGGTTGACTTTGCAGACCTCAAGAAAGAGCCCGACGAGTATCTATACTAGCGACGGGACAAAGTTCCCAAACCCACTTTGGGTAGCACTCGGGCCTGACAAACCTTTTAGCTTTTCACTTGTGAGCTTGAAAGCCAGGTAAAGCCCTCTGGTAACTGTGGATTCGAGGCAGCAGACCAATAAAGCTCACCCTTGACCTGCTCAGAAACCATACATTGGCGGGTATATACCAACTCGTGTACGCCTGGTCAGCCGAAAACAAGACGCGTATTATTACACCGAGTAGATCAAGCAGGTACCATAATACACTCAGACACCGCATATCAAATGCGATGTGCCTCAGGCTCAGGCGACGACATGGAAGAGCAAAGAAAAGCGAGGAACAGAAAAGGAGGGGCGGGGTGCGATAAACGAGGAAGACGCTTCTCGACGGAATCCCATGGTAGAAGTACGAGAGGCTCTAGAAGTGCTCCTGAAAATGAGGTCAAGGCGTCAGCGGTGGCTCGGAGACGGAGGGGAAAGAAGAGCGCGTGACGTACCTTTGCGAACGTGAAGTTCACATTTGAGCATGTGTGTTCGACGGTGGCCTCCTTGATCGCCTTCGCGAGGACGCTCGGACCACAGAAGTATGTCTAAATTGAATAGGACATCGTTTTGTGAGCACGTCAACATTCCACATAACGGACCAAACCAATAACTTACCCCGACGGTGGTCTTCAGCTGAGAGTTGCTGCCAGGAATGTATTGACCGGCCTCGATGGCCATGCGCATCTGCTTGTAGATACCACTCCAATCCGGACGACCGAACATGGTGCGCGAGCGAAGAAGCGTCAGGGGATCGTATTCTGCGCCGGCGTCGTTGATCGCGATGTTCCACAGCATGTCTTCACCAATCTTCTGTGTCAGGTAGATGTTGATGCGGAGGAAGTTGGCTGAGCACGAGAAGCAAAAAAAAAAAGTACTCAGATTAGTTGGGGATACCAGAATATAATGTATGATGGAGAATACTGACGATCGGCTTGGGCAGCTTCGACTTCCTGCAACAGACTTTGGAACCAACCGAACGAGGGCGCGTCGCGACAAACCCAGAAGAACTCGACTCGGCGGAGTGAGCCCAAGTTACCATTTCGCTGACGGTACCAGATGTGCTTCAAGATGGAAGCGAAAGGGGTAACACCTATCGCATCATACAAAAAGGTAAGCCTTAGATGAACCCCGAAAAACATTATGTGTTTTCGAGTCGATTCACGTACCGATACCAGCACCAATAAGGACAGCGACTTCCACATCGAACACATCCTCAGCAGGAGCGCCATAAGGACCATCGATGCGGACAGTGGGTAAACCACGGCTGACAGACCCAGTGTCAAGCTCGACAAAGTCTCCACGACCAAAGACAGACGATTTCTCCTCCTTCTCACCGCCCTTCATGGCAGCCTGGGTGAGCTGAGCGACGACGGAGGGGCCGGCACCTACTCGCTCACCCAGGGCTTGAGTCCAGTCACCAACCTGACGGATGTGAACGGAGACATAGGGGTCTTCTGGTGCAGAGGTGATGGTGAACTGAGGGTCGAAAATACAGTTTAGCAGGACGGTTCGGGCGAAAGTACAGGATGCGCTTACCGGATGCCACTGGAAGCCAGAAATGTCTGGGACCTGGATGAAGAGCCATTGCCCGGCGGTGTACTTGAAACTCGGCTTGACAATACGCAACTCCATCGCACCTTGTTACGAAAACCGATAAGCTATAAATAGAACATCGCGTGTCGGTAGGGACCTACCACTCGGGTGGACAAGCAGCTTTGACAGTCTCGTTGGCTGCCTCGCACGGATTTCTCTCCAAATTCTCTCGCCGAAGTAGAGAACACCGGGCCAGATAGTGAACCTCCAGCTTTCATAACCAAGACAGTGCTCGGTAGAGTAGAACGGGAAGGAGGAGATATAGTCTGGGTCGACGGAATCGCGGACGAAGCAACCAGTCGCGTGCGCATAGAGACCGATCATGAAGAAGAATGCCAGGTGGTGGGTGTACCAGAACGCCTCAAAGCACTGGTTGCGCATCTTGTGGTGTGCCGTGGTGTACATCAAAAGCATGATGAGGAGCATGAAGTGGCCCGTGATGGCTCCAGCTTGGGTGTAGTGAATGTCTAGGGCTCTCTCCTGCCGTACCTCTACAGGACGCTCTGAGTATTCATTCGAGCACATCTGACATGGAGGCAAACGTACGGGTAATCTCGACGTTGATAAAGTTGACATAGTGCGCCGTGGTGTGGACCATCGCCCAGAAGGCCATAGAATAGGCAACTTGACGATGGAACCAGATGTTCTCGTCGGCAGGGAAAAGCCAAGCGAGCTTGGGCCGGACGAAACGAATGATGTTACGGAGCATGGGAACGAGGATGAGACCGCCATCATAGGCAAGGACGAGGCCGGCACCGCGAGATACCCAGACAGAGTACTTGAGGCCGTTCAAAGCAGCAAGCTTCTGGTTTGTTTCCTGGTGGCACAACGTCAGGAATGTCTCTGTGGTGAGAGACTTAGGGTGCGCACCTGACTGTGCCATCCATAAGCGAAGAAAAAGAGATGGGTGCCGTAGAAGAGAATGTTGAATGTCAATCGCCGCGCATGGAGAAACTCCCTCTGAAACCAGTTCTCGCCCATCGTGTCTGTGAAGCCTGAAGAGTTGAAGTGCAAAGGAGTGGCGTCCGGTACCGGCCAGACAGTGTATACGGTAGAAATAAAGAAAGAGAGGAAGAAAAGGTCGTGATAGCCAGCTAACGGAGAGAAAGGGAGAAGATGAAGGTGAAACGGGAGGCCTCTGTTTTGACCAGGTGGGAAGCCGCAAAGTGACCCGGCCTGGCCGAGTGCGCATTGACATGGCGACCCTTTGTAACTATCTCTCGTTCTCCTTCCCAACCCAGCCGTACTCCTTCTACTTCTGGATTCTCTTCCACGCAGAAATTCTAATGTGGGCACAAAGCGTCCAAAAGCCTTCGGGTATGTGTACAAAATTACAAAAATTACGACGATGCGAACAATTAAACCAAGCGAATGGAGAGCCATCCCACACCCACGGCCATGGTACGCTCACTAGCGAGCCACAGCCGCCGCATCACACATCTGCCAAGATCGCGGCCTGCCTAGATGATTCCGATGATCACCCTCCGTATCCTCTACCCATCGTACCGGTACGCCACCATCGCCTCAATTCGGTGCACGTCCGTGCTGAAGCTCCTCAACTTCACCTGCTGGCTCTTGCCCGCTTCGATAGCCAGGGGGTCCGTGTCGACCCACTCGTTCGCCGGGACGTCCGCCGACTCCGAGGTGTATGCGAGGATGTTGAACACGGTCGGCTCATCAATGATGGGCAGGAACGTCACGGTCGAAACTATCTGTTTCAGGATGGACCTGATCTCAGCTTGGACTTCCGCTTCCGGTTTTGCGGGCGCACTGCCGACGACCATCGAGGAGAATCGTTAGCGGGAAAATGATGAATGGTTGGATGGATGGATGGATGGATGGATGGACGGACAAGAGAGGAAATAAAACGTACGGCTCAGACGACTTGGACTTGGAATTGGACGCTGGCTGCTCGGCGAGGTTGATATCGAACACCCACCGTTCCATAGGCGTTCGCGTGTCTTTCGAGATGATGGCGACTACCAGTTGTGTGACTCCTCCCGTCAAAAGCCACTCTGAAACGGCACATCAGCAACCATCTGAACTTGGCATTATGATGCACATACTGTTGACCTGTGCTAGGATTCTGTTTGCCAAATCAGTCTCTGGACCCACACACAAAGGGCAGCTCGAGGCGAACGCACTTTTCGAGATAGTTTTCGAGACCAAGGTCCTGCGTCACGAGCACAGTCTGTCCGTACTTTTTCACCATATGGAAATCATCCGAAGGATACACTCCGCGCTGGAAGAGAATACTACATGTACAGCAGAAAAAAAAAACTAGAATCAGCGCGTTGTCCGCGGAAGGAGTAGTGCAAAACGGACGTGTTCACTGCATATTTGAAGAACTCGGTGACCAGGTTCGTGGACCCCTTCAGTGTGATGGCCTGGCGAGTGGGTGTCTGTTTCTGTTTAGTAGCCCTGGGTGGCATGGCTATCGTCGTTTAAGTGAAATGGTGGAGAGAAGATGGTTTTCGGAGACAAAGGGTCAAGAGTCAAGACGCGGTTCACGAAACGCGTGTCCGCAACGACGCAACATTTGGAACGCGTCAGTCACGTGACGGAGTGCTTTCTCCTTGTCCCCGAGGGCGGTACTTACAACTGGGGGGTCTGATTCGGTCCTCCATGTCAAGGAACGTCACGAACTCACAAAGTAATACAAGATCCAAAAAGAAGAAATCTATACTTGCGTGACGGATACGGACAGAAGTAACAGTACATCGTACTACTGGAAATACATATCATAGCTTGGTGAAGACACGAGCGAATGGATCGGGTACAAAGGGTACTATTGTGCAGGAAAAGAAAAACACATCGAGGAGGCATGATCAACACAACTCTGGACAAACGAAGACGAAATGGCATGGGAACTCTGTAAGAAAAAAAGCCGGTAGCCACTCAGGCCGCGGTATCGCGTGCTGAGTGCGAAGCAAGAGACTGCGCGGGTACGAGAAAGACGAACTGAGGAAGAAGAACAGGCGGGAGACTCAAAACGATAAGCTAAGCCGGGCCACTATGAGATCCTACATAGGAATATCCTGGTCAGATCCTGAAGACATGAAAACCGCAAGCTCTACGTCGTCCTCATCAGCTTCACTGTCCTCCCGCGAAAATGATTCAGTGTTGGACCTGAAGTAGCGCGGGGTAGAATTCGGTGATTGGGGCTGTGATGTTCCGTGTAGTCCATCGTCGTTGGCGTCGATGTCCATCATGTTGGCCGAGGGGCCATCCGAGCGAGCAACAGTGTGGTTGTGGGAGAGTGAGCTGCTCTCCCTAGATGGTCGCATAGGATCTTTGGAGATAAACGACGAAGTCGGTGTGGAAGACGTGGGAGTATTGATTCTAGACATGCCGGGAACGTCGAAGCCATGGGAAACATTCTCCAAGGACGAGCGGGAGTTGTTGTCGCCGTGAGCGACAGCAGGCGTCGTGGACCGCTCAAGAGCATTACCAGAGCGAAATGCCTTAATCAAAGTGTCCGACAGATGGGCACTGTTACGAGAGAGCCCTTGCACGTGATGAAACCCGTGAAAGATGCGCTGCGAGGAATGTGGTGTGGTGTGGTCGACAGGAACCAGGGGTTTCGGCGTCTGGTGGGCGTGAGATGGCGGTGGACAGGTGAAGGTGAAGCCGTTGTCCGCTGATGCACCTTTCTGTCCAAAGACACCATGAGAAACCACCTTGCGATCAGATTCGCTTGTGCCTTCGCGTGACTGAGGTATCACAGACGTAGCCAAACCCAGAGTCTCGTCACCCCTGCCACCGGTCTTCCCTCGCATAGAGCTATAGACAGTCCCAAGATATGGCCGAGTAGAGTAACGAACAGAAGACGAAGAGCCCAGGGATGAGTTGGCAGTTACATTGCCTATGCTTTGAGGTTTTGGGAGGCAATCTGGCTGAAGCTTCGTACCCTGACACGGCCGCTCAGATGTGGGTGACATGGCAGAAGGAGGGTCAATACACACCGAGCCCTCAGGAATGCTATCTTTCTCTACGTTCTCCTTCTCATGTGAAGGTCCATTAATGCTTGTACCGGAGTGAGCCAAACCATGATCGCCATCCTCTTCGCCGGACGAAACATATTGCACCGAGGCTCCAGAGACAGAGATATCCATGTCGGACGAGACGTCGTTCTCATCGTCATCATCGCCAGTTAGATCAATGATGATATGGGAGTCCGCATGTGTTGTCTCATATGTGCCGTCTTCGTCATCGTCACCGGTTAGATCAATGAATATGATGTCCCGGTAGGTGCCGCCAGATGGCATAGATTGGTCGAGAGGCTTTTCAGAATGCTCGTCGGCGAAGGCAGAGCTTGTTATCACGTTCTTATTCTTCTTATTCTTCTTTTTCTTGCCTGTACGAAGGGCGTCAGCACGCGCCACCTGTTGGGATATAATACCGGACGCACCTTCTCGATTTCTAACCCTAACCTTCTTCTCGATAATCGATTGAGCCATCTCTGCGGCCTTTCTCTTCTTCCTCGGAGGCTGAGAATCCATACTGTCAAACGCGGCTCTCATTCTTTTGGCATCTGGATTCTCGCGAAGCGGTGTTAGTCTTGGTGCCGGCGCCTCTCGCTTCGCAATAAGTCTGCTCTGGGCCGTCCACGAGCTACAAAGATATCAGACGCTGTCGAACAAAGAGTCAGGACAAGAGGAAAGAAACTCACTTTCGACCGTAAGCCCCGGCTGCATGTGGCAGGAGAAAAGCATACGTCTGGGCACACCACTGGTGCACTGATTCGAACCCTTGCTCGTAGTAGAGTGCCCCGATCGCCATCTCCATACAATCCGCAGGACTTTTCACAACGTCCTTGCCGATGGAGAGTCTCACTCGCTGTTGCAAGGTTGGGCCAGTAGGGTCCCGTCTGGTCTCCTGGCTATATTGGACAACGGGTTCGAGGATAGAACCATATTTAGCCGTGCGGGGGTCTATCTTCTCCACGATCAACGCGAGTATCAGGTTCGTCACCAGGACCTGCCTGAGAACCTGCGACGACAAAGGTCAACCACACAAGGCGATAGCAGAAAACATCAGTAGAGATCGGGAAGATCCGGGTTCGCTGAAAAACGTACCGTCAGGAAGTGTGGCATACTTTCGGGGTATAGCTTGCGCAACTCGAGTGCGACGCAGATGTATAAGAGCGCATCTCCGACGAACTCGAGCCGCTCGTTCAAGTCCACTTCGCCTCTGGTCGTGCCTTTCACAATCCTCTCCCACGTATCCGGATGGATAGGGGGAAGAGTGGGACGATAATCGCGGTCGACGATGGCCAATATGGTCGCATTCTGGATATTCCGGTCAGGGAGGTCGCCGTGTGCCATAGGTGGACCTCAAGTAGTGCAGAAGGGTAGGGAAAGGGGGTTCTAAGCAAGCTGAGAGGGGGTGGGCTAGTAGAATGTGATGGGGGGAAAGAAGAATGCAGCGGGTTTGAGGGCGAGACGCGAGCCTTTTATGCGTCCCACGACAAAGAGCGGTCCGAAAGAGAACAAAAGACGCTTGGCCAGGGCCAGCGCGAGTGCCGTCCGCGCTGAACACTCTTACGTCATCGGCAATTCGCGCAGGGAGACTTGGATCGGTAAGTGAGCGTGAACAAAGTATGACGCAAGCCTGCAGCTGCCTGCAGGCATCGCCAGAATGGCGGGCTGACAGTTTCTGCCACCCTCCGCCCGCTTTGGGCTTGTCATTTCCTTCGCTCATGGATGGCCTGGTGGAGACTTGTCACGGGTATTTTTGTGTAGTTTTATTGCTAAGAAATCAAAATGTCGCTTTCTGCGAAAAGTAAATATTTTTAAATGGCCTGAAGTCGGTGTCGGGGCTGGGGGGTGGAAAAACCACATCATTCATGGCTATGGAGTGACGGTTATAATACATTACGCGAGGTAGACAAACAAGAACTCTTGGCCGAATGGTTATTTGTGCGTTTATGAATACCGTGCTGCCAGTGAGGCGGTTGGTTCGAACCCTCATGATGCCGCTCGCGCTTTTTATGTAATTTTACCCTGAGTTTCTCTACCGAGAGCCTTATCGTCCTTTGCGACATTGATGTTCGTGAAAGTTTTTTAATATGTATATACTTATTACTCTGTAGTACTACAATTTAAGCCTGAGGCTTGTGTAGAGAACTTAGCTACTCGCGAGTCTTTTTAGATAGCATTGCTGTGCATCATTCCCTTTCTATGAACATCCAGCCGACCGAGGTACTGGGCCACACACCGGTCGAGCCGCAAATTCAACGCAAATCAAGCTTCCTCGTGGTTGAATTCACAAAATCTCACGACACATATGCATATATCTAGCAATATTAATGATTCATTCGTACTTATTGTCCTCACTTTGAGCTTGCGATTTGATAGGCTCTCGCAAACTTGGTTTGACTCTGTGCGCCACTCACGACTTGGCGCAAACTTCGCGTCTCGTCCTGCTGACCGGCTCTGCGGCGCCATCAGCGAAGCCTGTTGCCTTTGCCTCGAGGTCGCCCTTCCTCTGGGCGAATCCCTACGTCACTCTTTGTTCACGCTGCCTAGCCACTTGGATCTGGAAAATACATTCTACAAGGATAAATATCCCCGCTACATACGACGACGCATCTAGTCCAATGAATATTTACTGCCGAACAAAGGACGCTGATCATGACAATCCCAATCTTGCCCTGACCCGCTTCTCACCCTGGCCCAACTCTGATTCGGCAGACTTAATGTACAACTGTGCCAGCGGGTTGTCGTCGCCCTCCTTCTCCAAGTCATCCTCGATCGCGGTGAACTCCCTCTGGAACTTGCCATTCAGAACCTGATACAAAAATGTCGTTAGCATCGTATGAGAATTGTAACGGCATATAGGTGGCAAACCTGGTTGTAGAGGATGTCTTTGAAGTGCGTGCGGATGGCCGAGCCGTCGAGCTTGAGGGCCCCGTTCAGTTGCCCATATTGCGACACAGACGAGTGGTGCTTCAATTGGGTGATGAATCCTTCTTCTGCGGCCTAACATATAATCAGCGTCATATTTCCGAAAGAGGTTCGAGGGAGTAAATCTCACAGCTTCAAAGATTTCTGCGGGTTCCTTGGACATCCACCTGAAGGAGAGAAACGGTAAGACCGTGGAAACATGAGGCAGACCGTAGATACTCACATTTCGTAAACCAAGGCCTCGTCTGAGCATCCAGCTTCCTTCAAGACACTGTACGCCTCTCGGAAGAGCATGATGATGTTCGGCCACAGGCCCTGCTCCGCAAACAGATCCATAGCCGTCTCCTCCTTACATGAGCTAGCAATCGCGCCGGTCTTTGTGGCTCCGATGGCTCGTGAGAGGGCCAAAGCGAGTGCAAGGCCATTGCCAGTGCCGTCCTGTTCGACGCTTACGAAACACGGGAAGCCTTTGCCCTTCTCGTAGAGAGACCTCACGGAAGAACCAATCATCCTGCAATACATGAGTCAGTCTACTGGCACAGCGCGATGTGCGTAAGGACCGACCTGGGTGCGACCATGACAACGTTCTGCGAGGGCTTGAAATCCAGCAACTTGTAGTAGACGTTATATCCGCTCGCAACAACGATCGTGGCGTCATCCTGTAACACAGTTGACAGTCGTAAGTCTTAAGACAACAACTCTAGCGCAAACGATCGTACCTTTAATGTTGGGGCGACCAGCTTGTTGAAGATCTTGGGCTGGACCTGGTCAGGAACGAGAAGGAAGACGACTAGTCGCGTTCACTCAGCCTTCCTGTGTTATATTTAAAGAGAGGACTCTTGAGGTACTCACCATCGGCGCCCTCTGTGGCCTTGGTAAAGTCATGCACGACATTAAAACCCTTTGACTTCGCGTCAACGGCATAGTGGTCCTCCCGGTTTGCGATAACAATCTTGTCGTTTGGGATACCACTATCCCGCAGGTTCTGAGCCTGAGCAGCGCCTTGGTTTCCAAAGCTATAGACCGAGAATCAGTGTTCAATGTCGAATCTGAAATGACAAGCTGGAGTACACACCCTAGGAAGAGAATGGTTTTGTCCTTCAAGAGGGCAAGGTCGGCATCTGAGTCGTAGTAACTGTTTTCGTATCAGCAAAATCTGCTTGTATGAAAACGCCAGATAATATAGAACATACATCTTAGCCATGGCGGAATTGAGGAGGTGAATTGAGTGGGTATTTCAGTGAGAACCGGTAGAGTCAAACTTGTGCAATTCATCCTCGCAGCTCTCACCCAGGCTTATAAGGAGTAACGCTTTCGGCTCCCCATAAACGCGACATTCCTTGAACCGGTATTTTTGTTTCCGTATCGCGTCTAGATCGTGCCCTTGTGATGAGTGCAAAGTCCCTGTGATGTTCTCAAGCCCGAGCACCAGAGTCCCTGTGATTGACGATGGTGGTAAGAAGCAGATGTCTGTCCAGTGTGCGGCCCGCGCATCCGTGCGGAAGGAGAGGAGTGTGGCACCGATAGACACTCGTGACCGACCAAAACCCGGCTTCATCTTGACTTTATTTCCCCGCTGCACTCAAGATGGACAGAAATAAGGGTTTACGGTGCCTTCGTGGCGGATGAGATGGCGACATAAAGACATTCCCAACATATCCATATCTTATCCGGATATCGCAGTCTATCGCTCTGTGAACCAAATCTGAACCCCTGTCGACTGTTGTATCCAGACCGTCCACTGCTTCCCATACAATGTCTCTACTGTCAGGTCGCATAGCTTGTATTACTGGCTCATCGCGAGGAATAGGTCGCGCTTGTGCCCTCGACATCGCGAAGCATGGCGCCACTGGACTCATCCTACATTATTACGGAGACAAAGAGACGACAGCGGAGGCCGAGTCATTGACTGAAGAGATCGCGTCCACTTACCCCCATGCAAAAGTCCTCACCGTACCTGGAGATATTGGGAACCCCGAGACTTCTCAGAAGGTGCGAAGGCCTCGTAGTGTTATGGCCTTCAAGTTGAGCCTTACTCTGAGTAGGTCGTGGATGCCGGGGTTGAGAAGTTTGGCCGCATAGGTATGTGTTGTGGCCCAATTCTTCGAGTTCGCATTGTACTTCATCCCGATACTAAGTCTCTGGAACAATATAGACATACTTGTCAGCAATGCGGGCATCTGTCCTTTTGCAGACTTCTTGGAGATGCCTCACGATACATGGCATCTCACCCGGAGAGTGAATCTGGATGGATCCTTCTATATCACCCAAGGTACGCCTGTTCTCCGGTACTCTCGCCAATATATACTAATACAGAGAGTTGTGTAGCTGTGGCGAGGCAGATGCGAGACCAGACTCCACAAGGCGGGTCCATCATCGGCATCTCATCAATATCTGCTCTAGTGGGAGGAGCCCAGCAAGTGTGAGCATCCTTCCATCCTTCTCCTCCGAATGTCTTCGTACTGATTGCGACACAGTCACTATACCCCCACCAAAGTCAGCTCCACAACCTCAGCATCTATCAGCCGTGCTCGTTACTAACACTTGGAACCAGGCCGGAATATTATCACTCATGCAGAGCGTAGCTGTTGCGTTAGGTAAATATAACATCCGCGCCAACGCCGTCCTTCCTGGAACTATCGCCACCGACATCAACAAAGAAGACCTTGCTGACGCAAAGAAACGTGAGGGTATGGTCGGGAGGACTGTCTTGGGGAGGCTTGGAAGTCAGTCCATTCCTCAGAACCCTGTGTCTTCTCGTCTCTGTGTCTGATGCATCACCTCCATTGAACAGACCCAGACGACATCGCTGGCCCAGTCGTTTTCCTGGCCAGCGACCTCGCGAAATACGTGACGGGCGCGCAACTCCTAGTCGATGGCGGATTATTCGTCAACCTGCAGTAACTTCGCTCCGAGTAATTTATACATTTGTACGAATAAGCCCCTTCCTTGCTGTGAACATATACAATAGTACTGTTGTGCACGGTCAGTCTCGCCATTCCTCCTGCAGAGTCTCGCCATTCACAACCGGAGGCACCGCATCCACAACGACTGTGGCCCATCGAGCCCATGTCTTCCCCGGATTCCGCCAGGCATGCATCGTAGCCTTCTGTATAACCGTATCCCCAGCATTTGTTAGATGTCGCTCCTCGCCATCTTCCATGATCAGCACGACCTCTCCTTGTACTGCAACAAGGAAGTGACCGATAAAAGATTCGTCAATGTGGGATCACGAGAGGATTGAGTGAGAACAGAGTTGACACCCACGAAGAATGTTATAGTCTAGCGAGATTGTGCGATGCTACAATCAACGTATAGAAGAAACACCAGTGTCTAGGATACGTCGACAGTCAAAATTTGGGAAAGAACAATGTATACCATAGGTGTGACAGCCCCAGGCGCAAGGTCAGTATACCGGAAATTCGTCCCACCAGGTGCCGCCATCCCTTGCAACGGTCTTGTCGCACCATCGACACTATAGAGACGGGCAAAGGCACATTAAACCTCGCCCACAACGATGCCCAACAAACCCGACTGATTCACTTACTCCGAATTATTGTCCGTCGAGGGCATATCATGGGTCACCCACAGTGCGGCGGCTGTGATACCCGGTTTAAACTCCTAGAAAGTCCAGCAGGAGTAAATACAATATCCTTACAAGTTCGGGACTATCGACGTTGGCGCTTACCGCTGTAGGAATACCAGCGTCGCTCTGCACAACGGCTTTGCCATTCAAATCATGGCCTGTGACGATGCGCCGTAGGTCGGGTAGAGGAGCTTCGTTCACGTTGGACGCCATACTTGGAAAGAGGAGTGGACTGTTAGTCGACACGGAATGAAAGCGATGCGTGCTCGTATGTATACCGGCGAACAAAGGAGGGGTTCTACTCAGGCGATCTTATCGATGTCGGAGCGGTGTTTTCTTTCACATGGCTGCGGGGCCGGATAACACGGAAAAGGCAGCGTTGTATCCGGATAGGGGTCACAAGGGCAGTTGACAATCTGGCGGGCAACTTCACCGGACAGTCGATGTCCACCATTTCGATGTTCAAGCAAGATAGGTTATTGGACCAGAGGAGAGGAAATAAGTCGCATAATGAACTGAAAAGGTAACCACACACACGAGTACAGATACAGATAGATCCGCAGTGAGAGAAAGGAAACGGGTGCAGCATAAACAGCAGGCTATGAGGCAGTATCTAGTTGGAAGAGGCGTGAGTAAAGGAGTCAGCTAAGAAGTGAATGGAAGAGCGTACAGTAGTGGTATTCGTCAATGAGCGGCATCCAGTCTTTGAGTAAACCGCTGATGAGGTTGAAGACAGGGATGCGTTCGGTGTTATTTGCGAAGGCTTCCAACTTCGGTCTAGAGAAGAGAAGAAAGGATTTAGTTTGCGACGAAGATAAACGGGCTTGATATTGTTCAAAACTGACCTCGTCCAAGTCTCCCAGATGGATCCGCGCACAAGATACCAGAATAGATCTCTATCTCTGCGCGCATACTCCCCCCGTTCGAGGGAAGACGAGTTAGAAGGTACTCGGCGAATATTCCTGGACAAAAGCTCCATCGCGAGTGACACCATTAGGGGGCGATTAGATTTACGGTCTGCCGAAAGCATGATGGCTTCGGAGAGAGCGCAGATATCAGAAAATGAACGTTTCGAACCTTTACACGCTTCGTCACTCACCGTAAATTAAAGGACGAATAATGTAGAGACTTTCTGACAACCATTCTTTCGGTGAGACAAGAGGTCTGACGAGTGAAGTTGGTGTTTTCACGGAGGCGGTGGTGAGAGCCTTGGATAGAAGATACTCTTCCACGGGGGAGGTATGCTTGGTCTGAGGCAATGGAGAGGCAAGTAGTGGATGTGGATGCAATGGAACATGGTTGTTCCTCAGGTGTTCGGGTGTCAGTGGTGGGGATGACGGGGGTGAAGAAGGAGCAAGAGTCGGCGAAGATGTGTTGGACGGAGGAGGCAAATTAGCGGGATCTATGTCTCGCTCAGGAATAGGGGGCGACAAAATTGGTCGTCGTGTGATGCGAAGAAGAGCGAAGCGAAGCATAGCTCTATAGGGCAACACGCAAATTGAGACAAAACTAGCGCCACACAAAGGTTATGGACGTACTTGATGGCCTCCAGTAAAACGATGCCTCTCCACCGGCCCTTCTCTGAGAACTTCCTCCGTAGACCCATCTCAATCAAGAGCTCAGTAAAGCGAACAAGCTCCAGCACCCTGGCAATCCATTTGTAACGGACGTGGCCATCTGCCCATGCGCGAGTATAGCGAGTATGGAGAGAGGGAGGTAGAAGAGGTTTGTGTTTTGGCTCTGCGTCGATTATCCTGGCGAGTAGTGTATCATGGTACAAGCTCAATACATTGAGCGATGCAGCCACTGTAACGTTACATATATTCAGTAAGAGCAATTGGTCGACGACAGGAAAAGGTAGACTGACGAGCCTCAGAGGCCAGCTCTGCATCTTTGAATCTGCCAGGAAGAAGCCAAGTGATGGATCTGAGGGTGGACTCGACCGAAGAGATGGTAGAGACATTCTTGACTAGGAAGGATTCATAGCTAGCGATAGCAGACGACATTGAACAAGAGAGCGAAGGAGGGTGAGGGCGCCGTGGCGAGGCCCGACGACGAGCACGTACAGTGCGGGGCGGTCGACAACAACGTGAATTCCGGTCTTTGGTTCCCGGCCAGGTCTCGAGCTCTCACGCTCCTCCATCGGGTAACCGGATGCAAACAGGCAAATTAAGGCTGCAAACATACCCTTCAGTTTGTGGCTAACGACTTCCACATTCCGTTCCCCGCGTTCATCGTTGAGGTTTGGGGAATACCACGTCGCCGAGCACGTATCGCTGTTTGCATTACAATTGGGCATCGACGTCGACAGTGCCGACTCATTGTATTACGTAAGTTCAAAGGTGAGGCCTACAGGCACCTCTAAGATTATTGCCTCGTGCTTTTTGTACCTTCAACTACACCCACTACCACCATCACCAATTTTTCAAGTACGTTGCCCTCTTCTCGTTGGGGCTTCTCAATAAGAGCCCACGCTGGGTCTCCCCGGAGTAGCACCCATGGCTTCCTCGCACACTCCTTTGGCGTACTTCCAGGTCAGTCCTGTCAGAGGACAGCTCGAACCGTACGACGGAGAGACGAGGACCGGCTGGAGGTATCTGCAGTGCACCGATACTCCTAATGAGCTCAAGGTATGATTTACTTCTTTCTCTCCGCCCTGTGTGGTTCAGATCTAACTTATCGTCTCGCCAGGTCCTCCTTCCCCCAAAGACTGCTACTCTTTACGCACAGCTCTTGCAGTACGAGACTGCAGAGCTCGCCAAGGGCAAGAAAGCTTCATGGGACCTCATCCTTCACATCCGACACCTCAAGGATCGAATGATTCGCAAATGTCAACGTATCTCTCGTCTGGCTACCCCTGCAGTTGCTTCCGGTGCTAGTGCTGCTTTCCGTATCGTTCATGCACCCCCCGACTTTCGCCTCAAGGAGATGGAGAGATGGCTTCGAGATCAAGAACCGCGAGGGCGCACTAGGGATCCCTCGAAGAAATACACCGTCGAAGCCGCCGCCCCCAGGCCGCAGACTCCCCAATCTTCCTGCAGCGTTTGCGGACATGTACACCGATCGGCGCATCCTCACGATAGCCATGCTCAGACTGCAAGTCCTCGTTCAAGTCGCGTAGCGCACTCCGCTAGCCGTTCGAGCTTGTCGCAACGTGCACCCACGAAGGCATCCGCGTCCGGCAAACGTCGTGTCTCTGCCTCTTCCCAAAGTACCTCTCGATCCCAATCTTCTTCGGGAAGTCAACGTCATCCCATGCGCTCCGCGCCTCTCGCTTCGCAGGCCGCGTACCTCTCGCCTGTCGTCGAAGAACGTACAGGGATGTCGCTTTCACCGTCCTTGTCCAACCCATATGGCCTCACTCCCGAACATGCCTTCGACGATCCTGGTCCCCGTTCTGAGGTCGTTTCTCCTGAACCCCTCCCTCATCCCTACCGCTCGAGCACGAATCTCTCAGAAATCCCGATGGAAATGCCTCAGCCTATGACACAAATGCCGGAACCCGTTCACTACCAACCCGTTTTTGTCGACTCTCGGGAGCAGTCGCCCCCAATGGCGCCAGGTTCGGACTTTGGCTCGGTTCTGCCTAGTTCACCTCTAAAGGATGACTTTGCTCCGACTGATGCAGATGTCCAAGAAGGCCCTCCGATCGCTGGCTCATCATTAGCCAGGCCCGGTATTCCTCGGAGGAGGAGCAGCCTCAAGCAGTCCGGGCGTGTGAGCACTGGGGAGCGCTCGACGAAGGTAGTCTCGTGGGCTATGGATAATGATTGGTCTGACCATATGTCCAAGTTTGACCACATCGCGTATGCGACTGAAATAGCAGGTGGGACTATTCAGTCAGTAGTCTAGTTGACGCCAGAACTAAACTTGGATGCCACTAGGCAATGCCCTAGACGAGGCGAGGACGAAGTTCCAGGCCGAAATTATCGGCGTGCGGGACTTACGCCATAACATTACGGCAGCCTTGGAGAGATTGCGCTTGGAAACGCAGACGTTGCAGCTGGAGGAGCAGAATCTAGCCACGCACGAAGAGAGGCTAAATGTCAGCTTCGAGCAACTCCGGGAGAAGGAGAACACCTACAAGGACACAGGTCAGGGTTTCCTCTATGTCTCCCTGGGTCAATCACACTAATTGTTTGTGTTGTTTTAGTCGCTGCCGTTCTCGAAGAGACGAAACGTGTTGTGATGGCTGCCGATAAGAAGAGGGATGAACTCCTTAGTTGAGCCGCTTTACGCTATATTTCACGAAACTCATGCCTTACACGACCACCGGTTTTCTTCCATTTTTCTTATTCCTTTTATAGTCTCTCTTAACGGCCCGCGCTAGACTTCTCCCTTCAACGTCGTGTGCCTCCGAGCCTTCCGAACAAGCATCGAAGGCATTGCTGAACACCTTCGAACATATTTCTATTTCAGACGGTCCAAGTGGACCATTGTCTGTATTACTATTGTCTGACCCCTTTACGCCCACTCATACCCATAACTTTGGACTGCTTTCCTGCTTTATTTATACCACAATGTTGTTTACGACGACGGGCATTTGCCTCCATCCTGCGAGATACAATATCTAGTTCTCGAATGTTCTTTACGAGTAGACTCTCTGAACGACACTATACCGGCTGTATGTACTCTTGTGGTCTGTAAACACGCGTTTCTCCACCTAAATGGCATATCAATGGGCCATTGCAGGCGCACAGTCGGCCGTTTCAACTTGCAGTGAAAAGGAGAACGGTCAGGACTGACTCGCCTTGAGCCGCACGGCCCGGCGTCAACAAGCTTTAGTGCCTGGTGCCAAGCTCTTCCAAATGAACTTGTTCCCAGTTTGCCGGTGAACTCTAAGCGTACGCGTACAGCAGTCGTACCTCACGAGAATGGCGTTCTTCGAAGATAGCAGCACCCGCGGCTATCTTCTCTCCTCGAGTCCTCGCTTTGCTTCGCTCTTCCCCTCCGTCAAGGCTAAACCATCTCTTGACACGTCCATGAGCTCACCTGGGCCGTCTTCTGCAGATATCCAAACTCATATCTACAACTCGTTTCTTGAGGGGAAGACTGCGGACGTAGCGCTTCACGTCCAGGGATCCTGGAACGCGATCTACAAGCTACATCGTGTCGTTCTAATCCAGGCGGTGCGCAAGGCTTATTGTTCAGACGTATCCGGGGCAGGAGAACTTACTGTCGCTTCGAATGGCCATAGGGGTTCTTCCGTAGCTTGTTTGATGGCGGGTTCGCTGAGTCCAAATCGAGAATGAGAGCTTCGCATGCTCATCCGGGGATTGTGGACATGATACTCGAAGATACGAACATCACAAGAGCAGGTACGAGATTCATCTCATCTATCCAACGCCTAGTTGACAGATCCTCGTCTTGGTAGCATTCGAGTGAGCACATCCGTTCAGTCGTGTGATACTAGTATCCATACTCAACTCGGTTCTGCCATCTAGGCTATGCATTGCGCGACTCTATGGCGGAGGGCCTGAGCTATATGTGGATACAACAACAATCCCTACGCCCGCCAAACCCTTGACGCCCTCGTTCCCCGTCCCCGGTCCACGTCCCACTGTTCCTCCCGGCCAACAGCTCGCCACACCTCGTTTCCTCCTATCCTTACTCGCCGCATCCATCTACCTCTCTATTCCCTCTATCACTCGCCAGTGTGTGACTCTCATCCTGAGCTCTGTAGGACCCTATACCGTTGTGTCGTACCTCTCGTTTGCCGTAGGGGATGGGATCGGACCATTGACGGAAGGGGACACAGACAGTGCAGCAGGTCTCGAACGTGTTGCAGAGTCGGTGAAGGTGGACCCGGAACGGTACCTTTCTCTTCGTCGAGCGCACGCCAGACAGCAGAAAGGCGAAGATGGACAGAGTATCTCTCTGGCCTCTGAAGCAGCGTCCGTGCGTGAAGGGGAGAATACCGGTGATCAGTTGTCTACCTTTGACCTCGAGTCGAGAAAGGAGGACCCGTCGATCTACGAAGACTCTTCGGGATCATCTATCCGCGGCTTCGAAATCTTGAACCACAACCAGCTATACCTTCACTATGGCACCGTTTCTGACAAGATCGGAGAGGCCGCTGCCTGTTGGCTAGCTCGCTGGGGTGTAGATATGCTTCACTACGAGGTCCAGGCGAAGGATGCGACTAAATCTGGCCCTGGATCGATGGGTCCCTCATCAGAGAACAGTGGAACAGCACGGCGTTCGACTGTCTCCACCACTCGGCCTACCGGCGGTTTCTTGACTTTCCAGCCCATGCCCTCCAGCGTTCCCGTCATATGGCGTCGAGGTGGAATTGCTCCTCGATGGATACGTGCTCTCCTGTCATCTGACTCAATGTTCGTGAAGGATGAAAAGGAGAGATATGATGCGGCAAAGATGGTGGTCGAGTTGCGGCGGAGCGAAGGGATAGACGTGGAGGAGGAGATCGAGTTCACGAAGTTATTTACAGAAGGAATCTACTATCAGAACATGGTCGGTCCTTTTTCTTGCCTTCTGTCTGGCAATGTGGTTTCCTGATGGATTACTCTGTACAGTCGCTGGAAGACCTCGTTTCTATATTCGAGGATGTATCACCAACCACTGGCCAAAGCTATATTCCACTGGGGGTCATCCAATCTGCTCACTGGAACCAAGCACTCTTGCACCACAAGATCACCGGTCGTTCCTTCTCTTCGGCTTCCCCGCCATCGTCGCCTAATCCTGGCGGATCTCGCGACAAGGAGCTCGGCGTGTCGATACCCACCACAGAGATTGTCGAGAAACTGCTAGGGGCGAACCATGACGCGGAAAAGGACCGCGCTTATTGGCCAGTGCCTGCAGACGCGTCCTATCGAATCGGAGATGGTTCTGCAATTGATGGCGCCACGATGGATGAGCTTTTCGAGCGTCCCTCCGCGGCCAACGGCAAGGGAGCGGGTCATGCCACGACATCTGAGTCCACATTCTTTGGACTCAAGACGAACCGGACTCTTGCACCGATGTGCTCGCAGGTACCGAAAGTGACCAGGTGGTCGCCATACCCTCCATGTCGTTTCGCCGTCGAGTTTTGGGATGTGGAAGCTTTGCGAGAGAAGAGCCGCTTACATTCTCATACCATCTGGTACGCCGGGAGTCTCTTCAACGTATACGTCCAACTCGTCCGCAAGAAAGGACTTCAACTAGGAGTGTATCTCCACCGACAATCCAGCATCGATCCTATACCCCCTGCATCAGCTCCATTTGGATTGCACCGCGCTGAACGGACTCATACTCGGAACATGTCTACGCCCACTGTGCCCACCTCAGTCTCCACGCCCAACGTGCAGCAGACCGCACACTCTCCACTCACGCAAACACGCTCTACGACGCCCACCTCCTCGACAACGGCAGGCTCTACTGTACCCAATACCCTTCCCGCTTGTGCGCCACCTATTGCACCACCACAGCCTTATCGAGATCCCCGCCCTGCCGTCTCCGCATATTTCACGATATCATGCGCGAGTGCAACGGGATCGTCTCTCACGTTATTCACGAGCGCACCAGACGTTTTCTCGGTCAGTCAGAGTTGGGGATGGAAGAGCAGCTCTTTGAGGACGGAGGAGTATCTGGAGGTGACGGGGAAGGATGGAGTGCCGGCGAGCACGATGCCGAGTGAGAAGGAGTGCAGCTTGAGAGTGACCGTTGTGTTGGGCATTGTTTGATTTTTCTTTTCTTTTCTTTTCTGTCCGTCGACTTCTAGGATCAATTTACCACTTATGCTTCATTTGCATTCTTTTAGGGATTTTCGGGAATCTGCATTTTTATATTTCTTGCCAGGACACCCATGTATACACGACCCTCCCTGCTCCATCTATGCACATGTACAGTACACATACTATAATTCTCATCGTTATGCTCTTCCATTATTGACGTTTACTATTAGGATATCCTTTTGTCGTGTTTTGAGAAAGTGGTTGAATGATATGCTTCCGACAGAAATCGATATGGATGAGCCCATGGATCAAGCTTTCAAGCCTTCGTCGGTTCCTTCCTTCCTTATTACAGCTCCGTCTTTGGATTTCAAGCTCCCTGGCGCTTATTTGAACCAACGAAATTCCCATCATCGATAAACGCCAAACCCATTTAAGCACTCAACCGTCTTAGAACCTGACATTCACCACACAACATGTCAAAATCGAAGCTGTCGCCGCCGCCACAATATCCCGACATCATCCTAGCCCTCGACTTGATCGACACCACACCACCGCGTTTCCACTGGTTCTTCTACGTCGCAAACCCTGCCGATGGTCGGGAGAATTCAATCGGAACGAAACTACACGCCATCGGCGACCCGTCGACTGCTACGGGCTGGTCGTACGATAGGATCTCTCTCGACTTGTTGAACTCGACAGCCGTCGCATCTGCTGCTATCGTTGGAAAGTTGAGGTCGAACACTACCATCGACGATCTAAACAAACTTTTGAGTCCTATTCCGATGGTGGTTCCGGAGGTTGATAGGGGCCGCGAGCCCCGATTCACGTGTCGGGTGTGGTGTCGCGAAGCGCTTCGACGGCTGAACGACGCGAAGATCGTAATTTGCGAAGATGTCGATTCTATGGAGGAAGAGATGTGGGAGTATGGTCGGGCTGCGGCAAAAGAAATTGAGGACGATGTTTTTGAAGCCGCGAAACTTTGGAAAGCCAGAAATTCCAGATAATGCCCGTGAGTAATTTCAAGACCGTCTATACAACTAGCAAAGAGATTGACGGTGTTTTTGAATAGGATCACTCGTACACGACGTTATTCACTCTTCGAGTGTAATGGAAGAAGATATCCGACTTCATGCTCAGAAGATCTCAGTGTAGCCACATACAAAGATTCATACTCACACGCTGATCATGAATACACCATCAGTATAGTGCAGGAACGATCCTTCACCCTGCTTGAAACGACTAGTAATATAACCTGAAGACATAATCATTAGATTTGCAGCCGCAAACTGGGGAGGACGATGGACTGGACTGACCCAAACGACCAATCGCGCCTCGCAAACCGACCACCAGCGTTGTTGGCAGCCGCAGCGTTATTGTTGTTGGCGGCGGCGGCACCAGCACCAGCATTGTTGTTCGCGGCAGCGGCGCCATTGGCGTTGTTGTTGTTGGGGGCAGCAGCAGCACCGGCACCAGCATTGTTGTTCGTAGCGGCAGCAGCGCCATTGCCGTTATTGTTGTTGTTCGCAGCGGCGGCACCAGCACCGGCGTTGTTGTTGGCGGCGGCAGCGTTACCAGCACCGGCATTGTTGTTCGCAGCGGCGGCGCCATTACCGTTATTGTTGTTGTTGGCGGCGGCGGCAGCAGCGCCGTTTCCGTTATTCCCGGCGGCAGCAGCGTTCGCACCATTGGCGTTGTTGTTGGCGTTGGCATTAGCGTTACCGCCGTTAGGACGAGCACGGTTCTGGCGAGCCCAGATCGAGTCGTAGTACTCGCGAGCGTGGGGACTATCGCTCTCGTCGTCCCGGGTTTGTTGGTTCTCGACCTGTTCCGAATTCAACAGATGAGCATGAGTCTAGGGAAACACTATAAGTAAGACGATAGCTAGGCAACTCACCGTAGTAGGCGTATTAACATGGCTTGCCGCCCTTTCAGCGAGGATCTCTGCAGCGAAGTCTCGAATAATCTAGAGACAAACGGGATGGATGTGAGATGCCGTCCATTTAATTAGGTGTGAGAGCGATATACATACGGTGGCCTTGTCTCCCGATCGAGAGATCTACCATACGCTGGGTTAGCTCCTTGGATCTGGCATCTACACTGACATAGGTTGCAAAACTCACTAAGCGATGATCGGGTGCATTGGGTGCTACAGGCAACGCAGCGACGTTCAGAGCAAGAGCCACGACGACGGCAAGCGTTGAAGCATAAGGAAAGATCATGACGAAAGCGAGACGAGCGTGAGGATGATATCACTTTTCTGGGTCTGAGGCTGCGGCACAAGGAGCGATAGAGCGGATGGAAGAAAGAGCAGAAGAGCGAAAGTAAATGAAGGCAAGGAGACCAGACCAGTGGGATAAGGAAGGTAAAGGGTGAAGTCGATACCAGACCGACGTTGAAGGTTGAACAAATTGAGGGCGAAGACCTACCGTTCTCTCATCGTCCTCACCGAGTCTTATATAGTCTGGGGAGCGTGCTGCGATTGGTCAAGAGCATACACATCATCGCATTGAAACGATTACCCAACGGTCGATAGCTTCGCTGGAAGTTAGATACATCCCACAGAGCAACGGAAAGCGGTGGCAAGCGATGCTCTGAGAAGCTGCGTATGTTGACGATGGCGAGTGATGGAATAGAACATGAAGACAGGGGTCACACCGCGAGCTGAGGGCAACTTAAAAGAAGAGCGTATCCCAAGTTACCTTGGACGCTGCGGCCGAAATAGTTCACGTGGCACCAGATTTGGAGCGAGGTTCTCCGACTGTGATTGCGCGGTTCCGAGGACGAGAAGTTGGTTACGGAGAGGTTATGACCGAATATAATAAAACATCTGTGAAAACAGATGAATCGGCGGGAAGTAGGTCAGCATGGAGGGTTGTTGACATATGGGTGTCCGCTCACCGTGACTTTATATTTAGTCTCCGGGAGATAATATACACTCGACAATTCGACAACTAAAAAGACAGACACACAATGGTCTTAAATCCTATACACTGCAAACCTTCGCCTATTCCACCCCAGGCTCCTTATACCTCCTCAATGCCCTCTCCCGCACCGCCTTATGGTCAACGATAGGCCTCGGATAACCTGTCCTCTCGCAGATCTTCGCCGTAGGGTTATGTATCTCCGGGCCCCTGACGTCCTTCAGCTCTTCTACAAAGGCTCTGATATAGTCGCCCGTAGGATCGGCCTTCTCAGACTGAAGGTATGGGTTCATGATGCGGAAGTATGGCTGCGGATCTGTACCGGTGCTGGCGCTCCACTGCCACCCACCGTTGTTGTTTGCGAGGTCGCCGTCGACGAATTGCTGCATAAAGTACTGGAATGGGAGAAGTGTTAGAACAGGACTATGCTAAATAGCGGATGGTAAAGCTCACGCGTTCACCAAGACGCCAGTCAATCATAAGATCCTTGCACAGGAACATGGCTGAAATCATTCGAGATCTGTTATGCATCCAGCCTGAGCCAATATGAGGGCCGTGATCGTACGCAAGAACAGGAACTTGGCGACTTACCCATCGTATTCGCCTGTCGCATAGCCGCATCGACGATAGGAACGCCCGTCCGGCCGTCCTTCCACGCTTGAAGCTTCACCTCATCCGTCTCCCACTTCACTGCCGCATACTTCTCCTGAAACGGTCTCCCCATAGAGACACGCGGAAACGCAGCCATAACGTGCGTATAGAAATCGCGCCATGCGATCTCCATGACCCACACGCCCAACGACGTATTCCGGTTCGCTTCGACGGTCTTCGACCCCATAGCATTCATGGTAGCCCGGATGAGTTCCCTCGCAGATATTACCCCGGCGGAGAGGTATGGACTCAGGCGGCTCGTGTGATCACGGTCTGCTTTGTCTCTGTTGTCCTTGTAAACAAGACCCCGACTGCGCTTGTCAGACCATTCTGCACCCGGTTCAAGTGGGTCAGAGTTCCCGACGTGAGTGTTTCTCGACTTCGTGTGTAAGAATTGGTCTAGAATCTGAAGAACCCGGTAAGTGCTGCCAATTATATAAAGATTTGAATCCTCTCACCTGGCGGGCGGCGGCCTGGGAAGCAGGCCAAGTTTTGGCCATAACCTCACGATCCACACATTCAAAGTTAGGTATGAAGTCTGGGACGGGCGTGTCGAATAGTGGGCCAAAAGTGGGATGTTTGCGGAGGGATTCAGAGTTCGCACTTGGCCTTGGACTTTCTGCCAAATAGACATCGCGATGGGCGTTGAGTTCAGAGACCCACTGACGCTGCCAGGGCGAATATACCTGACAAACCCGGTGTGGGTGAGCATCAATGTCTAGTTCATACAGATAGAGGGTAAGATCTCACAGTGTAAGGTTTGCCTTGCTTGGTGAAAAGCTTTCCAGGAGGAACGACCAGTTTGTCGTGGATAAAAACAGGAACGATGCCCTGTTCCTTCGCAAGTTGGCAAATCTCGATATCGCGTCGGAGCTCATCTACTTCGTACTCTATGTTGGCGTAAAGCCGTCGGCAGTTCCAGTTTTTGATGAGAGAAATGACTTCGCCGGGAAGCGACCGGCGGCGATTACAGACGACTATGTGCAATGGCACAAAGAGCTCCTCTACGAGAGATGCCTGGAAGTACTGAGTGAGTAAAGCCCTCGAACCAGAAGACAAATACTAACCTGAAGACACCGCAGGTTTCGCAGTGTGAAATCGATCCTGCGGGGACTTCTGTCATGCGCGGCGTAATCCTGGGGGCTGATGGTGAATAAAACCAAGAGGGGCACATCTTCTTTTTTTGCTTGCTCGGAGGCTTGATGCAATGCTCTATTGTCGGATACTAAAAGAATGAACAAATATAATTACCTATGAGTTCGAGTTATGGACGAGATGCAATAAAAAGATTACTTCTCATATCCTCCATTCTCATCCAATAAACGACCGCATCTCCCTTCTGGGCCGGTTTGAAACCCTTATCCAACAAAGCAGTGAGTTTAGTCAATGGCGGGTCAGCGTCAACACGCGCTGCAGCTTCGGCCGTCGCGATCTTGTTCTGAACGACAGCTGCATCTGTACGAGGCTTCTTCGCTAGTACGGGAGAAGGGGAGCGAAGCGTGCTGGAGAATGCTCTCTTAGCCATAGTGATGGTGAGTGCACGAGATGAAGGGAGCATCACTCACGATGATTCCGCGGGGGTGCTCGCGGCGGCGCGAAGTTGACAGTTGGCGTCAGAGACAAGACACAACCTCGATCCTCCCGCCAGATCGAGCTCAATGTAACTAGCACGTGATCGCGTTGTGCCACGCCCGACGCCGAACGGTCAATCTCATCCAACGTTTTGAGTCAGTTTTGAGGCCTTGAATATCTTGGAGCATTGCGCTCGCGTTGATGGAGTGGTCTATTCTCAGGCCGGCACGATACTCCAATGACAGACAGTCTCGCATACTTCACGACTGTGAACACAGACGATGACACCCAGATCCCAAAGGCCCAACGCAATGATACATGTCCTCAAAGGACCGTCCTCCGCTTCCTCTTTGCATTAATCCACCACCACCGAACCGTGCAACCATACGCACACAATACCAGGAAACATCCAACTACAACGGCACCAAACACGTAGTAAGGATAGCCAGGCAACACGTTTCCGTCTGCATCAAGATGCAGATTCGTGGGGATATGAATATTAGTGGAGAATAGACCTTCAAAAATCGCTCGCTGGTGAGTACACCGACATAAAAAAGGATATATGGGATGGTGGTGTACCTATGATAATTTGCGCAGGCATCACTGCGATACTGACGACGGTCAGCACCATGATGGCCTTGTCCGTGCCCGATCGTCCTCGCGAGGCGGTAACGCGCAGGTTCTGAAGGTAAGTTGGATGTGATTGACTGAGCATTCGCTCGTAATGGGCGAGGGACTGCTGTAATGTGATAATGTGATCTGAGAGATCGGGTTGGGTTAATACTTGTGTAGTAGAATCGGCAGTAGCTCTCAACGCCTACCTTGGACATCACCCATGTAAATGACGAGATCATCATCTTCGCGCCCAGTCAAAGTCTGTCCGAAATCTCCCAACCTCTTCTGTAGACGGGCTACAACCTCGGACTTCGCCACTAGGACTCGAGAGAGGGTCGTCACGAGCCGCCGTGTACGCGCCATACGACGAAGTGCTACCGTGGTCGGGCTAACTGCCAGATCAGGAGCAGGGATTGTTCCTGGGAAAAACTTCGATAACATCCGATGAACAGTTCGCTTCCACCGCCGATACGATAAGGCAAAGGTAGGACGAGGAACAGAGAAGCGCGTCTTGGTGGTCTTTACCGACATGACCTCCTTGACAGAGAGACCTTTCTCGTCGCTAGTGAGGGTACTGAGCACGGAATGCGCCTTCTCCAGCTGCTTGACTGGTAGCTTGCGAGGTTTACGGATGGGTTGCGGAGCTACAGAATCGGTGCTGTCGTTAGAGTCGGAAAACACCGTGTTCTCGGCCGTGATGATCTCCTCTTCTATTTCACCGACGTAGGGAAAGAAGGCATCCACGATAGAATCGAGTATTCCATGAGCGATCCAAGCTAATGAATCACATCAGACGGAGAGCGACTGTAGATGGTGGATATGAGCCTACCTGAGGACATATTGATACTCTTTTCCATGACACGAATCTTACTACGCACCCTCTCGGTATGTTCTAATATACAGAGATCAGTGAACGAACATGACAAAAAATATACGGTATGCGAACCGGATATGTCAGAAAAATGGAACTAAATAGGCAATGAAGTTCAGATGAAGTTCACTCCGGAGGCTGAGCCAATCACTCACAGAGCAAATACCATCCGGAAAGACAACTAGATAAACATAAACCTCCGCCACATGGCCTTCATCCTCCGCGAGGTAGGCATCGGTGGTCGGGTCGCGAGTAGGCTGTGGTATACCCTGCGACTCGATGGCACGGAAAACGATGAAATAATAGCCAAGCTTCGGAAAGAGCTCCAGTTTCTCTCTAGGCTCCTGTTGGAGTATATCCTCTAGAGTCAACGGGTGCATATGCAATAACTAAACATATCTTCAGCAGGTCATTCTACCCTAAACTAGATAATCATGACGTACCTTCCCCATGGCACGCATATCCTCCCAAGTCGGACTTGCGACATCCAACCACCATGCCTGCTGATTCGATACATCAGGAGTCCCAGTGCCCACGCCTGGGGTGGGTGGATCCGGGGAGGCAGCAGCGCCTACTCTCTGTTTGCCTTTCCTGACCTTTTGAAGGGTCGGAAGCTCTGTGGCAGACTCCGGTCGACTCGAGGGCCCAGCATCCGGAAGCATGTAATCCAGATGAGGAAGTATCGGTATCGGGCCTTCGAGGGGTGTCTGCCTGGAAGGACGGGGTCGGTTTCGTGGCCTACGAGCTTTAGAAGACCTCTTCAGAGCGGCATCCAACTTCGAAAGGACTGATGGCAATGACGTCGTGCGTGTGGTACGCTGCTCTTCGGTGGTCGGAGGTGACTTAGAAGAAGGGTGGTAGGAGGAGGATAGCGCAGGGGGGAGGTAGAGGGAGAACTCGCGTTCGACATAACGGCGTTCTTCACGAGCTCGAATTCTGGCTGCGACCTCTCGCTCCGAGTTAGCACGGTTCAAGTCTGCGAGACTGGGGTTTCGCTTGCGACGTCGGTTGACGGATTTATTGGTCGTGCGGAAGGATGACTTGGAAGAAGAAGCGTCCGAGTCCGAATCCAATGACGAGGTTGACCAGTTAGCGCGGGCCCAACGAGTGATAGCCCGTTCGACGACAGCTGCCAGAGCACCCAAGGGACCACCGACCGTAGAAGCACTTGACGACGAGCTGGAAGACGACGACGATGACACGGAGTCAGAGCGACCAGGTCGTGGTGTAGATGGCGCCCGTCCTCGATAGATGTCACCATCGTCCTCACCATCTGGTTCGTTGTCCACTATTGTCCGTAGCTCGATACGTTCGTGGTCCGGCTGGTCGACGAAAGAAACTGACGGTTCTGTCATGGTGGGCGGGACGAGAGGAGACATCGGCTCATGAAGGTGGGTCGTCGTGCTCGCGCCAGAGCCGTACTAGCTGGAGAATATTCACCGTGCCATGGGCGTTGATTGACGGTTGGGGTGAGACAGTTCGCGGACAGCACTCGGATTTTTTGGGCCACTTTCGCACGTTCAAAGCGCAAAGCACACGTGGGCCACACTTGTGAGATCACCAATGAAATCGGACTGATATGCAACTGATCATGAAGACATTGAAGCAAGAGTATTGCATCCAGATACCAGAGTATAAATGATAGGAAACGGAAGCGACCAAACCTAACTCTTCCGACGCTTGTTTGCTCGTTCTCTGTCGCCCCAACCTCCATCCCGCTTGGCAGATTCCCGATGTCTTTCTCCGGCGCCAGTACTAGTCCTGCTGAACGCCTCTCCTCGAGCATACGGCCGCGACTTTGTCTCCTTCTGCGCTGCCTTCTTCTGCCTCTTCTCTATCACCTTCCGCACTGCCCCTCGTCCTCCCTGTTCGGCAAGAGCCTCGTATCGTGCCTTCAACATCAGCTCTTTCTTCGCACCTAAAATAACCGCAGAGCTTAGTACACCATACAGTCGAAAGCCTGTGCAGAGGATTGAACATACCGTCTTTCAGCCAGTACTGTCCTTTGCCCTCCTTCTGTTTTGCCTTCTCCTGCTGCATCGCCCGGTTCATTGCCTCCTGTTCGACTTTCTCCCTCCTATCCTTATTCACCGAACTCTCAGCGCGCTTCACGGCCAACTCAAGTCTCTGCACCTCTCGCTCCCGCTCTTCACGAAGATCGCGCGGGGATGATCCTACAAGTTTTCGTGCCCGCTTGAGGTTGTCGCGTAGGGTTTTGAGCTCCGTCTCGTGCATGTCCGCGATAAAACCGTATTGATTCCTGAATTTCTGTGCATCGAACTCGCCTGCTAAAGGCAAGAAACGAGGATCGCGCGGCTCCTGAATATTCGGAGAGTTGAAGTGAAGAGAAGTGAAGAGATGAAAGCGAATTCAGTCAACGCTTCACTCAAAGAGAGGGCCTTCCTTAAAAACGCACCATTTTAGGGACCTCAACTACCGTTCTCCGTCGAGATACCGGTCGTTTCGACGTTACCTCCGTAGGTCTGTACAATACTCAGTATGAACACTTAGACTAGATAATGAGAAACGTACGCATGCTTGCTCGACCGCTTCGTGATATCTTTTTTCGACTTCGGTTTCTCCTCCTTCGCCTTGCCTTTCTCCTCCCGACTCCAGCGTGAAGTAGGCTCTTCAGGTTCAGACCCTGACCCATCGGAACCTTCGTCCCCATCGTCATCACCCTCAGAGTCGCTGTAGGCTTTTGTCTGAGCTAATACACGCTGCGCTTTTTGTAGTGCGCCGAATGGCAGAGAAGAGAGATCTGAGAAAGACAGCGGCTCGGTCAGGTATGAACGAGTAAGTCAAGCAAGTAGAAACGTACTCGTCTGGAGCGATTTCTACGCTCATAGATACCAATGTGAGTATATAATATGAGGCCGAAAGGACACTTGAGAACACGCACAACATCGTCTACACCCTCGCCACCTTCATCGTCCTCACTTTCTTCAGCTTCGGAACTCTCTGCGGCTTCCGCTTCCAGATCGTCTTCGTCCACCCACTGCACGACTCGCGGAGCATCTACATCGGCATTGTTGTCGCTTTCACTTCCAGAAGAATCCGAGTGGGGTGAGGATTCCTTGGTGCGAGGCATGGTGAACAGAGGGCTAGTTGTGGAGGAAAGCAAAGCGCCACAGTACTTTTCACGGGTGATTCTCGCTGATTACGTAAGTTTCAAATTCACAAGGACATGGTTTATTGGTCACCACTTGTTCGACAGCATCAAAATCCACAAGTATATGGTACGTATAAGAAGATACAGTAGATAGATAATAAATCGTGAGCATAACAGTCATGCAGCATCCCATAGTCATCAGTGTCATTACGAATCAAAACTCATCCTCCCCTTCCCCTTCCCTTCCACCTCCAAAGAACCGGCGACACCTGTCCTCAGGCTCACTCCCTCACTCCCACCCGCTGCGCCCATAACCACATACCTCCCCTTCCCATCCAATTCCACATCCAACGAAACCCCCAACGAAGGCATCCCCTCCCTCCACCTCGGCGTCACCCCAAACCACGCCCCGAACTTAGCCAACCACCTCCTCCGCGACCTGTTTTTGCTCTTCTTACCACTACCTACTCGCATCGGATCGTCGAAGATGCCTTCCCATCGGAAGACTGGTCTCGGACGGATGGAGCTATCGTCGTGGTCTGTACCTCCGCCTGTGCCGAGTGTGGAGGGCATTGCTTGAGTTTCGAGGTCTATGTCTTCCATGTCGAGCTCGGAACCGTTATAGCCGAGATGGAAGATATTGGCCTAGGGTGGTTAGACAACAAATGAGCGCGAATAATCACGGGACGTGAAGCTGAATGCATTACCTGGTGAGAGTCGTGGAACACGATATCATTCAGTCGGACATATACCTTGTTCAAGAACCCGTTATGGATGAAGTCTCCCCACTTCGGCGTGGCATGGAACATGCCCCGTTGCGCCAAAAACGATTCCAGCGCAGGTCTCGGAAGTGGCGTGTAAGCTATAGACGACGGGTAGTGTGGATCGAAATCCGTGTTGTGGACCTTCAGAGCAGAGATCGTGCTTTGGTTTCGTCTCCAGAAATCATCCTGTGTATAACTGTAAGAAACACGAAAGCCACACGAAGTTGAATATTCTTACCCAGAAGATATACCACCATGTCGCCACCTCCGATCTTGTCACAGCCGTCAAACGCTCAAACGTCGTATCCAATGCAACCGCGCTCTCCGCCATGAGCCTCCTCACACGAGGGTCCCTCTCCTCTCGAATGACGCTCTTCGTGATATCCAAAGGTCGGGGTGGATTATAGACGTGGGTGAGGAAACGATACGTCAAGGCATCGTACTTCGTCTGCGCCTCCTGCAGAAGAGTCGCTCGATAATCATGGAGTAGGGATTCCACGCCGGGTAAAAGCGTAGATATCGACCTATGATTCAATGCTAGAAACTGGGCCAAATGAGGCGTCAGGTCAAAATCCTCGTTGAGACCGATGGTCGTCCCGTCGCAACGAACGCTTTTGGAATACTTGATCGAGATGGCGAAACCGCTGCCGAGTTGCTGGTTCTGCCATATCAAGTACCCTTTGCGTTTGAGACTGAGGACGCCAATCTGGAAGTCCTTAGATGTCTGAGCTTTGAACCTCATGCCGCCACAGCACCAGAAACCTCGCGAGCCTGAGGTCTGAAAGATCAATAGGCTCGTCAACAAGACGGGAGTGTATGACAGGGTACATGCGACGTACCTCGATGTGCCGGTAAGGCCAGTAGACTGAGTGTCCATCCAAAGAACGCAAAGCCATCCGAATCTCACGTCTTCGGCTGATATCGGCGCTCGAGTTCTGTTGGACATATTGTTGAAGTTCAGCCACCTCTTGCAGAGCCACAAGTGGACCGTCGTCGTAGCGAATAACCTGAAGTAGCGACCGTGAGTGCGGCGATTGCGATGTGAATGTCATCACATACCAAAGTTGGAGGGAATGGAATCCACCAAGCATTCCCAAAGAAACAGGTACAACCGGGTATCGACGGTTTCGCAGGATTTTTCCAGTAAGAATCCGGTCCGACGAAACGAGTTTGTATCTCGTGGGCTAAGTGGTGGAACCATGCATAGTCCGGATCAGTCACTAGAGAGATGGCTTTGCTGTACGTCGGAGATCCAACGTCGCGGAGGATCTGCCAAACGCAGACAACTGAGCATTAGAACGAGACTAGGCAAAGGTCGGCCTTACTTTGAGATTTTCGACATGTCTTTCCCCGGGTGAGCCAGCGAAGTCAAGCAAATACGGAGGATATTCGACATCTCTGGCTTGAGAATAGTGCATGGGCTGCTTGGCTGGAATCTTGCACTCCGGACTGGTAAGGAACAATGTTGTGATGGACTCTTGCCATATCCGCCTGCGAGCATGGGGAGAGGAGTTGGAGATATCGATGCTGAAGAAATGAACATGTCAGCATGGCGCCATCGAAAGGGGAAGATCTCCACTAACCGAGGGGAGAATATGTCAATGCCTTCGGGAGAAATCAGCGTTACAATATGTAGATATGAAGGAGATGATTTACTGAAGTCGATCCGCCGAGTTAGCCCTAGCATAGAGGTCAGAAAGTCTTCGAGAAGAGCTTTCAATGAACTTACTCTTCACCGCTCGCTGGGTGATTCCCCAATTGATGACCGTAAAATCTAGTAAAACGGGGTTAGTCCTATTCGAGACGGTGCTTCACGAAAGGCTTACATATGATTAGGGTATAGGTAGCGCCATAGATTCTGCATATAGAAAAAGAAAACATTCAGAGATCCAGGGACCTGTTCGCTCGAGACAAAGTGCACCTACACGTAAAGTACAGGTCCACCAATAATAGTCTTGCCGGGTATATTGAGCACGACCGCGAGGGAGATAGCAGAAGTTAATACATAATTGAGTCTTGAGCACCATTCGCTCGCATTGTTGACAGGCTCCAGGAAGGGCGCAAACCAACACTGAGCAATGAAGAATCCGAACATGACCACGATGAGCAATATTTGACGGATTACAGCAATTGTGGTCGAGGGAAGAGTGCGAAATAGGCAGTTCGATGGATTGAGTACCGAGACGATGAGAAGAGCGCTGAGCTTGGTCACGAGGTATATTGATTCGTAGGTACCCCAGCCATTCCGGAAGCCTTACGGAGGACAATCAGAAAGGAATGTGAAGAAGGGACTCGATTAGACTTACTACGATATAGGAAGCTGAGTGGGTTCCGATCTCTGTCCAACATGCGATTATATTCAAGTTCGAGCTCGCTCGAACTCCGTCGCTTGCCTAATTCCGTGTAAGGGTCGATAATCGGAACAGCTTGGCGAATAGCAGAGCGCAAGGCGATGGGATAGAAAACACCCAACTATAGAACGGATGCGAATTGTGAGCACTGATTCCCAAAAATGTAACGGTTCCGTACCCCAAAGAAAACCGCTATGGAAGCGATGACGACCAGAGGTGCATAGTTGAATTCATTGACCTTCATAGTCGACGTCCAGCAGAAATCTAGAGGGTCGCGGTACTCGTCCGACGGTCCCAGAGGGGCAACAATCGGCGGATTTGTAGTGGCATTGGTGTATGGGTTTGGAACGACCCATAGATCGTCGGACCAAACCATCATGTGAACAGCGAGAGTGCTCAACGGGAGGTATATCACCGTCAACAGAGAACTAACGATGAGTATGGCCCATCCGCTGCTTCTCTTATCTTGCATGAACCCTTCGTAATTTCGGTAATGAGAACAAGGAGCAGTCCACCGAATAAAGAGGAACATCAAGAGGCTCGCGATGACTGTCAAAACGAGAAGGTAGATCGTGGAGTTAGGCAGATTGGTCGTGAAATTGAGGGCAAGAATATTCGGTCTAGTAATAGGATTTAGAGGGGCACATGAAGTCAAAGAGTTCCAAATGCTTACATGGTCCCCTTGAAGAGAGCCTCCCACTGGCTGACTGCATCCTCGCCATCGCCAGGAGCTGTTGACTAGACTCAGAATGCACACACCAGCGAAACATTGAGATTACCCACTTATGGTATTCACGATCAGAGCGAAGACCTGTATGGTACTGAACAGGCCTTGCAGACTATACAAGTTCGCAAGTGCACTCGAACCCTAAATTCTCGTTAGCACTCTGAATAAGTCAATCCTAGGATACTAGTGAACATACAGTAATGCCTAGAACGATACTCGTTATTATACCCGTGATCGGGTTCCGGTTCTCCCAAGCAGAGTATATCCTAGAACTGGTCTCCAAATCCTGCAAACTCCTTCCTGTAGCAGCCAAACGGTCCATAGGTTCAAACATCGCCACATTCTTCCCCTTGCCTGCCGCCTCGGACGCAAACGAGGGCGGGCGTACAGTTGAAAGATACTTGTCCAGTCGGGGAAGAGATAATGGTGGCGCAGGACGAGAAAAGACGCGTGAAACTGGTATTGGTGTATGGTCAGGGAGCTGGGTTTGAGGGACAACGGTGGCAGAAGATGCATAAGACTCCTCCGTGGTAAATTGCGGGTTGAATTCATCGGCCACAGGGGACATATTCGAGAGTAGATGATACTCCTCGCTCTTACGAATAGATTCCTCATCCTTGGAAGAGAGCCATTTCTTGACGCGAGCCCCGCCAGAGCCTTCACGAAAGTGCAGCTTTCCACCCGGGTTGAGCTCGTCCGTCACGTCCGCGGTCGTGTCTATCGCGGTCGAATGTGCTCGAAAAGGTGTAGATTCGCTCGCCAGCAACGTCGTCGCATCATCGTCCGTGTATTGAGATTGGCGCGAAGGAGGATGCTGGAGGAAACGGGCTGGAGAGGGAGAAGGAGATGACTTGTCTCTGGAATTGTCCGTGGTGGTCGACGAGCCTTGGGGTTCATAGAGAGCGGCGAGTCGTTTGACGGCGCTGGTGGTCATGACATATACATTCTCGAGGGGTCAAGATTTCGTGAGTATGAGCGGGGCAAGCTCAGGCTGAAATGAGTGCGGAGCAAAGGAGCATCATGGGACTAAAATCAGAACCGCGCTAAGTCGAGTCTCTAGAGAAACGTGCGACGTCAGGCTCGCTTGATGGAAAGCGTGCTCCCGGCCTAAGGACGCTCAAATAGGCCAGCACGTATATCAATGCTCCTGATGGGGAGAAGAACAGATGGGGCCATATAACGAGTGAGTGTCAATTATCGAGATGTAGGGTATGCAGCTATGATACAAATCCACAAGGCAGGGGCAATAAGTAAGCAAAGCGTCCGAATCCGTAACGTCATAACATCGATATCCATCCAACGAAGGCGCATCGTAATCGTGCAAACACATCACTTCCCAAGAAGCTCCTTCAAAAGCTCACCAAAGCTCGACTCTTCGGTCACTTTCTTCACCCAATCCGTATCGACCGCCGAAACATGCCCTGACCGCCCCAACGTCGGTACCTCCGCCTCACTCTCACTCCGTGTCCTCTTAATCAATGCGTCCTTTGCCTTGCCCAAGATAGACTTCTTCCCCGTCCCTCCATTGAGACCAGCTGTTTTCGCAGTCTGGTTCCCTTGCTTATTGGGTTCACTGTGTCCATTTGCGTCGGGTTTGTACGGCCAGTTCATCTTCCATTGCTCCTCCAGAGGCATGAGCTTCTCCAGGAGTTCTGGGTACTGCTTTACCGCCAGCTGGACTCCTGGTGGAGGAGTATCTTGATGGAGGACCGATGGGTGGAATTTTTCGTTCGTCGTCGCGTCCGGGGCCGTAGGTAGCTTGCGCTGAATCGTGGTGGCCAGCGAGAATATACCTGTGGTTGGGCTAAAAAGACTTTAGGGATACATCGCTTCCAAACGAGATCGAGGCAGACTTACTCGTGTGGCTCTTGTGCACCCCAGGGAGCAGATGGCTTGCCAACAAGAGAATCCAGGTATTTGTGGTCCAAGGACAGTGCATCTTCGATATGGGACTACGGAAAGTTCTTCAGTAGGACCCTTCTAATACGGAAAAAGAAACCACTGACCGCCATCCAGGCCAAGGTCAAGTCAGAGAGGTCGTGCTCCTTGAAGCCTCCACCAATATCTGAATGGCTCCCTGTGAACCAGCACTAACATAGAATGCCTTTCAACACACAAAGGCCGACAAAGTACGAACATGAACTCTCACCTGTTTTAGCACTTGGTTCTTTCGTTTGCCTTCATCCGTCTGGTAGAACTTGTTACAGTTCTGAAGGGAGTAAGGGCCTGGCGAAGTAAAGGATAGAGCGGTGACGACACGTACAAAGTCAGCGCGAGTCTCATTCATAGCGAGCGCCTGATATGCCCTCTCGATGTAAGTGCCTAAGGTCGAGTCGGGGAATCCAAAGAGTGTCTTCATATTCTTCGAACGAGTAAGCTCCTCCGGAAGGCCCAAAGATCCCACTGTATCAAAGACACCAACGACCCTAAGAGGTAAAGCGCCCTTCAGTCAGTACGCTAGCCCGAAGATACGCGACAGAACACTCACTTGATAATGAAAGCATTATCATCGCAGTTGACTCTCTTCTTTCCATGAGAGTCATCCTGCGTCCAAGGCTTTAATGCAGCATCCAACTGCTCGATTTCTGATCCAAGGCAGTCTGGGATCAGCGAATGCACAGGAAAGAGATAGCGATGATCGAAGGCGCTCACTCTCGGGATCCTTCTCCTTGCCTCTCTTCTGCAAGTTCATGAAGATACTAGCGAAGTGGTCCATCTCGGTACGGTCAAGTACTCCGATATATCCCTATTTCGATAGCTCAGCGATAAAGATCTCGAATTGAAGTACACAGTACCTCGTATACTCACGATAACATATGCAATCATACGAGCCGTGTAGGCGCCCTAATGACCTATGGTATGAGCACGTATCTTATATATAGAATTGGTGTTCCTCACCCTCGAGAAACCGAACAAGAAGATCTAGAACATGTAATGTCATCAGAAAAGTCATGCGAAATCTTTCAGATCACAGAGACCGACCTCGTCCCCTTGTTCATAGTTGCTAAGAAAAGTGAGATCCTGGTGAGCCGAGACCGAACGAAGTTTATAGAATAGTAATACTCACTGCGCGATGAAGGCGTATGCTTCTTGCACCTTTTCTCCTGCACCGGAGGTGAGCAATCCCCGTGAAACCAGCCTCGACACCTAGTGACTCACCGAGAGTCGCGCCAACTGCACCTGTTGATGGCATAAAATATTGAGCACATACTCTACTTACCAGAAGCAAAGTAAGGGAGATGGCTTACCATCCAACAGTGCCAAATAGTGGTTGGGTTCACTTCCAACACCAGACTGGTAGAACACGATTTGAGGCATAGGTGGCGAGCTGTAGCACCATAATACAAACACAGTAAACATCTGCATAGACAGAACCCAAGGATGAAGCACTCACAAACGCATATCGACATGGTTGATGGATCTCGCCAGTCTCTGCGGCACGAAACGCCTCAGCCCCTAGGAATCACCGATCAAACATGAACTTCAGACGCACCAACACATTCGTGTACTTCCATCTCTGGCTAACGACCAAACCGTCCTGCCATGTCCTGTCGAGAACAAATGACACGCCCGTCAGTAAGACCGTACTGCACACTTCAACAACGCTCCAAGCACGCACCCGTCACAACACACGACAATCCTCTTCTTGATCCTCAAATGCGTTGGTTCGGGATCAGTCAACGAGCGATTTCCCTGCTTGGGGGAAGAGTGATTGCTAGACGTCCTGTCCCGGTCATGCTCGCTCGAGATTCTCTGTATGGCGGAGGGAGCAAGTGTTGGAGAGTGAGGACGACTGGCAGAATCCGCCCTAGGTACCGAGTTCGGTGCCAGAGACATAATGCACGATGATGTCGACGAGTTTCGGAGACAAGTACTAGTACGGTTCACGCGACGGAAGTAAAAGCCCGAGTCCGCTTGCAAGCTCAAGTTCAAGAGTTCGTCAAACGGTCACAGTTAGACGACGGAGAGTGTACTCGGAAAGCACTGGTTCACGAAGAAAGCGGGGAGTTTTATATGTATTCTTGGTACTATGCTCCGTCCATCATGATGATGGTGTGATGAAACCCGAACACAGGATGATTCCTCGCTCTCACCAGCCATGGTCATGAACCAGTCAGGATTCGGATTGATGTGTGGCGAGCAGTCCTTGGGCGCTTGGCTGCACAAAGCCAGATCCATACGTAGTACCTCGGATCATTCGAAAAAGGGGATCCTAAGCTTGTCTGTTTCTCCTTCTGCTCATGTCCATACTACTCTAAAGACCATCCATTTTTGCGTGCTGAGTCTCCCCTTCCCCTGGACCGTATTGTGGCGTCAACACAATCCGAGAACACCAGAGCGCAGGACGGCGGCCTTATTGTGTTCATTCTTAGACATAGCTTTCGCCACACTGATCAGCTTGAGACTAGTTTGGAGTGTGAAGGTCGGGGGCTATGGGCGTCCGCGTAGCACCTTCTTGGTGTTCTCTTGGATCCGATTTCCCTACACATAGACATCTGACTCTGTTCGCAAGCGCTCTTGTAGCGGGATCCACCATAAAGCGATGAATAGCCAAGAAACGTTGCTCCGTCCTAAATGTCTCTAGAGAGATACAACTGTCGACGGAACGCTCACAAGCAACAGCAGCGCCCGAGAAAGTAAGCTAATCTATACGGAACGAACGAATGTCCAATGTCTGATAATCGTTCACGGCGTGTATACCACAGACCTGCCCGGGTGATCCAATGAGTCGCCAATATATGGCCGCTGCCAAGTGATAAACAAGAAAAGGGCTATGTCCCCAACCGCATTTCAGCGCCAGAGAACTCGTCCAGCGCTCTTCTGAAGTCGATCTCCTCCAAGACGGAACAACGGTCTCGGTGGCTGCGGTGGCGTCCTCTCGAAATACCCGGCCAGCGCCAATGTGGGGTAGAAGAGGGGGAGTGGTGTTGGCTGTGGCTATCGGGGAGGGGCGATGTCAGAGTCAGAGTTAGAAGAGCTATAGAGTATGGATGTAGAAAGAGGTAGACTTACTATATTTCGGAGAGCCTGACTTGCCATGGTGGAAAGCCATACAGCTCCAGTGGCGCATTTGCGTACTTTTCGGGTGTGATGTGGTGTACAATGATCAGATCCGGTGGGCTGAACCCGTTCTCGCCTGTCAAAGATGAATACAACGACTGAGCATCAGCTTTTCGTCTTCACACAACCGGGTGAGGGTACGTATGACTGACCTTCGAGTATATGATCGAGGTCGGTCACCGAAGGCGCCGTGGATGGGGTTTCCGGGGTTCGGGAGGTACGCAGGTGGTTCGCCACAGAAGCAATGGCCGGCTTGCCAGAGTCTCGCGAGACAAGGTTTACGGAAAAGGTTCTCTCATCCGATGAGGGGTCTGGACGTAGTCAATTGTCAACGACACCGGGGCAGGGTAGCGCACCGAGACTCTTACGGTTGCTGCGACGCCGTTTCCCCTTGTAACGCTTCCTCTTGTCTTGTGCCCCACCACCGGAATAAACGGTAACGACATTCAGTCGAGCATCCGGAGTATCATTCCAAGGGGCGGACGTCGATGAATCGGAGTCTTCGGAGAGTGGAGGTGTGAGAGGATATACAAGCTCTGGCCGTGAGGGTTCAAGAAGGCTCTCAGCCGGTCTTGGGGAGGACATACAGTCGCGCACGATATTGGGACAGGTGCTCAACAAGCCTATGCGTTCATAGCCAAGTGAGAAGACATGGTGATAAAGTTAGAATTAGAAGCAGACGCACCGTCACGGTCGTACACGGTCAACTGCTCAATGCCTGCCGCCTGCGCGCACCCAACTGCCGATCGTAAACATGCAACGAGCACTTGTTCTAGTTCTTCATGGCCGTCGAGGCTGGCATCATAAGCAAGAATAAGACCCAGGTGTTTTGGTGTCTTGCTCCGTTTCGCATTTAGCTCGAGTGGAATGCGCTCGTGCCTATTCGCCCGTACGGTTCGCAGCCAAATGAACAACGAATAAACAGAGTGGATAAGAGCCAAGACGAGGGATGCCAGCCAGGACATCGAGAGCGGCACAGAGAGGATGAGGGCGTTCAGGAATCCGAATGAGTGTGAAGTACAGGTAAATGACAGAGTAATGGCTCCAAAGTCTATGCAATCATGGAGACGTGTTGAATGGAGGAGTCGCGTACGTGGCGCGAGGTGGGGGTGGCGCAGCGCTGCGAGTCGCGTCCTTGGGAATCCATCATTCCTGCCCTTCCAAGTCCCCGGTGCACGCAGACCCTTCTTGGGAGCTTTGTATGCAGCATAATTATATAACGCAGGCGTAAGGCCGGTGAACGGCAGGTCCCGCTACTTATGAGCTTTCAGTATTCTCGGGATAGACTGTCATCGTTCTCAAATGTAATGTTGATGCACCGTCGGAACACGCTTTGATGTTTGGTCTCGGTACTTAGGCTTATGGATAGAAGCGAGGGTGCAAGCCTTCAGATCATAACAGACTCAGATTGCAGGGCACATTCATTGACATCATTACGTGCAGAACCAGCAGATTTCTTCCACAAGTGAAGTGGAGAAGGAGTTCATTCTGAGGATACAAACTTACTTCGCGAATGCTCAGGATGAAGACTATAGGTAGCAAATCATCATGACCACAACAGAAACAAATTTGTGTTGATCAGTCGGAGATGGCAACGGCCGCACCCATACACAGAGGGTCAGAAGGGGCAGCAAATATTATATTCGGGCAACGATGGCCATCCTCAGAGACAAAGGAATATACATGAGTATTACTATAATTGGCTGTGATAGTTGTACAAGGCCGTGTCCTAGACAGTGACGAAGCAGAGGATGAAACCTGATGAAACCCACATGGGCGGCAATAAAAGGTCCCACTTGGGTAGCAGAAGAGCCCACTTGGGCGGCAGGTGTTTGCTCAAGACCAAGTTGGTCGAGCGGAGGGAGGGACGGGGGTCAACGGTCATTTCCACTGGAGGTACTGCAAACTAAAAGCAGTGATAGAGTGGAGGGGGGG